AAAAAACCAAAGCGGGGTATATAGGTATACTATGGTCGCCACCTGAGTCTTTTGTGACAGAAATAATATCGCAGAGAGAATGCACGTACGTAGATTGAATCTCATGATATGGATCTTGTGGGGCATGCATAAACCGAGTAGCAAGGGTAGCTAGCTATGCAACGTGTAACCACGATAGAATCTAGATAAACAACTAGGAATGTGGTAAAAAGTCACATAAGTTCTTGTTTTAACTTTGGAGAAACCGGGTCCAATCGTCACTATTCCAAGAATTACATGATACCCCAAACCTTCCTCGTATGAGACTTAAACAGAGCTCCAGGGGGGGTGTAGGTTATTTTTTCCAATTGTGTACAAAAATAAAGAGAAAGAAGGAGAGAGGGGAAGAGGGAGAGAGACCGGGTGATTATGATCGGCGTCAAAGCACATATCCTGGGATTGATACAGTTGATAATCCCATGTTTTTCTTTTCTTTTGAGCAGGTGAGTTAAGTTAAGTTAATTAAGTTCACGAGTTTATTTCGACTAGGGTCATAGAGCTCTACCCTATTAGATTTGTGTACAAGTACATGTACTCGTTGACCATATACAATAAGAATTAATTAATTAACCCGTATTTTTATAATTAGCCTACCGGCCATGAGATTCACTTGTTGGGATCCCATCTTAAGTAATTGCACCCTTGAATCTTCGGGTACTAGTTTCCGAAAGGAAGGGAATGAGGGGGTACATTGCATTGTATACCGAAAGAATATCAATAGCTTTGTACTCACCCTCCTCCATCGCTAGCGATTGGTAATTGCTATCGAATGAATACATAATCTATAATGTATGTACGTCAGGCGATTTATTCTACAGCCTTTTTGCGTGAGATTCCTAAGCTCTTCTTGTATGACGCAAACAATAAAGATGGAAGTAGATCTACATGTTTCTTCGAAGCTGAAGTCTATATGTGGAGGTATGTATGTATGTACTCCGTCACTAAGTCGGTATAGTACCCTAGCACCAGCTATGAATTGCACATGATAGGAAGGAGGATGTGTGAGAGTGGGCGAGGGGGGTGGTTAAGGTATGTGCGCCTTCGATACCAAAGGGATCTTCCAACAGAAAAAAAACAAATGTCAAGAGAAAAAGAAGAAAAGAAAACTGGAAGAAAAGAAAAGAAAAGAAAAAACAAGGTGGTTAAATTTAATTAAGCGGCTCGGTGCTTTTGGAACGTTCTTTCGCGTAAGCAGTGAGAGGGTGAGAGAGAGGAAGGAAGCAAGGAAATGTGCATATGTCGTGAACGTGATGTCCAATTGAAGACGCACAGCAGAGATCCCGATCCTTGTAAATCCACGTGGCATGGCAGGGAAGCAGGTGGAGAAGGTACCCTTGGCCCCCTCCTTCATGCATAAACAAAAAAGAGCGTAGTACATTTAACCAATACGATCTTGTCAAAAGGCGGGGGGTATGGTATGTAGTGGGTACTAAGACGATGAGGGTTCGTTCTTTGATCATGATCTGGAACTTACAAGGATGTTTGAAGTCAAAAATCACGGTATTTTTTGGGTTCGGCAGCGGAAAGAACAACAACGAAAGAAAGAAAGCTGAAAGAAAGAAGAAAAAAAGAAAGAAAAAGAAGCAAAAGAGAAATTGGGATGGGATGGCGTGCACTTCGTCGTCGAAGAGGATACGAACCGCTGCATTGCGCTGTGGATTGGCTAAAGTCCGTCAGTGCGTGGCTAATCCAACCGCATAATAATCTGCACGATACAGAAAAACGACCGGAATCGAGGGTTACGAGTGGACAATATCATGGGATCCTCCGCCAAAAAAAAAAAAAAAAAAGAAAAGAGAGTGAAAAGGTAAAGAAGCAAGGAAAAAAATAAGAACAAAGCCTTTTCTCGTGATTGATTGAGGAAGTATTCTCCCAGTTGGTCGTCGTTTAAGCAGCCTATCTCAGACATCCCATGCTATAAAAAAAAGACCTCAAGGAATTTGCACTTTGGCAACTTGGCACCCCTCCTCATCCCTTCTAGAAATTCTATGAGCCTTGGAACATTAACGTTAACCGATCTTGTCACTGAATTGCATCGAGCGCATGTTATAGGGGTGCATCCTCCACGTACACACGAGATATTAGCCAATGGAGAATAGAGTGTCGTCTTTGATGTGGTACTTAATCTTGGCGTTGGTCCAGCCCCTGTTGTTAGCCAATAGGAAGGCTTGGAAGGAACCTTTGTGTTGCGGTGCTCAGCCAGTTACCCAGCCGGCCAATCCCTGTCTGAAAATCCTTCTGCCGTGACTTCCAGAAGCCTTCCCTTTTCAATCAATCCCTGCACTGTTTTTCTTCCTTGAATTCCTCTCATCATCATCTCGACTCCCTGCGCCTGCTTTAGATTCTTCCTGACCGCTATTCACGGAGGGTATACAGAGCTAGTACATACTAGCACATGTACATACACAGTATACACACTACATGTATGTACGAGAGAAACAGAGACAGAAAGACCAAAAAGCCTTGTCAATACCGGAACTGGAACCATGATATCGATCGTATAACTTTCCTTTTGTTTTTTACCCTTCTCCTTTCGTTTCTTTTTGCTGTCAAACATTTTTCTTGCTTATTCGTCTCCCATCATTACACGGTAAACGCCCCAGGCCAGGTTGGGGGGTATTCGGGTGGCTGTGCTTTAACAAGACTTTGTGGCACTGGGTAATCGGAACTTGAGAGGTTTTTTTAAACTTCCTTGCTTCTTTGCAGTTGCTTATTCCTTCGCCTGACGACAACGAAGTCCAAGTGGTATCCGCATTGCATTGGTCGGCCGTTGGATCCAAACCATGACCCGCAAGGAATCGGAAGAAGCGCCTGATGAGGTTCTAGATGGTAATGAAATATACTCCTCCCTTCCAAACCCCTATATCCCTGCTGTTGCTCCAGCATGCTCTTTTGTTTCCCTATTCTGGTTTTCACACATCATTTGCTTCTTCCCTTTTTCAATCTCTCTTATGGAAAGATCCGACTATCATTTCTAAATCGACGGAGTGTAATACCCCCCGCGCATCTCGTCGTAGTCATATCATTATGCAGGCTTTTTGTAAAAGAAAAGAGAAGAAGAAAAAATGATATAACGTAGACTAACATTATCCTGGTTTTCCCCCCATTCTTTTCCATTTTTTCTTCTTCCAGTAATAGATTTCCCCCACCCGTCCACACGACCTACCTTCAATACACTCCTAACAACCCTTGGCTTACTTGCCATTCGCCCTCCGTCATGGGATGATACCTCTGGCGCTTCTACCTCCTCTACAACCGATTTATCCCAAAAGAAAGTTCAAATCATAGGGAACCCAACCCCCTGGCTCACATCCCTCGTCTCCTCCTCTCTGAAATGGCTGCCAACGGATGAATCCCGTGAAATCATTTGGGAAACGGCGAGTATTCGATTATCAGAACGTTGCGGACGGGCAGCAATGCCGTCCCTCGATAGAAGTTTTAGAATCCCATCATTTTCGCTATCGTCATCAAATGAATTGGAGATCAAAATCCATGAACCAACTTGGGATGGTGATAATTTGGGATTGAAAACTTGGGGTGCCGCTTATGCTCTTGGGAAAAGGATTGGTAGGGATGAGGTTATGAGGAAGGGAATTCGTATTGCTCTTTCTGGGCCTGAACCTGGTGGTGGTGGTAGTAGTGGTACTAGTAAAGGGGGGGATAAGAGGGTACTAGAACTCGGTGCGGGGACCGGGCTTGCTGGACTCGCTCTAGCTGGAACGGTTAATTCCATCCTCGACCGAATGAATGATAGTACAGACAATATCCATGTCCACCTAACAGACCTCCCAGAGATCGTTCCAAACCTCCAACGAAACGTCGAGCTAAACAATACTTCCATCCCATCACCCATAACTGTAACAACTGGGGTTTTGGACTGGCGGCTCCAACCATCCGCAAACACTGAACGGGAAGGAGAAGAATCTCGATACCCTTTAATCATCGCCGCAGATCCTCTCTATTCGCCCGAGCACCCGACTTTATTGTCAACTGTTGTCGAGGGTTGGTTGGAACGATCAAATACCGCAAGGTTCATCGTGGAACTCCCGTTACGCAAACTCTTTGGTGGAGAAGTATCTGACTTTAGAAACTTGATGGCGGAGAAAGGGTTTAGCGTTTTGGAGGAAGGCGAGGAGAATGCTAGGGATGATTGGGGGGAAAGTGGTGAGAGTATGACTTGTTGGTGGGCCATATATGGCTGGATAGATGGGTAAATGGATAGATCTCATTTACATCGTTTATAAGTATGTTATCGATTGATAGATGAAAGAGGGTGTATACATGTACCAGGAGTTAAAATCGTCGTTGTTGAAGGGGTTACTTGTTGGATTTTCGAGCACTGTACCGTTATAGGCATTTACATTCGATAGCGGATGGAGATCCATACCCAAATCGATACCATTACATATATTCCCAAGCTATTGAATTGAGCTTGGAGTGTTCGAATTCAGTGACGTTACTATCAATTATTCATCAATTAATATATTCTTTTATATACATGATCTCGAACGACATGCGTGTACATCAAGTGAATCCATATGATCGTAAATGAACGGCAATTCAAAATTTCGGAGTACGGAAAGCACATAAACTATTTGCAATGAACTCGTCACATATCGATCGCGTCAAAGAATTGGCAAATCCCAACATTGTTCGTTTTGCAAGAAAGACCCGCAGCGGAAATCAAAAAAAAAAAAAACAAGTGAACACCTCGAAAAGTAATTTTCAAACAAGTTTCAATCAAAGTTAATGATACAGGGGACTCCTAAAACGCCCTTTGTATGTGATAATAATAATGAATCAAAAAAAACAAAAACGGCCAGGTCAAAATGCAGAATCCAACGCCCCTTGTTATCCGCCAAGTTAACCGGTTCCTCTAATGATTCCCAATAATCCATAAAGACTCCGTAAAATTCGTATCCATTAGAAGCATTTCGTTCGTAAAGAAAAAAAAGTTCCCTTCGCTAAACAGAACATGGCATTCGTTTAATACTTAGCCTTTCTTTCTTTACATGTTGTCGAGTGTTGTTGTAGTAGTTGTTTGTCGAGTAGTTGCCGTCGGGTAGGTTGTCGAAATGTATGTAGTTGATGCTTCAAAATAGACATTGGAGTATGGGAATTAACCGATTTAACGGATAGTCATCTGCTTGGAGATGTCACCACCTTTGCCAGTCGTGGACATGGCAGAAACGGAGGCAAGACCAGCAGCACCGGCCTTCTTCTCGAAGATCTTCCAAAACTTGAGAGATTCATCTAATAAATTAAATGTTAGCAGTAATTCAAGGCACATAGTGGGAAAGTATGGCTTACCAGAAGCGGCAGTGGCAAGAACTTGGCCATCAGGAGAGAGGGCAGAGTGAAGAACACGGGTCTCGTGTGCTGGGATCTCAGCACACTTGACAAGGCTTGGGTAGCTCCATACTATGAGCTGGTTATCTGGGAAACCATGGGTAGAAACGATCTCCTTGTAGGAAGTACTCCACTTGAGGCTGGTGACCTGGGTGTTGCAGTCAATGGTGTTGACACGAGCACCAGTAGTCGAATTCCAGAAATGGATCTTCTTGTCAAATGTACCTCCACCGGTAGCGAGGAGGTTGTTTTGCCAAGGGCACCAAGCGATCGCCTTGACAGCGGCCTTGTGGTTGGTCTTGGAAAATCGTGGAGCAGAAAGGGCTCTTGCATCCCAGATGTTGACGAGGTTATCGTTGCCACCGGATGCCAATTGGGCACCGTCGGCACGCCACTCAAGTCCACAAACTTCAGCGGTGTGAGAGACTAAGGAAGCAACCTTGTGGTCGGCAATGCGAACGTCGTGATTGATGATCTCGCCACTTCGGGAACCAGTGGAGAGAATGTGCTTATCCCATGACATGACACCAACACGAGAAGAATGGGAGTGCATCGAGCGGACCTTAGAGTTCTCTTCAGGGTCCCAGATTTGTACTTCGCCTGTGCCAAGACCAACAGCGACGAAAGAGCCATCGTTGGACCACTTGACGGATGTGATATTTGTGTCTGGACTGCTTTCAAGCAAGGAAGAAACAGACCCGGTAGAAGCATTCCAGATGTAGACGTTGCGTTCCAAACCAATTGCGACCATGTTGCTAGAGCCCCAATCCATGAGGTTAAGATAGTAGTCATCAACTAGCCCAGGGGCATCGAGGACACGCTCCGGAGCAGTAAGAACACGTCTTCTGAATTGGGCATTGCTAGCTGCCTTGAGTGGTCGGTTATATTGGCTTCTCAAATCAATAGGTCGAGAAGACTCTGGAGCCGCTGGCTTGAAAGCAAGGACCCTTGAGTCAGTTTGAATACCAACGGCGCTGCCAAGAGCAGACTGGTAGGCGGCAGAATTTGGTGACATCTTTGGCTTAGACGACGGAGAGTCACAGTCTGCGTTGCCGTTATAGGTTGAGAGAGTAGTAGCAGAAAATTCGTCAGAGAGGGAGTTAAAGATGCTGTCAGGATCAGTGTGTCCGCGGGGACCGGTCTGTCTCTTGAAGTTTGCCTTGGTGATACCGGTTGGCGACGAAGCAGTCCTGTTTGGGACAAACCTGTCGATATGGCTAGAGTGAGCTCTGATTGTGGTCTTTCCCTTCCTGACCTTCTTGATCGGACTGGCATGCTTGATAGCAACATTGGTGTTGTTGTTGTTGTTATTATTGTTGAGCTTATCAGCATTTGGACCAGTACCAGTAAGTGCCCAATCAGAAACACCTAGCTTGACAGGTGTGAAGCTACTACGGGTGATGTTCGATTTAGGAGAATTCTTGAAGGTGGGCTTTTTGGCACTACCATTAGCCACAGCACTAAAGTGGGAAGTAAGACCCCCAGCGTAAATCGAAGTTCCGAGATCCTTTCTGCTAGCACCCATGTTTTTGGGAGGTGGGGTGAAAGGGGATCTATTGGAGGTGGAATTGGACCTGTTGCGAGGAGATGGGCTCAAAGGCATCCTGCCCCCGGCGGTCTTCATGCTGAATATTCCAGCATGGGACTTGAGGGGTGTGTGGACAGAAGCAGTTGCCATTGTGTCTTGATATGTGTTTCAAATATTCGAGGATGTATAGGTACTTCTCAGGCGTGTAAAGAAAGTACGATTCGCAAATGCGTATTATTGTCGTCTCTTAATGAGTCTCGAGTGAATCAATCTTGTCGGACGGATTATATTATGGCGATAATAATACAATCCAAGATGATCAAGTTAATGAATCCTGGATAGATGCAAAGGTCGAGAAGTGTCCTGGAGGACTTCTTGTTACCAAAGATCTAGCTGATATTCGAACTTCGACTAACGAGTCAACGTCAGGAGGAACGTGTATGCAGCTGATAGAAGGAGCTTTTGGATGGCTGAAGGAAGCTTCAGGTTATCTTTTCGGAATCTGTGCAACTGGAGGTTTGCGAAACTTAGGATAATGGCGGTTTGAGATAGTGGTGATAAGGAAGATGGAGAAATATGTATGTGTGTTTTGATTGTGGTGAGAAGGAGGAAGGAAGAAGGAAGAGAGCCGTGAGAGAGCGCTTATGTACCTGTCGACAACACCAAAATCTGTGCAGCTTAGAAGTACCTGATGTGTGGTGATCGACGCTTTTGGAGTTGTTGCTGTGGGAGCAGACTACCCATGTGTTGGCAGCCGTAAACAGAGAGCTACTTTTGGACGCCAACACAGTATCACCACAGCAACCAGCTACTATTGAGGCAAGGGCGCCTGGCATTTGAGACGACCACCGTCGTAGTCATCGCAACAGCACAATCTCCATGGAATCTCTTTCCCTTTTGACATTAACCTCTCCGCTGGCTCTCCACTGCCCTCTTCTCATTCGGCCCTTCATCTCCGCTTGTCGGATGGAGAAACACTCACCAACTCCGAGCTCAGGTTCAATATGTTTCCAAATTAGGAAGTCTAATTAAGTCAAACACTCTTGGCATAGTGAATTGGCTTGTACCACCTGAGGGAACAACCTGAAACTAACTTGCGACGTATGAGGCACAGATCAGCCTCGAGGGCTTACAACTGGCCCATCATGTGCCAATGCCTGTAAACAAAACAAATTGACAGCCTCCCGAAAACTGTTGGGGAGCTCATTTCATACATAGTAGTACTGTGATGTCAAGTGGACGCACTTCGTCGAACTTATTTGTCACCCGATGGGCCCTCCCAGAAACCTTTAACTCATCATCTACAGAAGTATCTTAACGCGATGCCCGATTCACGATGCAGTATTCTTGTCTGCCGGCTTGTCTATCCGTAGGCTGGGTTGTGGTGTCCTGCATTGGGAATGCTTTGGTCAAGGACAAAAAATTATCACTATCATGCAATACCCTGGTCTAGCGCCATGCGTGAACAGCAGATTAGGAGGCAGATTGACCTCTCTCGGGTCTAGTGATCAAATTTTTTCTCTCTTAGAGGTGGTATTAGCTCGGTAACGTCGAATTTAAACAACAGGATCCAAAGATTATGCCTTAGAGATTTGAAAGGCTGACCGGTATCATATATTATTACTCGGATTTTTTATTCGTAATTATGCAAGTACCTAGCGCGGATACCCTGGATTAATATAACTCGCCTGCAGGATGCATTGACAATGTTTCAATCGAATTGAAAATAATCATACAGAGTCATTGGAAGTACTTCACCTCGTTTGTGGCAGCAACGTATGAAGGGTGTTTTTTTTTAACGCTCTCAGACAGTTCCGATTTGAGAGTAACTCACAATCTCGTCCAAAGAACGATGAAATCACGAGCTTGCTAGTCAATATCAGAGATTTCCTAGAAGCTTAGACAGGACAGGCACCTCAACTAAGACAGGCAAACAAATCTACAGGCCCGGATCAGCTTGGAATGCTAGATCCTCGCCAACAACAAAAGTCCTGAAATCTGAGACGGAATATGGAATATAGTGTCGACATGACGTTTACCTTTGGTCGATCGTATTATCAATTTTCAAGGACCACCATCCGAGACTACTCCACTATTATGCATCTCACACACCTTCTTCGAAATGTGAATTAGTGATAATTTTCCATGTCAGGTCAAGGGCGGCGGTATCATAAGGCTACTCCGAGCTCAGGCACAACAGCCTTTCGGGCGGGGCCATCCACACCCAGGAAGCCAAGGCTTGAAAAGCCCTGGAATATTTAGCGAAGGATAGTTCCTTACATATCATGGCGTGAGTATGTCTAGAATTCATTTCTCGATCCTATCCCAAAGTGGAGACCCTGCCTACTTCTAGCAGCAGCTTAAGAATTCACCGTGCCTGCAGAATGCCATGTCTCGAAGCCAATTGGTGGGATCACCAGATGGGTTATACTGCCAGGTAGGCCTGCCTCGCAATCGACCCAGGGGGTCCTTGGAGGTTGGCTCATCTGATCATGCAAGGTACGCGAACGCACTCCACAGGTCCTCCACGGGATCAGACCTTGGAGTTGGGTTGCAATGATCGATAACCGATAACAGCTATGTAAGGTCCGGATCCTATTGCATTGAAAAAAAAAAAAAAAAAAAAAAGACAAGAATTGCTATGTTAGTTTTTTTTTAAGGTCTATAGACTTGGTCCTAGTCCTAGCTCCCGGAGTTCATAACTTATAAACCTCCAAAACATCCTGTCAATTCATCTTTACAACACCGCAATTCGGATTAAACAAGCCAGCCAACGTTTTGATCCTTAACCGTAATACCGCTTTAATATGATTCGTTCAATCCATTCGTCGTCATCATCTTCTTCGAAGACGCTCTCCATTATTCCCCCCCTCACAGCGGAAGAATGCGGACAGAATACACCAACTCACGAACAGCCACCGAACACAAGCAGACCTCATGAACGAACCGAAAGGTCACGAAGAGGGCCAGTAAGGAAAGAAGTCCAAACTAAAGGTATGGAGGTTGTGCGTTAAACCGAAACAGATCTTACAAACATGAAATCTATTTTGGTGCCTTTCTTAGTCTCGTATTGCAAACGCGGTCCGCACGAAGTGCCTTTCTATTGCCGTAGTGTCTTTACTGGTCTCGTTCCCGTCTTTACTGATTTATAATCCACATTAGAATCCCTATTCGATGAGCGACTGAAACACGGTCTCGGAGCCCGTTCCTCCACCCCACCGGTGGAAGAACTCTCCCAAGACAATTTCTTCGGCCTCTCACACGAATACAGCTTCAGCCAATATGAAATCAACAATAACCTAAATATTGGACTTGACCCTGTATTTCAATCGACTGTTAAAAGCCTACCAGAAACATCTTTCCACGAACCCCAGCCTCAAAGTGGATGCTACGGCATTGATCGGTACCTTGCAACGCCTAGGCACGGGGATGCAGTCCGTTACTATCGCCCTTAGTAACAACGATGTGCATGCACGAACTTATGAAATTACGGATATACGCTTAGCGGGTTGCAATAGCTTTTGTCCTGTTAGAGCTTTAGCATTTGAGCGTTGCAGAGATACCTGGTTTGTTAGTTGGCCACGTTGGTGTGATATTGTCCGACTGATATTGATAGGGTTTCTTTCGGGTTTGATTTGGTCCACATATCTACGTGTCCTAGTTGTATTTATTATTCCACCACTTACCTATTGGCTTCTACTATTGTATTACTAGTACTTACTAATTTTTAATTTACAAGTTTCTGTTTCCGGTTTCGTCGGATGTCTGATGTTGTATTTGTTCCGGTTGATGTGTTGAAGACTCGAGCTTGACCAATCTCTTAGCTGCAGCCTGATTCGGATCGTGATCGGACCCCATCGGTATAGATATATTCGTAGGTGGTTATGTAACTTGGGAAGCGAGTGCCCCTTATGCCGAACATTTATTCCACTGAACTAATGTTTTAATTCTTAAGATCTTTTACTTAGTTATTATGTACACGAATATTTATTTATTATACAGCTACGCTTCCTCCTCCTTTACTAATGGGTTGTGCTGTGCGGGCTTGTTCCTCTTCCACCTATCCTTTTCAACTGTTTGAGGGTCCATCCTAATGATCTTATCGCAGTTGAGAATGCACATAGGATCGAATGCCAGTTTCATCTATGATTTAGTGAGTTAGTGAATTTTATAGTTAATAATACCAAGAATCAGTTCAAGCATACCTTTCTCATGGCATTCACAGTTGTCGGCCCAAGCTCTTTAGGGAGATAATCCCTCTTTACAAGCCCAACTCCATGTTCTCCTGTCGTAGTACCCTCCATGGCAATCGCTCTCTCAACCATCCTGTGGACCACACCCTCTGCCTTTCTCCTGTCCTCTTGCCCAAAGAGTAAAATACAGTGGAAATTTCCGTCGCCAACATGCCCAACCATCGAGCCAAGAAGATTGTTCTTAGTCATGTCGTTTTTTGTTGCTTCAATGATGTCTGGAAGCTTCGATATTGGAACTGCGACATCCGTAGTCCAGACTTGGTCATCGGGCTTTTGCTTCAACGACATTACCGACCAGAGTGCATTTTTCCTTGCGGACCACAGCTCAAGCCTTTCCTCCTCCGACGTTGCGAACTCAAAGGATTCGGATTGGCACGATTTAGCGATAGCTTGGACCATAGAGATCTGCTCTCTGACCCCATTCTTTGTTCCTGCAAACTTGAAGAATAGTGTTGGCTTCTCCCTCCACGCCCGAGCTGTTGATTTGCTCTGATTTATGCACATCATCTGTACTTCGTCCAGGATCTCAACAGCTGCGACGGGGATTCCTTGACCAATAACCTTTGACGCAGCAGCAGCCGCGTCCCTTATTGAAGGGAAAGCACAGACAGCAACGCTCTCGTTCTGCGGCTTGACGGCTAGCTTCAAGGTCGCTTCGGTAACCAATCCGAGAGTACCTTCGGACCCGACAAACAACTTGGTCAAGTCATACCCTGCGGAGGATTTTCTTGGTCGCTGTCGCGTCTTTATGATTGTGCCGTCAGCGAGAACAACCATAAGGCTGAGCACCCATTCCCTCATTGTGCCGTATTTTGCCGCATTTGTCCCAGAACACCCGGTTCCCACCATGCCCCCAATCATAGCACCCGGGCCTGGGTCAGGCGGGAAAAACAGGTTGTGTTCTGCCAGCATTTCATTCAGATCTTCCCAGCCGAGGCCTGGTTGGACAACGACATCTAGGTCGTCCTTGTGTAGCTGTAGAACCTTGTTCATGTGTGTGAAATCGACACAAACACCACTCCTCGTCGCTGCAAAGTGCCCTTCCAAGCTAGTACCCCCAGAAAATGCAGTAATAGGGATCTTGCGGTGACTGCATATTTTCGCTATCTCAGAGACTTGTTCCGTGGTTGACGGGTACAAAACCATGAATGGTAGGTCGTTCGGATTTGCAGGATGTGAAGACCAACTACTTCCAGCATGGTGCTCAAGGTCGTCAAGGTTGCACGATACGTTTTCTTCGCCGAGGAGGAGCACAAACTGGGACCACGCAGCGCTTAGGTTATGTTTTGAGATATCGTGGTATATTTCGGGAACGTCTTCCAACTTGGTGGTCGACGAAGGTTTTGCTGGTCCCCATCTGTATGTTCCGAGCCAATAGGCACACACTGCCGATAATACCCATGCTATTCGCTCTGTCAGCACATCTGTAACACGTTTTGCTACATTGATACCGAGAGTTACCAAACATTTGAGGCAACGTATTCGAGAAGTACCCGTCGCCCTCACGGTTCCGTTTCTCCTGCCTCTCTTTCCAATACCGTTCCATCTCCGCCCGTTCGGCTTGAATACGTTTCGCCGTAGACTCCCATACCTGTCCATGGAACTGTCCCGGCCCGGATTTATTCGATTGTTCACGAATCTGGTGGTACGAAACCCGTGCCCGACTCTGCAAGGTGACAGCAGAAGAAATTGCCTCACAGGTTTTCCGCCTCAGCGGTGCCCGGGCTGCATTGCGCAAAGAAATAGATACTGTTGGGTGCATATTGGCGTTTTTTCCCGAGTCGCGGTTTGATTTGGCAGTTGATAATATAGTCCAAGACTGTGGGGATCTGGCGAAACGACCAATGCAGTAAAGGAAAGATACCCGACACTATATGAACGCCATTGGAGGCTCCTAAGCTTATGGGTTATTTCGGCTATCTGAGTCTATCTTTGCGTAAGCAAAGTACAGTGTCGGCAGCTCGGTCGGCTCGGATGAATGGCAGTTGTAGTCTCGTCGACGAAGCCGAAGTCGAACTTTGAAGGAGAAAACTTTCGGTATCGGCACTTTAGGTCTAATCTGGTGGGGATTTGGTGCAACCTCAAAATTACAACACGGGAAAGGCAACATCTCCCCGGACTTTGTGTTGAATTTCCGAACATCATGACACTGATACGAGAATGAATTGTATTCCGTGCTATCGGACGCTTGAATAATGAGGGATGCTTATCGCGGCTACTGTTTTTCTTTCTTTCTTTCTCTCTTTTTGTTCTTCGGGAGGGTTAGGCACAGTTTCTGCACAACAACTTAGTGTGCAAAACCAATGCCAAAAACAGATGCTAGATGCTGCAGTACGTATACGCCATGTACATACAGTTCTTCGTCTTATCTTCCCACTGGAAGGAAATGAAAGATCAATGGCCAATAATAACCCCGTGATAGCCTCGAAAGGCGCGCATGCTGTCTTTCTCGTCACATGAGCACTCGGGATTGCGAAATCCAACATGTTTCTATTACCTGTTAGACTCGAGCCATTAAGCCCTTTAAGGCGAACGTTATATCTCAATCTCTCTAATAGGTCTGTAACGGCGAAAAAAGCCAGGTGAAAGAATCACCGAATTATCTCTAAACACAAAGCTGTGACCGTCACCATCGTCAATTTTCTCCACATTCATAAAGGTCGGGTTGGATGTTGCGTCATTACTGCATATACATGCATTGTTTGAATAGCCGGTTTTTTAGTGGAATGAAGGCTGCAGAGCGGCCAATGGAGGCCTTTCGCAGTTACAAACCGGTTAACCTCTAGAGTTTCGAGTATCTTGAGAATAGAACTCGAGGGTGTGACAGAAAAATCCCTCAAAGGTGGTTGCATCGTGGTATACCAATAGGCTGCCCGATTTCCTTTTCGATAACGTACCGCCCAGAAACAATGCCTGCAACTGTATTGATTCAGGAAATTGATGAAGTTTTGAACTCGTCAGTCTAATTTAACTCGCATTTTCACCATCCTCCCGGATTCTGCTGAAAGTCGAGAAGCGATTGTGAGCGCCGAAACACTCATATAAGAGGAAGAAGGGCGGCCACTTCCTGTGGCAAACTCGTCTGAATTAGATTTAATAAAAAGTAAGGACTTACTTAAGCAGCCAGCAGGCATCTTCTAGGCTGAGACAGCTCGACTATTTTAAAAAGGAAAGCCGAGACACTGCAAGGGAACACCCGATAAGATACGAGATCAATCAAATCATACCGCCTTCCAATACAACAATAACAACACCAGCTCAATTTTCGGCTTTCGATGCCAATTCTCTGCGAGGAAGATGGTCTGTGGTCACTTTCTCTCGCCCTTAGCGTCTGGGAAGGGTGAAGGAAATCGAATAGAAGGTTCAAAGAAGGAAACCAACTTTCCCGGCTGACCTTTACACAATTAATTGGTGGCTTGTATGCATGGTGTATGCGCTTCGATTCGTTCCACATTCAAAAGTAACCCCGGCCACCGTACATACATACACACCAAGTGCTACGATGATCAGAGTGGTCCGATGGAACAGCATTAGCTCCAATGCATGTCAGCACGGATTGTATACTTCAGGCAAGCTTTCTATCCCTCTGAGGATTCGAAGCACTAGGGATCCCGGAAACTAGCTGGCTACGTGTCCCCGCATTTTACCAGAAACTCGCTCTCTAGATAGAGAACTTCATATTCTCATGACAAAATCAAAATCCTTTAGGGTTACACTACGCTGAAAACTGGTAAGTTTTGGACGATTTATGCTCCTAACAAACGAAATACGGTGTCACTAGGAAAAAGTAGGTTTCATTTAGGGCTGGCGGCGACGCCTCCGTGATCTTGCCCTCATTGATTTAGCCCGGTTCGAACACCTGCAGCGGTCAATTGGCTAGGTAGCTTGTGCTTCATGTTCCCTTGTACGTGCATACGTGCATTAAAGGCGACCTAGGAGTATTAGTACCTTTAGTACTTTTGATCATGAGGTTTGTGATAGCGAAGAATTATCGTTAACTAGCCCCTCCTTCATGCACCCCTCCACACACTAATCACTAAACTCTAAAGCGGGCATCGATAGCTTCCAAGCGGGAGTTCGGGGTGTGCATGAAGCGAAATTTTGAAAATTCGAGCGATATTACTGGAGTATATGGCAGCCAGTTCCTACTTCATCAGTAGCCGCCGACAGCACATTTTAAGAGGTCGTGCTAAAAACTCTTTCCTCATCCACCGCAGAACATGCCCCGATCTTTTAACTCGCATACGATGTTGCTTCACCGTCGATAATAAACGGAACCCTATTTGAATTTTTCAATTGGCTTTAGAAGTTGAAACGGCATACGTGTCCCATTCTTATGTTAGAGTCACGACCACGCGTATACGTCTATGTGGGCCCCAGTCTAGGAATGGATTGCCTTAAGCCAGCGCCAGCACCAACCTTGCAACTTTGCCATCCTTGTGCAGATGAGTGCACCGACGAAGCTGCACATTCGTAGAACTGCATGAGCTACATTGTCCTAGCTGTTCTTGGAAAATGAGGCTCAAAATGACTTGACATGGTTGCGAAAGGTTATAAAAGAGGTTCAATCAACTGCGATAGGGACGGGTAGATCTATCAGTGGCTTTTAGCTACCCGTTGGTGTTCAATAAGGCTCAAACTCTTAATTACTTGATCAATTGAACGCTGGCAACCACCGATCCTGGTCTCGCACTGACCCCGACCTAAACTTTTAGGTTGCAGTCCCGATTATATATTAGTTCACTTACGCACGTGTAACTTCAGCCACCCTCTACATACGAAAGGCCACTCTCCATCTTCGATACCAATCTCTCCTCTCTCTTTGTTATTTACGAGGTCTTACTTATCCATATACCCGTCCTCTCAACCCTAAACAATTCCTCTTACTCTTAAAATGGACGGAGGAGTAGTAGCTGAAACTCCACAGAATTTCTTGGGGAATACTCCTTCTGAGCTTTATGCGGAAATCTTCAAACATCTTCCGTCAGAAGAGCTTGTTGGAAATATTCGAGCTTTCCCATTCATCCAAGATGAACTTCTCAATTGGAACATGACTTTCCTCACTGCTGAGCAACTCGTTTACTTTCACGGATTCCTTGAAACCGGCACACTTACACTCCCTCCTTCCAAGGTCAATACTCTGAAGCAGAACATAATCGCTGCCCTCCCGAAAGCATTTCAAAAGTTCACCGATTGCGTGTTGGCGGAACAACCCCTAAAGCCCAGCTTTTTCAACTGCTACTTCGATGACATTAGCACCACGATGGAGGAAATCAAGGAATGCAAGACCGATGACGCGAAGAAAGAACCTGTCATCCGGTTTTTAGAGAAATTTGACAAAAGAAATACAATCGTCCGAAAATTTTGTACCGCCGTGAAGACGGCTGATCCAAATGGTAAGACGTGTCGATATGGTAAGGTCGAAACGCCAGAACAGGAGACTTGGTTCATTCATTTACTGTTCTGGCTCGCAACCGACTATGTGCACAAGAACCGCAAAGGTTCGACACCGCTGGGCGAGGAAACCATCGCCTTTCTTTGGAGCGAGTTTCTTCGCCGAGTCAGGACACTATTCGGCCCAGAAATCAAAGATTCTCTCAAATATTGCGTCTTGCCACAGGGCATACTTCTCTTGAAGTATCGGGACTATATCGCTGAATGCAGTTCCTCCCTCCCAACAGTATACAATTGCCTAAAGACGATGGCATTTAAAAACCAATACGTCTCAATCGAGGACTACGCAACCTTTATGATAGTAAACGGGCTCGATCGTGCCTACGGGTTACTCCAAGAAGATAAAAATGCGATAGAGTTTATCGCTCAGCCTCGGACGGAGCGTGAAGTTTTCTCTTGGAGAAACCTTTGGCGCAACTTTGAAGACGAATGGGATGCCGAGGGTTCAGCTAGCTAACATGTTGGAGCAGTGGAGGATTTTCTTCAACTCGTTCCTTCGCACTATAAGTTTATTTCTCATTACACTAGCCGGCAATGTAGTCAACTATAACCTTATGTTTCCCTTCTGGCCGCAAGCTATATAAATATTCAAAACTACGAGGGCGAGTACAGGTAGTCTCTATCAACTTTGGCACTGGCTGGTCAGTATTCGTACTCTCAATCTCGCGTTTCATTTTCTTATGCAATGCTATACTGTTGTAATTCTTCTCTTGTTTTGTTGATTTACAGCCAGGCGCATCCGCCGAGTATCCTTAACTTTCAGATTGTTCAATGTGAATAAATGTTACCATTATGGTACTAGTGTTAGCAATGCAATATTTCAATGTCGTACCGTATATCTTCTACATGCTGCACTGGTTATCTGGTTTGTTAATAGTTTAATCCGTATCTTAACTTGAACATATTTGAATTTCAATATGACTAATATTGAATAGGTTGTATACATCGGTAGCCTCATTAATTGTATTGACTAACAAGTCCATTAATTAACTGACATAGGCTCGAGATTTGAGAATGCCTTTCAGCTCGCTGAATCTCGATCTACAGACCCAGACTTAGACCAAGGTAGATTCCCAAATCTCCCTTACTCGTATGATCGATTGCCCCCTCCTTGCTTCCCATTCCTATTAGCAGCCGTTTCATGCTGCAACTTATCTGGCAGGTTCCCCATTTATGACCTAATTGGGAGAAGAGCCTCATACAACTCAACACGCTAAAAAAAATGCAACACGTCTCATCCATAGCCCGATTGGCCAAAGCTGTGGAGGCCAACAGATACATTTCTCCGATTCATCGTGATATTAATGTCGCCGGGGTTTTTAACTAGGTATAATGCAACTTAACGGTCATCCGAGGTACCGAACTGCAAGGTACGCAACTCCCCCCATTTCTGCCACTGTACTGTATTTAGTGTAAATACAGAATTCAGAACCGATATGCACATGCCGTGCATACGCACTAACAGGCATGGTATCATGGCAAGCAATTAGATCCCCATGTTACACCTAGTTCCCCTTCTCGACTGGACTTCTATATTTAGATTTCTGTAACATAGGTATAGGATTTTATGTACAATGCCGTTTTTTGCGATAGGACTTCAAGATTCATGCCTTTCTGGACTATTCATGCTACTTAACCGCAACAACCGAAAGAACGGACTTACGCACCCTCAATTTAATAGGCATTGAAAAGGGTAAGATTACCGTTTATGCCGTCCTGACAATTCGATGTTTCCTAATGCAATCTCGAGTAAAACTAGATTGGAGCCGGAGTTCTACACTCTGAGTATCAATCGGTTTGTTGTTTGTTTCTATCGGTTCTCTCCCGGGATTCCCGTGGCTGTACCTCCTTTTGCACATATATATGTATGCTTATACATATGCAGAGAGTACAACTTACGAAGACATCAAGGGATAGTCTGCAGTTTGAACTATATGAGTTTCATTGATTATATGGGCATGTTGTGATCACGATCGTCCACGATTGCATATAGTCAGCCTGTAGGCCTAGTCGCCGGTTAGCAGATCTTCTGTGGTTGCATTTACAACTTCTCGAGCATTCTCGTATTACGTATGCTCTCTAAATTAATTATATATGCAAGATTTACTATTCGCCACCATGGAGGGAACCTAGCTTCCGCATACAGGAATAGCTGAGGTCCGTGGCGCGTTGCGTGAAGCTATCAGCTTTAAGCTTTGTAAATTTGGCGAAGATCTCAGCTTCCCATTTCGTCTCAGCCCCCCAGGTTCAAGAGAAAGGAGTGGTATCCGATCGAGTCAAGGGAAGACGAGGTGCAGTTACAAATGGCCTATGAATCAGCGCCATGGCGCTTAAGGGATGTTTGCACGAGAGTTATTTCTATTGTCCCCATGTTGAACATTTTATATATAAAGGATAGGACACCCCAACCGCCTATTACCATTTTCGAAGAAGATCTCGAGAGCAGCCCATTTTTAAAGTGATCGCGCTATACATACATCTACTATTAAAATGCATAGAATCGCGGCTCTGATCACCGCTACTTTGCTAGCAGGCCAAAGTACCGAGGCCCTTCCACTTACGCCTACCGGAAACCCACATCCGGTCCCAGCATATTGTCCCTTTATACAAACGAAATTCCTTCCGTTTTACAATTCTGGAAACCAAAAATGGAATGATGCACCTACTCTCAGCATCACGGTTAACGGCCTTCCTCTAATCGCTACCATGGACACCGGGTCGACTGGTATAGTAATCGATTCTAAATATGGATTTAACACCACCTACCTCCAGAAAAACTGCGAAATCGGATATGTATTCTATAGTTCATCGCACTGGTTACAAGAAGGTTATTGGTGTACCACCGATGTCGATGTTGGGGGTGTGGTTACAAGCGCTTTGGCGCTTATTCGGACGAACGAAGTTTGTTGCCCAAAGTTCTCGGAATCAGTCGATGGGAATCGATGTAAAATTCGAGAGAAGGCGTGCGTTTGTAAAGGAACATGCACATCGACAGCTGATCAAAGCGCCTTGACACGTCGTATTCTCGAGGAGGACGAGGAGATATCGAAAATTGAAGCTCGACAGAGTACGACAGCGGCAGTTGGAAAGGCTTATATGGGTGTTGGGTTCGCTCGAGGAAATCCGCCATCACACAACCTATTCATGAACATCAAGTCTATCGATGGTGTGCCAGTCGCTGCTTCGAAATTCAGGACTGGTTATGTGATCAATTCCACCGGTGTTTGGTTGGGGATCACGAAAGCAAATACAGCGGGATTCAGCGCTGTCAAGTTGAACTTGAGGGAAGGAAATGCCGACAATAGAGACTGGGGAGAGCCACCATGCGATGTCCAAATCAACGATGGCTCGTGGGTTACTGGAACATTCCTCGCGGATACTGGGATTCCAAACGCCTATGTTAGGGGCGATGTCGCCCATAAAGAAGGAAACGACATAACTATCAGAATCCCAGAGCCGTCGAATCCATTTGGAGAGGTTAAGTTCGTCTCTGTACCGAAGGCAAAGGCTGGAACCATTGGTACCGAAAATCCCATGCAACCCACTTGGGTTGGGGTCAGGTCTATTCCTGGTGTCAATGCGTAAGAAATCCAGGTTCTCGAAGACTTTATTAGGGTTAGGTGAAAAAAAAAAATTAATTCATGGGCTGAGCAATAGAGGGCGCAAATTCTATAACGGGTACGATCTTTACTTTGATGGTGATGGTGGTTACTTCGGTCTTCGGAAGAAGGTTGGTATATGTTCGCGGCCAGATTTATATGGATTGATACTAATAAATCTATTTCTAGTCTATTTAGGACAAATCGGGAAGGGGAGGGGGGGGGGATTCTATAGGGGTGTGCATGATGATATTGTGTAAGGTAATATGTTGGCTTATTTCGAATATTTCGGGTTGTATAATATCTTTAATGTTGCCATAATATGTATAGCCAGCTAGCAATTCTTTAATGTATGCTATATATCTGCATATTTCAATTGGACTTGTGTCGGAGGATTTATTTCTCGTCGTTTGGAGGTGGGTTAACATCGCTGGGCAGCTGTACGGCTTTATCGAGTGAGATTGGAAGCCCACGATGGCGTCCCCTGTTATACAGCAAACCATGGGCTATGTTAGTCATCAGCTCAAAAACTTGCATATACGGAGCGTCTTACCGCAACATAATCAAACACATTACGAGTTTAGATAGCGATTTGAATTCCCCTGCGAAAGAGTAGTTAACATCTGGGAATCCAGTGCTGACACCGACGGTACCGTATCCGGAAACAGCTAGCGTTGTAAAAGTATGTTAGCGGTACGTCAGGATACGCCATTTCATCTAGGACAGACCTTCGAAGCAGATATTGAAAAACGAGAAGTTCTTTGGGTCAGCCTCAATTCTCTTCGCCTCGATAACAACGATAACCCAGATGCCGAAAATGAGAAACCTAGCAAATTAAATAAGTTAGCTAAGTTGGTATATGCAGGTGTCTTGGTTGATATCCTTACCAAAGATCGTTAGAAAGCTGGGCTTTCAACTGGGATGTGAAGAAACCGAGGAATGGTTTTATCTTTTCTTGACGAAGTTCATAGATAGTATCGTCGTCTGCCTTCTCTTCATCATCACCTTCATAAATACCCAAACTTCGATATAAGTATTCATTACTCCTGCGGATCGTAATGACGACTGGATATACCCCAATATACATCCTTAAGTTTTCCTCGCGTAAGCACTTCTGAATAGATATGACAATCCAAATGAAAAGTAGGACTTACATAATTACGTATAGGGCTTGAAGACTGATTCTAGTGGCAGCAATCGGCACAACGTAGAAGCCTCCGCTTCTGATGGCTAACGCTTGGAAGAGGCCATCAATGATTCTTGCTGGCAGTGGGAGTTTTTCGATTTCAGGTATTCCAATCTGACTTGGACGTTAGCAAGAAACTAAAGCGCATGTATGCATGTCGTTTAGAGAGTATTATTATGAGCTCACATTTAGAACTTCGAATGCCACCTAAATTTCTTTTGTTAACCGCGTTCAACGAGTTTAAAATAATATCAAGGTCGGTGCTTACCCAGTCGGTCCCATTCAAGAATATCACAGCTGTCAGTAGCCACCATGTATGCTGGGGAGGGAATCTATGTTCAGGTTAGGCACGACCCTGGACGCCGGTCACAGGGTACAAGTTAACCTACAGGTGAGTAAAGCATCTCCGCGGGTGACGCAGCAAGAAACCCAGCGCCCGTTTTGTCTCATGGAAGTAGCCGTCTTCCGGCAGGATTTTGAAAAGAGTCCACAAGATTAGTCGCAGGAAGATCGGGAAGCTATCAAAACGTGGAATGGATTAGCCTGATATCTTGGGTACTTGGGTACTTTTAGTTCAGACCCCCTGTTGGGAGAGGTAAGAGGATACCTACCATGTATTCCCCGCTAGAATAAGAAATGACATTGTCACAATAACAAAGTAAGAGTCTTGAAAAGCAACCTAGGCATTTTGGTCAGGCCATAGGGACGCATGGTTAGAGAGAAAAAACAACGACCTTACCATGTTCGCATCTAGTAAACTCATCCCAGAGTTGTTAAATGCGGAGACCGTATTAAACGCCCCGACCCACCAGGGGTTCAACCCGTTAGCCCGGGTCACATCCGCCTTATAGGTTGCGATCCATGCTCCAAGGGAAATACAAGACAAAAGCTGCCAAAGGATGAAATACGCTGGAACGATCCATGAGAGCAAATAAATGGCTCGATACTCGAGTCCCCCGAGATGAAACCTTTGCTCCTGGTCTAGATCGCTTCTATGGGCCTTTGCATGATCTAGAGGTCCACTCTGTGTGACATGGAGATCATCCGGTTGTCCAGCTGATGAACGATTGTGCAACCTAATCGCAGACGGTTGTCCATGAATGTTGATATCCAGATCATTGTGAACTGTACAGGGAACAGCCTCGACCGTCTTCGTGTCAGGGATCTCGCCGCCATGGGGTGCTACTTCCTTTGAATGACCACCTGATCGGTTCCTATCTGCTGCAATTTGCGCGAATCTTTTCTCAAACGCGAATCGCCGAATATGAACTATCACTATTGAGACGAAGACCTATTCGACCAAAAGCAATGCAAAGGAAATGTCAATCCAAGACCTCGCCAACACAAAAATGCACGGATGCAGCTTTTTTATATATTGAACTTCGAGTACATCAGATGAAATGAAGGCCAGCGGAACTTACCGATGAACCAAGCAGTAGTTCTAAAAAGAGAATAAACTGCTGGAAAGTGTTCAATGAAGACAGATCCACCTACAAATGACAATATTCATGGTTAAATTACCAACCTATTCCAAAAGAAGGTAGGGTTCGAAGTTTGAATTCAAAGCGGCTGGCCATAGTTGATTACTAACAGTATTGAGCCCAGCAAGTGTCATCGCACTGATGGACAAAAACAAAGCGTCGACGTATCCCAGCCCACCCCGCGGGTTATGAGCACCCCAAAGGATGCCTGACGCGACAAGCGTCGTAACAATAAAATAGCCATAGTGGTATGTCAGAAAACCAACACCTAATGAGGGTAGTCGACGCCCAAATAGATGCCTGAAAATGGCGGGTCGCTTGAATTTGTGTGAGCCTATTCTCCGCGAAATATATGAAATTAAGGGAGGTTGATTGGTTCCGTTAGCCTATTCCCTTACCCAAGGTTTTCCCCACGATCCTTCCCCCCATGCATAGACCAGACATTTGCATCCACTTGTTATGGCAGGTGATGACGATTGGATCAGGAAAAAGCTTACCCACCATCCCATATACTCGGGATGAGAGCCGATTACTTCAATTAGATGATACAGGTTGGCTTCTCTTAAGGATCCCGGGCTCGAGATCCTCTTGGTACTACCGTCTGGTTGCTAGCTTTCCGCTCCCTACAGTCAAGGCGGAGAAGCTCCGATATCAATCCGCTGAGGTTGCGCCTGGTATGCTGGTATGTAAGTTAGATGCAATAATGTACTGCTGAACTAGTGGGTTGAGCCGCGAAGGTCGGGACCGGAGATGTTCGGGCCTCGAGGTTTGTTAGTCGATGCTTTAGAGGATCAGGAGGCCTGTATCCCCCCGGTTAGAAATTTTTCCCGTAAATAAACTGTGAAGATAATCCGTCGATTCTAGCGTATGTTCACGTACAATGTAGCTTGTAAGTTGCAGGTACTATTATACGTACTGAGGGACTTTTCCGTGAAGGTATGTCAGATAGGTCTGCACAGAGCGACAGGAAAAATTCTTTCTCAAAAGCGAATGTAGGGAGTGAAGAAAAAAAAAAAAAAAACCTTCAGGGCCTCGTATTCTCAAGCGATACACGTCAAGCTAAGATTACTACCGTTGTTATCACTTCCAACCTAAAAAAGTCTCACTCTTTGTCATAAAAATTGGCTAGAGAAGCGAGACTCATGGTCGAACTTGGTGTCTGCTCCGTCTACAAACGCTCAAGGCGTCAGATCAAGCCTGTCTCTCACTGGTTCACAACTGTGAGGGTTTTGGAACTTTCGGTTAAGTTATCCGTAGACCGATTTACCGGCGCATACCGCAGCGCCATCATGCATCCGGACATCACCAGCCAACTAGTTAGCCAGGCCGAAGAGCTGCAAGAAGTATAGAGCTAGCGCAAGTGCTGTCGACAAATGCGAGGTTGAAGCTTCCCCTGTACATGCATCCGGTATTCCGAGGATGCATTTCCGTTGGTTGGGGTTATATGTGAGACACAACTGCGTTGCGGCTTCAACAAACCCAACATCCCGGCCTGCAGGTCTGTGTTGCCATGACATGTATTGTGTAACGGTCTGGATGTGGAATCGATACTGATTGAAGCTTAAGATGTATGATATCTAGGTATGAATCCGTGAAGTCTACAATTTGATTGCATTACATGAACGCAGGATACAAACGCTTGGGCCGCTCATGCAAAACCGGGCAAGGCTTTTGCTTTGGGGAAATGTGAAGTTAAGATAAAGCTAGGAAAAACCAAGGTTTGTCTGTTGTGATTCCCGGGAAGTTATAATACCAAGCCTCGACAATGCCCGTCGGTTCCAGGGAGCCCTATCCTCGACAAATATATTAGAAACAATCTGTTTCAGGATTCGAATCGAATCAAACAAAGTCCGGGCGGGTTTAAATTTTATAGTTAATCGATTCCCGCAACCGATCGCGATTTACCAATGTTTGAAGCCACGGCGTCCCCATAGGGGCCCATGGCGCCCATAGGTATTTCCGATGGAAGGGGTCTTGATATTGCAGACACTCTAACTACTTAAGTAAGAAGTACCTATGTACGGTATGTGTTCACAATAAGTACTCTGCGCTGGCAAGTTTAGCCAGTCTCTGAGACAGTGTTTCGCAGCGCAGTCCATGTCCCCCGCATCGCGTTTATGCATTTAACCCTATCTGGTCGGATATTGGATGTCTACCGCAGTTCCGCTCGGGAAATGGCCCCCAAAAGCTTAATACCTACTGAATACTTCTTCTGAGTCTAGAAATTTACCAGCATATCCCAGGGCGTGCATCGTGAGATCACTTCTAGCTATGGTTGCCTACGATTAATCGATTTTAATTTTTGTTTGAATTCAAATTCTTGTTCATAGCTGCATTAATTGCAATTGAGTTTTACCAGGGTGGAGGTACAGCTCCTTGCTTTTGTTAACTGTGTAAACGTTTGTGCCACATGGAATATGTTCCCCACGGGACGGGTCGAGCATCTCATATCTCACATTATAGGGGAATATGGTATGTAATGATAAGCCAATCCCCTTGTTTCTCGTAGTCATCGTCTTTGTCATCGTTTCAGATCAACTCCATGCGATGGCGCATATGCATATGGCCTCACCACACATACCGTCCACTTCTAGACCAAAGCCGTCCTGACATAAAAAAAATTTTCTATTTCTCTTTCTGCCTACAGGTATTTGCAAGATGCATAAATTCATGTACGACTTAGAAATCATCTAAGATGATTCGCGCATGCATGCGCGCGCACGGCACTATAAAAAAAGGTACTGGTATACTGTCTGAGTTGGAAATGCGTCGTCATATCGGATTCATCAGTTTTCCCCGGGTCTTCCAAAGTAACGTCAGATATTAGAGCTCGATCGGGTGAAGCCACAAGGCCATGCTAGATACGCAATATATGTCGTGTAACGACATCTAGGTGCATAGTTATTCGCCTTATATATTAGATACATGACGGTTTAGGCTTAGAGCATATAGTTCGATATTCGTCTGAACCACGAACAGAAAAGCCACCAAGCCATTCATCCAGTACAGTGACGCGCGATGGGTTCCGACAGTCATCTAGATTCTCAAGCAAGCTACCTTGTGCTACAATATAACCGGCTCCACCGAATACTGGATTGGAAGAAAGAAAAACTTTCGGTCCGCCTTATGCCGTGTTCAACATGCGATCTAGGTGGTATCAAGACATGACTCTGTAACTCCAACCAGTACTAGCTTACGCCTTGTGCTATATATTATGTATATAAGTGTATATAAGACAGAAAGGAAAACAAGTTCTCACTCTTCAGTCCCAAACCTTGAATTGGGGTAGGTGGTACAGGATCTCGATCCTCCCACGCATTATGCAGGTCTGATTCCGACCCATAAGCAAAGAGAAATCGATATAGGTACAACCCTCTCAAGAGTACGCAGTCTCAGACAGGTACACACACACATACCATCATGGAAACAACTGTCTCTTGAATCTTGTAGAACGTTGAACCCGCATTGCACCCTTAGCTATGACAAACAAGATTAAGATCTGAAACATGCATGGCAGTGGGAGCTCCGATATATAAAAAATATATACGTATTTACTTATTGCCCGGGGACTCGCTCGAATCCTAATACCTGATTTGCGATTTCGGGTTTCTGGCGTCATGAGTTACCTCGGGTGCCAATTTTCTTCCTCGCACATCTAGATATTGGACCCGTATTACGGAGTAAGTGACAGCAAGATACATTGCAGGTTCCACGGGGTGGGCCACCGAACATATACCACATTTTCCCTTGCCATACCTTTAAAGTGGATTATGATAGGTCCCACTAGTTATGATATAGGATTAACCTCCCTAGCGAATATATTGTACCCCGAAAGTCTAATCACAAATTAGTTAAAGGCCAGATTTCGATCTTCGCGGTCATTGACTCTACTGTGTCAGGGAGGGAGAAAAAAAAAGAAGAGAAAAGGAAAGAAAACCACGCTTATCTTTAATTCACTAATCGTTAAAAGGGCTTTACGAAGGCCCAATTGGTTAGACTAAGATGGTAACGTGACAAGCTTCTCAAACGTATATCTCTGTGGAGTCAATTCAACAATGCCCTGTCACGGATAAGCTCATAAATACCCAGAATATAGCCCCCTGGTATATGTTATATGACGTGTAACACTATCAGGTCTTACACAAAATATTTTGCGGAGAGGGGGGAAAAGAGAAAGGGGATTAAATGGCAGAAGCTATGAAACTCTGAAATATTTAGTTAGTGCCCTGAACGCCTAGAATAGTGGGTTGGGAAGAAATTCGAAGGAGAGAGAGAAAAAGGAAGTTGGAGAAAAGAAAATCGTAAGAGAGGAGCGCTTTGAACTTTAACGTTCCCGCTGTCTTGTTTTTGGGAACGACGAGGCGAGATGGGTTGGCTCCTTTTGGTTTAAACCGTGCTCTTGAGCCCGCGTGGGATTTTAATCCGTGTGCTGTGACGATCGTATCAAAGAAGGGGAAAGGGTGAAATTTGTCTGCTCAGATAATAATGTTGGAAAGGTGGGGAATTAGGAGGTAATGTTATCAGGGCATTTGGTCGATAAAGGGTTAGTACAAGAGGGCGAGGAGTGACCGTATTATCGTATCATCAAAATTTCGGGTGTGGGATGGTACCGAATTCACGAACGAACGACCATGGATATTGGAATGGCTGTGAAATTCGAAAGGAATAAGTGCCCCTTGCGGAACGTATACGATTTTTTTTGTGCTATGTAGAAGGCGAATGAATCTAAATACAAAAGGAGATTTAGAAAACAAAGGAAATAAGATAAAAATAAGATAAAAAATAAAATAAAAGACCATTTGTGTACTATCCACAATCCCCAAAACTCCCAAGATATATAGTCCCCCTATACTACTGTTACAAAGTATTATAAGGAGAAGGAAGGAAAGGCGCGTGGGAAATTGAAATTTTGGTAATAAAAAAAAGTATGCAAAGTTTCGCCCACCAGCCAATTCCAATAAAGTAGATGAATGATGCTCATGATATCAAAGAAATACAAAGGTAAAATTGAGAAAGGGCAAAAAAAAATAGAGATGGATTTTTGGGGGACAGTAAAAAAAAAAAAAATACTCAAACCCGCAGAACGCCTTGTGCAGATGACTTTGGGAAGCTATTATCGTGGGAACAATTAAACCTTAGAAATACCAATATGGAAGAAATCAAACTCCAGTACGAGCGGAATAGACTTTCAAGGAGATGAGGGACAAATTTAGAAGTCAAGAGAAAAGAAAATCGTTATCAAGGAAATAAAATTGGGTGCTAAGTTGTTGGTATGCGAATGGAAAGAGGTAATTGTGCAGGCGACGGGGTACTCATAAGATGGGCCATCAGGTATTATCAAAAGGAATCCGTAGGAAGAGGGGTATCTTTGCATGAATGGAAGAAACGTAGGCAAGCAGAATATTCCGGTCGAAGCCAATAGTGCTTCGGTTGCGATGAAAACACATCAAGGAAAGTGACGAGGCGAGCCATTATTGTAAATGAATGGATGTATGTTAGGGGCGTCGGGCAATCCAAATATGCCTAGAATCACAGCTGAAATTAGTATCACAAAAGTTATCCCGCATAACCGAAGAAGAGACAAAACTTACATGTTGTTGTACGCATGAACCTTTTTACTTAACATTTCCTTTTTGACAGGGCCAAGAAAGCCGGTGATTTGTTCTAGATCCCAGCCGTAGATCCTATTGAATGGTGCGATGCAAAGGGACTCTAGACCTTCAGACATGGCTAGGGTATACCAAGAGCCAATCTTCTTCAGGTGAGGATCGCTTGACCATGGGCTGTAGGGTACCTGAATGATAACTTCGCGAATATCTGTGAAACCGGCGTCCGCAAGCATCTTTCCTGTCTTATGTTGATACCGAAGTGGTTTGCCAGATCGTTCGGTGGCGTCGGCTAGATATTGATACCATTTGACAAGAGGCGAAATATTTGGATTTGAAGACATTGTTCCATCATCACAACGTGGCTCATAATCGATCTCTACCTGTTCAAACCACCCATATCCCGGTTTTAGATGGCTATGACGGGCGGTCATTAGAATGGATATGCTTTGATACTTGAGATTTGAAAAACCTACTTGAAAACATTTCGATATAAATTGGGCCAGCTTGAGACGCTGCCGACGCCGTTACGCATATGGATGAGGTCAAAAGAGTTTTGTCCTAATGTCCAGGTACTCTCAAAATCGCATATCCTAACCTGAAGATTTCGGGGAATCCTGAAGAAGGCGATATCAGTTAGCAATTTTGTTAATTTATAAACCATATAGCCGAAGTATACGAGTGTCGTACCATTTTGGCTGAATCGGGGACAGGTCTGTTCCAATAACTTCGGCGTCTGGATATTTACTGTTGAGAATGCGTTGTTAGTCTGAATCCAACGCATATGTGTTTCTTGAGGCTATTTCAACATACTCTGCCATATCTATGGACCAAATTCCTGTTCCTGTTCCAAGATCTAATATTCTTGTTTGGCTGTATGGAGTAACTGAAATAGGAGCGCGATGTAATTCATTTCGGCGGGAGACAAGGTATAGTTTGTGCAGAATATCTAATCGATCTTGTTCCTTCTGTAGACACCATAAAACAATCATATTGTTAGCCCGAACGTCCTGAACAACACAGCCCAAGAAAGCTCGGACATACCTCATCGTTCGGATACATATACAGCCCAGCCAAGTATCCGTGATATCTGCGATTTAGCTCATATTGAAACGGTTCCGATCTAAGGATGGGAAGCAAACGGTTAGTAAATTATTTAAACCTCAATGGTTTGTATCGGTACGCTATATTTCAAGTAACATACTGATATATCGTCATGTTTTCTTGCCGATTCCCGTGTACTCTAGGTCCTGGATTCGAATGAGATGGAAATGAAGGCGGAGGTGGAGGAGCAGAGTACCCGCTCGGGGGAGGTCGTGAGTTCGCCAATGCGGATACTCCTCGTTGCTCCTGCAAAGAACCGGACGGTTGACGTTGAGCGTATTGATAGACTTCTGTCATTCAGACCAATTCCCCGGAAAAGGGGGGGGGTTTAGAGGTTTGAAAATCGGGAGAGAGAGAAGGGGAGAAAGAAAGAAAATAAAGAAAGAGAGAGAGGAAGAGAAGAAGAGAGAATGGTGATATTGTTCAAGTTGATTTTTGGTTATCGAATTTTGAACACGGGCAAAAGCAAAATTGCCCTTGCGGAAACGTTCCTCCAGGAAATCGATGCTGCAGAAGGAATCGTTCTAGTCGGGACAACTAATCGACCAATTTCTTGGGAAGCAACCTTTAGCACTAGGACCAAGCGGAACCAAGTAGAACGAATGAGGTAGTGAGTCGGAATCAAACGTTCCAGGGCCAAATGATGCAGAATGATCCGCGCACGATGATGATGTGTATGGGAAGGAAAAATCAGGCTGGTCCAGCTGGCACACTACACTACGAGAAGTAGTGTCCGAATTTTCGTGGCCGAGATGTCGTGAATAAGAGCTTGCGGCTAGTTAGCTCTGAAGTTCAGAATTTTATCGATCTGCTGAAAACGGGTTGCGTGGATATGTTGGACATCCGATGGGACAAGCAAGTCTGGTTCGTCTTGGAAAACTCGATTGACAAGCAACGCGGTAATTTGTGGATGTCTACGGTCGACGGTCCGAGAAATTTGATTCTTGAGGAAAAGTGGAGAAGGGAAGACCGTCTGGTTTTAATTCTTGAGTGAGTGTGAGAGAGAGGGAACAAGAGAAGGTGAAAAAGTGTGTTCAAGAAGCTCGCAAAGCGCGGGAGGGCTGCTCGTTCTTCATATACTTTGGGATAAAGAAACTCTCACCTCCACCAGTTTTTCTTATTCGTTTTCTTCGACTTATTTTTTATTTTTTTTTAATTCCTTCGTGCCTACGTGAACCCGCTTGATTGTGAATTGGAGCTAAACTAACATGAACATGTGCAGACTTCTGGGCTCTGGCGGTGGGACCCAAGCGAGGAAGGGGGATAGGGAAAAGGGAAGGCTCGCTCAGGCCTTAGTTTTGTCGAGACTAGCCTTGGTTTTGGGACTGGACACAAAAGTGCAGCATACATCGGAATAAGCAAAGAACGGTAACGAGGGCCTCTGTACCATGTACAAGTTGGGGACTGGGGAGCGGCTAGCTGGAAAGTACTTGCACTAAGCTAGCTGCCACTATGATGACGGGAAAACTTTAATGCTTCTGGGATTCAAGAGCTGAACCCGAAAAGATACAGACGACTTACGGTACACAGGATGCATATGCTCGGCGTCTCAAAATGAAAAGGTAGACACGGACACGATGTCATCTCTTCATTCTCTAGATGCATAAGATGAGTGGAAAGGAATCTTGCAAGAGAGACAATCACGATAAGAAGTATGGAGTTCCATCCAGTTGGAATATTTGGGAACGGCCGGGGCTCCACTGTTACGTAGAGCTATTTGTGGTACCTCCCATTCTGAGGAATTGTTTTTTCCTTCGACATATTCTGCAGCAAGTGCAGCCCCGGGTACACCAGAGGGGTGTACGGGCCTCAAAGCGTCAGGATTAAACAAGCCTGCAGCTTTTGTTGCTTTTTCTGCATGCAAGATTGGTCGCCCCTGGGTCCTGCGAAGAAAATTCCCGGAAGAAGGTGCGATTTTCAAGGGTAGTGGTTGGCCATGTTTCTCGTGGAAAGTTTAGACCTGCTGCTCCGTCGATGGGGATGGAGAAAAAAAAAGACATTTACAGAGATTCGATTCTGGGTCCGCAAGAGATTTGGTAATATTATAATGTACGAATGTATAGAGCATTGCGGGTTATTATTGCATGTAATACTTTTTGTGGACTGCTTCGAGATAAGCTCTATGGCAGTTCTCAACGGGAATTCGCGGCGGTCATCTGGCCCACTTTTCAGGAAGAGCAGCAGAATGAGGTTAACCATACCATTTCGGTCTGGCTGAAAGGTGGGGACTCTTTTTTCACTTTCGAATTCGAGTCCTCCCTCTGAGGGAATCGCGGAAATTCGAAATTTAAACACCATCAACATTGCAACGGATCAAGCTCAAGACGAACCACCGTCCCTCTCTCTCTCACTTTCACCGGATTGCGTACATGCTCATGATAAGTACCCTGTTCACGATCGGAAATATCGTCTTTTTCGAAATTTCCTCGCGCGATGACCCGAGGCCAATTCAACCAATCCATCAATGATTTATGCGGAAGTGCTAGTAAAATGTGACGGGACAGGGAATACTAAGTCGTTAGTGGGCTGAGTGTGCCAGCAATTTTCTAGTCACCAGCACAGCACAGTCCTCATCTTGTTTCATTCCAACCAAGCGACTATCGCCTCAACGGCTCACGGGGATGTCATGAATTAATAGCGTCAACCCCGATAAAATTAAAATAAGGAATAACAATAATAAAAAAAGATTTCGAATTCGAAGTGTGCGCCCAGAGATAACTTTAACCATTTCTGCTTTGTCATCGTTCCTGATACGTCAATCTTACCATTCAAAGAGTGCTTACAGTACTCTGCATTGAAGAAACCCTCACTTTGTCTGTGCCAGAATACTGGGGAGCCATTGAGGGAGTGGGTCTATCGCCTCAAACCTCAACCGAAAAGGCTCCTTCAGCATCAAACCGGAGGAACTAGAGTGGATCCATACCTTGGACTCTCGCAGACAAGGCAGGGAAAGTAAGCGACAAGACCCATAATTCGGAGCTAACAACCCTTATGAGCCAGCATTTCTTGAATCCTTTTTGTGGTGAAGCAAATGAGCTTTCATTTTCAGAATATTGATATGATTGGGACCATTATCACCTACAAACCCGATATTGCTTAATTACAGACATCGATTTTATTGAATACTGTTAAAGAAGCATGGAATTGTTTCTGGTTTCAAACACGAACTGGAACATGACGGTTTCTGTCAAACTGCAACTGGCCGACCTGACCAGCTCCTACTTCACTTTGCTTCCCACAACCACCCCTTCTTGAGCTCGCCAGGAAATCGGTCCGGTTGTTTCTTCTCGTGCCGTGTTACCCTCTGGAAGTACCCGGTACTTGTTCCTCAGCACACCGCTGTTCTAGCCAAATCCATGCATAGTACCAGACCCCGACCCAGACTGTCGGGAATGTTGCTTGTTAGCTCTTTGGGGGCTTGCAATGGGAGGATCCTCCCGTCAGAAAAGGTCCCGGTGAGATCTTGGAATGCACCTACCAGTACCCAATCGCGCGGGACCCAACCGGAGACAAAGGGCCTTTATACTTCGTGCCTGGTGGCATTTTTTTTTATGCTGATGCATGATGATGGCTTCCCTTCTCTCGCAGGAATCTATGAACGTGACTTTGCGGGAAAACTTTGAGAAGTATCAATACGGTATAGCCTGGACCTTAATTATATACCAGCACTAAGCATACGTATTAGCTGCTGTGGATCCGGCTGGTCACATGGCCTTACGAAATCTGAAATCTGAAATGTTCGTACGAAAAAACTTCCACCGACCAGATTTTCGGAGTAGTACTAGTCTCAGGAACGGATACGCAATCATAAGAACTCGCCTTGTTACTATGTACCACAACATACATTGATACTTACTTATTTAGAGCCTCTCCGTCGATTTCTGTAGATTTAACCTTGGTAGCAATTGAAACATTTCAGGGCAATTGACGACAAGGCAAGGCGAAGAACTCGTTGGTGATCACAGCTAAATCCAGCTAGTTGGTATCAAACTGTCCAATAGAATACCCAAACGCCAGCCAATAGGTTGGGTTAGGCCATGTGGGTGAATCTCACTAGTAGAGTTACAGACTTTAGGCAGCCATATTAACTTCGGCCTTCTGTTGATCGGTCTGTGCTGAATCCAGCTGCTTGGGTACGCTTCTGTCGATTTCGAGACAGTTATTCCTCCACGCCAACGATAGTACTATAACCTATCCTGAAGAGGCTCGATCATTATTGTGGAGATTAATTAGTCGATTCCTGTCTGGAGAGCTTGTTCCGGCTAAACCTCGACGCCGCCCATAGGATTGGGTTCAAACCAGGAAAAACCATGCTAGTTGGTGCGATATTCTGCGGTATTTTCCTGCACTAGTCCGGGAATACACTGGGCTTATCCTGGGAAGGCCTTCCTGGGCCCGGCCACCCGTGAGGGAGCCCAACACCAATCCGGGCACAAAATCTGTGCATCGGTTCAATTGGTTACCGCCATGCTGGGTCGTCTGTCCCATTACAGAGGCACCCGAGCCGTGAGCATCTCGCCTAATCGATCCAGAGCATTGGATATGGGGGCAGGATACCAATTGCGGAGGTCTCGAGCGAGAGAAGCAGGCGTGTATGCAAGGAGGCTTTTTAGCATTCCTAAAAAAGCTGAGAGCGCTGGCTGGACTCTTCGACCAGTCGTGCTTGATGCGATGACCTTGGATATATTGGATAAGTATGAGGGTAGCATTGTGGCAAAGATTATTCTTTTATGGCGCTTCGGATTCGAATCGAGTCCGAGGTGGCGGTTCGAGATATTATCCCAATCTACGTAATTGAATTAGCCCCCGATATTAGATATATTACTATCTTGTACTAGCTACTTGGTACCTAATAAGAAGGGAATTCTAGTCAGGACATATCAAAGAATCCTCCTCTAGGCTGACAAACATATAATTCTTTGCATCTTACTCCATAAAGGGGGTGATATTAACCCACAGGTCTCAATCCTAGATCTCTCAAACTAGTCGAAGCAAGAGAATTCGAACAGGGCCTAGGGATCACCTCAGCAGGGCGTATATACTCACAAACCCCCTCTCTACCGTCCTGGACGCCGCAGCATTTGGTCAGTTTTTTGACATGTCATATTCAACCAACATGCTACAGACCATGATACTGACGACAACATGACCCGACGCATCGATTGTCTCCACTTCTATGCATTTATTTCTGGCCATCCAAGCCGGCTAAGCCGGCGTTTCGCATATAATATGATAAAGGTTAGGGGTTTTTTCCTGATGCTGGTAGCCATCACTTCAGCCGTCGTATCACCAGTCAACCACAGGGCTGGTGTGCATCCCGTGCACGGGGTCCCCACATGGCCTCCAGCTAGTCGTTTTCTTTTTCCACGCTTGAGTAATTAAAGTTTTCGACCTAAACTACTTGGAATGTACCCGAACCTGATTCTTGGGTATGAAATGCTGCAGCTGACTTACAGCATCCCGGTTTCCAACTTTTTCCTTCTGGTTCTCCTGCCTTTTTTCGATGTCGATATGCAGCTACCGAACGAGCTCTGGAAAAAAAAAAAACTGGCCGCTCGGTTCCTATCCACGTTCCCAGATTTCTGGCTTGCCTCGCATTGGGATAAGCCGACATCATTATCCGGACATGCCCCTATTGTTTTCCGAGGACTCGAGAATTCAAGAGTGGAAAAAAATAAAAAATAAAATAAAACAGAAATGCCACTTAACTTCGGCATGCATGAGGATCCTGTATATGTACGTGCGAATGTACAGAGAACGCATGTTCCAACAGCTTGGTTCCAAGCCACTCCCACCGACGAAGCCAAAGCGGGCTTCGCGGCCAAGTCTTTCGCTCCAGAATCCCGCATCAATGGAAGCCCACAATACCACCAATCAGGGAGCAAGGTGCGGATGAGGAGGGGTATGTCAGCTCAATGCCCATCGAGCATGAAACGACCAACTTCGCATAGACGATGTTCTTTTCTGGTTGAGGGAATAAACTACCTGCAGATTATAGTTGCGTCTGATGTCAGTCAGGTTTTCTCCAAGAGAAAGCGAGAAAGAAAAAAAAAAAAAAACGGCCGTGAGAGCTGATTGTTCGTCGACGCCTCATGTCCGAACGGGTTCTCTTCAGCTTTCCCCGCCGACAAGGGCATCGTACCCTTGATAGGGTCAAGCAAAGTTCCCGTTTCATTCCAGTTGAACGGGTTTGGTAAAATCACGCCAGGCGCGGAGACGAAACCGAACTCTATCCCACCCTGACGTATTGGCGTCTCCACCGAAGAGTAGACAGCGTCTCATCACCGGCTTCTAATCTGGTCCCTCCCCCTCACCGTCCCAAGAATGCGAACAAAAATTGGAAACTGGAATATTGTTTGTCATGGTGTGCGTGATTGCCATAGCCCTCATGCAGGTATGCATTCCAATCATCCAGCAAAGGTTTCCAACGAGCTGGTCAAGGAGACGAGATCTTGGGTAACCCTTCGCTTGGAGTAGAACCCGAGCCCATGGCCGTTGGGGCGGAATACGAGGCTGTTGGTTGGCAGGCGGCAGCAACTGTGCGTGCAAGTTGGTTTCAAAAGCGCTGCAATGCACCTTCCTTAAATTACCACAATGCCGATCGAGGGAGCAACACAATCCGGTGCGTTCGCGTTCCCACCGTTAAGTTTACACGACGTTGCTTCTAACTTCTTCGAAAGAGGTCTTCTGTCCCGCCTACTCGCATGATCCCAAAACCTTGGTTCCTCCGTGTGATTTATGTCCAGTCGAGTCCATTATTAGTAGGTACTATTACAACTTGCGCCGTTAAAATGGTGCTGGGCTTTAGCAAACCTGCGGCACAGGCCATTCCTCGGATCAGATTGCTTCAACTTGCTCCGAATTCATGCACTCGCTGGCAGCCCATCACATTTTGACTCCTCTGATGCCGGGGATACCTATCCAAAGAATCAACAAGGGTATATGCCTGCTGTTTAAAAATGACAAAGGGAAGGGAGGAAAAGAGAAAAAAAAAACTTCTACACGGCATTACTCATAACCGAATCGATGTTATGTCCGTCATATCGAAGCCTTCGAATCAAGTTTGGATGCGGATATTTTCCCTGGAGCCCGAATCCGCACCTTACTGCATGCGTCTCTCCCTCATCCAATACATCCGTCTCAGGATATGTCGGCATACTCCACTCTTCTGCAAGTACTCTATGTACTTATGTACATACATACCATAGGTGCTTCTTGCTTCCTCATCTACGACGGATATTTTCCTTGTCACATACCGGTCCGGTCCCTTCATCCGATCCTGGGGCATTTCTTGGGGCGTTGGACCACGGGTAGCCCGTCGGGCGAACCGTAACCACGGGACCCGAAGATCTGGGTAGTGTGTCTGGAGAGGTATTTCCTCATGCACGATGCTTCACACTCAAGCCAGGCTTCGCCGGCTAGTTGGTATCATCGCAACGATGTAACCGAAACTGAATCTCTTATCTCATATTATGATTCTTATCCCGTCATCTCTCGGTTTGCTTCATTCGGGAATCCTAACCCCTTCGAACGTCTAGAAGGAAAGAGCCGGGTTTGAAAGTCTGCAAGCTGATGCAAGGTGGAGCAAAAAGTCGAGCTTGGAGCTTCCTTTCACCAACCAGGACTGATCTTTGCAGATATAGTGGGCCATTCGACAGTCCATGAAGGGGCTAAAGGTCTACAATAATGCTATCATGTTAATAGTATGCCATCAATTGACAGGGGTCGTTCACGTCTACTTTGGGGGCTTCATTTGCTGGCAGAGATATTTCCATTCAGTCGGGACCGAGTCCCAGCTGTCTGGGAATGTGCAAGTTAACCAACGGCTGCATTAACAGCGGATGTTGTGTAATTTTCAATTCGTCAAGGCCCCCTTTCTCGATGGCATCGATCTCGCAGTGATCTCAGCAAGTTGTCCAATTGTTTTTCTGGGGGTAATTCTTGATATAATAGAGCCATTGGACACCTCTCAAGGGAAGGCAGCACAGCATCCCACCCACCCCTCCTACACTAGAGCGCGCAGTCTATGATCTCTATTGTTCTTATTGTTTGACAGAATGTCTACAGCTTGACCCTCAAACTCGCGAATCATTGATATATTCACATTGCATACATGAATACATTTTGAAGTTACCTTTATCTACACGATCGTTTCATTTTTAAGGGGTATTCCCAGCTACCATAAAACCCAGCTACCATGTCGTCCCCCCACTCAGCATCCTCGATCCATAGCTTGATTAATCAAGCTCTAGGTGTCTCTGGAAACACAACCTCAGACAATTTCATATCGAAGTCCCTTGATGCTAGAACAGATGCTTCTTCCCGATCGCCGCAAACTACCTATGCTGACCTTTCTATTATTGCCTCACCGAACGAAACCCGTTCCGGCCCCATTGGCATATCTCAACATCCACTTGGAAACATTACCGAAGCCGCTTCAACCGAGACATCCGCCGGTATAGCTCCACAGCATCTTCAATTCAACACATTCTCACACCAGACTCCCTTGAATAATCCCCAATATCTCCACCGAGGCGGTGGTGAGAGTAGGAACGCCCTACTTTTCTCGCACACTTTTACTACGGCGGATACACCCGTCCGGGACGGTTACGAAGCTCTTGTTTCGTCAATGCCCATTGCGTTATTCATTCCACCCCGGCATATCCCAGAACTATGGATTTTCCCAGCTCCACAATCGTCTGATGATCCTAATTCTGATTTGCGAACGGACCCATACGCTCTGCAGCGTTATCTTGCAGAATCTTACACCGAAGATCCATATCCGTTCCGGTGCAGATTACAACTCAGAGGGCCGTAGCCCTGTGAAATTTCGTAAAAAGGACAAATCTGAACGGTTTTTCCGAATCACGTTTTTCTGTCATGCATGTGCTCTCGTTATTATTTCCGTTCTTGTTCGAAGCTTCGAAGCCAGAGTGGCCGCCTCTTTTTTTATTTTATTTTTTTATGTTAAATTGCTTTATAACATATTACCAACCCATTTTATAGCTTTGCTATATATAGATGGGCGTTTCATTCCGACGGCTGGAGTCACGCGAGATTTCCAACGTCTTTCTTGAACGATCGGTCAAAGTATTTTCCTTGACGAATCGTGGGTTTAATCCGCTCCCAAAAGAAATGGATTAATCCGGGCCTGTACGCAACGAGCAGATTCCCCACATTTATGAGGCACCTGTTAATTGTTTTTTGAAAATTGGATTCGTACGTAGTCCACGGCCGAAGTGGCCTGACTACAAATTCCCGTTTACACGTTGATTCGGCACATTTTGCTTGTTTAGTTTAAGAGTTTCAGGCTGGTGGAGAAGCAATTTTTGTGCCGCACTTTTTAGCCATTGATGTCATGTCAGGTGCAGAATATTCCACGATCTATTACAAGGATTAGGGTTCGAAGCACGGGATAGGAAATGTGATAGTTCGAACCAGACGCTTTATGTTATTGGGCAGAGACCGCAGAAAAATTCTTTATATACTTTATATATATTGGACTTCTAAGTCAGTGCATATATCCTCCTTAGGATATATATTTCTATGGTTTTTTCTATATTAAGGTCATTAGGCAAGTTAGTGATAGCAAACGTGATAATGCAACGTTGAAATTGCTCAGACCTCTACTACTTTTTTTTTTTTTTCACACTTGGATAGGACCTGCCTTTGATTTTGACTTTGTGTCTTCTGACTTAGGTTCAGTAACCACTGCTGCCTGTTCCCCAGCTTCTCCTGCTGGCCGTTCCGTAGCCGGGACCTCAACGGGGTGACCGGTGGCTGTTTCCTTCAACGTCGGTTGCTCAGATGATGTCTCCCTTAACACTAGTACTGGATCCCCGTGAGCCGGTTCTTTGGCAGTGGATTGCTCGATAGGCGTCTCCTTCACTGCGGGATTCGCGGGATAACCCGCCGCCTGCGCCTCTGTCGTTGTTGTAGGCTGTGCCGCTCCTGGCTGTTCTACCGACATGACTGGAATCTCCGGTGCCGTATGCATTCTTTCGGTTCTTGTCTCTGGCTCATCTTCCACAGGAATATAGATAACTTCTTGAATCTCAGCCCCAGCGACCGGCAGGACACTTTCCGTCGATGACGATCCTCTCCGTCTCGCCCGTCCTCTTTCTTCTTCTTTCTCCAGGATGACACCTCTATCCCGTCCTCTCACCGCTTCTAAAACCAATATGACCAGAAGGATTCCAAGGACATAAACCCCGAATAGGATCAGAAACCTGCCGCGCGTGCCGTATAGCACCATTCCGATTGGAATGTTCGCAAGTCCGAGCCCAAGGGTAGCCCATCCTAGGATAATGTGGAGCTTGTTCGAGAAAGGTGTCTTCAAAGGATCTTGGGTATTGCGTCGGACTCTTAACGGTCGTAGCATGAAATGGTTGACAATACCCAGTAGGGCTTGTGCCAACACTGCAGCGAAGACCGCAGCCCCGATCTGGAAATGTGGATTCTTAAATTGATATTTACTGCCAGGCTGGACTGCATAGTAACCCAATATGAAAGCTGGGAAAACAATCACATGTCAGACCATGCACATATGTTACTAATGCCACCAATTCCTTTCCACTCCCCTCCCCCAAAGATTCAGAGGTAAAAACCAGGGTTTCAGGACTTACTCAAAACCATGAAGATCACCGTCCCAATCTGTATCGTGAAATGGAGACGAAACCATACCCTTCCCCTTCCGGTTCTTGCAGTTTTGAAAAACCTTGCGATAATAATTGCGACGGGAGCGAAGAACAGCCATGCTACAGCTGCAAAAGCGGAATGGATGAGAACTAGTTTCCGTCTTTGGGGACTTAGATGTATCTTGATCCCTGCGTCAAGTCCTTTGTCATCGCCACGGATAACCTCACCAAAATCCGGCTTCGCAGATGCCAATGCGGTTGACGTAAAAGTAATAATGCTGGCTGCGTAGGCCGTAGCTCTCATGCCTATACCGATTCGAGGTTCCATTATCAACTTCGAAGTTCTCGACTCTTTTCTAGAGGGCGGCCTAGACGATCTCGCCCTCAATTGATTGAATTTTCGAGGAAAAGATATATGGGAAAACCTTGGAATCCATAGCATACAGGTGATATCGGCCCGCAGTATCGCACCCATAAACAGCAGCCGTTACATTTTAGTACCATTTCGAGACCCTGATCGCTCATATCGCCTCTAAATCCATCAAGCACCACCTCGTGGCCCTGAACACACCAGTCCCATCTCGCAAAATGCAACAAAGTCAAACCCCATTTGCAACACAAAACCCGCTCTTCTCACGAAACTTAAAAAGAAAGGGCACAAAGACGTTCTGTTCCACAAGATTTAAAACAATCTTGGAAAGAGAAGATTCGAGTCTTTAAACGACAACTTTAAAGTATTAATACCTCCCAGCAAGGGTGGCGAGAATTGGCGAGAAAAAAGAAGGTTAAAGGCGTTCCCGTTTTCGTGCAACCTGCACAGCGCCGAAGCCGCCCTATGGGCCTTGGGCTGCACCGGATTTTTCTTGCGTTGCCACCGAACCCCAATATAATTTTTCAAGAAATTTCCTGTTTGTATAGAATGGGCTGCAAGATTACTTCACGATTACTCTTTTCGACGTGGTTTGCATAAAATGGTTCGTGCTTTCCAAACAATAGACTGAAGACCGAACAATACTGTTTTGTGCATACAAGTTACCAGATCATTGGTCGAATACGAGGGTACTTCATGCAGTCCGGGGAAAATTCCTTTGTTCGATGGCAATTCTTTCAAAAAGGTCTTTGCCCGTTCATGAAGGTTACGTCCTGCATCCGGGGTATTCCGGACAGTGCGGTGGGTGGCAACTTGCAGGTGATATACGTATGATTTCCTCCCACGGGTGAACAGGAAAAAGGTATCGAGTACAAGAAAAACCAACAATGCATAAAGTCCGTCCAGAAGCAGCCGAAACTACCGCTGCACCATGCACAATGATTTTTTTTACCCCAATAACTTGCATATCTCGGGTCAGCATCTTTGTCTCTTTTTTTTCCCTTTCGCACTTTCTCTTGCAGGACTTCTGCGTGAACCGAGATCAGATCTGCGGGATTAAATACTTCTTCATTGTCACAGGAAAAATTTACCGGCGTCTTTGTTTCCTTTTTTTCCCTTCCTTCCTTCCCTTTTTTCTCCACAGCCAAAATGGTTATTTTCTGTTGATGCAGGTGATATCCCATCCTATTCGTGCTCATGTCTGTCATGTATGTATGCGTGTACCTAGTACCTCATATCTTCAAAACAGGATAATCGAGCCCTTTTTTTCTTTATTCGGTGACTACATTCCTTTCGGGGACATGCAGTGCAATGATCAGTGGACCCGGCCTTCTGGTTCGTGGGAAGGGTTCCCATAGGAGGGACCATCTTGAATGCATGCAGAGGGACGGAAAAGCCTTAGTCTAGGGGCTTTATGCAAAAGAGACACAGGATGCACCGAAGAATACGAGAATTCTGCAAGAAATGAAGGGGGGGTTGCTTTAGCAAGTTATCTGTATGTACAAAAAGGTGGTTTTGAAAAAAAAAGAGGATTTTTTTATGGTTTTTTTTTCATGCCTTGACCTCCTAGGTGATGGCCCCCAGGGACTTCGAACGAAACCGGAGATTGCATGAGCCAATATATGCAGGCCAGGGAGGAAGTCGAAAGGGAAAATGCGAGAAACAGCGCATGCTTTGATGGTTACCAATTGGCTGGGATATACAGGTTGGTAAGAAGTATGGCACTGTGCATGCAGCAGGTGTATTCCACTTTGATAGCCTTTCTGGTTAAAGTTACCTAAACGAAGCCTAGTGCAAACACTCGTGTCTTCAAAATTAAGAGAGACAAAAGGAAAAGGGAAGGGTACTGGGCAAGGAAGAATAATATCTACAGAAGAGAATGGAAGAAGACTAAAAAAGAAGTACATGAGATCGATGGGGTATGGGGTATGGGGTATAATGCAAAGATGAAAGAGCACCAAACTCAACCTGTGTCTAAACAAAAGAGATTTGGAGGGTAAATGTGAAAAATGCAACCGAAAAATGCAAGTCCAAAGGAACGATAAGAAGTATTTATAGATTTAAGAAGATCGGGGGACGTCGAGCCTTCAACTCGCCATAGGCGAGTGGCGCACAAGGGCTTGCCGCCACATCCTTTGAGACATGTTAGCGAAATGCTTTGATAAGAGCGTGAACGGGATCCGCGAGGTTGTCTAGTCTTCGTGTAAAATTTCCTGAACGACTTTGAGAAATTTGTCGCAAATGCCCCAAAGTTTCATACGCTGAAGTAGTGACTCGACAAGCCTGAGCACTTCCCTGGCCCCTTCGATCGAATGCAGGTCGCCAATGCGCTCAAGTCTTGCCTTTCCACCATGTTTAATCCAGTAGTTTATCGAATCATTGTTTGAGGAACACAAGCTATCCAACCTGACGGCATCGTCTGGAGGGGCCGCAGAGTGCTCTTCAGTAACTGAGGAAAGGTATTGTGTGGTGGTGGGGAAATATTTTGCGAAGGCGTGTAAATACACTCCAGCGATGAAAACCCGAAGGCAGTCCGAGCTAGTATGAAGATTGTACCTTCGGCCAGCTGCGAGAATTTGACCAGCGTGCTAGAATATAACTCAAGTCATTAGTTTCGGAAGGACCGGGTACGCGGGATCCGGGAAATCTACAGGGTTCCCCACTTACCCAAGCGAGTTCTCGTGCATTGACCATGTCTGACGTGAATATATTCTTTATTCGGTTGATCCGCTCCATCCTCTCCACGAATTTCCCCGTGGCGGAATGTTTGGCTAAACTGATGGCCAAATCAACAACGTCCCTTGTGGCGTAGAGATGTGCGTAGTGAACGACAATTGCGGTTATACTAAAAATAAGCGATCAGTTTTGGGTTCTGAAATAATGGGGGACGATAGATACAAACCTGGAGTCTACGTATTTGGTATCATCGTTCGGAGTAGAGTTTAAGAGAATCATAGATGCCTTCAAGAGGTCATCCTTGGCGGGCTTCAAACCAACTGAGAGAACTGGTAGTTGTACAATGCGTCCAAGGGGACTGGTTTCTATCTCTCTAATATCCCAAATCACTAGGAAAGAAGTCAGATGAGGGTGGTATGATAGCCATGGGTTATCCAAGTTACTTACTGCGACTGATACCTTGTGCGCAGAGTCTTCGCCCCCAAGCTGACAGGCTGAGCTGGTCTTGATGGCCGTTTAAGATGTCTCGCAAAACAAAGTAAAATGGCATCCCACGTGGAGGGATTGATTTGTGCCTTGGATAGAGTGCTGCCCATGCCTGGCTATCAGGTGCTTCCCACAAAACTTCTTCACACTGCACAAAAAACGAAATACGGATTAGCACTGAGAAAATGACGTTAATTAGTCATGTGGGCTGCATGGGCTTACGGGCAGAGGCAAGCAAAGGTCTGTCAAGGCAATATTCCCTCTCCTATTCGTGAGAACACTAATCGCACAGTCGCATTCAAAGATACACCAAGCGAGTCGCTTCTTGAATTCTTCCTCTCTCCAGTCCAGCCAGTGTTGTTGGATCTTTTCCAGGTCGCTTAGGTCTGTTGACGGGAGGAAAGGGTCTTCAGTCGTCGGCTTGGGACGAGGGCGAGGTGATCTTCCACCGGGTGTAGTAAAGAGTCCCAGGTTACGGCATGCATTAATCATATACGATCGGGTTGCATCGGCCATCTCGAACAGTCGCTTGTTCCCAGCTCCTAGAGCGTATACACTCTGGAGACAGAATGCCATGAGGTAAGAAGCCGACTGCTTATAATCCTCATTGTACTCTCCCTAATACAATATAAATTGGATATTAGCACACTTAACGGAAGGGAGATGAATTTTTGAAAAATGAACAATACGTACCAACCAGTTCAGAGCCTTATAGCAAAGGGCGTTGAGATTGTCCGCGAACTCAATAGCATGTTCGGACGTATGGTATCTAGCGCCGATGGTGGCAATTGTGATCAAAAGAAAATTTGGACATGAATCAGTCGTGAAGGTAGGAATGTGAAGCATCGGTAATACAGCATGGAAGTGCCTGAGGTAGAGCTGGACGAACTCATTTAACACCTCATTGGAGGGGAATTTCTCATCCCTAAGATCCACATTATTATGCGGCAACCTCTCATAAGGCGCTTTCAATATCGTGAGCATATCCTTTCTGACTTGTTCTGAAATAATAGTCTCCTTAGGTGACTGTCGGTCTCTGCCACTAGGTATTTCATGACTGCGTTGGAGTCCGGCTTGCCTGTGGAATCCCTGCTGTGGAGCCTGTAGTAGTTCTCGGAGGGGTGGCAATATAATTCTAGGTTCCCGGTGACTCGAAGACTGCCAATCCCATGGCAACGAATCCTCAGCAAGATATGGAGGTGCGGAGCCAACATGGGGGAGTCTGATTTCTTGTTGAAAACGTGGCCCTTCTATACCACTGGGGCTCTGATCCTGTGGAGAATGCTGGTTTGATGATGCCCCCCAGCTTGAAGAAGGAAACGAGGTGTTGAGGGAGGGACTTTTAGAGAGCGTTAAGACTGAAGGGTTGAGGTAAGCATGTGGCGCCTTTTCAGGCCTGCCAAACGGTAATTCCTCTGGGATTGAGTGTAAGGAAAAGTCTTCTCTCAAAAAGTCGAATTCAAATATGCTGGGGTCGAAGAACCAGTTCTCAGCCGGGTCATCTAGTTTCTGGAATAACTGTAGACTACTAAGCATAGCAGGTTCTCGAGAACCGTATCGACTTGATGAACCACTTCCAAGACTCTTCTTCATGGAGTCGAAGTAGCTGAATGAATCGTAGGGCCGACCGCCTGGGACCATTCCATTAAGAGCATCAGCTGCCATGTACTCATCTTGCGACAAACCTGGCCAGCCGGAGCTCTTACGTGAATCCCTTTCAACATAGCCTCTAGGTAGTTGGGCATGAGGGAAAGAAGTGAATGATGGCGACGATGAGAGAGAAGTGCTGCTACTGCTCCCGCGGCCAGAACCAAAGTAATGGCCATAATTTACTGGCGGGGGCGCCCCACCGAATCCGGGAAGATTCGGATTATAATGAGGATACGTCGACCCTGCTGTTCTTATAGTAAGCAAAGAAAGTTTCAAATAAGAGTTCGGGAGGGGGCGATTACTAACCATTCATGGACTCTTGTTTCGAGAAAATAGTGGCAGTCGACCCCAAAGAAGAAGACCTACCACTAGAAGTCCCAATACCAGAATCTATCGACTTCATGCTTCGATGGTCTATTTGGAAAGCAGAAGGCTGGCCTTCGTCTATAGTCCTTCGCCGTTTGAGTGAGGGTTCTCTCGTTTCAAGTTCTCCAAGTTTGAGCGGCTGGGGCGCAGAATCCATCGAGTCGCTGGTCTCCATTGTCTCCATCAAGTCCATGGCGTTCATGTCGTCATCATCATCATCTACATCATCGTCGTCTTCGTCGTTGATATCCGCCTCGGTAGGATCATTGAGAGACTCCCTACGAATGACGATTAAATCCGAATCCGCATCGAAGACACACTCATGGCCCCTCCTTGCACATGCATCACACGGCGCCACAACCGTCCGGCCTTTCGAAGCACCACTTGAACATTTGATCTTAAACCCAGCACATCTTATACAACTCCTTCGTCTCGATTTCTTAACTTCAATCTTCTTTGTCTGGTGAACAGCTTTGATATGTCGACTCAAGACATCTTTCCGGGTAAATCCCTTTGTACACAGGGTACATATATATGTCTTTGCCTCGGACGGTGGCAAATGAGTAGCTAGATGCCGGTCAAGATGCTCTGCCCTGGAGAACCCTCGTCCACACGACTGACATATATGAGACTGCTGTTTGATGGTCGGGGTCGGCGGTGCAGAATTAGACGTGCTATTGCTTGACAATGACCCTTTCCTCTCGGGCGACGGTATCACGGCTGGAGGATCTGAGCTCTGCCGTGTCGGAGTCGCCGGCACAGCTGACAAGGGATCCTTTCGAGTAGGCATAATACCGAAGTTTGCGTTGACCGTGTGTTGGGCATGAGCGGACCTCTTTCTGACCAGCCTGTGTCTACCAGATTGTCGAATCCTCTGTTTCTTGCTTTCTTTCTTTGTTTGGTAACGATGACGATAATGATGATGGTGTTGGATACAAGTCCCCCAATCGCAATCGAATCCTTTGATGTGGAACTACTGCACAGCTGCCGTCTATAGAGTTCAATTCGTATAATCTCCTCCTTCCAAGAGAACCAGAGTCGCGTGTATTTAGAGAGGTGGGTCCCTGGACTAGTAAAGGTACTGGTGTTCCTTCCCAATGGATGTTATATCAAGCTCCAGCCGTCAAGTCAGAACGGATGGGGGGCGATGGAACCCGCTAAACCAACTCGAAACGTCGTCCCTTTGCTTTCGTTCCTTCGTTCCTTCCTTCGGGTCTGTCTGAAATATCAAAAATGTCTTGCCTTAAATTTTGCCCAGTTCGTCTGTCCGGTCCAGTTGTGGATGCTTCCAACCAACGACTTGGGCGACAACCAACGACGTCAGCTTACATATAAAATCAAATCAAAGGATCGGTTTTCTTGCAACTAACGTTCGAACTTGCACCTGTCGAGTTTAAAACTCAGTCAGAGGTTCTATTGGAATGAGCGATCCATTCTGACTAGCTGTTCATCCAGGGTCAAAGACAGAAAGGGAAAACCTCAACAAAAGAAAGAAGGGAAAACGCCTAACAGAAAATTAATAGGGAGGGTCCAGAGCTAAAGGAAAATTCCAGTAGTCAACGGTCGAAAAAGAGAGATCCAAAAAGAGGTATAAAGGAAGATCGTGAGAAGAGGCTTTTTGTTGCAGATAGGCTGTGCCTGGTCCTTTTTAACGAATCTGGCTTGCAGCAAGCAATATGATTACATAGCGCCAGCGCCAATTTCCAATAACTTCTGTGGAGAGAGAGAGACCCTCGGCCTCGAGGTGGTATGTGCTTGCTTGCACTTGCTTGCACTTGCTTGCACTTGCGCTATGCTTCAGGTTCTGCTCGTAAGTATCAAACGTAACGCATCCGCTGCAGCACCGCACCGCCTATAGTACTGTACTTACTGACGACCGCAGTTAGGTAGTTCTGGTGCTGTTTGCCTGGCCTGTGTAGGTCAGGTATGCCTGTTCCTGCAAGTCACTTGGCCCACGACGGAGTACCTCGTTCCTTGGATCAAACGACTGACCGATGAACCAAGAAAAAAAACGAGGTGCTAGACTCCACTCCCTCTTTTGTCCAACTTATGCTCCACAATCTGGAGACCGGGGCAAGTTAATATGGAAGTGGAGTTACGGCTCTTTCTCTTTTTTTTCTTCTTTTCTTTTGTTTCCCCCCTCAGAAAATGGCGCTTCTGCTGTGGCACGGATCGGTGAAATCTCGATGTGTTCGAGGGGCTCTTTAAATTCTGCCTATCGAGGATGCCATTTAAGGCCCTAGAAGAAGGAAAAATAAGAGGCAGAAAAAATAAAAAATAAAAAAAATAAACCAGGTACTAGTCCAGACAGGCTGTCTTCCCTGAGGGTTCGTCGGAACAAAGTTGATAATAGGCCTATCGTTGTGTACATGTATGTACTGGCCTGTGCGCTTTGTAGATGTTTAATATTGTTATTCTTTTTTTAATCACTTCGGCGGAATATTCTTTTAAATCTGCTCGTTGGTCGACCAGGAGCCCTAGTTGATATGATTCCAAGATGTGCAGCAGGCCGGTGGATGTGATATACTTTTTGGCGATGGGTATAGATTCGTCAATCTCGCCGGGCCGGAACTGTCGGCCGCGATTCGAAATCTGAGTTAATGCTATACGTTGAAGGGATCCAGAGGTGGTTATGATGATGATAATGGTGAAGTTGCGCAACAGGAAGTGTCCTGATGATGTGGTGATAGTTCAAAAACGACTGCTTTGCATGTTGTATGTTTTTTTTGTTTTTTTTTTTTTTTTCTTTCCCTTACCCCTTCCCCATAATTCGTTTCTTCTTTCCCGTCCGGCTGTGGCTAGGGCATCCAGCTGCTACTCATTGATTCATGTGGATGCTAATTCTGGGTGATCGGGGTTCGCTGCATGTTAGATTCCGTGCAGGCAAAGCATAACTAACTCGGAGTCTGGCGAGTTAATTAACATGGAAAGCACGTATTCCGGTTTCCTTGCTCTCGTCAAAATGCACGTTTCGTTTCCCATCCCCTTCGGCTTCCATCTTGGCGGTTGTGACCATTTAATCTCGATTCTTCAAGAGGCCTTGCACCGGAACGCGAAGCAATTGCGCCGCACGTGAACCTGGTAAGCTCCTGATGCAATAGATCTCTAATCTGACTTGCAATGTGAAGATAGCGTGCTCTCATCGTCATTTAAAATTTCGGTACTCCGTCCGCAAAAATTAGAATAGAAACTACTGGTTCGTGCTTCTTCTGTGGAGCTCCACCAATGACCTGCGATGACGGGGTCTATCGATATCGATGAGATATCATCAACCACCGCACAAGCGGCCTAAAATCGGGGTTTAATGTCAACATGCCTGTACTACTACTACTACGAGATGTTTGGTATATATGGATGCATCTGTTAATCTACATTAAAGAATTAAACAAGCAGCGCACGGGGTATCACAGTCGCACACATATTCCGTACCTGCGCAGAGGCTTCGGAACAGTACTGCATGTCAACAGCTAAGTTTTGGCTAGTCCGAGTGTTTGCCCGAACGGTAGATACAAACCAGCTGAATGATTAATGATTTTCAGATTAACAGGGACTCGCTTTCAAAATACGCATAGTCGGACCGGTCAACTGATATAGCCTATATTGGACGCTAGACGCGACCTGGCCATGGCGGGGTGGGGACAGGCCCAAAACACTGTACAATCGTACCCCATACTGCTGACTACCAGAACCCTGGTACACCCTCGGAGGGTCCTTTTTGGCTGAACTGCTCTACCAAAGCTCGTTTCTCATATTGGTGCTGGCGTTATAGGGCAATATAGAACGTTTGTTTGCGAAATACTGCTCGCAGGAATATACGCAAGCAGTGTTTCACAGAAAAAGATTGTATTTCAATATACGATCCTAGGATCCTTCGAATTTCCTTCGTCTTTTCCCTCCAAGTTCAAAGCGTTTCCGTTCGGCGGAACCAATGCAATGCGAGAAATCGGAAAACGACGGTGGGAGGAAAACCAAGGAAAACTTACCGAACCGAGAGATGCGGAGGTAGCGGATGGGGTTATCCACACCTAGCACAAAACCTACGGCCTTGGAGGGTGGTCTGACACGGATTTCCTTTGAAGGTTGTCCAAGTGGTAGCCAACCGACCAGTCTAAACAGAGCCCAGGCACGCCAAAGTGGAGCTGAAACTCTTTGCCCCCGACCAGCCGAATTCCGCCCAGCGGTTCAAAAGAGAAGGGAGGTCCGCAGAGACTTCGGATGAATAGAAGAATCGTATTGATAGTTGACAACCTCACCAAACTCAACTCTCTAATACGAGGGGGCGTATTATTCGGACCCAACGATAACAATTGCTCGATGTTAACTCATGAACAAGGTCTACTCTGGTTATATGCTTCCCAGACACCGCTGCCAGTATGGATATTGAAGACATGGGATATATTATGGGAAATCGACAGGCGCTGAATATAGCAATGCAGTTCGGGGAGAACCTTAAGTCTTAACTTATCGTCTGGAGTTAACGCCCGCTTCTCCGCCAAAAACACCCATCATGATCATGCAATTCCATGAGTATGAGCTCTGAGGAAATCAAAACTAACTTACTACTCGTGGCCATGGTGCTGTCGATTGAGGATCAAGTGGCCGCCTCGACCCGTCTGTCAGTAGTCCTCTCTCGTTTTTTTTTTTTTTTTTGTGTCCGTTAGTTGTATGGGTAAAACAGCTTCGGACCACCACAGCAATGTTCCGAAGCCCAAAACCCCCCAAATCCAACGTCAAGCCTGGATTGGCAGGCTCTTTGCTTTTTCAACTCCACCCACCCCAAACCAAATTAACCCAACCTCACCTCTCCAAACGCTGCCAGTCCATCGACAGCGACACTATCCTGCCAGGCCGAGGTCATCCGCTATACAATTTAACGTTACGAGGGACATTCCGGCGTTCGATATTATCGCTATACTCGACAAACAATACGAGGGAGGCGGCGCAATCTCGTCATCCTGCGCCTGCGAACTAGGTTTCGCCATTCTCGAATTGGTCAATACACCCAGAGCAGATATACCGGACCATGGCTACCACAGATGCAATCTCACTATCGCCTAAGATCAAAAGGCATAAGCAATACACCCTCGTGATCCCTCTAGATCTTCAGCGAGACCGTGTTCTACTAGGCTATAAGCTCCGAGGCTTCGGCCAGGGAAAGTGTACGTTTCAGATCCCCGAACGTGTTCGATGTCAATCACCAGTCGCAATTCCTGCCGGCTTCCCCCCAGGCCAGGCCTTATGAAATAATATCCTTAATATCCCTATATCCCTATATCTCATACCAAATATATGTCTTTAACATGACGTTGATCTTATCACTAACCGTCTATAGCGAACTTCGTTTCCCTTCCCTTCCTCCTCGTTTTGTGATTATGGGTCAATTATCTCAAATGGACAAAAGGAACAGCGTCAAATATTCTCCGACGGGACCCTTGGTCTATCTAATAGACTCATGCATACTTATTTTTGTGCCATCACATGAGTGACCTGTAGTTCGACCCGTTTGGCGAAAAGTTGGTGGAGCACTCCAAGGTCGGCGACATGCCGTCAGCCCCCGCGGAACAAGCTGTCTACGAAAACCACAATCACTATAACGAGGAGAAAAGGAGAAGAAGGGGAACATCCGGTTTGCATTTTCTCTTTGGATATAGACAATGGCTACGGCGGAAAAGTTGAACCTAATGAAACCGTTATCGCTGCAGCGGTTCGTGAGCTCCACGAAGAGTCAGGTCTTCTCGTCGAAGAACCCGCCATGATTCAGCGTGGCGTGCTCCTGTTAGAGACTGTGGCAGACGATGTTTCGCCAATACTCGAAATACATGTCTTTACGGTCGAAACATGGGAGGGGATAGAAACTGCGTACGTACTTTTTTCCCCTTTGCACCCCTCCCCATAAGCACCACCATTCCTTTGCTTCTATCAGGAATAAGCTTTTTCTATTCCGTATACCCATAATCGTCATCTGATGCGTTTGAGATTACTTTCTGTTATCTCGCTACCCATTGCAAGATAATACATGGGACGTTGCAGCTTGGTGCATCCCCTTTCAGGGTATCGATACCTCTTTTTATCAAAATCCCGAGTCAGCCTTGACCAAAGCATGACTAGTCTCAATTCTCACCAACATTAAATAATCGGTCTCACACAAACCCTTCAGAGATCTAGTCTTCGGTATCAAAGATACCGGACTGGAACCAAGTGGGGACCGACATGCTCGCTGAGCCAAATTGTCTCGCTACCCGAGTTATAAACCTTGCAGAAGCAAGTCCGTGATGGCGGTTTTACGTCCATCTTTGCATCCTTCCAGCACCGTCGTCGGATGCAACGTGGGCTCGAACCTAGCGCCTGACATGATGATGTGGATCTTGCTGCTCTTATCCTTTTTACCACATGGACAACGCAGTTATATTCAACCGTCCGTATCAGTTTCAAGGCGAACGCCTTCTTCGTACCCACCGCATGTCGACTGCATGAAGCCCCACCAACCAAATCAATGCGTCGAGCTTCAGAAAAGCACAGGCCTGAATTATCCTGCTTGTCTAAATAAAAATTTAGACCATGGCAATTCTCGTCCCGTGAACTATATCTAGCTCAATCTGACGCAGGAGAAGAAGAAGAAGCTAGAAGCTAGAAGGAAGCATTAGCATGCCCACCCTTCGACATGGCCTTAAAGCTCAGCATTGACTAAGCTCTTGGTCTGACGGAGCTTTCGGTATCTTCCATCACCCCCCCAGCCACCATCCCCTCTACACCCCTCCGCAGTGTCGGCTTTACTACCTTGATTGCTTTAAGCCTCAACCTCGTCGCTTGCTCTTTTACCCTTCTTACCCGAAGTGACACATGCTTCCCCGGCCTTCTCGTTTCATCATCGAATAGATTAAAAATGCCTCGTGGGAGCTCACATGACTGGTGATTATTTCGAGGATAGTGTCTACGGATATACATACCCTCGTATACACTTCGCATTACTCCCCTTCCCTGGCATCCATACCCCTTCACCGGTTATGCAGATTGCCTAATATCATCTACGATTCCACCATCGTCATGATGGTCCGTGTCGTGGCTCAAGGCTAGAAGCGAAGATTTCGATGCCTAGAAGGGCTTCTTAAGTCCATTTGCTTCATTCGATTTCTTTTCATTGAAGAGCTCCTTCCATTTTATGATCCACTTGAGAATCGTATTTTCCTCCATATTCGTTCTTTTCATACCTAGCTTCGCCCTTCGCCGAAATTCGTTCCACTGGTCTCTTTTTTTTAGATGTGATATCGTATGGTATGATATGATATGATACGATACACACATACATGCGTACTACATACGCATCTTCTTCCCTGCTGCTTTTCCTTCTTTCATTTCTTTTTCCTTTTACAATAGCTTACATTTCAACACCTGGACACCATCTTCCCCGCCTCCGTCTAAATTCCCCTCCCCTTGCATTGACATACTTGCCTCATCAGAAAAAAAGGAAGCGGGAGGGAGAGGGAAGTGCTAGTCGACCTACCTAGAAGCTCATCTATAGCACCTATCATCCTATATACCACACACATGAATTAAACAATTGATTACTAACTCCCTTCTACCACTTTCTAGCACGGAGGAAATGACCCCCCACTGGTTCTCACTCTCGAAATCGCTAGCTACCCCCACGCCATCAACTTCATCATCCGGATCTATTCTTCATCCGTTCCTATCTACTTCCTCCTCCTCTTCGTCCCCATCGTCCGCAGCGGCGGTAGCAGCTAAAGATCCTTCAACCGCCGGAGCACATGACCTCCCTTCCATACCATATTTCCAAATGTGGGAGGAGTCACGAGTCTGGATGCCCCATTTGTTACGACATGTTTCGTCGAATGAAAAGGATATTCTAGTGGGTGAAGAAGAAAGAGGCTTTCTATCGCCATTATCATCGGAGGGTTCTGCTCCGATTGCTGATGAACCTCATGACAAGAGTGATAATAACAACGAGAAGAAGAAATACTTTATCCACCATGTGCAGTTCATTGGAGGAACGGATATGGATGCTGTCGATGGCGGTGAGTATAGTGTTTGGCATGGTATGGGTCCCAGACGACTGGACTGGGTCGATGAACTACCGGTTGGAGAGTGGGAAGGGAAAAGGAGTTTTGGAACGTATCCTTAGGGCGGCGTTGTAACCACGCACGACTACCTATGGATAGGTGAGTTCCTTCCTTCCTCCCTCTTCTTCTTTTCATCTGTCCATGCATATACCATCGGTAGGTATGCGTTTTTAAGACTTCTGTACCGTCGTAGAATTATTTAAAATCAAGATTTAGAATGGAATCAATGAAGTAATCCTATTTTTTTTTTGCAATATATACCTTGTTATACACTCCGCATTTCACCCACACTCTAAAACGTAGATACACAAAATACTGATACCAAAATCGTGGTTCAACCTTGCTTGATACTATCTTGAATGACAAAACACCTAGCACCTCGTAATCCTCATACATGCATAGTTTCAGTCCTATTCATATATATATCGATATCGCACTAGGGACGAATACAACAGTATACTCCAAGCTTGTCTCGTACCACTTCTAGCTCCAATAGATGTATATATAACTATCAATCCAATCTCATCCGATACTCAGGCCACATTTAAAATTTATTTTTATATACTTGTAACCAGTAAATGTAGCTGCGCGCAGTTCATATATTGGCACACATGTATTGATATCGATCAAATATTTAAATTATAATGTCATTGCAAGGTTCCACTAGTACTGTGTGTTTAGCTATATAATTCGGGGTACTACTAGCATAGTAAGTAAGTTAACTACTTAAGTCCTTGGTTAACTTATAGGTAGTTAGGTTGGATTTGATTCAAGGCCAGCAAATAGGTATATATGGATACCCGAATTCATGACCAAATCTACCAATATCTACTAGTAGCTATCTATAGATCTAACCGCAAATATAGTGCAAAGTGCCTATATATACGTAGATACAGAAATATAGATATCTAGAAATTTGAAAATAGTTAGTCTCGAGCACGGCCGAAATGATATTTTAAAATACTTAACACTCTTGTATATATGTATCAAATCATTTCGGCACGCGACTGATCACCTTAAGTATATTAATTACTTAGTAGTTTATCTAGATATCTGAAAGAGACTAGATATGTGTAGATATTGATACTATAGATCATCGCTGCACGAATCAACGATACATTCGACGAAGAGAATGTATTCCTCTTACCGTTAACCGTCTCCTTCGAATTCTTGCGCCTCCCGCCTCTGCAAAAGTCTACTATAGCACCAGTACTGTTGCTGACATCTATGATCTTTCCCCACTAACTTGGTGTATATATTTTTCTAGATCTTTTGCATGCATCATAGAAATTCTTTCTTTTCTTCTATAAAAAAACCGCCTCTTGGTTCTAAGGAGGGTATTTCGTAACACATGCAACTTGACCTTCACACCCCCCCTAAAAAAAAAAAAATCATACTAATCTATCACAAAAACAAAAGGTAATGCTTCAGTTTACCCCACCACCTTTGGTATATTATTCCTCAACCCCCATGGTGAACAACAGAGAAAGAAGAAAAAAGAAGAGATATGTGGGCGTTTAAGGGAAAATGGAAGAAATAACGCCGGCATCTTCGAGAAAAATGCAACAACAACCAACGCTAAAGAGGGAGAAATATAACGCGATGTATCGCCCAACATCACCAGCAAGCATCACCACCAACCCGTTGATTCAAAATTTAGATAAGCAAGGACATAAAAGAGCTGGCCACAGGAAGGAAGTTTTGGGAGAGGGAGGAATGAAAGATCAACTAATCTCCATTCCCTCTCCATCGTCGCCTTCGCCTGCAGTTTCCCCTCCGAACCCATAGCCTCCTCCTATACCACCACCACCATTTCCAACCTCCAGATCGCCCCCTCCCAAGATCCTTCCTTCCACATCGATCTCTTCAAACAATTCCAACATCGCCTTCTTGCTCAACTTCCTGAATCCTTCGCTCCTCACCACCCGTCCCCAATGCATCATACAATATCTCGCCGCTTTACTCCTTAATAGATTCTCTCCGGCGACGCCAGCACGTTCCCAAATACCCGCCGCAGTATCAACGTCCAATTCCTTATTGATTCGTCCGAGACATAACGCGCGTAAGCGGGGGATGTTGTAAATATTACTGATAACAAGCAGCCCGCCCACGGTTGCCAGACCCGAACAGAATGGAGATGGAGCGATACTATCAGTATAAAGGTAATATAAGAATGCTTTAACAACGCTGTAGGGCTCTGGAATATGCAGTCTTCCCGTGTGGAATTCGGACATTTTGGCGGCATAGAGGCGTTGGAAATGGGACCAGCGGCTGAGGAGGATAAGTTTGTGGACGTGGATTGCTGGGGAGATTGAAGGGTCGGTTGGAGTATTGGAGGAGCCGAGGCTATTGGCTGAAGATGATGGGGATTGATGATTTACAAGGCTGACAGTGGTGATACCGGTCATGGCAGTGCCGCCTTGAGTCGATAGAGATGTTAAAGAGGGAGAGGAACCTCGTGGGTGGGGTACCATAGCCCACACTGCTTCTTCGTCGTCACCACAGTAGTTGTCGTTTAAAGCAGTGACGATAAAGTCTGACGTCGAGGCGTCATCAAACATTGTTGCTAGATCGAAACCCATTGTACCGGGCCCACCTATTTCTCCTTCTTTACGCTCAGGTGTGACACCGTATCGGCGGAGGTCGATCGGGAGTATATCACTAAGATACTCTGGTTCTTGACCTTCTTCTTCGAGTGGGCATCCAATGAGGTATGCGGTCGTGGAGTCATGGGAGATAGCAAGATAGTGCCAGCGGTAGTTGGTATTCACAAATACATCCTCACCGTCAGCGAGGTGCTTCCAAACCAAACTATCGAGATCTAGAGCAGATAAGGACGTTTCATGGTCTCGAATAGTATTCGCAGCCGTTACAAAGTCTAGAAGAGTATTGTTGCAGAAGTGGTGGAAGTGGTTTCCCGCGGTTTCTGTAGGTACGTCTGTACCCCTAACAAAGCGAACAGCATTGACAGAACCCGGAGCGAATGGATTGGAAGTTTGACGCATTGGCGATGGGAAACGGTTCTGGGAGTTTGATGGAGCAACGAGGTGGTTGGGTGTGTGACGTTCTTTACGTCCATGGCGGTGGTCAAAACCGAAGTTCGTTTGAGAGAGCTGAGGTGTCAGACCGTTCGACGACTTCCATGTCGGGTGCTCGGAGAAGTCCAGCCAGCAGAGCTCGCCCGTACGGTCCATCTCTTGAGTTAAGCCTCCAAAGACGTATAGACGGTTCTTGTATACCCAGCTAGTGTGGTCGAAACGGCCGACGAACCTCCAAGCCCGGCTCCAGGTCATGGTATTAAGGTCAAGATAGACCAAATCATCCAGGACATCGGAACCGTTAGTTCCGCCTATAACGTAGAGTTTATCATCGTGCAGGCAGACGGAATGGCGAGAACGGCCTCGAGGGCTAGGACCTGATATCTGGGGCTGGGACCAGGTTGAGGTTGTAATGTCGAAGAGGTAGACGTCGGCAAGGTAGACTCTATTCTCGTTCTCGCCACCGAAGACGATCAACTTGTTATCGCGCCAGTATGTAGTCGTATGTCCTATACAAAAGAAGGATATCAGTAGGAGGAAAGATGAGGATTAGGATTAGGATTGGGATCGGAAGAAGGAGAAGGGGTTATGTACCCATGCGCACTGAGGGGATCTCGCCGTAGTTATCGACCAGGGTCCACGTGAAGGTGGATAGATCGAGTCGCAAAACATGGTTATATACTACAAGTATAGTTTCGTATTAGCTCCCGAATTGATATTGGATGAAGATATAGAAGTGAAGATGAGGATAGAGACTATCAATACCTTCATCTGTGAACTGGTCAAATCCGCCAAATGCGATGATTGTGTTGTCGGGACATCCAGTGACTGAAGCATTGACCAAACAAGCCGGGCGTCCTCCTGGTCCGATATAAATACAAGATCTCAGGTTAGTACCACCAACACCACGCTATAAATAATTTGAAAAGACAACTGATAGGGTGAAAAGTATTATATTGTACTCTGCTATAGGGCCCTATGCTGTATTATAACTTGAAGGGTATGGTAAAAAAGAAAGAGAGAACATACCTTTTGTTCGGAAAGCCTTAGGTTTGTATGGTCCCAAATGAAAATCCACCGGAGCTGCCTGAGCCCCAAACATCGCCATGACTTTTTTTTGTAGTACCCTTTCTCCTCAGCTTTGTAGTGGTGGCAGTAACAGAGGCAGCAAGAGTCACAGTAGTGGTGGGTTGGTAGCGGTGGTAGTGGTGAATGAACCCACGCCCCTCTAAGGCAGGTAGGCAGACAGGCAGACAGAACGACAGACAGACAGACCAGCTTGGAGCTTGTCGCTTCTTCGCAGAGCCAAAGAGAGCAGGAAAGAGCGTGGTACAGCAGCTTTCAGAGATTGATCGGACTTTGTCGGCGATTTCTTTTGTCTGCTTCTGTCTGGGAAGCTTGAATGGAAGAACGGCTCGCTGATTGGCCAGGAATTGGCTGGTGGCAATGGGTTTTCCCGTTTGGGCCTGTTTTTCTGGTTGTTCGAAAGCCAAGAGATCGAAACCAGCGACTGTATATATGCTAACTGTTGCCGGTCCTGGTCCGGGTCCTGGTTTGGAGGCAGATTATCTGGGACTTATATCACGGATGGTATGTATTACAATAAGAACGAAGTTGGGGGTTGAAGTCGAAGATGAGATGCATCGATGGTGGCGGAGGAAGAGGAGAAGAGAAGAGAAGGGAGAAGGATGTTGACGAAGAAAGGAATTAATCTAGAACAGAAAGAAAGAGAAAAAATAAAATAAAAAATAAAAAAAAATAAAAAAAATAAAAAATAGTTTCGCGTCCGGCCAATGAAGTGAGACAACTTGATGCCTGAATACCTGCAGACAAGAGACACGATCCTATACATCACGCTACACCCGGCATACTCGTATACTAGAGTATATACATGTACCCAGCATCACACAGCACTGACTTTGGTACTTACTTCAAGTCAAGTAATTTGGTGAAGTAATAGCCAGGCGTTTCAAGTTATTGGCTTGGGACGGGGAGCTAGCGAGAAAAAGTCGATTTCATTGTCAACGCCGTGTCTATAACAGTTCAGATCTGATAGATCTATAGAGAGGATGCTTGCTCCAAACGAATAACACCAGCATATAAAAAAAGAACAGTAGCCGTTAATGCCATGCAAATAGAATAGAGTCTTGTTGTACAGTTGTTGTATCCTGTTAATACAGCAGCCAGATATGTCTCTTATTAACAATGATGGTCCCTTCGTAGAGTATGATTCGTAGAGGTTTCTTCGTAGAGTATGTTCTTCGTATGCTAGTTCTGACCACCCCTAGCTTGGAACCGTAGAGCTCGCTCCGTTGGGTTATACCTACCGTCATCAATTAGCTATTCAATCCTTTTCACCTGGTCTGGTACTACTACTCCAATACTACCACTACCATCGCTACTACCAGAGCAGGGTAGAGCGGGATATAGTAGTAGAGGAAAGGGAGATACCAACCTCAGTAATTTCTCGATCAAGTCAACATGTGTCATGATCATTCTTCGGCAGCAGTATCGCTTGCACCCGAGCTGGTCCATAGCATCACTACCAACCCCTCACTACTATTAGCTTTCTGCCTCCCATATCTACATATTATCCATAGCTTCAATACGCCTCGAGTAATATCGTCCGCACGAATGTATCAATGTACGTGTTGGGTGGGCCATGGGGATGAATGGGTGGGAACGAACCCTTCGTTGACGCCCTCCTCGAGCAGGCGCATGTACGGCTCCCACAGGTCACCGACAACCTAGCTCATTCGAGAAAACACACCTTGTCAGCTAAAAACCATCCATTTCCGACCATAAAGAGAACCAAAGGAGCAAAATTATATACCTTTCCACAGCTGAAGCAACGAACTGGAATAATCATCGTGTCGGTCGGATTTTGGTGTTGATGATGAAGCTGATGTCGGGTTTGGATTGGAGGTGCGATGAGGATTCGTTAGTCAAGAAGGGTGTCGCAGAAAAAGCTGTTTTTAAGCCGCCAAACCTAAAAAAATTATTTTGGCGAGCAAACGAAAAAAAAAAAAGACATCCAACAACCACTCTTTTCCTACACTTCTTCAACATCGTCAACGGTCCTCGACAGCCTCAAAACAGCCAACTACATTCACAACCATCTTATATACCGCCTTGCTGCCCATCGCCCTATACCAGGGTCGTAGTAGCAATGGCTGATTCAACAAGATCCCAAAAGCATGGCTCAAAGCCCGTATCTTCATCAAAACCCGATTCTCAGTCCAAATCCAAAAAGCCTTCCTCAGGCGCAAAGCCTGCTACCCATGCCAAAGATGCTGAAAAGCAGTCGCTTCCAAAATCTTCAAAGTCTAAATCAAAGAAGAACGATATTACTGCTGAAAATGCAGATGTTGAATCCATAACACCTACCGGCGACGCGAAGGACAAGAGTGCTGCTGTTACACTCGCTGTCGCAGCTCCTGCGAAGCCATCGAAGGAACGGAAGGATAAGCGATTCGTCGACTTGACACCTGATGCGAAGCAGGCTAAGCGTCGCGAAGAGCGTCAAAGGAAGAGGAAGGCTTTGGAAGGCACCAATGCCGTTGCTCTCACCATTTCGGAACCGGTTGACGGTGAAAACGCTGCTCTTGCTACAGTCGATAAGGAGGATACGATTATCCTAGCTGCTCCTCTATCAAAATCCTTAAAACCGACAGAGAAACCCTCTCTTCGGCTCAAACGGGAAAAAAAAGAAACTCTCAAAGCTAGGGAATGGAAGGTCTCTCAACCAATTGGTGGCCGCTATAGCACAAACAACGTCGTCTTCTCCACAGACGAGAAATACATCCTACTGGCTCAGGGCCCCTCCCTCAAGGTATTCTCCACTAAAACCTCTCTTTTATACCGAACCCTCCAGCACCTTCGCCCTCCACCGACTCAATTCCCTTATTCGCCTGATGGGAACTACTCCTCAATCGCGAATTACACCCTCGACCTCGCCAATTCTTCCCAAGTCTACATAATCCTCTTCAACGGTGATCTCCTCCTCTGGGACTACACCGAGGGTACAATCGAAGGATATTGGAAGACAGACCTTTGCCAAGGTCAATACCTCGCCTGGTGTGGTCTTCGCGCCCTTCCGTCTACTACGGACTCAAAGGAAACGACTCTATGGACTTATCACGAACACTCACTCCGCGACTTCTCAAGGAAAACAGTCCGTGAAATCAGAGCGTTAACTATTCCCACCCCTTCTGTAACTGAGGAACCAGTGGTGATACCTTCTCGTCTAATACTCAGCATCGACGAATCTCGCCCTCGTCATCTCGCTATCATTGACCCAAACACCTTTGTTGTCGACTCAGGCGACAGTTTCTACGTCGGAAACCGCCAACGTACTACCACTGCAACTGAGATCACACCAGACGTCGTCACCAATGCTCCAGAATGGCGAATCAGAAAAATCTCCACTCCGGGGAAAATCATGACCATCGATGCCACCATTCGTCATAAGAAATCCGGTACAATTCAAGGCGACGTCGCTGTGGGCCATAACACTGGCCAAATCTTCGTTTATCACGACGTCTTAAATTCAGCTTCGTCTACCAAAATCGTGAAGTCGAAACTGCATTGGCACAGAACTGGCGTTGGTTGCATCAAATACTCAAAAGATGGTAAACCCACCTACCGACCTAATATAAGTCACACGACGCTTATGTCACATTTTGCTAACAATCGTACGTTCTTATACAGGCACCTACCTAATATCTGGTGGTCGCGAAACCGTTCTCGTCCTCTGGCAACTCTCCACCTCATCCCGCCAAACCCTTCCTAATTTAGGCGCCGACATCAAGACTATAGTCCTCTCCCCAACCGGCTCGACCTACGCTCTAATCCTAGCCGATAATAGCATCCTCACCATTTCAACTACGGAACTCAAACCCACTGCTTCAATAAGCGGCATTCAATCCCGAGTCTTCCTTCGCGAAGAATACCAAAAAATCTACGGGAAAGGTGGAAAGATCTCAAAAACACAACGGAAAACTGAAACAGAGGCTACAACTAGCTGGAGAATCCCGGTCCTGAAGCATCCATGGAACGATATGCAGATCTTGTTAGCGGCACCCGCGAGTCAGAAAGGGGAGAGTTCATACCCTTATCTGCAAACCTTTGACTTGGCCCAGGATAGAGGGGTTGCGCGACAAGCGATCACACGGACGTTGGTATCCATGAAAAACGTAGACCCAGAAGGTGGGAAGGTCAAAGAGCCTAATGTACGATTTTTGGGTATCTCTGGGGATGGAGAGTGGTTGGCTAGTGTAGATGAATGGGCAGCCCCCGCCAGAGACTTTGTGGACCCTGGAGCACCGCAACCAGCGCTCGCAGAGCGAATTGGGAAGGAAGTTGTCCTGAGGTTTTGGAGATGGAGTGGAGTTTCTTCAGCCTCTTCCTCCTCAGCTGCAATAGGGAGTGCAAGCGGGAAAGGAAGCTGGGAGTTGATCAGTATGATCGAAAGTCCGCATGGCGTATTGGATAACGGAAGCGCGGGGGATGTAGCCGACCTTACCGGCTCACCTAAAGGCGCCATGTTTGCCTCCGTGGGAGGAGATGGAACGATCAAAATCTGGGGGAAGAGAACACGAACCCGAGCCGGTGTCAAAGTCGAGAAAGATGACATGGTGGTATGGAACTGCAGAAGGAACCTAGAGCTATTCAAGAGCTCACCCAATGTTATCCAAGACGGAAGACTGGCATATTCTGGTGACGGCAGCGTGGTCGCAGTATCTTACGCCGACGCAGACGATGAAGTTGTTACCATCATTGATCCAGTAGAAGGAGTTGTTAAACAGGAGATTGGAAGTTTACAAACTGGACGAATCTTCGCTCTGACTTTCGTCGGAAGATATTTGGTCATCGGTGGAGCGGAGAGGGTGGTGATTTGGAATCTTGTTAGTGGCGTTGCAGAATGGGGCAGTGAATTGAAGCCGTTGGTAGGAAAAGGAGCATATCTACAAGGCGATAACTTTGTACCAAACATCCATTTAGCTGGGTGCGAAGCGCAGGGTACCTTTGCTATCTCCGTGAACTACCCATTGTTCGATGATGATAAGAAGAAGGGCCGGGGCCTTGAGGATTTGACGAGGGCAGGGAATACAGCTAGTATGGTCAGCGTCTTTGAGGTTGAAGGATTTGGGGTTTTAAGCAGGAAGAGGGCTGATAATGGAGTACTGGCCTTGGAGGCGGCGAACAACGGGAAAGGCGGGCAAGGATATTTCTGGTTGGATGGGGCAGCGAACGTATATTTCATGAGTAGTGGTGGGGTTGTTAGCGGTGGTGCTGGAGCCGGTGGCGCTGTGAATAGTGGATATCTTGAGGACATCGATGGGGTCGGTGGGCTCGCCAATGCCTTCTTAGAGAAGGCGGTGATCGAAGAGGAGGAAACCCTTGAAACAGGTGAAGAAGGAGGGGATGAGAAAGTGGTCAGAAGCCACATGTTATCCAAGTTGTTCCCTGCGCCTGCGTACGCCAGTCCTGCGGTTGGAGATGTCTTCGGACGGTTTATGGAGATTGTGGGGCAGAAGGCTTTGGATTTACCTAAGTCTTCTGCTAATGCACGAACAACGACATTGGGAGGGGAGATGGAGGTCAAGTTAATTGAGGATGATGAAGAAGGGAGTGATGACGAGTTCGAGGATGCACATGATGGCGACGCAGATGTGTCCATGCAAGATGTCTCGAAGGATGCCTACGCTGACTTACCAGCTAGGGACTTCGATGTCATTATTGATGAGGCTTGAAAAGAAGACCCAAATTCTCAGCTAGAAATTGGGTAGTACGAGGGTGGGTAAAGGTGAAGCTAGAGGATAGTTGTTATCCTCAAATATCTCAACTTGTTCTTCTTTTTCTTCTTCCGGCGTTCCTTTTGTCGAGTTTTGATACTGAGTATATTGCTTGACATCTCCAAAAGTCTTTTTTTGACGACAAAGCTAGGTTAGCTAGATTAGAGTAGTGTATGATAGATTTATCAGACGGAGAGTGTATTATTACCTTTTAGTTTATATTCGACTATTTCATTCAAGCATCCTCAAAGAATTCAATTTATATAATTATATTTCAAGTACGTGACTATCATGATCATAGAACTTGAACATTTTATACTCAAAACGCCACATGCACAATATACAATTATAAGGATTAAACGGTAGATTAAAGATTATATTTTACTAGCCATATATATCTCGTAAAATCATCGTCGACAAATAAACATATATCGCTAACTTCAAGCAAGAACAAAAAGAAAAATGAAAGAAATCTATCGCTACGAGCTGTATCTTCAAGCTTCCCCTGCAGAAAAACAGATCCAACAAGTTTAAAACACCTCTCCTTTAGCAAAACGAAAATAAAAATGCGAAGAAAAAAATGCTTCAAAGTGGAAAGAGAGAGAAAAGAAAGCAGAGGAAGGAAATTTTGAGCAGTTCCCTTAGAACTTGTGGTCTACGAGGTAACTCAGTCCTAATATGTCATCATGCATGATCACCCACAGCAGCTCTTCTTACTACTCCTCCCAGGGTCCATCCTGAATACCTCCTCCCAATCCCTCAACCCTCCTAACCGCCCACTTGCCACCCCGCCCTTCTTTTTCCTCATACTGTTCCCTAATAAACTGCTCGAGGGTCCTGATATCGACCAGTCGCCACCGTCTCCATACCTAATACCAACAGATAATTAGCTTCTTGACCTCCAACAAAGAAAACACCTATACACTAGATAATTCTTTTTTTTTTTTTCAAAAAAAGAAGAAGACTTACGAAACCCCACTATTCGGGTCATCAGGATCCACCTCCCCAAGTTCAATCCTCGTCAGAATCACCCTCGCAAGTCTTTCAAACACTTCATCCACATTTTCTCCATTCAATGCAGAGGTCTCCATCGCAACCGGAATACCAACAGTACTAGCCCATCTACTCCCCTCATCGTACGTAACCTCACGGGCTACATCCGGCTCCCCGGCGTTATTACCATGTAATGTATTCCTCCTAGAGTTCGAAGAATGAAAATCCCGCCAGGGGTTACTGCCGGGATTATTCCCATTGATAGTAATATCCGAAGAAAACGAAGCAGATGAAGATTCTACGTATGAAGACCGAGTAGACGTTCCAGAAGTCGGTGTATCGAATCCATTGTTATTATTATTATAGTTATAATTATTATTCTTTCGGTTTGTGATATTCGTGGGCAGCGGGGATGTCCCCGTCGTAAACCCGGGCTGGGCGGGTGTGCCAGGTGGAGAATTCGAAGGTGTGGAAAGGTCGGCTTTGTTGCCTACTAATAGGACAGTGAGGTTTTCAGAAGCTAGAGCGCGAGCATCGTCGAGGAACGTGGGGAGGGAAGTGAATGTGTGACGTCGGGTGATGTCGTAGATTAATAGAGCGCCGGCGGCGCCGCGGTAGTAGCTTCGGGTTACTGAGCGGAAACGTTCTTGGCCAGCGGTGTCCCAGAGCTGTAGGATTGTATAAGTTATATTAGTGGGGTGTATGGGTAGGTGTGGGGTATGAGAGGGGCTACCTGGAGTTTTATACGCTTTCGCCGACTGCCGGTTCCGACTTTTATAATCTTGGAGGAGAATTCAACTCCAATTGTTTGGGAGGAAAGGATTTTCCCTGTTTAATATTAAAAAAGCTTCTTGTCAGTATTATATTCCACCTAGACTGTGTAATGTCGCAATAGCGAAAACGTGGGTTTAAGGAATACCAACATTCGCCTCGAACGAACCGGTGTAACAAACATGATCTATATAGTTCCCAGCCGATTGGGTAAAAAAGCCAAAAAGGTTCGTTAGCCATGAATCTTCGATCAAACATAGTCAAGAAAAAACGTCATATCTGGCCCTTAGCCAACAGCGCTGAAACCAGTATAAACACCAACTGAAGGGTCTAGATTTCTGAAAGGGAAAATCAAAGAATAAGGACGTACTTTCCACACCCGCTAGGTCCGAGCAGTATAATCTTTGCTAGATAATCGTACATCGTTCCTAATTCTTGCTGTATGACATATGTCAGCTGCCTTCTGTATCCGGCGATACAAATGGTGAAAGCTACTCCGGCATGGGCGGTAGTCCTCGGAGTGGCATTTTTGGAAAGGGTCGCACGTACTGGATCATGCTCCGATAACGAGTGTGATGAGGCTGTGGAGGCGCCAGATGGCGCTCGTGCCCGCGGCATTGTGGTAGTGGTATTCGAGGGCGTCGTGGTTATAATTAATGAGGGCCGAAGTGGTGAGTTTGTAGTTCCGTAGCTCTGAGCGAGTTTGATACGTTGGTATTGGTATACGTTGGTAGAGCTTTGGGTACCAAACCAAATTTGTGCCTGGTAGGTATGGGTACGTATGGTAAAGCAGCAACCCCCGCGCGATGAGATGTGAAGCGATGGGAAAATGCGATGCGGACGAGGGGAAGGTGTCTTGCGACAAATAAAATGAGGGATAAAAGATGATTCGACAAGATATGATAAAGCAGGTGGAATTTCGTCTGATGTTTCTGACCAGTCCCTCTTTCTCAGGACTGTAACTTAGAAGTCACTCACGCCCGCCGGCATGCGCTGGCATTAATAAGGTTCCTGGGGAACCAAAAACGACAGCCGTCGGTGGGTACCTGTCTTTTTTTCGCACGAAAAGGCTGCAGTGGCAGGATTTTCTTCCAGTCTGAGACTTCCTACCTTTTTTTTTTTATTTTTTTAGGAAGAAAATGCGCAGACGACCAGAAATGCCGCCTGGGAACCTGTTTGTTAACGAGCTACTGTAGGTGGGGGAAGCTGTTTAAAGAGCGCGGGATGCAGCTGCCGAATGAGGGCTGGGGCCGGGATGAGCTCAAGGAAATGGTGCAATGCAAGGGAGAGCGAGAAATGGGGACCTGGGATTGGACTGGACCCGCCGACTGTCCACCCATGGCCGTGCAGCAGGCATGCACCCGTCGATTGAGCTCTTTATATTGAAAAGGTATTGAAGCTGTGCGGAGAAGTATCGCAAGATATCGCTATTTTACATTAAGTATCAAAAAGAGTATACTAGACTAGGTTATTGTATAGACAGACAGATAGACTGAGAGGGACGTAGAATAGGATATATGGGCATAAGAGAGACATATGGCCAGAGGGTGGACAACACAAACCGAGTCAGACCGACGTTGGAATATACTCTCCAATATCAACTGGGTCTCTGTGCAACCCAATACCACCTATTCGTCCTCTACGTATGAAACATTTGCACAATTGCACAATAATAGGTACTTATTTCTGTCTCGCGACTTGACGACCACGCCAATCACCAACCTCACCACTCACATCCTTCATGATCGACAACTACCAACCACCACTCACCAATCATCAACAAGAACCAAACACCCGATAACATGGCACCGCAATCGCCTCAGCAGCCATCGAAGGCATCTTTGTCTTCTTCTTTGTCTTCTCCTCCTTCTCCAAAGCATCTCCATGGCCACGCTATTCAGACAGCATCACCTCCCAGTGCTGGTCCTCGCCAGTCACTCAAGCGATCTCGTGACGTCTACGAGGTTGCTATAGTGTCACCGTCATCATCTGCTGCCTTGGCCAATCAACCAATGGAGGTCGTCGACCCAACAACTGGGGACGAAACTCCCATCATGTTTCCTCCTTTGAAACGCCAAAAACCGGACCCTCCTTCCTCCCACTCACCAACCTCTCCTCTTCCTCTTCTTATTTCTTCTTCCTCCTCCTCCTCCTTTCCCCCTCCTCTCCTTTCTCCTTCTTCCTCTCCCTCTCCCTCTCCTCTTCCCGCTGCTCTTCCACCAGTTGATCCGGCTTCCCAAGGGAAGATCCGAGAACCAGAGGCCACCGACCTCACCAGCGACCAAACCACAGACAGCAGTGACAGCGAGAGTACTTGGTCCCAATCTTCCTTATCCGGCGGATCAGTCTGCTCCAACATCTCAGCTACCTCCGCTTTCTTTCCACCACCTCAAGTCCTCCTCCCTCCCAAGGGTCCCAACCCTTTGGGTAATAACTGGGAAAAACTAGGACCCATCGATGAATTTCCCGAGGACCCACTAATGGCCTCTTACACGCCACCAAGTCCATACCCCTTCCCAGCCGGGGTATCGTCAGATATAATATCAGCAAACCCCGAAGTGGCGTTTCTATTCCACGTCAAATCCGTCGGCGAGGAAAACTACTATAAAAAACCCCTCTCATCAGGAGATTCGTTCGACTTTCTTCCGTCGACCATGTCTACTAGCTTTTTTATATCCATAAAGATGGATAAGAGAGGGTTCAGAAGATTGAAAAGAGATATGATACTGGCGAGGGAAATCGGTTTCTTACCATACAAAAACTTTGCAATCGCTGTCAATGCGATCAGGAATTACTCGAGGATGAATCGGCGGCGCGGGAACCCCGAGTGGTTGGATGGGGTTGGTGGAACGGACGAGGATGGGGACCCGTTATATTAGATCTGGACTGGTACCCTGGGCGCGGCCATTTCGAACGAATGGCAAAGGAGTGGATGGAAACCCGTCTGCACGTTAGAGGGTTGAAGGGTGTCCCGGGCTTTGCGAGCCCCGAGGAATGGAAGACCCGAAAACAAAAGGGTCTGAGAAAACATAACTGGGAGAAATGGGAGGCGGGGCTTTTGGAGGGGGGGGCGTAGGGGGTATTTCGATTAATACCGCGGTTTGATCAATGTGGGGGTGGTGGAGTCCCAGGGCGTGGTTTTTCTAAGACGGGTGAGCCGTCATGTTTTGCACATTAGCCATCTATCCAGTCTTGTTCTCTTTTTCTCGAGAATTCACTTTTTTTTGTTTCCTTCCATTAGCAAAGCACAATCGGTCATTTGTGAAATTCGAAGAAGAAACGAAATAGTATCAATCATTTCAGCGCTGCAGCATGAACGTGGAATGACAAGAGAATCGACTCAATCCGTGCACACATATGAATCATGAAAGGAACAAAACTCTCCCTTTGAGAGATGAATTCGAAGCGTTCGGGCAAAACCTATATATATCGTTCAATTCGAGCTTTCCATAATGGTATATAATATTGTAAACACCGAAGAAAATAGGAAATGCAAGTTATAACCCAGCTGCTCCCAAGAATAGAAAGAATAATCAGAAGAAAAACGACTTTGATTTTGAGAATCCAGGAGTAGAAAATCTAACTTTGCAGTAAAAAAAAGATGAAGTAGTATGCACAAAAAGTAACCCCGCAGTTCCGAGTGTATATATAGGTATAAAAACAAGACCTCCCAGAATGTTTTTTTGTGATGCAAGTAGGAAAAGAAGTGATGGACAAGAAGAGAAAGGAAAGAGAATGATCAAAAAGAGGAAAGCTATAGTGGGTTTGAGCGCTCGTAAAAGGCGATTGCTGTGCAAAGGGTGACCGTGCGTGGGGGGGTCTCATCGATGTCATAATCGGTCCCGTGGCAAAATTCAGAGATAGTAAAACAGATAACTCCAGAGAGAAACTTCATCCATGAGCCTAGAAAGATAGAAAAAGGAAAACAAAGGGCTAAAAAAAAAGCGTGGTGATAAAATCTGTGTGTAAATTCTGATAATCTCGGGGTTTTGCTCGACGAGATGTAAAAAGAAAGGGAGAAGGAGAAGAGAGAGAAAAAGATAACGCCGGGTTTCCCATAGCTGTAATAATATAGATGAATTTTCAAAAAACACCTGCACCCAATGATAACGTGTATTCCCTGTAATCCAGTAAAATGATGAAAACAGTGCTGCAAAGATAAAAAGAAAAATAAACAGATAAGAACTTGAGCTTTGTGCAATCGATACTTGCGTGAATTTCGTAGAGGTCATAATGTTAGTCATAAATTTTCGGCCGCGTGTGAAAGAGCGAGAGATCGAAGGAACGAAGAGGCTGCGACGACTAAGTGAATGTAGAGAAGTCGAAATTGTAGGATTTCGAGGAGGAGCGATAGTATAGAGGCGGGGGTTCGGTATCGGATAGGTCCAGGATTTAAAGCTGGTAGACGCACAATCGGTCATTGGCATATGCTCTTAAGTGTTCTTTACAAAGAGTCTGCGAACCTTTCGACCCATCCTCACGAATCCGATTTGAACCCACATGACAAATCCCTGCCATTGGTTCTTGAATCCTCGTGGAGAAGCACCTCCACCAACATGGCCTCTCTTCTCACTTCTAGATCTCCGTCCCTCCTCGGCTGCGCGAATAGGAATGTTTCGTAGACTGGTCGTCGCATTTTTATTCCCTCCACTGTACGGGATTCCAATTGTCTTCTCGTTTGTTGTTCCCAGATCTGGAGTCGAGTGTCGAGTGGCGAACCATCTTGATGATTTGCCTTGTGGGTTTGACCCAACTGTTCCATCGTTCGACGGTCTCCTCGATTCGTCTTTGCTGATCGAGCGCCTCCGGCTCTCCTCCTTGCTGATGGATTTTCTGGCCTTCTTCTCTTCTCTCTCTTCCTTCTTTCTCTCTTGTTCTTCAAACTTTTCTCTGGCCTTCTTCATGCTCTCCACGTATTCCTCGCTGGAATTCCTACCGCCAACAATTTTGCGCTTTCGGTCAATTGACTCTTTCCGTCTGTCAAAAGAGTCATTTCTCTTTTTCGCATCAAGCGAATCGACGGTGTGTGTCCTTCCCAGTGGTGTAACTGGCGATATCGGCGCACTCTCTGAGATCGGAATTCTCGGCGGCAGTGCCAATGGCAACCCCGTCGAGCTGGTGACAATCCTCAACTGTCCAATCTGCCCACCTCCAACCACTCTCTTCCTCCCAAACCTTTGTTCACTGTACCCATCGTCATCCTCATCGTCATCCCCACTTTCCGAATTGCCACCTAAGGAGTTTGGATAAGACTGTGTCGGTGTCGGCGCATACCGTCTCCCAATATAATTCGGTGAACCGGCGTTGGATCCACCCGAGTTTCCCGAGATGGTACGTTTATGCTGCTGCCGATGTGTAGGTACGAAACTTGACAAATCAGTCGCTGAATTCCTACCCCCAATGTACGGCGACGAAGCAGAATAATAAGTCCCACCAGATCCACCGTCGGATTTTCCCAAATCCAACTTCCCACTGCCACCCCCTGTACTCGAAACTTTCTTAAGTAACGACAGAGGTTTTATAATCCCCTTTTTATGATGCGAAGGATCCGGCGGAAAGAATTCCTCTATTGTAGGCGAAGGGACAGATATTGATGTTTCTTTCGATATCGACCGTTTGTGAAGTTTCCCATGTAAATGTTGAGTTTGCTCCTTTTCGTAAGACGACCCAGGACGGGCTGGCACGGTCGCACCAGGCCCGCCTGTGGTGGATGAAGAATATGACGAATAACTCGCCATTCCCGCGCCTCCACCACCACCACCACTACCTATCGTCCGGTATGATGACGAGTGTTTTTGAAGTGTTGATGTGCGGGGAACTATGCTATGGGAAGATGACGAGGCTGTTGACGTTGAGAACGTGGAGTGGTGACGATATGTGGTATAAGGATGCGAAGGGGTCGAGTACTGGACGGCTGTAGCCATGTGGGAGGGGGCCTTGTCATGTGTGAATACTATATGACCTTTAAAGAGAGATGTAAAAAAGAAGGATTCGGAAAAGGAATAACTATAGAAAAGACCTTTTTTGAAGTCTTAGATATTATCTTCCCCTCTTTCTATCTTCCTCTCCCGCTTTTTTCCCCTTTCCTTTCAACCTTGAAGGATGAAGTATGTCTGAAGTATCTCCCCGTAGCCCAAAGGGAAGGATGGAAGTCCTCTTTCAAGGTTAACGTTGTTTTCGGTGAGGCTGGCTGGGCAACACAGGCGTTGGATGTTGAACCGCAGCAGCCGGCTAGTTCGAACTTGCGACTTTGGTGGTCACCCAAAATAGCCCTGCGGTCCTTTTGCCCCCACTTTTGGTTAAGAGGCCTGGAATGGTATGTACCGAAGCACGGTTACTGTTACGTTCCCAACCCGCGAGCACCGAAGCAGAGCGGTCTTATTTAGAGCTTGTCGGTTGGATGTAATGTAATGGTCGTAGTCGCAAAAGAAATAAAAAGAAGACCTAACCCTTTTGGCTGCATACGAATGCGATCAGTTACAGTCCTGCTGCTACTTTCTTCTTTCCCACAGATATAATATTTAGGATGTGCATAATATCGGCGACAGGGCGTTAAAGGGAACCTTGGTAAAGGGAATTTGGGGGAGGATGAATCTTCGACGTTTATGAAACGGACGGATAGGACGTTTTATCATCCCGTCTGTAGGTAATTACGCCCGTCCTAAACGACCGAAACGAAACATGCGTACATTGTAATCGTACACTAAGTATACGGTATCTTCTTCTTCATCAACAATAGAAGCCGACCCCCAAGAGAAATGCATGCAATACCGGCTGGCCTGGTATAGGGACGTACGTTTATTTTATGTTTGCGCCTGCAAACGTAGAAGTGGAAAGGATGGAGCAGATGAGATGCGGGAACGAACCAAAAGAAAAAAGAAAGCAGATGACTGCGGGATATGTCATCTGATCAGGCAACCTGAGCAGGCGCCAGGGAACCCAGATAGACGGGCCTCGTCCTTCTTCTGCTCTTGGTCAGGTTGAATTCAGTGGAGATACACAATCATACGGGCTATGTGTGTTCTTTTGCACTCTGCTGATTTCAATAAAGGCGGAAGGCGGGATGGACAAATCAGGATGGGTTTCACGAAGGTGCCCTCACCCCTCATTCCGAAGAAAGGCAGAAAAGGGAACAGGCGAGACCAGATGATTTAAAAGCGGGGCGATTTGAGGGTTAAAAGAGGGAAAAAGCGACACTATGACGAATGTCGAATGGGTAAAACGAAACGAAGGGAGGTCAAGCGAAGGGGGGTTGAAAAAAAGGCCTCCACCGCACTGGAATGCTAGGAATGAGGATTTTTTTCAAGAACAGATGAAGTGCGAGGGTTTTTGTACAGCTTCAAGAATATGTTCCTTCGAAGAGGTAAATATTGACGGAAGCAGGCTCTCCGTTTGATATTATTGTTGACATGCATGTGGGAATGTTTGCATATCACTCAGGAACCAACTTTCTTAATGATGCTAGTATGCAGAAAGAGGAAATAATAACAAGGTGTGATCGATTAAGATTTGGGGGGACCAACCTGATCTTTTGATTCGACGAACTTAACAAGCTGATTCGATCTGCTGCTTTTGTATACAATCGCACAAATATGCTGATAGGTACCGAAGACACAGATCGAGCGTCTGGCCAATAATAGCTTAGATCTCACGGGTAAACCCCAGTTTCTTCGAAAGGTATTCCAAATTCGTGTTAGGCCCGGGGATGTCGTCGAACTTTTGGGTAACCGTCTACAGAAGTACCTTTCGACCAGGATCTTGCTGGAAGAGGGAATATATGCTTAATAGCGGCTATATTATTATTGAAACCCTCGCGATTCCCAAAACTGAATGACCGGATATCTGGGAATATTGCCCAAAGAGATTTTTTTTTTTTTTTTTTTTCCTTTTAAGACCTTTTTTTTAAGGGAGGGTGGTGTGCGTCTTAGTAGTGGAAGCTCGAACCGATCGGGATTTCCTTAAAATAAATTTCTTCAAAGCACTCTTATTTTACTTTTCGAAGAAGAAAGAGGGTTCGCGTCGTTTACTTGCTTGCTGCCGTTGGATTTACCGCTGGCTTCCGGGCGGTTGTTCCTGTCTGTCCGTCTCCTAAAAATCTCGGTTTGCGATGTTGGGGGAGAATCGAATTGAATTGAAGTATAGCTGAAGCTCAGTAGGCGCCCACGAGCTGCAAGAAGAATAAGTAACTGTTGGAACCTCCCAAGATCCTGCAGGTTGAACCCTAATAAAGTTGTCTTTCGTCTTTCTTTATCGCTAATTGTAACGAAGTTCTATCGTTTCTTTTAACTGTTCAAGTAGCCGCTGGCCGAATGCAAGTGGAATAAATAGATGTCGAGCGGGTTTGAGCGACAATCCAAGATACGGCCAAATGGAGTTTGAAAGAAAGTAAGTAAGAAAACAAGAGAGAATCGGTCTCAGATATCGGAGATGCCGTAGCCGTAGAAATGGAAAGAAAATTGGCGCAAAAGGTGTGTGAGTGCGGGGTGGAAGCGGAACCTAGACTTCAATTCACGAATCGAACGGCGACCGTACCGATATGGTTCCCACGGCCAGGCAGAAGTCAAAATTTAACTCGAAAAAACAAACAGCACCTGCTACAAAAAAAAATTCCTCAAATCCCACAAGTAGCGAGGATCTGTTAGATAATCGGACTCGGTTTAGAGAAGATATGGGCCTTGTGGGATTGTTTGGCCTTTTGTGTGCAGCTATCCCGTCCGTAGCAAGAAAGTCGTCGTCAAATGTTGCGTCTTCCTTCAGCTCAGCCCTGTCGTAACCGCCGAGTGAGCGCAAGCCTGGTGAGATATTATCGACGGTCTGGCAGCAGGAGCAACAGATTGTTTGTATTAAAAAGCATGTATGTATGAAACACGCAAGCAAGCAAACGGGTAGTAGCGCTTGGTGGGGGGCAGAGGGGAATCTATTCAAATTCAATGAAGAAAAGAATCGATATAAGAATAGGAAGATCAATTGGATTGGATCCAAATGATGATGCTTATTATTATAAAGAAGAGTCCTAGTCGTGCAGCCTTCTCTATTTCTGATGTTTCGGCTTCTGCTTCCCCTGAGTGCACAGCAAAGGCTAGAGAGTTTGCCCGGGTATTCAGGAACCAAAAGAGATCAAGATCGAAAGAAGAGAATTAAAAGAGGCGTTCAAATCTGTTAGTGGGACGGGAACGGGCGGAAGTTCGAAGAGAGAAAAATAGGTAGATAGAAAAGTAAAATAAGAAATAGGGAGGAGCAGAGAGCCTCGATTGAAGTTGAAGCGATAGAAATCAATCTAATCACTCTCACTCGAGTGCATTACTCTCTCTCTCTCTCTCTCTCTCAAGCTCTCAGATAGGAAAGAGTTTTGGCACGGGGAAGCTCAAGAAGCTCTTTATGGGATCTGATCAACAAGAGCTTCCGAATTCCCATCCAAACCCTGCATAAGCTTAAGTGATCGAGTTTCTCTTCTGGCGCCGCTGAGAGGTGCCGATGGAATGCTTTATCCTGTCTATATCTACCGATCTCTCTTTTAGTCCTGTCGCACTGACAATTTTTTCCAAATCCCACACCACCGAATTCACGCACAAATTCTCTTTCACCTACATATCCGTAGCTAATATGCAAGGCAGCTGCAGCGTGCATGCACGAAATCGATGTGAAAGAGACAAACGCTAAGAAAGGGCTGGGAATGGTGGATCTGATACCTTGAGAATAGGCAGAGCAGGTTTTCGTGAGAGTGGGGAGCTGTCTAAGACCAGAGAGCTTCGATGCCCCAGCTGGACCTTAGCCAAACTTCTATCCAATCAGAGCCCTTCATCACCTTCACGTCTAGAAGCAGACATGAGTGGAAAAATTCTTGTAGATGCAGGAGTTGAGAGGTTCTCGGCCTCGAGCTGCCAGAATCGGCATCCCGGTCACGGTTTTTCTTCTGTCACCAGCCAGCAGAGACGGTCCGACGCACATAGTGCAGATGTCTACTGCAGCTTCACATCGACTCTCTCGAGAAAGAAAGAGAGAAGAAAAAAAACGCTCTACGGATCCATGGAAAGTCTTGCCACTATCACAAATCCATCCTCATCGCCGTGTTGTTCATCTATAACCCCAAGTTATCCTAGACTCTACTTACGGCACTGATTTCCAACATGATCTTAAGCTCAAACAGACCCCAGACGATCAACTGGGGCATTATGCCTCATGGGACCGAACTATTCCTTCAATACAGAGGTAATAAGAAATCTTCGGACGAAAGTCCTCCTCCTTCCGTCTAGCTAGAGCTTAACTTTTGAGGGCTAAAACGTCTATAGACGAAGCCAAGTATATCTCCAGCTTTCCCCTATCTTTGCAGCTGCCATTATTCTCTTAGCGAATAGAAACCTAAGCTCGATCCGAAGAGCTATCCACGATGCCGCATGAGTGGATCTCCACCAAAATCATCCCTTGTCACCCCTCAAATTGTTGACTTGTGCATTCGATGCATTCAGGGGAGCAAAGAAATCCTGACCTGCCAGCTCTCCTATTGAAGCTCTTTAGCACAGGTTAGCCGACAGCATAGCTCCATAGCTCCTAGTTCGGATGGGTTCTATAAATTCTCAGGGCCAATAAGAGCATCGCCTCAAAAGTTCTCCACAATCCAGAGAAGAAAAATCACGCGATGAGATGAGCAATGAGGCCGGATTGACCAGAGAATGAACAGAGAAAAGAAAAATGAAAAAGTGGACCCTCGCAATCCCTACTCTGTACACGTAGAAAACACCCCCCCTTTATTTTCGTGACTTCAAAATTCTGTTTTCGTACGCGTTCGCTCACAAAGAAAAGGAAATCGGCCCATGTATGTAACTACGTAGCATCTTTCTCGCCAGCGATGCCTAGTCGCATCACCAATCTTTTTTCGTGGCTATGTTTTAGAGACTGTGATCCCCACGCTTCGCTGGATGGGATTATCAGTTAGGCAAGCTCTACCGGACCCGCCTTCCCCTGCGCTAAATTGTAAGCAAAAAGACAGATTATGCAGGGGTACGAAAAGCCCTCCAAAATTCCAAAAGCTAAGGGGAAAAGGCTAGTCTAACAGGTCTTTTTGGTGTGCTATAACTCATGACATGACTGACCAGCTGAACAAAGTCGCGATTGAGGCGCTGTTGGCGACCAACTAGCTGCGCCTCTTTTTCTCGTCGAACAAACACCACAGCCTCTCGCAATAGACGAAAAAGATCATGAGTCGACGTCGTTGGTTACACGGGTGACAAGGATTAACCGGGCATGTAGAACGAGCGATTGACGTCAATAATAATGATCGGCGACGTAGAGCCGAAACCCGAATTCCAACATTTCAGGATATAAGCTTATTCGCTTTTTGCGATCGCGAATCGATCTCTAACTTCGCCTGAGGATATGTGTAGCTTATGTTATGAGGCTTGAAAGGGCGGAGTTTATAATAGCAAGATTTCTTTAAAAATAAAGTTAAATGGCCGGTTTGACGTATCGATTTAAATATTTGCGGGGAAGGGCGAAGAATTAATAGATCGCAATTTTGGCTTGTCACTATTATATATTATACCAGTATACCGTTATATGCATCGCGACCTGTACGTATATATACTTAAGTGCGTATATTGATGAATATAATAGAAAGGTTTATGATCTGATAGGCTGTGATTCAGGTAGGCGCAGTCGGTTTAGCAAGTAAGTACATAGAGACTTAGATATGCATGCTAGAAAGTCGGTACCTTATAATTATATCGTGTAGGCAGAAAGTCGATTAATTTTTAGGCCGAAGGTCTCAAAGGTATCGCCCCCAGTTCCAAGCGCAAGCTTGCTCCAAATGACATGCAGTTTGCCCCCCAAATCTCGCCCGTCAATGGCGCCAATATTTCGTAATGGAACCCCCCAAAATCCACAAGGAACTATGGCATCTTAAATCCGAGAGACTCGGGACAACATGTTTAGCTCTTCAAAAGGTCTGAACGGAGGGTTTGACGTGATTATGTCGGTAGACCCGTCGGCTTCGGAACTGGACTTAAAACCCACGGGATAGTATCAACATCAGATCATCTCGGAAAACCAAATACTGCATTTGCAGCGTCAGGGGTCTGGGTTTTCTGCAATGCAAATGCATTACGATGTTTGTGGCAATAGATATATTGGCCTGGACCTGGATAGGTTTTAGAAGTTAGGAGAAGAATCTAGCTCCGCGCAGATACCAAGACTACCTTCGCTAAAGTTATAGTAGCATACATTTTATGAATCTTCGAGGCCCGTACGTATGTACGCTGGCTTACATTGTTTGTGATAGAATCCACATACCTACATGCGCATGCTATGGCGCTAGTTAGTTGCGTGGTTTCTCTCGGCCGTCGAGACAGTTTAGATATCGTGATATTCGGACGGTTAAACGTTTATGGCAAGCTTTATGTAAGCACACTGGCACCAGCTGGCTTGCAGATGCGACTAACGACCTAAACAATACTTCAACTGTCATGAATGGGTTGATTAAATCAACGAGATTATTGATCAATATATGTCGGTAGTTGCAATTGGGAAAAGCAGCTTTTCAAGACTAGGGATTCGAGTTTGAGGTCTTACTAGAGCTCGCAGCTTCAAGCGGGGTTATGTAGAATCCATGATGGCCATATATACAAGGATCTTGAAAGGTCTTAATGCTACACTCGATTTAGCGAGAGAAGTGCCGAATCGCATGAATTGCAGCAAAAGCTTGTAGATATCGCCATTCAGGAGACTGTCCAAGGACCTTTGTCAAATTATTCGATTATTCATATTCATATTGAATTCATTTGATCACTTATCATACACCATGCCATATACACCATACACGACCGTTCGAATGACCGCCATTCTACCAGGACAAAGGCTTCCAGTTACTAGTAAGAGGCAGTAATATATAAAACAAAAAGCAAAAGAAATATATTTTAAAGTTATAGAAGTAAAGAAAATAACGGGAAATAAAAGTGTGAAAGGAATGAAGAGAAAAGAAAAGTGGACGAAAACATGAAAACGTCGTGAACCTTCGAACATCCAAAAACGGATCCCAACAGCAGAAAAACGAAATGAATGCTGCCTTTTTTACGCTATGCAAAACTGAAATCCAACAAAACAGATACAATAATGAAAAAGATAAAAGAATCGCTATGAAACCTGTGTATGCGAGCCCGATCCAAAGATCTATGCAAATGAGCAACGCTAGAGAAGGACATGAATGGGAATTGTGGGAATGATATATGGATATAACAAAAACAGACATGAAGGAATGTGCATTGAAGCCACTAGAAGTCTATATGCGCAAACGAATAGAAAAAAAGAATTGAGAACTCTGTAAACCAAATTAAAGGAGTGAAGTACGAATAGCTCGCAACGTAAACTAGATCAGATGTTACTACCCGCCTGATATTGTCGCTTCAGCGTTGTTTGTGTGACGCCAAACTTTTCTCAACTGCCGGATCACCTTAAGGTGACGCCGCAAGAGTTAGAGCCGCTTCCACATCAACTCTTCGGAAAGCGGTTCCTAGGCCTGTGCAAATACCTCGCAAAACCAGTTCTATTCGATATTTGTTAGCTGTTTCGTTCTTTCTCGACTACTTCATAGCGGAATTCTAGTGCTTACCTCGAAGCAAGATGTCGACTTTGACCTCCTTGCTGTAGGAAAGGTCTTGGTATTGGCGCGTCGGCCCACTCCGATAACCACCCTCCATAGCCACATCCTCACCTTGTGATGGGAGAATCACCGGTGGAAGATTGTATGGTGGACCGGTTTCGGATGGCCCGCCATGATACGGGTCTTGCAGTTGCCATCTCGATTCACTGCGGCTGACGAGGATCGGGGAGGTGGGAGACGCGGATGTAGTGGTCAATCGGATCCCTCGGAGCGCAAGGACCGCTTCTACTTCATCCGGGTCCAGCAGGCCTTCATCCTCAAGTCTCACAACCACAGGAATGATCTCATCAGCTTTGTCACCGAAACCACGGTTGGCGAGTGCAACCTTCAATAGATCCGGAGTTTTCGTGGCACGGTCCTGATCTCTTGGGCCAACACGAATCTCCCGAATGTTTCCGTTGAGATTCCGTTCAACCCGATAATGCAACCCGGACCCTCCGAGATGGGCAATTGGGAATTTGGCCAGTTGATACGGTTCCTTGTCCCTCCCACTGAGCAAGAGTCTCAAACTCTCAAGCGTCTCATCCTTTGATGCAAAAAGCAGACAATAGTTTGCTGGTAGATTCTCGTGGGTGACATCTGAGTTACCATTGACGAGGCGATAGTACCTCCATTCTAATGCGAGTCTACGCAAACGTTGAGCAAATGTTCGTTCTTCGTGAGGGGGTAATATCAAGCTTGTGTGTGGTGATGGTGATTGAACTCGACTTGGAATACTAGCACGGATTCTTGCAAGATTGAATGTGTCTCCTGGTGTATTTGGTGGGATGTTTCCACTTCCCTGGCTCTCTCGACTACCGGTGGACCGCGAACGAGAAGGATCCCCCTTGCGGACCGTGCCAGCCGGTCCTGAGAAGAAGCCCTCTTCTGTCCCTTCCATGCCCCCTATCAGCATTGGACCGAGAATCTGGCTCCGTAGGTGTCTGGCAATTTACCTTCAGCGTCTGTACCCCCTCTTGGTTTTCCGCCTTCCTTGGGGTTTTCTTCAGGATCATGGTCGCCACCATCCTCGCCTCCTCCTGCCGACGTTCCAATCTCTTTGGAGAGAGCCAGGATCTTCTCAGTTGCGGTGCGTAAGGTTTGGCCGAATTGTGGATTAGCTTCGACTAGCTTGTGTTCAATGGCAGAATCGTGGATCTCGAAGAAATGGTTTAGCATCGTCTCGATAGTAGACTCTAGATCCTCAACTCTGGTCTTCAATGACGCAATAGTGGTTTCTTTCCGTTGACGGTAAGCCCGCTGCGCAAGTCGGATTTGAGTTCGTCGTCTCTATGGTAGCACAAAGCAAATAAAGTTAGCTAACAAGCTTTTTAACGAGCGGGAACAGATTCGAGATGCAGGCGGCACGGCCATTGATAAGCAATGGCTAGCTTCTTTTTTTTTTCTTTAAAAGAAAAAAGGGGTGTGCAGCGGGACAAGAAGACGGTGCCTCACCTCAGCAGCAGTCTCATCCCGGTTATCAAGTCGAGGGCGGCCGCGGTGCTTCTTCTCGATCTCCTCCTGGTTGAATTGATCGATCTTTTCTTGGTCGACGTCCATTGCTGCAAAGTCGTTTTCAAAGCCGCCTCTTCTTGAACCTGAAGATCTCTTTCTACCTCTTACTATGGCAGATGAAGGACCATGAGAACGAGAGAAGTTTCCGGAGTGAGGGTAGTTATCTAGATCTCCTTGGTGGTACACGTCGGTGAAGTCTTGAGGGGCAACCCCATGTCCGAACTCCGCATCTTGCATACGGGCAAGATTGCTAAAGTACTCCGCAGATTGGTGTGCAGGCGACGCAGGCGCTGAGAACCATGGCATATTAGATCGGTCAGACATGCCTACGCCCGTACCTAGATATTCGTACTGATGACTGGGTGACGGGACGGAGTAAGCCTCAAACCCTGAATGGTAGTTGAAGAGTTGTGTGTCTGGGTGCGGTTCTGCGGTCAGCATGCCCAGATATGCATTATCGAGCAATTGTGGACCGGTCGTAGTTAAAGCACGAGTGGTCTCGGATGAAAAATTTCCTGCGTGCACATGCTCTCCCCAACTTTGGACTAAGGGATCAACAGTGAAGTTATCATGTTCACTGATATTTGATTCACGCCTCCGCGACGGCTGACTGAATCTTGCATGATGGTGGTCCATGTCAGTCATGGAAGGCGTCGATGCACGCTGCCCACGACGAAAACGGTCACCAGGTATCTCTGCCATATCTTCCCTTTGTTTTTTCGCTTCCTTGCTTCGCTGTGGGTAGCTTAGAAGATTCGCCTGACACAGCAAAGCGATGCTCAACTAATTCGTTCGTTTGTGCCGTGGGTCAAGGCAGAATTCCAAGAAGCCTTATGTAAGACCAGTCAATGGGACTCAGTAACGATAGTAATCAAATAAAACTAAAAGGTATAGCGGCCGGAACGAAAGTGTGTGTTAATTTGTCGTTTATGTAAAATGATATGCGATATTAGGATAGAAACTAGTCTGTCTGTCTCTAACCCCACGATTGATTCGATGTAATGTAATAATGCGTGATCAATATCTTGATTGCTTTGCTGGGTCCTGCTCGAGCGTACGTATGGATGATTGATATATGCCAATATCTTATATTCTTTATGTTTATTCGCATGAAAGGGAAGATGTTAAAGCGGTTGACCCGAACATGGTAGAAATCTTATATGATTCTTGTTGAACTCGGACATGCCCTTCGACGGGTACGTATATGCGGTACATGCGGTGACCCTCTGGCCTCTAACTTGCCAATTCTACGCTATGCTATATTACAAAGGTTTACTGATACGTAGCATGACGATCTTTTTTAGGGTCCTTTCCTTCAGAAAAAAAATTCGAAACCCTGATAACCGGCCTTGCGCCGCCGCGCAGGAACGGTTTTCGAACGGACAGGGGGCCGTCCAAGCTGGTGGTGGTGGTGGTTTTCGACCGCTTACCACAACGAGCTTAATGCTGGGAGGGCGTTGACAAAGCCCTGTTAGTTGGATTATGATATCAAAAAATAAGCTGTCGAACAATAAGGGTGTGTCCTGCATGCACATTGCACACACTACGATGCAACTTTGCTTCTTTTCCCCAGCAGCACCCTCGGCGATAGCATCTGATCAACTAGAGGAGGTCGTCAGGTACCTATCTGGCATAATTTGCTGTAGTGTTTGCTGTATTGCTTGCCTGCCTGCCTGAACTCCGGGTACGACACCAACTGTACCGGTTTCTTATTTTCTTACCTGAGCATGCATGCCCACAGACCCTTCGATCGGATTCCTAGCCAATCCACGAAAATGTCTGGCTTTCACGGGGCGAGAACACTTATTCCATAAGACATTTTAGTTAACTTGTTAATGGCATTGTATGAAGGGCATTGACTTGAAATTGCAAATTGGTGATTAATTAATTCCCACTAGCAGGTAGTAGGCAAATGCGCTAATACGTATGTACTAGTTAACAACGTCTCTTAATTAATTATTTGGTTCGGAATACGAGATCCGCCGTCAAATCAAACCGGAAAACACTCCTCATTGTCTTTAGCCAGGGTTACATACACTCATTGACCGACATCTCCAAAGTCGCAATATGTTCACATGTGGGGCGGGGGCGCTGGTGTAAGACGGAAGGGTAATAGTTCGAGTTAGCAATATACCCATCCCGAAGAACTATCCCGTCTCTCTTGTCATGTCGTAACGAAATTCTCATGTCGCTTTGAGCTCCAGAGATCTGTTCGCGATACATACATACTGGAGAGTGCCACAATGGATGGATAATTTTAGAAATAATGGGCTCGTTTGATGGGGATGCGGAGCTTAGCTAGCTTAGCTTCACAGAGGGGCATGGGCATGGGATTGCAATTTAGGCCGGGCATTTCGGCTCTGCCCTGCCCAGTGGTCGTGACATCAGTTTTGTCCAACCAACCAAGCCCGCCGTTGTTTAATCCCTGTTTATCTCACTATTCTCAGATCCAGGGGAGCTGATCCACTTCTGGAATTGCGAACGAGAGTTCCCCCAAGAAAAGATCCGAACTGCAACCGAAATCACGATATAGTTTTTGATATACCCGTGTACCGAGTAAGTTGGTATACTTGAATTGACATAGTATTGTATAGGACTTTCCTCAATGTCATTACCCGTGTCTTTATTTAACATGATTGGGTGCTGAGCCTTCTTGTGAGCTCGAGATGCATCGATAAGCCGCGTACACCGTTGCCTCTAGAGGTTAGAAGGAAGGTGATTTTGGTTTTTTTTTGACATTCGAGCCGCTTCATCCCATGGAGCTCTATCGATAACTGGGCAACGGCCGGGACACTACGGACAGACCTTCGATACCTCCGTCGCCTCAGTCATGTTCGAGTGGTGCTTCTAGAAACAATACCCCAGGGCCGCGGGGAGCCGTCGATATTACTAAAGTCCACAAATAGTTCTATAAATTCCTGAAATTCGGCTTCGGCACAAGCGAATGACATGATGTCGCGATTAAAATCTGGATTTGATTTTGTTCGCGCGTGAGCATAAGTACATAATGTCAAACTGAAATCCTTTGGAGACAAGTATTAAAACGTATTCCTCTGGAATACAACAGTTTCATCTCGACCATTCGAGGGACGCTAAATTTTCAGCATGTCAGCAAGTGCCTAATCATTAGGATGTTGGTGTAATGCAACTAACTTTCCGGTTATCGAACTTAATCCCGCTTAGAAAGAGGATCGGGTCAAGCCAACGAGTTAGTCAGCTCTCGATCCGGTCTATCTTCATGGCTAGCTTTAAGCCCGTCGCTCAGATCCCGGCTATACTTGGCGATATTGGATCTCCAACATCGGAAACAAGGTTTTAACGGGTTGGGGCTGCTGCGGCTTCATACTGACAGAAATTGAAGCTACTTTATCTACTTTGGGATGCTGAATTTTCTGAAAATAGTGACTTTTCCGAGCCTTCTCGATTATAATTTCCCACAAAATTCCAGGCTACCAAGTCTTAATTTGACTTGGCAAAGGGCCTTCTTTGCTAATTTTTCCGTGAACATAAGATCCCGCATTTCTAGAGCCCGACAGGCTCGAGACGATCCATCTTGAATCAGTGGATACGAGCTTCGAATTGTTGCTTCGCCGGCTTAGCTTATCTGATGAACGTTCGAACTAGGTAGTTGCTAGAAGAGAGTTCACCTCCTCTTGGCACACCCGAGATCAACAAGCATGGTATCCAGCTGCAATCGATGGCGCATCGTCGACGAGGAGAGCCCGTCACGAGCCGTGTCTGGGGGAGTTCCCTTCGAGGAATGGTGGCATGCTCTTGCTTACTAGGCTTGGACGTCCGTGATAGTAAGTACAACGACGCAAACATGCAGAAACAAGCACTTCAGCTACTGGAACCTTAGTTGAAACTGAGTTACACAGCTTCGTCCGGTCCAGATAGATGGGAGGCCTTGTCAGATCTCGGTAGGACGTATGTAAGACCTCCTTAAAACAATGCACCATCCACATGGCCCTCAAGCCCCTAGAACAATACATATATCGGTTTGTCCACCGTCACTGGTCGCTTGTCCTTAGCTCTGCCTCCCCCACATAATTTCGATGTTGGCGGTGCTAACATAAGCTGGGCTCAAGCCTCAACACCAAAAGGGTTCGTTCTTTCGGGACCTAGCTTAACCGAGGGCTTGGACGCCTGGATGCATAAGATTTATCCGTACACCTGTTCTGGAATTGGGAGCTGTGAGCTGTAAAGGAGGAGCTTTGGAAAAGTCGAAGCTGCCAGATATTTGATTCGATTCTGCTGCAGCTACTATGCTACCCATGGCCAAGCAAGAGCATATGCAGAGCGACAACGCACACGGGTCGAGTACTTCGAAGAACTCCAGAACTCTTCAAACTGCTGCAATGAGCTCCGGTCGATGCAATGTCGAGATCATACTCATCAATTGAGGCAGGTCTTCTTCGAATTTAATACGCCCAGAATGCACTGTGGAGGTTTCGACATACGCCGGCTTTTCTCGTATAAAATTATATTATTCATTGAATGGAATATGATGAATTGATTCTCTCTATCCGACCGCTTTCCGCCCCCCAGATAGTCGAGATATTCCCGCTAGAATATGTCGCTATCCCGCCCTTCCTAAAATTCCCTCGTATTCGTCCCCACTTGCTCTGCAACGTCAACAGCGCGATCAATATAGGTAAGTACTGCGCATTTACGGAACTCTCCCAGACGCTAGTTGGCATAAATGGCAAATTTCAGAATGCAAGCTACAATCACATACTAATATTCATGGTTCTAACGTTGAACGTTGGCGATAATACTATTATGGGTCCAGAACCCCCAACCAGGGGTTAACTCAACACCGCCTCTATTCTGTTTCCAAACATATACACCATATATAATATTCTGCAGACCCTTATCATTGACACGTGCTTGCCTTTCGCTTCCGTCCGTGTGGGATAGGGAAATGCACGTCTTCCTCCTGGAACGTTAACCTGGTGCTGTCAACAGCACCGCCTACTAGAGGTTTCAAGCTACTACCAACGATTAGTGAGCTCTTTGAGATCCATGATTCCAGTTCAGGTGAGATGTCTTGAGGGCCGACAACAACCGATTCGTCTCCATCCTCTAAACTAAAGATATCATTTCCATCCTCCGACATATCCTGCGCGTCGGTCTCACACTCTGCAGTGTTTCCTTCAAGGCCTTCCAAATTTTCCGAACCAAAACTCGCCTCCAGATCTTGCAGATTGATTTCCGGGATATTGTCGTCCGAAATATTCATGCCCTGAAAAACATCGCTGATGTCAGATGTGATCTTCTGGAGCTCCCTCTTGATGTCAACTAGATCTGTCGAACGAAGGTAGTCCGGACGACTAATCGATGGTTCCTGGGACCGTATAGATCCTTTGCCATCCGCCAAATATCTCTCGAGGGTATAACTCGAGGTTTCGGTGGGCATTGACCCTCTAACATCTTCATTATGCCTTTCTCCTGTTTCCATCTCAATGTCTCCTAAAGGATCTTTTCCGATATCACAAGTTTCCTTCAAGACACCTTCTAAGAACCCAGACGGTGCCTCGAGAGGTGAAACGACTAATTCTGGATCGTCAGACTCTCGAGGGGTTATCCATAATCCAATCCATGAGAGTGGAGATGCTCCAGGCCTTGAAGCAGTGTCGTTGGCATGCATTGACGATTCTATACTATCACTGTTCCGACTATGCAGCACTTTCATAGATCCCTCTGATGTTATTTTGATCAGAGGAACTTGTTCGTACCCTGGGGCGAAGAGCTGATCATCTTCGAGGGGCTCAGGCGAAGATAGCAATGGGTTCAGCCTTTCGCCCGTTCGTATCCTTTTGAGAGGCCTCTGGAGAGTTGGTAATATCTGATCGAAAGGTTCAAATGTCTGACTTTGGTCTGGTCTGGCTATTGCCAAGGGAAAAGATCGCCCGCAGGACACAGGGTAAGAATAGGGCCTGCCGACTGCCGACCATGGGCACCATGTAGCTGATGGGATAGCGATATCTACGCTCATTTTTTTCTTGGTATGAACAGCTAAGCCTGTGGGGGGCGAAATGGTAATAGGTCTTTTTTATTTTATTTTGTGGTTTACTCGTCGCTTTGAGTTCCCAAGTATAATTTAGATATTTAGGAAGAGTGCCTTCAGTCGTGAGATCATGATGAAGTTATATATATCACCAGATAATCTCCTGGTGTACTGAGGGGTTGGCGCCCCAATCCTTCGACCTTGCGTTTTCTGCGTTTGTATGTGCGTGCGCATGCATTTGCGCTCGCGGAGGCAACACGGGTGCGGATTCCAGCGTCTACCAAGGCCCGATTTGGATCCTCAGCCTGAAGTTCAAAGGTGCCCTGACTCGGAGTACTAGTACTCATCCTATGACCAACTTAGCCCTCAAGTAAGTACGAACTAGTGGCAAATATAGCTCTAGTGCTCGAATGCAATACCGCGAGCGCAGGCTCTCTGGTACATGTACATGTGCCATATAAACAAATCTATATACTTATGTAGATCTATCTATTCATGAAGTCAAAATAATATTATAATAAGGTTGAAATCAGCTCAATACACTTGTCCATCTACGCCCGAAAGGCTAGGACTCTAGCTTGATATATATGTACGACTACTCTAGCTACTGTGTGAGTATGCAGGTATCTAAGGCCGCTTACTTTCTCAGCCCCGATGGTTCTCTAGAACTAGCTACGTTAATTACGCTGATGCACATACTGGATTCTCTTGAACAAGGCTTATACAAATAGCAACTATGATTTCATAAACGAGGGATTCCGAAACGGCCGCATTGAGCATGTTTGGGTCTCCAGTTCCACAGAAATAGATAACATATCCCAGGCCATGCGCATGCGTTGGCCCAAATCCCATTTCCTGGAACAGGCTGCAGCGCTGTCTTGCGTTTCGGTACCAGGCTATCGATTTGCAGCTCAAACTCAAATTATAAGATTAATTATTGGCACAGGATAGGTCATCATTTCCCTAATCCAACAAGAATTAAGAGGATCACACAGGATCCGGGCCATTAGCTACTATAGAATAGGTGGGTATTAATTCTGCGAATTGGCAATATTGGAGGAACCTAGGCAATATATCTTTAGTACGAACTGTGCCATAATGAAAACTCATTTGAATGATATCGCAAAGCGGAACTGCGTTTGATCTCCTGACCACTTGGCTAGCGTTGGGGATTATAGCAAAATACCGCCTGGCCTCAAAGAGGCATGACGTGTATATATATCCTTCAAATTGGATATGCAAACTGTTCATTCCCAAACGTGTGATTGTTCTTCTGGCGTTAGGAGTATATTTATGACGAGTACTTGGTTCCGCACAGTTGAGGAGTCTGGCGGCGGGACAATTGGTTCTGTATATTTTGTAATATCTATATTTGTTAGTTATTATTTGTTTTGGTGTATGAGTTGAAGTTGCTCGCGCGCGTGAGGCTAGTTATCGCTGGAGCTATAGCTATAGAACTTACATCTTAACATCTTTGAGGCCAGTTGCTTGGCTGCTGCTAAGAAGATGTGGTTAGAGAAACGTTCAAAACGTCTTGCTCTGTGCAGCTGTGCATATTTTGGATATAGGCACCAGGCGACTTAAGATCTTAGATACGACATAGCTATAGCTATAGACTCGTCCCAGTACGAGACTAGGATAGACTGTGTGTAACCTGAATCTACTGGGCCCTTTGAGTCTGATGATCAACATGCTGATCCATCACCCTAAACGGGGTCATAGGGTGCCAGAACGCTTCGTGTAACTAAGACACAGTTTACAACAGGAACAACGCGGAGGGGCAGCGTTTGTCTTTCACATTACATAGATTATTAGGTCACTGGGGAAGACTATTAAGCTAGCCTTCCTTGATTGATATACAGTGGAGGAGAAAATAGTATTGATTTTGATTTTAGAAGACAGGAATCATGATGTCCACCTGATATGCGGAATTGAAGACAGGTGCTTGCTAAGATCCGTCGTTTTGCAGTCTAGTGACTCGAGGAGCGCTCCTAAGTGCCTCGTTACCGTTGTAGATCTGCTCACTGACACGTTCTAGCTCGCATGACCGTTTCAATAGTTAAGATGGGAACACGATATTGAAAACACAATAGTAAAACAAAGAAAAAAATATGGGTGTTGTGATATGTGGTCATGAGTAGGTGCATCTAGATTGGGATGCACTTGGGGATATTGGTTTCTTGAGTCAAGTAAACATACCAGCCTTCGGAAAGACCACCGTTGGTGGCCAAACCTTCGAACTGACAGTTATATCGATCGGTGCATCCGGGCCAAGCACCGCCGCAGCGAGCCAAACCAAGGAAACTGAGGAGGAAAGTGTTGATGACCAAGGAGGCGCGATTGCCTATTTCTCCATTTGGGACACGGAAATCCGGGGGAGAAAGACCACCACGACAAAGCTTGATAGCTGCACCACCGGTGCAAGCACAGTTTATACAGTCTTGGTTTGGACCAACGTGACAGTCTGCTCGGACTTTCTTCAAGCGGTCGGCGACATAGAAGAAAGCGCTGAACCAGTAGATAAGGGGGTTTGGACCGACTCGCTTCGAGCAGGTGTAGGCCCAGTCATCCTAGGAGTATATTAGCTTTAAGAACTATTGATGCGTCTTATGGCTTGTAGAGGGGGTTTATTGTTTGGTAGGTGTTCACTTACACGCTTGCTAAGACCAGAGTTGTTGAAAGTGGAGTTGGGAAAAGTGGGGTTGGGAAAAGTGAAGATGCCATCGGTTTCATTGAGTTTATTGAGGATGTCATCACGATGGTCCTATATGTTTTCGTTAGTTAGTGAGATTGATGTCAACTTTATGGTAACTAGGGAGTGCACGTGAAGCTACTTACAACTGAAGGATAGATAATAGTTCCATTTCCGTCGACGAGAAAGCCAAAGTCCTTGGCCTATAGAAGTAAATTATTTAGTATCTATTACGCATTGGGGGTGTTCAAAGCACTAGGTCGGCAGAGGTAACTTACGATCTCTTGAAGTGATTTCAATTTGAAATCGGCGGGGAGGCTCTATAATCACAACGAATGTTAATATGGGTTTCCTAGAAGACTTAGTTACCTAGATAGAGGGGTAATGGCTTACGAAATTGCCGTCGAAGGCAGGGAGTGGGAAGGCCTGTAGGTTCTTGTTAGCTATATCAGTACTTGGATCAAAAGAAGTCACAAATGTTACCTTCGTAGCGAAGATGAAGAAAAGGGTAGTGAGAATGATAACGATGCACTTCATCTTGGCAATTGAACGGACGAAGGAGGAATGATAGATGATGAGGAGGTATTGAAGTTAAGTCGATAGATGCTCTGTTGATCGAATGGTTGGTAGCTTGATGGTTACGTAGATGGTTAAATGTTGTTGTGAGGATGGAGTAAGTAGGAGGTGAGGTGAAAGAAAAAGAGGAGGAGGAGGGAGTGTCGATATAGATTAAACACCGAGAAATTTCAAGTTTGTAGGTGTGCTATATCACACTTGTGGCCAGCAGCGTCTGGGAACAAGACTATGCTGTATCTACAGATCACGCATCGCAATATCCCTACGCCTATGCACGTCTATACCTCAAATTCTGACTAAAACTCTTCACAATACGTGCGAGACTACGTCTGACAAGAAACTTAGAATTCACGATGGATAATTATTTTAGTGGTAAGATATTTGTAATTAGTGTCAACTATTAGAATCTCTCTAACATGTCGAGTGCCTGCACAAGGTCACGATATTTTATGACATTGTTTCCGGATCCCTAGCTAACTTGATCAACAAACATTTAGTTCAAAACACCGACCGTCGTTGCTACTGCCCCCGTACTGTCAATCTCGGAGACCAATATGCTCACGTATCCCAACATTATACCTCCCTAGCACGAGACTATCTGCGTACACATAAGAATATAAAAAATGGCCGTTGAAACATCACTTTCGAAATTTCGATATCAATAGGACTTCGCAAACCTCCATCTCACATATCTCACAGGAGATAGCGGAGGCTTCACGACTAGTCAACCTTCAAAACTGGTGGCAGGATAGTTCATTAGCTATAGAATGGTGGGTAAATCCTACATGGCACGCTGGCATCTGGCCTCGAAACTAAGTAGGTCCGGAAAAAAGCGAAGTTTAGATATTCATATATATAGCTGACACATAATTAGAGAAAGAGAGTATCACATGATGCAAAATATTAATCCTTTTGAGTTGCTAGTACTTACAGTAACATTGAATCGACTTCGAATTTAAGGACTTATAATCGATCATGGTGCCATATTTAATTTGAACATGAGGGGCTATGTAGCTTTACTAAGATGAAGATAGCTTCATAAATTTAACAGAGTCCGACAAGTCTAAGAACCATCTGTCAATTAATTGCATTGTTACACATAAGTCAGAAAAATCCAACATAGTTTTGAGTTGCAGACATGACGTCACTGCGGATCCAGCACTTTAAATATTGATAACTTAAGGCCTACAGAGCTCTATTCATATTTTCCGGCAATATGATAACAGGCAGAATATAGCTTCATATCAGACAGAACCATTGGAAGAAGTTAGAGCATAACACGTGATCTGGTGCGAAAATGGGCTTGGGTCTCTGTTTTAGGGTTAGTTCCGAGGCCGGTTAAACTCCGGCTAAACTACCACGCGGACTTCTGGCTATCGAGGGCGAGGACCGAAGTTAGACGCATATTACCGATAACCTTCTCTGCAAAATTATGGTTAACCAAACCATTGGTACCGAATGGTAGCATGACCAGGTGGAGGAGTTCTCTGGTTGCTTCCATGACCGGAGAAGGTGCGAATATATTACCCGTGGAGTCTAAGATTCTTATGGCGTTCTTGTCGTAGGAAATTGGCCGTGATTCGTGGATTTGGCCTCCACGGAAGGCGATCGCGGTTGAAGGTTTTGCAGACAATGTGGAAGGATAAATACTGCCTTTTCCCTCCTCTTTCTTCTTAAAATTTATTCTTGAGACCCATCCTGCTTTTTCTCAATTCTCCTCTGCAGTACGTACGAAGAACAACAGACTTTTGTTGCTAAAATGAGTGGACCACAGGTACGTAGACGTGTAGACGGATGGAAGCGGGGACTACCCCACTAGCCCCGCCATAACACATCAAAGCCTAATTGGGCAGAAGAAACACTAATAACTCTGCGTTTGACTTCAGAATCTTTCGTTTGTCCTTGCGAAACCGTTGGACGTTAAATTCGAGGACCGACCAATCCCGGAACTCAAGGACCCTCGAGAGGTACTTGTCAGAGTTCGCGTAACTGGTATTTGTGGTAGCGATGTATGATATAGCAGCCCAGTCTCTTTGAAACCCCTAACCACTGTGGTACTGTGAGGAAAGTTCTAACCAATAGTTGATTTTGTGAATAGGTTCACTATTGGCAACATGGTCGAATCGGAGATTTCATCCTCAAAGCTCCCATGGTTCTGGGTCACGAGTCTGCTGGAGAGATTGTCAAAGTGGGGTCCGCAGTGACAGACCTTCAGCCTGGCGACAGAGTGTGCATGGAACCCGGTGTCCCATGCAGACACTGCCCCGAGTGCAAGTTTGGCAAATACAACCTGTGCCACGATATGCGCTTCGCTGCCACTCCTCCATATGATGGTACCTTGGCAAAATACTATGTCCTTCCTCAGGATTTCTGCTATAAGCTACCAGAAAATGTCAGCTTGGAAGAGGGTGCTTTGATGGAGCCATTGAGCGTTGGTGTTCATGTCGTCAAGCAAGCCCAAGTCAAGCCAGGAGACAGCGTTGTCGTCTTCGGTGCTGGCCCGGTCGGTTTACTCTGCTGTTCAGTTGCAAAGGCGTTCGGAGCAACCAAAGTTGTTGCTGTCGATATTGTCCCAAGCCGTCTTGAGTTCGCAAAGAAGTATGCTGCCACTGGTACATTTCAGCCAACGAAAGAAGGGACACCGGCATCAAACGCTGCCCAGATTATCAAGGAGAACGGGTTAGGCGTCGGAGCTGATGTCGTCATCGATGCCTCTGGTGCAGAACCTTCGATCCAGACTTCTATCCATGTAGCCCGGAATGGAGGTACTTTCGTCCAGGCTGGCATGGGCCGCCCCGATATCACATTCCCGATAACCGCCCTCTGTGTTAAAGAGTTGACGGTCAAGGGTAGTTTTAGATACGGTGCTGGGGACTATAAGCTGGCGGTTGAGCTCTTGGCGCATGGAAGGTTGAGTGTTAAAGAGCTGATCACCAAGGAAGTCAAATTTGAGGATGCTGAAAAGGCTTTCGAGGAGGTTAAGAATGGCAAAGGCATCAAGATCTTGATCCGTGGGCCGGAGGACTAATGCCTGCCTTTTTACATATAACAAATGTTGACATGATACACTTGGCTTTTTTTAATCCCTTCTCTTTTTCAGCCTGTTCAAAAAATATCTCTTACAGAATCTTCTTTTTTTTTTTTTTTTTCTCTTAATTAATATCACTTCCCTAATTGAAATTCAACTGGAATATCAAAAGCTTAACTAAGTTCGAGTTCCCCGGGAGCGGGCCGAAAAAAAACTGGGGTCAGCAAATTTTAAAGTCACGATGCCCTTCTTGCTTATCAATTGGTCAGAAAAGGGCTCGATCTTATTCCCTGCTATCTGCTCATCCAACGACTTCCAAGACCCATGCAGTTCCCTTTTCTGTCGTGCCCTGTTCCAACGGAATCTGGCTGTGCATATGTTAATTTTGCAGTTGATGAGTTGTCACAGCGTCACCTTACCTAAGAAGGAATTTTTGCCTGCAATGCCCGCACTTTACGCACAAATAAATCTGATGGCCTTCGAAACAGCAAGCGCACACCCGGAGTTGAACCACGTATGTAATAGCCACTTGCCCCAAACTATGGCAGGTGAGTTTTGGCGGCAGTGGATAAACAGGGAAAATTTGGGGACCTTGGTGTTTTGGAATGCTCCGTTTAATGCAAAGTCTGTGAAGAATTACTCTACGCACTGTACTGCCAACTCACTCCAAGGGATATCTGCGGTTACCATTGCTCAGGGAAGCGATTTGCACCAATAATACCTGAATGGCAAGTGATTTGAAGCTATTGGACCCATAACAGGGTCATTCGTTGGCCCACGTTTCGATTTCTGGCCTTAATCCTAGTGAGTTCCTCTGCGGTCTAAGTAAATGCGGTTACACTTGGAATCGTCTTCCGTAATACTGTTGGCTGGAGTCTTTTTCTTTTCTGTTAAGTAGTGGAGCCTATGCTCTCTCCATCTCAGCCCAATATCCTTTTGAGTAAAATTAAGAATTGTACAAGTCATCTCTGATATCATTTATATATTCCGAAGGCATCTTTTGTCTTACACAAAAATTCACTCCCTCTTCTCTTCTCATCTTCTCTTAAACTCGACAACCAATTGTGGTTTGAATCAGCTGCCCAGTTGCATCTCAGGAATTCAAAATTTTCCATCCACTTGTCCGCAGACAGACGATCAGTGGCCCGCACAAATTTACCACAAAATCAACGCACAGTATTTAAAAATATATATTTCTGGAGCCTTCACAGCGTTTTAAGCCGTGAGGGGTTCCTTTGATTAAATAGTCAAAATTCAGTCGATTAAAGGTATCCAGACTGTCTCCGTCTCGCAAGAGACTTCCCATCATCCTCTCCAGGCCATAGCATTCAGGCAACCGTTTAAACTCGAGACCGTATTTACTTATACCCAACCGAATCTCAAGTTCTCCGTTAAACCGGAATTAAACGCTCCACCGTCACCCGAAGAAAACCCAACAGACGTTTTTTCATTCACTCAACCAGGGTCCGGATTCGCTGTCCCTCCACCGGCTCCACCGGCTCCTACAAAATCCTTCTCGGATCTTCGATACATAGACGACTTTCCTAGTGATTGGCAAGAAGAATTGCCTACTGGCTATATCCAAAGAGCGGGAAAACTCGAAGCCACACACATAAAGGCTGCCCCCGACGCATCTAAAAAGTCAGTCAAGGCTATAGGAGGTTGGGAAGTCCTTACAAGTTTCGAACCCGAGACAGATATCGAAAACTTTCTTATTCCAGCAGAAGAGGAAGAGGAGAGCGGAAAAGTAGACATTACCGCATTTGAAGTTAAGGACAATATTGCCACAAGGAAAGAGTGGAAGCCTGTTACTCAATTCGAAGACGAGCTCGACATAAGCAAGTTTGTCCAGGAAGAACTGGAGAGTCGAGAACCCAAAGAATCTAAACCGGAAGGAACCGAAGAAGCCAAACCGGCACCTAAGAAGGAAACACCGTTATTGACGTACCCAAAGATTGAAGCCCTGCTTCCGTCAAAGGACAACATTATCGTCTATACCCGCCAGGTTCTTACCTAAAATAAATAATAATAATAATGGATCCAGTCACAGAACTACACCACCTCAGGTACACAGGGAAGACAGATGGAAGGAGGCATTTGGCCAAATTTGAAAGACTAGTTGCTGAGGCATACCCTGGTGCCAAAGATTCCGACAGATGGCACTTATTTATCAAAACAATTCAACCGGATAACAAACAACCAATTGCTATTGACAGCCCTGGAGGCTGGTTGATTGGTTTCAGCAAAACCGATGCGTAAGTAATCAGAATGTTTCATGTTATCCTCATATCAGACTCAAACCTTCTAACTCGGCATATGTGTGATTAGATGGAAATCTGGTCGTTTAACCTACCAACACCTCAAGGCTGCCTTCTTGGACAGATGGGCTGGTCGAGGTCGCCGGGATACGGACTCCCCGACCGAGAGGCGGATGATCGAAGGACCCTCATCACCAGAAAGCGAAGCTTCTTATCACAGCGGCCCCACGAAAACAACAATTGAAATCGACCATAGCAACAAACAAAAGAACCAAATTGTGGTCAGCTTCCCTGATCGAGTTAAGCGAAGAAAGTCGTTCGGCGGCGGTGGTAATCTTAGTCGACCACGCCACCCGGGTGGATATCCTAATGATTCCATGGAATCTCCGTATTCTTCAGACTATTATACCCGCTCTCCGAGCCCCAGCGATATCGATGGCCCTCCACCACCATCTCTACCACAACCAAAGCAATTACAGCCTAAGGAAGTTGTTGTTGTCGTCAATGAGGAGAGAGCTCTTGCTAGAGTAGAACCCCCAACAGCACCACCGGCCGCTGCGGCTCCGGCTGCACCTCTTCGATCTAGGCTACTAGAGGGTCGAGTTTGTGCTATAACTGGCGCTTCCAAAGGTATCGGGAGAGCAATTGCAATGGGCTTTGCACGAGAAGGTGCCCATATCATCGCCCATTACTGGGGATCGTCAGCAGACTCCACAAACGACGAAATTGTCAGCCTCGCCGTTGATATCAGAGCAGCAGGACAGGGCTGTACCCTCCTTTTTGGTGATATCAGTGACCCAAAGTAAGTAACTTCAAGACGACCCATATTTCAATTAATAAATTCTAACAAGTTAACTATAGGACGAGCGAAATGATCGTAAAGAAAGCCGTTGATGCTTATGGCCGCCTTGATGTCTTGGTTACTTGCGCTGGAATGGCTGGCTTAGACCCTATGGACGTAAGTGTTTTTTACAATCGATCGATTAATTTGAATTCTTATTAACAAATCTTGTCCTTTTATAGATGACACCAGAAGACTTCGCTCGTTTCTCGGCCGTTAACTACGAAGGAACATACCATCTCCTTCGTCTTGCCGCCAACCAAATGGCGTCCCAGAACGTTGATTTAAAACCTGAGGACCCTCGTCCCGACTACTCTGTCATCTGTGTTTCCTCTTCTAATCCTTCGGAAATCGGCAACCACAATACACCAGCAAAGGCCGGAATGGCCGCCCTCGCCCATTCTTCTGCTTTATCACTAGGAAGCAGAGGTATTAGGTGCAATACTATTCTTGCGGCGAACATCGAGAGATCAGCAGAGCCACTAGAGGGCACTGCTGAGGAAAGGAGAAAGATCCTGGAGAGAATGATTCCTCTGAGGAGAGTAGGTAGACCTGATGATATTGTTGGACCAGCAGTGTTCTTGGCTAGTGCGATGTCACGGTACCTTACTGGGACAACAGTAACCGTAGATGGCGGATTTGCTGGCTCTTTCTGATTCTCTGACTGATTCACGTGCATTCTTTTCGCAACCCATATATACTACATTCTTTCTATGTTTATACGGGGGTCTTTTACATTTATTTTTTCAGTTCATTGACATATACCTCGCATAGCATCTCTGCAGTTTTTCAGCGCTGGGTGGATAATTTATGCACTGCTTTTTTTTCTCCGCACTTTTTTATATTGTCTTTCTTTTGGGATAATTATTCTTTCACATACTATCAGCATTTCGTTCAAGCATTTTATCATCGAATTATACGTTAGATTTGATAACGATATGTATTTACGCAGCTCTCACCTGAGCAACCAGGCATCTAGGATATCTATAATAGATACATATATCGAATAGAAATTTCGAAAAGCTCCTAATTTCTGAACATTAGAATCAAAATCTTAAAAACTACATCCGTAAAAATTGAATAAAAAAAAGCTCGTATACCCCCTCCTCATCAAGGGCTGTTGTTCCGATGGCCAGGTCATCACTAGCTGAGTCAGGATACCAAATGGCTAGAGCCGGTACATAGGAATACTTGTTGGGGCCTCGTGATACTTGCCAGCTGGCAATGAGGCGCTAAGATGAATCCTAGTCGATGTCAATCCTAGACCCGTTTAAACCTTCTCTGTACCGAGATATTTGGGTTTTAACATTGAATAATGCACCCTAGCGTTATATATAGTTCGACTGGGACATTTTCGCCCCAGTACGATATCCCCGATGCTGAGGAGAAGATCGTAAAAAGGTAAAGTTAAATTTTTACTCCGCAGACGTCCATGGTTATAAAGGTCATTAGATATACATACTGAAGCCCGCCCATAAAACGGGGCTTACAGTAATTTGCGGGGCGTATTTCATGTAAATGGCGATTTTCTTGGTTATCTGTAGCCCTAAGCCACTAAATTCAAATACTCATGAATTGGATGTTGTTGTTGGGGAACCTACTTGGGGTATACACGCTGCACGCTTTACAGTAAGGACATTGCAGATAACACTAGCCCGGCTGGCGGTTTGGGCATTAGGCTATCAAGGACCTGTTGAAAGGATCCGACTGCAGCTGATAGTTCGATTTTTTTTGCGGGGAGCTGGCCAGGTCCGGAGGGGAATACATCGAATAGTTACTCATATCGTTACAACAAGTTGTGTAACAACACTAGCAATTCAAAATACAACAGATCTGCAGAGCCGGTTCTGTTGAGAGCGAAAGCTAGTCTAAGCCAAAAAAAATCTTAGGTGAACAATCAGTCAGGTCTTCTATGTGTGCATAAGTCTAGTTTATCTACCGTACCCAGCCTAGTTTAAAGACTTGAGACTATTCTGTGAATTTTTCGTGATATCCACGCGCACTTGGAAACACCACCGGCATCCCATAGTCTTGGATATTTCCGAACCCAATAATGCAATTAGTTGGCTACTACTTATTAGGGTCCGCACTCGCACCAGCTCCCCGCAACAAACACAGCATATAGGTATGGATTATGACACTACCCCCTATAGAAGATTTGGATGAAAATTTCCGCCAATTCAATACTACTTGTTAGCTACTTCAATGATCCTTAACCGACTGAAACTGTGTTAAATTTCGTTCCATGTATGTACATGTAAATAGCTTCGAACACACATTGGTTTTACGGGTCGGCCAAATTATGGATTCATGAGACTATGCATGCATGGTTATCACGAATAAATTCCACAACAACGAATAAACAAGCAGGCAGGTACATTGATAACCCAACAAAGAACATATCTATATATCTATGAATAACATAATATTTGCAGGTTTGAATAGTATTTCGATAAGTTTGTATATTAAATATCCAGGCAGTTATAAATCAACTTGAAGGTATAAAGAAATTGTGTGGTACCAAAATAGCACGATTCAGGGCTGATCGTTTTTTAAGCGCTGGCAAGTGTCAAGTCTCGGTTAAGTCTGCCCATGGGTTAGCCGCGATATATGATTCGATGAATGAATACTAACGCATTTAAAGAAATAGAAAGTGAACCGGAGGGAAGGGCAAAAGTGTTTACATTTATGTCAAGGGGGTGGCACCGAATGGTCTGTGCCGCGATGCCGCAGATACTATTATACTTCCGTGGCTTCCAAGCACACTCTACCTCAGCGGAGGGTGGATCCGAGCTACCAAATCCATGCACGGGAAGCTTTTTGTTCTATATATACAAGCAGGTGCATACTAAGCGTTACGAGACCAGCTAAACCTATGATACTGTAAACTTGCCAAACCATTCTGAAAAGCCCGGGTATCGTTTGAACTGGCTTGTGGCAATTTTTAACGTGCAGCGTCCGCGTATATATAAGTAAATGGGACAGATCCTAGTTGAATATGGATGAACTCAGACAAATCGTCGACTTTTCATGATATCAACCATTTAAACCACTACATTTTCACAAGAATACCGAGTCCCCATATTAATACTTCGCCGTTCATAGCGCTGTAGCTAGCGGTTCAATTCTTTGTTAGCTGCATGTATCCTTCAAAATCCAGCTCCGTACCTCAGACCAACCCAGTGTTATTCGTCACTCTATTCCACGCCGACTTCTCTCCCTTAGGCCTGGTTTCCAGTTGTGATACTCGTCCACGGGTTTAATTGCGACGGAAACTAGAAGCGCTAGCTAGCGCGAAAACGCCAAATCCAAAAATGAATCCAACTTTTCGAATTGGACCCAGCTCCACGGAAACCGTGGATGAATACCTCGCGAAGACTAGGGTATCTGATGTCACAATTACGAATAATCGCAATGCGTCCATCAACCTGCCTCCCAAGCCCCTCCAACGGTTCTTCCTGCGAACATTACTTCTTATAGTTGCCCCGATCACCGTCACAGGGCTTTACCTTGCGGTTTGGCTTTACTTCATGGTATTCAACGAGGGCGATTTAAAGTATGCTAACATTGACCACCAATGGATCTTTTACGCTTGGTTTGCGGTTGCTACCTTTGGCTTGAATTGGTCAAAGGATGGTCTTGCTGGTATCGAGGTTGCGATGCTCCGAACACCGTATTGGCAGGCTCGTAATGATACGGTCCTCATGATGCACATGCAAAATCACTGGGGCGGGCCTGCCGGTTGGATTCACTGGGCATTACATATTAAATCCCGGGGGAAATTATATTTTCCTAAACTTTTTACCTTGCTGTCGTCTGTCAGTGTTCTGATAGTCATCGGCCTACCACTTTCAGGTCTGACGCTCAACATAACTGAAGGCTTCGTCGCGTCTTCAACATCCCCACTTGTCATTGGTCGCATGAAAGAGAACTTCTATGACCGAAAATCAGACGACTTGCTTGACTCACTGCTCAAAAGCTGGATCATTGGGTCTTTTCCAATAGTTCCCGGGTATGGGATCTTGTATACGCCAAAGAACGTCTCGCGGAGCGACTACGATAATCTTGATAGGTTTCCCAATACCCTACCTTTGACCAAAAGCATACCGGAAATATTCTTGGCTCCCCAGGCAGAATATCCAATAGCGGGGAGGCCTTGGGGTCTTCGAGCCACCTACAATTGCTCTATAGTAGAAGATGTTTCGACCTTTACTATCTTAAACGAAAGGCCATCAGCATTTCTTGATTTGCAAGAGCTTAATTATGCTTTTAAGAAAGACAATCGCGCCCTCAAAACGCCATCTGGGGGCTCAATTACTCCGTTTTTCACTTCGGGCAGTGTTGGACCTAGTGTGTATCTTAACACTTACGCTGAGATTGGGAGAATTGAAGATCGTCCCGACAGGGACGTGGATTACGGCTCCTATTGGAAGGAAGTCTATAATGGGTCAGATATATACTACAACAATCACAAGGGTGTTTTGGAGTACGCACTGTGGCAGATCCGCCGACAGAGCTCCTATAATGAGACTCAGTACAGGCCCGGCTACAAATTCAACGAAACACTAGAGCCAACAATCAAGGGGATGTCACGCCCAACATTTAAGCATGCTAACGGAACGTGGGTCCGGAATACAACCTTCTTTCGGATCAATACGAAGAGCGCTACCGATGGCCCTATTGATGGAACTGCAGATCTTGGAGAATATTTTCGTTTTGGTGGATTTCCCGATGGAGAATTCGCTCCATACATTATATCGGTCATGGACCCCATTGGGGTTCGATGCGAGTATACTTCCGCGGTTGGTACAGCCAAGTTAGAACCCGAGACATCTTCCTTCAGTTCATTTGTTCCTGAGCCCCCATCTTGGGATGTTACCCTCAACAGAAACACTCCCCTTGGATACTCCGCCGTAGAGGTCCTAGGGGGCACAATTGCTGGAATATTCACTTCTACGGGCGCCCCGCCCCCCGTGACGATTTCTAACACCGAGCTCTACGAATCCTTTGTCCAACCGCGGGTCTTGTTGAAATCTATCATGCTCTTCTTCGGTCTCGACGCGTTGCATCTCATGTACGACAGCGCCAATGGGTTCGAGGGGGGCTGGCGAAACGAGAATTTGACTTCGTCGACGAAAGGAAATATTATTACACCAGGAGTCGTTCCTCCCTCCATTCTACTTATCTTCTTTGTCCCATGGACTATTATATCTCTCATATTAGCGGCGTCTTATGGGTTCCGCCCGAGGTTGAGTGACAAGCTGGATTTTCACAGTATAGTCCAACTTAGAGAAGAGCTTGAGGATAGGCCGGTTGTGATGATATGATAGGGAACTTGTGACGAAATTTATTATGCTTGTATTTCGTTTTAATGCTCTGGCGAATTGGGCAGAGGGGCGTTATTGGCGTTATGGGTTTTCTAGAACAGCTAGTTCCACTTGGTGAACTAGTCTAATCAAATATTCAGTTGTCAATAGATTAAAATAGATAAATCTGATTAATGTAAAATAATATATTATGGTTCAATTAATCGATTGATCGATTATGGGAGAGACTACCTATCAATATTTCTCACCTTCAAAGTCCCCAGAATTCCCAAATGCTACAGAGAATGGATATCATATTGATGTATCATATGCAGGCTATAGAGTTCAAATTGTCTAATCTTTATATATATATATTAGATATTGAAGATTCAGATGTAGATAATTGGATCGAAAGGGGATCAAGTGTGAATTCGAATTCGCGATGTATAGATATATCGATATGGCAGATGTGGGCTGTACAACCGAATCGAATAATATGATATACGTCTTTTCGTAAGTAGGCAACTAGTTCAGACTCATCCAAGCTGGCTTTTTTACATTGTATTATGGATGTCTCCTTTGATTTTCATTACGATAATATGCGCCGCGGCGCCGGTAGCAATATGAATCAACAAGGGATATTTGTCTCCTAGGATCCATACCACCTTTTCCGGCAACCTAGATAAAGTATCGATAACTTGTTGCATCCTGCGTGTGCTCGCGTTGCTTTGGAATCAGCCCAGCTTGATATAACGCCACATGAAGCTATTGAACCATTTTAAAGACGCACTCGTGAAGAATTGTTAATTTGTATGTAACATAGGCCAAGAGATCGATTAATAGTAGTTATATCCCAATATAAGGTAATCTCGTTTCCAGAACGTAAGACTAGTTATCGATATATATCTCGATATGAATCTACTGTCACTTCCAAAATAGCCTGATACTTGGGGTTCCGGAAAGGTTCAAAAAGATATCGTATCACGTATCTTTAGACTATTTGAATGCTAAAAGGGTAGTCCGGCTCCGCGAACTACTCATCTTGATATTGCAAAATGTTAACTTAATCCAAAATATATACATCTATGAGTGATCATAACAATGGCGTTTGATGCCACAAGCAGATAAATATTACCCGCAGCTTTAAAGATCAGCATTAAAATCTTAAGCGGTCTTGATCAACGATGTGAAAAGGTCGCCAATAACGCGAGCACTCTTCTTTGGGTGTCTCTTCTGACCACCGTCGTAGTCGACATAGGTGACACCGAAGCGGGTGACATAGCCCTCAGCCCACTCGAAGTTACTATCGAACTCTGTTAGTATATAATCAAGGTGGGGGAGTAGTGAGGTCAGAACTTACTCCATCAAAGACCAAGCGGTGTAGATGCGGACATTGACACCATCCTCAACAACGGCGTCCTTCATAGCGTTGATGTAACCTCGGAAGTATTCGCATCGGAAGTCGTCCTCGAGGATCTCTGGGAATGGTGGTTCGGCCTCACCGTCGCCTCTCTTAGCTTCGGAAGTACCGTTTTCGGTGACATAGATCTTGGGGAAGTTGTATCGCTTGCTCAACCAAACGAGCAACTTTCTGAAACCAATTGGGCTGGGTCTCAGCCAGACACTCTGGGTCTCTGGTCCAATGTTTTCTCCGGCCTTGCTGTAGAAACCGGTTTCGAGGTTTCCAAGGAAGTCAGCTGGCTCAGGTTCGCCCTCCTTGTGCTTGATGTAGTTGGCAGTGTAGTGGTTCATTCCGTAGAAATCGTTGGAACCCTTGATGAGTTCAACTTCTTCTGGTGTGAATTCTGGGAGACGATCTCCGAGCTGCTTCCTCATCGACTCAGGGTAGTGGCCGAAGTAGACTGGGTCGGCGAACCAAGAGATGGCGAATTCGATCTTGCGGTCACAAGCCTCAACATCAGCTGGGTCTTCTGGGTCCCATGGCTCGGCCCAATCACCTATGATACCGATAGTGTTAGATTTAATCAACTAACATAAGGGTGTAACTCTATATATCTTACCATTCAATGTGATACCGATCTCACCACCGTTCTTTGGCTTGAACTCGTCACGGTAGACCTTGACGGCCTTTCCGTGGGCGACGAGCAAGCTGTGACCAACGGTCCAGCACTCAGTGGAAGAGTCACCTTCGGCGGAGACGTCACGGTTGCTTGTCCTTCCAGGGGCGTGGAGGCCGACATTGTAACCGAGAACAGCGCTGCACCATGGCTCGTTGAATGTGATCCAGTGCTTGACGGTTGGGAGGGCCTCGAACATAACTCTGGCATATCTTTCGAAGTCCAAGCTGAATTCTTCTTTGTTGAGGAGACCGCCGTACTTCTTGTCGAGGTTATCTGGAAGATCCCAGTGGTAGAGAGTGACCATGGGAGCGATTCCAGCTTCCTGGAGCCTCTGGACGAACTTTTGGTAGTGCGCAATACCAGCTTCATTTACAGGGTCATCTCGGCCACCAAGTGGGATAACACGGGGCCAGGAGATGGAGAAACGGTACACCTTGGCACCGAGGTTCTTGAGGAGGGCAATATCTTGATCGATATTGTTGTAGGAGTCGCAAGCGACATCTCCAGTCTTTCCATCAGCGACCTTTCCTGGAGTCTTCGAGAAGGTATCCCAAATGGATGGGCCACGGCCATCCTGATCGAAACCGCCTTCAATCTGGTAACTATATTCGAAATATGTTAGCAAAAACTCTTATCTCTGTCGAGTTATATGATATTGAAAGACAGGATAAGATGGAGCAAGGGGGGTGGTGCGGGGTACATACGCGGCAGTCGCAAACCCCCAAAGGAAATCAGATGGCAAAGACATTCTGGATCTCTGGTTTTTGGTAATGTATGTTAATATAAAGATGTAGTTTTCTCGTCGGACAAAGTTAATTGTTCACGAAGGCAATGATGGGAGGAAATATACGGACCATCTTGAACATCGAGCAGAACCTCCGAGCTTTAAATACGAGATTCTTGCGTTCAGTCTCTTCGTCGCGTCGATTCCGAGAAATTGAGCCCTGGCGTTTCTCTAGTCGCTCGGATTTACTTGATGCGCCATATAGCCGTATATCCACTCTGCGACAAGGTCGTAGCTTGTAGACTGTATAGCTCTACGTCGCATTCTCTAAGTTTTGGAGCTCGCCAGCTGAGCCAACCATGCCGTTTTAGTGCCGCCATCGAGCTATCTTTCCGTCGCATTGATCCGGGAAGTCTGGGGTAGCAGGCTATACAGCCACCAGTTAAGACCACGGGCAAAACCCCACGTTCCCACCGAGGCTTCAACAATAAAGTGGTGACCTGAAGCCCTTCGGAACATCTCTGGAATAACTTTCACAACACAAAACCTCGGAAGAACTCTGGAAAAACTTTTTGAGGCTCGTATCATAATTGTTTCTTAGAAGGCGACGCTTTGTTTCGTGATAATGGTCATTGCGTCAACTAGAACGGGCGCGTGCTGTCGGGACTCGGTTTGAAGCTAGATTCAGTGGGTTTTTTGTCACGAGATTTCGGAAACATACGGTAACACAGTGGTCAACCACCGTGACCACAAGGATGATTCGTCTGATATTAATCAAGCCAGATTTGCTCTAAGCATTTGAAGATACAGTAGAAGGATCTCATAGTTTTTATGTTGTCGCAAGATGTCTGTTTCAGTGGGGTTGGAAGCTCACACACGGCTATTCGTCCCGTCTTCCGTTTCCGAGGCTGTTGCCAGCTGCCAAACTTTTAACGCATCAGATGATGATGGGTAAATACAACATTGCATAAATAGAATCCATTTCTCCGCACTAGTATTGATTAAAGTATCGGCTTCTCGCCATAGTCTCGTCATTTTATATATTGGCACGGAATGTATACGCCTATGTGTATAGGCGAGTACATTCTTTCCGTACTGTCGCTACCAGAACTCGGGTCTTGTCAATATGCAATGCCCAGATCTTCTCGGCCACTCGGCAATCTCCTAGGTCTATCCGGGTTCCGAATATTTAGTAAACGCTCTGCGTATCGAATTTGTGGCATGATCATTTGATCGAAAACCTCTGCCGAAGTTTTGTTCAAATTTATCATTTGGGCTAGTCTACCCGAGTTGTATAGTATTTTTCTAAACACAAGTTGAGAAATTATTCCGGAACAGAATTCTAGAAGACGTTGTTTATGGATCTCAGTACTTCGCTTCGTTTGGGGACTCCGGTGCTATAATATATAATAGGACTTCAGACTACCCGCCACGATGCCCGCCTATATAATTGTGTCAGACCTTCTGTAAGTACTATTAGTTTTGTCGAAACATTCGGCCAAACTAACTCTCAACATATACTTGTTGCACGGCATGAATTTGAGCGCTAGAGATGAGTCGATAACGTTTATAACAGTGGTCTACTAGATTATAATATTACGCTTGTCTCAAACCAGACTTCGCAAAATATTATGTGGTTATATAAAGGATATTAAGCGTACATCCGCTCCGCGCTCAAATCGACCACTTCGTCCTCCAGCCCAAATGCCGCGTGTCTGATCGTGCTCTCGACGTTGCATCTCAGCTCGCCAAACTTCAACCGGTGTTTCTGTAAATCTGAGCCGCTGTGAACCACCCCAAAGCAGCTGCCTTTGCCCATTTCGTCCAAACTTGGATTCCTGGTTGTCAGCATTATCTGGGAGAAACCCCATTGGCAGATGTCGCCGTTTTTCAGTGTCGCTCGCAGTCCAAGAACTATAACCACCATGGAGAACACCATCAACGGCCCGTAAGATACGTACAGCTGCGTAGACCGATATCGGTAAACGTTCCGATAGCTAAGGGAAGTACATGTTGTCATGATCTTTGAGGAAACGATTAGATCCGAACGGCTCAGAAGACTTATGGTAAGATTATGCGAGAGTTCTTCAAATCCTTCTCTAAGGTTATCCATTGGGAAATTTTGAGTTGAGTTCCTAAAGTCCTGGCTGAGTGTGATCCACGGCGTAACAAGATTTGTGAAAATGATGTCGGTATTGAAACGGACACCCCTCATCGAAATTCCGCCGTATTCGAAAATTTCACCTACGAACGGCCCCTCGTTCCCGGTGAAATAGCGGTTGTATGCAAAATACGCAAGTTGTTCGTAATTCGGGAGAGAAGACTCTAGATCCGGGATGATTGGGATAAACTTGGCAACCTTGCTGAGCTCATATGTTACCGTCTCAACTCCATTTGTAAAGTCGATATCTACGTTGTAGGTCGCGTTGTATAGGCTACACTTAAAGCACTTGATGTAGTATTCTTTTCGTTCTGGAGCCTCGATGTATAGATAAGGTCTGAGGGGTACTCCCGACTCGGAATATCGCCTTTCTTCTTTCTTCGGGTTCGCATATACTGTCCATAAGTCGCCGTTAGAGGACACACTCGAGTTATAGTGGTGAGAGAACCTAAATATTTCTAGCGGATCCCAAGGTGCATCCTGCGACTTCCAGTCCTCATCTGTGCACTTCAAAGCGGGGCCGTTGAAGTTTACTGTATAACTACAGTTGGTACTGCATTGAGAAGGCATTCCCAGTATCCTCCCCCCAACCGCGACATTAGTACCGAGCTTTCTCAAGATAGTTGACGGATCCGCAGAATATGCGCCTTTCCTGGAATCTGCGCTGTAATAGTCATCCGCGAGGCGACCGAGCCTTTGGCTGCCATATTCCGGTAAGGCACCGAAATTCAGGCTCGAAACTTCGCACAGTGAAGTAGTTTCATAAACGCCTGGCTCGATGACCAGTGTGCTAGGTGGAACGATACTCGCTAATGGCATAACCCTCCAACTCAAAGTTAGCGCAATTTATAGTAGTTTCGGCTAGAGATTTGTCTTCCTTGGAGCCTCACCAGATCCCAATCGATAAGATACAAATTAAAGTTGCGCGCTCCCACAATTCCAGAAGAAAGAACGGCGTAAGGTCTTTCGTAATTGTGAAGATACCATCAATCCCATAGAGAGTAAATGCTCTCTTTTTCACTCTGCGCCAGGCTATTTGCAATAGAGCCGTACCAGTGGCGCCGGCGACAAAAGCTCGTACTAGAAAAGCAAACACCAGGCCAACTTGCAGAGTAAATGACTGGCTCAGTGGAGCGCGTCCATCCAGATTTAAATTGAAACAGTGATGCGACACAGCTATCGCGAAACCTAGGACGTATAAGAGAACTATCTTTCCCACAGTCCTCCTATTGGTTGATGAGCATACCATTAGTTAATAATCAATGATTTCAGACTATACTATTAATTACTTGATATCCGCTTGTTCCGCGAGAAGGGTTCTGGATGGGACATTGTCTTTCTCTCGGGCCTGAGGTGTCGGTGATTGCTTCGTGACGATTTCCACACCGTCTTGAGGCCCCAGAGTGTCCAATAAAGGGTCTATAGTAATCGCTGTTGCAGCCATGTTCGTAGTACAAGATATGGAACATAAAATTCCATAGATATCAGGGTACAGATACCTGCTATTTATCAAGTTAATCAAATATACAGCCTAATCTGGGAAGAGGGGCATGGAGGGATGTGTTTCAAACAATGGGAAAGATACTACGATTTGAACCAGGCACACAAGAACGGCGAAGTTTGCTGATTGCTTAACATGCATATAGCTGCAAAAAACTGCATCGCTGTGGCACAGTTGTACCTTGTGGATGTGCCATTCGCTTTTTTCTCTCTTTTTTATTTTATCAATTATTCGAATATCCACTTTCTTAATTTTGCCCCCTTATCCGTGCACGGACTTCACAACGGCATAATAGTTTATTAACGTGATGTCGAGAAAGGTTATAATCTATGGCATATACACCAGCCTCTTGAGTTCGCGTAGTTGTAACAAGAGTAGTAGTAGTAGCATAGTAATAATACTTACTATTAGCAAATCATAAACACATACTGGTACCAACGAGACCAAACACATAGCAATTTTGAACGTAATTCCATTTTCCATCATTTGAAAGCTAACCTCAATATATATGGCAGACGTGCTCCAGGTTGCTGCCCAGCTTATGTCAGTTCGGAGTCGACGTCGGCAGCCTCTGTCACCGAATGAACTCGGTATTAAACTTAAAACTGCATGAAAGATTGCTAGAGGAGTGGTTGAGTATCAAATAATTCCAACACACTCATGGGAAAAACAAGAACCTTTTGTAAATGGAAAGGTCAAAATAACGAACTATAAGAGCTTAAAAGTGAACTGTAGTTTTAAAAAAGAAAAAAAGGATTTAGGTAAGAATACTCAGGTACTAAATTGATGTTTGGATTTAAGTTATTCTGGAACACTTACGGACAAAAAGACGGACATTTTGCAACATTTTCAACACGGGATCATGCGTTGTAGGCGAGGTCCAGTCTCGACACTAAATCAGCTTAGCTCAGGGCGAGGTCTCGAGGCTTAACAAAGCTTAACTGTGAACGCAACACGTCTTAACACAAAAACTTCTCATAACCTACGGCCTTGAGGCTAGTCGGATACATACCTTGCTATTCAAATTCAGCTGATAGTTGATTTTCTTGTCAAGGCGGAGTAAGAATATTGAATTAGAGTACTTCAATGTTGTATTATCCTGTGAGATTCGGGCGATATCAGGAAACCATATATATAAGCAGGTATGTATACGCAAGTGCGCACATTCGCATTCACAATCTATCGCTGTTACAATACACAGACCAATCTTAAATCCTTTTGAAATGGGATCACTCGACATTTGGCAGGCTGCCGCAATCGTTATCTTCGTTGTCTAGCTGGGGTGTGGAATAGCACTTTGATACTCAAAATTTCCATAAATATACGGTAATCATTCTTGCGATCTTCCGAGTATGGGAAGTGTTTCACCGTATCACTTAATCACGGGGATTGCACGCCTTGTTTTACATACATGATACGATGTCAGAATTCTGAGTTTCTAGGTTTATATTATAGGCAACATATTACACCCAAGATAGCTAGAAGGCGTCCGTCAGTATTCTTTGGGTAATCAGGCCAAGAGGCCTTTCGGGATCTTTGGGATCTTGTTGGTCTATGTCCTATACGTGCAGCTGAATTAATAATCAGAATGGTGAGTTAGGCTTATATTACCAATAAATAAAGGATTTACTAGGGATCATGACTGTCGAGGTCTACCAAGGTTTTAGTAACTTGTTATTATTATTACTGCTATGTTTAACTTCTTCTTTACATTCTCAACCGCTGGAACATAATATATAGTCCTGATACTCGGATATACTACTAGGAATATCCTTTGAGAGATTCCTATCAAAAAGATGCTTCGTTTTTGGGTCTCGGGATTGACAGGCTGATCAACATAGGTATTCCCTGATCGGGATCAAATTTAACAGGGTCAAGGCTGTAAAACATTTGTCGTAGGAAGAATAAGGCTCAAGTAACGTTTTTAGAATAGTAAATCAAAGTTGTGGGAATACTGATATATAAACACAAAGTGGTCTCCCGTCAGCTGTGTAAGAAATACGAGATCCGTCATTTAAAGTAGCAATTTACCCAAATTAAGCGAAAAAGATGAGGAGGACAGCGTCTACCATAAAGTTTTGTGTGTGTGGTAGGCCATCGAAAAAAAATAGTACAGTAAATACCGCGAATCAACCCACAGCCTGGATGAATGTGCTATGTGACTACGGAGTAGTTGGCTGTGGACTTTTTAATTTAAACCCCGCAATAAGGGGTATGGGAGATCGTCTGTTGATGCAGGTACGATACCAAGTATTCAAAAAAATGTGATATGGTTCATGACGCAGGGCCTCGGGCCTCAATCATTGCCGTGGTGTCTACCCGTGATACGTAGCAATTATTAGTAGCTTAGCCCCTATTCGAAATCACATCCCATAGTTTGACATCGGCAAACTAGATTTCGTACCTAAATTTACATTTCTGAGCTGTTATTTAGAAGTAGGTATTTAGCCTACTAGGCTGATATGGGAACATGTGTCGAGACAGCGGGCCAGATGGGTGCCAATGGTTGCAATTCCGTGAGCGTAAATTATAAATGGCGCTTTGAGTGATGCATTGCATTGGCTATTTAGTAATGAAAGCCATGAGGATCGACGACTGGCTTCGAAACGAGAACACCAAGAAATCGCTAATGATAAGTTGGTGATTTTAGCCAGATAAGTCCTACTGCCAGAAACAACGTGCTTGCCATGCTCTCTGCACTGTGAATCCCAAAGCCTCATCTCCAACTATGACATACTAGTACTACCTCATGGTAGGGTGTAAATGTGTTATAATATTGTGTTGAGCTATTTACTTGCTGCATTTAAAAAGCATTTCCCTGCAACTTCTTTCCAAAAACGTTAAACATCTCCGCGTTTCCCCGCATGGCACTCGTGTGGTCTTGAGGCTAACGTAAATCTGGAGCCCGTACGAGACTCGCACAGGTCCCTCTCACGGCTCGACAAAAGATGACCGGAATTCAGAAATGGGGTAGTATGAATGCGACTCAGTTCATATGAGCTCAGCCAGCTGTGGATCAAAAACGGAGACATTCTCGAACATGCAAACTGCGTCAAAGCAGTTCTTAGCGGCTATCGTCGACGACGGAGCGCCGTGATTGGGTGATTTTAAAATTCGATACGTCTGACGAAAAGGAATTTTATATCTCGAAAGCTTATTCCGTTGAAGGAATCATATGATAATTTAAACCGAACACAGATTCTTGCAATTGGAAGCAAATTTGACCCGCAGGGGTGCACGGATATAAAATTTTGCTGCAAGAGCGCCGCTTGGGCCGCCACGTCCCCTCTTTGCATTTTATAACGACCGCAAAAAAGGATTGATCTGCACCATGGCGATAGACGGTATGTCGGCACCATTCAGGCAGATATTTCCCCTTCATCGAGTGCATCAGCTGCGTTTGAAGAATTTTATTTAGAAGTTGTCTTCTTGATATCTTCACTTGCTGAACCCGTGAAACGTTTCCGAATCTGCATTCTGATAGCTAAATCTTATCGTCACACACTCGTGCAGAGCTGCAGAGAATCGCGATAGAAGATAATGCAGGCTAACGGGATCGGGAAATCTTCCCAGGTGCATATACGCATCTCAGCGTCGTGAAATTTTGTCTGAGAGCCCTCTGAAGTACGAGGTTGGCAGTTCGTATTTTCTAAGAGGTGAAACCTGCCGTGTTATTGCAGTTTTATAAGTGGATACGACGAGCGACAAGTCCTCATACTCTGTCAGTCAGTGCGCACTGCGTTGCAACTTCACCTTGATTGCGTTCGAATTCCAAGTTTACTTCAGAGCAAAACCACGGAAAAACTATCCTCCTGCACCAGGGAATACGAGTCCTCCGGCCATGGCGCAAGTTGTCAATAGAAATGCACTAGAGGTGGCCAATAAAACGTCGCACTCGCCATTCTAGCGCAACCCATTCGGGATTACTGGATATTTTCTGTGGCCAAGATGGAGCTGCATAGTGTCGGAGCTGGATGACGGTCCCACCGTCCCGGCTAAAAGCAGGACGGCTCACGAGAGCATCGGCTGCAGGTTCACTTCCAATCAAAAGAGCGCCACTTCGAAGGGAATCAGGACAAAAGCATCAAGAGATCCAGATTAATTTTGATTATTATGACTATTGCGCTGCTATTTTTCGGAAGTTTTGCGAAACCGTTTCCCGTTAACCGTTCTATAGATGTAATATTTGAATCGATTTTTTTTAGGTTTCTGAGGCACCATATGGCTGATATCTTATTGCGCGATACGAGTTCCATTTGGCCAAAACATGTGCTAGAGGTGAGTGTCAGCTTCCCGCACGAAACAGAGTGGGGATATCCTACAGTTTCTACAAGTTTTTTGGTCCCTAGAAATACATATTACTTACATACATACATGTATGGTATGTATCTGATAATGGCTATTGACTCAAGCTTTACACTAGCTCTGCTGAAGTATAAACCATTCCAAGCGATATCGGTCACGTTTCTATGATGTGAACCAGGAGAGTTAAAGAGTTTAATGCCTTGTCCTGCGGGATGTCGACTCTGAGCGCCGATAAAGTGGGCTGCTATGGTTCGTATGCGGGAAGAACACCCGCATGCATACTTATGTAGATTCTAGAAGACCCGGCAAATTCTTTTCCCCACCATTGGGAGCGATCCCAAAGGCCATTCTCTGGCTTGTAAATTTCGACTTTGGGTCTTACCCCTCCCTAGAAGTCCCAAGGCTTTTTCTGACAATTCGCCCCTCAGTAAAGTTGTGAACGCCTACTCTAATGATGGCCATCCATGTCGACGCTTGCTCATGGGCTCGTATACCTCTGCCTCGCCCAGTTCAAAATCACGCTTTTTTCGGTTAAATACTACATCTGACAAAGAGAAAGTTCATGGTAGAGGATGGACAGGGTCTATCAGAATTCTTGGGTTTCTTCCACGCATTTCCCCGTATTTTCTTTCCTGACATGGTGTGGGCCAACCCCGGTCCATACATCGGGGCTCTCTGGCGGAGAAGCAAAGGAGAAAGGAAGACTTTTCTTCTTCTGTATGATTTCTGTTATCAAAGGCGACAATGATGCCGCCCTCTCAGATTCCTCCGGTTGAATTCAAGAGACCCAGTCTCTGGCCACCTGCAACAAGCTTGTCGAAGAGCACGCTATACCCTTTCCATATCCCTGCGCAAATCACCTACGCCTCATGGTCACACTGTCAAAGCGTTTCTCCACAGTCTCTTTTCTACACAGCACACAGCGTTTTCTGGGGCCGCATATCCAGAACATGCTTTCTGGAGATGGGGACTCCGTTCAAGGGTGTGTGTTTTGTCTAATTCACACACTAAAAGAAACGGGCTGGGGACCTGGTCAAGTATAGACTCTCGTCTTGCGAATGTTCCAGTGCATGCAAAAATGCAAATCGTATAAGAAACTCGCCTTCTCCCCTGTACCGACATACTTTTAAAAAATTGGCGACCATCACTCTCTTTTCCATACCTATTTCAGGTACTTCCAGAAACGTGAACATCCACCAATCCATTGGTGAGACAAGCGAGCAAGATACCGATAAACGTCTATCGATATCTGGTATCCCAAGTCAAAGCTTTGACTTACCAAGTATACTAGGTCAGCTTGGTATAGTGGGAAGATCGGGTATAACATTTTATCGTGGAGGAACAGCCGGACCCATCCGACTTAAAAATCGAAACTGTCAATATCTGAATGTCAAACTCTAGTTCGAAAGCAGCAAACGAATTTGATTTCGGTTTCGAGGATAGTAGGCGACGATCAACAATGGGTCGACAAGACGAATCTCAAGTCTACTACCAGGAGCGGGAATCGTGGGGGAATAACAGCAACCAGGACCAGACTTCTGATCGTTGGCGAAGAACATATGGTAAGTATCGAGCAATCTTATGCAAACTAAAATCATTTACTTGTATATCCTAACCATAAAACCGAAGTAGTGTCGAACGAGACTACGACAGTGAATGAGCAGTTCGAATATGCACCTTCACAACATGAGGGTCAAGTCACAACAGTAGCTAACATTGGTATGATCCTACTTGCTCTGAATTTCATATCACAGATACTAACGAGGATTTCAGGTTTGGCTGATGCCTTGCTGGCCACAAAACCTTCGCCATGGACATCATCCATGTTAAAGTTGTACACTTTTCTGCTGGTGGCTTTCTTAAACTCATGCATCAACGGCTATGACGGATCGTTGATGAGTGGTATTAATGTCATGCCCTACTACCAAAGGTAAACCTATAATCTTCAAACCTGACAATAGGGACTCTGGCTGACCTTATCCTAGGTATTTCGGAATGGAAAAGGAAGGTGTACAGACTGGCTTGGTCTTTTCCATTTACACCATTGGTAACATCGTTGGCTCTTTCTTCGCCGGACCATTCACAGATTGGTGGGGCCGAAGATGGGGGATGTTCATTGGTGCCTCCATCATCATTCTCGGCACTTGTGTTCAAGCTCCAGCCACCACAAAGGCTATGTTTATTGGTGGTAGATTCGTCCTTGGTTTCGGTGTCGCGATTACCTCCACAGCGGGCCCCTCGTATGTGGCTGAGATGGCTCACCCAGCCTGGAGAGGTACACTTACGGGTCTCTACAATACCTTTTGGTTCGTTGGTGGTATCCCTGCCACTTGGACTTTGTACGGAACGAATAAGATTCAAAGCGATCTGTCCTGGAGACTTCCTATTTGGCTTCAAGCTGTCGCCTCTGGCCTTGTAGTCCTCGGCGCCCTCTTCTGCCCAGAAACTCCTCGCTGGTTGATTTCTAATGACCGCCACGAAGAAGCCATCCAGGTCCTCACCAAGTACCACGGAAATGGTGACCGCAACTCTCCAATCGTTCTTCTCGAGTATCGAGAGATGATGGAGGAAATCTTTACTGAAGGTTCCGACAAACGTTGGTGGGATTACTCCGAGTTGGTCAATACCAGGCCAGCGCTTTGGAGAATGTCCTGCGTTATTGGAATGGCCATGTTCTCTCAGCTCTCTGGTAACGGTCCAGTGTCATACTTTATGCCAATCCTGCTCGAAAATCTCGGAATCAAGGATGTCAAGACACAACTCATGTACAACGCTGTTCTCAACGTTCTATCCTTCTTCGTGGCTACGATTGGTGCTCGCTTCACAGATGGTCTTGGACGAAGACCCGTTCTCTTAATCGGAACATCCCTCTTCGTTTTTATCTGGACTATGATTACTGTACTCACAGGTCTTTATGGTACATCAGGAGAACAAAACGAGGCAGGTGGTCGGGCAGCCATTGCTTTCATCTATCTCTTCGGTATCACATATTCATTTGCCTACACTCCACTTCAAGCTTTGTATCCCGTCGAGTGTTTGTCATACGAAACTCGAGCCAAGGGTATGGGTATCTACAATCTGGCAGTCAACATCGCAGGTGTTATCAATACTTTCGTCATCCCAGTTGCTTTCAAGGAAATCGGATACAAGCTTTACTTCCTTTACATCGGTTGGGATTTCTTTGAGGTTATCTGCATCTACTTTATGTAAGTTTTCTATGCTACTTTTCTCATCAAAGGCAAAAGACAAGACTAACATGGCATCGTACAGCTTCGTCGAGACCAAAGACCGCACTCTCGAAGAAATCAGTGAGATCTTCGACGCTCCCTATCCAAAGCAAAAATCTCTACAGAAGCACATCATTGTCATCACCGACAGAGGTATCCTGGACAAAGGATACGATCAGTGATTTCTTTGATTTCTCGTCCTGCTTTTTGTTTTTTTCATGTCTATATTTTTGCTTTAAGCATTTCTTGTTCTTTGGGAAAAGTCTTTACACCCCTCTTCGAACTTGCATCTACCTTCCGTTCGTTCTGTGCAGGACACCGACGACATATACCTAATACCATCAGCTCGACTCTTACTACCGATAATTTCACATCGTCCTCGCCATACGCCAGTAAAGCGTCGGATGCAGTACTTTACGCTCGTTACGCTTTTCATACCTTAATACCCATTCATGTACAAAGTTTAACCACCAATTAACCTTCCGGAAATTCCCTCAATGGCGTCAAATTTGGATCTGGAACGAATTTCCCTAGCTTTTCCTTTTGGCGTTTACTCTTCCTCTTCTTTTCTGCTTGGAATACCACTATCACGTCGTTTATTTATTTATTGAGTGTTCTGCTCGCTTTTTTTTTTTTTGGAGGACCATGTTTCTGGAATTAATTGCCATCGAACAGACTAAGTCTGTCTACCTTGTTTTTTCACAAGTTTTCGAAAAATGCATATTCACACTCATTCACAAGAATATATTTTTCTTTCTTTTTCTTATTTTTATTTCGTCTTGCTGGTGGAAGCCCCCATGTATAGCAGACAGTAAATGTACATGTACTATAGCCTACTTACCGATTAACCCAATATATTTGAAATACCCTCCAGATTTTATAATTTAACATAATTTTAAAATTGTAAATTCAATATATATCCAGATTATCTCTACAAATAGAACATGTCATCATTAAGATTGAAGTCGCAATTCTACGCGAATTTATGGCTAACGCTGATGTACTCACTACAAAAACATTCGAAGCGCGTTCGGCCAGCTAATTCCGAATCGAACCTTGGGCTCATGTCGGGACCCAAAAAACAATACGAAGGACAAAACCGGTTTGTTCGACTTGCAATACCAATTCGAAGAAACCTACCCTCGGTAACGCACTTACCAAAGGCGAGATCTCAACTGCATAACACTTCCCGGCTGATTTTCACTGCAATGATAGCTGTGCAGCGCAGTCGACAACTTTAGCAATTGGCCAGTGCGCCTTTACCCATTGGCTATAGGATCCAACCAACCAGCTGGAGTAAATTATAGCAGAAGGGTATATCTAAGATATGCAGACCTTCACACCATCTGACAGGCTTTCAAACAGTACTAACACACTTTACATGGACAAGGGCAGCGGATATAGCGAACCAACCCAGCTACCTCACCGAGAAAAAAAACGTAATCCCACAGAACTGAACCCTAGAAATCATGACCCTGAAGAACTCTTCTCCCCTTGACCATGATCTGACACAGATGTAGAAACTAGGTATACACCACGAGCTCAGCTCCGAGCCTCATGAAATAATTATATACCCTTCCTGTTTTATTTCGGCTCTTAGAGTTTTCCCAACTGGCCGGCCAGCACCTTTCAGACAACAGTATATACGTAAGTACCCAGTACACCCACCCTTCGTTTACTAAAACAAGCTGGTTCGATTCATACGAAAAGGGACATATGTACATACATACCTGCATCTGCAATATTAAACCGTTTAACAGAATTTAGATTTTAACCTAACCATGCTCACACATCACCAACCATGACCATTTCATGCTTCTTTGAACAACAGAACCCCATGTCAGGTACTTAGTATCCACATTGTAAACTTGTACCTGACTAGGCCGGGGTCGCTGTTGTTCTGCCCCACCTTTGCTCGCATGCTTGTCAACGCATTTTTTGATGTTGGATATCCTGGTAGGGTGGTCAAGGGTGCTCCGGGTAAGTCCAATATAATCAGCTGGTCAGGTTTTCGCGCGAACAAGTGCAAGTTAAGAAGGGAAAACAAAAAAGATCGTTTCAGAATATGTATGTATGTCTCTACATCGCTTGGAGAGATAGTATAAAAGAATTTCAATATTTATTCAAGTCTTGTGATTTCGTTAGTTTGCGATTCCGGTTAGTCTGTTATATCGTATGATTCGAGATCGATGGGTTTTCAGCATCATGAGATTCCGGTTGTATAAATGTCTTAATTTAAGAAGGACATGCCAAAATACAATGGGATAAAGCTTTAAAGACCAACGGATTCTAGTAAATCTACCACCGCAGAGGCGGAGAAACTTCTGCCACATGTCAAAAACATGCTCTTTTCATCCTTTTCATTCCTTTTTTCTTTTTTCTTCTCTTCTTTCCATTGAATTGGTCTCCAATCGAACAATTCATCCCATCGTCCTTGAATTAGCACCATGTCGACGGACTTCCTACATGGACATCGTCCCCCAGCTAGCCCTGCTCACAAGCAAGGCTCAACTTTACCCGATAACCACACTACGGGAACCACATCCCGACCAACTAAGCTAGCTCGCAAGTTTACTCTTCTCTCCACACACACGCACACATCCATCCCGATGTCCCCAAATTGCACGCCCAAAATAAGAACACACTCACACACACACACACAATTTAATATTCAGGTGAAGCGGCAAAATTCGATTCCGGTAGATTGGAAAAACCAGATGGGACAAAAAAAAAGTTCCATTTCAACGTATGTATGTTAGCTTTTACGTACACACGGACGTCCGCCACAATATGGGAGATATGAGGCAGTGGCCACGGCCCGGTCGCCAATCTACTAACTCACTCACTAACTCACATAATATAAAATAATATGGAATTCGAAGCGGCGGACAGGCGACGATTGATCCCGTCTAGGTGGTGTTAGACGTCCGAACTTTAGTGTGTGTCTTAATCTATCGAAAATATATCTCTTTCCTTTTCGTCCCAAAGATGCATTGACTAGTTCGCCTCTCGAATCGCGAATAGATTAACGAGCTCGATGCCAGTCCAATGGAGTCAGCGGAGGCAGTTGGTCCGTGTTCAGAGAGGACTTGGCTGGACCCGTATCGGCATATAGTGCTGCTATTTCGAGGCCTCCTTTATGCTCTGGGGCCGACCAATCGTTTTTCTCAACCCACAACCTGTCTACTACAATTAATTAACCAACAGTACCCAGCCCAGACTTGAGCCAAAGGCCTCAAAGTAGGCAATATGATATTTCTTTAATAAATAAGGGTTGCTACATATATATTTACACCAATTGATATGAATTGAATTTGTTCACAGCCGCACCTCACATAATACGAGATCGAGAGAAATTACTATAATCATAGATATTAAGTTAGTATATTCTACCATCCAGCTTGAAGCCGGGAGACCACTCTATTCAAGCCAAAGTTACGGCCTTATAACAGCCGGTGACTACTTTCCTAAGCGGCAAACGTCGCGGTATAAACATCTGACCCTGAAACATCCATGAATAAAGAATAAAAAGCCACTGTCTTGAATATAAAACACCATCCTCTGGCAAGAAGGATTGTAGTCCCGAAGCTGACCTAGCAGGCCTCTAAAGTTAACCTTGGTGGAGGCACATCTATTACGATAAGCCTGACAAAAGAAAAGGCGACGATAAAATATCCACAGTTATAGCACGAGCGAGATAATAGGCTCAGGATCGAAAAGTGTAAGGAGTATGAAAGAAAAAACAAAACGCATTAACAGAACGGAAAAAAAAAAAAAACCTGGGAACGCAGATGATAGTGAGATGGTTTTGGTATTACACCCGGTTTTTGTAACCTGAACGCCATTAGCTTGCAAAAAGACACCGAGGGAAAATAGCAATATTCTGGAAGTCATGAGGAAGGAACGAGGATTAGTGGAATGTCCGAAGAGGAGTATCTTAGGTCAACTGATCAGTTACCCAGTACATAGGATGAAAGGTTTCGTAGACCGTAGCTTAGGCGATGTGGGGTTAGCAATAAAGACAAGGATAGGGCTCATGTGATTTGAATGCGGCTGTTGTAGATGTTTCATGCCTTCTACCCGAGTTTCTCCTCGATTTCGGAAGAAGATTGATGGGGGTTGTGGGAAAAATCAATATCCATGAAAAACGAGATGAGGTCGAGATAAGAATAAAGTGTAATCCGACTGGGTTACCACTCGTACTCTCCAGTGGCTTTGCCGAAGACATATCTGCGTGATAACATGTTAGCGGTTCCCGCAACAATTGAAATGATATCTCACGTCATAAAAATGACTACCGGTTATTACAAGGAAGGGGTCATGGACGTACTCTTTTCCGTTTACAGTCAAGACACCGTTTCGGAGCCAACACTTCCACTTATTCTTAGTGCGTTGGACCTTGTCGTACATGCACAACATGATCTGAGAGATGCCTTCGCCATCGTCATCGTCATCGACAGGTTCCTCGTCAGTATCATCAAGGTCTGAGTTGATGGCGTCCTCATCCATTTCGGGACCATCGGTCTGGAGTGGTTTGAATGAGGCCAAGGATGATGGACCGGCAACAGCATCAGGAACTGGTGACAAGGTCAAATCTGTATCGACAGCTTTATGAGAGATAGCTCTTTTCCCCTTCTTCTTCTTCAGAGGGCGGACTTGGAGAATATCTGTCTGGATGTTGAATTGTCTCAAGGCTTCCGCGATGGCATCCTCGTAAGTACGAATTTGTTCTCCTTCCAAGACAATTTCTCGAATCTGCTCATCAACTTCTTGTCTAGTGGGCCCATCATCAGGTCCATCGGTTTGGCCATTGTGATGTTGCTGTTGAGGTGGAGTAGGCAACATAAGTCCAGGAAACGTCGAGCGTTGTTGGGCATTTCCTCCGAACTTCTGAGCAACCATCTCACGAGCACGCGCTGCAGCGAGACTTGGGTCACTAAGAGCTTGACCCAATGGAGCCGGAGCGGGAGCAGGCGGCATTTCAGCCTCTGGCTCGGGCTTTATGCGAGTACCATCAGAGGCGAGGTCACCGCCCGTATCGACAGCCTCTTGCTTGGCGGCTGGCTCAGGAACGGGCTCAGGGTCCCAAGGGAAAGTGGCTACCTTGAATCCGGACAACTTCTCTTGCCAGACCTATTCACGAGAAACGACATCATGTTTTAGTCAATTTGCTTATAATCAAGAGCATTCAATGGGTGCTAATAGGTTTGTTGGAGAAGCGTGTTGGACTGCGTTGGGGTTGGTTTGAGCGAATAAAAGACGCGTCCAAAGCTCCAATGAGATATAAAAGGCTGCTCAAGCTACCTGGGAACCTGGCAGGATCTTGTCCTGGCCTAGCCCAAGGAAAAATGCGACCTAGCTTAAAAGCCCGGATCTCGCCCTGATGGAACCCTGAAGGGATTTTGCCCCAACAGCACATCTTTTTCACCAGAACGCCTGCAGCAAAGGATATTTCAGAGAAAAGGGATAGGAAGCCGGAGGAAAACCGCGATGCCCGAGTAGAATCTCAATGCCCGGTCCTCCGTCGACGCGACAAAGTAATGACCGAAAAGCTCGCGGTTTTTTTGGTACCTCCATATTGTGGCGACTTCCAAGCTCCCTGCTCAGGGAGACTCGTTGCACATAAGGCAAGCAACAAGCAAGGAAGGCTGGGAAAATGGGAATCTCGGTCGGTGGGGAAGAAGAAAAGGAGATTATACTCGTACCTTTTTCAATTCCTCTAAGACTGAGGGATCGATACCGCTATCTTGGACATCTGTGACTGAGCTGTCGATGACTTGCTGGATGACCTTCTCGTATACCTTGCCCTGTTCCACGTCGGTTCTGTCAGCCACCACCCAAACAACAATTAGCAGGCATTAGCGACACTCACAACAGTAATGTTAGTCATGGTGTCGGGTCAGGAAGATTTGTGCGACAATTCTTAGAATGGGAGGAGAGGAAGCAAGGATGACAGCAGTCAATGAGTGACAGTGAATATGTGGGTTTCGGTGGTGAAGCAGAGGTGACAGCTTGCTTCTACTCGATGGGTTGATGGAAATAGAAGAGAAGGAGCACAATCGTTGCAGCAACAACAACAACCGTGTGATATCTTTCAACAAGGGATTCCTCAAGTCTAAGTCTGCTACCGAGCGTAGTTGCAACTTCTAGCTTTCTCCGTTCTGAAGTTGGGATAACCTCAGGTCAGGTTCTATCTCTGTCTCTTCCTCGGCCCTGGGTTATGTAATCCGTTTTTTGGGGAAAGTCACAACAAAGTCAATTAAGTATTTAATTCGCTTTATTGCTAGCAATAAATTTCAATTGCTTCTTATGAAGCTTAGTTCCTTCAAGCGTAGACGATTTCTGGCTGGAAACTAGTGGTTTCCTTTGCTCAGCGCGGAGGCCGTCGGCGGCTTGCTTTGTATGGCGGGAGCGAAGAGAACGAGGCGAGGTGGGTGATGGGTATTTATAGGGTGGAGAGTGATGGTGGAAGGATCAGGTTGCAAACAGGACGGTGGAGAGGGAGAAAGATCCCTGGTCACGTGCTGGGCCAGCTCTGAGTAAGCCACGCGCACAAAAATACCACATCTTCAACACAGGATCCAATTGGAATCGAATCCCATAGGTTGGAAGGATCTAGACACTCGAGTATCCAGGATTTAAGCAGGAAAATTAGCATAGCTATTTTCCTGTCATTGATAAAATACGGCTGTGTAGCATCAATCCCGAAAAGCTAGTCATCATACGGTGGATGTAGCTCAAAGATTATAAAAGGATGAAATATATATCGGGAAATTCTCAGCTTCATAAGCTCATTGGAGTCTCGGAGAGCTCATTGTTCATTTGTCATTCGAATTACAGTTAACTTCGAAATATACCCTTCCTAGCCTGGCCATCCTAAAAGGTTAGCTATCTTGTAACATATTCCCGTCCAACTAGAATAGAAATCAAAAACGCCGAAACTATGCTTCCCTCTACCGATAGCAGCTAGTAGAATGATCAAAAAGCAAACCAACATGAAAGCTTAAAGCCTAGCACCACCCTCCTTAGATTCTGGCTTCGTCTCTTCGCTCTTCTTTTTGGCTTCTGCCACTATCTCTCCAGCTTTCTTTGAACCTTCCTCCCTTTTCAAACCCTCTTCTCCCAGCTCTAGATCCACTAATTCCCATCCCTGAACCACCCCATCTCCGAAAATCTCACTGTCTCGCTGACCCTCCCCATATCCAGCAATATCTTTACCACTCTCCCTCAAGAACTCCGTGATAGCCCTAACGTTTAGATCTAACACAGCCTCCGAGTCATCCACTCCCAGTAAGTATTTTGCACTAGTAGGGAATAATATCCCAAAGTCGCTTTGTGACATATGTGCGGATTGAGCCACATAATAAAACCTTCTGTCTGGTTGTCCTGGGATCGATAATTGTGATTTTCTACTTTGCGTTCGTTTGAGAGATAGAGCCTCGGCGTCTTCCTCTATTTCTGATATAGCCGTATCCGCGGATTCTCCTTCGTTTAATTTTGCTTCGTCGCCCTGGCGGAAACCGATAGGTAACTGAGGTGTAACATCTAGGCTCGATGCCCTGCGGAGTTTCTGGGTCTGTGGCAGAACCCCGCCCTTCATAGCTTCGGTTTTCGTAGGAATAGCAATGGTTGGAGCTTGATCCTCCTCCGCCTGGGCTTCCTTGAACCATTCGCTCTCGAATACCCCGCCTTGACGATTCATAACATGTCTACATCCGATATGTTAATTCAACTAATGCTATGAATTAATTAATGGGTAACAGAAATAATTACCTGAATCCTCTCAAATTCTCTTTCCACTTGAAAAACTGTTGGCTAAAGACACCAATCGTGGGTCCTGGAATAGGTAGCTTCCACATAACCCTCGTCCTATCTCCCAATAGCGGCAAACACCAAGTATCCAATAGCACAGTGCCAGGTGCCTTTGATGCCTTTCCGATCGTTCTGTCTGGATGAAGATGTTGTAGTAGATATTCAGAAGGGACGTATAGCGGTTCTTTTAGATCACCATTCTGTTTGAATAACGGAGCGTACCAACAGCTCTTCACAAACTGGGTTGTTGTTGCGGCCCCAAATGAGTGTCCGGTCCAGGTTATGCTTCCAGGTGAAGCAATATCTAGTCTTCCTTCGAACATCTTGAGTAGACGGTGAGTATCGCTAGCCTTCTTGACACCAGTGAGGTATACATCTTCATCAATATCATCTTCTCTCCATCCCTGTTCGAGTTTTTTAATCGCGACAGAGAGTACTCCAAGCTCCCATAACCGAATTTCCAGTTGTTTATTCCTAATTGCGGCCGTGACAGGTGAAATCTCGTGTGCTTGGGAGATATAATCTATCCTTCTGCGAGTGGCGCCCTTTCCTTTAGACATTTGAGTTTTATCCTTCTTGTTTTTCTCGTCTTTACTCTCGCCACTGCCATCGGTTTGTTGTTTTTCTTTCTCATCCTGCGAGCTGTTCCCAGCGGACCCTTCCTCGCAATCCGACCCGCTTGAACTTGGCGTTTGCGGTATGCCATCGACCTCGATTTTAGGTGCTTCATTCTTGGTGTTTTTCAGAAGTTCAGCCAAGCCGGATTTCCTTTTCGGTTCTCGAATAAACGTAGCCGGCGCACTTCCATCTCTATGTTCAGGACAAAATACGACGCAGCCATGGGCGGCGAGGGAAGCTGTGACGTAAGAATACGTATTCCTTGTACCACCCAGGCCGTGAGAAAAGACTACAACAGGAAACTTTGATGGGGATCCTAGAATATTATGGTTGGCATAAGCGGGGATTTGGATATAGTAAAGATGGCGGGGTATGTAGCTAGAGGACGTTAGTAAGTCTATATTTGAATAAAGTAAATACATATTTACGAATACGCATGGTTTAATGAATCCATGAATAACGTCAGATATATTCAATCAATTGGGACAAACTTACGAAAGAACATTTGCTAGAAATTCACTAGCACCCGCAAATCTACAGTATGCAGCTACATACTCTTTCCTCGGTGACGGGACCCAATTAGCACCCTGAATCCCAGTAGCCTCGCCTTTCAATGCAGCCGGATAGAAGATTCGAAATTGAATTGTTGGAATGTCAGTGTGGCTTGGACATGGTGGAGACAGTCCTTCGTCGACGAACTGAGAGACAGGTATCTCAAGATCGATTGTACCGACCTCATAAGGGCCCTTGTAAGAGGGGAAATACGGAACTGGATTTAAACGGGAGAGGAGAGATGCCATTTTTGTCGAGGTAGGAGTGAAGGCTGAAAATTGAACTATGCAATGCAAGCAGGCCGAGTGATGTCTACAGGACTAGAAACGATAGGTTGTAGATCTGATCAAGGATATGAATAATGTGAAGTGAAGAAATAAGCTATGTCCACCAGCAGCCCGATTGCAAACATTAATCTCCGGACCAAGGCCTGGAATTCTCGTCGTTGAATGCCGATTTGATCAATTGAGACAACGCCTAAATCGAGGAAGCTCTTTAAAATACAACAAAATGGCCTTTAGCTTTCAGTGTAGGCAGATTAAATGAACGGTAACAGATCAAGTTCCATTCCAGAATTCCAGAAAGCTTTCAAGAGAATCCAGAAAATAACAAAATAGGAACGAGTCAAAAAAAAGGAGATTTAGTCCTCTAACATCAAGCCAGGAGTAAATTTATCTTTGCGCCAGCCAGAGCTCACAAGACCTATCCAAGAAAGAAAAAAATTTTAAAATTTTTGTGAATAGGAAGAGGTATCCACACGGCGCTGCCGTCATACAAAATCTACGAATCCACAAACAGCATTCTTCCCGGGTCCACGCATCCGCCAGCCAGATCCGGTAAGTGCGCATATGCGTCCAACTTTTTTTCTTACGATTTTATTGGATTTTAGAGTCGGAGCTTCAAAGTCTCCGACTCAGGGACAAGTATCGTATGCATGATGATGACGGCATTTGCATTTGTTTGTAGCCTGTTTGACGTTATTGTTTGAGCTAAACCGATGAGCCGAGGTTCATTTAATCATGCTAACCCTGCTGGACATCAAAGCTTGAGGTAGGCCCGTACGGCTCGGAAACGTAATTCGCCCGTCATCCCAGTTTCAAAGAATATTCAGTCACACGAGCTGACCTGGGCCTTGGGATCTGTCGTCTCCCGGGCCGATTTTGTGCGAACCTGTACGCTTGGGGGTAACACTACGAAGGTTCTAGAGCGACCTTAAGATCTTGGACATGGCTTCATCCCTGAAGGGTCTGTAATTTAGTGTTTCCAAAAAAGTACAAGTTATACAATAACTTGTCATTGTCTACACGGTAGATGTCGAGATATCTCTTAAAGTATTACGATATCGTCTTCTAGTTCACCATTCCCCGTCTCCTCGAACGGGGCATAAATTACCTTCTTTTCAGTCCACAAATCCGTCAACCACACCGCAATTCGGTCATAGAGCTCGAATGTAATCTTGCTGAGCCTCTCATTCGCCTTTGAATCCATCCTCTCCACGCTCTGGTGCGTAAACCCATGCCTTACACCCTTAACCTCATCAAACACCAAATTCTTCTTGACCTTTCCGAACTTCTCATAAAACTTTCTAGAATCGATGTTCAACATATCGTATTCGCATCCTACCAAGTAGATATTCTCCGGCAAGTCCTCAGCTTTGGCGAACAACGGACTTAGGCTTGGGTTTTCTCGGTCGGTACCCCGGGGAACGTAGCCAAAACTAAAGAAGTCTCCCATATTACGGAGGACGTCTGGTGGAGCATCTTTGGGGCGAAGTGCGAGCTTCTCCTGCGTAGTCATGGTGAAATCGAGTACCGGGTAGACTGGGACAACGGTTTGAATCTTTCCCTTAAGTTCTGGCTGGATTGATAAAGCTGTGGAGAGGTTCCCACCAGCGCTGAAGCCACCAACAGCGACCTTGGAAGGATCGTAGATATGTGAGATTCGTTCATCTTTAAGTAACTCAACAACGAGTGCTGTAAGATCCTGGACTTGAATTGGCCAGCGACTGTATGGCGTTTTCCGGTATGCCAAAGCAACGACGATACAAGACGCTGCGTCGGAGATGTAGCGGTTGAATTCAGAGTCTAGGACTGGGTGGCCGACATTAAATCCGCCACCGTGAATAGTGAAAAATAGAGGAAATCGATTCGTGGGAGCTAGGATTGTAGACGAAGAAGTAGAAGTTGGATAAGACTTTGGAAGGTAGACTTCAGCAGTAGATGGAACCCAGTATGAAGGAAGCTTGTGTTGAGGGACGGCCAATGTGAAAGTCGGAGCATCTTTGTAATATCCGACGCGATAGAGACGACTAGGAATGCGATAGTTAGCTATTGATACCGTAGGTTTAAGAAAGCAGTGATGTACCGGACGAAGAGGTAGAAGCGCACGAAGTTATTCATCCACAGGAGGTTTAGGAAGAACTGAATCCGCTTCAGCAAAGGAGGAGGCGGGAACACGGTCGGCATTGCGAACCGAATCTAATTCAAATCTATAGTCTGGAAATTTTAGATCTAAGAATTCGAAAGATTGGTACTGGGTGACGGTGCAGGCCCGAGGAGAGGGGAATGGAAACTGAAGTTGTGATATCGATATGAAGAAGTGCCGGAGAACTTGGGCCCGGCGCCCGCGCCCCAGATCACAAAGTGCTCCATCGGGTCAGCTTATAATATTAGGTATGCTTGGAAAACACGTCTGAGCCGAGGCACCGGTACTTGTTCGCATAATAGCGAACCTGGCTCCATTGAAAATAATGATATGAAGAAGAAAGTGTCCTTGGATTTAGAATGCTCCGTTTACGAGACTGGTTTATTATCAGTTAGATGATGTTTCGAATCGCAATACAAGATGGGATTTCGGGATGGTGTCTAAAAGCTTGTCGGGCCCGTGTAACCTGGTACTCTAAACCCAAAATACCACAATATCAACTCTTTTAGTCGGATGAGCTAGCTGTAGGCGAGATGGAAACTCGAAGGTTCTGTACTCTTGAGCTCATTCCTGGATCCTTCTCGGAATCACAATTGAGTATTTCCCTCAAGTATATATGCAAGTTTATGCATATGAGATTTGATTCCAGTATACAATTCACATTTATTCATCAATCTCGTAGTCAGACTCGTCAACATTATACCCTGTGTATTTTTCCAATCGCTCTCGCGGAAGCGGGTGGGTTCGAATTGATACTATATTGTACTATACTGTTACACGTCGCTTGGTTAACTATTGAAAATTCTCTTCGAAGGAATATACAGACTTAGGCTCATTAGTTTCTCAAGCAGAAATGTTGAGATTCTGAGCTTTCGCTCTCAATTAATATTTTGTGCACTAATCTAGGTTCCGAATGCCCCGTGCTTCAAGTTCAAAATACCTAAGATGATCATATGATATCACAATAGCCGGGAATATTTCGCATACAGTAGGTTACCAGATATCAGTCATATATAACAGCGAAAGGGTCAAAAGTTCATTCATTGGATGCCTTTGGGCCTAGACTTGCGCATGCATCAAGGCATCCGGTTCTAGCCCGCCAAGCCCGTTCCATATAAATGACCCTAACATTATGTTCCACGTGATCTGGATCCTTTTGGGACATATCTGGATCCTGACTAAGCTTTTAAACTCGCCTCGTTCACCGACCATTCTCCATTTCTTCAGCTGCGCCTTTGCATTCTAACTTGCACCCAAACAATACAGAGTGCGGTTATAACTAAAAAAGTGCTAAAACCCCCCCCTCCTTTCCCTTTTGATTGTGGACTACGTGATTTTTTTCGATCTAGTTGTTGAATAGTCTTCGCCGTGAACGGGTTTTTTTTTGACTTCTATTCGTATTGGAATATTAATTCGTATTCGCAATATTGATTTGATTTCTTGAGTGCTGTGTCGTGCTGTATTCCCGTCAACGTCACCTAAAGCCCTTCCACCTAGATCAATCTACAACCATCCACTTAGTTCCAAACAAACCAACTTTCTCACATTTTCCCTACACATATCACCTTCTTTATCACCCTCGGTGTCCTATATTTTTCCCCATTCAATCCTAATCCTCTACATCTCCTCCCCCAAAAGAGCCATGGGCAAAGGCAAGGAAATTGATACCGCTAGCGGCGGTGCCACTGGGACCTTCGAAGACCCCCACAAACTCACCTTCAGCATCAAAGATCTCCCCGCGAACTCCGTAGTTCTCTATCCCGACCAAGCGCAGATTACCCGTGACATTGAAAATGTCCAATTGAAAGTACGTACGCATGTTTTCTAACTTTTCCCTAAAATATTTCCGTAAGATCCTCTCCTAGGGCCCTTGTTGTTGAAGTTCCGTGAAATATGATGATATCGGGTTTAGCTACATATCAAAAAACCAGTGACGGAAAGCTAACATGTATGACCTATTTTTTTAAAAAAAAACAGCCGGGTGTCAACGAAGTCACAATTAAAGATCTGACAGGATATTGCCAAGAACACTCGATCAAAGTAGAGGGTAAAGGCGATGCCGTCATCACCGATATGGTCGTCGAAATAGCATGGTTCACCAGACCTCCCGGGCAAGGTCTCTTCGGCCAGCGTGCCCAGACCAGCTTTTCAGATGATTCTTCAGAATCAGAAGATTCGGAATCCGAGTCTGAATCTGAACTTGACCCGGAGGAAGACCCTGCATTTGCTGAAATCCGACAGATCGATAAGGACATCAAGGAGATTCGTGCTTCTGCCCAAGATGCCGCCGAAGAGTTGAAGAATGCCGAAGTTCAGCTTGGAGCATTGGAAAAATATGGTGGCACGATTACAGCTGAAGTAGCTGCCCCGGAGACCATGACCCAGTTCTTAGATGCGTACCAAGAGTCGCGCAAGATCTTGTATAAGCAGCACAAAGCTGCCAAAGCCACACTCGAGAAGCTGGACAAGAGCTTGGTTGCTAAGCAGAAAGAGAGAGCCAAGAAGTTGAAGGGGCCGACAGCTGCTAAGCTTAAGGCTGTTAGGGATAAAGCTAAGTCCAAGGCAAAGAAAACCGAGGCGAAGAGAGAAAAGAGAGAGCAAAAGGAGGCAGAGAGGCGTCTTCGCCCCGGGAATAGCTATCGCGTCAAGGTCATGGTCGAGACCAACTCTGAAACTGAAGCTAGCCTCACCCTTAAATACCGTAAGTACTATCAATCACCTTTCTCTTCGTGCATCAAGATATCACTAACAGCCGCAGTTGTCTACAATGCCAAGTGGTATCCACGCTACGACTTACGTCTCGACAGCACCTCCAACACTGGACAAATCGTTTACCGTGCTCATTTCGAGAACAAGACATATGAGACCTGGCGCGATGCAAAGATCACCTTCTCGTCATCAGCCCAAACATTTGGCGGGTTGAGGGAAGTCGTCCCTGTTATGACACCTTGGACACTCTCACTTCAGAAAGGATTCAATCGCTTTGCCGGGGATTCCGATAACACCGCGGGGTTGTATTCTATCAAAGAGCAGCAAGCTCTTGCAAAGAAAGGCGTTTTGTTTGGTAACAACGTAAGTGGAGTACTGAATACCTCATTTGGGAATAAAACGCATACTAACCCTCACATCAGAAGCAACAGCAGCAGCAAATGCAACAGCAGGCAAATATTGTTCAGGCCCAACAAGCCCAAGTTAATCAAATGAACCAACAGCCGGCGGCGAAAATGGGTGGGCTTTTTGGACAGGCGAATATATCGAATAACCAGGGATTCGTCGGCTTCGGCCAACCAGCTCCAAATCAAGCGCCTGCTGCTGGCGGATTATTTGGTGCTCCAAATAGCAATAACATTCCAGGAGCATCTACTCTAGGTGATCTCCCTGTTCAGGGCGCCTCCAACCCTTTCGGTGGGTTCGGCGCAACTCAGCAAGCAGCTACCGGTTTCGGACAGGCCACAAGTCTTTTTGGGCAACAAGCGCAATCGGCCTTTGGGGCGACTGGAGGCGCATTATTCGGTGGCGGAGGTGCAGCTCCTCCTCCTCCTCCACCTCCTACGGATGCTGATCAGAGTGGGCCATCAAATGAAAAGCCTGAGGGGGACCCAGCGGCTGGAGATGATGGTGCTTCTACCCTTGCACCATCCCGTGCCTCGATGCTTATCGCTGAATCCAGCAGCTACGAGTCTTACGGAATGACGACCGCGTATGACATCTCTGGCTTGAAAACCATCAAATCGAGTCCTCTTGTCCGGCGCCAGGTGATCAGTACTATTGATCTTCCGTCTGTCATATTCACTTCAGTCGCAGTTGCTAAACTTCGTTCCGCTGCCTTCCTTAAGGCTCGCTTCAAGAACGCTTCCAAGCATACCTTCCTTCGTGGTGTCGCAGGACTCACTGTCGACGGTTCCTTCTTGGGGCAAACGAATATTCCACATTGTCCTCCTGACGATGTCATTAGTCTCTCACTGGGTGTAGACACCGGAGTTCATGTCTCCTATGCCAAACCTACACTCGTTTCTTCATCCCAAGGATTTATTTCCAAGGAGAATGTCACACTCTACAAACGTTCAATTTTCATCCACAATGCCAAATCGCAACAATTGACACTCACGGTCCTCGATCAAATCCCAATCTCTGAAGATGAGCGCCTTAGGGTTAATGTTGTTAATCCCAAGGGTCTCCGTGATGGCGGGGATCCCGTCAAGACCGGCGCTCCTGGTAGTACCAACCTGGATAACAAATGGGGCGCTGCCTCTGCCGTTATGAAAACTGCTGGGAATGGAGAGATCACGTATACTGTCAAATTGGAGAAAGGAAGAAGCTGCAAGTTGCCATTGGAGTATGAGGTCAAGTTGCCCGCCGGCGAGAAGATCGTTGGACTAACTTAGATCCAAATGCATTGAATTATCTATTTGCAACCATTGCTTGACTTTTTCGCAGCCACTAGTCCGACTTCTTTTTTATTTCGTCTCTTTCTAAAACATTAAGGCCTACTTATGTACTCTCTCTTGAAGGATCAGGACCATGATCGAAAATGTATATTAGTTTTATCAATACGTCGCTGCAAGCAATAATAACTGGTCCAATCACCTTTCTCCAACCCCCCATACAATCTCGTAGACCCCTCCCCCACAACCAGACTATACATAGTATACGTATACGTACCGAGAGAAAGAAGTAAGACAAATGCATAGTATGATATCATAGCCAGTGCGTTGTTTTTGTGGTTGCCAAGCAGTGGCCAAAAGCGTGTTTATGTACGCATCTCCTATTCAGGCAATTTGGACCTCCTTCGCCCAATGGCCATTAATTTCGACAGTCTGAATTCGAATCCTCCGGCCAGTCGGCCTCTTCGGTCTTTCGCATTGGCTCGCTGTCGTTGTAGTCATAGTCGCCTTTTTTCTCTCTGAAGATCGGAATATAAAACTCCCTCGGCCTCCACGCGGCGTGAAAGTCGCAAAAACATCCTTTTCTTATCGATTGTCGCGCCGTCCCGGTTAATCACTTCTATATCAGGGGATCCATCGACGTTACATTCGCTGATTATATCATGACCATGGCATTTACACTGCTTCTATTCTTGTAGACTTTCGATACAATCTTCGCTATAATCACCATCTTTGTCTTCTATTTTATCTTTTACACTTTTTTTAGTTTTTCTTCGTTTCTTTCTTCTCTTTAGATCTTGCGCGCAGACATTTCAAATTCATCTCTCATAGAACAGAAAAAAAACATAATCTCTAATATACACCTCCTTCTCCGCCACATATAAACAAATCATACTTCTGTTAACTCCTCTGCACTCTCAAAATCCTACCCCTCATTCCAATCTGGGGTCGGTCAGATAGCAGAGACGCAATTCCTTTTTCTAAAAAGAAAATAATGAATTAAATGTCTTCCGCATACCGCCACGAATACCTCGAACCACCCCACGCCCGCCGTCCATTCCTTCATACAGACGTTGACATCTCGTCGAACACCGCGCTCTCTACCACCGCTGTAGGCTCCTCACCCGAGGGCACAGTCTACAATAATTCATCCGACCAGCTTCTCAGCCAGGGAGGAAATAGACTTCCACCTCCCCAACGGGCGGTTGAAATCCCACCTGGTGAGATCGATTTAATCCCGCCTCTGAGGACAGGCGCATATTCCGTTTCGCCTGATAGTGAACGGTCTGTCAGTGGTGGCGTTACCGGGGCTGGTTTAGGTACCTTTGGATCAAGGAATCAAGCAGGAGCAAGTGGTGGTGGACTCGAAGGGGAAGAAAGAGAGTCTGATATATTAGAAACCGACGAGAAAGCTAGTTTATTTACACGATTTACACGGCGCTGGAGGAATCCTGTGCTGGTAGCGATTATAATTATGTTACTTATTGGGCTGATATTGGGATTGGCCATTGGTCTGACGAAGGGACAGTCGAAGGGAGGGAATAATAAGATCATAGTGAAGAGTCGGCCATATTATCCGTCACCGAGAGGAGGATGGGTGCCATCATGGCAGGATGCCTACGAACAGGCTGCAAAACTAGTGAGGGATATGGATGTCCCCGAGAAGGTCAACTTGACAACAGGAGTGGGGTGGAGCATGGTATGATAATCTTTAAATCGTAACCTTTAATAAACTGTTGCATGCTGACGAATTTCGAATAGGGCCCCTGTGTCGGTAATACCGGGTCGACAAAGCGTATTGGAAGTCTTTGCCTTCAAGATGGGCCGGCTGGTATCCGTTTCGCAGACGACATCACCGCCTTCCCAGCTGGTGTTACAGTCGCAGCTACCTGGTCGAAATATCACATGTACGCCCGTGGCAAAGCACTCGGCGCCGAAGCCCGTGCGAAGGGTGTAAATGTCATCTTAGGACCTTGCCTGGGCCCCCTTGGAAGATTCCCCGTCGGCGGTAGAAACTGGGAAGGTTTTGGCTCCGATCCTTATCTACAAGGTGTCGCATCAGGTATTACGATTGAAGCGATACAAAGCGAAGGAGTCATTGCGACCGCAAAACATTACATTGGAAACGAACAAGAAAGATTTCGACAAGTCCCCGAAGCACACGGACAGGGATGGCCGAATGTTACCGAAGCACTCAGTTCAAATATCGGAGACAGGACACTGCACGAGTTATATCTCTGGCCCTTTGCAGAAGCAGTCCATGCAGGAGTCGGTGCGATCATGTGTTCCTACAACCAAGTCAATAACTCCTACGCCTGCCAGAACAGCTACCTGCTAAATAATGTATTGAAAGATGAACTTGGATTTCAAGGATTTGTCATGAGTGATTGGTTGGCACATCACAGTGGAGTCGCAAGCGCTTTGGCAGGTATGGACATGAGCATGCCTGGCGACGCCAAATCCTTTTTGGATGGTGAAACATACTGGGGCAGCTTCCTTACCGAGTCCGTGGTCAACAAGACGCTTCCGATCGAGCGACTAGACGATATGGCACTGAGAATTGTGGCGACATGGATTAAGATGGGTCAGCATAAAGATTTCCCCGATGTCTCTTTCTCCAGCTGGACAAAGCTCCGAGATGGATTTGTTTACCAAGGAACCTTTTCGGGTCCTATGGATGTCGTCAATGACTTCGTGGACGTCAGACAGAACCACTCGGTTATCGCGCAGGAGATTGCAGCAGAAGGCATCGTTCTTCTGAAGAACTTAAACAACTCTGCGCTCCCAATGAATGACAAGAAACTGCCTAGAGCAATCATGATATTTGGATCAGATGCTGGACCAAGCCCTAACGGCCCGAACGGGTGTATCGATCGAGGGTGCAACCAAGGAACTCTCGGACAAGGCTGGGGTTCCGGATCAGTCGACTACGGCTACCAGATCACACCGCTCGAAGCCATACAAGCACGCCTGCTAGGTCGACGAGGGAAGAAGCCACTCGTCGAATATTCGCTTGACGATCAGGACCTCGGTCGAGCTTCGAGACTCGCAGAGACACCTGGAGCCAAGTGTTTCGTCTTCGTATCTTCAGACTCTGGAGAAGCATATCTTTCCTCGGAAGGGCACTTGGGCGACCGAAATGACCTCAACCTCTGGCACGGCGGTGACGACTTGATCAAAACCGTCGCGGCGAAATGTAACGATACGGTCGTCGTAGTCCACAGTGTTGGCGCCGTCGTTATGGAAGAATGGATCAATAACCCAAATGTCACAGCGGTTCTAATGGCCCACCTTCCCGCCTCCGAATCCGGCTCTTCACTTGTCAATGTCCTCTGGGGCGACGTCCCACCATCTGGCCATCTACCTTACACCATCGGCAAGTCTCTCGAAGATTATGGCCCTTATGGTGATATCCTTCGCCAACCCAATGGTCCTATTCCGCAGGATGACTTCAAAGACGGACTTGACATTGACTACCGCTACTTCGACGCAAATGGTATCGAACCACGTTTTGAATTCGGTTTCGGGCTCAGCTATACCGAATTCGAATACGGAAACCTTACAATCCAAAAAGTCTACCAAGGAAATCTATCATCAGAGCTCCCTCCTCCACCGGACAGAATACCCGTTCCAAAAATGAACACCAAAGTCCCAACTCCTCAAGAAGTCATATTCCCAGAAGGATTTAATCGACTAAGAAACTATCATTATCCATGGTTAACCCGTACTCAAGCCTCGGCTGTCGAAGGTCTGTTGGGATCTGACAATAAAACCGAATACCCATACCCAGAAGGATGGAACGCAGAACCACGTCCCAACCCACCACCAGGTGGCGGAGGTGAAGGCGGTCACCCGGCTCTTTACGATGTTCTATTCCACGTTGACATCGATGTCAAGAATATCGGAAAGAAACCCGGAAAGACGGTACCCCAACTCTACGTCACTTTCCCAGATGGGGTCGGGGTATACACACCCTTCAGACAGCTCAGAGGGTTTGAGAAAATAGGTGTCGGCCCAGGTGAGAGTGTGACTGTTGGGTTTGATATTAGGAGGAAGGATCTGAGCGTTTGGGATGAAGTCAGTGGGAAGGGGTGGTATATCCCTTCTGCTAAGGGGAAAGCCGTTGGGGAAGGGTATACTATTTGGGTTGGGCAGAGTAGTAGAAGAGGAGGGATTGAGGGGAAGACAACAGAGTAAGTGATTGGCCGTCGAAAAAGGGTTTCTTGTAGATATTTTTCTTCTTTTTTCTTTCTTTCTTTCAGTTCCTTTCTTCTCTCTTCTTTTCTCTTCTTTTGTGGATGAGGTTCAAGCGCCCGGCCCTCTTTTTACTTTATTTTATAATGACTACTTGTAAAGAGTATGCTTTATGACCTTCTTCTTCTTCTTTTTCCTCTTCTTCTTCTTCTTCTTCTTGTACTTTTGGATATACGGATTTGTGGATACTGGAATTTAGGATATATTTTCGTGTAATGATTAATGGTAACATATGATGTCGGGAACTAAAATTTTTGCTACGCACACTAAACAAAGCTATCATTGATGAACAAGGTCACAAGCCAATAAGCTACCAGTCATGACCATTGGATTTACGCCAGCTGGGTCTACACAGACATTGCAATGAGGGAGATATCTTTACTTGAGTCGTTATGTAAGTATGTATGTAACGTACATGCCAGTCGACGCGCGCAAATGAGAGAGAAGATGGGTGATAGGTGGGGGGTGGGAGAGAGTAGCGCTGAAGACACCATAACGATTCGAGAATGTAACAAAAATCACTTCTTATCATAACGATATGAAGGGGAAGACAGAAAGGTCTTGTAAAATATGACCGAAGGGATTTTTCGAAAAAAAAAATAGGAGAATAAAATCCTGAACGCCATGAAAACATGAAAAAATGGAAGCCAATGTAATGCACGCTATGTATGATGCAGGATGGGGTATCACGGCGTTGATAAAAAAAAGCGCGACAGAAAAGATCACAAAATCAGAGAAACAAGGAAGTAATTGAAAGGGTAAAAAAAAAGACAGGAGACAATCATGATGCAACAGTGGAGAGAAGTGAGATTTCAGTGGAGTTTTGGACGCTTCTGCCTTTCGCCAGAATCTCGAGATTGGTGTTCATCTTCCGGTCCAGGAGTTTCCATAGCTGGAGTTCCCATGTGATTGTTGCGAGCCAACGGAGCAATAGTAGTGGGAGGACGAAGGCTTTCTCCGTTTAGGAGAGTGAACCCACAGGACAGGGCACGATCGTTCATGATTCCATCGACCCTGATGACAGAATCGATGGTCTGATAGTTAGTGTCAATTAGTTGCATTATTCTCGGGTCATAGTATCGACTCAAGACCACAGGTGCGCTGACAATCCCTTCCATCGATTTGCTCTCGGAATCGGCACTGCCAACCCATTTACCGTAGTCTGTACCGGCTTTCTCCAGGTAGAATGGGATCTCAAAGGGGATCGGATCGAGAGGACGAGGAGGATCCGTGGAAAGAAGATCGCCGACGAAGTAGAGAGTGATATACCTGAGAGTATTATCTGGCTGGCCCTCAGTGTGGCCCACGGCGAGACCTAGCTTACGGATGACCATAAGGCCATGCGAAGCTGGGTCCCAGACAGACATGTCCGGTGGCGGCGGGTTTTTCTTTTGGATGCGAATTGCATCCCCGACCCAGATTTTCTCCGGGCCGAAGAAAACACCCTCCAGCTCGTAGATGATCTTGGCCTATTTATTTCGAAGCCATCACATTTAGTACAGTGATATTTCATCAAACAAATAGATGGCAATGGATGAGAAGAGTGTCACTTACCCCATCGAACGATGGTGCGACGTTCTTACGAGCGACCTGAAAAACCGCCATGGAGGGCCTCATGGCGGCCCCCCTCGAGACATGGTCGATGACAATTCCGCGAGCGTCATCTTTAACTGGAGTCTTGGCCCATGGCAGGACATATCTTAGGTTGTAGTCCTTGACGTAATTGTCACTACCGCACTTCTGGATCCGGTAGTGGGTCCCCTCAGGCTCGTCGACCATGTATGCGTCGGCATAGTCGTCGATTGTCATGGGTTTGGTCGAACCCATGACAACGGCCGTCGACGACCCGACGATATAGCCGGCGATCCATCTCCCTCCCGCACCAAAGGTGCCATCGGGGTCCGATGGATCGGAGAGCCTGAGGGGCTCTTCGAGGTCCCCGGAACCAGTGGGTTTTCTGGGTGCCTCGAACACCCACACCAACTCACCTTGGCGGAACCTCCAGGCCCCATCGTTGAGGTCCTGGCGCCTCTCGGAAAGGGCATGCTGGTAGTTAGCCATGATTGCGATTGATCTGCTCTTGGAGATTAACTCGGCTTGACGCGACATTGTGGTTTGGGATGGTCGCCTGGTCTTTTTGGTGCAGTGTTGGCAACTGCACGCGTAAAGTGGATCGTGGGTGATCGTGGTGTTTCTTGGGAGACCACTGGTAGAGCAAGAGACAGAGTTGTTAGTAAGAAAGGTATAAAACAGGTTTCAGGGATGTTACTAGATCGACAGAGGTGAGGATCAAGTAGGCAAGAAGGCAAGAAGGCAAGAAGACAGTTGGTTCGATTCCTGGAAACGGCCATACAGCTCTCACCTGGTCTCCAGACCAGCTCAACATAAGGCTGTCTATAAAACAGCCTACGAATCCCACCAAAGCCAGCCAGTCCTCCCCCCCCATACATCCATCCAGGCCCTACACAAACAGAGCGCTCCGTGCATACCTTAGAGAATCCTCGTTTTGTCTGATGATACTGGCAACATGTGGTAGAAACTCCTTTGGTGAACGGTATCTAGCTCCAGATTGGTGGCCGTAGAGATACGAATCCTGGCGCTCGATGACAAGCTTTCCCTTGTCGTCAACTGTTCCCTTCTGAGATGTGAAGATAGCATATCCAGTAGGGAGATCTCGAAGCATCCAGTCCTCTAAAAGAAAAAGAAAAATACCCAGGTTAATTTATCAGGAACTTAACACAAAAGGACATTTATGATCGTATGCATACCAGTTCCATGGAACCCAAATTCTTCGGCAACTAAATCACCAAGCTTGGCCCGATAGATATTGACTGCTGCCAAGTCATCACGAAGATACCAGTCAACCTTTTCACCAGGTTTGAGTGACTTTTGCGGATCTCTGATATTCGTAGGAAAGCTGTCAGAAGACGTTTCGAGAGACGGCAGCTGGAGAGTAAGCACTCGGCGAGTCTTCCCTGAAAGGAAGGCGACAGTTGCGTCTGCACTGAAGATCGGAGGAGGCTCCATCGTCGAGGGGAGGTTGTCGAGCGTCAATGATCTTCACCAAACGATGGGAGGTTGGTGAGAGGGCGTAGATGTAACTGAATGAGGGATGTGGGAAGAAAGCTGTTGCTAATAGAATCGAGTAGAATGGAGTTTGTGGTTTACGTGACACCAGAAACAATCAAACGCAAAGTCACGTGCCCACGCAACAACACAGCAACGCAACAGCACACCTGATTCATGCCGTATACCGCCACTACTCAGAGCTAACCCACTAATTCGAGCAGCGTTATAGCGCTATAGCGCTAAAGGGGAACGCACAGTTGAGGAGTCTGGCGACGAAACAAGGGGAACGAAACTAGTCTTACCTCATAGTAGCATTTATTTAAGTCCTTTCCCCAATATTTCGTTCGTAGAATAAATCCCCTATCGATCTCCTGTAAAATAGCCATAGTTATTTCTATTTTTCCCTTTTCTTCGTGGATGTCAACTTGTAATATTACCTCCAATTCAATTAACAATTGAAGCTAATTAAGCGGAAAATAAAATGCAACAAGAACACATATTTGAGTCAAGATAGGACCAGCAAGTCTCGTCTTGGAATATGATACGATACGATACCACATTATGGTGGGTAGTCTGGTAAAAACCCATCAACTTGTCAATGGTATTACATGCTGATCAGAGTCCCCCCGGAAATCACACATTTCTCGAGACCGATAAGATCTGGAGAATAGGTAGTTAGATCATAGGTCCCTTTCCTAGATAATGCAAGATAAATACTCACATACTTTCAGAAAGCAGTTCGACCTTATCTCCGTTTTTCATGATCCTGCATGAAATCCTTCGAGGTGTGGTATGACGGCCGCAGAATGTTTTATTTAACGAGAGAAGGATATCTACAATGATGATCGAAAATTATGAATAATGTACTTAATGCACTATGCGGGTGTATACTGGCCATTCATAACTTCAAGACAAATCAGGATCATATCAAAAGATATCCCAAGGCCGAATCCTGCTTCCACTCTTAATCAAATCATATGATACTGAAACTCGGTTTTGGAAATTCCGGAATACCCAGATCCGGGTCCAAAATATCCGCATGTACGCATGCCTCAAGAACATGGGTACAAAAACCGATTGAATGTTTGCGAGCTCCTCGATTTCGCTCATCATCTATGATTCAAATACATTCTCAGACCACTTCAGAAACAACTATACTCGCCTAGAGGGCTCTTCTGCCATCCAATGAAGCTCTATTATGGGATGATCTAGATCCATGTACTCTGCTTAGAGCTCACCGAATCACCAGCTACCATTGAGAGTTCAGTACCGATCTAATAGTCCAAGCGAAGTTAGCCGATATACAGCCATTCCACCTCCAATTCCAAAGTTGGTTTCAAAACCCGATAGTTGGAGGCTCTTACGGAGCAGATTGGTTGATTTTGGTATCCCAGTTTCGAATTTCGCCGAAGGAAAGCCTTTTCGTCTCGGACATCGCCTCCACACACAAGAGCATCTACATGTATACACTCATGTCTTGTTTGGTTGGTCTAAGCGTGCAAATGATATTCACACCTCTCTTAGTACGCACGCTACTCTACGGCCTATCCTATTCACCTATCAGTTATCATGCTGCCTAGACAGGGCTCCAATAATTAACAGCCTCTATCAAAAGGATACGTACCAATGATGGTAGCAGATTGATAACGATATCAAAGGGACCCTCGTCAGGGATATACTTAAAAAAGAAGTCTTTGGCGACGAGAGAGGACACCTAAGGACTTCACAAAAGCAAATAACAATATATCCCTTAGGAGAGTCATAGATTACTCAGGAGTAATAGCAATCTATATGCCCATCCGTACATATTACTGTATTGAGTGCTAGCTTGCAAGATTTCCGACCACAATCATCGAAATCGCTGACATCGGAGCTTGTCCGGACCCGACAGTTTGGTATTCAAATCGAATCGAGATGCCCCCGTTTATCCCGTCCTTGAGATCTCCCGCAGCGCCCAAGCCTGCAAGATAACGATAATTAAAACATCAGTTGATATATTATAAACTCCGAGAGAGAGAGAGGGATCAAGCCACGTCCTATCACATCACACCTGCATATGCATAATCGATAGCGAAACGAGGGTAACTTAAACCACTTTCAGTATTTTAATTTATTACCATCCCGCAATCTCTCGATTCCAGGCCCGTCTTTTATGTCTAACATATAAATCATATGACGGACTACTCTCATGAATCCCACAAAGTGAAGTAGGCACTCTGATAAAAAAAAAAGAATCTAACAGTTCGAAATATTCACCCGAGCACCCGCTAGCCAATCGTTCCAAACGTCCATTGTGGCGTTTGTCTACAATGTCTTAGACCTTCCCCTCGCTTCGGTTACATAGCCCATCATGCATCACCATAGCCATGGCCATATGCAATATGTGATCATGCATTGTTCGTCTCCCGGGAAATAACAGACAGCCATGTGCTCAGGCCATGGTGTCTACAGACTACGCCGATTGAGATTTAGTTGAGTCAGGATGATATGAGTTCACCTCGGTTCATGTGCTATCCCACCACCACCCAACGCTACTGGGAGTTCATCTGGAATGAAACGGTTTCGATTATTTGATGTCTTTAGAGCATCTGAATATGATATGACAAATGTTAGGCAAGAAAAAATTTACTTATTTAGTGCGTAAATTAGAGCCTCTGTCGCTTGACCAATCAATATTCGTATATTGGATGAGGGCCTGGTGAGACAGCAATAGAAACACCTACTAGCAGCGAAAAAGAAGGAAAAGTTGGAAGAGTGTTAATATCGGCGAAACACTCTTGTTTGAAAAAAGTTGTGGGGGGCAATTGGTACTTCGTTGGATTTTAGGCGTTGTGGGAGGTCGAGGATCTTCTTTTCCCTTCAGAAGCACAGCGCTTATGAGGCTTGATCAAGAATCCGAAGCTCGATCTCAAACCTCATTATCGCGATTCATACACAAGCACCACACATAAAGCAAGAAATCCTCAAATACGGACAAGTGAAAGGTTTTCTTCGCAATTACGGCGTTTCGGATTTAAATTTTCCAGAAAGAACTGATGAGATTGGTTCGTTTTCCCTGTCCTATTATCTTGATTTACGAATAGGCTTGATTCTTGATTAATTGCGTAGACGGTGTTTCAGCAAAAACAGTTGCAACCATGGCCGGAACGTTGTTCGATCGCGTGCAGACGCTGTGAATCGTGGTATCGGAGAAATTTAAACAAGGCTGATGGCTTGCTAGCTTACCAAAAGCTCTAACATTCCAGCTAGTTCTTTAGCCACGCAGTTACGTAGTAGGTTGGTTTTTCCGAGGTTGATGGGGCTTTTCTGACGACGCTAACGTTAAAGGTCTGGATTGGTATAACATTTCGCAAACTGAAGCTGAAATGTAGTAAGAAGTACCTGTATCTAACATCGATGCATCGACGAGCTCCCCCTACCTGTCTCTGTCACGAAAACGTCAAGAAACGAATAACGAATTTAACTGAAAGAGGAAGTGTAAGCTTTGTCCTTGCGGGAACAGAAAGAGGGCTGATGAAAGGTTGTGAAAAGGTTTTTCGGATGCAGCTTCGCTGCATATGAAGAATAGCCCGGTTCAAGCTTCTCATTGGCCCGCACCGTTACGTATCTTCATTCCTTATGGGATGGAGGGGTTCGATGAAGGTACATGCCCCGGAAAAAGAAAAGGCTTGCGGGCCTTTGAACCAGGATGTCGATGTTTTTCTTATTTCTACGTTTCTTTATTCAATAAAGAACGGACGACTACAAAGACGCGATGCTGATTTGTTTGATAAAAAGTGGCCCAGCCATCGACTTTTTAATCGCGCGTTCGTAACATGGACCCGTTTATTTTTGGCAGAAGCGAATCCGTCGCATGAGGACCAATGCATGGGCTTTGGGTTTGCAGTCAAGGTCAACCGATTCGTTCCCAGACTTCTGCCCCGAAAGAAACATATGTCACAATTCAGGGACGGGGACTTTGAACGGCTAACAAGAAGGGACCAAATATTTCAGGGACAGCAGACAGGCTGTGAGTGGTCCGTGAGGAACGTTCGGGTGGCCAAGGAGTCCGTGGCGGGACACAATTGCGATTGAGATCTGTGAATCTTTATTTCGATTTTCTATAGAGATTCCATGAGGGGTACATGGAGCTGTGCTCCTGTGCATATTCGGCACATGGGAAGCCATTGCATCGAACATCTGGCGAATTGGCCGACAATTGGCTGTGTGGACACCACGACACCATCTCGCCTGTGACAAGGGCAGCTAATCCTGGGGAGCTAATGTAAGTATGTGTTGTCAGACCAGACTGTGGGGTTCCTTTTCAGGTTCTTTCGTCTGGTCTCCTTCTCTCTTCTCATCTCTTGAGATGATGGTAAGAGCAATATTATGTGGTAATGTAATATTATGATATTGCTTGATGAGCAGAGGCGGTTGAGGGGACTGAAGCTGGATCCAATGACATCCAGTGACTTCTCCCAACCCTGCTTCAAGATATCTTGCTATAGCTATATCCGGCCAAAGTTATTCACTGTTGGCTCCGGACTCGATCTTATTAATATTTGTTTTGATTCCTGACATGTTCCCGTTCTATAGCAATCACGTTACATGAACATGGAAGTACGAGGAACCATGCCCTCGGGCTTCGAACCCGTTTAGCAAAACAGTAAAAGCAAAGTACCAAATAGCCCGCACAGTAGTTAGTGACGGCGGGGGCTGGTGATGCATCTAGGTCATATCCGGTTGGAAAGCAGGACGCACCTCAGACTCGCATGCATACCTTCAAGTTCGAGTTCATTCATTCAGTCTTTCCCATTGCCCGTTTTGCTCCTGCGATGAGAAACACCAGGTTCTATTTCCGGACAAGCCGATCCCTACATCATGCTGCTGCATAATCTTTAAAAGCGGCGTGACTTCTTTCTTCTTTCTCTTCTTCTACACCATGCGTTCGTTGCCGTTTGGACATTTTCAATACAATCGATTCTCTTTTCTGCTTGCCAGCTTACTTGTCTAACAAAATTATTTTCCTTGTTGCATTATCGCTTATCAACACAAATTATATCATATAAATTGATCACCCTCGCTCTCGGTACAGCAGGCAGCGCTGCCTCAGATCAGACTTTTAATCCAGACTCTCGTTCTATTGAATTGAATAACCAACAACATCGTAAACATATATCATATCCATATATATTAGAAAGATAAGAGGAAGATGTCTACAGCCACCGTTCTCAACCATCGAGTCGGCCACCGGAAACAAAGCTCTGCCCAGGCGAATTCGATTTCCAATCTTCCTGTCGAGACCATTCTGGATATCCTGGCCAATGCCACTTCTTTCCACGCTCTCAGGACTCTACTCCAGGCTTCTTCTCATAATGATAGAGTTATGCAAATATTCATGCTCAACAAGGACTATATCTACACTTCGATTGCCAAACGTCAATTCACTCCACTAGAGGACGCTCTCGCCGCAGCGTCTATGGCATCGTTGCTGGCTCCAGTCAATGAATTGGACGAACTAGATGATCCTACGGCTCCATTGACACTTCTCTCTGACCGAGAAGGGAATAACAAATCTCTTCGTGTTCGAGACAAGGGTCCAGAAGGCCTGGAGGAACGGATTCAAAAGCTTCTCATAAACGATATGGTTGCCACAGAACTCGAAACACTCTTTGAACAGCGCCTCCATGGATCTGGGTACAAACTCTCAGCTACGGAGAGGGTCATGTTTCGACAATCTCTTTATCGAATTTGGGCTTTTACCGCTGGGATCCCTCGTTTCGCCACCCGTTGTGTCTTTGATCCTGAAGAGGTCAAGCAACAATACTGGGAGGTCAGGTTCTTGTCGAGATATTCCGCTAGAGATATCTGCGAAATCGGAAAGGTTTATTCCTTCCTTGTAGGGTTGGTGGTTGAAATCTGTCGACGATGCCGTCACCAAGAATTCTTCGAACCTGGAAATGACAACGACGAAGAATACCTCTCCGGTTAGCAAAATACCTCTATACCATCTCTCCTCTGAACGTAGTGCTAATGAATTCTCCTGCAGATGTTATTGGATACCATATCTCTAAAGGACCCGACGCAGTCTTGGAGCTCTTTAAATTAGCCACCTCTGAAGCAAATCCTGCCAAAGTATCCCGCAGACTAGCTTGGGGTGCTGTTGGCTACCAACGATTCCTCATTGGTGACCTCGAATACGTCTGGTATAAAAAATATGGTGGCCTTAATTTCCGTCAAAAAAGCTTCCGCCAGAGCTCCAAGGACGCCATTTGTTCCTAAAAGTCATAAGTAATGGATGTGTATCATCAGTGGGGACGCTACAACGACAATGACAACCCGCTCTGTATCCTTTTGGTTCACATGGCTGGTTTCTACCCCGTAACGCTTACGATTTTCTTCTTCTCTATTCTTTCCCTTCAGTTTCCTTTCTAGCGACTTGTTTTTTCTTCTCCTATTTGCCCGAGCGAGCGAGCGAGTTATGTCTTTTTCTTCTTCCTGGTACTTCAATATCCTTTCCCGGCCACCTATCTTGCGAAATCTAGCGAGCGTGTGAAGCGATCCTTTCCTGTTTTCCTTTCCAAAAGTGTATCACTCACGATTTTCCTTTCAAAGATTCTTTCAAATACCTCTTCATGTTGTGGAACCTATCTACCTACGGGTACTTTGGCAGAACCACCCCCTCTCCCCTGGGGAAGCTAATAATGATTTAGAGACGGAAAACTCAGACCAATACCCTGGAAGAAAAGAAAACACTTTTTTTCTTTAGACTAGTCCTACTTCTGTGTCAAAACACCCCCAAGTTCGTCCTGCCAATTAGCAAGCATCACCGAGCTTTTTTCTCTCTCTTTCTGAACGAGTTCCTACTTTTTTTTGGTTTTGTCTCTGAACCCATTTGTGACGACCTCGAGTACGATTTTCCTTTCGTTTCCTTTACCTATGGATTGTAGTATGTGGAACTACCTCTGTGCACTAACGACTTAAGTTTACTTGCCCTGTATTCTATATGAGCTTACGATGCGAACATGTTTATGAAAAAAAATGAATCATTTAGACCACCCTCCAAAACTGTCAACATGGGGACAACTACTATGTATACAACTTTACCAATTGCAAACATGGTCAATTACTTGACGATATAAGTAAGTACTTATATGTCTCTAATCCCCTAGCGCTCGCGAAATATTGCAACAGAAAAAAAAAACCCCCCGACCTACCCACAAAACTTAGGAAACTAAACGAAACAATCTAAGAAACCCTATCTAGCTCGAAATCTCTAAAACGTTAAAACCAATAGCCCCCACCAACCAATCCAAAGAATAATAATAATAATAATAAAAACTGATATGAAAAATCGTTAATAAAAGCCAACAGGGTGTGCCAGGGAATGATAGAATACGTCTATAATTGGCTATAGATTGATCACGGACCCCATGTACTGTGCACTAGTCAATAAATGGACAATATAATCTCAACCGCCTAATTCAGTTTCTACTTTACCTTCTTTCTTTCTTTTCTTGGCCACTATCTAAAGCTAAATAAAATATAAAGACTAGAGTATAGAGGATCGTCAGGTTAAGGATCGTCAGATTGAATCAAATAAACACTGCTTTGCTCAAAATTATACAATTGATTCAGGGTATGCGACAATCAAGAATAGTCTCCCACAAAAAGCATCAAAATTATAGGGCCGACAAGGGCCGATAGAAAAAAAATCACAGCTATGAAACAAATTCAAGATATAATAGTATAGGGCTGCGCAACGGAGCAATTCATAAACCCCTAACTGCATCCAAAAAACAGATTCTATAATCTAGCCCTGGGGGTATACACACCAAACAAAATTATTTTTCCCGAGGAAGAGTGGGAAGCTGCACCACTTCAACTGGCCCTTGGCTCCCCACCGACAGGTTCGGTTTTAGAGGGTCATAAACGCTGTCGAGCTCCACGAGATGGCGGCTAGGCGCTAATTCAGCCGCAAGATGTGACGAATGTAATTCCGACAACGGTCTGCCAAAACCGCCAGGTGGTGGAAGACCGTTATCATATGCAGGGCCGGGCACAGGTACAGGCGGTAAATTCCGCTTCTTCCTTCGGCGCATGAAAAAGAATGCAAATACAATGGCACCGATTAAGACGACGCTCCCAACTGATGCTCCGGCGGCTATGGCAGCTGTATTCTTTTTAGGGGCCGAGCCGTCATTGTCGGATGGAGTACCGGCTCCTGTAGGCGTAGAACCACCGGTAGCCCCAGGGCCGACGGACGTACTGGTAGGAGCAACATAGCCGCGAGTATATGCTTGTGCGAATACCTCCGCAAGGGCAGGATTATCCCAACTTTCCGGTTGTCGTCTGAACAGATTCCATTAGATATTTCCAGCTAACTCGAAGGGAAGACAGTGCTTACCTTCTGCCTACAGCGGTTCTGACAATCTGAGGCCTTTCGTAGCCTTGCGCATTCGCATCGAAATGAGTCCAACCTAAGTTTGTGATATCATACCAAGCGAATGGGAAATTTGCGTATTCCGTGCCGAAGCCATATGTACTGGCCACCATGAAGTATCGGTCGTTTGGGCAAGAACAAGAGACGTTATCTAACATATGGGTGTCAGAGAAATTGTTAACCAGCAATGCCTGAATGGAGTTTAACGTACAAGCTCCATGAGTGGTTCGATCGCCGGTAAGACCGAAATAGTACTGAACCCATTGAAAAGTTGGTACCGTGAGAGCCCACACATCATCGAGTTTAAGTAGGTCATTAGAGACTGTCCGGTGACCACCGTGCAATATTATTTCATAAGAATCCGCAGCTCCTGCATAATAAGGAGAAACCGCGCAGAAGAACTTTCGGTCGATAGGAAGGCCTTGGACATCATCGGCCGGTGTTGCAATTTGAGAATACCATTTAGATGAAAGAATATCATAGACCCAGATGTTTTCCATTGGCATCTATTATACCCGTTTCGAGAAATTTGTTAGCAGGGTGTTTTCAAACTCTTCCCAATATAATTTGATGTCAGAAACAATACCGATCGTATCCTCCCACTAGAATCTATCATTTCTCCACCAATAGACACCAATACACCTTTCTTTCCAATCGGGTACCACGACATTTGGGATCCAACCAACGCTGGCATATCACCCGTATCCTCCACGGATATTTCCCCGTTGCTGAGATTTAATTTCACCAATTGCTTCAAATATTTCCCATTGTTATCCATACCCCCCAAATAGTACCCGAATCCATCAAGGGACTGTGCTGCTGCCCCATGATGTGGGTTCAGGTACGCCCCTTCTATTGTATCATTAGTCTTGGCCCCGACCGTGAAAATGTCGAATCCTGCGTCCTGCGTATTGTACTCGTACAAAGGATTTCCTGGGTCGACTTCGTCACCGGTTCTTCCTCCAAACTGGACAAATTGCGATCTACCGCCTCGGGAATCTATCCATTTGTAATTGAATAAAGCGCCCCCGGAGGAAGTTCCCGCGCTTGCAGGTTTTTCAATAAGCTTCAAACGACCGCTGTCCCAGAGTTGGTCGAGTCTGTTGTTTGATGTATTCCCGCTTGTGATGATGGTTTGGCTAAGGTCAAGACTATATAGATACGGGTCTATTCACCCCAATCAGTAATTGAAATTCGAGGTGTTTAGTTCCTCAGAGATAGCATAACATACTTGGACCGTAAGACCTATCTATTGTCGAGTTGGAGAAATTCGCAAGTCTAACAGGGAGGACTTCGCCGCCGTCTATCCATAATGTAGTGCCTATTTGTGCAAATTGCAAATATTCGCCTGTGGGTTAATTTTTTGCTTTCCTGCGATTTTCGCTTTCCGGTGGAAGCATATCGGTTATCGAAGATTTATATGTACCAATGAATGTGGTCTGGTGGTTTCGAATGAACTTAAGTCCGAAGTAGTCCTTAGCCATATTCGTCTGTTTAGGAATTCTGACCTTGATGCTGAAACAAATTCGCTAGTTCCCGAAAAACGTCAAAGAAACGTTTTGCACCCGTGTTCAATCGCGCTCGAATTACTGTTTACTGATCGCACTGGAAGCCGATCATGGGGCTCTAAGACACCAAAGTCGTAATTACACGATCGGAATTGAGAAAAGGACGGAAGGTCCCTTAAATATGGGAAGAGGTTTGCCCTCGGTAAGCGCCATTGTTGACGATATTTTGAATGCCATTGTCAATTGTCCCGCTTTCATCTAGGATAAACGAAGGTGTGCGAACAGGGGACGGAGTCCGAACATGGGTTTTCGCTCTCCTTTCCTAGTTTGGCAGGCCTATTTCTCGCACTGCATGATCTTGGCTACTCGGGCCAGTCAACTGGGAGACTCGTACATATGTGCCGGCTGGTTGAAAATAGAGAGTCTCCGTTTGGGCCAAATTGAAGGGCGGCGACAGAGCGGAACGCGATGGGCATCCTTACATAATTCAACTCATCTAGATCAATTGGATCTCAGCCGAGATATATGCAGGTGAATCGAATCTTGAATCTCAGAGATATTCTATTCAAAACTTCACTGTATCGCTGACTGTGTCATCCGGGGTTTGACTAAACATTTTCTTCATGCATCTCAGCGTAATCTGTCAGAGTTCGTGTATAGCATGGCGCATGTACGTTGCACAACTTTTGGATCTGACAGACTTCATTTTCCTTCGTCGGTGCTGAATGAGATTTTGAGCTCCAAGCCTCTTATTGATATTTGTATATGAGGAAAGTATAAAACCATTACGAATTTACGTTGTACAAATGGGGCAGAGTATCCTTATCAAAGTATAGCAATGTATCATGAATGCTCAGTCCTAATGTAACCCTTTTGATAGAGTAGGCCAGCTCCAAACTTCTGAATATATACAATAGTGGGTATCTACAGGCGTGGCTTCTCCAACATTATAGCCAGCCACCCTCCCCGACCTGCTCATCGAACATAAATTCCAGAATGACGTCAATAGTAACTCGAATCGTATCATGAATGCGCCAGACCAATGCGAATACGCCCTTAGCGGTAATAAAAGAAGAGACTCCAGCACTCCATCCAATGGAATAAAAAAATAGAGTAACGTTGAAAGAAAAAGAGAAGGAAAAAAGTTGGAGGATGAATAACTAGCCCTCCACGTTTATTGGACCCAGTTTCTGATAATCGCACAAACAATTTCCCATACCACGTTTCGCGGTCACATCGTTCAGAGATATCACGTCTAGTGATTCTTTATCTCTACAGACTACCTGCTTCCCGCCCCCAAATTTTTCTTCCGTAAGATAGACGTTCCCGGGCCATTCTCCACGATAGGCATTCCCTTTTGAATCGCCCTTTTTCCATCGAAATTCGGTGTTATTGACGAACATCTTTGCCGTCAATACGCTATTCGGGAATTCGCATGTGGCTTCTCGGCCGTCTATAACGACGCTGCTTGTTCGTGTGTAGTTCAATGAGAACTGGTAGAACGAAGTGTTTGTATTTGGATATCGCATTAGGTATAAATGTTCGGATGGGAATACGTAGGCAAATGGGTTCCCGCCGCTAGAAATAAAAAGCGGGCTTTGGTGATCTATTTCTGTTTCATTGGTCATGTTCCTTCTCGATATGAAGAAACTCCAAACCGCTTTACTCGCTGAAGGTGGAGTTTCGTAGGGAGCGCAGCGCCATAGGTCTGTTTCTTGCCCATCTGCTGTCGGTGCGCATCCTGTAGTTTCGTTCATAAGTGTCGTTGTATATGCCCAGGTACCGAGGAAGCCCCCAGGAGGTGGCATCTCTGTCGAATTTCTCGCGGCCCACCATCCGTTGCGGTGTCTTCTTCGCTGGCCCATTTCCCTTCCAATCACGATTCCAATGATCGTACCAACAACAATTGCTAATCCTGCAAGTCCAACAATGATCCAGAAGCAGTACCCCTTTCGCCTCCTCCACCATGGTTTCGAAGGGTCCTTATCCGTCGGATCAAACAATCCAACTTTCTCGCTCCACGTCTTTGTGCGCCCATCTGGTGTCAGAGTCGGCGTTAAGGTTGGTGATAGTAAAACCTCTCTTGTTGTAATATATTCTGGGGGTGGATTTTCAGCTCCGTGTGGTGGAGGAGGCCCGTGGAAATAATGAGGTGCTCGTGGCTTTGGCTGTGTATTCCGTAGCATCTCGATAACGTGAGGAGGAATCGGCAGCGGTGGTACGCTGCCCTCTCCAGGAACCACTGTTTTCATGTCCGCATTTGAAAAGCGCACCTGCCTCTGGATAGGACTTATCGGGGTGAACATCGCGAAACTCGATGCAGTCTGATTCGATTCCTGCCTTGTTCTTATGACTGGAGGAGGTTGAGAAGCTCTTGAAGCAGCTGACATAGCGTTTATCGTTTGATCGGATTCCTGCCGTGTCCTGAGTTCGAGACCGAAATCCTGGCCCTTTAAAGGAATCTTTGGAGGTGGAAATGGAGGTGGTGGTGCCAGGCTGTCTCGAAAGTTTTCAGTATCAACAAGCGGGGTGCCATATGGGTCCTTGGAACCAAGAGCTCCAACGCTCGATTGTGTGTGTATTGAATCGGATCGCTCAGTATGGCCCTGTTGGCTGCTATGGCTGCCGGCGGTTAATGTCCGCGATTTGTCCGCATCATTCCCTTCCGTGAGGTCGTCATGGTAGCCAAGGTCCGGGATTGATTGATCAGATATTATGGACATTCTCGCATCATGCGGCATAGACACTCCCAATCCCGAAGGATATGGGGAGGACCCTGGCGTTCCATAAACTTGAGGCACGGGGAGTCCATATGTTGAAGGTGGGCCATATGTTGAAGGTATGGAAGGCCCATAAACAGAGGGTACTGAAGGCCCATAAGATTCCGTGGAAGGAACAGGAAGTCCCCCAGATGTTGGGAATGAGGTCGGCGGTTGTGGAATTTGGTCTTGGTCTGGTAAATTGGTTCTAGTTGGACTTACAACTGTTGGATATTGTAGACCTGCTCGAATCGAATCTTCGGCGATACCAGCAGCAAATAACGAACCAGTCGGTGATAGTTCATCAGCATCGTTGCGGGGGTAGTATTCGTCGCCACTGATATTTTCTATGTCGCTAACAAGCGAAAGTCGGCCTCGGTTGTTCCTTGCCAGTTGATATCGGGGTGTCGAAGGCCCCTCGCCTGTGCTGGTATCCTTACTCTCCATCCCGGTTGCAGCTTAGTGTACTACACAGCACAAATCACGAGCGCAGGTGGGATATGGCCATCGATATGAACATTCAACTCGAGGAAATGATGTGAATATATAAAAAAAATAATCAAAATCAAATACCTGTATCGCAAAAGAACTTTTGGCGAAATAGAAGGAATTCACATTCTGTGAAAGGCGCGGGTGCAGGTACAAGTGTCCTCTTAAGTATGTCGAAGAAGATACACCACAAATCTGCAGGCTCGCTCCTAACGTCGACCTACTTCCAAACTACTCCGCTTTACTTTACACGCCATTTTTTTGGTCCGAGGGAATCGGAGGCAACAACTTAGAGACTTTGTGATGTACGGGCTAGCTGAAGACCCATATTTTTCCCTTCTTGGACAGACACAATTCCAGGTCGAGAAGGATGCATGCGAACAGGAGCGGAGGCCGAGAGCTAGGGCCACAGTTCATCTTCAAGTTGCCATGCATGGCTTTTGCATTTTTTGTGAAGTGAAAATCATCAGCCCTTTTGTTGGCTGTTTGCCGCCCCAAAGGCTGTAAATTGTTTCCATGGTTGGACCGCTCGAAGATTAAATTCTCAGCACCCGGTTTATCGGGGCTGATACTAAAGATCCTGCTTTTCTTGGCCTGGTGACCGAGAACTCCTAGACCTCGCGGAATTCATAGATATCATTCTGGACTTAAGTTGCGATCTTGTCGGAAATTAATTTGGATTTTAACTTGACAAGCGAGCGAAAGCTTTGATAGTATCTTTCTGGACCAACCCGAAACGCCGGCCTGGGTTTAGATTCGTAACATGGACTTTTAGCTGCGTTAGTTGCACCGCGGAGAGGATGAATTGCTGAGCTTCAAAAGCCGAAGGAAAGGAAGAAGAAATCCTAAAGCCTGGAGACATACGTACCTTTCGACCATAGATGGAGCCTCACAGGCGAGCTCGTACATGTCGAAACTAGATTCCTGTTAACTAATTCAATCGGGTCGAGGTGGTCTTTTGCGGCTGGGTTTGCCTTTGATGCAATTCATGCAGCACAAAACCAAGGACCCGATGGGCCATGTTCCGTCGTTCGGCCATGCACATATTCACCCGCGCAGGCAGGTCCTTAGACACTATTCAGTACAGTACATAAGAGCTAGGTATGTAAGTACTGCCGTTAGTTTTGAGGGGGAAAGTTGGTTAACGTTAGTAGTAGTAGCGTCCGTTGGCTGCGCGCTGTGGGGCGTTGTGATGAGGTTGGAAACCTGTTCCGAAGTAGTTGTTCTTGTCGTCTACATTGGGCATCGCATGCATGACAAAAGAAATGTAAAGGTACCATCGACGCCATTCTTTCTCACCCAATTGGAATGCTCTAATGCATGATATGGTATGATAACAAGATTGTTATTCCACATTGCATAGAAGAGGGGTTAGATAAGAATCAATTGGAAGGTAGCAGTGTGGGCCGTGGCTAGACCTTGATGCAATGCAGAAGCAAAGAGACCGAAGTAACCGCCCGAGATATCGATCATAGGTTCAAGATGGAATCCGAATTCGCTTGATCGATTGAACGAAAGCCAAGATACCTGTCTTGCTTTTTCTTCGTAAACGGGTTCCTGGGCTATCAAAGTTGACTTATAAACTTACAATATGCATGTTTCTTCCTAAATAAACGGAGAATAACCTCACTATTCCGAATGCTCTTCCAATTTTAACCGCAAGTAATATAACGCGGATATATTGGAAATTAGAGTCAATCTAATGCGGCAGCTTTGATTCGCATTAGACGGATATTTTGCACTCCTCGTGGGTGGAAAAGACGGCTAGGAATAAGCATTTCCACATTGGTAGTGCCATCGGCGCCGCTCGTTGCCGAAGCACAATTTGGCAGCTGAACTCGAAGTTTGGGACGATTTCATTTTTCCAGGACGGATAGCCTGTACTTACATACATGGGTATGTCGACTCTCCATGTGCATATTTGTAATGCCAAAGCCCCAAAGCTTGAGGTCCCGTGGGCTCAACTTAAACCTGCATTGGGATCTACAGACGAGTGCCTATAAGCAGGAAACGACGCCGATTAGCGTGGATGGCCTCGAGATCTAGATCTGGCCTGGGTATTGCGGAATTTAGGTCTCAGTGGAGCCATGGAGTATAGATAACCTACTTGATAGGTGGTTAGTGGGCTCTAGCCGAGCCAGTTAGGTCAATGCAGTTGGATGCTGATTGACTCTGGCCGTCAAAGCTTCAACGGCTCAAACATGTCTCGTCTTGCACATAATGATATGATTCGGTCGGTTGAAGTTCGTGGTTAACTGCGGTCTCGTATAAGACCTTATCCAAAATTCATTGCATTATATATCCGTCCAATTAGCTACAAAACAACCCGATTAAAACCCAAAACCTCTATACAGCTAGTAAATTAGTAATATGTTCATGCGGATACTCGCTCCGTGAAAGATCATAGAGATAGAAAAAACCCGATAAAAAAATCAAAATCAAAAGCAGAACTCATGACATAAGCCTCCAAGATCATTATTCATGTCGTCACAAAGATACCGCACCGTTATGGATTAAGCGCTGGGTGGCAGGTGGCTGAAGCCATGTTATCTCCTACTCCCGTTGTTCATATCCTCCAAAGACCCCACTTTCACGTCTCCTCTCTCTTCTTCGCCTCTCCGCGCTCCCGTCACCTGCTTCTCGCGATTCTTCACGAGATGGCCGGTGATGCCTTCGCGCCTTCTCTTTCTTTGGTGCGTCACCACTTTCGACTGCGTCCTCAAAGTTAACCTCCTTGACGGGTCGCTTCCTTTCCTTTTTTCGCGGACTGGGTGTTGGAGTTTCATCCCAATCTCGCTCTCGTCGGTGGCGCCGTCGATGTGCTTTCGCGTCACTTGCATCGCCAGTGTCAATACCTAACCCGCTGACATCCTGCAGCTCAGGCATTGCTGAATCCCTCCTTCGGGGCGACCGCGAAGGTTTGCGACCATCCGATCCAGAACCATCCGACGGCGCATCGAAATGTAGAGGGCTTGGACTTGATCTATGCTTTCGATTTCTGGAACTTTTCTCATCTGGAACTTTTAAGGCACCCTCTTCGCCCTCAGCTTGTACCCCATTCTCCTCTGCGGGTGGGCCGTCGGCGAAGTCAGTGGGATCGATTTGGACGGGAAGTGTCATGGAGCGATGTCTCCTACGCCTCCTCTCATCCTCATCATGCGAATGGTGTTTTCGCCTTTCACTCTGTGTATGGTCACCGCGGTCACCTGTTCTCCGCCGTTCAATCGGCCGTGGAGTCTCCTCTACCTGCTCACGGCCAAGGAATTTGTCTCTCTTGGACATAATTCTACCGAGGAGCCCACCGCGGCTTGGTGGTGGAGGTTCCTCAACTCGTCTCTTCTCGGTGGGTTCTCTATCCGTGTGTCTCCTAGTCCTATTTCTTCGCGCAGATTCTCCATTCGTGTCTGGGGGCTCCATGCCGAGAACCTTACTAGCCTTCGATTTCGGTTCTTGTCGCAACTCATGTTCCGGGTGGTGCGGTTGGAAGTACCCACTACCCTCTTCTGGTATAGGTGAAGGGTCACCACCTTCTCTTCTGCTCCTATGGCCTTCTCTCTTTCGAGAACTCCTCCTCCTTGACGGCTTCCTATCAGATTCCCCCTCTGCTTCAACCTCAATTGGGGTGGCTGGTTCCGGAGGGGCAGCAGGAGGGGCCTCTGGGCTATCTGGTGGATCAATGGGGGCCGGCGCCTCCGGCGCAGGCGGCCCTGGTTCAGTTTCGACCACTGGTACGGGAGGAACCTCTTCGTCCTTAGGAAGGGCATCTTCGTCTGATTTCGACCTCTCACGCCTACGTGAGCTTCTATGCCGGGGAGGCGAAGGCTGTAGGTCATCGCCTCCCTCGTGCCTATGCCTATGCCTCTTATGCCTCTCTTCGTTAGGCGCTGCCCTTGAAGATCTTACCCTTTCTGTAGACCCATTGGCTTTGTACCCTGGAGCGTCGGCAGGTGCGTTGCCACCTCCAAAACCTAGGTAGTTAAATCCCGAAGAGAACATTGCGCTCAGGCGAGATTTGGTGCCGTCCTTCTGCTTCTCTTCAGGGGGTGCGCGATCTAATTCGTCACGATGCCGATGATGGTGGTGTCGTTCTCGCTCCGCGAACTCATTTTGGCTATTCCGAGGGTCACCACTTCTGTGTTTCCTTCGAGTCGGGTCTCGGCCTGTGTAATCATCGACTGGTGCTGGAGGGGTTGGTGCTGGGGGTGGTTCCCGATCGATACTGCGCTCATCATTATGTCGTCTCGACCTGCGATTTTCTCTTTTTTCGGGGCTTCGGGAGCCTATATGTTATATTAGTGTATTGGTATGAAGCTAAGACGCGACGTTTATTATTTTTATGAGAGAGGGGGCATTTACCTCTATCTTCCCTTTCTCGAGGTGTTCTACTGTCTCGATCCCGTTTCCTTCGATGTGATCTCCCGCCGTCTTGTGAACCCAACATGGGAGTTGGGATGTCAGCAGCGACGGCCGCCCCCGCCGCCGTAACTATTTCTGGTGCGGGTTCTGCAGGTTCTGCAGGCTCTACAGGGGCTTCTTCTAGAGCTTTCTCCACTACAACTTCAGGAACCTTTTCCTCCTCCTCCACAACCGCCTCTTCGGGCTTCTTCTCTGTAAAAATCGTTCCTGTCGCATCTCCAGGCATGACTCCAATACCGGCTATAGGTTTTGATGATCCATGACCCGTATCGTGTCCGTGGTGATTTTTACTTTCTTTTATACCATCCATACTCAGACTGCCACGCAATTCGTCTTTCTCATCCTCACTTTTGAGTGTCCACCAATCACGCACAATGGCAAACATTGCAGATTGACCCCGGTGGTTGCGCTCGTCTCGGCAAACCGGGTGGTGGAAAACCCCTATAATGTAGTTGATCAAGGGTTCCATATCCATATCAGGCTCGTCCCATGCTCTCATAACCAATGGGACCACAAACTTAACAATTTCAACTGCTATTCTACCGGCCGGTTCACTCAGCACGTTGGCTGCGCTGTCTTTGCTAATAACCGTATGTACCGGGTCGGAGCAGTATGGATCTGAAAATACCTCCCCCTCTTTTTCCGACGCTATTGCGATTAGTTCGTTCGCTGACTCCGCTAGTTCTATTCTCGCTTGTTGCAGAACAGGGAGGATATAAGGAGCAATCAGAGTAAATGTAACGACACAAAGCGATTGTTGAATCTTTCCATACGTGGCAGCATGACTAGGGACTTCTTCCATGCCGTAGACAATCTCTCGGACTACTCGGTCGTGCATCTCCAGAAAGGGGTATATTTGGTCATAAAGATCCTTTGCATCAAGATCCACGGGTTCCCCATCGTCGGCCCGGGTTTGTACTTGTTTCTGCCTCTCCTTGCTTTGTTCCTCAAGAAGGTCGAGATTCGCGATCGATTGTTCGTTAAGAAGGCCTTTAGGAAGGGCTTCGAATAAATCTCTCAGGACCTTTATTTCGCCCTCATGGGTATTATCGGTTTCAAGAGCGGAGAGGATCTGTTGTTCCAGAAGCTGTAACTCGGAAAGGTTTGGGTTCATTGGATCGCCGCCAACGACACTTGAAAGGAAGTGAACTGTTCCGAAAGATCCAGTGACAAGCGGGAAGACTTGCTCCCCCTTGACTTCCACCTCAGTCGCAGTTCCGACATGGGGAAATACCCCCCTCTCGCCTAGCTCTCGGATGCATAGTTCGATATAGTTGGAATGCGCGGGGAAATCTACCACAGGCTATCAGCATAACTGCCGCATCACGAATATAGAAGCAAACTAACCTTCGAGCGCATGTAAAGCAGCACCTAGGTGCCGAAGCGCATCGTCAAAGTCCTTGATATTCTTCTTCCGAGCATGCTGTCGTCCTAGCTGTATCGTAGGAATATCTGTCAGCATAAAACCCCGATCTAGGCAAAGATGCCGCATCTCCTGCAACGATGCCGTACCTTAATACACCTCCCTAATGCCTTCCTCACATAACCTGCCGTAGTAGTAACACCGAGCCGCTCGTTTGCGATGTATCCTTTCATGCCCGTTCTGTCATCTGGAAATAGTTCCAAATCCTCATCCACTACCCCCCGTAGTCTGCTATCGTACTTCTTCGCATCGATATTATTGGCATAGTTTTTCGGATTATCTAGCGGGATATGGGGTTAGGTGTATTGCGTTTATGGGAGCAGTTTGGGAAGGAATGCGATTATACCGAGATGTTCCTCAGGCCGGTAAACGCTCTAGGTGAACCAAATTAGCATTTCGAAGATACCTCGCCATGTGCCTGCTAGCAAATCGGGATATATAACATACCAATCGACTATCCGAAACCTCAAATTCTCCAGTCCCATAACCAAATGTCATAAAAGCAAAAAGCGCCACCTAGGTCACCCCAATTAGCCCCACAAGACCCCTCACGTCGATATGAACAATTCCATCATTAGGTAATCCACATACCAGCGTCCTTAACACGTTTGGCCCAACAACTTTTAGAAAAGCAACATCCATAATCTGCGAATAATCCCGTAGCCAGTTGCCAAAGTACACTCTCTTAACATCCATTCTCGTGAAGGCCGTCCCGCCAGCCGTCCTGGCCAGCATAAGTCCCAGCAACGCATTCTCGATATCCCCATGTCGCCACTTGCAGTCATCGGAAGATGTAGTTCCAGCTCCAAAGGCGCTCGCGCCTGTCGTAAATACGAAGAAAAGGAATATCGTCAAGAGGTAAGATACGCCACCGTACGGCGACGGGAGCGTGCGTCTAAAGGTCGAAGCCATTCTTTCTTTCGATTCCTCCCCCAGGCAAGTGACCAGTCGTAAGGGAGACGGTTGACGGGGTCTTCGAGTTTTCGCTAAATTAATGATCACAAAAGAAATTCAAATCCCCAAATAAAACGGAAATATTACTAGAACGCTCAAAAACTGGAATGGAAGCTCGGTCGAATGAGAGGCGTCATTGCTGATGGAGAAGGAAAGAAGAAGAAGGGATGTCTCAGGCCGTCATAGCAGTTGACAATAAAAGAGGAAGTGGAGCCGATGAAAAGAACCTGAAGATATTCGCGGTTTGAAGGGCCCACCCCTCGGTGAGATCGCAACTGACATGTATTTTCTCGCAGAAGCAAAGCGCTGGTGTACCTGAAAAAACCGCAACTAAACAGGAGTCAAGCAAGCAGATGCCCTCTTCCCCCAAACAGGGTTACCGGCAGAGATGAGGCGAGGCTGGGCCTGCTAACTGGTCGGACTGTCTGGCGCAGACTAGAAATTGGCTGATTACGAATGCAAGGATCCCGAACGCCTGCCAAAAGAAGGGGGTTGGTGATTGGCTGAAGCAAGACGGCGCAACAGCAGACGATGGAAACTTTCCCAGCTGAACTATAAATAATATAATATCTCGGGGCCGTCGTCGGGGCAGGCGTCAACATTCGCGTTTGAGCGATGGATGTGACATTTCTACGGTGTACGTCGATAGAGGGGTACCTGTGAAGAGCAGAGAAGAGAAGAGGAAGGGGAGAAGAGATGATGGAGAGATGGAGATGGGATTTGTATCTGAGGTTACAGTCTAATGAATGGATACAGATACGGATGCCGTGCTAGCTATTGAAGCTACGAGAGAAGAAGATGTACCATTGATTAGATCTAGCTATCTGATCTGATCTGATAAGCCTTGGCAGGCCTGATGTTAAGAATACACGACGTTGTGATGGGCGGAACCGTGTTGGCTAGTATCGATGCCAACGCAATATCTGCAACAAGACCTCAGACTTGCAGCTTGTACTGTACAGTCCTTAAGCTTCAGCTTCCATAGCCACCACGATCTCGATATCACCATTATCACCATGTACTACTATTACCTCCTAGATGCTTGTCATCTATAAATGGAACCCCCCCGCTTGTAGAACTGAAAAGACACCCTTGGGATCATGCTTCCGGCGGATGTCTCGAAGTCTCTGATAGTTTACCTGGCCATAACTGCGGAAAGGGTCCTGGTCTGGTGCTGCAGCATTGATATAGATGAAGTCAATATGCTTTTCCTCAGCCTGAGCGAACCTTTTCATTCGTTCCACTGAGGCTTTTACAGCCGCAGTTCGGGTTGCCGACTCGGTTTGATTGATCCAGGAATATGTCAACAAGGCTAACATCAAAGGTCCGTTTTGTCTGTCCAAACCTAATGCGTTTCCACCAGTCCGTTGGCTTGCAGAGAGCATGCTAGTTGCATATGGTTCATATGCAAGGGTGAATACTCCAGGTTGTACACTACTACCTTGGCTTAATCTAAACTTTTCAGCCTCTTCTTGGAAAATCTCAGCAACCTTCTTATTAACTACTGGGGAGCGTTTGTAGGTGAGCGACCTCCAAGTATGGCTGAGAGTGCCTGGTGAAAGACCTTCCCTGCCATTTGGAACAAGCTCTGAGTACGGTTTCGTGGAGACTGTATTCGCAACAATTCCGGGGATGTCAAAGAAGGGCTGAAAGGCTACAGGAATTCCGGTAGACGGTTTGCCATAATAGAGAACGACCTCAACAAGCTTGCCAACCCCAACATCGGCAGCGTCCATGACATTGACGAAGAAGGAAGCCTTTGGATCAAATTCTAGGTGGCGGTGAACGACGTCGATCTGTTCGAGCACTAATGGCAAGCTGGAGTACTGATAGGTAATCGTCCCCCCAGTGACCTTGGATAATGGGTACATTCTCATATCAAAAGCAGTGACAATTCCGAACCGATTACTACCTCCCTTGAGAGCCCAGAAGAGATCGGGGTTGGAAGAGGCATTAGCATTTTGAACTTGGCCATCGGCGGTGACAACCTAGTTTCCAATGATTGGTCAGCTTGGCCTTGGTGAATCTAACATGTTAACATGAGAACCAATTACCTGGTAGTTCACTACCGTATCACAAGCAAATCCATGTTCTGAGCCCTGGAAGCTTATCCCACCTTATTCAAAATAGTAATTAGCAACAATATCCTAAGAACAAACTAGTACCATGGAGCTTTCGATACTTACCCCCCAAGACCAATCCACCAACTCCGACGGTTCCGATTCTTCCACCCAGAACTACTTTCCCAACCTTGTCGGTTTCACGATAAACTTCAGTCCAAGTGTTCCCGGGTCCAATCCTTACTGTTTTTCCACGAATATCCACCATTTTCAACTTTGTTGCGGCAAGTAAGATAGCTCCGTTTTGGCCGTTGCTGCCAGGGATTGGAAGATGCCCACCGCTGCGAACGGAGAAACTACAATTCGCACCGTTGAAAATACGAATTGCATAAGCGACATGTTCCGCTGTTTCGGGTGAGAAGACACAAGCTGGTTGAACGACGTTGGCCGCACTGAAGTAGTTATGTGTCTCATTGGTGTAGGTGGAGGAGCCTGAGAAGCTTACTGCTTTGGCAGAAATCCCTTTCAACGCAAGGCAGCAGACTTGTGCTCGAGAAAATTCCGTGACACCTGCGAGGTCTAACCCGTTACTCAGGATAGACCTGGACGCGATCAACCCATGCGCAAGAACGGTTTTCATGGTGCTAGAACAGTTAGAAAGGCGTTAATGGAGGTGAAAAGAAAAGACTTGATGAAAAAAGGGAGTACTGGCCTGAGGATAAGTAGGGGTAAGAAGGAGAAGAAGAGGGGAAGGGATGTAGGAAGGATAGTGGGAATGAAGAAACAGGTGGAGAGGACGAAATGATAGCAACGAGATGTGAATTGAATGAGGAAGGAAGATATTTGTGGGAACGAAACAGAAAATATGGGCAGGTCTTTCAAACTTCAAAGACATGTCCTGTAAGCATTCCAGCACGTGTACCTTAAAAGAAAAGGCTAGGGTACATCTCCTCATCGCAGTTTTCCATTATATTTCCTTGGGACATTTCGGCGGGCCAGCTCCTAACTATTAAGCCCGGCAGAACCGATCGAAGAGGGTACATCTGTTTTACCCAGATTGGTGACTTTAAGGCCGGCGCATTGACCACTAATACGCTTATCGATAAGCCTTAATTTCTGACATATATGTGGTGCAATGCATGGTTCGGATTGCATACACAAACCGTGTACCTCCTGTTGTGTTTAAGAGTCTTACACCGGGCGAAATGGGAGCCTTAGGCCACTATTCGTATAATTAATTCTCTAAGATTGATATATTGACATTACCAAAACAGTGGTCCTCAACTTAACTCTTAATATATCAGAATCCAAAATTCCAACAAAGTGTTTTACGAACCTAGCATGATGGCTACCCGACATATAGATCAGCCTCATTGAATAGTAAAAAACAAGGCCTTGGGAACATGGCACATCCCTAAGCCTCACACGTCGCCCTAATCAATTCCACGTGGTCCAGCAAAATCTCAAGAGCAAGGCCAGGAGATTACCATTCCTATCCTCGAGTTTACCACATGCTCTATCTCACGGCTCGTTACATTTGAAAATAAGACAGGCTTTAGCGAAAGCACCTGTACCAACCATGCACCTCGGACCTCTGTGGCTGCGACGTTCGCGCGTCAGAGTTGAAGAGTATCGAAATGCTCAAGGGTTGGTAATGTTATTTGTAATTATCCTCTAACCAACCACTGGCCGTCTAAGCCTGCTGATATACCTGCATAAGATAATTTGGTTTCTTCATGATCTGGAGATTGATCGATCATGGCCGTATTGATTTCCAGTAATAATTCTTATAAATTGTGGACCGTCAGAATGTAGATTTTACTGGTCTCGTAAGCAGATTTACAATTAATTTAACATCCCTATGATCATACAAACTTTTCGAAGTGTTCTTATCTAGAGTTCTAGAAGCCCAATCGTGAATTCGACGGTACCGAGTACCTGATCTTCATACCTCGTCATATGACCAATCCTCCAGGTCGTCCCTGTCATCCCTTGGGCCCCTTGTTTGTAGCCTGGTATCCAACCAACAGAGAGTAGCACATACATAAGTATGTAACAAAAAGCGAGCGCCCAGCTAGGTCCGGAGACCAATCGAGTTATACCATTTGCACACACAGCGCCCTTTCGTAGCTTAGTAATTACAAAATCGCAAGGCAGAAGTGAGCGTCTCCTGAACTAAAAATCGAGTCTCCTAGACTAAAAACCGAGTGAGATTTTATCATCCCAGATTGACAACTGGTCTCCTATTATCATATTCACACTTCCCTTGCTTTTCACACTTCCCTTACTTTGAAGCTTGGATTCATTAGGCATTTTTCCCCCCATTTCCCATAAGCACACTCCCAACGGAGGACCAACTCGAAGATCTTTAGCGCTTTGGCTCGTTACACGAGGGTATTTTCCTGCGATTTTTTTTTCCTATTTAGGACATGATGCTCGATGTGGATCTGTCGTGTAACCATGAGGATGCCACAAATGTTGTAGTTTTGGCTGTGCAACACAGACGCTGGATAGCCTGTTGTGAGCTCACCCCATGGTGACCGTGGCAGTATGCATGCCGCGGACCGGTCCACCAACAGGCCCCGAGCTCTTTTGTCTTGAAGCTATGTTGATCAGGAAGCTGTGAGTCTCAAAATTTGAGTCCAATTTCCCTTAATTATAACTTAAGTTAAATTGATGTGTCATATGCTACTCGTTTGTTTTGCCTTACATCGATCGTTAGACAACATTTTCTGTTCGGGTCTATTGGATCTTGGAATCTTATGTATGTAGCACGAATACACTGTGGGTTGTCTTAATATTGGCGAAGTTCGGTATCAATTAAGTGTGGGCCGGCTGCTCGAGCTCTAGATTCTAGATCTCACCAAGTCCCTGTACGTATGGGCATTTTCCATGACTCCACGACCTACTATAGTACTACTAAATGTGTTTCTTTCAGCTGATCTGAATGATCAATGAGGTAACATTACTAGCTAGTGCTCGTCACATGCGCCACATTTTGGGAGCATGTTGGATTTAACAAAGCAAATTCTTAGGCGAGCCGCCTTTAAATTGCAACCACTAAAGCTTGAAACTGAATAAGAATGAACTGGATTCTGAGCCATCTGGTTCATCGGTGAGATCCGTATCACGAATATATCGTCATTTATATACATGTATGTACGTTTATATACCTACCATAATCCCGTAGATTCTATGTCCTAAATTCAAATTTATATATGGATGGAATATGTATCGCCGTGAATTCCAATGCTTCAGTATATCAATTTATCTATTAAACACTTTTCTCCCCTCCCTTTCACTTTGGGAGGGGGCCTTAGCGTATTATCTTGTTATCCTCACACTAACAAAGAAATGGCATATCTATTTTCTATTAATATTCCGAAACATTTTCTTTAGAATGCAGAGGAATATGCGCTGGGAGCACGCGGAAAATTGATTAAACAATATCACCACCACCACTACCCAGACTCTCTATACCCAGTTCTACGAGCCCAACCTGGTCTCGTTCCCAGGCCCCACCATCTTTTAAGCTCGGGCTCATCCCAATATCCCAAGTTAAAAACCCCACAGGGACCGTATTCCTATTTCTAAGTAGCCGTGGTACAAGTTGCAGCATCGGCCTCAAGGTTGTTACGGTAATAGCCTCAAATCCAGGCATTCGGCATCACCCCCTCAAGTTCTCGTTGCATAAATATGCAGGGCTTAGCACAGCTTCAAGGTGATCGCCTTGAAGGTAATGCCGCGATAAACTATTTTGATATCCTTAATTTTCCAGAGCGTGAAGGCCGTCCGCCTAAACAAGATGTCGAAAAAGTCTACCCCAGAATCCGAGCAGGTATATTGAAGGAGATTGCCAAAGCAAATAAAGCTAGAGACAGAAGAAAAGTGCAAAGCCTCGAGCAAGACGCTAGAAACCTGAAAGAAGCACACGACTTTTTCACTCAGGAGGACCCAGGAAATACTCTGTTTAATCAGTGGGTAAAGAGGAGGGTAGCCCGGAGCCGCATCAAACCTGATTCTAGAAAGCCTCCTGGTAATCCAGGCACCGAGAATATCCGCATCTCAGACCCACCACTTTCCGCTGATGGTGAAGTATTCCGAGGAGCTGCTAAAGGGAAAGTGAGGGCGAAGAAGAAAGTGAACTTCAAACCCCTTAACGACATAGAGTTTATCGGTAGGGATGAAGAATTCGAAGCGCTAGAATCTCCCAGCGAACAAAGGAACAGGAGGCCTGGCCAACGCGATCATCATTCGATTCCCAAAGACCGACACAACGGTAGAATCAAGCCTGAGATCTGGGAAAGGCTTAAAGTATCACCTCCCCCACAAGAAGTCCAAGATGCATACGCTCGATTACCCCTACTTCCCTCGGACGAGCTTGATTTTGAAGATTTCGCGATAGAGGAACCAGAAGATCCATCGCCATCCCAGCCGTCCTTTAGTAGCACTACGAATCTTGACCAGACTGCGGAAACAGAACTCGGAAATACAGAAAACCGACTATCTCGTAAATACATAACTTCGGATGGAGACAGACAAATGGATAAAGATCTTAGACGCCGCCTGAACGCCTGGAAAGCTCTCAGAGAATCGGGGAATTTGACAAAACAACAACTCCTGCAGCGGATGAAGGAGGGAGAGCGAAACGCTAATCGCCAAATAGACCTTAACGCTGAAGTTGAAGCTGTAGACGCCGCTCCTAGGGTACCCTGGCAAGAAATAGCGCGCCAGCGAGCATTGGAAGCACAGACGTTATATAGAGAACAGCAACGAATACTGTTCGGGGCTCGGAATAAAAGTGATGTGGCGGATCGGCTTAACCGTCTTGAACTCGAGACCCCTGGCTGGATGAAGAGCGCCGGTTATTCTTTTTGGGTCCCTGGTATTGTAGGCCCAGAATATGTTGGAGCAAAACTTCTAGACGACGAAACAAATATCGATTGGAAGGCCCTTAATATTGAATGGCCGCCACCACCGACGGCCGAACAAATTGCCTGGAGTGAGAGGTGGCTCCAAGATATTGATGAACGCATCCAAAGTGGAGAGCTGGGGTCGGAGGATGAGGAGGAAGAAGGAGAAGAGAGGAAATTGACAAGTGAAGACTTACAAGCACGGACTAAGGAAACGGAGCCAAATACCTGGTGGAAACGGTACCAGAGATCCTGGGTTTCGAAACTCTTGTTTGGGGAGCATGAAAGTTTAGTTGACGGACGAGATATAGCAGTGGCCCCGAAGCAATACCGTTTTAAACCCAGCGTTTACAAACTCAACGACAACTTGGAACTTGAACATATTTGCAGTCCCGGGGAGTCATATTTTGAGCATCTTTACTTCTCCAACGAGACTTTCATTTGGCCAGAATCTCTTCCGAAGCCTCCAGGCATGTCCGCCCGAGACCGATGGATAATGAAACTACAAGAGACAGATGCATTGAGGCATCGGGATGGACTGCCGCCACTGGACCCAATCCCAGGCGTCACACCAACAGACCTGCCATACGACCCCGACCTTTTTAATCCACCTCCAAAGCCGCAGCCGACACCGACTCCTAGTGTTAGGACGGGTCAGGCGACATCGGAACCGCCGCTAATAGAGGGAAGAAGCAGAATTCAAAGGCCTAAAATTGAGGATTTTATACGGGATAGGCAAGAGCGTGGACGGCAAAAAAATCAGAACGAGAATCAAAAGCAGCTGAATAAAACTGAACATGGAAATCAAGGAGAGTGAGTTGGGAAACAATGTGAGAGTGGATCTTAAACGGAACCCGGCCCTAATACTTAGACGAGTTTTGACAAAGCGGTATTTTTTGATCTTGTTGTGCATACATACGAAGACTAGGGACTTGTATCATAGCTTTCCAGAGCCGAGCTATCAATAATAGAATTATATCAATATTCTTATTGAATATGGTACAATGATGCGGGATGTATACTATACAAGCGGACAACCGTAACGATAATTCGACTAGGTGGTGAAATATGGGAATATGACTACATCTTGATCTTCCTTTTTTTTATATTTCAAATGACGCAAATTTGCAAATCTTCCCAAACCAGGTGCTATTATATATCAATACTATACACAGCCCCTCAAATTACAAGTATGGTGTAATATGCTACTATAGTTTGCGCCTTGAAAAATATGCTGATACGAGACTGGGGTTTTGTGCTTCGATCGAGTCCCAGGTCATTTGCTATCGACCGGCCAACATTTGCCCTTGACGTAGATGCGCCTACCCGTCGGCTCTATAACCGCGATATGGATTACCCCGGCTCCTTATGTTCAATAACTGCTAGATAATACCAATACTATCCAATAGTCTCTTAGCTTTCAAACTCACTAAGTCAAATGGGATACAACTGTGCAATGCTCAGGCGCCCGTGGTTTTCGCACTCCTCATGTTCTCCCAAAGGAATTTAGATGTGTTATCGAGACCAATAGATCAGGCAGTATGTCTCAAGCTGATCAATAAAACTGCCTTGTCAGCCTATCATATCTGCAAGCCATATCTGGGGTATTTAATGTCAGGGCATTTAGTAAACGCATTCTGCGTTACACAAGAATTCTTGTCGGACGAATACCCCATATCTGGGATAGCGAGAACTTACCTCGGACGAAGGCTCCCCTCTAGGAGTGGCTACTATTGGACAATCTAAGATTAAAATCCGCTTTCTGGCACCTGTCGTACTCACCAGATGTATCGATTTGATAGACTTTGAATTTATGTATGCAAGTACCTACATACGTGCTTGTCACCACATATTCTTGAAATATGCTGTAGTTAGTACCACAGTTGGGTGTCACGCATGTCCGTCGCATGGAAAAGGTGGCTTTTGCGGTGACATATAAGTCGGCCCCCAAGTAATATTCAAATCCCACGAATAAACCAAAATCTCAACATGTATCAAGAGACGAAGTCTCTAGGCAGAGCAGGCAAGCCCAATATTCCAAAGCAAAATAGTTAGCCGAGTTTTTCAGAGCCTCCACCGCACTGCAGAAGTATGACCCGAGACCGATCATCCATGCCATCCGGATTTTGGCTCTCTATCGGTCAGGGTATATGGATCGATACCTAGCAACATAGGATTTGATATCCCGTCTGTGTCGACTAGTGCCGCTGAACCCTGTTAGGAACCAACATACAAGGATAGAAGGCTCGGCCAATATGCGTTTGCAAGGTAAATAGCATTTTAGAATGCATTAAGTTATATTTACGATTAAGACCTAACTAGGTTAATTGAGTGAACGGAATCTACTCGCCGTTTTCACACAATACTAGTAGACTACGTGCTAATCTCCGTTAGTCTCGAAACTGGATAATAGACTAAGTGGAAAATCAAAAAAAAAAAAAAAAAAGAAATATCGGCTAAGGCTGACTTACGCGATAAGCAAAGACTAGTAGAGTGAGGGCCCAAGACTAAAATTCTGGGTGTTTAGATCGGAGTTTGGAGATGCTTCTTTGTTCGAGACCCCCTCAAAATGCAACATCAAACACCTCAACATGAGTTTTGAAAGAAGTTCGAGCTAGCTGGCCCACCAACACCTATCCACCTTTCAACACCACAAGCATACTAAGTAATTACCTGCATTCTGTAACATTTCCTCTTCCCCCAAAAACATCCCTCCCGATAATATCTACAAAGCCTAAGCGTTCTCGGGAAGTCTGTTCATATCTCAAATCTACACCGTGCACCAAAAGACTTTCTTGAACGAACTTTTGCAACGTTGCACAGGTACAGGCCACCTAGATCGGATCTTTCCTTCCTTCCCTTGGGCTTGCCCCCCCAGGCCCTTCATAGTTTCAGCTATCAAGATTCCCTCCCTAATACCCAACATTGATCACAAAGTTGAGGGAAGAAAGAGAAAAAAAGTGATAATCCTCGCTAAATATCATGACGATTGGTGATCCAACTACTTAGCTTCGAACCGTGCTCTTCGCTTATTTCTCGCTGACGAAGGGGGGGCTAGGTTACAGCCGAGAGGGGGAAAGGGCCGATATAACCTACCTAGGCTTTGTATACTTGTACAATGTAGCCGTAATCTGCAGTAGGCTATGAAACCAAGTAAGGGAGATGCATGGAGTGCGCATAACACACTTGAGCTCGTCGTGGAGATAAAGATATAAAGTCCAACCACACCATACTAGAAGTAACCAAACTTTTCCCTTGTGATCTTTTGAATTTCTCAATTTTATTACTCGGACACAAAATAATAGTCACTCATGACCTTTAGTCACTTCAAAGGGAGACCTCAGGAATCAGTTCTCTTGAGGCTCTAGACCCAACAGCTCCTCACATTTATTCTTGCTTGCGGCAGATTTTCGTGAAGGCGAATGTCTCGAGTCCTGACAAGAGATCTATTTTTTATTATATTTCCTTGAGCTGAGGCACACAGATGATCTTTATCCAAACCCGGGGCACTACGATATCTAACTTCCAATTCATTTTGTAGATCTATTTATGAGGGCTTCTATCTTCTGGTTCCCCTTCAGAGAGTTTCATATTTTCGGCTTCGAAGATCCTGGGCAACTCAAAAGTATCTACTATCTCAACCATATATACAATATTCGACTAGTACTATAGTGAATTAGCGTTAACGAAATGAATGTCCTTCAGTACACCGTAAGTAGTTAGGACCTTTAATCGTACAATAACGGCGCAGAAGTTCAACTTAAAACTAATTCTATCGCATCTTAATAGGTCTGTTATATTACCTTCTTCATAATTTCTTTCGCTGCGACGGCTACTCGCGCATACACTCGAAAGAAGATCAACCGTGGCCTTCACACTGAGGATGTAGGTAACTTTAAACTAGGTTCTGTTTCTATACGTTCCATTTCAATGCAAAGATAGATTAACGGAATACCCGCACTAGTGGCTTACTATAGTAGCCTGTGCCATACTTCTCATCCAAATGGTTCTTTCTTGTCTCTTCACTCCACGCTACACAGTCCTGGTTGAGACCCCACCAGAGGAACTATTTAAGATGCTAGGCTCCATCCCAAATTTTCAAAAGTATCTAAAACGAACGCTCGAATACCAAATCGGCAGCCATGTTGGATTCCTAACCTCCCTTTGGCTCATCAAATTTTCATTCCTATTCTTTTATAAACGATTAGCGGAGGGAAGAGCGTGGAGTAAACTCTGGATTTTCACAGTTGTATTTTGCGGATTGAGCTACATTGGAAATGTGGTTGGGTATTTTTTTGTTTGCATCCCGTTAAGCAGTTACTTTGATAGTAAGATACCACCGTATCCCCCCAATTTAGTTGAGTATTGTGGATTCAATGTTAACCAGTTCATATGAATAGCGACTTGCGTAAGCCAAACCGGTCGAAGTAATGCCTCTCTCTACGGTGCTACCGCCACAGATATCATCAGTGATCTTTTGAGTAAGCTACCCAAACTTCTAATATCCAACCCTTATGCCAACTTCTTACAACTGTAACTTACACATTCTCTCTTCTATAGTAATGGCCATTCCACTTCGCCTAATCCGCCACCTACGCATGTCAGATCTTCAAAAAGTCGGCCTAGCCTGCCTCTTTTGTCTTGGTTTTGTCGTAGTAATCCTCTCCCTCGCTCGCACGATCCGAATCAATGCCGGTGGGTCAGGTGCATATCCACAGTCTGATCCGCGGTGGGTAGCACTATGGAGCATTGCAGAGGAGGCCACCGCAATCGTCGTTTGCTGTTTGCCTGCGATCAGGAAGCTCTTTACTGTGCAGAAAGAAAGGAGAGCCGGAACTTCTGCGGCGGCCGGCTCAGGCAGCCATGGATCAAGAACCGTTGAAACAATTTCAGGTGGTAGGAACATAGGAAAGAGGTGGTCTTTGAGGAGATGGTCTTTGAAGTATGGATTGAAATCTATGGAGTCTTCGGCAAATAGAACGAGAACTGATAGTATGGTTGAGTTGGAATATGGGGTTTCAACTACGCCCTCATCACCAGCTTGGCCTCTATCACCTCGGAAGCCTGAAAGCTTGCTGACGAAGGCGCGAAGTGAGAGTTTTGATGGGCAAGGGGGTTTAGGAGTTATTCCTAGCCCTCCTGGTTCTTGGAGAGGGGGACCTTAGCTATTTTCACTATGACGGAGTTGAGGTTGAGGTATTGGGGTATGTGAACATGTAGCCATGCATGTATTAAATTGGTCCCGACATCAGGCTTGGACCTCGATAGCCGGTACGATCTTGATAGCCATGTACGTAGCAAAGCTATAACTTCGATTCGTATTTACCTAGTTTTAGTCAGCCAGAAAATTTTAGATATCACATATACCCTTATATAATTATCAGTCGTCTTATGGCTTAAACCATATAGCATGGACCATTATGGATTAGGTGAAATCCGTGGACTAATGTTTCTGATTGGTAAGCTGAAAATATCTTGATAACTATCGAGCAAGATACACGACCAAAATTTGCTTAACTCACGCCCTGATGTCGGGTAAATATACAAGGAGGCTGCCGGTATTAGAGAAACACAAACTCAGTCAACTATAAGCATACGCCTAATCTGCAAATTATCAACTGGTTGGGAAAACACTTCAAAAGAAAACGAACCCCGGAAAGCCTTCCCACAAGATACGAAATAAAACGCCGCCAGGTTCAACTCCCCAAAGTACATCTATGTACACGCAGACAAGAAAATCTCCAATGTTATGCTAACAATCGACTCCAGTCTTCTGGCGACATATTTTGTTCACTCATACTCATCAATTCTGCAAAGAAAGCCTCAGAGAACGGATCCACTATGTGCCCAAACTCTAGCTCAGGGTTATAGTTTTCTGGGTTGTAGAAGTCATAATCCATATCCGAAGTCATGTTCTGCCCCATCGTTGATGGTTGGCAGGAGGAGAGGTTGTTCGTAGTCGGTTTATAAGCCGTATCACCAAGGTAATAGCTATTCATCGAACCCGGCGTAGATTGAGGAGGAGGCATTGAATTCAAGCTTTCGGGAGAAGCGTCAGCCCCAGTAGAAGCGCCGTATCCGCTAGTATCATATGTGGTGTCCATTTGCATGCTTGTGTTCGTATCTGTCGGGAATAAAGAACTAGCCATGTTTGGTGATTTCTGGCCAGCTGGCGAGGTAGGTTTCGGAGTAACACTCGTAGGATCCAGGAACGCTTGAAGCTTCCTCATCGCTTCACTGTTCTTCATATGTAAACTGTTAATAGGCCCGGTCACATCGTCCCGGTCGAGACAACGCAGGCTAGCTTTCAAGGTATCGAAGGCTTCCTTTGCTTCGATAGCCCTGGCCGATTCTTTACCTTTATGTGCCCTCGAGTAGCTAGCAAGTGCAACAGCACAAGTCAAAAGAATCATGGAGATAGTCCCACAGGTCAATTGCTTAAGGGCTTCCTGGCCCTCATAGCACAAGCGAGTAACTGTTAGAGCAGACGTAAAAACCTCCTCTTGGGCCTGTAAGCGAATTGTAGCATCTTGGTGGTGAAGAAAGCTCCTGAACAACATCATTTTTGCGCTTTGGAATTTGAGAGCAAGGTACAAAGCCGGCGCATGTGCAACAGGGTCCGCAAGATCTGGGGGGAGATCTTTTGCTAGGTTGTTGAGCTCTTCGTTTAATTTGGAACCAATGTGTTCTGGTGGAGGGCGAAAAGGGTTTCGACTTGTCGCAGCATAGAATGACGGGAGATCTTTCTGAGCAGGCTTCTGAAGCTTCGAGGTGATCTTGCCAGTTATCTCAGCCAATCTGATCTTTGCCTTCCATAAATCAGCTTGCCAACGAGGAGGCTTTACGCTCTTCGGTTTGTATGTGAAAGCAGGCCAAGGAGTATTGCAATCCTAGACAAATCAATATATATTAGAGTAAGCTCAACTAAAGCCAATATTAGAGCATGTTTACGTACTTTGTCCCTGATGGCTAAGGGGCGACCTGTCGCTAGGGAATACCACCGGTCGTAGCACTATTGATGTCCCACGTTAGCATTAAGCCGCAGAGTCTGCGCCGTAATCCTCGATATAAAGCTTACATATACTTCCCACCATATCATTCTGGCCCTCTCTAGCCCAGTCTCGTCGAGATTTTGAAAGATAGCAGAGTTAGAAACATGAAGCCCTAGGGCTTGAGCAACCCGAGCAGCAGCACCTGTACAAAGGTAACCTATGAACCGTTATTAGATATTTCGCAACAAGGCTCGATAGAGGCGATTTACCAACCTTCATCCAATCTTCCCGTTGTCGTCAAAAACGAAACCTCCATCAAAATAGTATCCAAAGTCTCAAGCGACAGTTGCGACCATAACAATCTTAAAGTCGGTTTTACAAGAAGGTATGCCGAAAAGGCCTTAAAGCTATCCGGGTACATCCCAGACAAAAGCGCTAAATACAATCCCAACGTCAAAGCTGTGGCCGGAACGGTGGGTATGCCCGCCTGTGTTGAGTAAATATGATTGAAGGTCTCCATCAGCTCATCGAGATATGCATAACGCTTCCGCAAGAATGTAGCTCGAACGAACGATGCCAAATACTGAAGGGCATCCTCTTTAGGAAAGAACTTGACCGGAGGTAGCTCATCCTTGAGGAGGCTAGGCAGGTAGTTCATATGCTGTGGTTGCCACGTAATCTCCCAGACTCCGAACCCACCGCCGCTTGGTTTCGTTTTCGGTAAGCAAGACTACATAACAAGTCGTATTGTTTAGTAATACTTTCTTACTACTATAGGAGCCGAAAACTAGCGCACCTTGTCCCTATTCTCGGAAGAAACTGTTGAGGGTGTCGCAGGCTCACTACGAGAGCTCGAGGATACGGGTGTATCGGGGCTCAAGGCCGGAGTAGTATTAGATATCGACCCCCCATTGCTTCCGTGAGTCGCTTGTTTCGTCAATAACGTCTCGAGGTGTGCGATCCTGTCTTTCAAGGCCTGAAGGTCGGAAGATTCCATTATAGAACTTGAAGGATATGCAATATCATCCTCAGCCGAAGTACAGTCGACTCCATATCGGACGCAATTCTGGCAGGGTCGAGTCCTATCGCACTATTCATATGAAAGTGGCATGGTCAGAAGGGCGAACGGAAATACGATATACGAAGGCTAGATCTATAGAGAAATTTACTTTAATTTTTCTTGAACCCGCAAAGCAGTCAGCATGAATCAGATAAGATATGTAGAACATAGAATAGTACGAACTGCAAGGCCGTACCTTGAATGGCATGACATGCACGCAGGAACTTTGATGCGACTGGTCGTCGATTTCTTCTTGGTAATCCCACCAGACTGTGTCCGATCGCGTTCAATCGCCATGATTCCTGATATAAAGTCGTTCGATCGACCGGGGGGAATTGAAATGTAAAGATTGGACGTAGAGCTATGCAATGCCCACCCGCTTTTATCGCTATTGACTATCAACGGGTGACTCGATAAGGGAAAAAAAAAAAAGGAGTATAGCAGTCGTATGGAAAATCGTAATAGTTCGGGAGACAATAGATGATTTCAAAGAGAAAAAAAAAGATTAATTGTCTTTCTTCCTCGCGACCGAGCCAGCTGAATTACATTCGGCTAGGTTATGCTGACATAATAATCATCATGCAATGTCGAAATGGGGGTATACTATGAAAGAAAGTAGGAATCGGGGCTTATTCTCTCCGCTGCGCTCCCATTCGAATCAGTCGCTGGCCAGTGTTATCAATCTGGGAAGATTCGATGCCCCGGAATGACCGGGGATGTGGAGTTAACAAGATGCATTACTAATGCGAACTGGCGAACTAAGACCATTTGTTGAACCCAGATCCTGTGCCTCGGCTCATGTTCGTGCTGGGGACATTTGCAACACAAACCGTCGTCGAGACGATTTCGAGGCGGACATCCACCCATCCTTCGAGGTCGCACAGTGTATATGCTCCTTCCTTATGTATATACTGTGCTTATGCACATTTGTTTGAGATCGTAGCTACTTAGATATAAAAATCCGTCCCTTAGAACCGTCATGTTCTTGATAATACGTAGAACGCTGTCCGCGGTGTCCGCTGACTCCTCGTCTGGGAACCACGTTGAGGAATATAAAATGGGCCCAGAAGTTCAGTCCCATTTGCCCGTTTGTGCAGCTGTTGAGCCCAACACAAAATATCCAACAAAACGCACCTATTCCTGTTCTTGGAAATGTAAGCATCTAAAAAGGAGGCCCGCCTCGAAAATTGCGAAACCCTAGCCATAGATGTATAAAGTACTTGGTTAATAGACTGTATTATAGAAAGAAGAAGCTATAACCACATGGCTAGTCTCCTCAAGACCATCAGGCCACCTCGGCTACGACCCCGCATTTCGGCTTGCTCCACGTCCCCCACACTCCGGAGGCCGACTGCTCCGCTCCCTCTAATTCACATGCTCAAGCCGACGGTTCAAATCTCACAGAGAGCATTCGGTACGCAGAAGCCGGGCCCGAATCCGAGTCCGGGCCCGAATAACGGCCAAGAAATCAGTCATGAGATGCCAAAGATAAGTTGGAAGGATCTTGGAGCTTCGCGAACGGTTAAAATCGTCGTCATTGTTGCCTTGAGCATAGTCGGTACGATGGAAACAATATTTTACGCCAAGTTATTCATGAGGAAATTCTTTCCCGGCGAAGAGAAACCTGTAGAGGACGGCGAGTCGGCCGTAGAGGACGCGAAGAGTACATGAGGCTGACGCCTGATACACTCTTCGTCCTCCTTTCCTTTGTTATGTTAATCGCATAGATAGAACGATAGATCACCTCTTTCCTATTCCCACTCTTTTATCAGTTGTGTACTTCTAGATTCTCATCCTGCGAAGTCCGGTTTGAGATAACTTAGCTATATATTGAAATAGAGTACACGATTCTTTCTAAGACCATATTATGACGTCTATAAAGCAGTTATTTACAAAAGTCCTCAGTTGCTCTCTTCGAAAGAAAGAAAACTAACAAGCAAAAATAAAAAAAACAAGAGATAAAAACCCCCCAAAGATCTAAGTTCTAATCCCAAGTTTTACACTACGCTCATTTGATGTCGTGACTAAGTTAGTGGGTTCGAAGTGCAATTGCGCAAACGTGGAAAGTATATCTGTAATGGCTGACGCCTTACATTTATAGTAGCAATATAACAATGATAAACTACCAAGCGCCCCCAAACCCATGCGCCGTAATGCTAGACCCACAACGGGGTCAAAAACCACTGAGATCTTCGTGCGACATAAACTAATAGGTCAGCAAGAGCGTGTTGTATGTAATGTCGTTTCATGAAGCCGCAGGGGTCTAGCAAACGTCCCAAGCTATGTAGCTCCAAGCTGCACAACCAGTCCTGCTTTAGGCTAAACATACCTGTTCACCCAGTGTTAAGCAGCCATTGTGTATATCATGTTTAGAACATAATATCTTCCAATTACCAAAAAAAAGACTAAACTACTTAACTACTAGGAGAAGGGAAATGTTCGAAACAAAGACACGGATAAATTATCGCTTTCTTTTCTGCCAAACCGAAATATCCTACTTAGCCAATGCATTACGGTTGGCTCGGAATATCTCCTTGCATAAAACTCGGTAGGACTGGTACCGAGCTTTCCCCATGATACCCACCTTTGAACATGGGTAAGCTAAAGAAAGAATCAAGAAGCTTCAGTAATTGTTAGAAAAGATACCCCACTAGGAGGATACACTCGAGCCAATTGACTAAAACGAAATACTTTAAAGCTAGATATAAACTTGTAATATAAGCCCTTTTTCATTTTCAAGATTCAATTCGATTCCATAGCTCCAACTTTTCCATCCCGTTCCTAGCATACTACAACTCGCAAAATCCAACAATCCTCCTTCAGGCCGCAACAATGCGCTCTACACTCCTCTCCCCCGTCCTCGCACTCCTCCTCTCCACCCCCTTCACATACTCTCTCCAACTAGAGTCGACAACCGAAGGCCGTCTCCCCGCTATGGGCTTTAATTCCTGGAATTGTTTCAACGAACACATCAACGAAGAAAAGTTCTTAACCGCAGCACAACAACTCGTCGACTTGGGATTGAAAGACTTGGGATACACATACGTCAATATCGATGGTAAGATTCATAAATATAATTATCATACATAGGAATTTCTAGTCTATTCCGCCTAGCTATAGAGAAATATAAGTTAATTGTCGTGGCGCTTTGGTTTCAAAATATAGACGGGTGGTCAGACAAAGACCTCTGGCGAGACCCAGAGACAAAACGGATCATCGTCGACACCAAGAAATTCCCGGATGGTATCTCGGGATTGGCAGATAAGGTCCATGAACTAGGCTTAAAGCTAGGAATATACTCCGATAGAGGGACAAAAACATGTGCTAGCTACCCCGGGAGCATGGATTGTAAGTATCTTGGTCGACTACGAACCGATATATTGAATTATTTCTAATATACCGAAGACGAAGAAATCGATGCAAAGACATTTGCAGATTGGGGCGTCGATTGTAAGTTTTAATCATCATCCCATACCACTCGGGTAATAAACATAAGGATACCTACCTAACATATTTTTCGGAAAGATCTCAAATATGACAACTGGTAGGACCTCATAGAAGATGATGCCGATATTAAGGTTCTAACACCAAAGAAAGCTTCATCCCCGACGAAGAAGAAGACGAATACCCCTGGGCTCCCGAATGGTGGAACACTACCCATGAGTATGTACACTGCATCTGCATTTATCAGAAAAATGATATTTCGTACTGATGTATATCTCCACATTAGTGGCAACAAAATCCACGCCCCAGAATCCTACGACTTCTCAACCTCCCGTTCCGCCCAACGTTACCGCGCCATGCGTGATGCCCTAAAAAGGCAAGATAGGATAATACAATTCGGAATGTGTAATTGGGGTCACGCACACGTTGAAAAATGGGGCAATGAGACAGCGCAGAGTTGGAGGATGTGAGTAGACCAGTCCCTAGAGGCTATACAGTGGAAGCTTGTGCTAACTATTGAATCGAATGAACAGTTGGGGTGACATATTACCCCGTAAGTCATTCTTCACCCCATGAAACGGGTTATATGTAAAAGATCTCACTCATAGGCATAAATCCACAGAATGGACCGGTCACAAAGACCACATAGCCTGGGGCGTCAGTAAGTCACCCCGAGACCTGAACCAGATACCCGTTTATATAGACCCAAACTAACGCCTCCCAGTGCCAATCCTAAACCACGCCCTCTTCCACCTCTCCCAGACCAACTTCTGGGGCCACGCGGACATGGATATGCTAGAAGTCGGCAACGGCCTTACACCCGCCGAAGACCGCTCCCATTTCGCTCTCTGGGCTATTCTAAAATCCCCTCTGTTAATTGGTACCCCGCTGGATAAAGTATCCCCAGAGACGCTGGCGGTATTTAAAAATAAAGAATTGATCGCATTTAACCAAGATGAAAGTTTTGGAATTCCGGCTTGGCCGTATAAGTGGGGTGTCAATGCGGATTGGACTTGGTAAAAAAACACCGCCAACTGCAGTAAGGAATACATACTGACCTCACTTACGATAAATAGGAACCAAACTCACCCTGCAGAATACTACTCCGGAAACTCCACCGCAGGTCTACACGTCTTCATGCTAAACACTCTGGAGAAAACGGTTACAAAAACCGCAGTATTCGATGAAGTTCCTGGCTTGGACTCCACAAAGAAATATATCGTCCACGACATGTGGAGCGGTGAAGACATCGTAAGCTAAGCCTCCCTAATCATGAAGTTGAGAGGATGAAAAGATAAATTTACACTTTTACTAAACTAAATATCTACGCATGTACAGGGTATCTACGAAAAAGAATTTTCAATCCCAGTAGAAAGCCACGACATCGCTGCATTACGGTTCAACGAGGCCTCCGAAGGCGCCGAGGAAGCATTGAAGGTACAGGGTAAGGGAAAAAGAACACACCATGCCGGAAGAGCAACCGACGAACTTTGAAATGAACAAGCCTTTACTAATCATACGCAAGGCTCGAGGGGCAAAAATCTCCAACAACCGTTATAAGCGGTCAAAAAGTTTATACTTCTAGCGTCTGAATTCATTTGAATACATAAGAATACCATAGATCTTAACTGCGAAATTCACACCCCCCAGCTAGATAGTATGATAAAGGTGAACTACTTAATCAACCTCTAGGAGCTCGTACTTCTCTCCCTTCTTTTCAAGCAAAGCCTCAACTCTCTCCATAACACCGAGAACCTTCTCTTCGTCCAACCGCTTACCAACGATCTGCACACCAACTGGCAGCCCAACCATCTTCTTCGCGTCGTAGTGAACATAAGCCCCCCTTGCGATCTTATTCAACTTCTTGATATTGAAAGTAGCTGGTAATGCGTCCTTAGTTGCATCAACCTTTGTAACTGGGAGTACACCAGCAGTGTAATCCAACTATCCCAACATTAAACCATTAGTTATAAAGCATCCTTTGAAGAGATTCAAAAATATCGAAAGGGCCCACTCACCAGATTAAACAAAAACGTATAACCACAGCTCGCAACAGCTGTTGCCATTCCATCCTCTGGTACCGCCGGTGTAGCATTCGGCACCGTCAGTAACATATCGATCCCCAAGTCATTAAACATCTTGTGCCATCTATATCTATACGCCTCCCGGTGACTAACAAGCTTCCACTGCTCCACTGTAGTCTGCTCCCTCCAGTGTGTGTCCACGAGTCCAGCCCATAACTCATCACCCTGGATATACCTAACCCACCAGACATAAAACTTCTTAATCAACCAAGGCATCTTAAACCACTTGGACAGATTCGCCACTCCGGCATCATTGTATTCAAAGTAAGAAGTAAAGAAGGACTCATAAGTCTTTCCTCCATCGTTGTTAAGCAAGATACTCGCCAACTTGAGCCCCTCGTATGGACTAGGAACATCCTTAAGATCCAACTCGATGACTTCCTCGCCGGATTCTCGGAGCACATTCACAACGCTATCGAGCGCTCGTGCACAAGCAGGTGATGGAGTCACAACACCATCATCGCGGAGAACAGCATACTTGAGCTTTCCAGATCGACCGGCTTCGAACTCCTCTTCACGCCACGGGATGGGGTGCGTATGGTGATCGTAATTCCAAGGTTTCATATCCAAATAACTACGCCAAAAGTATATCAAATCCTCATTCGTACGGGCCATCGGGGAGTACACAGCCAGAACACCCTCTTGGCCTGCCATACTTGTATTCTATCACCCCCTCGAAAAAAAAGGTATTAGTTCCCACCACCGCTTCTAGGTGTATTCAACACAAGATACATATGGGCATTAATACTAACATTCATACTCTTCATAAATCTTCCCGTCGCCGCCCTAACCGTATAGATACCAGCCCAATGCGCCGGCACTCTCACACTTCCTGCAACATCAGTGCCAATTCCAATCCTACTCCCACCGTAGGCCAAGAGTGCGCTTTCACCACCAGTACTACCACCAGGGCTATAATCCTTATTATGAGGATTCGAAGTCCGTCCAAAGACATCATTCGTGCTCTCAAAACTTAACAAAGTGATAGGAACATTAGTCTTAACGTACGGCACGCAACCTGCGTCCTTTAGTAGCCGTGTAAGAGGGGAGTCAATCAGAGCTGGCTTATTAACCAACGAGGAGTAGCCGATACAGTAGTCGAAGCCTTTGATACTGACAGTATCCTTAACGGAGATGGGGACTCCGGCTAGAGGGCCTGTGAATTCTTTGCCTTCGACATATTCTTCCATCTCTTTAATCATGACTTCGGTAAGACAGTTTGTTGCCTCATGGGCTAGAATTGACTTCTTGCCATAGGCTCTGAGGACGTCGATCGGAGCCCATTCTTTATTACGGATATTTGAGGCGAGTGTGCCGATTGGAGTGGAGAGGATGGAACGGTCCTGGGATGTAAGAGGGGTAGAGTAATATGACGGCAAAGAAGCAATCCGATTTGCACGGTCTTGCTGCTTGATTTTGCTACAATTGTTCGCAGATGGTGGGTGTCAGCAAAAGTGTGTTGGACTATGTGGTATCTTGAAAGCTGGCTAGCCTCGCTCGCTCAGGTCCGCAGACATGGGTCTGGATATCTCCAGCCAGCTAGACCGTACAAGGGTCGTGGGCAACCCGAGATAACCCCAATGCGAAGCTGGGAGCCAGATATAACGTACCAGTTCTTTCGATGCTGAAGATACGAGAACATCTTGGGAACGATTCAATGGTGTCGTGTGCGCGAAACCTGTTCAATTGGAACTTGAAAGGAAGAAGCTCAAAGTTTGAGCTTAAGTTAAGTTTAGCGGCGAGGTGTTCGCTATTTAAAGGCCCCACATCCATGGCACCCGGAGGGAGGAAGTGGGATGGGCGAAGGATGCCGACGGCTATCGTCGACTGGCGCTTGGAACCGACGGTAACAATCCATCGAATCCAAAACGAGTATCGTTAGGCCCCACATATTACCATCTGTGGATTAGTAAAACGTGGAGAACAACAATCTAATTTAATATGTATTATCGGGCTTCTCCTGGCTAGAACTCGAGCGGATGTATGTACAATATACCTGGAAATCATGTATCAAAAAACAGAGAATAAAAAGAAATATGCCAGCATCCAGTAATCATGTATTCATACAGTTTCAGAAGCGAATTCGGGGAGGAAAAACGGAGACTATTAAGAAATAATAAGAAAACACGGGCAGCGCAATGCAGCATGCTTTTGTGAAAGACCAAATACAACGTGCTACCGACGAGAAAAGAGACGCAAAAGAACCATCGAATAAACGCCAAAATGCAAGAGAATGGGCTTCAGTTTCGGGAGATAAAACGGCGAGAAAGAAGGAAAAAGGGAAAAAGAAAAGGAAATATGTATGATGAAAGAAGTCCTATATTAAAAAAGACAATGTATTCCGGAAAGGAAGTTATGAAAAAGTCGTATACGCGTCGCTTCCGGTCTTCCCTTAGCTCTCATCTCTGTCTTTTGCTAGTTATATTCTTCAAAACGTTCCTTTCCTCCCATGCTCATCCACAACCTCTGCTCGGCTCTCTGTCCCGAACACCCTCTCGTTTGTACTTGTCATGCTCACTTTATACCGATTCACCGTCCCCAAGCTCGCCGGCCGGCTGCTACTCGCATCATCATCGGCCGCGATCATAGCAGGCGTTATAAGCATAGAACTACTAGTCGAGTAGTTGCTATTCGCATCTTCTAGATTTCCAACTTCAGATGCTTCCCCTCCCAAAGCCGATGGGCCCTGGCTTGCCCTCGTGAATGGCAATCTGTGAGTAGAGCTTGTTGATCGGTTTTCGTGCAAGGGTGGATCGTATAGTTGTGAATGGACCCGTTCTGGTGTTTGTGGTAAGGAATGGTACAGAGGTGTAGGGATCAAATGGGCAGATTGCCTCTTAGACGACTTCCTAGGCACTCGGGGCTTCACACTCTTTGCACTCTTCCTGCTATTCACCCTTGACTGCATCGCAAACGCATCCCCCGTTTGGATTTCTGGCAATTGAGGCGGCAAGGGTGATAGTTGTGATGTAGGCCTTGGCGTCCCGACCCCATCGTCGTCCGAGAAATCGGAGTCTGTAGTATCTTCTTCGCTGGAAGATGTATCATCAGCCCCTCTAGATTGCATTCCAACATCTCTAGCTGGTTCTTGAGATATTGACTGCCGCGCTTTCCCAGCCGCAGTTCCAACTCTCACATCCTCATCGCCATCATCGCCCTCAATCGCCGACCTCATCGGCGGCGGTGCTCTCGCAGACCGCACGACTTGGAATCCCTTCTCCTTATTCTTCCCCTTTGTCCACCTTGAGAATTTATTCAGCCATCCGGTAGCACTCGCTACTGTACTTGTTGGATCTGCTGGCCCAGTCCTCAGCCTTCTCGAAGGTTGTGCCGAAAGTGCAGGCCCTCGAACTCCATAATAAAAGTCCGATTCTCGCTGTGAATAATCCTGCATCTTTCCAGATCCCATGGAGTCCGTATGTTGCGGCGCAGGAACGGCCATAAGTGCTGGGTTCGAGTAACCAAATCTAGTGTTTTCATCCATATCATTCAACTGAATGTTCGAAGACCCTTCTGGTGCCTCCCGTGTCGTATAGTCCGCAGGCCCGTTATATTTAAAGCTCGACGGGCCAGCAGCGTCCCAATCCCCACCACCACCCATAGAGCCAGACGTGCTATTATTCCGCGGTTTGTTCTTCCGAGGTTGTCGGTAGTAGGGGCCCTCATTCGGTCGTCCGTTGGAGTCTAAATTCGCAAGCGCATTTCCAAGTCCGGGTTGCTGAGGCAGGCGAGGGGAGCTACCGTTGATGCTCTGCATCGCTGACTGCGGATTTACATTCTCAAAGTACGATTGACCGCTGAAGTGCCGAGGCGTTGCTGGCCCAAAACTTGTGCTCCCGCTGTTTGTATGGTGGTGGCCTCTGCCCTGGGAGGATGTCTCTTGGATTGGGCTTGCGTATTCTGTACTAGGAGTCTGCGCGAAAACTGCTTGTTGAGCCGGGACATTGCCTTGGCCAAGCAAGATAGCAGAGCTACCAGAGATCGACCCTCCGTGACGAGATCCTGTCATCAGGCTTGGTTTCCTCTCCTCGTTCATATTAGAACCACCCCCTAGATATCCTGTTAGTTCGGGGCTATGTCCGCCAGGGCGATTCGAACGCCTCGCAAGCTGTCTTGAACCAAAGACCTAATCACCGGGCGTCATTAGCACTCAAATAAACAATAATACTGACAGCACTCATCTAAATACCTTAGACAATCCACCTCTCTGGGCACCGTCCCTGCCCTCTCCTGCTCCCGCGATTCTCGCTGCAACTTCCGCTAGTGTTTGCAGAGCATTCATAAAAAACCCAAACACTAAAACCACCCCATGCAATATCAAGATTACATATCCAATCCACCCTCTCACAGCGTCATCAACCTCAAGGCTTGGTACAAAGGCTACTTGGAATAGTACTGAAATCAGCCGGCTCATGCTAAAGCAACTGTGGTAGATATTCATTGAAGTCTTCGATGAGTAAGGTCGGAAGGCATTCAGGGTTAGTATCTGAACAATCTCGCAACTAGCGAGTAATGTTAACTGTGCAATCCCAGATGGTTGAAGGAATCCGAAAGATGCCCCTCGAATAAGACTGATTCCCAGATATACGATACAATATAGAGTTGCCGCTTCATCGTAAGTATTGTAGAGTGGTCCGTAGAAAAGTAGAGTTGGAAGGTCGTCATATAGTGGAGACCGAGGTTTATAGGTGCTGATCCTTCTCACGAGAAAGGCGGCCGCCACAACCACCGCAGCAAACACAATTCCAGAAACGATATCCACAGACAAAGGGCTGCTTCCCGATAAGATAAGCTGGTAGGCGCTGAGGGATAATATAGGCAGTAAGAGATAGTTGTACACCACCCTAACCAAAAGCCCTCCAAGAAAGGGAATATTCTTGGCTCGTAGGTCGCCACTCTCATGCAGCTTAATCCGTTTCATGACCCATCTGGCGGTAGCGATGATCACCACGAATAAAACAGTAGCACCGATAATTCCAGAAAAGATAACCATAAACCCAGCCCATGCATCCGACGGATCACCCTGCCCGACTAGCTGCGTAAGCCGACCCAAACCATGCCGGTGACTCGTAAAATATATATTATCCACCGGATTCTGTGTCGATTCCTGGCTCACCAACGAAAAGTTGAACATCAAAACCGACCATGCCGCATTTGCTACCACGGGCTGATAGAATCCCGGGTAGTTTAGTGACAGCGCACCCGTAAGAACCACAAATTGTAGATATTGTAAACAGTCCGCAAACCCGGGTGTTATCAATCGCAACATGTCCAAGTCCCTCCGATAATTACTGCTCCATTGAAAAATATCCTTTGTTCCGTTCCAGGGGTTGAATATCGCGGCGACTATAGTAGCAATGCCGGTCATAATGACGATACCAAGAGGGATGAAAGTTAAGAGGTCGGAAATAGCGCTGCCGAGAGTAGGGGTGATAGATGCTTCGACACAACCAATACTGATTCTTTCATTGTCGGCTGGGATAATACGATAGGTGTTTATGAGGGAGCTAAAGGCGTATGAACTAGAGAGGTTGCGAGTAGTGATGAAACCTGGAAGTTGTTGAAAATCGGAGCCGCTGTGTCAAAAGGTTTATTAGCATCGGAGATCGTGGATTTTAATGGATCGGCGACGGGAAGCCTACGCATCGGGTTTAGGAAATACATCGCAGGTTGTTCCTTCGGTAAGTGATTTGCAGAAGGCGACATTTTCGACCAGAGGGGTATACGACAGGACATTGATCTTTTGCCGTAATGTCGCTACATCCAACAGTTAGCGATTTAACGTCGGAGTGAACAATAAAAAAAATGAAGATTAATTAACATACTCAGAGCATTTTGCCTTTCGTCGAAATCCTTAATAACTTGACCTGGACCTGTGAGGTTTCCGTGAACCTCAATTGTCAATGGATACCCATCTGCCTCGTCTCCAAACTTCGCATCGACACTAAAGGGTCGAAAATGTGGAGCGCCGGGGGGGCCAGTTCGGAGACAATCCCGGAAGGGGACTTGGATGGCATTTGAAATGCCTGCCAAACCAACAAATAGCAACAGGTGAACTGTAATGAGCTCCATGGGTATAAAATTTGAGATTTCGAACCGCCGCCGCTTCATGTTAGATGATAATATGTGTATGGTGGCAAAGGGTTGTCCTTTGCTAGAGATAGAGGCAGATATGAGAGAGATTTAGGATGAGTCCGGCCAACAAGCTAAGAATGAACGGCGTTAGAGGAAGAACAATTATTTTTTGATAAAAAAAAAGTCGAAAGTATTAAAGAAACAAGACAGAATCGATCAGTTAAGCAGCGGCAGCTATCATTTTGGAACGGAGGCTATGAAGTTCGTCTCATCACTGGATATCGATTCTGCCACTAGATCGGTATCAGGTGGGATAAATGTCGAGATGGGTGTGTTTTGTTCTGGAAGAAGGTCGAACAAACAAGTTCCCAGGGTGGTCTGCGAACGACCGCCTCGTCTGACGTAGGAGTTAGGGGTCCAGACAACCGATATATTCGGGACTCGAACGGTTGTAGATGAAAGAATACGGTGAAGAGAGAAATTAGGAGGTTGGAAAAGAATTATATCGAAGGAAACAACCAAGCGGATTATCGATAAGTTGTTGATGGATTAACTGGCAGGCATTCGCTCGTGTTTCGACGGGACTGGCTGGGCATAGTCATTAATATTATTTATTATAACTGAGTAGCGAAGAAAAAGTTGACGAGAAGCGCACGAAAATGGCAACGGCAAGACAGAAATAAATGGCAGCAGCGACAAGAGAAAAGCCTCGAGAGACCGGGATCAGGATGTCGAAGAGAGTGGGTGTATGGGATGTGAGGATAGGTATTATTGGAAATCAATCCCCTTTGCACATTGCTCGCTCGACTAAACTACCAATTGGCAACTGGCAATGATTGGAAGTGCAAGTGCAGGTGCGAGATGATTGTAAGTGCAACCGCTGTGCGGCTGGTATGGGATTTATGTAACCGTACAGGAACACCCGTCGCTAAGCAATTTGCATCCTGTATTTTCCTCTCTGTGTATGGTCTGTCTCTCAAGGTTGAACCCTCTCTCTCTCTCTCACAACCAAAAGCGACCAAAGCAGGGAATCGTTCAGCGGTGATGGTGGGCGTGGTGGGGGCCCCTTCACGCCTAAAGGTTCGAATTGGGAACCTCGCTAGTGGAAATCGCAGACCTTTGGAGTCTATCTGTATCGTCTTGTGTACGGATTCACGGGGACCACGGGAAGCATAAAGATGCAATCAGGGGTGCGATCAATCGACTAGTAGTGATGGTGATGACGACGCATACGATGGGTGTATGATGATGATGATGATGGTGAGGCAGGAGGTGGTGGTGATGGTGATGATGGATGGTGGGTGGTGATGGTGGATTGCTTACCTTTCCAGACCGCCCGTCACTGGAACCACAGAATGGATGACCGGGCCAAGATGCAAAGCCAATTTGGGTAAGCGAGCTTGTTCAAGATCTCTTTCTTCCAATGCTGCCGAGTCCCGAGTAAACTGTCCGATTCGACCAACAATGTAGTGAATTCGATGATGAAGATTCAGAACGAAGAGAAAACTAATTACTGAACGTAAAACCTCGTCTCCCAGAAAAATTTAAATTAAATTTATGACGGTTAACATCTTCATGGATTCTAGAAAATAAAAATCCTCAAGACTCGAAGAAAAAAAGAAAAAAGAACAAAAAATAAAAAGAAAGAAAGAAAGAAAAAGGGGATTAAACCAAAGCGTGCAGTTGGGGTTGCAATCGCGCCGGTGTTTTTGCATGGCCTGCAGGAGGGGAACCCACCAGCGAAAGTGGCTATGCCCGTCGCTATCAGGAACATAAATCCCGACCAGTTTCAGCCCGTTTTTGTCGAGACTTCTCTTGCTCGCTCTCCACTCGCTCTTCCAAAGAGCCGCGCGGATGCGGTCCTGGTCAATTTCTCATATAAGTAATTAATTAGCTATCACCGTCATTTCGATATCATCAATCTGCTTCAAACTTTTTTTTTTGAAGAAATACCGAGAGTTCGAAATGAACTCAGAGTATTCGAGCGAGAGGTTATTAATGGTATTATCGTTACCGATGGACAACTGGATGGTCACAATACCCATGTCCACACGACAGAGACATGGAAGCTGCACGTTTCGCTTGTTATAAATAGCATCCTCACCATGGCCATATGGTACCAAACAGAAGGAGAGGAGGGGAAGAGGAAAGGAAGAAAAGGAAGAGGGAAAAAAAAAGTTTCATTGAACCACTGACGTTATCACAGGACTCTTTGCATTCCACTGTTTCTATTTCTTCCTCGATGATGTCCCTCCAGGTTGGACAGATCTAGCCGGTCTAGGAGAGATTTCCAGTTCCATCACACCCATTACACCGAGATTTGCAATATTGGTATTGCACATATATCTAGCTAATATCGATGTTCAGCACTTGGACTAGTTTCTTGAAACATGTTTGTAAACATACCCACTTGTCGCAAAAAAGTCCATTCGGGGGAGGTTGCATTCTTGAGTCGGACGATTCGCCTTATCCTAGCCACTAGCCACTTCGTAGACTAGTCCCATGAAGAACTAAGTCTATATTTAAACTCCTTTCCCGTCAATTTTTATTCTTAAAAGTGCAGAAAGTCAGGTACTTTAGGTAGGTAGGTAGGTGTATGAATATGTACCGGACGTACCAAGGATTAACAGATGTCAGACTTCGGCCGGGTGTCCCCCAAAGTTTCCCAATACTATGACTACTAAGATATCCATATACCGAGATGATGCATGTCTTATTGTTTCTAGCGTCTCGTATTTCGTTCCTTCGTGTGCATGTAGGTCCCTCTTACGGATTTTAATTCCGTTCCCTTCAAGTCCCTCCATTTAGAATCAGCACGAAAAGTAAGACCATTAACCATGCCATTGTAATTGCAGAGAGTATATTCACCTACGATTCATTATCCATTATCCCCAGTTTGCAGACAACCTTTTTGACCTGCTCGAAGTCCCTATTTGAATCTAACCAAACCGCTCCCAACAAAGCCTCTACAGCCGAAGCCGAGGTCACCCTGCCTATCTGTCCACCTTGAAGATGTAAATAAGCTTGCTCTGGTGCTACAAGAATTTCGCTCGTAATCCCTAATTGATCTGCGCATTCTTGTAGCCTTCGATTGGTTACATTATCTTTAAGAAGTACATCCGCGATCCCTAGGGACGTTAGATATCAGCAATACTCTTGATTTGGAACATCCTAGTATCCGCAGTTTACTATATATACGCAACTTACCTCTGGTCTGCTGGGTTCCATACCACTGATCAATTTGTACCAGACCCAGAACTTTATCTCCCAATGAAGCCAACCGTCTGTGGCCATCTCCTTTACCAGAGACGAGTCGCGCGTGACCAGTCGATTCGAGGGCCTCCTCTACGAGGGTGTTGGATTTGAAGACATAGCCGATAGCATTTTGGATCTTTTGTATATTGACGACCTTTGCCATCTTCGAATAAATCAATAGATACTACTTTATAAGTCGCTATTTGAAGTCGATAAAGGTAATAACTAATAGGGTAGCTGTAAGAGTTGTTAGTTATGGCGAACTTGATGGTATATTTTAGAACTACTCACCCAGATAGCTATATCGAGATACACTAGGTGGATTAAGTCTTGTCTCGTCGCCAGACTCCTCAACTGTGATTAAGTCTGTATCTAGCTATCCAAGGAACCAGTCTAACAGCTAGTGTGGTTTCCAAAGCGGGGCTAGAATTCGCTTGAAGTTCATTGGTATGAATTCCAGCCTGCTAACATGCAATTGTTGTAAGTAAGAATAAGGCTTGTGTATTTCAATTTTACTGGGGCTTTTCGCTTGAGGTTAACACCAGCAATTCAACGCACGTCCATGCCCGTTCGTACAAATTATCAGCTGGGTACCTGGGTCATGATCAAACAATTTCATGCAAAACCGCCACAGAAGCTCGAAGATTAATACTATCTACCACCTAATTAAGACGGCTCTTGCTATTAAGCCTTTGAGACACAAACCCGGGTTTCTCAGCTGTCAACTTAATTGATCATCGATACGTATCCGTGATCCGAATGACCAGCGTTGGCTGGCCGCCAAGGTACTTCAACATACGGAGACAAAAACTACAAAACCAGAACGTAGAAACGTTCTAAGGTAACAAACTCCGAAAAAAAGACAATTATGCCTCTGCCATCCTCTTTCATTTTTTTCCTTTTGTAGCCTTTGATCCACATATATTATACCCCTCTTAAAGTCTTAATTATAATTATAATAAAGCAAGATTCCCCCTCTAATCATGATCACGTGAGAGAACCCATCGATATCGGTAGGATGATCCGGACAGATGTGAACTCGCTTGTAGTATTCTGATTTGTAGACGTTAAGCGCAACTTCGGTGCGGGTACTACTGCGCGCCAGAAATTATACAAGGTTGTACCGCATCGAGAAGTTCCTTGTATATGAAAAGTTGTGCAACAGTTTTGGGGTGAGTGGGTATTGTATTGCATTGTTTGGAAACAGAAATATTACACTATAGAGAACATCGAATTTGGCATCTATGCACGCCAGATTCTTATCAAGGATCGCCGCATCGAGAAGTGGTGAGGTGAAATTATTTTAGTAGACTTTACACATAGCGATGTCACCTCTCACTCGTATCCGCATGTTGTAGCTTTATTGGGGATTCTTGCTTCGCGTGAGCTTTGTAGTCAGCCGGTGATACCGATATCACAATCGATCTTTTGTATTCGAGTTGCGGATAGTAAGATCTCAAGACTGGATTGGAGTATTTGAACAATCGATCTTGAAAATCGAAGATAGTGAGGGGAGAATGTATATAAGAAACCCAAACTTCACCTTTTAATCTTTCCTTTTCTCAGCAGCGCCTCCAGCCCACTCACCCCCACCGGTCTTTTACAGACTGACATTCTTTTACAAATCGGGTTCTTGAATCCTGCCGTTCTTTTTTATTATTATACTTTCACTACACAGAATAAATATATTCTATTAAAGCTTATACAGTATACTACTCGAAGAACAATGAAATTCACACTCCTTTCATCCGGCGTCATCGCCCTCACGACTATCGTCCCCTCCATATCCGCCCACTCCTTCATCTACTGGGCCGCTGGCGACGCCGACCCAAATATCCAAGGCTGGGCTCTCGGTTATCGTACCACCACCCCGGCAAACGGACAAGGTCAACTCCCCTTCCAGCGAGACGTAGCCGTCTTCTCCAACCCCGCTGTCCCCTGTAAAGCAGGTAGATGGCGTAAAACTTGTGAGAAAAGAGAGTACCTCCCCACTGGATGCGGTCTCAGTCTCTTCTACATCAATAGATATCATGAATCGTATAATCCAAACAAGGATAAACCATACAAAAAATCTGGGGGCAAAAAGAATGATTGGTACTATATGACGAAATATGTGTCAATAAGCCATTCATTCCTATCGCGTCTGAGGTGGAGAAACTGGTGAACAGTAATAAGCTCCCTCAGGTCAGCAAGGGTGGTCACGTGATTATGAAGATCCATCAGGTCAATGCCGATGGTGCTGGACCTTATCGGTGCTTCATAGATTATGGCGGTAACGCGGGTACATGGGCTGCGGAGTTGGCGGTACATTTCTCAATCTTTACTCGTATTAAGTTTTATATAATAGCTAATAAACTAAAAACAGGTTCAATGGCAAGTCAAACACACCGGCAAGCATTCAACCAACGACTACGGGTCCCTCAAGGACCAACAACTTCGAGTCAAGCTTCCAGATAACATGACCTGCGGTGGATCATATGCCGGCAGGAACAATATCTGCATGATACGCTGCCAAAATAGTGCCCCGGTAATATTATATTCATACTTCTAGCATCGAACGACTTGCTAACGTTTAATAGAACGGCCCCTTCGGAGGCTGCGTTCCTATTCAAGAGGTTCAACCTCCAGCAGCGACTCCAGTAGAGATTCCACATCAAGAGGAGCCAGCGCCACCACCACAAGAGAACCAACAGGATGCCGACGATTATAACGGTGCCGATAACGTTCAGGAAAACTATGATTACAACTATTAGATCGGTTTTTAGTCATCCGATTCACCTAGTTCAATGTATCTACCGGAGCTCTGTAGCGTAACAATATATAGAAATATATCCTGGTCGAACGGCAAATTGTGTTGAATTTGTGGTATTATGGAACCGCTACTTTTAATGATCTCGAGCTTTGTGATTTTTTTTTTTTTAACAGCATTTTAAACTCGAGAGACATTTTTAGACTAAGATGCTTGACAAAACAGTATCAAAAATTTAAAAATGAATGAAGCAAAACCTTGGGTGCGCTTCATGATTCTTATGAAATTCTATTGATTCCATTGGTGTCCAGATGTGGAAATGCAACAGATCAACACTATCCTCGCAGCCTCGAGATCTATCAACATTTCAAAAAAGAACATCGATTTTGACAAAGTATACCCTATCACGGTGACATCTAGTAGTATTACAGAGGCAAAGCCTGACCTTATCCATCTATGCCTACCTTTATATTCAGGGCCTTAAGAAATCTACCTAGCTAGGTCAATTCTAATACTAATGACTCGATCCGGCCCTCGATTTTAATAATCTAACTAATATTTATATTTAAAGTCTTCGATCGTTTTGTTGGCGCCGGCGCCGATATTCTCCGCTTGAGCTATTCCATTCCCTTCTTCTATATCATGATTAGGGGTTTGATCCTCGAGGTCATTCCTCTTTCTCAGAGCGCTGCTACTCCCCGAAATACTCCTCAAATCCCCATTTAACCCACGAAACCAATTCCGTGAGTCTCCCGTAGGCTCTTCATCTGGTCCTTCCAACCAGAATGGTTCTTTGACCCCGGGCACCAGCCACTTCTCCCTGGAAGACCCGGCCGCGCCTCCCCTGCTATGTTCATTTCCCTCAGCAATACCCGCAAGGTCTGTCGGATTGAACATCCCCTTCCTCCTCCTCCTAGTCTTCTTTTGTTGGCTATGTGACCTCAATGGTGGCATGAAAGGCTGATTTAGGGCGCTAAATAAAGACGCCGCCGTCACCTCCGGATCATCCTTTGGGAAAATGAGAACTTGACATGTGCATCCTATATTATAAAACCTCAACGTTAACAGTCAAAATTCCACCAAAATTACTATGCATGTCTTTTCATACTTCAAACATATAATATGATAAAACAAAAAAAACCAGAAGGATGCTCCGAAGGCTCGAAAGGGCCATACTAACCAAACAAATACATACAACTATTCGCCTTCTCTTGAGTCTCACACAGGGTCAACTCCGGCGACATCTCCGGCGGTTTTAAAATCGCATTTCCAGTTTCATCATTATCTCTCGACGAACATGCACATTCCTGGCAATGGTCTATGAAGGTTGAGATGAATTCGACGACGTGATGTCGTGGCGAATTTTCTAAAACGTTATGTAAGAACCTGTAGTCACCAGGGCGGATCGGGCCGATATTTGCGGGGTAGGATTGTTCACGCCAGCGGGTGATAACTTCGTCGATTGTCAGACAGGTGAGATATCCGCCTTTGGTGTACCAGCCGTCTGGAGGTCCGCGCTTTTTAGGGTTTGGAGTTACACCTGATGTGGTTTTGTTTAGGTCTGGTGTGGTCAATTCTGGGGGGTTTTCGAGGGGGTGGATTGATACTGGGGAACTGAGAATGGGTTGAAGGGTAGAGATTTGGAGAATAAGAAAGAATAGGTTTAGCATAGTGATATTTCCCCAGAGATGAGATAAAACAGCTATGAATGTCTGGTAGTTCAACAGTCTAGTCAGCCATGCCATAAACCGGCCCGAAATTTCTAGGAACTAGATTGAAGGAGGATCCTAGTTGAACAGACCATCGATGGCCATCGGCACTTCATAAACTATTTATGAATTTTTGTAGAAATGCTGCTGATCCTGTAAACATCTAGGATAGAATACTTCGTAATCAGTAGTGCTAAGTGAGGTACGAACGATCGCGAAACGGCTCCGGAGCTCCAAAGCTTTAAGTTCGGTTGGTTGAGTCCAAGCCACCCACATTAATGTATTTATGTATTTCGCTTTCCTTTGCGTATCATAAGCCGAAAGGCAGTAATGAATTTGTTCAATCTCCGGGTGCTAGAGCGGAGGATCACCAACTATGTGGCAAAGTACTGCAGTCTAATGTTTCCAAGTACATTCGCCCATCCATCGCGATATTTATATTTATATCGACACGAAAGGAAATTTAATACGTTAATGCGTTTGCGTTATATTCTTCTCCAAAATCCTTTGTAACTCTAGATCTATAGAACTCTAGAGCTCTGTAGTCAGTTAGAAAGTTTCCTCCGACTGTTCATGTTATGGGTTGCGTTTTTGAAACTGTGGTGTTATAATATTCGATCTTAACCTCAAACTGATTTAATATTTAAATTATATGAATTCAAAATATACACGTACATACTTACATACTTATATATATACATACAAGATCGAATGAATATATATTCCGCTCCACCTGCCTCGCCCCAACTGGCTAGGCCATAGCCCATCCGGAACTCTTAAATCCAACGGGTTTGAATTAAGGATATTCATATTTTCCAAAAATCCTGTATGTGTATACATGAGGTACAGCAGAATTCAGTATGCATATAAACTGTTCTGCCAAGACATAGCTACACATAGTCTGTATATGACAAAGTAAATGCAGTACGGCTTTCCCGTGCAAAACTTGGAACAATATTGCATTAAGTATTACAAAGTGGACTTTAAAAAGTCTACTTAGTCTGCCACGAAGTATTTTTCCCTCTTGCATCTAACAAGAATGAACCTATTTTTCAAGCGCTGCGCCGTTTACCTCTAAGCCTTATTTGTGGTCAGTACTAGTATGCAAACATGTATACCCAATCGAGACAATGATCTTGTTGTACGTTGTATTCTTTCCTCCGCCTCAAGCGCGTCTGGATTCGAGACTATATTCTTTCCTTCGACAAGCTAAGCCGCACATGTAAGTACCATAGGCCTCTGACAGTTTTTGTTTCCGAGCTCTAGCTCTCAAGCCACCATGACGCGGGGCCTAAAAAGCCTAGGATCAGGCATCAAACGGGGAACTGCTAAATGAGTAACCTTGTGATTCATTCATTTTCAAAAAGTTCTTATTGTACAACTCGTATATTTCCGTCTTGGTCCCAGAAGATATCGCGTAAAGCCTCAAGCAAGAATGGTATATATATTCGTATATACCAGGTCCTAGGTTTGCAGAATGTTGACGTTCGTATCGTGCTGTAATTAAATTTCAGTTCATTTTCAAGACGATAACTTCGAAAGTTACTTTATATATACCTTCAGAAATCCAGCTAAATTAATTATCATAAGTCGGCTGGTCGACGGCGACGCTGGGCCAAGTTTTGTTTTAAAGAATGGCTTCACTGGCCACCCTCCCCGTCGAAACCCTCCTACAGATATTCAACCAAATCCCAACCGCTGATCGAAATCATTGCGCACTAATGTGCCGCCGACTCCGTGGTATCATACACTCGCAGTACGGCATCCATTGTGTATTCCAAGTAGACCACACCTCCCGCTCAGCTTGGAAGTTTATCGAATACCTTCTTATCAATCCTAGTTTCGGAGAGCGAATCAGCAGGATTCGGGTTACATGGCATCGTCGGGAGTGGCGAGACGGAACGACCTGGACTCAGAAATGGTATTGGACTCCAGACGAATTAGTTAAAATCCGGTGTATGTGCGATAAGTGGGATCTCGGATCGGCGTATTATGCCATCAGGGATGGATTGAATTCCGAAGCCTGTTTACCATTGTTACTTTGCCATACCACACGGCTCGTATCACTGGATATTGGGAGAATATCGGATCCTGTGGTAAAGGATCGACTGCCCCAAACTCTTAAGAACCTCAATGCGATTTACAACTACTGCGTCGGAAACGAATCCAAAAGGGAACCTGGATGGGAACGTCGGTGTGATACCGAAGGATCATTCCAAAACACATCAAAAATGTTAATCCAGGGCATGCCATGGTTCTACACAACCTTCAACCCAGAGAAATGGCTACCGGGCTTATCCAGCCTCAAAAGAATCACATTTGGGGGCTACACCAAGGCAAGACCCGATGATCCTGATACCTGGCCATACGAAAATTTAAAGAAGATTCTTTTACTCCCACGGCTTGAAACCCTTCGGTTTAGTGGATTGGGCATGCCGGAACAAACCTTGCTCTCCGACATGTGCGGCGAACTATACGAGAAACAGGCTAGTAGACGGGGTCCGATAAGGCGTCTGGAAGTCATTAACTGCCTGTTCCGCTGGGATCATTACAGAATACTTGCAGCAGAAGTCGGTCCCCTGGAAGGTCTTAGACTTAGCATGCCTTATATGCTGCGGATGGGGTGGTTTGATCCAATAAGATGGCGGGGATGTATTAGAAACGATATAATAAACCTCTTCCTACGCAAGGAGACAACGAAATCGAAAGGGGGAAAGTTCCTGATTGAGAGGCAGTCCTGCAAAAAGGGCGATATCTACGGCCGTCGTCCTGAATATGATTCTGATCCTGATCCTGATGATCATGGTTATTATTCTTGCGGTTATGACGACGATCGTATTTGGTATCCGGGCGAGCCCGTGCAGATGGAACTTCATGGGCATAAACGGCTTGAAAATGTCGATGTCAAGTTTGCTTACTGGGGGTGTCAAGAAGAGGGTTTGGACGGTAAGATGGCAATTAGGACGAGGAGCGTGAAGGCCAAAAAACCGAAAGCCACGAGCAAACGATAATTGCAATAAGCTCTGGTGTAGTATCTCGGGTTAGAACTACAGGAGTTAAAAAGGAGCATATAAACGCTCCGTACATGTATGTACATAAGTGAAATAGTATAACAGTCCTTTAATGCATATAGTAGAATAGAATCGAATAGAAAACTTGTAACAGTTAAAAAAATGAATACCAACTTAAGCTTTGGAATATATTAGTAATACAATGGCGACACATTGCACAGCATGTGCCAGAATCTTCAGGGGATGGGAACATCTCATTGGCCCGATCAAGTGTCGACTTCGTTCAAAGGACATACATTAATATTACATGCCTAGCATCGGTAATATCTGTATCAATGCTCGAAGCGACTTCAGTCAGCTAAACCTCCTAGTCTTAGCTATATAGCTATATAAGTAAGTACTTAAGTAAGTAGCTATAGCCTGAAGATTCGATTGATAGATTCGATTTTGTGTTGGAATGTGGTATAATGGCTCCAGCCACCAGCATATGCCATGCAGATGTCCACCCCCTGTACATTGCATTCCGTAGACCAGACTAGAGCTATAGAGATATCGATTAGATGTGCAGCTGTTGATGCTAAATAAGAATGTTAACAAATATTAGAAGATGGTGTAGAGCTTGCTGTATCAATCGGGTTAGTAAGTAGGTGTAGGTGCCCGCGTGAGCAAAAATATCGAGGTTGGAATTGATAGGAACTCCGGCACAGACCAGCAGGTGCGGCCCTTTTTCTGCACGTCCGCCCGGCCAGACACACTTCGACCAGATAACGTGGGTCCGGGCATGGCAGCCATGGCTTGGTTGACCCTCTTTTTTTGGACATTCTTATCCTCATCCTTACCCTCATCCTCATCCTCATCTTCTTTTTCTTCATCTTCATATTTATTTTCACCTTTATCTTTATTATCTCCAATCAACCTTCAATCTTCTAAGTCTGTTGAATCGCTTTTGAATTCGTAGAATGCGAGGCTAAGATGGCCACAACCGAGGCTTCTGCAGTTCAGCTGCAGCTCCAAAACCTCACCCTCGATGACCCCTCCACATCCACATCCACATCCACATCCACCATCCCTCCTTCATCTCCTCCCTCAAAACCAACCGTCATCACGACTTCTACGACCCCTCCGGTCTTGGTCAAACCGGATATATCTGCCCCGGCGAGCAGTGAACCTGCAAATGGTCCGACCCCGCCGTCGTCTCCGTCGCAGTGCGGTTCTTCCACTCAAGCTGTCATGTCGTCGCGGTTGAGTGGCCCGGCAGACCACCAGCCCGGTACCAATACGGCTGCCACTCTCTCGAATTCCACTCCATCACAACATCCACTGCCACCGCCACCACCACCACAATTATCATCATCATCATCACAGCAGGCTCACCAGCAGCCTACTCCACCAAGCACCCTGCCCGAGGATGCTGCCTTCCCTCAGGCTGCCGTTGATAGCACCATGAATGATTCATCTCCAATATCTCCAAACGTTAACGTTAACCCTGTTAGGGAACCTTATGTTGTGGAACATGAACATCGGCCATCTGACGAGACATCGGTTTCCCCTGTCTCTCCTAGATCAGCAACCCCTTCATCGATATTAGACGACGGAGTCCCCACCTTGGATGCAAACGAGGCTGCTTTCATGCTTGAAGCCGACGAGATGGATAGTTCTCATCACGACCACGAAACTCGGCAGGCCGTCGACTCGACAGTCCCTACACCCGTTCATCTTCAGCAACGGCCTTCACAGATCCCTCGCTTTCCTTCTAATTCTAGTAACCAGTCCGTTCATTCGGACCTCCCAAACCTTCAAATCCCTCAGCATTCTCCACCGGTCCCTTTCCAACCTCACCAAACTGGTTCACACTACTCTTTCCCATATGCAACCACATTGCCTGCCGACCCTCGACGAACACCGTTAAGGGACATCCAACGATCACAGGAGGCTCCTTTGTCGCCCGATATTCCACCATGGCAGCCGGACTCGGAAGTCACCAGCTGCCCTATCTGTCGGACAGGTTTCTCATTCTTCTATAGGAAGCACCATTGCCGGTAAATCAGCCGTTCACAATACCATGATATCTTAAAACTGGTACTAACATATTTAATTAGTAAATGCGGCCGTGTCGTCTGCGCCCCTTGCTCACCCCACCGAATCGCGATCCCGAGATCATATGTCGTCTACCCCCCACACTCCATTGAGGCAGAACTAGCCCAGTCGTATATTGATGCCCACGGCCATCGGATATATGCAGATGGCGAAGAGGGTGTCGAGGTCAGGATATGTAACGAGTGCCTGGCCGGCGAGAACCCCTCGTCCGGGAGAATGGGACTGAATAGAAGGCAGTCGATCCAATCGCCCTCTGGCGGTGCAGGAAGGTTTTGGCAGGATACTGGCCCATCGGCTGGTGGAAATGGGAATAACTTTGTTTCGCCGCAGGGCGTAGGTTTTGGTGGAAGTCCTAGCACTCCTCGCCGTAGAACGGTCTCTAGTGCTAATCCATTCATCCAAGTAAGTTTTTCACTCAAGCCAGCCCAGGATATAAGGACAGCACTGACAATATCGTAGAATCCTGGAGTTATTCCAACAGTTACAGGCGGCTTCCCTGGCGCCTTATATCATCATCAGGGCGTACAACAAGCACATTCACTTGGTTCGAGAAGCCACCCCCATGGCTTCTTCCCAGGACAGCATCACCCACCATATCATTCACATCCTGTCCATCAGCCACCGCCTCTCCAACATCCCACTCCTTCGTACCCTCACCAGGGGCATCAAACTTTCACATTCACAGCCCCCCAATTTTATCCGTCACCCCAACCGTCAACCCACCACCACCATCACCATCATCATCATCAGAGGTCCATATCATCTTCTCATGCATATACCCAGTATTCTCCTGTCAACCAACCTATAAGAGGGCTGCTAGATACTTCACAACAGCCGACGCCGGCTTTTAGCATGCCCGCACACAGGCAGAATCTACCTATTGCTAGTCAGTTCATGTCAAGCAGCTCGAGGGAACAACAAACACACTCTGCACCACCTCAACCTCAGCCGAGGTTGAAAGAAACCGTACGAACCCTTTTTGTTTTTTCCCGCTTTCAGTTGTAAATCATTGGACAACTAACAAATATGAAACAGGATTACTGCCCAATCTGCATGACCGTACTCCCACCACCTAACCCTGTAACAAAAGACGAAAGCGCTCGAGAGGCCCATATCCAACAGTGCATTGAAAATGCAGTTGGGAGCCCCGAAGTTTCTCGCCGAAGATCAACTTCAGGCACCCCACCAAATCCTGCTAGTCTTGCCAATAACACAATGTCTTCACAACCTGCTCGAGCACTCCCCACCACCCCATCCCAAGACCAAACTCAAACGCACACCCCTGGCCCCGAACGGAGCAGAAGAAACACAGCCTCAAACCGTGCCGGCGGCAGCGGTAGGATGGTGGTTTATACAGCCACTGAGAAGGATACCTTTGCCATGGGGAATGATGCTGAGGCGGACGGCCAGAAGGCCGAATGCGTCATTTGCTTCGAGGAATTCGAAGCCGGCGATTCTATTGCACGGCTAGAGTGCTTTTGTCGATATCATAAGGTATTTTCAAACCTTCCCGTTACTTATTTCTACTTATATACTAATTACGGGACTAGAAATGCATTACGGACTGGTTTAACCGTCGAATGGACGGGCAATGCCCAGTGCATGCCATGAATGAATAGTAACTAGCGGCTTATAGTTACTATGTCCCCCATCAAGTGGGTTTCTGAGGGATAGTGGTGGTGGTTTATCAAATATATAACCCCCACTTCCCGATCTTTAAACTTTTAAGCAAGAGCCTTTTCTCTCCCTTTAGCACGGCAATGAAACTAGCAAGCAGTCGTCTCTCCCATTTTCTTTGTTCCCATATTAAATTTGTCATCGTTCTATTAGCGGGGTCTCTTTTTTGTCTCTCTCTCTCTCTCTCTCTCTCTATTCTTGTTATACACACGCAAACACGCACAACCGCATATGCATGCGCACACTCGGTATACGGGTTTCTCTTTGTTCTCAATCTCTTTTCGGTCTTAAGGTCTAGGTTTCTTCTTCTGTTGATTTTTTTCGTTTTTGTCTTTGCAATCTAAGGGGGACGGGCTATTCGGGGTGGGTGTTAAACCGGTTTCATGGATGTCGTCGGAAGCTTTCATTATATCTACATTTCGTTTTTTTTTTGTTTTTTTTTGGCCTTTTTTTTAACTGGAGTCAACCTCTCTCGATATCAGGTTCTATCCTCACGGTGTTTCTATACTATATATATATTTTCTTCTTCTTCTGTTTTTCTATCCTTTTGTTTAGTTTTTTCTTCTTTTAGTTCATTTTTATTTTTCGTTGAAAGTCTTTTTATAATTATCATTATCACTACTTACCTAGTATTAGGGTACTTAGATACTTTAGTTAGATGGCAACTTTTACTATTATAAATGTATTTGACTCTCTTCTTTTTTTTAAAAAAAAAAATGTTTTTCAAGAAGATTCGAATCATATAAACAGTCAATTGAAAATATATGATCATAAGTATTTGAGCACTTAAGGTAATGTATGTACAAGCCATAATACTACCAGCCTATAACACTTTAAAATAAAAGTATTATAAAATCCTATGAATCTTTTAGGTCGGCGGTCCTTTGAGGCTTGCGGATGGATGGTTGGTTAGTTCCCCCCTAAGCTGATATAAAAAGGATCCAACGGTAAATAAATTCTATCGGTCTTTTTATACGAAGGAGGGGAAACTTTGGCCGGTATCGTTTACAAACTCCATATTCCTCTTTGTAAATGCTAGAGACTACATTACATAGAAAAAACACTAGCGAGGATATATATAGAAGTCGTAAAAGATTCCGTCCTTTTTATTTTATTTTTATTCTCGCCTTTTTTGGGGGGTTTTGGATCAGAAATCAAGTAGGACTTGAATGTCCACGAGATCGGTGATTTATATCTTGAAATCTCATACCCAATGTTGGAGCAGTTTTTTTTTACATATATACTCACCGTTCACGGGGTTTGTTACTGAGTGAGTAATAATATAAAAAAGATTGGGATGAGATACAGATGTAAAAAGGCTGTTAAAGTTTAATGGAATATTCTTATTCACGCCTGAAAGGGAGAAGAAAGTAAAAGAGTCTGAATACCCAAAAGTTCCCTGCATCCGAAGTGGACGGGGACTAATGATCTTGCCCCGGAAAGGCCTCTAAAAGAAATCTCAAGATGGTTTAATTAATTTCTATACCATGTCTAGCACGTACCGTATTAACTTCCCTTTTTTTTTATAGAAAGGGACAATGACTTCCCACCGCACCAATGGTACGGTGGTGGAGGGGGAGGGGGGGTTAGACAACTAATGTTTCCCACTAAGCACAACCTGCTCACCCTTCGCCAACTTCTCAAAAGCCTGCAAAAGATCATTCCTCAGATCCTCCCAGTTCTCGACACCGATGCTCAACCGTAAAAGGGTTGTAGGACAGTGGGTATCGCTCATAGCCCGCCATTCGATTAGTGATTCAACACCACCTAATGAAGTTGCATGTGCGAATAACTCGAGATGTGATGGAAGTGTCTTTGCCAAAAGTTCAGTTTTCATCTATCAAAAAAGGGGATATTAGCATTTCATAAACTTCACCAGCCCAATCTAGTTTTTCTTGAAAAGGAAGAAGAAGAAGAAGAAAAACCAGTACCTCAATCCCAAAAACCGGTCCAAACCCTCCCTTCATCTGCTTCCTAACCCACTCCTCCTCCTGCAAACTAGCATGCTTAACATTCTCCACCACCCTCCCAATCGCACTCCCTTCCTTCCCAAGCTCCTCACTCAACCAGCCCACCAACTTCGTCGCATTCTCACTCTGCCTCAAAACCCTCATCTCCAAAGTCCTAGCACTCCTGGTCCCCAACCAAGCCTCAAGATTCCCCATAACCCCTCCCAAATACAACCTCTCGTCCCACAACTTCCATCTAGTCTTAATATCCCTCGTCACCAACACTCCAGCCAACATATCCGAATGTCCACCGATATACTTCGACCCAGAGTGCATTACAATATCCGCCCCGAACTCAAAGGGATCTTGTAACGGCGGTGGCGCAAACGTAGAATCTACCATTAATATGGCTCCACGACTATGTGCCCTATCCGCATAATATTTAATATCAAATGCAGTCCCCAATGGGTTCAGTGGTGTTTCGAGATGAACTACATCCCCTGGTTGAAGATCTTCGACAGGACAGTCTAGGGGTATTTGTTTCATCCCTGTTAAACGGCTATGGATGTCTGCAACGCCATGACAGCCGTGGTAGAAGAGACTGCCGGAGAGTTGACGTGGGTTTAGGTGGACTAATGCTGCGTGAAAGGCTGCAACACCAGATGAGTAGACGATTGCGTAGCCATTTAGATGGGAGGATAGTAAAGCCTCGAGTCGTGCGGTCGAAGGCGACGAGAGACGGGAGTAGACATGGGAATCTGCATCTTCGAGCTGGATGAAGTTACAAAACAAAATTCGTTAGTTAAGGGGAGAGAGAGAGAATAAGCTATAATTTGAAGCTTTGGGATGATGTATATATACGTACCGGCAAATCCTTAGCAGCAATTAACTTCGAAGGATCCCGTGGGTAACGGAAAGTAGTAGAAACGTGAATTGGGGGCGCAACATCGTTCACTTCGTTCAGAAACTCGTCGGCGTGGACGAGATTTGTCTCCGTGGTGTACTTGGAGGGAATGCCGGTGACGGCGGATGGTTGAAGAATGAACTTGCTCATCTTTGTGCTCTTTTAAGAAAAGCTGCTGAATAGGAACGATTGGGCAACACACAAAATACCACAAAGCCGTCAATGGAAATACGATAATTCTACTAAACTTCGAGTTCAATTGAATGAGATGCAATGAATGGTGAATGAAACTTAAAGGTTACTATATTTCTAAAGGATAACTCGGGTGCTCCTTTATATACTCCTTTTTATAGCAAAACTCTGTTTTACTTGTCAAAGTTAGAAAACCTTCATTCGTTGCTATTTCCCCGGAACTGATTGCGATATCGAATCTATCAAAGAGAAAAAGGCGGCAATTAGGTAATCCACTTTCAGTTTGCCCTGATCCTTCATTATAAAGTACCAGCTTGTAAGGACCTAGTAAAAACTTTCGAACCCCTTCGCGCGAGAAATCCGCCGACTCGCTTGGAGCTCTCGAACCATTAGACTCGATTAGATAGCTGCGGCCTAGCCGGCGGGGTCCTTTTTTGTTTTGTTTTTTTTCACTTTCTCAAAGCAGGAAACTTCGCGAAGAAACCGGTGCCCAATCCGGTGTGCCCGGTTAATATTACCCAGTGGACTATGCCCGACAGCCTGCCTAGCTCTACGCATTCAAAATGACACCATATGCAGGGTACGCTGCACAGTTGGGTAATGGTACCAGTCCTAGGGGGGGTTATATCAGAAGCGGTATACTACCCTGGCTTCATGTCTATCTATCTATACATGCATGTCTATGTCCAAAATAAGATATTTACAGGAAATATATTTACAAGAGAGCTATATACATATTATACACACACCATATCATCCTACTTTACATCTACTCCCACCTAACCCCCTCCCCGATTCTCTCAAAGAACTCACTCCTAACATCGCTCATGGGCTTCACGAAATCCGTATACTCGAATGCCACAATCTGCGCATTGTTCGAATCAGTAGACCAATGCCACGGCGAAATCTTCCCCTTCACAACGTCCCCGTACTTCACCGACTTTCCAATATTACCCGGCAAGTAGACTCTAGCTCCAGAAACTCCCAATCCCTTGATCTCTCCGGAGACTGGAGTAGGATGCGTCGCAACGCTGATAACCTCGATATCGACTTCTTCCGGTAGCCTTGGATCCCGAGCTTTCCAGAGCTGCTTCAGCAGCCTAATGCTCCAAAGTCTTAGAGTCGCATTGTCCGCGCTCTTGAGTATCTGCTCCCTGTGCCGAATATCCTTACAGAAATTCATTACTTCCGTCTCCGTCAACATGGGTTTCTTTAACGCTTCCTTGTCGCCTTTATATTCTTCGTGCTCCGCCAATATTTGTCGCTGAATGATATGATGGCTCACAAAGTCTGCAAATCTTCGAAGAGGACTGGTAACCTTGACATAGCCTTCCAGTCCCAGTGCCATGTGTCTCTCCATCCGGGGTGTTATTTTAGACCCTCCAGCCGGGAAATAAAGCTTCCAGAAGTCAACGGGTATGATACCATCTTCGCCCTTTGCCTTCGCTAGGAGATCAAGCCACTTTTTCTCTTCGGCTTTGCTGGGCCATATAAAGGCGTGCTGCCGGTACATCTGCATCAGGCCTCTCTGATTACTCCACACGGCTGCCGCTTCACCAGCCATCGTCATAGCTTCTCGAATTGCACTTGCGGACGAGAAGGTCTCCTTCGACCTCGTCAACTCCGAAAACTTCAATGTGATCGTGGGTTCGTAGACGTCTAAAACTGGTTTCTTGAGAAGACCGGGGTGAATTTCGTTTCCATGTCCGTTATCGACTACAATATCGAGGCTGGCTTGTTTCGAAACCTCCATACATCCGTTTCGTACCCGACGTTGGAGTAACCTATATCCTAGCTTGTGGAAGTTCCTCAAGGTTTCTAAGTCCTTTTCGTTAACATCCGGTTCCGGCTCTTCGGTTTTCTCGGATTGCGGCTTATTCGACAAAACTACAGTTTCTGCAGCCGTGACTCCGAGTAGTTTGTCCATGTACGCATATGACACCCGCTTCACGTTCTTCACGGTCGAAGCTCGAACCTGTATATCCTTATGTTCACCAGTCTCCCTATCAACCCGTATACTAAACGTCATCGCCGGCCGATTCGGTGCTAACCCGAGCTTCTCAACTGAAAGCCTTAACGGAACCATCGGGTAATTCCTAGCCGGGCCGTAAAACGTCTGCGTTCTCTTCGCCGCAATCTCAGAGATCCAGTGGTCTAGTGGAAGGAAAGCTGTCGGGTTGGCAACATGGACGTGCAGCCACACGTCTTTCGAGTTCTTGATCTCCTCCAGCGAGACGCCGTCGTCGATATCCTTCGTTTCCGCATCGTCAACGCAATAAACTGGCATATCCCCCCAGTCATGTCGTAAGCCCTCCATTATATCCTTCAGCCCCAACTTCTCCACCGAGCCCTCCTCTTTCTCAATGTTATCATATAGCCTTCCATCGTCCTCCGCCTCCACAGTAGCCCGGTGACCTGGTAAACCCAACTCTCGCTCTCTTAATACCGAATCCTCCCAGGGCGAACAAACTCCCACTTCTCCTAGGAATTCAAACAGTCGTTGTTCATCCAGTAGCTTGCCCTTATCGTATCTATTTAATAGCCCTAGAACATGTGGATACAGTGATTTGAGTGTCACACTCAGCCCACGTCTATATTCCAAAGCCTCCTCAAGCGCCCTTAGAAGCTCCATCTCTTCGTCAGTCCACTCAACCGTGAGTTCGTTTTTCACCTCATCGGTACTCTTCCCTTCTTTCCTAGCTTGCCTGCCCAAGTCGATGATCTCCCTTGCCTTTCTCACGAAACCATGGACAATCTTCCCACCTTCTGAGTCCTTATCCGCAATACTGTCTCTAATCAACTTCTCAATCCTCTTCGCTCTTTCAACTCCTTCCAAGCTTTTAACGTTCCACACAGTCTCCTCTCCCCATCCTTCGCCCACCGTGAACAGATCCCGTCGCGCGAACAATGCTATATGTGCAGCGTATCTATCCTCCTTCGAAGGATCCGCCTCTCCAATCATCATCCTCGCGACTTCATCCGTAGTCACAACCTTCGTCTCTTTCTCATCACCATCGTTACGACTGAGTAATTCTGTATGCAATTTATCGATCCTTGCGTTGAAGGTTGGGTATCGAAGATGCACCCTTGCCCTGAACTCACGGACAAGTGTTATCATGTCTCGTACCAGGTCCGCATTTAGTCGTCCCGTCGTTTGGGAATCTTTTATAAGTTCGTCAACTTTTTCCACCGGAATAAACCCGGGGAGTGTGAACCGGGACATATCCACAGCAGTGATTAGGATAGCGCCCTGTGGAGAGAGTACAAAGGAATCACGAGAGTAGTTTCCTGTCTTGTTCTTCAGGAATATGGCCAGGAACGGAACCGATGCGTCTGTATATCTGTTTACCACGAAGATATCAGTACTCATATAAATAGGATATAGAATGAAATTTTGTTATCCTCTCGAAAGAATTCAACGAACCTGACTTCCACCAAGCTGCCGGGAACCAAATCCACATTTCTTGACGCATAAGCCTCAGGGTCCAGATCATAAGCATTATCATATCCCCCTCCAGAACTTGCATCTATAGACGTAGCTTCCTCCGTAGCTTCTTCCAGCCATACCGCATTTTCCATGATTTTCTCTAGGACCACATCTACACTCGTCCCTTTGTTGTAGGCAATTTTATGAGCTTCCTCTTTCTTACGCCATTCATTCATAAGCTTCTCGCGCATTGTCGGTGTAGAAACCTGGTTTTCATAAACAATTGGTGGTGATGTAGGACGAAAACGATGAGAACCAATCTGTTCAGGATCGGGCCCTCGAGGTGCAAAAACTTCCTTCGCGAGGTTTGGCCTAAATGCAGTGAAAGGAGATCCTTGATTTTCCAATCCTAGCTGTCGAGGATCAGAATCCCTTCCGCCCCGATCAAACTTCTTCTTCGATGCATTTGGATATTTTGATTCCATCGTTTCTCCGAATGTTATGCGACCTCCCTGTATCTTGGGTGATGCCGAAAGCCCACTATCATCCAAAAACTCAACAGCTGTCCGCTTTATAACTTCGAGTTTAAATTTCGGGATTTTTTCATCGTTTATTTGGTAGTGCTGGTATACACCATTCATGAAACGCTCCTCATCCTCGTGGATCGTAAGTGTGCCGCCCGGTTCTAATTCCTCGATTCTTTGTAGGATATCCACGACATGTTGCTCGGTTTGCTCCTCTTTATCCTGCCTAGATTTCTCGTATCGGCGCCTGGCAGTGACACTGCGGTCAAGCGGTAATGTAGTTGTAAGAGTTCGAGAAGGGATGGTGGGGAGTATGAGACGAGTATGGCGGGGTAGTTGGCGGGGCCGCCATGTCCTTAGGGTAGCGATGAAAGTACATCGCGGACATTGAAGCGACATCAATGGCCGCTGATTGAAGAAGTTCTCCTAATTATTTGTGTAGCGGTTTTGTTTTGATGTTTCGTTGGAGAAGTGGTTGTATTCTCTAATGTTGATATGCGAGCTTTGAACAATGTGACGGCGACACAATTGAATTCGCGGAATCGAAATGATGTTGGTGGTTACGATGGTGATGCTAAGCTTCGAAAGGGAGGGTCTATCGGTGTAATGCAGACAAGATGCTCTTTATGTTAGATTCTAGATGCTAATTTATGGATATGCTGTTTGAATTGATGAAAGATTTTGAAGTTGATGATATCGAATCGAAGTGGGATGTTTAGCTCGTCTGCAGGGAATTTTTTACCGAAGTTTTGCGACCCAAAAAAAAAGTTTTTGGTGTCGGAGCTCGGAAAGAGCTTTGAACGCCGAAACCCACCAACAGGGGACAGTAAAACACCAGACCAGACTATCGACAGATATATACCTTATACCTCTTTCTTAGTATTTATATTTCGATAAGTATAGAGAATATTACAGTAGTAGATATGGAAGGCTTAGAATGGAGATTTAACTGTTTATTCTATTTTTGGTCTTTCTTCTTTTTCTTTGTTTCTTAACACTCAGACAACTGAGCTGTAAGTATAAGTACTCATGATCAAGTACCCAGATATTTTACATGAGATTGCGCCAGCGTACACCGTTTAGATATTCACTTGGCCGCCTTGGTAATCGCCATCGCATTGTACTATCTAAGCCTCCTCAGTAGCTGCCTTCTGAGCATCCCCAGGGGCGGTTCCATCCTCCAACAGCTCGCCGGACTTAACGATCACAAATTTCCCATCCAGGATCTTTCCGTCTTGTCGCTTTCCCTTCTTTGAAATTCTATTGACGACCTCCATGCTGTCGGAATCAGCAACTTCTCCGAAGACGGTGTGCTTGCCATCGAGATATCCGAGTGGGACCGTGGTGATGAAGAACTGGGAGCCATTGGTGTTCTTGCCGGCATTGGCCATAGAGAGGAGACCGGGGCGGTAGTGCTTGTGGTGGAAGTTCTCGTCGTCGAATCGATCACCGTAAATGGACTTCCCACCGGTACCCTACCGATTTGCAGTTTAACGGATTAGCACACCTATTCCAGTAATACTCTAAAATTAAAAAGAGAGAAAGAATGAAGAATGAAGAACGTACATTGCCCTTGGTGAAGTCACCACCCTGAATCATAAAGTTGTCGATGATACGATGGAAGTGAGACTTCTCATATCCGAAACCCTTCTCGCCGGTACAGAGAACCCTGAAGTTCTCAGAGGTCCTAGGAGTCTCGTCGTAGAGGTTGAACTTGATACGGCCCCATGACTCGGCTATGACAAAAAACAAAAGGTCCACGGGTCAGTATCGATATCTACCACTTTATTAAGTATCTACCACTCCATAAGAGAAGGGAGAAGGAGGAGGAGGGGCGTAAGTTTGAAGATGTGTAAATAGATAAATAGACTACTCACGATCATTGGCCGGCCTAGCAGGCTGCCACTCGACATCGAAGAAAACCTTGGAATGGACCATGCTGTTCGCTGAGGCGCCGAAGTAACGCACGGATCGGAGGGCAGATGGCTTTGTGGCGGTGGAGAGTAAGGAAGAGATGGTGGATGTGGGGAAGCGGGGAGGCATTGTTGCGATTGAATTGTATAAAAAGAAAGCTGCTTGCTTGCTTTTGCAATTGCTGTCTATCTATGACGAGGTCGAACACCTGAACGAAATCAGACGTCGACGTCGGAGGATGAAGTGTCTAAGCTATCAGGTTGCTTTTTCGGTCAGCCCTGTCCGTATGAAGTTTTTTTAGTTTTTTTTTTGAAAGGATCGAATAAAGAAAGAGAGAAAGAAAGATTGAAAGGACGGACGGACGGATGGACTGGCTGGATGGATGGGTACTTGCAGCGACTGACAGTATATTATCAAGTATAATACCGATCTATACTTAGGAATTGACAATCAACAGAGCTGAGTCTTCCGAGAGAAAATATCTTTTTAACTTCCCCAAGTTGGCTAAATTTCTAAAAAACCGAGGAAATTTTTGGCGTTTAGACATTTTCGTCGAAGCGCTGTTTCGCGAAAATTCCATGCTGCCGACAAACCCCGGTCGATTTCCTATCAAATACAGCTACGTCCAATTAATTCTCACGACCGAATTATATTATAGTAAGTAAGTACCTATTATGCAATTATGTCACCTGTCAATTCCTTAGGAATCTAGGAATAACCATCCATAGACATTAATGCACAGAGAGTATACATACATATAATACTTGGTGGGTATTTTGGCCGGAACAGTTGAAGCCGAGGTGCACCGTCGCAGTTCGGATTAGTTCGCTTTCAACCAGCACACAGAGCTGCAGAGAGCGAGAGAATACTTGCATCCTGTAACGTAACAAATCCTTCCACCGTAAACTAGCAACTCCACAATATTATGTACAATCCATCTTCAAAAATACCTACTTAAGTAAGTAGGTCAGATAATAAGTAGTAGCTACAGGCTGCCAAACTATACCTACAGGTACTAACTTGGATACCTTAGCAAGTACTAGTAAGTAAGTGGGTAGGTAGGTGAAAAATGCAACAAACCGTCTATCCTGTCGTCGAGACTAAACCCTCCTCGCCGCCAACATGTAGACGTATAAGCCTCATTAAAACTAACATTCAATTGAAACTTGAAACCGTTCTTCTATATGTCATAAATGGGTACCTTGCAGACGCATTCATGGCACAGACTTCGAATTCAGTTATAAGTACTTACATAAGTACTCAATCGAAATCTTTGCATTCTAGATCTCAGTTCAGATCTTTTCAACTAGTCTCTTTCATGAATTCATTCTAGTCTCCTTATACGAATTAAGACTGCATCTAAGAAGTATACTATACTATATATATTATACTATGTCGATATACCATCTTATAATTATAATACACATCTGAAAATATAATAATACTTTCAAAATGCATCTTCTAAATTTCATAAACTCCCTAATCCTCTTCCTCCCCCTCCTCGCACCCACACCCATAGCCGCCCTCCCCGCCAGCGGCCCCGACCCACCAGTCCAAGCCCGCCCTCCAGGCGGAAGCGTCGACCACTTAAACGCCTACTGCCAAATGAGTCTTTGGCAGCACGGTCCCGGCCAAGGCGCATCCTGGACCGGCTGGCCCCTCTCCAGTTCCCCAGGCTCCATACCCGGTTTCAATTTCGACGCAAACCTCAACAACCAATGCGTCAACCTCTTCGAACTCAACCCATCCGGTCTGGCTGGTGAATTATCATCCTACATAGTCACGGGATGGTGTGAATGCGAATTCTTCGCCAGGGTGGAATGTCTTCACAGTTTATTCTCGGCTTATAATCGTCGTGATGATACCCTTTGGGAGAGGAAGCCGGATGTGGACAATATGGTTCAGAGTTATAGATGTTGGTATACTCAACGTGAACAGGATTTCAATTGGTGTACTGTTAGTTGGCAAGGTGTGAAACCGGATAGTTTTAAAATGATCGATGGTCGTAAGCAGGTCGTCTGGGAGAAAGGTCCGCGCTGGCAGGATGTCATAGAGAAGAAGGAAATAGGCAAATGTCAGAGTCTTCCCGGTAGGAATAAGGAAGAGTGGCAGGCTATCTCGTCGGTTGTCATAAACGGCTGCACCTGTAACTTTTATAGTGATGAGGGCTGTCAAGGCGATGGGTTGGGATCATTCGGAAATGCTGGAAGTGTCATCGTCAAGGATTCCTTCAGTCCTCTGTTTTTTGAACAGGGGATCCGCTCCTATATGTGCTTTCATCCCGTGGGGATTCCGCAAGCAGCTAGGACAGATTATGATATAGCAGGAAAACCTGGCATGCCGCCTGAGGTGAACTTGTAAAGCTTTAAAGGTGCATGGCTGGATGCATGTATCAGTTGTCTTTGTTGCATACCTCTGCAGCTACGTATACGAGCTGTCATTTGGCGGAATTAATCTATGAGATCTTGAAACTGTCGTATACCTCAAAATTATAAACATAGAAAAAACGTTGGAAACTAAAATAAAATAAAATATTCTTTTTGTCGTAAAGGGGGAAAAGGCCAGCGTACGCTCTGTTCACATAGCGAGCACAAAGAAACAAAAGATCATATAAAGAGAAGACGTCGCAGGTGATAACCACAAAACCAAGGGGTCAACATATAAATACATTGTGAAGTGAATTGGACGAAGGATGGTAGAGCCCCTTCCCTTTAACCTAGTAGATCAAAGGCACTCGAGGAGCCGCTACCGCCGGCGGGCTTGTTGTTATTGTTGGTGGATGTTCCCGTAGTCCCCCAGATCCCGGCGGAAGCCTTCTCCTTTTGCATAGCTGCCATGCTAGCCTGGGGAGCGGTTGGTGTAGCGGGCTTTTTGACGCCAGCGCCTATGCTTACAGTGTTCCAAATGTTTCCGAAGGCATCGCCACCGGCTTTCTTGGGTCCACCGGCTGCAGAGTTTGGCGTTGTAGCACCAGTATTAGTCCTTCCCAGACCGCTGCTCAACGTTGGGGACATGGGAGTCGAACTCGTGGATGAGTTTAATGGAATCGAAGTGAAGTAGTTGGGCTGGGCTGGCTGGTATCCGGTAGGTTGCAGCGGTTGCATCGGTTTCGCGATCGAGCTGGACGCCTGGGAACCAATCGATGGCGCTGGAGAGGCTGTCTTGAATCCGACAAGGTCTTGCATGCCCTGGTTCTGAGAGGCTGAAACTGGTTTTGGAGATACAAATGTGGCAGTGCTCGTCGCGGGGAGTGAGGTCAAAGCAGGAATTGGTGTGATGGTTCGGTTGGCAGTATTAGTCGGTGGTGGAGAGATCGGTGCGGCAGAAATAAAGTCGTCGAATTCATCCTCATCATTGCCCGTCTTGAAATTACCAAAATCGTCGTCCAAGGCCGATTTCGAGGCGCCGCCGGCTTTCGAAGTAGCTGCTGGTGCAGGAGCGTCTCCGAAGAGCAGGTCCACGGCAGGTTCTTTCTTTGGTGCAGCTTTGGGGGGTTCTGGTCGTGAAGGTTTCTTGGGAGGTGGAGATGCTGGCGTGATGGCTCCCTCATCGTATTCGTTGTATTCCTCGTACTGGTTCCCTCGCCTTGATGTATCTGCATAGGAAGATGATGTACCTGTACTGAAACCTCCACCATCGCCATAAACTCCACCGGAATAGCCACCATACTCCAAGTCTTCCGACCCAAATCCACCGTATCGGCTTCCGCCTCCACCTCCACCTCCGCCTCCGCTACCGCCGCTAAAGCCACCACCGCCCCCGCCATAGCTGCTACTCCCCACACCACCAAAACTTCCCATACCACCACCCTCCATTCCCTGGAACTTGCCTCTACTCGATTTCGACTTCTTCCGTTCGGCGCGGATCTTTTCGACATCGGCGAGTAGCTCAGCTAACTCCTTAGCTCGGTTTCGTACGTTCAAACCTTGATCTTTGCCGTTCTGGTCTATGAAGTGGAATTGCTTGAGCATCTTGACGGTCGATATGTGCTGTCGGGCATCGTCAACCACCCGTTCGGAGCCGTTTTTGACCAGGAATTCTAGTAATTGGAGAGCCTATAAAAGATCACCAATTAGTGAACCGTCTTCCAAGAGCTTCCGACTTCCTACAGTTAATAGCTACCTTGTAGATCTGTCTCCATTCTTCTGCTGCCTTTTCGGTGAATCGCTTATAGATCATGGGCATGATCTCGTTCAATTGCTGGCTATACTATCGTTAGCGAAACTCGGAGCGGGGAATACGATGTTTTATCGGATGATCGAAGGACGTACTAATTGAAGGTTCCGGCGGCAATTTCATTCATAAGAGTAGACGAAGCTCCCCATGGCTCATTGTTGGTGGCTTCTCGGACCTATCCCACCCAATGACGTATTTAGTCAGCATCCTCAAAAGAAAGAAAAAGAGAGAAAAACCTCCTTCTCAGAACTGAGGTCTCGAGTATTGACGTACCTTAGCCTCCATCTCGGTGAAGTTCATCACCACTAGAAACATAAAAGCAAACCATCAGTCCTAAAAGATTCTCCTAATGTACCCTGCCGATTGTATCGTGGGACCCGAGTAGTAGGCGCAAAAAAAGGAAGTGGTGGGCGTGTGGGTGTGTTTTGGCAATTGTGGCATATAAAGGTGTATGTATCCCTTACCATTCTGGGCTTTGCGAACGGCGGCCTTGACATCGTAGAGCGTCAGGTTGGTGACCTGGCTCTTCAGGTCGTCGAGCGTGAAATTCATAGTTGGCGAATTACAGCTACCTGCGGAGCTATCGGAAGGCGATTAAGGTGGTGATTGTGATTGTGATAGTGGTAAAAGGATGGTGATGTTGGCGTTTTGGTGGTGGATCTGGACAGGTTGGTGAGAGCAGGAGGTCTGGCTGGTCCGGGCTCAGAACTGGAGCTTCTCAAAATGTCTCCCATTCTCTCCTGGCCGACACCCGATTTGGCCACCAACAAACAACACAATTCTCGCAGCTTATTGACTAGTACCACATACTTAAGTATGATTACTATGCAGCAATTACCACTATAACTCGATCCTGTGTAGGTTACCTCCTATCTACGATACAACTGGCCTGAAGGGTGCAGCTGGGCGTAGGTGAGTCGAGTCCATTCGAGACTTACGGGGAATAGGTAGCTAGCGTGTGTACTAAAATAATTTACGTGAACAGCCGGAATATCGCCAATACGATATCTTTATATAGAGCTATAGCTAGCTATACCCCTTGAAATGGTCGAGTCCATCGAGGCGATGACAAAACCGCAAAAGCTGAGTCAGCAGGTGCTCGGTACTGCGATTGTGTATGAAGACTTAAGTCTCACGCCCTGATAGTGTTAATTTCGCCCAAGGTCTTCCTCCAGATCATGGAGCTATTGGATTCAGGGAATGATGTTTGAAATGATCCTGAACAGCTTCTTATGATTATCGAACTTCGATATATTCAATCGGTTAACATAAAATCAAATGATCACTACTCCGCAGTGGGGAGTACATGATATTCATCCCTGTCGTCGATAGTGAAGTCTTCGACTGGGATACTTTTCAAAAAGCTGCGAAGCTATAGTGGATATGGAATTGATTGGTCCATATGAAAGTGAATACACGGCACTAGATACCCTAAGAAGTGTGGTCAATGAAGGCAGACAAGAGCTTGGAGTGCCAGATCTAAAGCCGGACAAGATAATTGGTGACAGTGGGCTTACCGCAGATGAACATAGGTGACCGCATAAGACTAAAGATAGGGCGGTCGTTAAGGTGCTTCCATATAATATCTAGAAGGATTGTAGAAACTCTAATTTGGAGGCTAAGCATTTTCTCTAAGAACCAGTAGATAGTATCATATATAGTATTAGGTTACTCTAGAATTGCTAAGATTCAAAATACACCGTACCTAAGAAGGAGATATCCCCAATCTGGAACAACATACACTCGGGTACTTGACATATCTTATACAAAATATCCAGTACCGACATGACTATTCGAGCAAAATATACGCTCTAAAGCCTAGCCTCAGCCTGGAGGCCATGCCCAAACACTAATCTACAATCAACTTCTGCCTTCTCCTTCCATCCAAACCGTCTTTGGAATATAGCCGGCGCACTCGTAGCCCCAACAGCCTGGAATCCCTCACGTCCAATCCCTTCAAGAATCCAGCGTAGCGCAACCTCAATCGCAAGCGGATCCCCATCTCTATCGGCATCCACTATAAGGAATGCACCCATGACCACGAATGCAATTCCAAAGCTTAGATCTCTACATTTCGATAGAGCCTCTTCGGTCGACGCCTTTTCAGCAAACTGCTTGATATCATTCCAAGTGGTTCTCAATACCGCCCTAGCTTCTCTTAAAGAATTGTGGCCTTGTCCGTCAAAGACACGGCCCAACCAGGTATTTAAAGCAGCCAAACTGTCTCCCTTTGTGAATGCACGAATAATATCCACCGAAAGCACATTCGTAGTACCCTCCCAGATAGGAAGGACGTTAGCATCCCTATATAGTCTGGCAATGTTTAACTCTTGTTCGTTCTCGAGGTAACCAACACCGCCCTGTACACAATAATTAGTTTCTTTGGTTTTCACGAATTAATTTGTAAACTTGGGAATCTTACCAGGCACTCCATACACTCCGCCAAAGACGACACGGTAGCCTTCGCTGTCACCATTTTTACCAATGGTGTTAATACCCTCAACATCAGTGCTACCTCCTTCCCATCTTTTGGCATCCATGGCGCCCTCTTCTCTGGCATTCCTTGCTCGTCAAACCCAAGCAATGCAACAGTGAAGTAAGTTAATTGCATATTTGCCCTAAACTGCACCTCCATCTTCGCCAAGCCGCTCAAGTGAAGAGGATTCTTCCATAGTTCCTTATTCTGCGTCTTTCTAACCTTCGCGAATGCCTTTACGATCGCCAAACCCCGGCGCCAGAAGCTCACCGAAGAAACCGCGTTGTGAACTCGAGTGATGTTCAACATCGTCGAGATATATTTCACACCTTTCCCTTCTTCACCCACGAGGTAACCTTTCATATCCTTCAGCTCGAGCTCAGCAGTAGGCAAGGCACGAGTGCCGAGTTTATCCTTAAGCCTAACGATCCGAACACCGTTCCACGACCCATCTGCATGCTTAAGAGGGGCGAAAAAGCAAGACAGCCCAGCTGAAGTTGGAGTACGAGCGAGAAGAATACTCATCTGTGAGTCAGTGGCAGATGAGAACCATTTATGACCCGAAATAAGGTATGTCCCATCCGATTGCTGGAAAGCTGTGGTCTCGCTATTGCGAACATCGGAGCCTCCAGCCCGCTCCGTCATCCACTGACCAGATGTCCAGGATTTTGCTGGATCGCGGGTCGTCAGATTATTGTATGCATCTTGAAAGACAGATCGCTTAGTTGTGGAGAGCGATGCATTGCTTAACTGGAGCTCAAGGACTCTAGCTGCCGCATCCGTCATAGCCAAAGGGCAAGTATAGATAGCGCTAGAAGGACAGTAAATATAATATTTGGTGAACTGGACAATTCGTTTATACGGTCCATATTTGTCCTCGTAGGCTGTTTGGATGATACCCTCTCGGGCGGCCATTTTGCCAAGTTCCTTCCATCCTGCAGCAGTGTGCAGAACACCCTTTGGTTTGCCAAAGGTAGAAAGTTCTTCTACATATGGCTTGTTCTTTTCAGCATCGTCTATCCAGCGGAAGACTTCTGGCTCTATGGTCTTTGCGCCGATATCTCTAAAGAGACCGACCGGGGAGCTTGCACCGGAAGCCTGCGATAGTTCAACAGGCAAGTAAGCTAAATTTTTATACAAACTTTAAATTAGAACTTCAAATAATTTTAAACTTGATTTTTTAATCGATAGAAAATACCTTGAATCAACCTTTGAAGATATAAATCTTCATCGTATTGGTTCCCTAAACGAGGCTGCTCTTGGAAGAAGCCCTCTGTCGCAGAGTTTGGTGTGAGACGAGACATTGTAGTTAAATTGATTCTGCTTAAATCTGATATGTCAAGGTATCCGGGGTAGCGTTAATGCGCCTCTAACACCAGACCTCTCAAAGTGATGTCGAGAAAAGCCATCCATGGCGGAAAATCCGGGGTAGAAGTACAAGCACTTGGGGATAATAAGCCGAGGCTGTTCGGTGCCGGCCTTCCACTGTTGTATTGTAGTAGACGCGTGCTTGTGACGGAATGGGCAGCTAGAACGTGGGGAATGAAACCTCCAAGCGAGCTGCTTCTTCTTCTCCGCTCTTTCTTTTTGACGACATGCACAACATCACGCCACAGAAATAGGAAGTAAGTTTTGAGCCCCAGATAGCTTAGTATGAAGTCGGGGTATCTAATCCTCCGTACGCGGCAATGCCGCATTTTGAATACTTTCAACTAGATCTGAATTACATCTGGCACACATAAATCTTTCAAGATTTACTAAATAAGGCTTATATTATACTCGCTAGCCGAGAGACGGTATCAAAATGGCCAGCACATTTACAGTCCTCTACTTTGCATCTGCACATACATATACCGGCAAATCCGAAGATGCCGTCCCAGGTCCAATGACCGTCTCAAAGCTCTTCCCCTACCTTGAAGAAAAGTACCCGGGATTTAGGAAGAAGGTTCTCGGTAGCTGTGCTCTGTCCGTTAACCTTGACTATGTGGATTTGGCCGAAGATTCAGAGAGGGAAATTCAAAATGGGGATGAAGTCGGAATCATTCCGCCTGTCAGCTCGGGGTAGACTGGAGTGTTTTGTGGGAATGTCTCTCTACGAACAATGAGAGGCTCAAATATGGCCACGGCCCGTTGCAATCTATGGTTACCTATACACGACGTCCTGGTTTATAGGCACGATCTTCGGGAGCTTTCCGCCTTCGCACTGTCTTCTTTTGAGGTTTTACAAGGTTTGAAGATTCACCTTTATTATCACTCTGCTCGGAGTCAGAGCCACCCTCAGACCTAGTTTCCTTTTCGACTTCCTTATCAACCCGGTTTTTCATATCCAAGATATCGAGTCGCTCTCGCCTCTCTTCCTCACGATCTCGAACTGGAATATATTCACCGTCCTTGCTTGCTTTCTCCTTTGGAGCTGGTGTCTTTGGGTGGGATAAATTATTCTGCTGTGACCTCCCCGTTTTTTCTTTTGATTTCGAAACTTTGGACGGGACTTCCCCTACATTATGCCATTTATTCTTGCTAAGGATTGGCTTGGTATTCTCCCTCTTGCCGTTCTTCAGGATTGATTTCGGCTTGAAGTCTGGCTTTGGTTTCACAGGGCGGGGCGCCGACGGCTTCTCCTTCGATTGCCCGCCGTTGACTACCTCTTCATTCTTCATTTGTTGGAGATCGCTTTTCTCGATTTTGTTGTTTTCGCGCACACCATGTTGTTTATACGTCGGATCAGAATTTCTTCTTTTCTTCTTTACTGTTTTCTTCGGCACGCGGGGACGTGATGGGCTTTCGACTTCTCGTTCCTCGGATTCTTCACCCCCGGTTGGCTGATATTCTTTGTCGTCGTCCTTCAGTGTTACCTTAGGTTTCCTGGGAGGTGGGCAAGGTGTATCATTTTGATAATTTTTTGAACTTGGTGGGAATGCCACGAACCGTGGCGAATGATACGGATTTTCGATACGAGGCTTTGGCGTCGACTTCGGCTTCGGCTTCGGCCTTACTGGTACTCGGATCGGTGGGGGCTCATACCTGGGAGTCGGGTCATATTTTGGCACCCGTATCTGCACGGGTTCCTTCCTCTGCGCCATAACCAATGGTCTCTTTGGTAGCATTTTCGGTCTTCGAGGGGCCACTGGCTTCGGGGGCGGGGCGGTCGATGTAAAATCTAATTTGAGGTTTCTCATATCAATTGTACGCGGTTCTGCATACCGAAATTTTCGACATTCCGGATCGTAGTATGGGATCTTGAAATATCCTTCCGAGAATTTTCCTAAGATGGTTCCATTTTTACTTATAAACTGCGAAGCAGGAGGAGGGGGGCTATCGAGTTCTTCGGCTCGAACGAATCTGCGGACATGCTGGAGCCAGGGCGGCTTCCTACCGCAGGAGAAAGGACTCTGGACTTCTTCTCTAACTCTTCGAGGAGTCGAAGAACCAGGAACATATTCATGTTCAGGTCGATTTTCATATCTGTACATCCCATTCTGTCCGAGGGTTTCATGACAGTAATCGTGTGCTTCATCTTCGGATTCGTCGCCCTCCTCAGGCGGTCGCCACGGCTTCGCGACATATTCGTACCGCTGTGATCGAGGATTATACTGCTTCACCCAACATAATCTTGTCTCTGGCTCCGAAGGGTCGGGCTTAACTTCCCAACATGGCTCTGGCGATCGCTCTTCCTCTTTTGGCGATTCAACAGGAGGTGACTCCACTGGGGGTACTTCCATGCCAGTGCGAACGACGATTCCATCACAAATTGTTTCGCAGAAAGATCGAGGGAACCTGCCGGGGAGCCTCCAGGTTAAGGTGCACATACATGTTCCTCGCTCAGTCCACTCTCCAGATGCAGAGCAGTGCCCACAGTCGACGTCGCCATATTCCTTCTTTAGGAATTCTCTTCTCTCAATCTCAGCCTCGCGCTCACTCTCAATCTGTGCTTCCATCTCCTTTGATTTGTTAGCTTCCAAGTTTTTCGATACCTGTGTCCGTTTTATCGACTTTGGAACAAACCGATCATACCATCTATTTGGCGGCGTGATTGACCCATATCTCCAAGAAGGTGTCTCTTCCTTCTCCCTCTCCTCCTCCTCCTCTTTCTCTTCCTTATTCAGTTCTCCGTTGTTATTTGGCTGGATATCCTCAACATCCTCGATCCATTCTGTAGAACCTAGAATTATTCGTCTTGCCGACTCTGGAATAATTAGATTATACCAACGCGAAGGAGCCTCTGGCGGAGTCATCGATCCATATCTCCAGCCGGCCAGTTTAGTGGTATCATCGGATGGATCGTAGGGTCCTTGGCATGTTGACGGGTCCACATGGGGATTATATGATGGTGCAAACATTTTGGCGGGGAAGCTCAAGGGCTTTCCCAGGTTTAAGATACCGAAGATTACGTTATATTAGGCTACGAGATAGCGTTACCTGCCTAGATAACGGCAAGATGATAAACAGACGGATCTAACGAGATAGAGGGGCAATCAGAGCATCATGATTGCTTGCAGCCTAGCTAGCAGATCTTTATGTTTATTGTTCCGCTTCGTCACTCTCGAACGGATTATTTGTATAGTTCGATTGGACAGCTCTATGACAAAATTACAGTTAATCTCGATCCGAACACTACTATTATATTCGCAAGCCTTGTGCAAATTGTGGCGAATGAGAATAAACATTCGATCAGGAAATTAGTTTACAGATATTTAATATTGCGAGCTTGTCAAGGTTAAGCTGCAAGCTTCAGACGTAAAATTGTGTTTTGACATCATGTTCCAGATCTTGCGGATGTTTATTTTAAAAAAAGAAAGGTCACTTGACCACTACGCTGGCCTTAGCTTAGCAGAGGTTCTCGATCTTTTCGGATTTTTTCTCCCATGATTGCTTTGGTACGAAATCTTAATACCAGTCCATGATGAAAACGTTCAGGAAATTACACAGCTAGTTCATTTAGTGCCACCGCCTCCAGCCGCAATCAGAATTAATCATGGCCATGCAAATAGCGGCAGGGAAATGTATACCACGCGCACGGCAGGCGGGTGACATTGGCTACATTAGCACGAACATCAAAAAATTCCCACCGTCGGTACGATCGAAATTTCTTCTTCTTCCAGGTACTATATTTTCTGTCCTTTTGCTTTATCTTTTTCAAGCCTTTGCCGTCGACACCGACGGCCGAAACATGGAGAGTGTCCGTCAAACATTGGACGGACGCCGTCTCCACATAATTCTGCATAGGACCCTATCATATATCCTTAAGAGGTACTTACATACTACTTCGCTTCGAACATGGTATACGTACCCATCTACATGTTACGAAACTTCGAAACGACAAAATTGCGAACTATTTCGACTCTACTATCTAAATCCGTCTATCGACACTGTAATATAAAGGAGAGTTCGACCAATTCGAAAGGGTACCAGCATGCATCATGTCATCTAAACCGTGTCGATCGAATGCAGCCCCCAGAACAGGCAGTCAGTTAACTTATAGTCCGTACCTGCATTCCTACCTAACCGTCTATGTCCACGGTAGGTACTATCTAGTTTAGCCTCAGGGGACGCTCAGTCTCGGAGGGAAGAGCCGGATTTCGCTAACCAGTCTCGTCACCAAGTCTTTGGTGTCGCTAGCTAATCCCAGGCCTTTTAGTCCCACTAAAACTCTAACATCATGCAGTCTAAAAAACACTTCATGGCTTAACGATGGTACCTATATGTAGCAACAGTTACAGTCTACGACTACCTAGCTAATCTTTCATATCAAGAGCCAGGGATTACCCATGAGGCCAGTGCACAAAAAATACGAAAGAAGGAAAGAAAAGGCAGCAATTATGGGGCATTGGCCATGTGCTGAATGGATCTAATACGCAAGATGCAAGAACTTTGACAGGGTTATGGACAAAAACTCCGTTATCGAGCGACGAAGTTCAGCTACACTGGCGTGATAGTTCCCTCGGAGTATCTTGGCCATTCGGGCTTTTTCCCTTACCCCTTGCACCAAAAGACAAAACACCATAATTCGTCGACGAGAGTCGGCCCCATATGAGCTCATTGATCCCATTGCATCGATTGGTCCTGCATATATCCTGCCGCAGATTCTGCAGCGAATATTTGAAGAAGATTACATACTTCGAGAGCGCAACCTGCAACCAAAAGTTAAAATCTTGGAAAGAGAATGTGCTATTTTCATCGTGGGTTTAACTTCTTTGCGCGCCCGTGGAGATTACATTATCCAAATTTCAAACCCACCAAGAAGGAAAAAGTGACCTTACTGTGCGAAGAAACGACGACAGAAAGGGAAGAGAAAGGGAAAAACAGCTAACAATAGTGGGCCCAATCAGTCCCAAATCCAGCGGCATAGCCCTCTTTCTCCCAGTTAACATTTCAAACTATACCCCAATCCTCCCTAGTTCCAGCGGCCGATCTTGCAATGAGGCGTTCGAGCCCGGGGCAGCATACCGTTAAGTTGCGGATGCTTTATGCGCCCATGTCTTTCATGGTTTAATTATCGATTACTCCATACTACAATCGATTTTTAATAGTTTACCACAAGGAAGCCCGGGGTGGGTGCGCAAGCAAAAAAAGGATTACAAAAGGAACGAGAAATAACGTCTTTCTTGAAATGATTTATCTTCCGGAGAGTAGTATGAATTTATTAAGAAAGGATCTTTAAGAAAAGGCCGTTGAGAGGATATCCAGCATCAAAGCCTTGACTGTGCTTTGTGCAACAACACTCGTTTTCGATATCACAACGTTCCCGTCTCACCGCTCATTACAGTTCTATTTTCATTTCTTCCTTTTTTCTCTCACTCTATAATTATCTGGCTGAATAATATAATCCTCCCGTCCTAAGTCATAAATATAAAAAGACTTCCGTCATTAGTTCTCTCTCAAAAAATTTACAAAATGCAAATCTACCCAAACCCCTTCGGAAACTCCGCCCATTCCCTCAAGATCAAGAAAACAACCACAATGACAATGACAACTTCTTCTACAAACTCGTCTACGAGTCAACTTCCCCCTTCTCTGCCCAGGCTCAGCATTGAGTCTCTACATCTTGATTTGGAGCAGGCTGCTTCCCGTACCCGCGCAAACTCCATGCGTGCCCCACGGACGGCCATCTCGACTACATCGGCAGAAGTACCGCCCGCTCTACCTCCACCGGCGTATATAACTCATAATTTATACGAGAAGGGAAATGGAGAGTACATGCTCCCTCCGCATGCACAGGTCCATGATGTTGAAAGTATTTATGAAGTTAGACAGTAAGTTATAAATAAACCACATCTACTTAATATCTATCTATGATAAATAAGTATCTAATACAAGAGTTCTTCTAGAGTCTCAATGCTTGACCGCTTTCAAGAAAGTCACCAACTACGTATGCTATTCATCCTGCTGTTATCATTCATCATTATCGGTGGCATTGCAGCAGGCGTTTTAGTCTTATTGGTGAAGAAGGCCTGAACACGCCAACAAAGAATTAGCGGATTTGGCTCGATAGCCAAATCCAGATAACGACGAAATGATACATATACGAAATTCATGGAGGATTTCTTTAACACTCTCCCGCTCTTCCTTTGACCCCCACTGTCGAATCAGAAGGTTCTTAATCTCAATCATCCCCATCCCACGAGAATCAAACAGGTGAATCAGGAGGAGAAGGAGAGCCAAAAGTCTATCCAATTCTACGGTGATAAAAGAAGATCTTGCTTCCCTCGATTCCATACCGTCTTCCTGCAGTCCTTTCTTCTTTCTTTCTTTCCTTCTTTCTTTATAATTATTTCGGGTTTCACGGGAAATTACGGCAAGCCATCCCGTACCACCATGCATGCCAATAAGGATGTGGAGATGGTGTTAACCTGAGGGCCGATCTATACGGAAGCGCATGAATTCAGCGGGCCCCTCGATTCCCTTTTGAGCTCGCTTCGAAGATGGTTACACAAGACAAGAGTAATTAAACAGGAGGCGCCGTGGTACAAGACGGAGAACCAAGGACGGCCTGGGGACAATACAAAGAACATAAGCCATTTAGGTAATATAATGGTACCTCATTGATTGATTGATGGAGAAACTGAACATGCAATATCTTTTCATTTCCCTTTCTTTCTTTCTTTCTTTCTTTCCTTTTTTCTTTTTTTTCTTTTCGGTTTTGTATAGGTACTAGTACATTCTTTGGATTCTTTGGGAACACTATTGGCGTTTTTGAATGGAGTTGGAGTCAGCATTTCTTCCTCTTTTTTTATTTATTAATTTCGCATCGATCGATCGATCGATATCAGCAAGGCACTGCACCTTATTCTTTACGAATCATTGTATATACCTGTCAGTACAGTTGTCTTACTGGTCGTTTTGTTGCGAATATTTTGCTTTGGAAAACAAGGAAGCGGATTGGACAAAAGTTATGGAATTTAATTAATTTGATGGACAAATTTACATATAGTATACTATATATACAAGTTACAAGCATAATAACCATAATGAAAACATCATATTTACAGCAAAAAGTAGTCTAGAGAATGGTAGGTAATTGATAGTTAAACATACAATCATGAAGTTTTGCAAGACCTTTAACTATAAGATGACCGTTATCATGCCGATTTATAGCTAGAAGCTGGTGAGTAACTTGTAAGCTGGAGAATGAATTAAAGATTGACATCTCAGCTGCACATTATCGATAGCTTATCGATAGCAAATAACCCTTTCCCATCTTCACCAGCGATGCGAACCTTTTCCTTATGCAGATAGCAATACATTTCATACCCAACGATCAATCAGTATTTTGACTTCCCGAGCACTCTTTTGTCCTTGTTCGCGTCGACGTTCTCCTGTGCGGAGCATAGCATTGAAATAGCACAATTTAATCACGTGATATACAATCACTGTGCACCTTTGAGCCTCGGCTTAGCCTCACAGGAGTGGGTCCGACGCGCAGTCTGGCCATGGTCCTTCACTACCGCCGTGTCGAAGTTGTTGAAAATGATAGGATGAAGCCCGGATCTCAAAAGCTTCTCAGAGTTTAATCTTTAAAGTCAAAAATTTTTAAAGGCCTCCAAGGGTTAACGCATAGAGCGGGAATATGATTTAATCACGCATTTGACCCTGGATGCCACGGACGGAGCCAGACACAATTCGAATTCACGAGGCCCGAGGGGGGCTCAGTCATTTGATATCAGAATCCTAAGTTAATTCCCAGGCCGGGTCCTGGTTTAGCTGAGGTGAGTACAGGAAACCAGGCCAGGTACATTGTCTGTACTATGGAAAAGGGAGATAGAGAAAAAGGAACCAAAAAAATTTGCGCAGTAAATATAGTAACTTTCGAAACCCCTCCCCTCCCCTCCTTCGGAATTATTCAAAATGCCGTCTCGAGAAATTTTTTTCCCAATGATAGACATATCTCAACAGATGTACAGAGATGATGAATCCTCATTGCATAGAGGGGGTGGCGGATAGAGGGGGAAAATTTTTTTAAAAAGAGACGAGAGGTATTTATCTTGAAGACCTTGCATAATACATAGACGTCTTTAGAATATTTTGCCCCTGCCGTAGAAGAAATAATACATGAACAAGCCAGTTTGGTGCAGCTATCTGAACATGTGTGTCGTCGAGGCTCGTTCGTCGGTATGCTTGGCACAGTTGTTATACATGAGTGCATCCTGCCATGCACTCTGACTAGCATACTTTTATGTATGTCTGTAAATATTTTGAGTGCAATGGGAGGGGAAGGTGCATGTATACGTATATATACATAGCAGAGACATGCTATAGAATAGACTGTGATACTCGAACACGAATGCACAGAACTAACTAGATGTTTCCGCACATTGCAGTAGTAGCTACTTAAGCTACCTAGCACTCACATAAATCAATTGCAACTAGCTCTGTCAAGCGGGGCTTGCTGCAGCTCGAGAACTAACTACTTAGTTGTAGCTTAGCTGTCGAATGTGTGATAAGAGGGGGAGCCAAGGGATTTGTTCGATTCCAGCGAGAGAGGTTTTAGCTGCACCTAGCTGAGGTAAGCTAGCTCGGTTTCTAGAGTTGGTGATTCGGAACAATTAAGGGCAGGCAGAGGTGATGTGATGACATACCAGTTACTTGTGTAGAATCAAATCCACAATGCTGTTGAGGAGAAAAGAACGCGTTCAAGGACCTCTCTTGCATGTTTTCACCCCTCCCCTGCCATTGATGTGCTGGTTGGTGTCGTAGGCAGATAGACTTTGAAGGTTCAGACTTGGGTTATAAAAAGAGGATTGAGTCCCCCTTCGTATTCTTTGAGGTTTTCTTTCTCCGTCGCAAGTTCCAATCCTGTTTCCCGTCATCTAGCTAGCCCGTCAAGCTATAAACTGAGTGAGAGAAGATCCTCGAAAACTCGAGATTTTTCCCATTTCCTTCAAGAAACCAAAAAAAGGCATCTCCGAGCGTTTTACCGGTCAATTGCCTCCGTCTTCTTAGGATCTAGCTTTTTAGACCCTCATACCTCTTTTTCAATCAGCAGGAACCTGTTCTCTTAGAGCACTTAGGTTTCTCTGTCATCAGCATCGACAATTGCATAGCTGTTGGGAATCCATTCAGTCTCGTCGTCCTATTCAGGTAAGGTTTGGCCCCACTTTGATTTCGTCTGAGCTAGCTTCAATTTTCGAAGTTCGACACAATCGTTTTTCTTTTCTTCTTCCTCTTTCTTTTGCCTCCCAAAGTCCCCTTGCTTTGTCGCTCTTTTGAATCGTCGGCCAGTGGCAACGATGTGTAATCGCGTTACCTACTGTAAAGAGTAGTTTTTTTTCTTCTCGCCTTCTTCCTGGCGGCCCTGTCTTGGAGGGGTAGAATTATACTCGATGCAATGGAAGAATGTCGGAAGGATGGTCGGCATGTGGCTTGTACATACATGTACAGTACATGACATGAGCAAAATCTTTATCGATAGCCGTTTGATTTGATGGATGTCGGTTACAATTGGACGCTGCAGCTGTGCATTGCATGGCTGTCCGCCATGACATAATTGGCTCTCCGAATTGCCATCCTCAAGCACGACGACCACTACGCCTGTTAGACATTATAATAATAGTATCGAGAGGAAGAAAGAAAAAAAAAACTTTTGTTGAATCCGATCAATTGGGGAGGTTAGTTTGATTACACACATACCGTTCATATATCCCTCAGTTGAGAGTAAACTGCCTGTACGGTGGATGTTGATGTGGATTTGGCCCTGGTCAGGTTGGCCTATTTGTCTCTCTCCTACGTAATTGCTAGCCTCAAAAACCACCCGCATCGACCTTCTTTCTTCCTTTCTCTCTTTCTCTCTTTCTCTTCTTCCTCTGTTACAATTAGCTTCACTTCGATTCACCGATTCTCTGAAAGTACACTGACCACAAGACCTTCCAAACTATTCTGGGTGCTCTCTCACAGACAGATTAGACATCATCCTTAATACTACCGTGCCGATTACTTGTTTACCGGTTCCACGTTTCAATTCTCTCAAAATGTCGAAACTCTCTTTCGCCGGCAGTTCCCTCTTGAACCCTGAGAGCTTCCCGACGTCTAGAAGACATCCAAAGTCCCAGAGTGCCTTCGTGAGTTTCCAATTACCCTCTTTTCTTCTTTCATGATAGAATACCGTACGAAACGAAACGACACAACCAGACAAAATACAATACAGTCTACTCTCCATGCCAGAGTCGCCTATGCAGAGAAGGCGGTCATTGAAGGTTCGAATCTTAGGCGAGATTGCTGGCTACGACTCTACGGAATTCATCCACAGATGTGTACGGAATCAATGAATCATTGTACTGACGGTTATAATCTTTATTGGTAGGCTTTCGACAATACATCGACGTCGGTGGCTGCTAGCCAAATGCGAAATGCCTTGAACAGGCTGGCCGACACCGTCAAGGACCCACAGACCAAGAAGGTACGATCTCTATATTTCACTATAAGAATGGTCTACAACAGTAACTAACACAATGGACTGAACTGCAGAAGTTCGAGACGGAAATGGACAACTTCTTCGCCCTTTTCCGCCGATACCTCCAAGACAAGGCCAAGGGTGCTACACTGTACGTTACCCCTCAATCACCCCGCTATCGGCTGTAGTATGCATGTTGGCTAACGAAGTGGACAGGGATTGGGACCTTATCGCCCCTCCAAACCCCAAGCAGGTCATCGACTACAATACCCTTCAGGAGTCCAACAACACCGATCTTCTGAACAAACTTGCTGTCCTCAAGCTCAATGGTGGTCTCGGTACCTCCATGGGTTGTGTCGGCCCCAAGTCCGTCATTGAAGTTCGTGATGGCATGTCCTTCCTCGATCTTTCCGTCCGTCAGATCGAATACCTCAACCACACTCACAAGGTCAATGTTCCATTCGTTCTCATGAACTCCTTCAACACCAATGATGATACTCAGAGCATCATCAAGAAGTACGAAGGCCACAACATTGACATTTTGACCTTCAACCAATCCCGCTTCCCACGTATCCACAAGGACTCCTCCCTACCTGTCCCCAAGGAGTTCGATTCGTCGATCGAGAACTGGTACCCACCCGGCCACGGTGACGTCTTCGAGTCCCTGAATAACTCTGGTATCCTTGATCAGCTCATTGATTCCGGGGTTGAATGGCTGTTCCTGAGCAACGTCGACAACTTGGGTGCCGTCGTTGACTTGAACATCCTCCAGCACTTGAACGATACAGGAGCTGAGTACATCATGGAACTTACAGACAAGACCAAGGCCGACGTTAAGGGTGGTACCATCATTGACTACGAAGGTACCGTTCGTCTGCTTGAAATCGCACAGGTTCCAAAGGAACACGAGCAAGACTTCAAGTCGATCAAGAAGTTCAAGTACTTCAACACCAACAACATCTGGCTGAGCCTTAAGGCCATCAAGCGTGTTGTTGAGAACAACGAGCTCGAACTCGAGATTATTCCCAACCACAAGAACATCTCTGTCGGAAAGGGTGAATCTGACCTGTCAGTCGTTCAGCTGGAAACTGCCGTCGGTGCTGCCATCAGACACTTTAAAGGTTCGCACGGTGTTAACGTCCCACGTCGCCGTTTCTTGCCTGTTAAGACCTGTTCCGATTTGATGCTTGTTAAATCGGACTTGTACTCTCTCAAGCACGGTCAATTGACAATTGACGCCTCGAGATTCGGACCTGCACCATTGATCAAGCTAGGAACACACTTCAAGAAGGTCTCGGACTTCCAGAAGAGGATCCCGAGCATTCCTAGAATGTTGGAGCTAGACCACTTGACAATCATTGGAGCCGTCAACCTCGGCAGGAAGGTAACTTTGAAAGGTTAGTGCTCACACCCGTATTGCCACAAGTTTTTGTTTCTAAGACATAAATGCTAATTATTATATATAGGAACTGTCATTATCGTGGCGAGCGAGGGTAGCACCATCGATATCCCACCAGGAAGTATCCTTGAGAACGTTGTCGTCCAGGGATCCCTTCGGTTGCTCGAGCACTAAAAGCATTGCACACTTACTGTCATTATTCTTTGATATACGTTTCTTTTCCCTTTTATTATTATTCTTTGTAAAACTTGAATGTGAAGGAGCGACTTTTGGGGTGGGATCATGCACATGGAATCATGTTTGGGTTTGACAGAAGCGCGGAGGAGAAAAAAGAACAGGCTCATTGGTTTAGTTTACTAAAAGAGTTCCTTTTTTTTGTCGTGGTTTTTTGAGGTTAAGAGCTTGTGAGCAAGTGTGGTTCTTTCTATTGTCTTGGAGCTTGAAGGTGTAGCTTTGGAGCTTGCTTGTGGAGCTTTGAGCTAGCCGGGTTATCGGGCTATCCAATTGAAAAATAAAATAACGATTTGTAATGAAGAAATGGAAACAGGCATACGCGTTCGTTTTATCAAGGCACTGGTCCCGTACTGTGAATATCGAATAACGACTTACTTGCCCAAGTACTAAGTATGTAAGTACCTAAGTAAGTACTTGTCTGTCAAAGGAAAAGAAGAAGAAGGAGAAGAAGATCGAATATGGTGTTTTGGATGTGTTTCGCAAATTCTGAATACTCCTATAGGCCTAGCTAGCAATTGGTGAACCTGACTCCTCGTATCCCACTACCCGACTTCTAGTGTCTACGGGTCGGTAGACGGGTGACTAACTGGCTAGCTGGGCCTTTAAGTACTGGAACTACTGCAGGTTCCAACAGTCGAACAGAACGGTCTAGCTTGTTTCATCTGATGTTGTGGTTCTAGCGAATAAGAATCGCTAAAAGCATGCGGTCCACCAACCACGCGTTGAACATTCTCTGGCGGAGGGTTGCCTCGAAAAGGTCAACATTCCTGGAGTTCTTGGATCTCGAAGGAGGGTAGAAAACGTCTGCATGCATGCATTCGTCGATAGATCTACAGGATGCAGGAAAGAGGTTTCCCTATCAAGAAGAGAAATATGAAGATGAAGATGAAGAAGAGTAAAAGTACCTGGGTTGTTACAGGGGGACGAAAGAGACCGACGTGGTTCAGGGCGCTCCACCGTTCATGCACTCTATTTCTATCAACTTGTATCACGTTCCAATCACCAGGATGGTAGGAAGACATCCTATTCGTCGCCTCCTAATCTCTGTCGACTCGGTCGATTTATAACTTCGAAGACAAGAGACCAGTGGAATCCCCCAACCCTCCCGGGGAACACGCTTGTCAAATTAATTTTTAAAAATGTGGAAAAGCTCATGTCTTGACATCTCATCAATTTTTTCCCTCTCTTCCTTCCCTGGGCCAACCCCTCCCCCCAAGGATGCATCTGTCTCGCCAGGCGACATGCACAAATTAATATTACGCATGTTCTATTTTTTGACTTTTACTCGCCCTACCTATTTAAACCTGGACCTTTTTTCTCTTTCGCAATGGACCAGGTGCATGGGAATGAGTGGGCCAAGGGAGGGTGCTTAAGCGAACATGCACGGCGGCTGTTGGTACAGTCCCGGAGATTGATTCTGGACCTGTCGTTAGTATTGCAATGCGACTCGCGGGATGCTGCACTGACCATGGAGGGCCCAACCATGCTGATTCTTTTTTAGATTTTTCTCGCCGTTCGCATCACTTCGCATTGTTCTTGGGATTATTCATCACCTGCGTGCCGATTCCTTAGCCTAAGTTAGGCAAATGCAATAGGCGGGCGGGCATGAATCGACGTTTTCCCCTCCACTGTGAGCTGGCACAGTCGTCATTGTCCAAGTTGACAATGGAGTCATGAACATGGTCTATTGGCTACCATAACTCAAGAATTCGTATCCTCGACAGAATATCTTGAAACGCTGCAAGTTTAAAGATTTAAAAATCTTGACATGACAGAGAGTGAAGTCGCAAGATCTCGATCACGAAGATATCGCACGACCGCATGCTTTTGATGCATCTTGGCGATTGTGCTCATGTTTTCTTATTCCCCTCCCACGGACCGGGGGCATGACAGCAGCCGTGGCCTATAGCCTGTGATAAATGCATAGCTCCAGTTACCAATATTAAAGAGACCGCCCTGTTGTACTAGTTGGCGATATTAAGAGAAAAGAGAGAGCGAGAAGAGCTAAATATACCACACCCCACTCAGAGCTCCAATCCACTCGCTCAATGATCGCGATCGGAGAGCTCTAAATCCCAGTAATAAACATTAAACGCGAGTAAAGAGAATTAAAGAAAAAGAAAAAGAAAAAGGAAAAAGCTTGGTTCTTTTGCCAGGCGGGTGATGAAGTTGGCCCTCGAGTCAATCATGGGTATACGCATTCTACAGTTCGCGGGTGCTATGCATAAATTATTGCCACGAGGCAACAAACAGACATTATAGGATATATGGTATGCACAGTAGTAAATCTGCATGGCACGATCCTCATGTATATAGAGGAGCGTGAACACCCGATCTATCGAGATACTTTTTCTTCATTCCCATTGCATTGTTTTATGTGCCTTCCGTTTGCATTTTCCTTTTGTTTCAATTCTATCTTCCATTCTCTCTTTTGAGGTTGAAGTTTCTGTAGGCGATATCGATATCGATACTGATACCAAATCCAAATATCAAAGAGGCACAACACAGACGGATTGACATATATATCTCTATCTTCTTGCCGGTGATCTTTTGAGAGTTAGGATATTAGACTTGAGGATCTGAGATACCTTGAGACTACTCCATTCTGTCCTCTTACCTTTTTTTTTTTTTCCCCGTCCAACGACGTCACTTCTTCATTCATTCACTTTGGTTCTATCGCCGGTTGAACTCGGCAGCAGCAACTGCAGACTGTGTGTGACATTTCACAACAAACATTTGTGTTGTCAGCATCTCAAGCTTCATTCACTTTCACATTCACTACAAGCTCAAGACAAGATAATTTGATTTAGCTACCTAATCAAGGAAGACAAAAAGAATCTTCAAGCTTGGAGAAGCTTCAATATACCTCTATTTAGAGAAATCCTTATCATCAGAGAATTAAGGCTATCTGAAAGAGGGCTGGCTGAAGCTGAATTCCTATACCAGCTCTATTCCCAGCATTCTCTGCCTCATTCCTGATTATATCAGCTTCACCACTAACAACTTCTTCCCTCTTTTTTTCTATTTTTTTATTTTTTTGTTTTATGTGTGTGGGTTTTTGAAGAACGTTCTGATATAAATCTACCCACGATAACTCCACCTGTCTCTCTTTCTTTCTTCTCTCATCAACCATCAACCACATTATCATCATCACCTTACTTCACCTACCATTCACCAACCAAACCACTACCATCAAACATCAAAAAGCTATCTCTCCATTTCACCTACCGACCTGATTAACTTCGATCTGTGACAATGGACTCTTTCCTGAAGGTTTCGCGCCTTCTGGGGTTTCAATACCTCCTAATAATCCTTGCTATTCTCACCCGGGGCGGTGTAGATGGCCACTCTTGGGTATGTTATACAACTCCTGTATTAGGCAAAAAGAAAATTGTTTAATATATACATACACGATAATTGGACCGAGAAACTAACTTCGCTATCTACCCAGGTCGACGAACTAACTTGTGCAAGCGGTCCGTTCTTTACAAGCCGTCCGTTACCTCCAGGCATTCCTACAGAAGGATACATTCGAGACTATGGTCCGTCCCAATTCCTCCCGTTCTACTCTGATATCATCATCGTACTAATGTATTCTTTTTTCTCCTTTTACAGTCGGCCGTCAATCTACCCAAATCGACCAGCTTACAACTTTCCGTATCCTAGATTTATCATCTAACCAACCTGTCTGCCCTCCTGGTCGTACCTCTACTGGTTACAGCAAGAAGTTCCCAAAGCTCAGAGCCACCCCAGGAGATCTCATCAAAGCATCCTACCTTGAAAACGGTCACATCTGGCAAACTCTCGCTGGTATCAACGGTCCTGATGCCAAACCCGGCACGATCTACTGGTATGGGACTCAAACTCCCAAATCGGACCGTGACATCGCCAGTGTTCTCGAGTGGACTCCGGATGGCAAAGGTGGTGATGGCGAAGGGTTTCTATTGGCGGCTACACCTTTCGATGACCTTGTTTGCATTGAAACCGGTCACGAAGATGCAGAAGAAGGACGTGTAGGCGGACCTTGTAGCAGCTACTTTCGACTTCCTGAAACTGCTGAGGAAGGCAAGGATTTCACTGTTTACTGGCTTTGGGATTACACTGAGCACTTCGGACCACCAAAGCCTGGTTTCATTGAGGTTTGTCTCTCCACTTCGTTTATAACCTACTCTATATAAAGAATGATCATTTATAACTAACTACTTTGATAGTGGTACTCATCTTGCTTGGACATCGCCGTCATCTCCAAAGAAGACGCCCTCAAGGAAATCGAGGAAGCCCGTCGTAATGCCCAACCCCTTCCTACAGACTCCACTCCAACAAAGGCTCTCAACCGTCACCTCCGTCGCCAACAACTCTACAACGAACGACGAAAGCAAGCTGGCGAGAAGAAGTCATCGTGGTTCTCCTGGTGAAACCATTGACATACCTCGTTTCTTCCGCACTCACTCACTTTATGAGTATTTCCTTTGTTTTCTGAATAATAAGTACCCTAGCATACAACCCCGGGGAAAGATGAGTACATCCTGTAAAGATACCACAGCTGTACGGATGGTTGCATGTATGGGGTCTTTTGTTTCTGTCTTCCCACTCGCATACTTGCTCTTTTTCTTCTTTTCTTTTCAAAGCATTATACCCCCTTTCCTACTTTTTTCTCTTTCTCATTCTGTTTTCCTGACTACTCAACAATATTTCCCTTTTAATCGGCATTATACAGCTTGTGTCATGAAATACCAGGCTCTGGAACGAGTTCCTTTTGTTTTTATCATGCTCACTCATTCCCACACATGGGACATCTGCATATTCACCATGGCGTTTTGTTTTTGAAAAAGTCGTTTTATTCCCCTGTTCTTTTTAATTCTTTTATAACATAGCGCTGTAGATGGGAATAGCCCGTCCATTTTACCTATACATGGGTAAAACTGAAGAACAATCAGGAGCCCTAGTAGGGTTATCCTTATGTAGTATCTATTCATAATTCCAAACATCATATTTGCTTACATCCATATCTCTCTAAAGCTCCATGTGCTAGATGACGTTTTTGAAGAAACAGAAGGGGGAAATAAATAATAATAATATCTTTAATTATAATTGACGTTATAAATTCTTCATGAACGAAAGTAACATTATAATGCCTAAGTAGGTAGCTAATACTAGTGCCTCTAACTAAGCCCCCTACCTGCGTAGTCGACTACTCTTGGGTTATACGCACGTCTAATACAAAAATGGCCACCGCCACCGTCTATGATGCCCCCAAATAAATCGCTCTACAAAGACGGTGTATGTGATTGGCTTCAAGCCGACAGCCCAAAAAACCCCTTAACCCTCCTCAAAACCTCTCTCCCAGCTGCCCTCTTCGTCTCCCCCGTCCTCCCCAGCGCATCTTTATTCTCATCCGCCCGCCTCAACAAATACTTCACACACTGCTCCATAGTTCCCCAAGGTATATACTTCACAACATTAACCCCTCCGTTCTCCTGCGAATTAATCACACTCATAGAAACCTCATCCGCCATACCAGCCAACTGAGCGAATGTAATTTCTTTACCTTCCAACAACCGTCCCGCCTCTTCGTTTTTCAAATGAGAAAGTGTATCCATCGCCTTCGTAACGCTGGTTTGATTATGCGACGCCACCACAATTCCGACGTTTATACCCCCATTCTTCGCACCACGTGAATTATCGAACGTAAGAAGTCGGTTAATACCTCCGTTATAACTATCATCTGTGCCTTCCTTCCCTTCCCAAAAGGTACTCCTCGGATCCGAGTGTAAATAAGCACCCCTAACAACCTTTGCGCCGAACCCAAACCCTTGACTCTTTGCAGCCTCCAAGTGGGATTTTAGGTTACTCGGAGAGATTTTTCGATACATTTGGTATGTATTGTATACCGTCGGCATCCGTTCCGGTGTATTATATCTCTTCATGAGGTGTAAAGTATACCCATCCATCGCGTCTTGATACCTCGTTTGTTCGGCATCAAACAATAACTTGACGTTTTTCCCATTCGCCTGTGCCGCTTTACAGATATCATCTAGAGCAGTCATGAACAGCGGAGACTGCGGTTCGTTAGTTTCCATGTTCAACACGGATGCCGGTCCCGCGCCGGAATATTTCACCGAAACGAAGGAGTTAGGTTCCGCATATTCGATGGTTTTAACGGTAGCATCCTTCCAATTTTTGATATCGAACTCTAGGTGTTCTTGCGAAATATTCTCCCTTGAGAGTTTTGCGGGCACTTCGACTTCCTTTGCATATGCTAGAATTATTCCACGGAATCCCCAGGATTTTAGACGGGTTAAGGTGGATTGGATCTCATTGGGTGTGTTCCCAGCGCAGAAGTGATTGTAAAATGTATGTTTTAGGAAGAACCGTGGTATTGGGTTGGAAGTTAAGAAGGTCGTGTAGGTGAGTAGAAGCTTCGTGAGGAGGTTTGAGAGGAACGGAGAGGTTGAGACGGTACAGATTAGAATCGTACGCAGGAGATAGGGAGTTGGAAGGGTTGAGAGTGGGGGGACTGGTGTTTGAGGTGTGGGATTAGAATGAGAGAAAGAAGATGATTCTGATGAATTGGTGAAGGAGTCGGCAGTCGAGAGTGTCGAGTTCGGACGCCGCTGGGTGGATATGTTACGAGTGCATATTAACGGTAAGATTGACTTGGAGGGGGTGAGGGGGAGGCTATGGACGAGGGAGACGCCGGAGCGCCGGAGCATTGTTGTATTTTGTGCGTTGGGGGCTTAATACGGCAAGCTTCGATGGTGGTTCGTAGGTATGATAATAAGGCAGATCTGAGTTTCAAAATCTCAACTGTTCAATAAGAAATGCCAAAGAAAAAAGGGTTTATAGGTAGATTAGAAGTATATAAGTAAAAGTCAAATATAAATATGGTAGCTAATTTTTGCTGTAAATCTTGTGCTGATTGTCAACGAAATGCTTTTTTTTCTTTTGTCTCAAACTCTATGGTGTATACGAGGTAGGCAGGCCTGGGTAGAAATTCAGAAGAGAAATCAGGGCTGTCAAATGAACGTTCCAATGCCGGATGCAACCCGCCCTTTTAAACCACCTATATCTCTCCGATAGTACGTAATAGCTGATATTAGAGGGGAAGAGAGGCGAGGCAGAGCACGGTACCATCGCGATGTCGCACAGACAAGACAGCAAGCTGTCCAGCCGATTCAGAGTTCCGCCCCCCGTTCTTGTCATAAGTTGGGGGTGTATTCTGGCGTCATGGGTCATTCTCGATAAGCTTCGGATCTTCAGCGAAAAGGCTGCTTTAGCTGTGTGCAGGCGAATAAGCAAGATAAGCTTAAAGCGGATGGACTGTCCCGCTTTGAAAGAAAGATGGCCCAGAACGCCTGTGACATGACCTCGAGTCTTGATAAGGCTTAGCATTTTAGGAAGGGACTAATCTTTGAAGGAGCGCAGGGGAAACTGGTGTTTCCCTATCGTAATTGAATTCCCATTGGATGCTTATTTCCTGGAGACCCCGATGTGCCTAATTTTATTAGTTTAAAAACAAAAATAAAAAAAGAAAGGAAGAAGAGAGCTCAAGCTAGCAATCAAGTCGTCGTCGATATAATACGGTATGGATGTTATATCATGGTTCCGCGTGATGCATGTCCCTTAGCAGCTTGTCCCTGGCCCGTTGTTAGCCGTCCCTGCCGATTTTGGGGGTTAGCTAACGTCAAGCAGCCTTCGGTGTTCCGCCATGGCCATGGTTGGCTGAGTCCCGTGGTCGGACAGTGCAGCGCTACATGGTAGAGGTCCGTGGAATGTACTGTTGCACGAGCAGGTCCATTGGACGAGTTGATGCCTAGATGTATGATTTATGCATGAGCAGGGAGAATGCTGAAGCCATCATGATGTCTGGTATCTGACACTACCAGGCCAGACAGGGAACTTACACTGAGCGAGGTCATGTGTTGAGGCGTCGTTGCCAAAGCAACACGTTTGGTAAAGATCTTGAACTTCCACAACACTCCAACCGACCTCCGCCTCAATCTCGAATCCACAAGCCGACACTCCTTCAATTCATCATCGTCAACGTCGACAACATCATCATTTTTGCAGTCACTGCCATCACGGACAATGGCCACAGCCACCACCACTTTACCGATAACCCCCTCACGGGCCAGTCGCTTCACAAGTGTCAAAGACATGCTCCTCCTCACAGATGACCTCGAAGCATCGCTTTCTCCACCAAAAAGCATCAATCCACCATCCACAAAACTAAAACGCCCAAACAAATCCGCCATCTTATCCCGTAAATCCACAAACTCCCCATCCCTCCTTTCAAAAAATGGTAAAATCTTTGGAAGAGCTACGAAACCATCGTCTACATCCAATATTTCAAAACCCAAAACAATAGACTCATTCGATGTCTTTGCGATCCCATCTTCGCAACCCGAGGAAGAGGAGGAAGAGACAAAGGAAGGACTCCTTGGAGCCCCTCCGAAAGGAACAAAAGACCTATACATCCCCGCAAAACGGCTATGGACCCCCATAAAGGAAAACGCCCGACCAGAAGTTATCGACCTCTGTACTCCGGACGATGTGGCAAAAGCAACGGCGACAGGCTCATTCGTCTCGCTGTTAAGCTCTTATAAACATCAAGACGTACCCAAAATTAACGGTCTTCACAATTCGACGAGTTGTGATGAGCCGCTGAGGAAGGGAAGGTGTATCGGACTCGTTAATATTCCGGGCAATAGAAAAGGTTCTTTGACGCCGTTGGCAGAGGAACAACAAAGTGAGGAATTAGTCTCAAAAGTTACTGCAAAAGCTGCGTCAAAATCAAAGAAACCGAAAACAAAGAAGGGTGCAAAGACGATAACGGGACTGGCAGTGGCACCGTATCTCCCTACCGATGTAGAGCCAATTGCTCCTCAGACCCTCCCTGAAACATCTGTGGAGGAGCCAGCGAAGGAACATAAACCAAAGAAACCCCGCAAGAAAAGAGAGACTTCAACGACGAAGACACCAAAGCCGAAAAAAGTCTCCAAAAAGTCAGAAGTTCAGCCGCCCCTTCTATCGCCAAAGTCCGTACAAAAGCAGATGGACACACAATCATTCATCTTCGGAACGTCGTCACAATTACTCGGAACTGACCCTCCAGAGGGAGGCTGGGCGCTGGAAACGGCGGGCCAAAAGCTAAACACAATACAAACGCACGCAAAGATTCATGCGAAAGCTAGATGGGACTTGGACAATTTTAGTGATACCGAGAAGGAAGTTGTAGAAAAGCCCGTAGTGCAGTCAGAATGTGCTGTGGATACATCTGGATGGGGAATTTCTGATCTGGATATAACAAAAGTGAAGATGAAATCCGGGATGGGGATATGGTCAATAGGGTCAAGAGGGCTATCGGGAGAGTTGCACTCGGTTGAAGTGATGAATCTAGTTGATGAGGATGATCTAGATGACATTTTGAGCCAGAGGTTGCCATCACAGCAGCCGAAAGCAGCAAGCTCAAAAGTACATAAGGATCCCAAACCACAAACCAAAGAAGCTACGAAGGAGAACACTGCACCCTTGATACCAAAAGATCTACCAGCTGTTCACTGGACTCAACTCCCTACGCCCGATTCAACAAACCCAGTCCCCGAATCTTCAAAGCCGAAATCTAAAAAAACGGATGAAACTACCAAACCGACGGGGTTATCTAACCGCCCTAATTTTGAAGGGTTCACCATGATTCAATTGCAAATCCAGATCAAACAATACGGCTACAAACCCGTTAAGTCAAGAAAGACAATGATCGATATCTTAAACAAGTGCTGGGATTCCGCGGAGATCATGATAGCGAATCCGCCATCACCTGTGGTGATTAAACCCAAAACAGTAGCAAAGGGGAAGGGAAAGAAGAAGGCAGCCGCTGGTGAGGAAGTGGAGGTGGTTCCCAAGAAACGAGGGAGAAAACCAAAGGCCACAGCGGAACCTGAAGATGAGATGGAGGCCCCGAAACCGAAGAGAAGAAAGTCCTCAACTGTCGCGCCGAAAAAGAAACTTGATACTTCGACAGTATTTAAACACATTGCAGCAGCTATCAAACAACAGCCGACTTCACCAGATCTCCGAAATCCCTCGTGGTGGCAGAGAATACTTATGAATGAAACGATTGTGCTTGAGGAGTTTTCAGAGTGGCTGCTCGACAGTGGGTTGCAAGCTGCGGGTGTGGACGGGAGTATTTGGGTCGATTGCGGGGTGTGCGATAGTTCTACGGATGCTGATTCCACAAAGAAGAAAGAAGATGTGGTAAAGCTGTGGTGTGAAGCCAGGAGTGTGTCCTTCGTAGAGAGGGGTGGAAAATAACGTGTATGTTTTTTTATGACGGCTGTAAGTATCAGATGTTTCGATATAGCGATTCGGCGTTAAATTTGGATGTTTTTGGGTATGGCACAATTGAAGAGCTCAGAAGTGCATGTATGATATTAAAACTTGGGCCCCGTACTCGGGAGCAGGGAATTGTGACGATTAGGTAGTAAATACTATTTTAAGCAGTACTTAAAAATTATACTCAAACAGCGTCTCACAAAGAAGTAAACTGACGGTATGAGGGATCAAAAGACTCCGGATTGAAATGACCAAAGAACTCCATCCGTACACCTTAAAAAAGCACGTATTCCACAAAAACACAAAAACACTAAGGCTGCAACAAGGAATAGTATACAATGGTTTCGCGTGAAGTGGTATCTGCAAGTAAGCTAGGTAGCGACGACAGGGTCTTAGGTGAATAATTCCCCACCCTTCAACCCACCCTTTTCTGCCTTCTTCCTCTCCGACTCCAATTCTGCCTTCTCCTCCTTAATTCTATCTTCAACATCCATACTAACCCCCCCAATATCCGGCGGGATCTCTTGCATCTGTACGCTTGGTGCTCCCTTCAAATATCTTAGTTGCTCCAAAACCTTCTGTCTCGCTAACTCCAGGTGTTTTCTCGTGTTCTTGTTCTCGTGCTTAGTGGTTGCAAGATCAGGATGGAGTGTATAATCCGGTTTCCACCAGTCTGCATACTGCGAGGCTGGTAATTTATTATCGAGTTCAAGGTTTAGACACAACCCCGTTTCGTAAGCCCACAGACGGGATACATTCCTAGGAGTGTATCCTCCGCCGCCTAGTACTAATAAAGGTAAATTAAACGATTTTATGAAGTCTACGCAGGCGCCGTGGGCTTTGATGTTTAGGTTGAAACAGCCTAGACGGTCACACCCCAGGGAGTCGGCACCACACTGAAGGACGATAGCTGATGGGCGGTAGGAGAGAAGAACGGCTTCTGAGATAGATTTGAAAAGGAGAATATAGCTATTATCGTCTATTCCGTCTTTGAGGGGCACGTTTAAGGCATAGTGCTTTCCGTTTCCAGCGCCGATATCATCGAAACCTCCTGTACCAGGGAAGAACTCCTTAGGATCATACTTATGGAAGGAGAGAGTCATGACTCGATCTGTGGACCAGAATGCCTGTTCTACGCCATCACCGTGGTGGACGTCTATGTCGATGTATAAGACACGAGGGTGGTGACGGAGGAGTTGGAGGATGGCGAGGACAATATCGTTGATGTAGCAGAACCCCGAAGCCTCTGACTTCTTGGCATGGTGGAGTCCGCCAGACCAGTTGATAGCAATGTCCGATTGATGGTTGATGAGTTTCCTGGCACCGTCAAGACTAGCGCCAGCGTAGAGTGAGCCGAAGTCATACATTCCGTCGAAGATGGGACAGTCATCGCCAATATTGTACTTTGTGATCATATCGCTAGAGAAAGTATCGGTGTTATGAGGAGTCACACGGCGAAGGAATTCGAGGTAGTCGGTACTGTGAAAGTCGGCGAGTTCATCCTCGGAGGCTCGGCGGGGAACATAGACGTCCATGAGATGGTGCATGCCATAGCCTAATACGAGCTGATTCGTGAGGGTCAGACGCCATGGTTTCATGGGATGTGTGGCTCCGAAATGGTGTTCATCGGCGGCGGGGTTGTGATGGTAGGACACTTTGACTTTGGAGCTGTCTTTGACGGTGAAGAGCTGGCGATAGCCTAGAGTCTTGTCGTCGACGGTCAAGGTTGGAGGTCCGCTTGGCGGCGGTTCATCGCGAGGGTCGGAGGGAAAGGTATCATAGGTCTTCACGACCATCGTATTGATCAATCAATCAATCAATCAATCAATCAACAGGCAGATCGAATGGGTGGTTGGAGTATGTTTGGATGTTATTGTGTCAGGCTCTTAGATGGAATCGCTGCTACCGGAGCATATCGTCGAGTCGAGTAGCTGTCACCACTCTCAAATTAGTAAGCCATTACCAAGAGTCTCAATGAAGCTTTGTATTAGACTAATAAGCTTACTAGTGATGCCAAATCGGGCCGGCAATGGTGATGATATTGAGTGGTGGGGGAGATTGATGGAGATGAAGACGATGAAGGGACGATGAAGAGGAAGAAGAGGAAGTGGAAGGATAAAGAAGAGAGGCGGCTGCTTAGCTAAACAGTCCCGAAGAAGGATTCGCCAAACCTTAGTCTGCATCCCATCGCCCTTCAACTTCGAACATCTCCCACCTTCAACTTTCAACCAACTTTCAACCAACCTTCCACCAACCTCAACCTTCAACCTTCAACATCACCAGACCAAATATATACCTCCCTAGCGCCGCGACAATATAACATTACGTTCGACCCAAAGCAAAGAAGGAAGGAAGGAAGGAATCAAAGAGGGAAAGGAAGAGAATGGCAGCCTTCGGTCCAATCGAAGACGTCCAATCCGTCCTCGAACAATTCATCGAAAACGTCTCCAATCTCCCCGCTGAATTAACACATCTCTACGAAGAACTCTCAAACAAAGATAAACGCGTCCACACTCTAAAACAGTCAATCTCCCAAAAGGATGCTTCCATTCAACGTTTCATCCGCCAGAATGGTTCCCAAGTCCCGTACCCGAAGGAAGCTGCTTATAACAAAGCTATCGGCGAGGCTTTCAAAGAAATAAGCGTAATCCAGGAAGAGAAATGTAAACTGGCGAAAAGAGCGACCGAGTTGATCGAAAAACATGTAAAACGGTTGGATATGAAGATTCGAGATTTACAGAGGGAAGGCCTCATCAGCGAGGACTTCATAACCCCACAAATGATATCTCAATATGCTCCACCGACTCTCTCTGGCCCACCATCCTCCAACAATAGCGGCGCTAGCATTGGTAACTCGGGTGGAAACAGCATAACCGTCAGTGCTCTCCCCGGTCGCCACCCTCCATCCCTTTCGAGCTCCAGAGCGGGCGGGAACAGCTCGGCCGGTGGAGGGATGAGTACAGCATCAACTTTAGAAGGTGTATCAAGAACTCTGGCAGCATCAGCTGAAGACCAGCTACTCCACACCTTAAAGGGAATCTTACCCCCAGATCCCAAACGTCGACGGTTAAACACCAATGGCCCAGCCCCTGTCGGACCGTCCCCGTTAGCAAACGCCTCAAATGCAAATTCTGGTGTAAATACCCCAACCCGTGGGCTTTCATCACTATCTCAAGGTCAGGCATCAGCCAGGAGGAGTGGTCCACCACCCAAACCCGCTCGGCGTCCCACAGCTAGCGCTGCCCCCAAGAAGCAAAAGAACGAAGACGATATGGACGAAGACCACAGCGATAGCGATAATGACGAGGAAGAGGAAGATACTGGTGAAGATCAGAAGCCGTACTGTGTTTGCCAGCAAGTTAGTTTTGGAAACATGGTCGCTTGTGATAATAAAAGTTGTCCGTTCGAATGGTTCCACTGGGGTAAGTTCTACTTATATCTCCCAAGTATCTACTAAATCTATTTATTTGACATACCTACTAACATGATCGATTATACAGGCTGTGTCGGCCTCACCAAAGAGCCAGCAGGCAGCTGGTTCTGCGACCACTGCACGAAACTAAGGAATCAAAAAGGCGTCAAGAAGGAATAGGATCCTTCTTACGAACCTCTTTCTCCTTATATTAAATCACGTGTGGAAGGTCCTGTCTATCAAGTTCCTTCTTAAGGTGGTTTCTTGAGCATAAAATCAAAGAAACAATCTCTCAGCAATTCTTTTTCTATTCTCGTCCTCCTAACGCTCCAAATCTAGTTTGCAGGAAGTATTCCCTTTATAACCCTCATTCTTCACTTCCAAAAAGCGATTTATTTGCATTGCATCACTTGGTGTTCGGTTTGTTTTAGCGGGTATCCTTTTGTCCCCTGAAATGTGGGTAGGTATATCGGGCTGGCGTTTAATTTTGTTCAGAGATGGCGGAAGACACTATCAAGCTATTAATATATTGTAAATAAATTTATTTTGAAATACGCCTTGTATAATAGAAAACCACTTTGATTTTCATTCTAGATCTATGCTCGTAATATACATAGGCTTCGTTCTGTCCGTATTTCCCCTCATAATGATAATGCGTATCGAAAGGCTCTGTCTATCTTCTTCCTCCCTCCCCCCTTTCCCCCCTTTTCTTTCTGAACGCTTAGAAAACAAAGCATAGGAAGGTAAAAGGGAGTAGTATGAGTCTGAGTGGGAATTAGGTGGGGTTGGGAAGAAGAGGGGAGGACGAGCTATGTTTGAGCTACCACCAATCTCAAATTATGCATATGCCCAAGACTTGCCATAGAGATAACAGGATAAGAAACAAAAAAAGAGAATATCTTGTAGCTGATGAGGAAAACATTTGAATAGCGAAAGGGCTATCTTTAGGGTGCCAATCAACTATCTAATTGTGACACCAGACCTCTTGCTGTACATTCTTGCAGCAATGTTCATGGCCGTTAGTTCCTGGAATAGTAATTTGGCAGCATACGGAAGGTGGATCTGTGAAATCTTCGTCTTGTTGCGGCATGGACGACATTCGAATAGGTTCTTCTTCAAATTGCTATATGACCCGGTTCGTTAGTACTTGGTCCCATTTTGAAAAATCGGAGCGCAAAAGAAGGAACATACGCAATCGGTGTCATAAGACCACAAATGTCGCAAACGTGGACTCTGAATGCATCCGAAACCTCGAATAGACTGTGTCATTTTAACGTTAGCCGATTCTCATATCTTCTCTAGTAGTAGTTAATAGAAAGGGAGACACCTACCGTTCCTTCAAGAAAGCACTTGCACCGTGAGAAATCATACAATCGCGCTCCATCTCTCCGAAACGCAATCCACCATCCCTAGCACGACCCTCCACTGGCTGTCTCGTCAGAATCTGAACCGGTCCTCTCGCCCTCGCGTGAATCTTATCATCCACCATATGCCTCAATCGCTGATAGTATGTCGGCCCCAAGAAAACTTGACAGACCAATTTTTTCCCCGTATGGCCATTATACATAACCTCAAATCCTCGAGATTGGTACCCATGCTCTCGTAACAATCTCGACACGTTCTCGACCGTAACTTCGGTAAACGGCGTCGCATCACCTTCGAACCCTCTCAGAGACGAAACTTTACTTAATTGACACTCAATTAAATGTGCAATTGTCATACGAGAAGGAATAGCGTGCGGATTAATGATGAGATCCGGAACGATACCCTCAGCAGTAAACGGCATGTCCTCATGCCGGTATGTGATACCGATTGTCCCCTTCTGTCCGTGCCTGGAAGCAAACTTGTCGCCGATCTGCGGAACTTTCGTGGTCCTCATACGGACTTTTACGAATCGCATGCCCTCGGCATTGGTAGTAAGCATAACTTGGTCTACTATACCATTTTCAGTGCTACGAAGAGGTGTGGAAACATCGCGTTTCGTGTGGTTCTTCGTTCGCTGCCCCAACTCTTCTGTATCCGCCGGGATGGGCGCCGTTTTCCCAATAATGATGTCCTCACCGGATACTCTAACCCCGGGGGCAACAAGGCCATCATCGTCGAGCTTGTCATACGTTCCATGTTTCAGTCGAAGAGTATTGTTTCTCATCGGCTTCTCGAACTCTTCAATAGTTGTCATGCCAATTCGCTTCTCGGAGTCCATATATGCTCTGTAGAACAAACTTCGAAAGAGTCCACGATCGATACTACTCTGGTTCATAATCACGGAGTCTTCTTGGTTATATCCACTGTAACACATAATACCCACGATAGCGTTTTGGCCAGCTGGAAGCTCTCGGAATTTTAGAAATTCCATAGATCGGGTGGTGGCAAGTGGCTTCTGTGGGTAGTATAAAATATTCGCCATGGTGTCCATTCTTTCGTTGAAGTTGGTCAGGAAGATACCCATAGCTTGCTTACCCATAGCCGATTGGTAGGTGTTACGAGGGGACTATTGAAGGTTAGAAAAATACATGCGTACTTAATCGATTTATCAAGGAAGCATACCTGGTTATGATCTGGGAAGGGAATAATGCTGGCGCATATACCCAAAATCATACTTGGATGGATTTCACAATGAGTCCACGTGTGGGCGTAAGGGTTGACTTTCGCCTTGACCCTCTTCGCCATATCACCGCTGTCATCAACTGGGATCTCGTAGCCTGCTTGGACCTGACGAGAAATCTCAAGATCTTCAGGACTCATCGAAATCATGATTGTTTCCTCTTCTTCGGCATCCACATATTCAACACAACCATCGTTCAAAAGCCCATTCCAACCATACTTCTCCTCCCCGGGCGCAAGATCTTCAGCAGTCTGGAATTTCGCATTTTCGAGCTTCTCGATGTGGTACTTCTGTAGAACCAGCTCGCCCTTACGTAGACTACCCGGATCATTGTCAATAACATAGAGCGGGCGAGTCACACGTCCAGCATCGCTGAAAATCTTAAACTCTCGATCACGTATATCACGAATAACGCTGACCTCGTGACTTATAACGTTGGTTCGGCGCAAACTAAGAACTGTTCGGTAGAGAGATGCAGCATCACGGTGAACACCGACCCAAGATCCATTGATGAAAACCTTGGTGACGTTGGGTGATCTGCCTGGTTCGAAGGTTTCCAACGGCTCCAAATTCCGCTGTTCCATAAACGCTTGGATAGGTTCCGTAGGAGATCCGACAGTGATGTATGACATGAGAGACAAGTTTTTGACCAAACCACAGGCTTGACCTTCGGGTGTCTCGGCAGGACACACCAAACCCCAGTGAGTATTGTGAAGTTGACGGGGCTTTGCTATTTTCCCGTCTCGTCCAATAGGTGTGTTTGTCCTGCGCAAATGGGAGAGTGTCGAGGCGAAGGTATATCTATTCAGCACCTGAGAGACACCGGCCTTTGCAGAAGCCGGCTTCTTCTGGTCACCCCAGTTACCTGTAGCCAACGAGTATTTCAGGCCGTTTGTTATTGTGTTTGATTTTATCGCCAAAGTAACGTTGAAATCTCGTCCGCTCTCGACACACTTCTGCAAATATTTGAAAACATCCTTCACAAGCTTTTTGAAAAGCATGCGGAACAGGTTCGCAAGAAGTGGACCCGCGAGATCGAGACGTTTCCTTCCAAAATGATCTCGATCGTCGGTTTCTCTTCTTTCCAAGGCGCACTGCAACATCTTGTGAACCATGTAACCCAGGAAGAATGCCTTTCTCGTTTCGTGCCCTTCGGCTTGGGAAATATGGGGTAGAAGTTCCTTCTGCATGATTTCTTTCGCATACTTGATACGCTTGTCACGATTTATGCCTTGAGCGGATCCACGCTTGCCGATGAAATCAAGAGCCACTTCCCGGTCCTGAATAACGAAAGCTTCTTCGATACAGGGTTTCAACATCTCCAACATAGCAGTATCGTTTCGATCATAACAAACTCGATTGAGAATATCCTCATCAGAGACGACACCAAGGGCACGGAAGACCACGGCAATGGGAACATCAGTCTTGATGTATGGGAGCGTCGACCTTATAGTTCTCCCAAACCCTGTTCTTCCTTCGCCCTTGGCCATCAGCTTGATCGTTAAACTGCTGATTAATCGAGATCCCTTCTCCAAAGCACTTCGGATTTCAGCAATGTAGCTGATAGGTGATGGAGCCGCTTTCTTGAAGCACTGGACAATGTTGGCAGCACTTCGCTCCTGAGCGATCAGGACTTTCTCGGAGCCGTTAATGACAAAGTAACCTCCTTGATCATAAGGACATTCATTGAGACCGTAAAGACCATCTTCATTGAACTCCTTCAACACGCAATATTGCGATTTCAACATGATTGGAATCTTGCCGATGAACACCCTGGTATGATTCGAAGTATCGATGTCGTCATCATCGTCACCAACTTCCTCAGTTGTGTCACCGATGACTTGCCAATGGAAATCCTGCTTCTCTTTCTTCTCACCTTCTTCCGCATCATCCATATCCTCATCTTCATCCTCTTCCTTCTCAGCCATCGACTTCTCACGTGCAACCATGACCTTCTGTGACATTTGAAGATACAGCGGCGACGCATATGTCAAATTTCGTAACCGAGCTTCCTGAGGTTGCATGACTTGGGTAGATCCGTCTCCTTCAGTGAAGGTCGGCCGCGATAACAGGACATTCCCAAATTTGATCTCGAAGCGACGAAGAGCAATACCTTCATCGTTACTCGGGGTATTATGGTCGAGAACGAGTTGGTTATCTTCGTCGATTAACTCCTGCATAGTCGTGCTGACAAATTCGTCGAAGGAATCGATCTGTTGCGAGACCAAACCTTTGGCATCGAAGAAGGACGAGATGACCGTCCAGCAGTCCTCGGCCGTGATGTTGGACTCCTCCTCATACTCGTATTCCTCTTCCATGTCGGACATCTTGGATGGTGCGTCTCAAAATCAGTCCTCAGACGGTGGTTATTGAGAGGTAATGGTGGAGCTAGAGCTTGGACGCGAAGGAGGCGAGGTGGCCACACTGTCGCGTTTCAACGTGGACGAGGAGATGGTTTACGGGTTGAAGCCAATGAAAAGATATCGTAAATCGTAATTGTAGGGACCGAAATAGTAAGTATGAGGGCTCCCAGGTTGAAGAGCAATGAGGGTGGATGGAGATGATGAGGTTGATGGGAAGGTCGTCGCTTGTGGCAAGTGTTCTGGCGAGTCGAGCAAAAGTGTGGTTCGGGCGACGGTGCTCAGCTAAGCGACCAATTTTGCGCCAGTCGAACGGAACATAGGATCAGAGCAGGATCCGGCTATCGAATTCCAATCAACTAGCTCCAAGCTCAAGCACGGACATGAAATTCTAAAAGTTGGACTCCGGGCACCTTAATGGAGGCATATTTTTAAGTGGGTACCTCGGCCTATAGGTGTATACACATATTATCAACAGCAAGGGGGTGTATATTATAGGCATGGCGGGATTCGTTAAGTCAGAACTTGAAGGTTTCCTCATAAACCTGTGATATCATATTTTACATTTAAGCGTTTAAAAAAAAAAAAAATGACGCTCAGCCGCACTCGCACTGAGAGTCATGTACAACTCTGAGGGAATCGAGATGGCATTGGCATAAACAGCGGAGAAAAGACAATAAGAATGATAAAGAGCTTAAGAGCCGAGAACAACCAAAGACTTCAAAATCACAAGAGAGTAAAAAGGACAGAGAACGACAACGTTAACGTTAACAGTCCAAAGAATATAAAAGATCGCCAAATCCAATCCACCGCGTCCAGAGAGAGGGGAGGGGGGGTTTAGGGCCTTCCTCCGATCAACTAAGATCCAAAGGAATTTGGAGTCCACAGGTCCAGTTGATGATATTTCAAAAGATTCAGAATATCCAAAGAATTTTTAATCCCAAAAGCATAGTATAACATGTAACACCCATGCTCCCATTTTTCATCCGCTAGAATCGCTTGATGATGCCTATATGGTAAAAGAAAATAGGAAAGAATACACAAAAGACAGTGTGAGGGATGCCGTTTGATTTTAATTGTTATTTATTTTTTTTGGTCTTTTCTAGGCGGTTTTGAAAAGCAGTATCGCGACGTGGCCGAGGTAGAAATAGATAAAATGCTTGGTTTCTACACGGGTATTATCATCAGTCTTCTATATCCACGGCTTGGCGATGAGGGGAGGGAGAAATTAAAGCGAAAAGCAAGTACTAGGTATATATAAGCATGCATACCATGAGTAACGAAGCTGCCAAAGTTCCTGCCCACAATGCAATGCCAGGTCGACCCGAATCGGTTGTCAAACTATTCCCATGCAGAAAATCGCGTCAGTCACGTTTTGGCCCAGTAGGATTCATAGCCGCGGCTGATATATGCCCCAAGGAATACACCACATACCTCTTTCTTGATATGTTGTGCGATGTCCTGCAGAAGATTAATTGGAAATCCTGTTAGCCACCTCAGACTAGCCAAGCGCTTGTGCTCCGCGGACAAATGCCACTGGAGCTTTGCCCCATTTTCACTATTCCCTATGGTTCATACCTTCTCAATGTTCCACTTCTCCATAGCTTCCTGTGCTATAAAAAATCAGTCAGTTTCGCCCAACAAAAAGTACCATGACCACCCCAGAAAGAAAGAAAAGAGAAAGAAGAAAAAACATCAAATTGCAACAACTTACCAACTTTAATGGCATCCTCTTGCATAGGCTCGGCCTGAAAGGAATTAACAACGGCACGGTTAGAGGTTGAGAGGCTCTATCGAAGGAGTAGGAGAGCAATAGGTGGAGGGTGGGAAGCCTGGTCTCACCATGTCGGCCGACTTGACCACGGCTATAGAACGGGAAAAAAAACAAACAGTCAGCACGTCGGTTCACTTAACACGATATATGCATCAAAACCATCGTGTATCCTCGGTAATAGGAGTCCTCAACATACCCTTCATCTCGGAACTAGTGCTGTCGTTGTTGACCATTGTTTCGAAGGTTCGTGTTGGGGTATCCGAAGAGATGCTAATTGATATGGCTATGGGTATCGGAAGGCTTCGTCAGTCGGGTGTTATAGCTCGCAAAGATATCGTCGAGCGAAGGAGAAACAAGCCAAGAGATAGGAGGGAAGGAACAGAAGCTCGATGGAGCTTACCAGAGATATGAACGATGGATACTTTCCGTAGAGAGATGTGAAAACGAGATGGGTTCTTCGATGGGGAGGAGATAAAGACTTAAGTAAGTAAGTCTAAGAGGTAAAGTGAGAGCAGCAAGTGGTCAGGATGAAATTGGAGGGAGACAGTGTAACATGTGTCTGTCTGTGGTCTCAGGCCGGAGCAAGCATGGAACATTCTTGGGAGCGCGAAATTCCATGCTGTGCCAAGACTCAAGACGTGCCCAAGCCTCGGCGCCGTGTTGCCCACCCTGGGCAGTGACCTTGGGCACGGGAGGGGCTCCTCCGGGCTCTGGGGCAGCCAACCTACCTTCCCCGTTGTCATGTCCTGTCCCCGTAGCCGCCAAGACTCCACCATAAAGCCTGTCGCAAAAAAAATTTTCCTCTTCGTCTTCCTTCTCAACCTCAACCTCAAAAAATATATTCTTCACCATAAAAATGACTACCGAGGAATTCTCTCCTGCTGGCACGTATGGTATCTCTCCTCCTCCTCCCCCTCTCTCCCTTCTTTATTTATTGCATTGTACTGGCAGCAACATCTGCTAACATTTTGAGTGCACAGTCGCCAGCCAGCATCCTCCCGCATTTTCATCAGAAACCTTCCTCCCACCAACTTCACAACTGCCCTTCTGAAATCCCACTTTCAGACCCTCTCCTCCACCACAATCACAGACTGTCGCTATCTCCCTGAGCGCAGAATAGCCTTTATTGGCTATAAGACTCCTGAACAAGCTAATGCCGCTGTCAAGTACTTTGACCGGTCTTACATCAAAACGTCAAGGCTTTCCGTCGAACTAGCCAAGTCTACGAAGGATGACAGTCTTTCTCGCCCGTGGAGTGCGAATACTCCGGGCTCTTCCGCTTACGCGAAGAAGCATAGTTTAGACGAACCTACCGCCAAGGCTAGAAATCTCAAACGGAAACGTGATGAGATTGTTGAGGCCAAGAAGCCTGAAGACACCAAGGGAAATTCCCTTGATGAGAATGACCCGAAGTATAAGGAGTACATGCAACTGATGAAAGGTCGAGCGAATACCAAGATCTGGGAAAACGAGACTGCCATCATCAATGAAGAACAGCCCATAATCGCCCAACCTCCTGAGGATGAGAGCGAAGAAGAGTATGAGGATCTCTCTGGGTTAAGGTTTGAAAAGAAGAAGTCTAAAAAGGACACTTCAGACGCCTTACCTATCCCTGCTCCTAAAGAATCAATACCAGAGTCTACGGAACCTGCCGTCGAAGCGGACCTTGAGGTAGACCCAGAGATCCTCCCAGATGTAGCCGCCCAAACTGGTCTGTCCGATGCAGATTGGTTAAAAGCCATGACCAGCAACAAACTGGAAACAGTCGAGCCCCCGACGAATGAGGAAGCCATTAAAAAAGGCTCCTTAGACGAATGGGGCGGTATAGACAATGACGCAGAAATGGAAGATGCTCCCGAACTCGAAGGGGTTGAAACGGAGGCTCCAAAATCTGAATTTGATCTAGCTGTTGAAAAAATTGAAGAAACAGGTCGCCTCTTCGCCCGGAACCTGTCATATTCAATCACTGAATCCGAACTCGAAGAACTGTTCAGTCCATTTGGAGAACTTGAGGAGGTGAGACATCCCTTTTTATATTTCCACTCACATTCACATCTACATCACATACCCACACGCCCTACACATAATTATCCCCGCAACTACTCTTTATATGATGATATCCTCCTTAGATAGGGACAACTGCGATGTATCAAAAGATACCATCGATGATGATCCCATTCATAGATAGTAAATTAGTCTGATAAAGAATTTTTCCCTCGCCTCATTTCATACACTCATTTTACCCTTTCGCTCTTTGAAACCCCTACTAACAGTCATCATAAAGGTTCATCTCCCCATGGATTCAAAATCACACACTCCAAAAGGGTTTGCTTACGTCCAGTTCGCCTCCCCGTCTTCTGCCATTTCTGCCTTCAAAGCATTAGACACTTCGATCTTCCAAGGTCGTTCCCTCCACATCCTCCCTGGAACCGCCAAACGCACTACGCAGCTAGATTCCTTCACCCTCTCCAAGTTGCCTCTCAAAAAGCAGCGAGAAATCCTGAAAAAGCGGAATGCCTCAAAGTCAGACTTCGAATGGAACTCCCTTTACATGAACATCAATGCCGTAATGTCATCAATGGCAGACCGTCTCGGTGTTTCCAAAGCAGATATTCTAGATCCCACATCTTCAGACGCGGCCGTGAAACAAGCACACGCGGAAACAAGAGTGATACAAGAAACAAAACAATATTTTGAAAAGCACGGTATAAACCTCGCTGCTTTCGCAAAGAAGAAGCGTGGGGATAAAGTTATATTGATCAAAAATTTTGGTTACGGAACGACCGTTGATGAACTTCGTGCTTTATGCAATGAGTTTGGTGAAACGAAAAGGGTTTTGATGCCCCCGACGGGTACTATCGCCATCGTTGAATTTTCAGACGAACCGAGTGGTCGAGCAGCCTTTACCCGTCTTTATGGCAGAAAGCTCAAAGATTCTATGCTTAAAGTCGAAAAGGCGCCTGAAGATCTCTTTACCACACCCGTAGACCCAACGAAACAGACAGAAGTCACACCCACAACCGGTAATATAGCCAAACCTTCAATTAAGGATATAATATCCACAGATGATGCTGAAGCCATACCCGGTGAAACATTTTCCCTATTTGTAAAGAATTTGAGTTTCGCAACTCCACAAGAGAAGCTTAAAGATTTATTCTCGCCACTAGAAGGCTTTTTGGCGGCGAGGATCAAGATGAAACCAGATCCTAAGAATGTAGGGAAGTATCTGAGTATGGGCTACGGGTTTGTGGAGTTCAAATCCAAGGTATTCGCGGACGCTGCAGCAGCGACGACGAATGGCTACTTTTTGGATGGGCATAAGCTTGAAGTCAGAGGGTCACATAAAGGAGACGATGCCGCTGCAGAACGCAAAAAGGCAGATCTTAGAAAAAATGCAGCTAGTACCAAGATTATCATCAAGAATCTTGCCTTCGAGGTTTCTGAGAAGCAGATTAGAAGCTTATTCGGCCAGTACGGAAAACTTAGGAGCGTTAGGGTCCCTAAGAAGTTTAATAGGACTTCTAGGGGTTTTGGGTTTGCACAGTTCGTGAGTGTACGGGAAGCCGAGAATGCTATGGAGGCATTAAGGCATACACATTTACACGGCCGTCCATTAGTGTTAGAGTGGGCTAAGGAGGAGGCAAAGGACGCAGAAGAAGAAATTCAAAGACTCACTAAGAAAGTAGGCAGACAAGTTGAGAGCGTTAAGTTTGCGAAGTTGAGTGGAGCAGCTGGGAGGAAGAAGTTCGATATCGAGGAGATGGCTAGGGAGCAAGCTGGCGCTCAAAGAAGAAGTGGTGGCGACGATGACAATGATGCAGAAGAATAGGACTAGATCACCATGAGATTTGATAGAAATAATCAATTTTTTTAGGATGGAGAAGCTCGACTTTTGATCCCATTGCCGTCCCATACCTTGGAACACTCCACAGCTTTGTTTTCCCTGCTCATGCTAGCTTTTCATTATTATACAAGCGTCTCCAGTCAAAAACCTGATAACCAACTACAACGGATGCACGGGTACAATTCATAAACCTCAAAGTAGAAAGGAACAAAAAAAATCAACTGCACCATGCATCTCTGTCGTATCTTACATTTCGTCCCTTTGCATGATTTTCTTCAGAGCATTAATTCCTAGACATGACCAGATATCCGTCGTACAAATAACATAAAAAAAATATACATACTAGGGTATGTAGCAGAAAAGAAAAACGAATTCCAAAGAGAAGAAAACATCGCTTTCATTAACCTCTTGCAGTCGATAAACCGTGCATGTCGGACAAAAGAGAAATTAAAAAAGTAAAAAAGAAAGGTATTTTCACTGTTCCCAGACAAGAATGCCAATATATAACAATGGGAAAAAGCGCCCGCTTTTGTGAACTGGTTGAAGAAGTAATCCAGCATCAATCGTCAAGAAGAAAAGCCCTGAAACAACGATGGCGGGCTAGGAAGAAGAAAGACAACAGCGAAAGGAAACTAAGAAAATATGCTTTTTCCCGCAAAAAGGTAATCCGGTGTCCAACGAAAGAAAAGTAGAAAAGTAGAAAGTCGAAAAAGAAAAAGAAGGGAATAAGAAAAATAGGGTTTCCCAAAGCTGAACCAAACAAATATTACCATGGCTAGATCACGAGAGGAAGGTGCAGACTTCAACTAAGAAAACAGCTTCTTCAGAGTCGTTTTGCCACGAAGAGATTTCTTAATACGACCATGCATTGATGATAATGAATGGCTAGAAATCCCAAAATCGGCTCCAAAGGTCATTTTGTCGGAAAACGAGGAAGTGTGAGTAATAGGCGAAACAGGGGCAGTCGAACCCGGTGTTGAGGGTTCTGTAGAGCTTGTCGAGTGAGTACTATACCTTTCGGGCGAAAGTCTTTGTAGCAAACTTCGTCGGCGATTTGGCGGTTTAGTCTGGAAAATCCAATTCTCTTTGTCATCTTCTTCCCGAATCCGAGGGACTGTGTTATGCGAACCGGATCGCCCAAAATGCCGGCCGAAGGTCTGCGGTCCTCCAAAGTGATCTGACTTGCTTCTCTTCGGCCTCAGGCTTCCCGAGCGTTTGGGAATAATAAGTCGAGATGGGCGGCCCTTTTGGCCCGATCCTTCGCCGTTCGTAGGCGTATAGCTTCTTTTCCTAGACTGCCAAATCCCCGTGAGAGACAATTTCCTCATCAAGCCCTTCTCCTCGATATAAGAGGTTGACATAGACCTTGTGGACAGGGTGTTCAGCCGCCGTGGAGGATCTTTCTTGGAGACAGGTCCTGATAGTATATCAGTTGAGATGACATGTGAGTATAGATTTTCGAGAGTGTTCCGTTGTTCTGGCCAGAGTCTAGAAACAGCCTCCTCTCTCTTATCCGTCAACAGTCTCTCTAGGTCTGTATTCTTTCGCAAAATCTTTTCTAGAGACTTGTTATAGACCGGTTGTACCAGAGGCTCTGTGGATTCCACCTCCTCTTTATGCCCCAAAGAAAACATCCCTAGTGGCTGAGATTTCGAACGCAGAATCCCAATTTGACTCTTAGCTTGTGAGAATTGTCCCTTCAGATCTATGACCGACGGTTTGTCATCGTTTTCCCTAGCCCGAATATCAACTGGCAGATAGCTGAGATGATTTGTCGGAGAATTGCCATCTGTTGTGATCCTATCGATGCAATTAGATAAACTAGACCTCCAGACCTCAGCGTCTTCAGCTGTTTTCGCCGAGATACGAATTCTATATAGCCGATTTGCTTTTCTGAAATTGATCTTCCAGGAGAACTCAGTGTCCGGCAGAGATCGGTCTATGATTATAAATGATTAGTCCTAATCCGGGCTATTCTATGGTATTGAAGTTTACCTTGGATATCATCCGATTTTAGGGCGGCGAGCGGGACCATGAACAGTGTTGAACAGACAGCCTTCTGCGTCGCAGGATCGACAGTTGGTCTAGCAAGCAAGAGATGGGTCCTATATAGTGAACCGATTGTGTATCGAGCAGTCGGGCCGTCATTGGTAGAATACGCAACCTGCAAAACACCACATAACAAAACCTGCCCGAGATGTCGAAGTATACTTTTTCGGCTGTCGACTGTTACACGGTTCGAAAGGCAATCAATTTCCTGCGTTTTTTACTTAGTAAAAATTCACTGGCACAATTTAGTCGGACTGTGGACGTACCCTAGGCAGGCTGATCATCTCACGCAGAAGCCATGTTTTTTCAAGTTGATCTCTAGCGCCAGATTTATTACATTGGACACTGTTAAGCTCGCCTCCTAAATCCTTGATTGCCTTGATGATTCTTTGGAGGGATTCATTGGCTTCGGGGGCATCGATGGTCGGTGTGACCTCCAAAAGTCGGTTAAGAAGCAGCGGGTATCGACAAATATGATGGATTGGCTATCAATTTTTTTAAAAAAATTTCAGCATTTAAAATCCATTTATAAACAGCAACTAGAGGCCTACCTTAATGATGAGATCCGAAAGAGTCGCAGCCTTCTTGCCAGGGTAATTTCCCTTGTTGCATTCTGCGGAAACCGCGTTGGCCAACATCTCGAATCCCGATTCCCAAGATTTTGACCGAAATGGGGAAGATGGATTGCTATTAATGAGTTCCTGGAGTGTCTCAAAATTTGCACCATATTCGACGTGCGCAAAGAAGAATGCCATCTACAAAGATCAGTCCACACACTTCAAAAGGCTTAGAGGGAGAGCAGGAACCCTACTCTTGACTCGAAGACATCTGCCAAAGATTTAACGAGTGACGGATCGGCCAGATTGTCATAAGATGGTACTAGAACCTCAGATGCGCTGCCATTGGTAAATACGGGCCTCGTGGGTAATGCGATAGATGCTGGTAGCCTAGTGAACAACTCTGATAGGAAGTTTTCCTGATACTCTAGGAGATCGGTCATATTATCGACGATTCTCCGCTTGATTCGTACGTCGGTGGATGGTGCAACGGCGTCCTTTAGGGAAGTAAAAGCCTTATATATAGGTATTTAGTATATCCGGTTTGTATGTAGATTAATATTTATGTTGCTTACCGAAATCATGGTTTTCAGATCCATTATATACTCTTCCTCCGACAAGACAATTTCGGCCAAGATTTTCCATCTTTGCTGCGCTCTTTCAATTGTAGCGATGTCCAGGGTATCATCCAGGGAATCTTCTGTTCTTAGATCTAAATCTAACTGATCGACAGGACCCCGCCCCGAGAAGCCCGCAACACTACCGTAGAATGATAGTGACATTCTAGATGCGGTGGCAGTGCCAACTCTTTGCAAAAAATTCGTTGAACCAGTGAGTTTTGTGGCGCTTGTCATTGCAGAAGGCGCAATTGAAAGATTTCCATGGACAGAGTTCCTAGCTGTCTGACTTTTGTAGATGTCGTAATGCATATGCGGGAGCTTTGACTTTCCACGAAGACTCTTCATCCACCGCAGCATGACACCACGTCCATTCCTTCCACGGCCTGAGGAGCAAGACCTGAGAGTATTAAACTTGGGTGTTGGGAGACTGCTGAATTGTAGATCGCCACTATCCTCTGTAGAGAAGGACAGTCTCCGAATGGATTCTGGTGCATCGACGAAGTTGTCCCCATCCTGTGACACAAGAATCTGAGGTGCAGGCTGGTCTCCGATGATGCTGTCAACCGGTGTAACCGGATCCATTGCTGTCATCATGGACTCGCAGTCACTTTGGAGAACAAAGTCCCTGGTATCGAGGATCAGATGTTCCGACGACTCCCCCATGGTGGCTGATGACGACGACGAAGATATATGTTTAACCATATGGATTCAGACTCCGGCCCGAATAAGTACTCAAAAAAAAGAAACCTGCCAACTGAGTAGCTATGGTCGAAGAAGCTGAAATCCGGGACTAACGATAACGATTCAAGGCCGGCATGAGGTAAAGAATATCGAGTGGAATGGTGAACAAGTAGATAGTATTTAAATTATTGGCGAAGCGGGTGTTTCATCAATGCAATTGGCGAAGGGATATGGACCCTTCTCGAGGAGAAGGATATGAGAGCGAGAGGAAGAGTTAAAAAAAAAGAGGAATGGAAATATTTGGTCCCTATGCGTTCGTGGCCGTAATGTTTTGGGAATCCGAGTGTTTTTCTGGAACTGAATCTGTGGTGTTTGAGCTGCAGCATGCACATATCAGATCGGATATCACGTCTGTATGTACGGCCAACCAAGCAGTGGCGCCTAGACACAGGCTAGCAGCCACAACCAAGAGCCCTCCTCTGTTGTAGATGGTATAGGAGGTATCCAGCGTATAACTCCCTCTCCTTGGTAACAAGAGTGCCGTAACAGTCCTATATGCTACCACTGCCACCTATACATATATCCCTTTGATCATGCGGCCAGTGGGTCTGTCTATAATATAAGTACTTAGGTAGTGTAAGAGGCAGTTTGGGAAATATATAATTGAATAGTTAAGTGGGTAGGGAAAGTATAAGGCTGTCAATAACAATAGTAGCAGAATAAAGGAAAGGAAAGGGCACAATACATATGTATGATGGCGATGATTATGATTATGGAGGAAGCTTAAGTCAGAAAGGGAGAGGGGGGAGTGGGGGATTGTTACATACCCTGCAGCATCCAGCATCCAGCATCCAGCATCCAGCATCCAGGACCCAGGACCCAGGATTCAGAATTTACTGTATGCAACCAAATCGAACTTGCAGAAGTGATTGATTTTTACTGTTTATCACAATCCCAATGCGAACCGAGTGAAATGAAGATGGCGGTGAACGGAGGTGAGGACTTCATTCCTTCGAAAACAAAAAAAAAGAGGTCCACAATTGATTCGGCGAGTAAGAGGCGTGATAAGTACCAGTCTTGTATTTCTTATCGGGTCGACTGACTGCTTTTTGAAGAGCGCCAGGCAGGCGTAATTTTCTCTCTCTTCTGAACGCAGGAGCGAAAGAACGTGGCCGTCAACGTCAGTCAGTCAGTTAGTCGGTCTAAGTACCTGTTAGTGTATGTATGTAAATTTAAAATAAGCATGTTACTAACGACTTTAAAGACTTACCTGGTGTCTGTAACGCTTGCATTTGGAAAATCCGGATCCCCCAAATAGACGGGACTGACCAAACTCTAACTGCTCTGGGACCAATTTCTTGAAGATGAATTGCAATTGAAACCGCCCCCAACAATAATAGTACAGCCATCATCACTAAAACACGCGCTAGGGTCGGAGTATACACAGGATATGCAATCGACAATGCAGTGTTCCACCTCAAGGTGGCTGTTAAACTGTTCAATTTCCTTTCGCAACACATTCCTGACACCAAATGACGTCGCCAATGCCACGAACCGGACCAAACAGGACTAGAGTAGAATGGTCAACCAGCCTGCTACCGATCCAAAATAAATACACACGCCACTGTCCATTGACTCGAGCATTCGACTTCTCCCCTTCCGTAGCGTCTGTCTTAAGATAGTGGCAATGAAGCAAAAAGTTTTTTATCGTTGAAGTTGAATTCATTCCGTGATATCGACAACTATGGCTAGTATCCAGTCCTCAGTACTGCGAGATGTTGGAAAATGCGATGGTGTTTGTCGTTTTCGCGTTGCCGACGTTTGGCAGCCACGCATTCATTCATTCATTCATTCACCCATCCATTCGTAAGCTCTCTCTCAGATCTTCCACTCTCGATCTCTCTCTCCTCGAATCCTCCCTCGCGTTCGACCTCTCTCCACCCCCATAACATCGGCCTCTTGGTATACGATATCTGATAATTAGAAGTCGAAAAGGAAGCTTAAGAGAGATACCCACTCAGCTTCATACCACCAAAAAACATAACATAGCATAATATAGCATTACATGTCATGGGCAGACCGATGGAGGCGAACATTCACAATCCTTCCGTTGGCGGCCAGGCTGCAAACACCTCCTCTGCTTCTGCTTCAAACGGCACTTCGTCGCGAGACCGCATTCTAGCTCTCATGAAAAGAAAAGACGCTCTGGAGGCAGAAATAAGTGCTCTCAGCGCTGTTCTAGACACTGTACGGGGGATCCCTTCCTTCCCTTTCCATTTTCATCACAGAATAATTCTGTCGGGTCTCTGGAATGTTACAGCTAATTGATCTTTTCTTTCCCTTTTCCTTCCGGGATTTTTAATATACTCGTCCCAGCATGGAGCCAATATGCAAACGCCTTTGACAACATTTGATGGATATCCAAGGGATGACATCGATGTCGCACAAAGTTAGTTCCCTTTGAACCGTTGGCTTTCCGGGCGAGGGGTTTCTGACTGGAATGTCTTCTGAATTGTCAAAGTTCGAACCACGAGAGCGCGTATAATTCCGCTAGTTAACGATGTGAAGGCCTTGATGATCGAGATTGAGAAAGCTCTTCATGCACACCATGCCGAACCAACTGGGACATCCACCAGCGCGGATTCATCGTCGACTTCGGCTGCACCACCTACAACAGCACCCCAGACAGAGACACCAGTAATCGAAGCGGTATTTGCAGTTGTTGACCAGGTTTCTCCATCGTCACCGGCAGAACAAGCTGGTGTTCAAGTGGGCGACAAGGTAAAGAGGTTTGGATCGGTAGGAGCTTTGAACCATGAAAAACTAGCCAAAGTTGCTGCCGAGGTTCAACAGAATGAAAATGTGAGACCTTCATCCTTCCCCCAGCTGCATGCAGCCTGCAGGCTTGTTGGGAGAGTTTTGAAACTGACGACGACGACTCATGCGTATTACTCAGCGAATCATATCGGTTCTGGTGTGCCGTGCGATTGGCGATGGGGAGCAGGATCTGGAGCTGCAGTTGACACCTCGACGAGATTGGGGTGGTCGAGGGATGCTGGGATGTCACTTGCTTCCATTATAATCGTGCCTCCTTGCCGCCTACCGGTCGCCTCGTTTGGATGCATTGGAACACCTGTTGTTTTTCTTGATCGGACTGGCCTGGCATGACTACTTAACTTAGCATTGATCCCGGCGTTAGTTCATATGTCCTTCGATTCGTCCTTATGGTATACACCGTTTTTTTTTTTTCCTCCTTCCTCACTTGCCTCCCAAAAGGATTAAGTAATGACTAGGAGCCACTATCACCTTCGGAGTAATACTATAAAAATTTACGATTGAACTCGAGGATTTCAAATCAGATGGGACACTACTCATGTGTAAGGATCGTGAACGTAGTCACGGCCAGCCTTGCAATAGTATGGCTATAGTCATGGTGGCCAGTGGGAAAGAAATCAAGCCGAGCAAACGTCTTAGTCAGCAGCCCTGGGCCATGGCCCGGGACTGCCTGGATCCTTCGCGGGGGCCGTTTTTATATGGAAAAATTCCCTCTCTTTCATTCATATAAGATTCTGTTCTCTTCATCGCCCAGAACCACCACCGCCGTCTAATCATCTCCTTCAGTTTCTGAACATCTTCATAATCATCACCGACCTCAAGTAAAATAGACTTTTCTCATCGTAAATGTACGTTCTGCCCTTCTCGTCGCGTGTCTACTCCATCGTTCTTCCCCCGAAATGCTGCCGCTCTCGACTGCGTCAGGGGCAAGGATGGGACCTCCCCGAGCTTCCCAAAGCGAACCTCCAAAATTTTTTAAACTTCTTCTCCTCCAGCAAAATCAACAAACCAAAACCATCTCCCATCCTCTTCACCCCCCCTCTCACCATACACTCCTAGTTTCTTCCTGCCCCAGTTTCTAAACCTCCTACTCCAAAAACAACAGACATATTCACAACTACAATGGCTACCGCCGCTACACCCACCTTCAAACTCGTCCTCGTCGGAGACGGTGGTACCGGCAAGACCACCTTCGTCAAGCGTCACTTGACTGGTGAATTCGAAAAGAAATACATCGCCACCCTTGGTGTCGAAGTCCATCCTCTAGGCAAGTTTCCCCCCAGTTCATCTGGTATCATACCAGGCTTCACATAAAAGCACGCCCACCTCCCGTCTGTCCGACCTCTCTCTCTCTCTCACTCTCACTACCGCTCGAGCACCCACTCGACCCGTGTCACGGTCGCCCGGATGTCCAGCTAGCAAGAGTCAGATCAGCCAGCTCCCCTCGCGACGTCAGATTTTTTTTATTTTTATTTTTTTTAAATTTTTTTCTTCTCGTCTCTCACTCGTTGAGGTGGTGCTCGCTGCTTTTGGTTTGGCAAACCAACACATACACCACCCATATTTACCCCTCCAGTCGCTCTTCGGCCTATGGTGGCCCACCGGCGTGACAAGATTCCTATTCTAACCTCCGAAAAACAACAGGCTTCAGCACAAACTTCGGACAAATCCAGTTCGATGTTTGGGATACTGCCGGTCAGGAGAAATTTGGTGGTCTCCGTGATGGATACTATATCAACGGCCAGTGTGGTATCATTATGTTCGATGTCACCTCCAGAATTACCTACAAGAACGTCCCGAATTGGCACCGTACGTATTTTTACGCTAGCTAGCTAGCACCCCCCCAGATTCCTAACGGAGAGACAAAAGAACTAAGTCAATAACCTTTATCCAGGTGATCTCGTTCGTGTTTGCGAGAACATCCCAATCGTGCTTTGCGGTAACAAAGTCGACGTAAAGGAGAGAAAAGTCAAGGCGAAGACTATCACCTTCCACAGGAAGAAGAATCTTCAAGTATATATACGCATCTACAAAACCAAAAATAATCACCGAGTGTCTAACATCCCGGATTAGTATTACGATATCTCCGCTAAGTCGAACTACAACTTCGAAAAACCATTCTTGTGGCTCGCAAGAAAGCTCTCTGGAGAATCAACCCTCGAGTGTACGGTCCCTTTCATATAGTTCAAAGATATCCGAAAACCCCGCTAACAAAATAAACAGTCATCGCCGAAATCGCCCTTGCCGCACCAGAAGTCTTCATTGGCCAAGAACAGTTGGCAGCAATGAACAAGGAGTTGAAGGATGCTGAGGCCGCCCCTCTCCCAGATGAAGATGATGCGTAAGCAACCCAAATCTTCTCACTAGTATAAATATATATACGCTAACATAAACAAATAGCGACTTGTAAACATCTTCTGTACCCCTGGCGCAAGATAGACGGTGCATTCTTAACCTTCTATCCGTCTTTTTTTCGCCTCCCTGTTTTCCTTGGCTCTCCTTTTAATTTGAGAAGATACTAGAAGAACGAAAAGAAAGAGAAGGAATAAAGAGAACGAAACTTCCACATATGTCAAACGCTTGAAGAATATGGAATCTAGAGAATTGCCCTGTGCATCCTGTTTTTCCCTTTGTCTTTTTTTTTTTTTGCTTGAACTGGGAAGGGAAACTATAAGGAGGCATAGAAAAATGACATAATATTATTTTTTTTTACGATCGAAGGAGAAAAATGGGAAAGAGGAGGTCACTACTGCTCTCTCACAGTTCCCTTTTTTTCTTCATTTTGTGCATTCCCTACTTTTGATACTCAAATAGCTAGTAGACTTCCGCTAGGTTTTTCATACTTGGCCATCCAGGCGTTCACGCCTCCCACATCTTGTCGACCTTTTCGCCTCTCTCTTTCCTTCCTCTTTCTGGACCTTTAAAGATTGAAAGGCAGGGTCGTCGAAGAAGGAAGCGTGAAAAAAAGAAAGAAAAGAAGAAACGGGGAAATCCTATTATGATAACATGAATCTTCTTTCTTCTTCTTCTTCTCCTACTTCTCTCTTGTGGCTTCATTTTTCTTCTTCTCTTTACTTTCTTATTACTCCTGTTTCTTAAGTCCTTTTGTTTTTAATCTAGACCAAGCTTTATGATATCACGATGGTTTCGGCCTGCCGTTTCGATTCGAAATTTAGAGATTATATATATTAGGCTGGATCGATTGGTATCAGCTAGATGTGAGCTTCCGGCCTGCAGTGCTACACTTCACATCATGCGCACGTGCATATGCGCGTGTGTGCGTGCGCCCTATGCATGGGACCTGACTTATGTGCTTCTCGAAATTAATCCCAATTGTAATTCAGTGTACAGAATTCGAACATGTACACCTCGGCCTTGTAAATTAACTACTTAGGCATTTGATATCGTGAAGTCTATAGGTAGTTTTACATATAGACGTGACGCGACGCCGGCCAGGTTGCATTGTCGAGATATTTATTATGTATAACTTGGAATTCGAAGATTACACCGTAACGATATATATCACAAGTAGTTTCTCAATCTACGAGGATGCACATGAAATTCATATCAAATTCATTCAATGTTGAAAATTTTTTTTATTTTTTGAGTTATATATATACTCTGAGTTAAAATAATTGATCGAAAAAAAAAAGAGATATGGAATGCCAGAGTCTCAACTTAAAGGCCGTTCGAAGTTACAAATGCAAAAAAAAGAAGTAACAACCAAGATGCTGAGAATGTAACTCCCCGATAAGATACAGACAGATATGATTCCAAAAAAAAAAACTCGCTGGAGATTATGAGTCGAACGTAATAAGACATATTGTTTTTGAAGCTTGCTTCAAATTAAATGGTGAATTCGCGAAGAAAGGGAATAGGAAACCATTTGTTCGACCAATGTGCGCGTCATGTACACGAAAGACTATTAAAAAAATCGAAAAGCTATGTTGAAAAGGGCATGATTATGGGACGTAGCCAAATTATGTTGAATGGAATGATGTGCAAGGTGCATGTTATACAATGAAAAGATGCATTGATGCATGAAATCAACGATGAGGAAAGAGAAAAAGAGAGAAAGAGACAAGGAGCTTTCAGGGTATCAAATCGTTATCGTATCAATCCTGAATCCACTCCTCCCAGAGCCCAAAATAAACACCAACCAGAACACCAACTCGCAAAAGTTAAGAGAAAAAGGAAGAAAAAAACCCTGATGTGAAATAAACAACTTATGAAAAGAACCTAGAAAACAAACGAACAAATGATATGTTAGACGCTTATCGTGTCTATGTGGCGTTCAACATCCGAACCCCGTACCCCGGTGGTGGTGCCATGTTGGCGTTGTTCGACATCATGTGAGCAGGTAGCTGTCCTGCTTCTTCTGCAAAACTTGATAGTCGCATTCCAGCCGGAGGGGCGATGGACCGAGGAGTGAAGAACTCTTCAAAGGCAGGGAGTTCCTCTGCTTCCAACTGTGCTGAGAGGTTGTATGCACCAGACGACGTTACCTGCAGTGGCAACTTGAGGTTGAAAGAACTCTTTAGTCGTGAACTGATGTCTACTGATAGACCGATATCGAGCTCATACTGGCGGCCCACATGGCAAGATTGGAAGGTTGGTGGGAGCGCCTTCTCTTGCGGTTGAGAAACTGGGACGAGGATTTCGGCGTAGTAGTGGTTTGGAGACTCGCTCGAGAAGGAATTGGTGCTACCACTATCAGACATATCAGAGCCTCGGCGTGAACCGTAGGTTGAGTCGTTCTCTGGGTCTGCAATACGACCACGACGCCATTTGATGCCGTTGAGGGCCCGGGACGAAAGAGTGATGGTTTCCTGATATTGGCCCATATATGGGTCGATTAGGTGGGATTTCCGCTGAGGGATGATGTTGATTGATTTGGTAGAATAGAAGGTCCGGTACTTGAGCTTCGTGGTAACATTACCGAGCTTTGGAGGTTCGGTAGAGTCATCGGTGGGAATGAAAGTGAGATTTAGGGTAGCAGTGGTGCTCGCTCGATGGTTGGCGTCGTGCGATTTATTTTCCATTGGACGAGGTGGGTCGGCTTGGACAATCAGACGGCCAAGCTTACCCTTGAAGAGACCCTTACGGACTTCCTTCTCCTTCTTCAAGACGAATGTATTATCATCCATCGGTGGAGGAGCCTCGATATAGTGTGGAGTGATGTGGAGATACCGTTGGTCTTCAGCAATGACAGCTTGCTTGCCGTCGACTTCTCGTCGTCGAGTCACTCGAACTTTGATACCGTATCGGATCTTGGCCATATCGGGAGTGACATCGTCGAGCTCGAGGCTACCGTCTTGGTTGATGGCCTTGCCTGTCCCCATGGTGGGAGGAAGCTGGAGGTGAGCTTGACGGACGACATCGTTTTGTAGGATGTGACCGCAATGGCTGTCCAAAAGCTGATCAGGAACAACGAAGCTGAATGGGAACGTATATTGCACGCCTTTGAGAGCAATTCGTGGCACAGGTAACATGTTTTCATCGACTGGCTGGTTCATTTTGAGGAACACACGACGGACCTCGCTCCTGGCGGTGCCCATGGTGGGACCTGTGTTTTCGGTCCATACTCGAACATTCCCTAAAAAAAAAAAAACAAGATCAGTTTCCAAATGCTTATTTCATAAAATAAACAACAGTCGATCCAAGTTGTAGGGACATCTGCAGACACTTTTTTTTTTTGGGAAAGAAAAGTGGGAATCTGACAGGGTAAAAGACTGCTGCCTAGCTGTAGCGAGGATTCGACGGGTAGACTAAGAAAACCCCCAGGGTTCTAATACGATAGACGAGAAACATACCTTCGAAAGTGATGTAAATGTCATCGAATCGGACATCGTGCTGCGGTACGATTGTGACATCTCCTTCAATTGTATCCCGGGTGGTGAAAGAGTAGGGGATCGTTTGGCCCTCCCGTTCACCCTTGAGGGTGATGGTGATGTGTGGTTTTTGGGGGAGAAGGCCTGCCCGAACCGAGTTCAGGGTATGCTGCGCCGTCGAAATGGACGAACTGTAGCGGATAGAATTATGGTCGCTCATGATGAATGATTTAATATCAGAACGGAAAAAAAGGGAGCGATGAAGACGGTGGAGATGATGATGAAAGAAGAGAAGATGAATACGAAATTACTATTAATATGAGAGGAAGGAGGAGCAGCCCGATCGTCTTTTATGTAGACGTCAGCCGTATATAACGAGATATGCCCAAGAGCCTACACCCAATACTAGTCCAAGGCCCAAGCTGGCTTGGCCCAACCGGCGATGCTTTATATAAAGGAAATGCTATCAAGATAGCAACGAGGAAGTGTCACACGCTACACTTCCACAAGACCTTAGACGAAAAAGCAGTCCCAATATCTGGCTCCTTTGAGGTCTTGGGAGCTTCGGGATACGTCGATGCAGTGCGCAGTGCAGTGACAAGCCCTTGGTGCAGGGGGATCTGCTTTTACTCCACCCCACTCCACTGGTCTCTTTTATTTATTTTTTATTTTTTCCTTCTCCTCACAGGAGCTGCAAGCGTCAAGGTCCAGGTTCGATGGGGGAACCCCTCCACTTGATCCGTTCCAACGGAGGGGGGAAAAAAAAGATAGGTCCGGTAATGTGAGGAGCTAATGCTATGTAGCTAGTGTCTTCGTCAAACGGGTGCGCAGTGCTTAGCTGGATATCGGCACGGCAGGTCGTAGGTCCGGCGACAGTATGCTTCCGGGTTAATTTTGTCACGTTCCTCTCCTCTTGAAACTGGCTATTTTGATAATAGTGGCGTCAAATGTGCGGTATTTATTCGTATACGAATGCTGTCTCTTCTAAGAAAGTCTTTCTGTAGATGTTTCTTATGGTGGTTGTGTAGATAGATGCTTGGTCGCAGTTCGGGTAATTGAATATATACGTATACGAAGCTGCATGCAATTGCTGGACACAATAGGCTGGATGGATTAAATGGATAAAAATAATAATAATCCTGGAGATCGAGAGCAAAATGTCTTCTAGAAGGCAAGCTATTAGAAAGAAGCAAGCAGTTAATCAATAAATCACTTAAGTAAGTAAGTAATTGCTGTGATCTTGAGATCTTTGTGTGATGCTATGAATTGGACCTCATTGGGACGTTCAGGATGTCCCCAGGCTTTTATACAAACCTGCGATTAAAACCTGTAAATTGCGATCCGACTCATGATTCACACTCATATTGACAATTTGCGGACGCCGGATATCACATAATCCGTAGTGTTACTAATGCAAATACACTACATACTCTACGGAGTAGATCGTTAGCCCCCGCAGCGCTGTCGCAATGGAGGCTTAATCTCAAAGGGGTTTGCGCGGGTGTGTGGGGACAGCCTGGTGAAGGATCTATGCAAGCATTCAAGGTGTGAAACTACATAGTAAAGGTAAAGGTAAAGAAGCAAAACTTCCTAGCCGTTGTCCATGTCCCAGATTCCTCAAAAAAGCATCAAAGTTAAGTTAGGGCCCGATACGGTGGACGGCAAAAGGAAAAAGCATGCGCATGGTGGTCATGTCATCCCTCCGGCTAAAGCTTTGTTTGTTCATTGAAAGAAACCCAAGGGAACGGCGTCGACAAAAAAGCTAAGATCATGAAACTAACGAAGCTAATGCGAATCTAGGGAGCTCTCGTTAAAACTACCCTGATTACAAAGATTCTTCCTGACTCATCAAAGGGAAAACCGCTCCATGCTTTGATCGTACATAGTCGATGTGGAGAATAGTCTATATCGATATCACAAGCTTTGATCCTACTATGTAAGTACAGACTTAGGTCCATACACCCTCAAGTAAACATGCATGATAACTCATGACGCCTCCACCAATCGTTTGGATCTATAACGTTAAAGGATAGAAGAGTGCCTCTTCTACTATGTAAAGTCGCCAGATATCTTCAAATAATCGCAATTCACTATGCTCTTTATTGCACTGAAATGGCGCTTGATTTATCAGCATTTATGCGGAGCCGTGCTGGCTTGGCTTTTGAAAACGACCGGCAGGGAAGGGAATTCATATCCCTTTACAGTAATCAGCCCTAGCACGTTAACCCGTAGCCATTCGGTTCCACGACGCCGCTAATGCATCTGGGGAGCTGGCTAGTTTCTGAGACCTTGTTGGTCAATTTGCTGTCGCATGTTCATTTTTCTCGTTAAACTTGTTAAAAAAATTTAGGGCGCATTTTGACATTTTGACCAAAAATTTAGCGTCGTTTTCGCATTCGAACCGGGATACTCGTGACTCGAACTCGAACTTGCACCTCCAAAGCAAAGGTTTAGATACCTCGATCGAGTTAAATTAGTAAACCACTGTGCTTACGAAAGCATAACGCTGAACGCAATCGTGCCTGCGGATTTCGAGTGAATATCATTTTCAAACCTGGCGTCATGGGCATATTCCCACGAGGATGAACCTTGGTCGAATTCGAACCGCGGAATTCAGTGGCCAAGGGTCAAATCGAGTCGAGTCAAGTCAATAACTGCCAGGAAATGACATAATCTGATCTGGGTTTGCACAGATCAGCGAGCGTTTTCGAATGGAAAAGGATGCACTTGCATTTAGCTGTCTAGTTCATCAATATCTGATAGAGATGCCGTTAGGGGATCATTTGTACGTAATCGCCTAGCCATTTGTAATTGGATCAGATAAATTATAAACTGTAACATACATCTTCTTATCTTTTGAACTTTAGACTCGGGTGAATATCGAACTTTGATGAATTGTCTTAGCTTTGGATGTCGTCGTCTTTGTGTTGACATGTCGTTCATTCCATTCTGCCGACTCGCCTAACTTGCCATCTGATCCTTCACCAATTGCAAAATTAAAGCTTCATCACCGATTCGAGCCCAGAAGCCCGAAGAATATAAAAAATGGAAAATGAAAATGAAAATTAAAATTTCAATGAGAAAAACTCGCTACGCCCTGCAGGACCGCTGTCGTCGGTTCTACTAGTTTCCAGACCCATCTCATGCAAGTCGAATCCACATCGATGGGCTCCCGGAATACACATTGGTGCCGTCGGCATGATTGCGGAGTGCACTCTTCATGCTCAAAAAGCTTTCGCCATTAAACATCGCCTGGACATCGAAGACCCACTTAGCTGAATATTTTATTTTATTTTTTTAAGCTTCGGTCGCATTAGCTCGGAAAGCGTATATAAAAAGATTTCCGTATAGTAAGTAACCATGACTCAAAGTAGTAACGATGCCTGTTATTTTACAAAATTCCGTGAAATTTTTCCCGGGAAGGAATTCCTACCCTTCGACTTCGACTTCGATTTCTCGCACAAGCCCGAACGAAACTCCGTTAAGCTTTCCCTGCGTCTGTCCAGTGAACATTGATGCTTTCAGGCACATGGTCACCTCGATTGTGAACCCCGGCTTGGGCGGGAAGCAAAGCACAAACCACCCCTAGTCCGATATCGCCATGCGCCCAGCTAGCGTTGGGTCTTTTCTACTACCACTTGCCTCTAAAGATCTAATCCTTCACGTAAAAATATCCACTATCTCAACTTTTAGGTAAAACCTCGTCTCAGAAACTCAAGCCACGAACGACGGAGATGTTTGGTGGAGTGAGAATTTTATATTAATTAACGGGAAGGGGCCCGGTGTTAAGGGTCTCCATTTCCAAGGGGCGGCTGTATGCACGCCTTACCTGTTGTCAAATTCGCGGATGTGGGTATTCTCCATGCGGAATTTCTATTATATAAAACACTGCGGACTTTGAGACCACCGGTTTTTCCGACGCGGAGCGCTGGACATCGTACATCCCATGATCCAGCTATATTTATTTCCAGGGATTTTTCTTTTTAACCCATCTTTTTTTTTAAAGGAACTCGTACGATTTTTAACCTAACTTTTGAAAGACACCAAGAATTAATTCTTCTTGGGCGACGGCAAGGAGATACGGATGTATACGAGTACGAAAGGAGAAAGGGGAGGCGACGATAATATACCGAAAAACTTAACTCATTTGACACATCCACAGTGCACAGTATCCGGAGCCCGACAATTTGGATTAACTACGATGCTCTCCCGAAACTGATTCAGAATCTCCAAAGAGAAAATGGAGCTCACCAGCTCAGAATTAATTGTATCATCAATTTTTAAAAAATTATTCTATTTTATTTATTTTTTTCCCGAAAATATACACCTATCCAAAGAACCTCTGTGACCTTATCACCACCATACAAAAATGGCGATATCCTACAATTCTTTTTATTCTGAGAACATTCAGCAATTCAGCCTTGCTCAAGTGATTATACACAATCGATCCTAATAATACACATATATACTCTGAAGCATTGACTGTGGTGGTAGCTAGTACAAGCTAGGAAACTTAACTGAATGCCCACTAATACCGCATTTAAAATTCTAGAATCTACCATACTACATATCCCAAGCTCAAGCAAACTCCGAAGACGCCGTATATATCCTTTTATCTAAAGAAGGGCTTCGTGGTATTCTTAAAGCAAACTTTGAACGAACTTGGCACTATAGTACTATAATATCGATCGATCCGTAGAAGCTCGATACGAAAGACTCATGGAAGAACCAAGTCCGAGTCAGTAATCTTATCTGTGTAGCGACAGAGAATCTAGATATCTTGGATCTTCGATATAGAGACTTTTCAATCGGCCTTCATAATAACCCTTCTAGGTTAATAAGATCCTAGGATATTCTTCCTTTTTGATATGTCTCAAAATATAAAATCTAGGGGTGTCCAAGTCTATGGGTGTCCATTCTATCATTGACCCACATGAATTACGCTTCACCAACCTGATACAAAGCCTCTCTCCAAGCCCGGCACTAGGCCCGAAGAACAGCGAAATATAATCGCGGGCCGTTTAGATAGATCTGATATCGGTTGCTAAACTTGTTTCCTTGCTTCGCTTGGTCCGGGGAACTACATTTTACGTAACTACGTTTTCGCTTCTGTGTAAGCTAGCTCGTATATATTGGCGTATAAATGCCTTTTTTAAAATTTTGGGACGGTAATTTTAACATGCGATACAATCTGATTGACCGAAAAAGATCTTAACATTGGATCAATGACAAAGGGAAAAGAAATTAACTGCAGTGCCTCGCAAACCGCAACATGAATTACTGGAGCCTGGTAAGGTAGATGTAACCTTGTAACCAAATTCGTGTTTATAGTTCTGTCACTCATTCATATTAAATGCTAATCAGAGGTAGTTTTATACGTTCGACGTGCGTATGTACAAAACATTTAGTATATTAAATACAAAGATCTTCGAACATGTGGAAGGACTTCTGCTAAAATCCTTACCATTCTTTTTTGCCATTCTAAGTATATTCTTGAAGCCTGAGCTTCGAACTCCGAAATTATGTTTGTTATCATAATGATCCAAGGGTATGAAATAGTCCGATCCCAGCCCCACATGGGCTGGAGTGATTGGCCCCAATCTAGAGTGTTGAATATATATCTGGCCCGGAGGCCGTAATTCTTTTGTAATATCTTTCGTTTAGAAAGTTACAATCCAATACTCATAAACAAGCGATAGGGTGGTAGTAATCACTTCCCGGATACTTTTTCCGCAGAGGAGTACCGATTTGTTCGGTAGAACCCTGTGAATTGATGGTGATGGTGTTCTTCGAAATACCTGTTGATATATGGCCGTGTAATGCAGTGTGAATATCATGACGATAAAGTAAACTACTTTTTCGTTATGTTATGGTGGAGCATTATTTCGGCGAAATATAGTTATGATGATAGATTGGGGTGGTCTATCATCAAAAACTAGTATTTTAGTAGTGTACATTATAGTCATGGCTACAAAGCAAACTGCTTTGCCACTATGTCGGTACTTCTGCGGTATATGTTTCTGAGAACAAAATGATCTATTTTGCTATCTTCCCCCTGAGGGGAGTTGGCTATACAGCATAACGTGCTGGGGAACCTCCCAACACGTTGACACATATATTTATGGTTGGTCAGTCTGGACTATTAGCTAAGACCACTTTTAGGGTCTTGCTATACTTCTTTTATTTCGCTTGTTATGGGTAAGCGAGTATAAATATTTGTGAGGGGTTATATCCTCTGGTGGAATAGGGTGTGGTATGGTGATGTGGGTGCTCAAGCCATATTATGCTGTTGATAATTAATAGTTATATTAGGAAGTATACCACCACGAATTTCCTCATTATCAGCCTTGGGTAGTAGTATTATGGTATGTACATACATACTTCGATGGAGAGGAAAAGAAGTATATGCTGTTATTTTACGTATTGCAGTGCACTTCGTTGAAGCTGATAAGGAGGAAATACGGTGGTATACTTCCTTACATAACTATTAACAACCATCATATAGCAGGTAATATTGCTGTTGTTTTGTAAACACACATATTGGTGGACCATGGTATGACCTAAGCCGGTTGTAGTATCTCGTCGTATTATTGATTTATGGGAATGATAGACCATAGAGAATAGGAAGAATCTGTATGCAGTATATGTATATGGTAGTTGAATTGCCGTTGTAAAGCTTGGAGTGGGGTGATATATGATGATGCTTCTAAGTGAGGATGCATCGATGGTAGCTGAAGGTTGATAGAACACGGGGAAAGCTGTGGATGTTTAAATAGTCCCAACTTCAGAAAAGGGAAAATAATATCTCCGCCTTTGCCTTTTACTTTAAAAGGTTTAGGTTCCATAGCTAACGTGCATTTCCAATAATTCTTTTTCTTATCTTTGAGCTCATTTGACCACATAACCTCAAAACCCTTAAAAAAGCGTGTTGTGTGTGGGAGAACTATACTGTTACACAAAAAGTTGCCTGTGTAACACAGGATTGACAGGGGAAAAACTTCGAATGTATCGAGATTCCCTCGTTCCGCACCGATGAGTTCTTTTGTAACACACTGGCTTTAGAAAACGGAAGTCGATAGTCGATATGTACACGCGCAAAACAGTTTCCTCTCGATATCAAGTCAGATTTTTCATTTGTAAGGCTGCACGAATCAAATCTAGTCTCTAGTATACATATCGGAAGTCAACTCGAGCTCACACCGCAATCATAAGTTGTATGGGGGTATCTAAATTATATTCTAAGCTTCCGTAGTACCCCATCACAAACCCGATGGGAAACAATCATTGGATATCATAAAAGACAGGTAGTGTTAAACTACACTTTATAAACCCTTCCCTCAATACGCCAGAGCAATGACAGACTGTTTAAAACAAATGAAATGAAAATGCAAAAGAAAGGAAGGGAAGGGAATGGAAGAAAATGAAGAAAGCAGTAGGAGGAGACACGCTAAACTAACAATTGTTTGTGCATGTCGGGAATCCAAGAATCAAAGAGCAGCCAAGTATATGGTATGACACGATCGAAAGGATTAAACCCCTCTGAAAAGAAGAACGCCTGTTCAGAATGCTCTAAGTGTCAAAACAAATTGATGAAGTAAAAGGCAGAAAAGAGGTTAGCATTAAACCAAAAACATATAAAAGAAAGTCACCTAGTCGTCGAGTAGGCTAATGATCTCAGGCATCTCCTTCTTAATTTTCGTTTTCACAACTTCAGGGGGGTCATGAGGCCTCCACATCCCATCAGAGCGTATAATAACGCTTTTCGCATTTGAGTATTGTCCGCCTGCTTGGACTTCCCTTAATTTGGAAACGGTATCTTTCATGAACCCGTCGACTATGATTGTCGCAGGGGTACACTCGCAGCTGCAGATTGGACACTTCCACGAATCCGGCACCGAGAACCCAGATGGGAATTTTGTTCGGCTAGTGAGGTATCCCTTGAGATCAAAGCAATCAAGATGCTGGCAATATTTGCCGCGGACAGGAACATCGATGAGTTGCTGAGACATGGGGCAGGTGACTGATACAGTCACAGTGTCTTCTTCGACAACGGATATATCGTCATCATTTGCGATGGCGTCAGCAGCTTTTTTCAGGCGCTTGATGATAAGCTCTTTAGCCTCACTAGAGGATAAGCTTTGGGTTTGTGTGATCAAATGGAACAGTGTATTGTAGTCTGCCACCTCAACTTCTTCCACAGCGGCGTAATATGAAGTTCCGTCAACCGGTGCGTTTTCCATCATCGCGATTTGAATGGTGTTCTCCCCATGGTCAAGCCGATCCGTAAGATCGGTTGTACAGTCTTTGCCCCAATTTCTTTTCCGTCGAAAATGTAGCCTACGCTTTTTAGCCAATTCCCTTTCTTGTGGTGTATTGTTTGGAAAGCCTGGGGTCGATTTATCATTCAACTCGGCAAAGATAGATACCGGCCAACAAGTCTCTTGACTCCTCCAAGCAGAAAAGTTTTCAGCCTTGGTGAGCTGTGTAAGATCCTGCTTTGAAGCCACACAACGCAGTCGGTATAGTTTGGACCAGTTTCGAACTGGGCGGATATTGGGAGCAGCACCCTCGACACGATTAACTTTGGGGTATGATTTGCTCAATGGATTTTCAATTAAGAAAGAGAGTTGTTGCATCCTAGCTGAGACTTTGATAACAGGGGTAACGCATCTCCTAAAATAGGTAAAGTATTCTGAAGTATCCCCTTCGGGCTTCTGAAGGTCTGCAGGTAGATATCTCCATTCTTGTATCAACTTCCAACCGGGAACTTTGCCACCCCAGTCTGTCGTAAAAATTTGAAGTGGTGTGCGCTGTGCAGGCCCAGCATCGCCGCTGGAAGAACTCTTTCTAGGAGGCAAAATTTGGGGGACTCTTCGCATAGATTGAACATGTGGTTGCTGTGGCTGTCTGGGAGCCGATGTTACTTGGTTTTGTTGCGGTTGGTGTTGGGCGGATTTGGCATGTTGCATCAACATTTGTGACAATGATACGCTGATAGTTCTTTGTAGAGACGGCGAGAGGATACCCGCGGACGCAATTAGACTGTGAGATGGACACGAGAGCTTGTTGGAGTCGCAATAGTTGTACAAAGTGTCAAATATTGGCCGAATATCCTGGAGCAGCTTGAGTGCCGCCATCATATCATCGTTGAACCCCTGAACCTTCACTCTTGCCATGCCAAGATCCATAGGGATTTGAACAAAAATGTCTAACGCTCGGGTCGAGAGGCTAGAGTTTGCAAACAAGAGTTGGGAGAGTAACTCCAAACCAAGCTTGCTACGGGGATCGTTCCAATTGAATGGATATTTGTTTTTCAGTATTGGGTGGTCAGCGTAGCAGAACAGTAAATGCAAAGCGACGAACAAATCGTCACCCTGCTTGAGAGCACCTTCAAGTAGGCTCGCTCTGAGACTATCATTTGGTTTCCATGGTTCTGTACCCGGTTGGGCCATGAGAAAGTGAAGCTTTTCAACAAACGCGTAGCTCCACGGAGATTTTGTGCGGTCATTTACAGAAGCTGAAACAACAGGCAATTGCTGTTGGGTCCGTGGTCGTGTTTGTGGGGCCTGCGCCGCTGAGTTTTGGGATGGCAGGAATTGGGTAGCCTGTTGTGGATAGTTTGTGGCAACAGGGGAGGATTGAGGCCAAGACTGGGGCGAGTGAGCTGCAGGCGTTGGGTTTTGTGCATAAAAATCCGCGTCCTGAGATGATGGGCTACGAAAATGACCAATCGACAGCATTGATTGGTGGTGGTGGTGGTGTTGGCTGTGGGGCTGGGGTGGTGGAAGCATTGTGTTAGCTGGAATAGCTCCGTGGTGTGATTGTACAGGATGTTGCTTCTCCACTGGAGATGCTGACACACGATGGTGGATTGGAGAACAGGGAGCTGATGAGACTGGGGATTGAGGGGGGTAAGCTGGCACCGAAGGCGTGCGCCGACGCAAGATATCAGAAACTAGCTCATGTGTTGATTGTACAGAGCTTTGATTAATCTGGCGCCGGATTGTGTCTAGAGCACGACTAAGCTTCGAATATCGCATCACCAGGGCTTTCTCAGGAGCTGTCAATTGCGAGTCCTTAATTTGCTGGCCCAATCTCTGAAGCTCGCCCAGTAAGAGGTTATGGTCCTCAATGGTAGGCTTCCTTAGGTCCACCCGGTGCATTTTGCACGAGCCATCAGACAGGTATTTTGGCAAATCAATGGTAGTAACCTCTGGCATCTGTGGCGAGGCTACTGGAGACGGCATAGCTGAGCTTGGGTGCGCTGACCTTAGCCCGAGGTTATCAACCCCGTTAAGAACCGTAGCGCTGACTGGTGAGGTTGACGGTGGGGGTGTAATGTTTTGCATGTAGGCGGTAGCAATGGCCGTCTGCAACGTTGGTCGCATGCGAGGCGCCGGCGCCGGCTGCTCTACACTTGAAGCTCGGGAATATAACGCTGCTCTCGGAATTCCTCCAGTCAAAGCCCTCGTCTCGACTACAGGACTTGCTCTACTCTCAGCTATACTGCTTGGAGAGTTTGTAAAATCTGGTTGTCTAACTGTTATTGGGGTAGGAACTGGAGAGGGGAGGGGAGGGGGTGGAGAATTTTCTGTGACTTGTGGCCAGGGTAATAGATTTATAGACAGGGTATTTTCCTGAGCAGAACGCGAAGTCGTCGGCAAATTTGTCATTGATATAGGATTTGAAGGCGGGTTAATAGGCGGCTGTTGCTCGATTCCCAAAACTGACGTCCGCGGCGGAGCGCTCTGCTCTTCAAGCTGAGTATCAGGAATAGTTATGACAACAGATTCAGCTGTAGGTTGATTCGGCGCAGGAGATTTCTGTGGAACGGGTGGCGACACAGCGGCGCAGGAAGCCTCTGCTTGAGGTTTTCGCTCTAAGTTCGACATCTTTGAAGGCGTCGTTTTGACTCTCTTTGGTGGGGGGGCTTTCGGGCCGTATGAAGAATTTCCTTCGGCTCCTTGTTGCATCCATGAATGTCGTCTGCCCCCCATAAACATAGAAACAGTATTATTAACATTTGCAAGACTTTAAAGAGTCCGGGGTTGTATGTTAGCGAAAAATTCAAGTAAATAGTATGCAGTCAGGGTTTGTTGGTGTGGGTAGCCAATACATACTCGATATCTACTTTTGAGCTCGAGATCGAGCTCTTACGTTTTAAAGATGGCGAGGTAAGGGAAGGACGTCCCGGGCCCGCTGATATAGAGGTATCAATTCGTACTCCCTGGTTGGTACTTGTAGGTTCAATGTCTTTGCATGCGCCGTGGGACGGCCGATCCGATTCAATTGTTGCCATTGTTTCTTCGGGCATGAAGGTCTTATTGGCACGAAGAATCGGGTAGAAATAGTGATATAAAATTTTTGGTAGACGATAGAACCCGACTTCCCGTCTGCATTGAGAGAGCAGAAAAACAAGCCTTTTTCTAGAGAGAAAAATGAACCAAATTGATGTAGCCAGGGAGTTCCCGTGAGGAGGAGGAGGAGGGGATAGTGAGACTTTGATATATGGGAACAGCTTTTCCAGCTACCCAGTTCACAGGTCTTATTCGCGGAGAGTAATTAATAAAGGGGGGGTCTTAAGCCCAACCCAGGGTTTGTCTGAAAAGAAATATATTAGCATCGGGGTTATCTTTGGTACGTCTTGGTACACTGAGTTCTCAAGGCCTCAAATGTTATTCGGAGGACGTCGTCTCGATCGCCAACAACGACTTCACTGGAGAAAGGAGGACGTTCACTTGGCTGTCAAAACAACTTGTGGGCCTTTGGTCTTTCTTCGCTTCGAGAAAAACGGTTAAGTGGTGCGTTATAGGGCTTAGAGCACACCGTTATAATCCGGAGACGACAGGCTCTTTCTCGCATGTACACCAAAAGAACCAATTGCAAGACGGTAAAGCGCGCTGGCGTGCATGATATTATGACGTGCACGTGTGGATAACACTAACTCAAGCTGGTAAACCAAAACAACTATCACATATAAATAGTGTGGGAGTACTTGCGAAGTCCCCAGTGTGCAGAGCCAGGAGCACCCTGGAGGACCTTGAGAATACTTCTCCCAAGCCCTTCAGAAGGCACCAGACTAAACTGTACAGAGTATTGCACACGAAATGGAAACAAACCAAAAAAAAAAAAAAAAATTTCACATAGAAGATGGCCGCTTTAAGTGTCACAAGCGAGCGGATCGATCGATCAAGATCCAGTCAAGACAAGACACGACAGAGCCTTATGCACTGTGCAATAAACTGATATTGCTTGGTAGCATCCGAGAACCCGATTGTGAAAAGCCACAAAATCCTGCAGCAAAGAAGTAATGCTAAGGAAATGAATCCGAAGATATATATATATACCAAACAACGACGCTGAGAGAACAACAAACGGACTTACATTTATGTGATTCGTCTTGAGCAGAGTTTTCAACAATTCTCCGCCAGGCTTCGGGGTTGACGGTCTCTAGGAATATGTACCTAGTGGAGATGTAGCATCTCGTACCGAGGCAGGTATCCAGGTACTAACAAAAATTAAATACCGAGGGTGAAACGGGAATTAGCAATTGAATATTGGAATATAATGCGACCATACGAATCATCAAAATGAATGGTAGAACATAGTGGGTAAAGGGATCCATACGGAAAGTCCAATATATATTGAACGCCAATTCCAACGGTTCAAGGAGGAAGGAGAAGACTAATCGAATGCTTGCTTAGATCGTGGCTCGAAGGTAGAAATAATATATTCCCACGTATTCGTCTAGAGATCCTGAAGCTTTTCGAATGCCGCTTGGTTGGGTATTGAGTATTCTTAATCCTGGACTTTATGTTGTTTGTCCCAAATTGGTTCATGAAATTACAGTGACGGGTGCCAAACACTGCATTAAATTCGGAAGAGCACAGATACTGTCGTAATTTTTGTTGATATGGTCTAGTCCGGTTCCGATGTAGAACAATCGACATGCAGACACGAAGACGAAGAAGCGCTATGGAGGAGGTGGTTGAAATCGAAATATCCAGAGTATCTTGTATTTTGGGTCTTGGTAGGCAGCTGTTGGGTTTTATAGATGAGCTCAGGCAGCCAGCTCCTCCAGCTCTGCGTGCACGCAGGTGAATGGGAAGAGTCAGTCCCGATGAGGAGGAGGAGGAGGAGGAGGAGGAGAAGGAGGAAGATCGATATCGATATCGATAGCAGAGCTAGAAGGAAAAAAGTTTTTTTTTCCTCTCTCGTCAAAGGCTTTCGGATCTAAGGCTGAGCTCCCAAAATAATTGCAGCGCAATCTTCTAATAGTCTCCAAGTTTGTTGATTGTGTTGGATCTGATTCAATTTCAAACTTTTGAGCCTCGTTCGACTTGCTTAAGCGAGTAGGAGCTTGCAAGCTTGTGTCTCGCAAGCAGCCAAACGGATATATATAATAGGGAGTTAAGCCAGGTCAGGTCAGGTCAGGTCTAACTAGAATGGTGATGACGATGACGATGACGGTGATGGTGATGATAAGTCAGTAGCGTATCGTATGTCGTTGGATAATTGGATAATTGGATAATTGATGGTATAAAATAATATAACGAAAAAAAAAAAAAAAAAAAAAAGGAACTTTGGTTATATTAGTATCGATATCTCCGTAGCACTTCCCTTCCTCCTAGTTGGGTAGGTACCATGGACCAAGTACTAGTATAAGTCAGTACTTAGGTAGTATAGTATAGTATAGTATAAGATACTAAACCTATCTATCGTATATCAGTATATATATATACCTAAGTATCGGTATAGTATTCAGCAAGCAAGCAGTTTCCCGTACTACCGTGAATAACGAACGATACGTGCTTCAGAGGTATGTATTATTAAGAAGTGGCGGTTGACAACCTTATATATTTTCAGGTGTCTTTTTTTAACTCGTCTTTCTCTTTTCTTTCCTTTTTCCTTCGTCTGTTCACCACCTTTTGATTATACATTCAGTCAATATGTAAGTTCCTTTTCTTTTCTTTCTTCTTCTTCTTCCCGAATATCAGCTGTGTCACACACCTACTAGTCCATCGAGGACTCTGTATGTAAGTACAGACATAAACGGGTTAGTTAAAGTTGGTTCAAATTGAAATAAACAGAACAGGGTGAGAAAAACAAAACTGGAAAGGAAGAAAGAAGAAAAAAGGAAAAAACGGGAAAAAAAGAAGAAGAAGAAGAAAATAAAATCTATAACTTTCCAACGTTCATTTTATTTACTACTCTTCAAAGCAGTTAGCTGTTGTTCGTGCTTCGAGGCTAGTTGTTGGATCAGGCATAATTCGACTCGGGACAAGTCAAGCTGCACCAAAATCACCAACCTTCATATCCAACTAATGCTTCAATCCTTGTCCGCCAACATTTCAATCCGTTCACAGACGCTTCTTTGTCGACTCTACGTTTGTCACTCGACCAGAATCTGAGAAAGCAATACTTATTAATGGATCGGTACAGATCCTGTCCATGCTGGCTCCCTTCCCGCCCCCTGCCACAAATCTGTTTGCTTTTGCGGCAAAAATCCCTCATACAAATCCCAATGTTTGCTGCTGTTATTTGTCTGGGCCTTTACAATTCTGGCGAGGTTCACATGACGGACCCACAGGATGCATGAATGTCGCGAGCAGTAATTCCGGGAAACCTTTAAAAGGCCCAAATCCCCCACTATTTTTTGCTAAGCATGCAACTGTGATAAAATGAAAGCTGCACAACAGTCGAAATCCGACCTATCAGATCTCTCCTTATACAAAAGTTCCCGAACCTCTCAAGCCCCAGGACTTGCCTCATTCCCACAAAAAGTACTTTCATGACAAGCAAGCAAGTACTTATATATATATTCGTCTGTATTGGCAAGAAATGTTGTCAACCAACCGTAGTATTCGTTAGTCTTGAACACATCGTAATTTATATGTCTGTACCACATATTCGAGAGAGAGACATAATCAGTGAGAAGGCGTTCGGGGAGACGGGTTGGCTTGTTCAATACGCCCCATAGATCTGCATTCTGCATTCCCTATATGCATCGCGATATCTTTCTTCCATCCCATATAACAAACCCCATTTTGTGACATCCTTTTTGCGCATATGTAGATTAGACCACTTTGCTTCGAATATCTACACTAAGCATGTAGATTGAGATCCATAGTCAAAAAAATCAGAGTGGATATAACTATCACGGGATTGGATGCGCATCTGTCGTGGCGTTCGCAAAAAATATTCCTATTCGGCAACAGATGTCGAAGGAGCTCTGTAGATGTTTCCGCGCCACCGCCGCTAGCCATGCAAATCCTGTAGATTCGGGTAAGTACCAGGATTGTGATAAGATAGCCTTCCTATCCCACCTTCAGTCAAAGCTTCCAGAAGAAATAGCTGCGTTCAGAAGGTGCCGCCACAAAACCAATCTGCCCGCATTCGCAACAGGAGGGGCAACTTATATCGATAATAGGCATGCGGAGCCAAACATCGTGATGCTGGTACACACTCTCCGAATCTTCGGATAAGTACCAGTTCTTTAGGACCAGACCTCGTTAGATTGTAGGGTTCGCTTCAGATGGTCACCGCATACTTTCGAAATGGGGCGGCTGGAAAAGAAGCTTCATGGTGGACCCCTAGGCCCTTAGAGAATGCTTCGATATAGCTTCGACGAAGTACGTAGTAGTACCGCGCAGTATAACAAGCCGTATCCACAAGTGTCCAGAATTTACCTAACCATTTGTCTAGAAGCGTTCAAAAATTGGAGGATCTCTAGAACTGGTTCGGTTTGGAACCAAAGCCACAGCCAAATCTTCCGTCGCAATAAGGTTTGCGCGATGTTTCTGTAGTCGAAAACTAACTTCTGTCGATTTGCTCATTGCTGCCGTCGTAGTACCCGAGGCCTGCAATATATCGATCTGACTTGACGTTTTACAATCAACAATCTTGATGCCAATATCACATGTTCAACCTTGAGGCTTTTAACCCTTTAGCCTCTTGGTGGAGTGAAGGGCCTAGTTAGTCTGCCAACAACTGTGTTCTTTGTTAGTAACCGCCACCGTATAGCACTACTACGAATCCGTCCTGAATAGGATTTCCGAGTCAAGAACCATCAAGTTCATGTCATGATCGGAGCCACAGCGACGCAAGTTCCAAAATTCAAAGACCCTCATCGATTTTTCCCACCGAGTCGCATCGGCATAGAAGCCTCTCGCAACGGCGCCGTAGTCCCGCTTTACCCACCCAAGCGAGATTGGACTTGGTTGTTTCTATCAAACTCGCTTCGCATCCATAAGCCCAAAACAGCTGGCTCTCCGCTCCGCAATCCTTACAGATTAACAACATTGTGTCGGGCGAAAACCAACAGTAACAGCTTTCTTCCTTGTGTCGATACGCGCGCCCTTCGTCGTTCCCAGAGGTCCCGCTTCTCGCGTTTTGTCGACAGATAGGAATAGGACCACGTAGCCCGTGGTCGCCCGCCGCCGCCGGCAATTTGTGCGCGATCTGGATTGAACCCAAAAAACACCCCGGAAGGGCACCTCCCTCCCTTGCTAGATAATGGCCGATCACCAAGTCGTCGACTATCTCCGGGTCCTGCACGATTTCGATGCTCGGTCGCCGGATGAGCTGACGCTTAAGAAGAATTCTAAGATCGAATTGTTGGAGCGAGATGAAGAGTACAACGATGGGTGGTATTTGGTATGTAGCCTCCGTATATCAAAATGGTTCCCCCGAATTGGGGCGTCCCCGCCAACAACATTACCCATTGCGGCCATTCTGGTTGGTTTGCGATGCCTTGGCTGCAACCGCCGTTGGTTTGCGATTTCCCTAGAGCGTCGTAGATATACCTAGTTAGATGAAATACTTTATTTGCTGATCAGTGTTAATAACAGGGGCGAGATCCGGAGAGTGGAAAGGTTGGACTGTTCCCACAAGGTGTGTTCCATTCGACGTCTTCTATAACCACAGCCCGGGAGGCCAGCAGCAACAATGGCAAGAAGATCTTCAATAGATTTCGAAGCTCTGAGAGTGAAAATCCGACAAAACATCTTATTTGGCGCTAACAATAGGCGTTCGTCTGCAGTCTACACGGCACAATGGCCACCAGAGTCAGCATTTTCACAACCAACAATCCTAGGTATGCATATATTGCGCCTGACCTCTAGTATCAAATTTCTATAACCAAGGCTAACAGCCTAGCAGAGAACCAGGTAGCGCCTGATAGTGATGTCGCTCCCCCGCCAGCATACTCGTCGGCGCCCTCGGAGCCGAAGCAGGAGATTCCAAAGAGGCTTTCGGTCACACCAAGCGAGCTGACTTTGGATGAGGCGGGAAAATATGGTGGATCTGCAAAGGATGTCACAGCCGAAACCCCACCGCTGGCTTTAGAAAACAATGTGGACAAACGGCGCGTTTCAGAGGATTTCAAGAGAGAACACCCGCAGATACAGAAGCTGAGTCGCAGCCCGGTGGTTGAAGACACGTTGAGCGACATAGAGGAGGCACTATCGGAAATTCGTACGGCACCCCGTTCCGTGGGGACACATGCTCAGAAGAACAAGCAGCCACCTCCGATCATGGAAACCCCGGAGGCTCACGCGCCTACAGAGCAAGATTTCGACGACTCTGCTTCGGATTATTCGAGAAGCGCCTTTGATAATGAAAGCTCTTTGTCTCTGGCGATTGCGAATCAGCCATCTGTCAGTGGCTATCTTGAGCCTTCCAGCCGGGCAACCTATACTGGGCGATCTCGGGAATCGATACAACGACAAAGTGATCACCCACTGCAGTATTCTCAGCAATTTGAACCGGAGTCTTCTTCAGATGAGGATGGGGATATAATAGATCCGGTATACTCGGCGGAGGAAATCCGCTGTTGGACGCCAGCCCAAGTTTCTGCCTACTTTCAGGAGCAACATTTGCCGCTGAGTATTTGCGATAAGTTCGAGGAGCAGGAGATTAACGGGGCTATCGTCCTTCAGCTCGAGATGGCTCACCTCAAAGAACTTGAACTTGGTAGCTTTGGAAAGCGGTTTGAAGTTTGGAAGGAGATTGAGAAGCTTCAGTCAATAGTGAAGAGTGCTGGGGGATCAATTAGTGAAGCTGCCAAAGAGAAGAAGGCTCGCAATAGGAGTAGCAGTACACCAGCTGGGGTCCTTCCTAGGCTACCTAGCCTCCACAATCGTCCACCTGCCCGAGGAGGCTCTTTAGCAGTACCGTCGACGCATATAGAAGAAGCGATATATGATCCGATGAATCCCATACGAGGTGAGACCTTAGTATCTTTTGTCTTTTCTTTTCCACCACTACATACAACCTGGCTCGTCAGATAGACGGCCCAGAGAAGGAAGCTTGGAGCACAGGCGCTAACCACCTTGTAGAGAGCCCTACAACCATGAGCCCATCCAGTCCTGGGCCAGTACCACCGCCGAAGTCTGATGTTGGATCCGGTAAGTTAGCAATACCAATGCCCTCGCAAAGCTGGAAGATTGGGCTATACTAACTTTGATAAAGCCGTTCATAGCGACGGACGGTCTATATCGACGGCCTCGATGGAACGGGCCTCGAGTAGTGGAGGACAGCAGCCCCAACGGGTACCCGGAGTTCATGGACGGGACCCGTCATTCGACCGGGCCTGGACGTTGAAAGGCCACAAGGCCAACGAGAGCTCTGCCAGCGGCAGGAGCAGATATACAGGTGATAGTGGCTTCGCATCGCAATCGTCATCGAGTGTATTTGCCAACGAGAGTCGTTCTTATCATAATGCAGGTGCCAGTGAAGATGGAGGCAAACGGGACCGTAATGTGCTGCACAAGAGAGCCGGCAGCTCCGGCAGCCACGGCCATCATGTCGTTCATAGCAAGAAGTCCAGCTACACCGAGGAGCAGCGGAGCCGCTCAGGTAACAACACTCCAACGTCCACTCCGTCCTCACCTCTACCGTATCCTCCTAACCCACCTCCACCTCATCCACCATCACCATCACCATCCCTGCGAGGTGTCGTCTCTAAGCAGACTTTCCCTGTTTCCGAGAGGTCGTACGAGACGGTACATCTCGCGAATGCTTATCCATACGCTCAAGCACCTAGACCATTTTCCCGAGAAAGCATTAACCAATCCTTCGTTCCTTCAGGATATTCTTCACCATCACCGGCTTCAATTGTCTACCATAATACCGTCAAAGGGCGGAAACGAAGCACTAGCGAAACCCAGATCGCGTCACTGGACAGCCGGGCCAGAGAAAGCCTTGCTGCATCTGTTATGCCAGGTGGCAAGCCTCTCAGTGTCGAAAGACCCCCACCTGTTGAGGAGAAGCACGTCCCTCCAAGTATCCAAACAAAAGCCGGACATCCTCATAGATCCATCTCTGACGGAGCAGAAAAAGCAATGTCGATGTCTCCGATGTCCCAGGATACAAATTCAACTTTGATGTCGCCGAATGGTAGTGAACATTCAGCTTCCATTAAGATTACAATTGATGCCCCTGAGAGGAAATCGGACGAGTCAAAGCAACGAAACGGTAGTAGTGGGAAGGACAAGAAACTTCGGAGCGTCGCCTCTGCATCTGGAATCAGGCAGAAGTCTAAGAAGCAACTCACGAGTGCTTACCTCGAAGGACTCAAGGAAGTCAAACCTGCCGATGCTGCCAAGGACGCGGATTTCAGTGGCTGGATGAAGAAGCGCGGCAGTAGCGCTGTCGTAGCCTCGTGGAAGACTAGGTTCTTCGTCCTTAAAGGCCGACGTCTTTCATACTTCTATTCGATGGATGATATAAAGGAACGGGGCTTGATAGACATCACTTCTCACCGCGTTCTTCCTGCCTCCGACGACAGACTCGTCTCCCTCCATGCGTCAGTTGCAGCAATAACATCGTCACCCTCCCACGCTTCTTCAGCGACACCTGGTAACGGCCAATCCGGGCCCAATCTTCCTCCGACACCACCATCAAAGGGTGGCTGGTTTACCTTCAAGCTCGTCCCCCCGCAGCCAGGGGCAGCTAAGGGAGTCATGTTTACCCCTCCCAAACTTCACTATTTCGCTACTGATTCGAAACAAATCGGACGAGAATGGATGGCTGCTTTCATGAAGGCAACTATCGACAGAGACGAAACCGCACCGGTCATTAGCACCTTCTCCGCTAATACTATTAGTTTGGCGAAGGCGCGGGCTATGAGAGCGCGGCCTCCAGGCTTTGGTGATAACAGCACCGATCCCGAACCTTCCCCAGCTCTCGGTCTTCCGATCATGAGCTCCCAAGGTAGCTTTAATGATTCTATCGAGTCTGCTCTCGCGGAACGACACCTCATCGATGACGATGCTGCCAATGCGGCCGATGATGAGCGATAGCCGCCATCTGAATCTAGATGCTAGGGCGATTTTCTTCTTTACTTCTTGCTACTTTCTTTCTTTCTTCTTTCGATTCATGGTCCATACTTCAGTCTCTACTATGACCTTTAATGCTTCCCCATTCTTTTGCCTTCTCAGCTTAGCCCTTTCTTTACCTACTTGGTTTATTGAACCGTTAACTCTGGGCATTTCTCGCGTAGTAATTGTCCCGATTTTCTCCATTACACTACATCATGTTTGTTTGCACAATTACCTTCAGTGCAATTCGTTTTCCATACAGAAACCCTCTTTGCAAATACTAGCCGTTTTTGTCTTTTTATTCTCCTTGTCCTTTTGTGACAATTCAGGTCCGCCTGAAGAAGATGTCGGTTTTTTCTTCTGTGGAGGAATCTTGAGCTTTTGCCTTTCTTACTACAACATAAATTACGGGAGATGTACGATAGCTTGGTACGAGGAGAGAAGGGGATGATATTCACACCGAAACACAATTCATGAATTACAATCCCATAATTTTAATTACATCGGGAGATTTTGTGTGAAAGCATACCCTAAAGGTTAAGGTTCACAGAGGTCTTCGACTTCCAAAATGCTTGTACGTACAGATAGGTATAGTTTTACCAAAGACCATGCGCATGAGGCTCACCTTGACTGGCCGTGAAGGTATTATCCAACCCATTAACATATCTCATCTTCTCCGGCCTGACCACCTCTTTCAAATCCTTCCCTAAACCCTTCAAGTCCAATGCCAAAACATTTACACTCAAGATTTCGCCGATATTATTGACTGGGATGTTCCCGACGATAAAGAGGTTAGTACTGCATGTTTTGCAGAAGAAGTGGCGGCCCCACTCTTCGCCCTTCTTACACTCCCCGCGGTGATAAGCTGGAGAGTAGTAAGTTAGCTCCGGGGGGAAGAGCGAGGTGTCGGTAGTGTTTGCGTATCTGGCGACTACTGGTTCGCCAGAAGGGGTATTGGTAACTGAGATATCGCCGGGTTTGAGCATCGTACCGAGCCTGGAACGGTCAGGAATGTACAATTGCAGTTGATCATGAGGTTATAGACAATAGCAAGCCACTTACTTCCCAGTGGCGGTACAGATCGTGCCTATGTTCAGCGGAATTAGAAACCACAAGTTGAAGATCAGATCACATTTATACGCTATGGACGAGCAAGCTGGTATCGGACATACAGTTGCACCTTCCAACCTTGCCTAGATCCACATTATTGGCCTTGAATTTGATTGCCCCGCAGTGGCAAGAGCCATTGATCTCATAGCTCTCAGATGGTGTTTCAGGGGCGGCGGACATTGTGTAGTCAATAGAAATAATTAACAAGCTCAAATTAATCGAAAGAAGAGTCTAGTCGAAGAGCACGATAGAGTCAAGAGTTGGTGATGTTGGATATTATGTAATAGTGCGTTGTATGGGGAAAACACAAAGAGCATTCGCGTTCAAGCTGCTTGGGTGCCTTGGTTTATATACCTGAGTACTGCGTAAGTAAGCTGTTCTAGACTAGATAAGCACCTAAATGAAAGACAAAGGATCACCAGACACATATCTAGGAAAGACCCCTCGTTTGGGGCGGAGCGAATCAAATTCCAGCCTCGAAGCAGGCGGAGAAATCCTAAAATGCCACAGTGCTTAAAGGGTTTATCAACATTATCGTGCAGCGGGTTAGCCTGCAGTCCCAACAAATAAGCCAGCACTGTAATTGCTCTAGATCGGCGAAAGTTGCAGCTTTCCCAAGAGCTAGCACACATGGAATGCATGTAAAGTTCCTTGATCTGGGTTACCGTGCTATGTAAGTAAGCATGTACAGTCATAAACTAGTCGGAGACGCTTGCCTCTGCCCTGTCATAAACCCGAGCTAGGCCGCGCCCCAGAAACGCGAAGTCCAGTGACTTGGGTCCATTACCCCACCGGGAGTTCTAAAACCCACAAACAAATATCAAGATGTCACAGGTCCGAGCGTATGGCCTTGATAATCTAATTGTTGGGCCTTTGTTAGTGTCATCTCGTCTCAGGGGTCTGCGTACAACGTCCCACAAATTGATCCTGTGAAGGCTCCTCAGAGTTCCGAGACCCGTCCTCACTTGAGCGAGATGCCTGCTTTTGGCCAATGTGACTAATCTGGCGGACTACTGCAGACGGCAAAGACCTTCATGGGTACGGCCTGTTGCAATCTTTACCCCAACACGGTTTTGTAGCCAACCGTCCGTTTCACGTTTGTAAAAGGCAAGGTTTTCGATTCGGGGTATCATCGAACCTGAATTCGCACCGTCTCCAGAGCTCTGGTCAGCATCCAAAACCTTTCGTCACGAGCGCTGCGTTTTGCCCCAGTCGACGTTTAAAAACTGGTTGTTTGTCCAGCAGCGCTCAAAGTTAAGCCCTCGCGTTGATTAGCGCTGCAAGCGCGAATTGGATCCTCCTGTATGCCTCTTTATTTGGCCAGCCCACTGATCCAGATCTCGCTGGACCTCGCCTCATATCTGCATAAGCCCGGCCAATCGAATCGTGGCTTTAACTTGTCCGACATCATCTACGGCCGGCTGCGGCTTAAAAGTACCTCGAGTCCACTTCGTTTGCCTTCCGAGTCGATTTCCATACCCTTCCCTCCCGAACCGACTAGCACCAACAGCCGATAGAATATCTTCCGTCTAATCAGGTCGTAGAATATTCGGTGAAAGTTCGAGTTAGGCTGCCATAGGCTGGCTGGTAGCCGGCGTGGATATACTATCCTTAGTGGGGCATTTAGTGTAACCTTCCCAGCTATTAAAACGGCAGCTCGCCCCTCACCAGCAAGATGAGCCAGGCACGAGGCTTTAGGATGCCGGGACAATATCCAGGATTATCGTCAGACAATAGCGACGGCGAGGCTTTTTATAGTGGAGAGAGCGACAGCCCCAGCCGTCGTACTCTGGAGGTGATTCAAACGGAACTAAGGTAAGATAGCAATCATATCAGCCTTGTCTTCTCGGGCCGGTATCACGAGATTCGCAAGACGGAGAGGATGGACGGCCGGAAGAAGGAAGAAGGAATGGGTGTATACATATAGCTACTCTCGGTTGTAGGTATCCAGTCCCGCGGCCTGGAATGGATGAGTGATGGATGTTGTAAGGCAGGACAAGGGAAAGGAGATGGAGAAGGGGAGGAGCCTAAGGTTGGCGTCACGGCAGCTCCAGCGTGTCCCCGTCTCGCGATAGCTGGGGCTTGATTGCGCTGGCTTCATAGCCCCTCTACCTGCTACCCAACCCAGAAGAACCTGCCTCCCACTTCCACCTTCGAGATTCATCTCATCTCCATCTTCATTATTTCCCCTCCATCAATCAACCTGGCGTCCATCAATTCCTCTTCTATCAACCTCACTCATCCAGCATCAACTGTTCTCACCTAGAATATCACTAATTATCTTTATCCCTCTACAGTCAAAAAACAGCGTTACTCGAGTGTCTCCCACAGGAAGATACAAACCCCTACGATTTCGATATTCTCCAAGCCCAAATCCTGAGTTTACAGGAAGAATTTAAAAGATTGGCCATGGATCAACATGATGCTAAAATGGCCGAGCTTCTCCAGGCCTACAATTCCGGCAGTGAAACGTACTCTGCAGTAGATGGCACTCCTGAATTAGGTTCACATCGGTTCAATGCCACATCATCTCGACAGGACACTACTAGGAAGAGGACATATTCTCAACTTGATCGGTCAACTCAGGATAATGAGCTTGAAAATCTTAGACGTCTCGCAGGACCTTCCCATGACTCCCCAGCTCCATCTTTTCTGTACGCGCCTTCTGCTTCATTCATGCCGATGAACCCGACTGGCCTGGGTGACGTCCAGAACGTAGATACGGTTAACAACAGCATGTACCTGCCTACAACCCAAATTTCCGGTTCTAGTAACCACCGCGGAGTATCACGACAGTCACAAATAACTAGGTATGATTGCTTTGGTTTTCAAATATTTATTGATATTTCTTTCATTCGATTGTTTTCATTAACCTAGGCTGTGTAGTGACGAAAGGCTCGCTCACTTTCTTCAACAACAAGAAGTTATTGATCTTACTGGTGATGACGACGACTATGATCCTGCTACCCTATCAACAGCCTATAATCAATTCGCGCCCAGCCAGTACGCAAGAGCCGGGCGAAGTTCGAAAAACACAACTATACCCCGAAATCTACAGCTTACCAACTCTATCCCAAAAGTCGAGCCCGAAATAGGAAACGCTAACTCTGGGGGGCTCGCGGACTGGTCATTTTATAATGAAGACCAAGACCTCATGGTCCAAAACGAACGGATCCCGCTGTTCAACGTACCCGGGCTAGGAGTATCTGATGACCCTATCGTCCTTGGCGATGACAATGATGAAAGCTACGGAGACCAAGGGTTCATGGTCCCGCCTTACGGACTTCCACATCTAAACGCGCAGCGTTTTGGTCTAGCATTCCCTCCAAGATACTTTTCCCATACCTCATTTCCAAACTTCTCCCGAAATTCTGATCCTGACATACTCTATAACGATATCAGGCATCGAGCGAGGGATGAGCAAGAGGACGTAAAAAAGCTTCTTGAGCACTTGTCAGATGACGCCGAGAATAAACGCCCGAGTGACCGCTTACAAACTCCACCAGAACTAGCAATAAAACTGATGGAGCATCAGAAAATTGGCCTCACATGGCTTGTAAAGCAAGAAGAGAGCAGCAATAAGGGCGGTATCCTCGCTGATGACATGGGTCTTGGGAAGACCATTCAAGCAATTGCATTGATCATTCATCGAAAAAGCAGCAACCCACACCACAAAACTACCCTAATCGTCTGTCCCGTTGCCCTGATGGCTCAATGGCAACGAGAAATCCAGCTCAAAGTTAAAGCCCGGCATGCTCTATCAACTTATATCTACCACGGTACCCAGCCAAAAAGATACAAAAACTTCAATGCCTTGAAGGAATTCGATGGTAAGCTACTAGAAATATGAAATAGCAGGCTACTGGCTAACCATCGTAAAAATATAGTCGTTCTAACTTCCTACGGAACGATTGCCGGAGAATTCAAGAAAAAGCAGGCCTGGATGGCTGAGAAACGGGTCAGATTCCCCGCGAATGAATTCCCTTTCTTGTCAAGTGAAAGCACTTGGTACCGGTAAGGATCCAACATCATTATATCACAAAGCTAGCTTTTGAACTGACTTGAAATTCCCATAGCGTTATACTTGACGAGAGCCAACGTAATCCCGAATCCTAAACCCCATAAAGCGTGTTGGAGCTAATTAAGATAAACTAGATATAAAAAATCATAGGACGTTAGCTAGCCGAGCCTGTACCGATCTTATGGCAACATACCGATTATGTCTCAGCGGAACCCCCATGCAGAATAACATTGATGACCTTTTTGGTGCGGTTCGATTTCTTCACCTAGCCAGGTACCGCGAATTCCGAGCTTGGAATACGGATTTCGGATCTAAGATTAGGCTTGGGAGGAGTTTTGCAGCGGACGCTATGCAAAGATTGCAAGCACTCATCAAGGCAGTAATGCTAAGACGGAAAAAGGATTCTCTGATCGATGGGGCACCTTTACTTGTCCTTCCACCAAAAAGCATTGAACTGGTCCATCCAGTTTTCAACGAAGACGAACAAGAAATCTATAACGCCGTCGAGCAGAAAGTTCAGTTGCGCTTCAATAGGTACATTGAAAACGGCTCGGTACTTCGGAATTACACGTACGTTCTCTTGCTCTTACTTCGGCTTCGCCAAGTTTGCTGCCACCCAAAGATGATCAAGGATCTCTCCGTAAAGGTCACGGATGAAGAGAAGGAGCTACAAGCCAGGTTGATCAGCCAGCTGGGCCCCGGTGTTGTTGAAAGGTTGAAGGCGGACCCTGTTGTCAGCTGTCCAGTCTGCTTAGACAGTCCCGAGAAGATGAAACTGGTATCCCCTTGTGGGCATTGTTTCTGCGAAGATTGTTTGACAAACCATATCAACCTATTAGTAGCGAACGGTGAGGATGTCAATCGACTAACTTGTCCATTTTGTCGTGGGCCTCTTCTTAACCCGTCCAATTTGATTGATTGGCAGGTATTTAAAGAAATACATTTACCAGAGGAAAATGGAATAGAGCAAGAATTGGAAGGTATAGGAAATCAACTTGATAATGTCCTCGGAGGCCAACTTTCAAGTGATTCGGATTCAGATTCGGATTCGGATTCGGACGCAGACTCGGAATTTGACTCTGACGACGAGGGATCTGATCTTGGGGGGTTTATTGTTTCAGATGGCGAAGTCGATTCAAACACAGATAGTGATGCTTCAAGCCGTGCCGGAGAAATCAGGTCACGCTTTAGCCCAGTCCCCCCCGCGAGAGTCAAGCGAGAGCCTGGGCCTTCTCGCCAGAATGGTTTTAAGAAGGAAGAAGTAGAAGACGACTTCGCCCTAACCCAAAACTCCACAGCACCTTCTAACTCAGGGTTTAAATCCGAAGATGACCTCCCTGATGATATATGGGAAGAATTCAAGGTAAATAATCAGGTAAAGGAAGAAAATGATGGAAATGATGGAAATGGACCCCATTCTATCAAAGGCAAAGCCGCAGACATTAAATTGAAGTTTGAGAAAGATAAAAAGAAGAAACCTTCAGGGAAACACAAAGATAGAGGGAAGAAACCGGGCTCGAAGAAAACCCAGAAATCAAAAAAAGCGAAGGGAAAGCAGAAGAAGAAGAAGGAGAAGCGAGTACTAAACCTTAGTGATAAAAGAGCGCTAGCTGTCCGAAACAAAAAAGCTCGTAAGAAGTACTTCCGCGAACTTGCAAAGGACTGGCATTCGAGTACCAAGATTGAGAAGGTCAGAGAGATCCTCAAAAACATTCGAGAGTAAGTCTGATAAGATAAAGACCTCTTGATTTTATTTAATCTAACATGTCTAGCAGGAACGATCCCTCAGAGAAAACAATCATATTCTCCTCTTTTACTTCGTTCCTTGATTTGCTTTCCATCCCGCTAGATCGGGAGGACAAATACAATTTCGAGAGATACGACGGATCTATGACTGCCAAAGACCGTAACGACGCCGTTCTCAATTTTACAGAAAACCCTGATATCACGGTAATGCTTGTTTCATTAAAAGCCGGAAACTCGGGTCTTAACCTCACAGTCGCCTCACACGTCATTATCATTGAGTTAGTTACCCTAATTCCCACATCTCCTTCAAAAACACGCTAATTTTAATTGCGCCTTCAGTCCATGGTGGAATCCATACGTAGAAGAACAAGCGATTGATCGTGCCCACCGAATTGGCCAAGGGCGCCCAGTCTTTGTCCATCGATTGATCATTGAAAATACTGTCGAAGACAGAATTCTCACGCTTCAGGAGCAGAAACGGGAGATAATATCTGCCGCAATGGATGAAGATGCGATCAAAGGACTCAACAGGCTTAGCGTTAATGACCTCATGTATCTTTTCACCGGATCTCGCAACCGGTAAATCCCCGAGCGCAATAATGCTTCGAGCACCAACTACAGTAGCGACTTTTTACGGCCCTTCTGCTCTCCCTTTTCTTACTCGCTTTCTTTTCCTAAACTATTCCCCACCCCTAGACCTAGATTCTAGTGTTGAAATTGTTAAGCATTATCTTTCCGTAGCCATCTTCAGACACTCGAATCCTGTACACACATTATTCCTTGTCGCTTTCTATGGAGTTGGTTGATGTTTATCCTTCTATCTCGTAACTTTCATATATACACATGTATTCGACGGGTTGCACAGGCGTTCAAGGCGAGACAAAATATCCAAACTATTTTAACTATTATTCGACTCGCTAACCCCCAGAATCATGTTAATCTTCAGGTCAATGTATTTTCGGTTGTTGCGTATCTCTTTAGTTATCCATTCCATAGACTTTCGGTGCTTTATATTGCTAGAATTCATTACAGATGGTTGAATAAAATAGGAATTCCTCGAGTTCCCATGTGGTAGTAAGCTAAACTTCTGGGTTATTCATGGCAGTGCGGCTAATACTACTCTTGGAATTCTCTCATTCGAGCATTTCGACCTGCCAAGCCGGAAACTATAAGATTTAGCCATGAAAGTCATGAATACAGATAGATACTCACTTCCATGGAGGTGTCTTTAGACCAAGTAGTCTGGTGGAGCTCTAGACCAAGCCATGGCGCCAGCACCTATTTTGTCTAATCTAGACTAAAGTGAAATCACTAGCATACGAAAAAATCGGGACTTATTATAACACGACACCGTATCCTATATAGATTACGCGCCGTTTGGTGGGGTCTGGTAGATGTGTATAAGCCGAAGGATACAAGGATTATAATTTATGCTGGTTGGTACAAGTATTGATCTAAAGCAAGATCTCAACAACAAAGATATATAAAAATTCAAGACAATAGATTTTAGATATCTCTAGACCTTGATAGTTCCGAGCTACTCTAGTAGCAACATTGATGTCTTTCTTTCTAACAAAGTTTCATGCACATAAATACAGATCGTGCATATGCATGGTCATGAAGCTATGGTTCTAGAGCGTATTCCTGTGGAAACGAATATGTATTAGATCATGTGGTATATATGTACATAAGTAAGTATATATGCATATTTTTTTATTTTTTTTTGTTTTGACATTATCAGCTACGCGCAGGATGGAATAATAGAACTTCCATCAATCCTGTCTTGAATTGAGCTCACATAGCAGCTACTGCTAAGCTAATCCCATGCACGTTTCGCACCATGTTATATATTCCGTTGTATAACTACTGCAATTATAGAAATTTGATTCATTTACAAGTATCTCTCGATGCATTTATTAAAGCTTTTGCCTGGCTGGAAGTGTAACAACATATGGGAAAACCCCTTTAACTTGATCCTAACTCCAATAGATACAATGATGCAGTTCGCCAAATGTCAATCTCAAACATGCATAAAGCAGCCCTACCAACTCTAACATGCTAATGTAACGAAGCGAGGAGTGGTAGAAGCCGCTACCCGAACGTCCGGGCAAAACCTCGTAAACTCGATCGGATTGTCCCTAAATGTTGGTTGGAAATGGAGAGGTTAATGGTAAATATATAGCGGTATATAATGGAGAACTTCGGGTAGAAACTCGTTTTCTCCTTTCGTATTAGCGTCCATAAATGGCCCGAGTCTCAAGTTATTGTGAAGTAGTCCTTGTTTAGCGCGGATTATGTGAGCTTCCCCAGTTGATATGTTTATACATGCCATATGTTGGATTTTGCCGTTTAATCCGTGTTGTGGAGGTCGATCCTAACATAGCTAACGAAGGGGCCGAGGACACCCTGTCGATGGGAGGAAACGGGAGATATTCGTGCAGGAGATTGCGTATAGGATTTTGGTTTACTAGGTTCGTTCCCTTCTTCTTCTTTCCTTTTTTTATTCGATTCCCGACTTGTTCGCTTTCCTTCCTCCAATGGTGATATATTACCCCCAACAGCATAAGCAACCAACCTTAATTCCCACTTTATGCACCTCTTCAATATGCTAGATTGCCTGTTCTCGGATTTCTAATAGATTAGTATCATTCGAGAGTGAACTTATACGGGGGAACTTCACGTTTGTGCGACCGCCTTGGCTCAAAACGAGGGACTTTTCCTATTGGTTCGATCGCACACTTTCTAACATGTGCTGTAGCGCAGCACGAGGTAGGAGTGACAGCTGCATGGTAACCGCCTGTTGTGGGTCGCACGCTTGAGTTACACAGAGCTCTTATAACAAGAGATGTTTACTGGGATGAAACCCGGGGGGCCTTTCTCCCTCATGCACTCGGCGAGGAAGTTCTCTGTTTCTGAATCATGTCGCTGGAACACCTAGGATTTTGATACATGGATGCGTGTATTATATGAAGTAGTAATATATACTGAATTTGTAATTTTTATCACCAGTTTTTCTTATCTATTCTGATGCGCAAAACTGGCCGGGTGTCTCTTAGTCCCCACACACCTCAACGTTGATTAAATACATGGCGCTTCTAATATAGTAGGGGAAAATTCAAAGTGGGGGTATTGTAAAAAGAAGAAGAAGAAAGAACGGGGAGGAGAGATGCGGCATTGGCAAATTGTCCACCGTGAGGATTGATAAAAAAGATATTGTAGTTGCAAAAAAAGAACAAAGCCCAAGATAGAAGGATTTCGCTTATAACACCGTGATATGATCGAAGATATAGACATGACCGTGAAATAGCAAGTAACGAACAGAAAGACCACTAAACAGATATCAAAGGGAAGACGTCACATAAATCCCAAGGATTTTTTTAATTTTAGAAATGTTCTTTCCAGAACGAAAACTGGACGGTCTCGCTGGACACGGATCTGCAAGCCAACTTGACAGACCGAGCTGCTACATTTGGACCGCAGAAGTAGACTCCAACCTTGGTCTTGATGCTGTGGTCTAGACCGCTGATATAACTTTGGTCGAGGATTCCGTCTCTCATCGCACCGAATAGGCGCTTGAAATCCGGACGACCGAAATTTGTTCGAGAGCGGAGTTCAGTCAATGGATCAAGCTCAGCACCAACAGAGTTGAGGACGATATTCTGGGCAGTGTCGATGTCAAGCTTCGCGGTGAGGTAGATGTGAATGCGCAAGAAATCGGCATCGGCAGAGAAACCGGCTGTTTGCGATTGGCGTTCAAGGGAGGAGAGAAGAGTGTGGAACCATTCAAATGAGGAAACCTCCTTGCAGACCCAGATGAATTCGACACGACGGAGACGAGTTGGTGGGTTTGGACCTTGACGCTTATGCCAGATACTCTTGAGGATGGACGCCCATGGGGTGACACCGATACCGGTACCGATCAGAACAGCAATTTCATTTTCAAATACATCTTCTGCTGGAGCTCCGTATGGTCCGTCAATGCGTAGAGCTGGCATTTGTGCACCGTTTCTGAGGGCGATTTCAAACATTGCGGTAGGATCCATATTGGCGAGTTCCATGGCCTTGGAGTTCTTACCGGCGCCGAGAACCTCACCGAGATCAGTAGTGAAGTCACCAACTTGGCGAACGTGTACTGAGATATATGGGTCGGATGGGCAAGAAGTAATGGTGAAAGGATGCCATTGGAAGCGGGAAATGGATGGAACGTTGAGGAAGAGCCATTGGCCAGCCTTGTATTTCATCGATGGCTTCTTAAACTGGATTTCAATGGCGTTGTATGGATGTCTGATAACCTTGGTGATTTGAGTCTCCCTACGAGCTCTAATCATGCGATAGACACGCTCGATGAAGTAGATGACACCTGGAGCCAATGTGAATCTCCAAGACTGATAACCGATGCAGTGGTCCCAGAAACGTTTTCCAGCGAATGGAGAGATGGGTGTTTTCGTGTCGGTATCTCGCACGAAACAGCCGGTGGCGTGGGTGTACAATCCAATGAAGAAGATGAGGGCCAAGTGATGGGTGTACCAGAAGACTTCGAAGGACTGATTACGAATCTTGTGGTGGGCGGTGGTGTACATCAAGAGCATGCACAACAGCATAACATGGCCCGTGATACCACCAGCATCACCGTAATGGATTTGCAAAGCGGTGAGGGGTCTAGCTTGGAGTTTCTCGACATTGAAGAAGCTACCATCGATATGTATGTTAGTCAAGTATTCCGGATGTTTAATTCATACGACTAGAGACTTGTCACTCACTTGACGTAATGTGCGGTGGTATGGACAATAGTGAAGAAGAGCATGCTGTATGCAACTTGTCTATGAAACCATTGCGATTCATCCAGAGGCAACCATCTAATCTTGGGTCTCACGACACGCAAGATGGTCCTGCACATGGGGAGCAATATCAGACCGCAATCATAGGCGAGAACCAAACCGGCACCACGAGAAATCCAGACGGAGTACTTGAGACCGTTGAGAAGAGACAGACGAGGATCCTGGGCTTGTTTGATCCTGCAAATTCACATCCAGGTTAGTATTTCACACTTTGAGTACCACAAAAAGAAGCGAGAATTGGAATTGGAGTTGGAATTGGATTGCTTACCATCCGTATGCAAAGAGGCCCCAATGCGAGCCATACCAGAATATCCAAAAGAACAGCCTCCTACTCAGGATTTCCCGATGAAATCTCGACTCTTGTTTATCTGCTGCCATTTTTGCGGTATATATCGGCGTATAACCCAAACGACAATTGAATAAAGTATTAAGTGTGCCTGAGGACGTTAATTCCGTTGACCAGCAACAGACGTTATATACTCCCACAAATTGTTTAATAAGGAGAAGAAAGAAGGCGGGGATTCGAGAGATTCAGGCAAAGGAAGGTGAGAGTGATTGCAAGATCTCCGGCTCCTCGAGAGTGTATCGTGGATTCTTGATATAATAAATCCAAACGGAACACGACGTACACAACGGAAAACGTCCACAAACTTCGTTAACTACTCTAGAAAAGAAAAGGACAAAAAATGGACGTGCCGGGGGGAGACGTGCTTGTTAAAGCTAAAGACTGGCTGGTTGGACGGCGGGGTGGGAAAAAGGAAGATAGCTGCCCTGGTCGCCCAAATAACGCTAAGGAAAGAATGTATTAGACAAGAACACGATGGGATATTTGCTCCGAAGGCAAGAGGTCCAGAGAGAGAATTGAATGGAAAGGAACGTGGAAGGCACAGCCCGGGCCCTTGTAAATCAACTAGCAGACAGCTGCAGAGCGTATGCAAGTTGTCGAATCGAAAATTGGCCAGTGTGGAGGGAAAAGAGAGAAAAAAAAGAGCCACAAGCTCGGCTTCTCTTGTGGAGACTGCCTGGAAGATAAGTGAATTGCAGCCAGCCAGCAGCCAGCCAGCGCTAAATGGCGGGATGCCATTTGGTGTGTTTGGTTGGCCCCAAGTCACGGACCCACTGGGGCGGTTCGAAACCTTGGCCAGACGCTCTGTGCATGAGGACTACCCCGGGCGAGACACTGAATCTTCAACGTAAAGGCTTCTTCGACCCAATTCGGTAAGTCCGTCCACAATTCTGCGCTGCTTTAGGCGTGATGATGGCATTTTACGATCTTGCTCCATTGACCATGTTGACCATATTATCCCTTTGATAAGTTTGTAGGGGTCGGTCAGCCTTTTCGGTGATGTTCGCTTAGGTCAGGGACCCGACTTCGAAGCTTCAAAGTTTGGCGTCGGAAACATGTTTGGTATATATTTGTTTCTTGTCTCTGAACCTGCAAACGAAACGCTGCCTGAAAGCAATTTTGAATGCTGAATCCTGTCCTTCGGTTTGATCCGTTCTGCGAATCTGTCAGCGAGCCGTCAGCCGTAACAGCTCCCTTGAGAAACGAAACGCTGTCTGATAGAGAATGGACATCTCGATCGATCGATCCTGGCTTCTGGAATACATGCAGTAACCGCTCGCTCGGTCTCCTGTTGATGAAAGATTGATTGCATTTCGATGCTTCCGGTAAGCGCTCGAGTTGCACACGCACATGCCTTACACTTATCGATTCAGAAGTCCGTGTGCAGTCGAAATTCAGGAAAACCTCGTATTCTATTCCTTTGGGGCTGCGAGATGTCTAAACTCAGCGAACGTGATTTGTTGAAGCTATTGGCACACGGCACAGCGTAGCAAATGGGCATTTGCCAGATGGGTCCTTCAAGAATGAATAGTCACGGGATGCCAACGTGATCCCGCTCGACGTGACTCGACCTGCATATCCCGGGCGGATGGGACGAAGTAATAATAACAGTTTGCTAATCTTCACGATCCCATCTCAACTTTGATTCGATTAAACTTCAACGAAGATGTCTTGATTGATTTCGACTGGTCGAACTGCGCTGTGCCGGATTACGAACAGTCTTTAGCGAGTTCCCCTGTGGATCCCATGCATTAGCAAACATAAGAATCTGGTGTTTCCGGGCGGGGCGACCAAGGTGTGGCAATCGAAGACCAAGAAGGTTCTATTTTAAGCGCTGCGGCTTGCATATATCTCGCATACAACCAATCAGACAGTCGGGGAGCTTGTTCGTCGACGGCCTCCCACCCAGGAACCAAGATCCATCCACAGGAACGTCCCAATTTTTCAACAAATAACGTTGCCAGCAAGTCCGAGTGGACTAATCAAATCCCATCGAAATTTGTAATTTGCGCGATCGAATTGGTCTTGTATGTACTATGCAAGGCTCTGCTCGGGCAGACATACTATATACTCCTGTGCCAACCGAGCTCCTTTGGTCTGGATCTTTTCATGGCGACAAGGGCGCCGGAACCTTTCGAATGGCTCTTGCAAGGTGGCGCCCCCAGCTTAGCGATCACTAACCTTAAATCACTCTCCTGAGAAATCGCGATCTTTATTCTCCTAAACCAGATATTGCAAATAAAGTGCGAACCAAGCCTTTTGGGAGGACGCATCGATCCATACATACATTGCGCAGACACACCGTCCTTGCAGCTGCTGGGTTTGCATTATTGCTTCTTTCCCCCATACTGGGCGCGAATAACGAAGGAGAGATATGGAAGATCAAAGGAAAAAGGGGGGAAAACACCAATTCATGCAAACCTGGGGTGCAGATTGGTCGAAAATATATTAATAACATCGAGACATTGTATTCGCTTTCATCGACCTCTGACGAATGCAACAAGTATCCGCACAACGAAATAGAACAATCTGACGAGAGTCATGCTAATATCAAATGATCATGGAGTCGGAATGCAATGATTGTCAGCCCACCGCCTCGTCCTACGCCTCTGGCGGACGGGATAGACGCCGTTGAGGACAAAGGCTGTTAATATTTCCGACTGATATAGGCCATACGGGGTTCGTTTGGACGGCTGAACGCTCCCTTGACCGACATCTGCGCAAAACTGTGGGTCCCAAGGTCTTAGATCTCGGCTTGTGCAAACTTTTCATAATATAGCTGTTATCAAATTTATTATAACTGGGTCGACGGGATCTGGGCGTCGATAGCCACTCTTACTTGGAAGGTTTGGCAGTCTTGAGGGCCATATTGTTTCTTGCGGATATTGGGATGGCTATCTTCGACCGTCCCTGTTTCTGATAGAAGGAAGCCGCCCCCCGGCCAGTTATGGAGTGGAGTGAATCTTATTACTAACGGCCAATACTATTTCATGATAGTGGGAACAACAAGGGGAAGATAATGATGTCAATCAGATTCAGCGTGAGGAAACGAGTGCATACATGTGGAACGGCGGGTTCAGTGTGATAATTTTGCTCTCGTTGTGAACTGGAAGAGGGCTGTGAATGTTTCCCGCCCCGTGAAACGACGTACCTTCTCCAAACAAGTCTTGCACCAGATCACGTTTCGCCAAAGCACAAAAATACAGAAGAAGATTGACGGCCGCAAGAGCGAGAGAAAAAAGAAGAAGAGAAACGACGAAAGGTACCGAACACATGGCAATGGCATGAGGGCAGTAATTGACGAGAAGAAACAAAAACTGATACATACCGTACGGTGTAGATGCTTGGCAAGGTCAGAACTACTATGTGCTTACACACATGCAGCATACATACGAGATGATATCTGCACGAGTAATGGCACGATTGCAAATTTACAAATGATTTCTCGGCAGCGTCAAAGCCGAACAGGTGTCCGGACCGGTCGATTATCCACAAATTCCTCTGCCATGAACATCGGCATCACCACCATGCGGGTTGCAAGTGGAGCCCATATGGGCCATCCGTTGAGCCATCGAGCCTTAACGAGGTAGCCCTCGATAAAACACCAATGGAAACAACAGGAAACTCCAGCTGTCTCTGAGAAGAGGGCGGACCCTTGCAGGCACACCGATCTCTGTTCAGGGAATGGCTGGACGGTGACCCCTCCCCACGATCCATGTCTTACCCCCTGCTCCGGCCAATGAGACCGACCCAAAGCACCAAGAGTATGTCGCAGGCCTGTCAAGCGCTTAAACGTGCACTACCACTGGCAGAATCATTCTGCAAGCCATCATGAGAATATAACTAATATCACATTTCTCCACCTTTCAGTGTCCGTCTGTCTGTTTTTCTCTCTGCTCAAGACCGGTTCTTTCTTTCTTTTAGCCAATTCCTTTCATAGTCTTGTCTGGCACGGACAGATCAGGTAGAAGAGCTTGCTCTCCCTGATATTCTTTCATTCTTTTAAATCTTCGACATTGTTTTATTACACCTTTTTTATTTTTTTTATTTTTTTAAACTCGCCAACCTTCTTTCTATCTTGCTTTCAACTTCTTTCCCACACCACACTGCATATCTTCTCGTGTGCCTTGCTTCTCCAAGACCTTGGTGGCGCAAAAGTCTCTCATCGTTTGCTCAACAGGTTAGTGTCTACCACATGTGCATGCCACCTTTTTTAGTTTACCAGTTCTGTGCACGAAATGTATCCCCACCAAGCGCCGGGTGGTTGGAATCTGAAGGGTATCGAGATTGGTCAACCTTTCGTGGCCCGGGTTCCTCCCCGCCCAAAACAGACTAACGTCGGCGGCTGCTCGACGGTCACGATTGATGCCCAGGCCCCACTCCAGCGCGCCCATCGGCCCAATTTCTCAAAGCTATGTCTTTACCCATTCGCTTCGTACCTGCACTGTGCAAATTCCCGGCGACTAGGGTCGATGCTTTCCTTTTTCTTCTTTGGCCCCTTCCCTTCTGCCTTTTTCTTTATTTTTGGGAGCACTTACATATAACCGTCCAACTTCCTGCAAGTTGATCGTTCTTATGTTGCTTCTTGCTCCTTGTGACATGCTTCCCTTTCCACAGCCCTGTTCAAGTTGAGCATTTGTTAAAAAAAGTTACATATTGTTCAATCTTACACATCCATCTTTTATCCAACAATTATAACCGGACCCAACCGTCATTTAAAGCTGTTTGGGGTTTCGATCATTATTCTAAAGCCTTTTTTATTTTGTTGGAACAGGTATTTTCTATATTTCGTCCGGAACGATATAGAGCTGGGGCCACCGTTCGAGTCAGTTTCGCCTTGTCAACACCCTACGACTATCTCGACTCGGGAAGCATATTTCCACGACCAAGTACAGTCACCGTACATACAAGAATAAAAACCTCCGAATCCAAAGTTATCCTTAAAGAATATCGAAAAGAAATCAAAAGGAGAGAAAAATAGAACATATATATATACATTCAAAATGGGCAAGCTCATCAAGAACCATCTTGCTCGATTGATCGTTATGACCGCTGCTGCCTGTAAGTTACACAAACCTTCAATTGATTACCGAAGGCTTACTAACAATTGCAAAATATAGACCAAATTGCAGCTGGTGTCCACGGCTACTTCTGGCCCAAGATCTTTTGGGACATGTGGACAACGACATTGAACCCGCTGGTTACACCTGCACCGATCTTGCAGACTCTCAATGTTGTCGCAGGTCTCTTCATGCTAGCATGGGAATATCCTTTCCCATTGCTCGTTCCAGGAACTGCTTTCCACCGCAGCATTGTCGCCCGTCTCGTCGCTTTGCCAATCGTTACCTTGATCGCTGTCTTATTATATCAAGGAACGAATCCAGCACTATACTATATCGTTGGAGCTGGTGTCTATCTATGGGCATTGAATGAAGGAGAGGTAAGCTATGCCCCCCCCTTTTTTTTAAAAAAAACATTGTAACCTCAAATAGAATGCTGACATAAATCTATAGGTCGTCTGCATGCCATGGAAAGTACCCACGAGAGGGAAGAGCCAGGGAGGCAGCAGAGCATAAGCTCTCGACGCCTCGCACGCTTTTTCGACACGAATTCGCTTCTTCACTTTCGTTAAAACATCTCTATAATCCTTGGGACTTTTGCTTTTACCAACGGCGTACCTGGAGACCGGGCGGTTTCTATAAAATATTGGGCAGCGATATTACATTTTGTTTTCCGATTACATGACGATTCTTCTTCTTCTTTTTTTTTCTCGATAAACTTTCGCAGCATCTCTACTACGGCTATGGGTGCGGCACTCATTTCGAAGCGACTAGAGAGGGATTTCTATTTTACCCTCCGTCTTGGATTGCAGATGGACTCCACCATTGTGCATTTGGTGGCGTAATCTTCCTTTGCACATCTCGCACTTCAGACCAGATCATTCGGATTGGGATTATTTTTGTATAGGGCCCTTTTGCTGTTGCATGATACCACATTTTTCTTTTGATATTTCTTTTCTACAACGAGAGTTCACCCGGGTCTACAAGACCTTTGGCCCTCTTACGTGTTCTATTTTGCATTGTTGATTCTTTGACGTTTAGCGGTTTATGCTTTTCGATTTCTGCATTTACTTTGTCTCCTTATTCCTACGGAACCATATTTGTTCTGGCCAATTCCCCACTCCAACCACCACTACTCACTTTATGTGTATAATCCTTCCTTCTCCGCTGCTTGCCGGTATACCGCTACCGGGAGGTGGGAAATAAGAATGACAAATGTCCGGTAGGCTGCCGAAGGGTATATCCCGAGGCAAGCCCACAGACTTGAAGACCAAAAAACAAAATATTTCATTCGTTCCTATCGTGATCCTATCATAAGGTGTAACAAATTAGGTGACAAGTATAGTGAATCCATATTTCTTCAGACATCCTATCATTGGCACACATATATAAAAGCAGGTACATATAGTTCAGTCGGAGTCGTATCGTAACAGGGACGGTTTCAAAGTCGTTCACGCGTACCTGGAAGAGAACAAATGCCTTGGCGGGCAAGGCTACGCTATCTACGTATGATTTGGAGACAGTGTCTGTATGATATTGAAACCATCGTTTCGAAACTTGAAGTCTTCAGTTTATTCTTTTTTTTTTTTTTTCCCCCATAAGACAATTATACATGTACATACGATACAAATGATAAGTGGAATTTGAAGGCATGTCATGACCATGCATAATCAAGATTTGGTGTTGGAGGGGCATTCTGGCTGTGCCACACTTGCCTTTCAAGTGCTTCGCCACAATTTGTATAACGTACATGCACATGAAGCGAACTGTAACTGTTGCTTGTCCCAGCACTCTGCATCTCATTCATTCATCATCGACTTCATCGAGTTCGCTGCCAAAGTTGCCTGTTCCTTTTGGCGCCAGGTATCATACCTTCATCCTCTTCGCGTCTCTTGATACATCTACCTACTAGCTAGATAGCACTAACCTCCGTTCTATTTCCAGCTACAACATCCTGAACATAGCAATACCCATATTCAATCATGTCCTCCTCAGAAACCCCAAAGGATGCCCCTCCCCCGGAGCAACCAGCTCCCGTCGAATCCTCGTCCTCCGTGGCTGCTGCTGATGAATCTAAAGAGGAAGAAATATCGTTTACTGTCAAGTCTATTGCCGACAATAAAATTCCCATAACTGTGAACCGCTTCATCTCTGTCGCGGACTTGAAACAAAAACTCGCAGAACCCTCTTCCATCCCCGCCGACCGCCAGAGACTAATCTACTCCGGCCGCGTGCTAAAAGACGACCAAACTCTTGACAACTACAAGATCCAAAATGGCCATACCGTTCACCTTGTCAAAGGTGCTGCTTCTACAGCCTCGGCGGCTCGAGGGGCCGTAGGTGGCAGCAGCGCGTCTACCAGCGGCGCCGGAGCAGCAGGAGGATCAACCGGAACTAGTGGAGCTACAAATCCGCCTCAGCAACTGCCTAGTATGGCAGCGGGAACAGGAATGAACCCGCTTTCTAGATACGCAAACCATATACCGTTGCCTTCTGCTGATATGTTTGGACCCGATGGTGGGGTGAGTGGGGCTCCCATGATTTTGCCGCCGAATATCTATTCACGTACATTTGCTTTCGCATCTGCATCTGCATTATATATCTCGATCCTATTGTTTATAGAAACCATTTAATGCTAACTTTGTCTTTTTTTGTCTACAGATGGGACCACCACCGAACCCTGAAGTAAGCACATATTCCTGTCGCATAGGCGTATTTATGCGGCACAGCGGGGTTTCCCCCCCCAGCTCACACCTAAATTTAACAACCCATCCCAGCTAACCGCAAAAATACTAAATCTAGCAAATGCTTTCCATGATGGAACAACCCGAAGTTCGCGCCTCCATGAATGCTCTACTCCAAAACCCAGCTCTCCTAGAATCACTAATACAGTCAAATCCAATGCTCCAATCCATGGGCCCCGAAGTCAGAAACATGATGCAGTCTGAAGAGTTTAGACGGATGATGACCGACCCTGCTATCTTTAGACAGATGACACAAATGCAACGTATGCTTGGTGTAGGCCCATTTGGAGGCGGGTTGGGAGGTGCTGGTGGCGCAGGTGCATTCCCAGCGCCTGGAGTGACCGATCAGACACCGGCTGAACAGCAGAATCAACAGCAGCAGGCAGGCAATGAAACAACGGGAACAGGTGCGGCAGGTGCTCCACCAATTAATCCCTTCGCTGCGCTCTTCAACCCCTTCGGTGCTGCTACACAGACACCCCGAGCTCCATCCGGAGCTGGATCACCAGGAAGCCCCCCACCAAACCCGTTCATGCTTTTCAACCCCGCAATCTTTGGTCAACAGCAGCCGCCTGCTGGTCAGACGCAAACACAAACACCGGGGTCAGGTGGTGAACAAACTGGCGCCGCACCTACAGGTGGAGCAGCAGCAGGAAGTCAACAGCAACCGCCGAATCCGTTCAATCCTTTCCTACCACCTGGTGGTGGTGGTGGTGCGGGGATGGATCTAAATCAATTACAAAACATGATGCAGCTCCTAGGTATGGGGCCCGGAGGTGCTGGCGGCCTTGGTGGCTTTGGAGCTCCAGCTACGCCTGTTGATAACAGGCCGCCGGAGGAAAGATATGCAGAGCAGTTGAGACAGGTTCGTTCTTCCTTATATCCAATACTATGAAGTATTCGAAGGATGGAAATGCTGATACGAACATACACTACGTGTGTGATATAGTTGAACGACATGGGCTTTTTTGACTTTGACAGAAACGTTGCGGCACTTAGAAGGAGTGGTGGTAGTGTCCAGGGTGCTATCGAGTACTTGCTGTCGGGGCCGTAGCCAGCTGATAGGAGTTTGCATTAACTAGTCGTTGTTTTCCTTGGACTTATTATCGTCATATCTAAATTCCTTTTTGAACGGGATGCGGAACTACCTGCTACTGCGAAGGTATCACATCACATTCCTTTCTGTACTTCTTTCTACATTTTGTCTTTCGTTTTTTTTTTTTTTTTTTTTTTTTTTTTTTTGTGTGCCGGGGTTTTTCTTCCATTCGTGCTATGATTCTTAAGATCGCGGAATTCAGTTATCTTCTTCTTCCTGAATAGGGGACAGACGGAAAGAAACAATTGTGTATTATCATTTCTATCATTAATGATGGCATCTAAAGTACTTGGCCTCATCTTCTCCGCCCGTTAGTATTTGTTCAGATCGATCAAGATATGAAAATATTTTTGAAGATGATACTTATTTTCTTATGGTTTCCAATAATCAGTACATACCTAGGTATCATGCATATGTCGAACTAGATCAAGGTCAGCTGTCGTCATGTCACTAATTTGGTAGGAAGGTGATTCAGAATTTAACTTTTAATCACACATATGTAAGTAATTATGGATTCAGGGTTTCCTGGCCTTGGGAGTTTAATTGGATCTAAAAGGGATTCAAGCAAACTAATTAACAGAACATAACCCGGCTAGCAAGCCTAGTTCAAACGTTCCCAGGATATATTGAACTCAAGCACCAGGTCTAGCACGTGTAACGTACTTTTAAGTATCTACAGGGTGCAGTCAAGTATATATACCTTACCAGAATATAAAGTATCCAGAAATTGGTATTGTAATTTGATGTACAATTAAATTTGTATTTGACCGGCCTCAACCGGCCCTCCTTCATGAAAAAATAAAGTAAAATAAAATAAAATAAAATATTTGTCTTTTTGGCTGCCTCATTACATTAAAAACTCTAACTCCCCTAGCCCCGCTCTAAAAGTCCCCCGAAAAGGATATAAATACATATATTTATGGGTTTATAAAAAATAAAACATAAAAAACATAAAAAAAATAAAAATTGAGCAAAGAAAGAGAAGAAGAAGAAAAAGTCTCCGAATAAGTATGATGTTTAGAGGGAGTCTAAGACTAGAGGCTAACTCTTAAGCTTATTCATAGTGTGCATGAAGAGTGGGAAATAGAAAAAGTGGTCAGGTGTCGAAAGAAAAGTAAAGGAATCATCATCAATCTAGGATATCTCTTTTTCAACGTTGATTGGATGGAAGCATGAGTGTCTTAAGTTGGCTAAGAGGTAAGCTACCTGGTCTTGGGGGAGCTAGGTAGCTAGGTAGCTAGAGCTTTGGAGCTATGGCTAGCTGCCTGCAAAATTATAGCTAGGATCGAGACGAGATTTTAGTCTCAACGCTAGGGAGGAGGAAGAAGAAGAAGAAGAAGAAAGGGACCTCAAGCTTTGAAAGAAAGAAAGGAAGAAGAAAGGAAGGGAAAGAGGAAAGGGAAAAAATCGTTTGAAAGAGAAGACGGAAGATGATGTACAATCGAAAAGTACAAGTAAGTATTAAGCACTTAAGTAGGCAGAAGAAGGAACAGAAAGGGAAGAAGAAGAAAAAAAAGATATGGGGTATTGTCCGTCTTTGACCGGTTCAAGCCAGCTAAAAAATCTTTGTTAAAATCCAAATATAAGGACCCACAGATACAAAACGCCCAGTGAACGCCGCCAAAAAAAAAAAAAAAGGACTTGGAAAATACGTAAGTTAAACCACCGCACCGATTTGGAAGACCGAGGAAGAGACAAAGGTAAATGAAGTATAGAGTGTCAATGTATGATAATGTTACAAAGGAAATTGATAGAGTTTATCAGGTGTCCAGCGGTTGGGTCGTAGATAGTATACTTATATCAAGTATAAAAATGAAGGTTATGATGAGAAGAACTGTGGTGGCACTTAAGCCAAGAGAATCGTAATCACTAGGGGTTTAGGAAATTGTCTCTGTGCTCAGCCTGAGAAGCGGAATTGGTTGGGGAGGGTGATTGACGTCGATGTTCAGTTTGTCGCCGGCGAGAGAAGTTCAATGGGCGTATATTCGCAGCCATAAGACGTGTAGTGTCTAAAATGATAGGGGCTTCCAGGGAGCGTCGTTTGGCAATGAGCTTTAATGGCGTGGAGGCAGCGCTCGCCAGCGATGTGAAGAATGACAAATCATCGTCATCATCCGAGAGTGCCTGAGCTAAAGCTGTATGGTCAATCGGACTCTCTACCACGATCTTTGGCGGCTTCGCCATCAGCAAACTGCTTTTTGACTTCCGACCTCTTCCTGGGAGGAGAATACTGGTTCGACTCCTCTTCGGTCTTTTGCACTGGCCTGGCAGAAGGAATGGTGGGACCTACTCAGCCAATACTTCTGCCAAAGATTCTTCATCGACGGGAGTCGCAAGAACGATGGGTGCGGACTTCCTAGGCATCAGACTAGTTGGTGGTTTAAGAAGTTTCTTCGATGGTGAAACGGAAATGTTTTTGATCGAGCTAGCGGCGGATTTGGTAGATCCTTCCGCGCCATTATCGCTAATGGTAGTGATGCTGCTATCATCGGTCACTTCAACGTGACGGGCCAGGCTCGATGATGCGGATTCTGGGGCTTTAGATCCAGACCCAAATCTATTCCAAAACCAAGAGCCGACCCCACGCTGTGGTTTTGGCGGTGTTGGTGGAGTTTTGGGCGCATTTGAAGAAAGAAGAAGGCGCGTGTATGTTTGCGAGCTGTACCTGGCTGGTGTATTCTGAGCTGTCGCAGGAGTTATAACTGCCTGCAGCGCATTGAATGCATTTGAGGTTGAGGTAATAGAGATTGGGGCTTTTTCTCCTTTTGGTGTGCCAAATATGTCAATAGGCTCTGTTTCGGGAGCAAGAAGAGATTCGTGTGAAGCTGAACGAACAAGTCGCCTACCGGGGATAGTAGTAGCTAGGAATGGAGAAGGCATGCTAAGTTCGAAGGCATCAGGGACATCTCCTTCCTCCTCTTCCTCTTCCTCTTCCTCCTCCTCGTTCTGTGGGGTAGAATCGATTTCGAACTGGGGTAAATCCCCAGAATCTTGCAAGGCAGGCTCGCTTTCTTCAGCAGGAGAAAGATCCCCTACTGATTCGCCCATTGACTCAACAGGTGGGTGAACGTCTTGAAATTCCTCTTCGCTCAAGACAGAGAAAGGTGGCGGGTTGAAGCTCGAATGGTTTCTCCCATGCCCTCGCCTCTTTTCGACATTAATTGGACTGATAGGCATTCCTGCCCCCATCGACCCTGCACTAGTGGGCCTTGATTCGTCGACATTAAAACTAGGGTCGAAAATTGAAGAGTCTCGATATGTTGACGGGGCGGTTTCTGAGATGACCGTATTTGGGACTGACGAATTTCGAGTATGTCCACCAAAAGCACTGGTCTGAACGGATGATCGTTTTGATGGAGTAGTTTGCTCAAAGGCAGCCCAAGCGGGAGGTAAAGGACTCGAAGATGGTGGATTCCTCGCTTGCGGAGCCTTAACCCTCCTCTTAACCTTACGTATGCTTCCCTTTTCCTTTGGTGTTAGTACGTGATGGTGGTGATGGACGTGCAGTTCCTGTGAAAGCCTCCCATAACCATCGAATTCGTACGAAAGCGGCGATCGCCCAAGTTCGTTTGGTTCCGGCCGCTGTGTAAGCAGAACTTGTTCCCTCAAAGCGCCAATCTCATCCTGGGCAATCATCAACATCTGACGCAATTCAGTCGTCCCAGCTTGTAATTGTTGGTTATCCTGAAGAATCTCCTTCATGAAATTCGATATAGCCGCGCCCTCCATCTTGTCGGCCGGGAAGTGGAGGCCCCTTATCGATTTTCTGGAAGCTATCTTGTTGGCTAACTTCTGTGTCTTGATTTTCTCCTGCATATACTCGGATTCCAATTTATTGTATTCATCCTGCAGGTCCTCGACCTGCCTCTCGGCCTTCTGCCACCTTACAGCAGCATTTCGTTCATCTTCCAGAGTTATGGAGAGGTTCCTCCTAAGGTCATCCTGTTCTGTCTCAAGGACAGTAAGTTGGGCTTCAAGGATTTCGGCACGGGCGGCCCTGGCGCTAACACGGTCAAGTTCTGCCCTGGTATCATCAAGGTCGGCTGTAAGTTCCCTAAGCCTAGAGTCGGCCTGTGTGACGGATTCGTTCAAGGTTTCTAATGACTGTTGGGTTTGTCGGACAACACATTCCGAGGGGTCAGCCCATTTCTGCACGATATTATCACACAACGGTCGAGGAATGTGACCACAACAGGCGTCGTTGAAGCCGTTGAAAGTGAGTTTGAGAGAGGGGAGAGATGAAAAGTGAGGGTTTGATAGGGAGAACTATGGTACTTACATTTAAAAGATCCCGGTTCTTTTCTATACTCGATGTATTCTGTACTTCTAACTGCTTGTTCAATTCTTCGAGTCTGTTGATTTTCGAAGCCATGTCGGACCGAATCCTTTCGGCGTCATCAGCTTGGCGTAGGAGAGCCTGGAAAATCAGTGAAGGCATGTCAGTGCCGCCGGTCTTGTTTAAGTTTGCATCTCGCAGTGGTATCCCAGCGAACTCATCGCGATGTCATAATCATAGTGAAAGAGTCTCTTCGTTGTGATCTCCTTCTGGATTTGACAACAACATTAAAGGGTTAAAGAATTTTTTTTTTTACAAATAAGAAGATGCTAGTGAATATACCCCGCGGCCCACGGCCAATCCATGGTAGAAGTTAATTTCAGAGTGCGGACTGGAAAAAAAAAAAAGGCGTCAAGTTTAGCCTGGGATGATGAAGTAAACAAGGAGATAACGGCAAATTAGCTTGCCAAAATAACGGAAGGTGGGCTGGACAGCAGAAGAAGTGGGTTTGATGGGCCAAAAAAAAACGATATTAAAAGGCCAATTGCGACCGCGCACCGTTGGAGGATTTTGACAGTCGATTGGAAAGGAGGGAGGGTTTCGACGTCAGAGGAAATTTGCTTTCAAGACTAAGCTTGACAGATTGTCATTGTAAAATTGGTGGGAGATTTGGCAGAAGCTATGCGAGATATTCAGGAACCAGGAGCCGCATGCGGCCTAGCGACCAGGCTGGAGCTGGCCAAGTACCAAGCTGGTATAGAAAATATGTGATGGGACGAGGCGACCTGCATTTGCAGATGCTCTCAAACATGCATGGTCCTATGCTCTTGTTCCTCTCAAGCCGATCGATATCCCCGTCGATAGCCATGTTCATTGGCAGGACGGTGCAGGGCATCATCCAATCGAAACCCCTTTAAGGCTGCTTCGAACCTTCTGCCGCCATCGACTTGGGCTAGTCCCGTCGGACAAACGAAAACCCCGACAAGCATCACCGGCCGGGAAGCTGTGTGCTGTGCTGTGTGCTGTGCTGTGTGCTATGTGCTGTTTGCTGTGCAATTTGTGCTGTGAACTGTGACCTGGGCTGTGGACTGATCAATTGATTGATTGATTGACCGAGTGATTGAGCTCGTCATTGCTGCGACAATGCACAGGAAATTAAACAAGCCCTTCGCCCGCTGCCACAAAAAGGGCAGGACATTCGCACAGCAATTTTCCTCCTGCCAAGGGGACGAGCTCAAAGGAAGCAGAAATTTCCAATTGGAACAAGGCGAACATGCAAATACAAAAAAATCAAATGAAAAACAAAATAACGGGAGGAGTTGTCAACGGGGGGGGGAAAAAAAAAAAAAAAGAAAAAAAAAAAAGAGAGAGAGGAGAGATGTCGCCGAAACATGTGGGAGGGTATGCATAATGTCGAGCACCTCGGGAATGTTGTTTGTCCAAGTTGATGCAAAACTTGTACATGTACGAAGCATGTATGTCAGGATGTAGGTATTTGCTCACCTGTCCAAGCTGTGCAGCGGTCTGCAAGTTCTCTTCCAATTCGGACAGCACCGAGATGTTCTTCACCCTCGCCTCGCAGGTCTTCTGGCCGCAACAACAGTGAACTTCGTGCGCCGGACTATGACTCCTTTCACCACCGTCTGCTGTGGACGCAGGACCGCTACCCCGACCGTCAAAGGATGAAGCTACTGTTGGTGTATTATACGTCGAAGGGTATTGCCTTTCACGGTCCAAGAGTTTGTTCCTTGTGTATTCGGTGATAGCGTCCAGACTGGTTCGGTCGTTGAAGGTGCGAGAGTGTAAGATTCTCCGAGGACCGATGGGTGATGACATGACGGTTTCAAAATAGGTTCCTTAATATTTGTCGGTGTGTACAACCACTCGGTCGTCCGTCCGTAGGGACAAGATTTCCTCGATGTCGGACAAGATGGTTTTATTCGTTTCCTGTGGGTGTACCCCGATATTAAACTCGGTATCACCTGAGGTTTTTGCCGGGTGGGTTCTTATAAGGATCGATCTGATCTCTGATCTCTGCTTCTCGAGTTTCCAGGTGTGTCTGTGTCCGTGTCTGTGTCTGTGTGTAGCGTGGGCGGTTATAGTTTAAGTGCGGAGCTATAGCTCGACTTTGTATCGATAGCTACCTGCTACTTAAGCTTCCTAGCTGAGTTCAAGCTACTCCGTTACAAGGCCCAGCGATTTGGTCTTGCGACAGTCAAGTACAGTACAAGACAGTACGGTACTTGTCGATCCGAAGTTTGGAGATGTCGTAATCTCGCAGGAGAATTAAGTCCACGCGTGTTCGTCGACGGGCTTTGAGGAGTTCGCCCACAGCAAACGTTAAACTGTCTACGGAATGTCTTTTTTTTTCAAAAGAAAAAAAAAAGAGAAAAGGGTGATGAGTTAGAAGTTTGAGTTTTTTTTTTTTTTTTTTACCTTTCCCCCTTGTGTGAAGCTCAAGCTCCGTGAAAGTCAAGTAACCCTGGAGCTTCTGATGTTTTTCCAGAATGGCTGGTGGATCAGGCTGGCTAGGATGAAGGGGGATTAGCTTGAACGGAAAGACAGAGTGATGATTTGGCGCGTTCGGTAAGAAGCTAAAACCGGCCGGTACTTTGGGCCCATACTACGTACTGACTGACATACATAAATTACTCCATCTCGGACATTTAAGCAGCGGGACATACATATGTACTTATTATACTCCCCTATCACATATTACTCAGCACTCAAATATTCATCATGTATATGCATGGACGGTGAGTACATACATAAGTAGGTAAGTACACTATGTAAAGGAGCAAGGGGGAAGACGATGGGATTCACGATGGTTCCGGTGCGGTTGCAGTACTGTACACCGCACTGCACTGCAGGCTGCGTCATCCAACCGTCGATGACTTCCATTGGATGGGATGCATCTGGAATGGGATATGTGATGGTTCACATGCACTGCGTCCGAACCAAAGACGGCCGCTTGCAGGCCAGCGACCGTTCGAACTAGTCTCGTCGTGGGCCTTCTATGCACGATCGAATTCAGACGAAACATCTTCCTACTGGCTGGGACCCTCTTTACATAAGAATTGTGTTGTGCGGTGTCATGTCGTATCACATGTGCCGTCGTCGATTAGAAAGAAAGAAAGTTAACTTTCGTTCGACACTTCTTTCTTTTAGCCTCATTTTTGTTCAGGGTCCAGGACGTACTAGTACATGTGTGTACATACTTACATCTACGGGACATACACGTGTACTTACCTAAGAAGAAGAAGGAGGAGGAGGAGGAGGAGAAGAAGCTAAGGAGCTAGGTAAGTAGCCCCACAGTCCACAGTCTAAGTATATACACAATACATAATGTGCCCTGTAGTATGGTAAGAATCGTTTTGGATTGTTACATTTGTGAAGCAAACTTCACTATCACGTCCAAGTATGTATGTAGTTAGCTCCTGAAATCGGATCACAAAACAGCCACGTAGTTTATCACATTCGCGGTTCACGAACAAATTTCGGATCCCAGCAGTAGCCGAACAATAATCCGGACAGTTAAAAAAAAAATTGCGCTTTGTGAGGCCTATTTGGGCTTGCGGCTGCTGTGAAAACGAAAATTCACTGGTCGAAAAAAAAAAGATTGCGGCGTTCCCCGTCCATTAAAGTCTTCATGCACGTTTATCGGGATTGGAAGCGGGTCCATGCTATGCCTAAGGCGTTGGTCACCCTCGAGCTCCGTTTCATGATTTATTGCGATCTCTCCTTTTCCTTGCCCTCCTCCTCCTTCTTCTTTTTTCCCCTTCAGCCCTACAATTGTGTGATATTATGGTAAGATATCAGAATCCATGTTGGTGTTATATAGGTACTATGTAAAGGGTAAGTAAGTACCTATATCCAATACAGAATGGATATACGCTTTTGGACCTCGTCATAACTGCAATTGCAAAGAAGTCAAGTATAAAGTATTTATTTACTCGCATACAAATTATATACTAAACTTACTATGTGAATACTAACTTACTTCTCATCATCTTCACCCTGATGCATGTATCTTCCACGTTCGTATATATGAACGGTGACACAAGTCAGCCTCTGGCATTAAGCTTAAATTTGGACCCCAGTCAGGGTAGACTGATGAAGATGAACTAGATAATTACCTACATTACACTAGCTGACAGGCCCTCGAGATGGAGGGCCAAAGCCGCAAAAATGCCTTCCCAGTCGCCTGTCCTTAATTTCGCTTGTTGAAGACCTGCCAGTCCCTTTCACAAAGTTAAAGTTCACGGCCGATGTCTGAGGCTTATACGTATTGGTACTCTGTATGGTTTACAGGTTGATCCTGCGATAACGTGACCCTGACCTCCAAATCCCATAAAGTTCCGCTTCGCCTCCCTTCCCGGACTGGGTTTCGATCACTGCGGAATCTTGTTTTTTCTTCCAAGACCTCATCCATAGCAGAGACTTGCATACCTGGTAAGGCAGCACAGCATTTGCATCGGCGCTGACGCGAATAAGCCGACCGACATTCGTTACTTGTACTTCTACTTGGACAATTTGCCAGTTCATCGACCAGGACGTTATACACTACGACCCACCGAGGGAGTAAGCAATAACATTATCCTCTTCGTGCTTCACTTCTTGACCCTCCTTACGGACATTCCGTTGACGTCTCATTCGATCCACGTCTCATTCGATTATCACACCTTCCTTGTTCTCTCTGTTCTTCCTCTCTCTCTCTTTGTTTCCTTCATTCTTTCATTCGCTTTACCCGCCAATCCGTTCAATTCGCATTTTATTTTTTTATTTTATTTTTTTTGGCTCAGCCCCCGTTAGCGACATTTTCTCTTGGGACTTCAGATCTGGTAGACGATTAGAAATAAAATCCCTTGAAAAGTAAAAACATTCCCAAAAGGATACCAACTTTTCCCAATTCTACGACGCCGACCTTGAACCTCGTGAGTGTTCTATTCGTTAGTGTAAGTCCAGAATGTTTCTTTTGAGTTCAGCCCTGCAGTGCAGTTCCACTATGAACAGGGTGTGTCCATATGTGCTGTCGAGTCCCACAAAAATGCATCGCCACTGGCTGTCTACTAAGGTGCACACCTCTTCTCCCCTTCGCCCCCGGCCTGGACTCATGAATGACTTCATCATCAGTGGTTTGTCAGTTCTGCCTTGCCCAAATCTTGCAGTTTATACATCTCTTTTAGATATAAGGCTGCATCTGTCTTCTTCCACGTTTCTTCCATTTCCTTCAGCCTTCCAGCGCGATAACTTTTTTGTTTTAATTTCATTCGTCTAAAGAGTCGCCCATCGGAACATAATCAATTTCGAGTTCCAACACATCTCATTAATATTCTTGCATAGGGTAATAACGACCATCGACCTCTACAACTATACACTTTCACCGTACAAACAGCGGCTGTCATCAGTAGCAGCCTTCAGTGACAATTCAAAATGAAGTACACAACAGTGCTCCAAGCAGCTGCAACAACAGCTCTTTTCACAGCCGGTGTTTCCGCCATTAGCCCTGTCGCTAGGGCGATCGCTCACCTCCAGCCTCTCGAGAACGCTGAAGATGTTGCCAACAGAATACATTTCAAGGAGAGGAGGGCGATTAAGCACGTCAAACCACTCGAAGACGCAGAGGCCGTTTCTCAAAGGCTTACATTCGACAAGCGATCTGTCCTAGAGAGCGCTATCAAACATACTGCACCTCTTGCAAATGCCGAGGACGTCTCGCAAAGAATAACATTCGAAAGGAGACATGACGCCGTCGCAAGACCGATCGAACAATTTAAACACCTAGAAAAGAGGAAAGGTGGCGGCGGTGGTGGAAGGGGGGGTGGCGGTGGTGGTGGTGGTGGAAAGTCTTCTTCTGGAGGTAAGAGCTCTTCCGGAGGAAAATCTAAAACTTCATCTGGTGGCAAGTCGTCTTCCGGCGGTAAGTCGTCTGGCGGCTCGTCCTGGTACAAATCGTCATCAGGATCAGGTAGTAAAACTTCAAAAGGTAGCAAATCTAGTTCCTCAGGAAGCAAAAGTAGCAATAGTAAAGGCTACAAGACCTACGGTGGCCGATACGGCGGTGGTTCGTCTACTGGGTATGTCCTTCATTCATATGCATTATCAACATCTTTTAATTCTAACACGAAATCAAAAATCGTAGATACAAGTCAGGCGGCAGATCCCCCCTAGGGTTGACTCCGTTCCTCCTCCCGCTCGCCGCAATTGCTTTGATTTTCCCTGGTCTCTGGCTTTACGCTGTTTACAGCTACCACTACAATACTCTCTACCAGTACTACAATAATTCCCTCCAGGCCATCCAGTCTATTCCAGTCCAGTGTCTGTGCATGCAGTACTCCGATTGCGCTTGCGATGACAACGGTAATACCACTTTCATTGACGAGCTCGTCGCCCTCAACCAATCGAACACCACAAGATTTGCTGTCGTCGACGGTGTCTGGACTCTGCTCATCAACGGTACTGTCGAAAATGGAACTGGTCCCGCGGCAGGAGAGACTGTAGGCGCGGGTTCCCATCTCAATGCCCTCGGCTACCTCTGGATGGTCGGCTTCACCTTCTATATGGTCTATACCATGTAACGGCTCCTAGGGTCTTTCCAGCCTTATTCGCCTACTACCCCTAAATAAAATCAAGCAAAAATCCCAAAAAAATAAACATATTACCGCCCTTTCCAGGGGGGCTAATAGCTCGGTGCGCACTTCTCTTTTCATTCTTCGCTGCTTCGATTCCAATACCCTTTTCACGGGTATCTTCGTTGCCGTTCTTTTTTTTTATTTCAATTCTATTAGCTGTTCAGCGTTATAACTTTTACTCCGCACTATATTTTATCATTCACCCAGTGGGCCTTTCTTCGTCGAGTACTCCGCTTCTTTGATAGCGTGTATGATATCATTCGGCTTATGTCTTTCTTTCCTTTTTCTTTCTTCCTTTACGAATTCAAAAACCAATCTTTCTCTGAAGGAACGAACGGGCGTTTTAGGGGTTATATTTTTTTTATTATTATTTCAGCACACATACGATGTTACATCACCACTTTATTTAGATCTACTACATTCTTACTTCTCCTTTCTATCTATGAAGAGACATGGAGCAGAATTATACGGAATTTTTATTTTATAATTACAAAACCCTACAATGTCCCGCCTTCACATCAACGTTACCTCTTCCTTAACTTAGGCGTGAAGCGACACAGGCAATGTTGAATCCAAATTTGAGGCCCAGACACACGTAAACCAATGATATAAGAACCCCATCGATATCAGATTCCAACGGAAAAAAAACTTAGCTAAAACATCATGATATCATCAACTATCTCGGTTTAGCTCGTTGTATTCAGTTTAGTTACCCCCCTGTATATGATGTCGCAGAATTTAAGCTTAAATCAATGAGATTCCACACACAAGTTAGTTTTTTTAACTTCAGCCCTGTGTTATCTTGCGCTCCAAAACCCCCGGCCCTGCAAGCGATACTGCCAAGGTGATGACGACGACTTTTTTTTCCCCCCTCTTCGTTGTGCCTTCTCTCTGCATAAAAGGTGGTCCGTGTTGCACTTCTTTCTTTTTCTTCTTCTCTTCCCTTTCGTTAACTGCATGCAAGGGCTTCTGTGTGTTCTCACACATACCATTGGGTCTAACCAGCTGCACTGCAGACTTTGGTGGTTTTGGGCACACACAAAGGAGGCTTGTTAAATCTGTTGGATTTGTTGGATTCAACGCAGGCCGAACTAAACTGAAACACTCGATTTGTATTTGACCAAGTGAGACTATATAGACTATCCGGCTTTAAACTGTGTCGTTAGTGGCGTTATGTATTCAGATACGGAAATCTGTATATATCAAACTACTTTGTGAAAAAGACGGGATGAGACGGATATAATATAGGATATCACCTAGCTGAAATTGGTATTTACTCCCTCTCATTTTGAATGTTTTATTTGGATAAGAGATCTCGAGAGAAGAAGCGTCTAGCTGGATCCGAGGAAAATGAAAATAAGGCCAAATATGTGTGAACTCGTAAAGAATAATATCAATCTTCTTCTTAGGTCAGAACATGCAAGCTTCCATGAAGTCTCCCGGGTTCTTAATCAGCGATTGTAGTTTCCAGGCGGTACTGCCGTCATCAAAAGGCGATTACTAGTACTATTTAGTTATTCCTTTACAGTTTATAAATAAAGCTATCGTTTATAATTTGCAAACTATACCCTCCGGAAATTGTATTCCGAAAAACATATCGTAGAGCGTAAAACTATCACGAGCACTAGGATATATATGGTTCCCCACCATATATATACTAGCATAGAATGCTACCTTTCTGGTGGTTTGAGCCGCAGCGAGCCGCTGTGATAATTAAAATATTAATATTTTAATATTGAACGAAACTTGTCTTTTGCGGTTTTTAACGAACTCGCATGTTACACAAAACCCGATTGTGCTAAGATAGGATACTCGAGGCATTGTCGTATGAGCTTTTGAGCTTTCGTCTACTATCGGTTTGATAGAACTTCCTAATCAATACTCCTCGTCGCAGGCTTTTGCGGTATGCTACGGAAGATATGTTAGGCTAATTGGAAGGTATTTCGAGGGGTACCTACCGTACTCACGTCTTGGAAACTCAGACCACTTAGGGACCTTTATTTCCATTTATTATGTATGTGGGACACACTTCCAAAAACCAGTGCCGGGTTAGAATGCCGTGTTGAAATGGTACCTTCACCCCAGACGAGGTGATGATATGCATGCCAGAAACTCTAACGGGTTAGGTAGGTAGAAGGCCGCATGCATGAGAGGCGGGTTTGTGACATTTTGACAAGCGACAACGCGATCCGGAGCAACCTGTCGACTCGGATCCATTCCTAAGCTTCATTTTTGTTCGCGTAGGTTAGAAAGCAGTTATTTAGCCAAGTGTAATTATATTGCTTAGAAAAATCCAGCAACTTGTCTTCCTTTATCAGTTCGGAAGCTGGTAAAATAGTAAAATACTAACTTTTAGTATAAAACTCAGGGTTTCGGGGCTTTTCACGTAGTTTGTTTATAGCTAGCTGTATATGGTGTGACGTCTCGGGTCGGAAAGGAAACCGGACTCCCCGATTTGAACACTATTACAATTCCCGGTTTTCAAGCTCCCGGAGGGACAGAATTGGATTTCGAAATATACTGCGGCTATTCGCTTTTCTTTTCGGTTCGCGTGTGGCGTGCAGCTGCAGATAATGCATATATGCAATTGTAATCATCTCCTTCTCGGTACTTCTGGAATCGCAATCGGAGCACTCGGGTGTCAGCTTTTTAGACATAATCGCCTAGTGTCCAAACCATAATGCTTAAGTTGTAGGTACTTGATGGTTTATCGGTTTATTATTAATTCGAGGTTCAAAATTCCGTTTTTGGTAAGAGATGTCATAACGTTATGGTTGTAAAGTTACACGAAGTAATATTTTCGTAGTTGGTACGTAGTCAATTTGCTCAAGATTCCTTTAGATTTAAAAAGTTGCTAAATATATTTACAAAGATAAATGATTTTCTAGCCTGCGGTTTCCTAGAGATGGAAAATAAGCCTCCAAGATGCCTCTAGATACTAGATTGAGGAATTTGCCCGTTATCATGACCAATATCTGTTCACTAACCCCATTATGCAAGTAGGAAGTCCAACTTACCCGTCGGGAGTGTGGAAGATCTTTCTGACTATAGAGCCAACTTCAAGATGTCATATGTCTGGACCAAGTCGGAGAGATATCCTAGATCAGATATGTCTATTTAAGGGCCATGGATTCTCACGAAGGATCTTCTTCTATCCTCACCACCAGCATCGCTTCTAAAGTTCTCAGCAGTTCTTCGGAATAGCAGTCTCTCCTTCATTGAATCTCTGGTTCTAAACCACAGTCTCTCATTTATCACAGCAATATCTATATTCCGAGCTTGACCCTCCGGGCAGCTTACGACCTTCATTGATCCCATCATATATCATCTGCCAAATATCTTTGACAAGTAAACACTCTTTTTCAACGATGTACTTCGTCATAAACACCCCAATACTCTTAGCGTTATTCCAAGCGGTCCTCGCGCTCCCTGGTGCTGCGGCGGCGGGAACATGCGACATCAAATCTGCAGCTTCAGGTGACATTCCAAAGGGTAGCGAAGGCGGTAGCCTTACCCTTGAAGTCCGCGCCGGCGCCGGCGCCTATAAATGTTCGCTTGATGAAACCGGTAGCGGGAATAGCTGGGCGAAGCAATTGACCGCTGCCCGTATCAACGGTAGTTTGACCGTTAGTCTTCCTAAAGACCTCGACTGCAACGGAAAATTTAAGAACTCCGACGATCTTTGCATCATCAGATGCGAGAATAGTAGTGATCCAACGGATACCATCTGCAATATCTTTGAGCAGGTAAACAACGATGATAAAGACGACGGGGATGATGGCAACGGTGGGGCAGAGAAGAAGATTAAGAAGCGCGAGCCAGAACCGGAACCAAAGAAGAAGAAGAAGAAGAGTAAGAAGGGAGGAAGGAGGAACGGGAACAATAGGAATAACAATGAGATGAATTTCTCAATGGATAGTCTGAATGTTTCAGAAGATAAGGGGAATGGAGCGTCTGTTCCGAAAACCGGTCGTAGGAACGGCAACAACAGGAATAACAATGGCATGAATTTCGCCATGGATGACGTGAAGATCGGGGAAGTGGATGACGATCTTAAAAGGCTTGCCAAGCGCGGTGATGAAGGAGAGAATGGAGTTATTGATACCACGAAGGACTCTCCTGAGCTTGAGAAGCGTGGAGCTGGTAAAAAGAAGAATAGGAAGCCAGTGGCGGCAAAGAAGGCGAAAAAGAATGGAGTCAAGAAGGCGTCAGCGAAGAAGAAGAAGAAGGGGAAGAAAGCCACCAAAAAGGTAACAAAAGGACGCAAAAATGGCAACAATAGGAATAACAATGAGCTTAACTTCGCTATGGATGATCTGGATGTTGAGGAAGAGGGTGGCGATGAGGAGGAAGAGGAGGAGGAAGAAGAGGAGGAAGAAGAGGGAGGCGACGAAGAAACCGAAACCAAGAGACTTGCAAAACGCTTCCCACAATACCCCCAAGTCCCAGAGGGTCTTAGCAAACGCTCTATGGATCTTGAACCGCGGGATCCAAAGAAGAAGAGCAAGAAGAAGAAGGGTGGCAGAAGGCCTCGCGTTCGCAAAATCAACAAGAAGAAAAACTCTGCGAATGGTGCCAAAACTGGCAGCCAGAATATCAGCTTGAGCATCACTCCAGCCGAAACCGCTCCTGAAGAAGAGACTCCTATTGATGAAGGGGAGGAGCCCGTGGAAGAAGAAGAAGAAGAATTGAAAAAGCGTTCCATCAACCTCGAACCTAGGGACCCGAAGAAGAGGAAGGGGCGTAGGGTTCGTAAGAATAAAAAGGTAAACACCGCGAATGGCGCAAAAACAGGAAGCCAGACAATCAGTTTGAATATTGGACCCGCCTCAGAGGAAGCGACAACCGCCGATGTAGAAAAGCGTTCGATCGAGCCAAGGGACCCGAAGAAAAAGGGCAGAGCTAGAGTCCGCAAGAACAAAAAGGTGAACAAAGTAAATGCGGCAAAGACTGGGAGCCAAACCATTGATATAAAAGTAACTTCACCTGCGCCTGCGGCGAAAAACACATCAACTACCAAAACCAAGACCAAGGCGAAGAAAACATCTAAAAATCCCAAGACTCCTTCCAAGCCATCTACCCCCAAAGGCGAGGAGCCAGAGGAGGAGGAAGAGGAAGGGGAGGAGGAAGAGGGGGAGGAAGAGGAAGAGGTTGTTCAGCCAAAGACTCAGCCAAAACCCTCAAAGCCAACCACCAGTACTCCGAAGGCCGACCCCCCAAAGGAAGAGCCCCAATTGGAAGAGCCAGAGGAAACAGAACCCAAGGAGGAAGAACCTAAAGCAGAAACTCCGAAGGAAGAAAGCCCAGTTACATATAAGCTTCGATTCCACAGAAGCTAGGCGCTACTTAGTCCTTGCATCGATATCACTGACCCGAAGAACATTTTAAACTCAACAATATCTCCGCCACGTTCGGCGCCTCTCGATATCGCCAAATGAATTCCCGAACCCGACAGTTTTACGAATTTCCTACACCTGATTGCGACATCGCAATGTTGTTATAGATTAGTCTGATGTTCGAAGTTAAGTATTGGTTTTTGAGTTTGGCTTTTGGTATCCAATGTATTTAGCATCAAATTGAAGAAACCCCAGTCTGAAAAATTATCGTGTCAAGGAAAATATCCTTGAACCTTGTAGTTCCATACCTTAGCTTAACTCAGCTCGCTTGCGCTTGTAATCGTGATGAATTGATATCGATATCTTTCGAGAAGTCCGCTCAGCTCATCAGATTGCGCTTTGAAATCCGAAAGTGGGGATATATTATAAATACTTAAGTACTTATATATACTTAGGTACCTACTTCTTAGTCTTTTATTAAAACGCTTTGGACATACCTACTTATATATAGCTATAGCTATATAGTCAGCTGATCAGTCTAGTCCAACTTTAAGCTTTGTACGTGTACATTCCTACGCTAAATGGGCATCTGGGAGGTATTCTGGCAGTGCAATTTGATCTAGATGATCAGAGCGAATACTTCCTAAGACTTGGTCTCAGAATACCCAGGTGCAAGTGGCATCTTTGTTCGAGTACTTCGATAATATTAGAGCGATAGCTAGACTAGATATCATCTAAATTAGCTTAGCTGTAGAGGCAATCATCCCAGTCCTTGTGATGTTGCACAGCGTTCGCTTATGTCAGTACCCAACACTACACAACGCATATCAACATATATCCGGGATTCGGTACTGCAACGTAGACCTAATTACAGAGCATTGGTCTCAATTTAATCCCGACGGCTTTTTGGGCCCGAAGGTGATCCCTTCAACTAGCCCTATGGAAATATGGTTTGCTTCTATTGTAAGCCTTAGCTCACAGCGATCAGTATTATCATGGTTTAGAGGGATGCATGGGGTAGTATCGGGTACTTGTTACCCCAAGGTAGAAAAACGGGGTGTTCTTTCCATATTCGGCAACCTATTGGATCTCTCTATAATTTGAAGTATAAACATAATATTAGCAGTGGCTACTGAGGATTGGTAGCATATAATATTGAAAGGTGGAAGCAGTTAAAGCTGTAGTATTTACATATATGTATATTAATACTTATTTACACTATAACTACACCTAGAGAGGTTATCATAAAACGACGAAGTCATCGATCGTCTTCAAGAACATATTTAAAGATCTTCTACCACTTTTTCCCAAGCCTCCGCGGTCCGATATTTCGACGTGCAGATGAAAATGGGGGCGTAGATCTCGATCTTCTATAAGCTCAATATAATCCTAATATTTTGTTAGACTTGGCTGTGAGATATTGAAGGGAGAGTACAAAGGTTACCCTAAAAGCATTAAGTGTCTGCAAATCACCGATACCCAGCTGATAGTCGGTGGCTCTTAGAATTGCGGTGTGCGGAATACTGGACAGCCATCTAGCGATTTCGGCCGTACCTGCAGATTCTAAGCAGACGTTGTTCTTAATCCCGTGGAACCCCCCCCCCCCCAAGACCGTTTCTCCCTCAGATATCCCCATGCAGTAATACAGTTTAAAAATTATATTCAAATTCGTGCCTTATCTTTCGGATAGTGATAGCATGTAGGTATACTAGACATAACACGATGCCCACCTAAACGTGGGCTAGGTTTATCACAATTTGAGTCTGACACGTCCCAACCAGAATAACTTTCTCCTCCCCTGGACGTTGTTGTAGCTTCATCGGGACAATCTACGTATCTACTCTGTACTTCAGACCACAATTGGTTACGAGGCTGACTTCAGACCTAGATGCGGTCTCGTCAACCAGACAACACACGGGTCCACCCTGGATGCCACAGCTACTAAAATACCACCTGGGTTCTGCGTTGTCATGGTTTCCCCAGATCTTGGCATAAATTAAATGCTGGCTCGGTTGGTCACAAGGCCGTACAAGATGTGGATTGCATTGCATTGGCCTTGGGTCGGGCGACACACAAGTACGAAGCAAAGCCCATATGATTCATGATGAACTCAGTTAGTTAGCTGAAGCTTGAAGTAATAACTGCCTTGAATACACTCAAATCACTTTTTTCTGCTCCGTAGTATACCGTTCCCATTCCCGGTGTACTGAGAAGATAAAAACCTGTAGGCCTCACCCTTGTCATGCGTGACGCTTTAAATACAGCAGCCATGCAACAATGCTGTGACGTCAGTGTCGACGTTCCGGGGGTGTGTCTAGCCTCTTCCAGGAACGGGCCCCGATCGACGCGGAAGAAAGAGATGGGGGGACAACTGAGGACATACGACATCATTGTTACTCCGCGCCTGGGTGTGGGGACCCTTTAAATACACCTTCAGCCCCCCCTCCTTCCTGACTACAACTTCCTTCTTACTCTTCCTCACTGAACACACAAGTACCCTCCTAATCATAATCATCCTCATACATCTTGAATCAACTTCTAAATTAACTTCAAATTTTTATTTTTAAACTTCTTTTTAAAAAGCCTTTACTTTCAAAATGCGCGGATCCGACAAAGTCAGCAAGGTCTACCTTCAAAAGAACAATGAGGACTTCATCGTTCTCGTTGAAGACAAAGAATCCCTGAACAAGTGGAAGGGTGACACTAGTGTCCCATTGACCGACGTTATTAACGGGTTCAAGGTCTTCACTACTCATCGGTATATATCCCATACGCGGTTCTAAACGGGGGTTTCCAAGAAAATATTATGACCCATATATGCTAATCAGTTCCATGTGGACATGTCTAGACAAGGAGCTCAGGGCGTTCTGGACTCCGCTTCAAATGCCATCCTTGACGCTTCGTTCGGAACACACAAAGTCGACGACATCATTCCTGTTATTCTAAGAGAAGGACAGTTGCAGGTCACCAGCGGTGTATGTACTATTCGCTACCCCCTGCATTGCATCGTCAAAACCATCAAGAAGCTAATACCATTCTCTTACAGGGCCAGGACCGTTTTTCCTCCACAAACGATTCGAAGGGTGGCATGGCAAATCACAGATAAACAAAAAATCTACGATCTTGTCTTTTTCTTCTTTGGCTGTGAGCAAGGGATTATTGTTATATTTTTTTTCATGTTCTCAATAGTAGGGAAATCGAACGCTGGGAAATAAGAAACGGAGCATTGCTGCCTGTATTGTCTTTTCAGCCTTCGAAGGGTTTGTATTACAAATAGCGACACAATAGGCTCGCTTGCTATCCCATATTTATGGAATAGCCACAATCACAATATAAAACGGAAGGCCCAACCGCCCTTCCTATCAGCCTACTCTTATGGATTCGAACTAAGACCATGCTACTAACTTGCACCGTGATCGTATACCGCATCATATTTGCCTATCCTGCATAGTATACATGCGTAAAAGAGCCCCTCGCGTCACGCCTTCAATCAAAAATGGATAGATCAAAAGAGCAGTAAAAAAGAATTAAAGCTTGCGTATAGCTGTAAAAGATTATAGCATCAAACTTCCCTAACTAGCACGCGGAGGTAAAAGCGCCATGCATGATCATATTTAATATAATCCTGAGCTGAATTCCATTCTACCTTCCACCTCTAAAAGCTTGTGAAGCAAAGAAATCGTTCATATCTTGCCCTCCGAGACCGTTGTTTGACATACTCGCGTCCCGCACAGTTCGTGCTGCGTCGATCTTGCCTTGCTACAAAATTATTAGCAGCCGCACAGTATTTATACGAGAGAGAGAGAGAGAAAATCTTACCAAGGTGTTCGAACGAACATCAATTTCTTGAAGAGCTCCGAGATGGTTGTTCAAAATCTTAACAATCGTTGCAAGCTATAATCACAAAATTTAGCGACGTCCAGTCCGGGTTGTGTAGTATGAAACGCGGTTTACTCACGGGATCCTCTGCACTACTAGTCTTGTTGATCGTGCTTGTCGCGTTGTTTATGTCTGTAATGATACTTCCTAAACCTTTGCTCATAATGTCGAGCTGTTTATCCAACTTCTCTGCCAACAAGTAGGACTTCTCTCTTTCTTGATCAGCGGGTTGCATTCCTTCGGGCCCACCGATTTGTGTCTGGAAGATATCGTCAACTTGTTTCTCGTATAATTCGAGAGCAACTGCGAGTTCCTCTTGCTGCCCGACGACATAGTCGAGAGCCTTGTTGATGTCCTCTTGCTTCTTGGTGGCTTTGAGAGTCTCGGTATGCAATTCCACAAGCTTTTCGCCGTTCATTACAAGCATGCGGTCCCAACTCGCAATCTCAGTAGCCTGTTTGTTGAACTCTGTTGTGTATTTGTCAAGGTCTGAAGTCCAACGGGTGATAAGTTCGTCTAGAGACTTGTTCTTTAAACGGGAAGCCGGTTGAACTGAAGTAGACCCGGTAGGCTGGGCTGAGGGAGCTGTAGTTGTAGGAATAGCGGAGGGTTTGCTTGCGTCTGCTGCTGCTGGGGTAGCCGTGGTAGTTGGGCCCGGCTTTGTTCCGAACAACCCCGGTGCAGCGGTAGCAGATGCGGATACGGGAGTAGCACTTGTGGTTGATGTCGGGGCAGCCGAAGCTGCCGTACTGGATGGCCCCGCTCCGAATAGGCCGCCACCGGCTGCTGGAGTAGTAGTTGATGGTGTGGCTGGCTTGTCAGTTGGTTTGGAACTGAAAAATGAAGGGGCCGGGGCTGTATTAGTTGATGGTGTAGTAACAGAACCAGTTGTAGTGGTTGTAGTCGCTGGTGCTGTGGTTCCAAATAGTGAGCTAGGCTGGGCAGATGTCGAGGTAGGAGCCGTAGCTCCTCCAAAAAGGCCCGGAGTTGAAGGTTTTGTGGGGGGGGCCGTATTTGATCCTCCAAAGAGGCCACCGGCACCCGTTTGCCCAGATGAAACAGCTCCAGTGCTAAATAAACCGCTGGCACTCGGTTTAGCGGTAGGTGCTGTACCAGAGCCGAATAAACCCGTAACTGATGCGGCAGACTTTTGGGCGTCATTAGTTATCGCCGCTGTAGTGGCTGCCGCTTGCGTAGTAGCAGTTGCTGGATTGCTAAACAAGCTGGCCTTCGGTGGTTCCGTCGTCGCCGTCGCCGTCGGCCCCGCCGCCGTGGTTCCGAACATCCCACCAGGCTTTGTCTCCGTGGTAGGTGTACCTGCAGCGGGGGTAAGAGTAGGTTTAGTTGAATCTAGACCAAAGAACCCACCAGCGCTCGCTGGTTTCGTTGCCTCTGTCGGCTTAGACCCGAAAAGGGTGTTAGGGGTAGCAGTTCCCGACGCTGCAGGAGGTTGTGACCCAAAGAAGCCGCCAGCACCGAAGAGATTTGAAGCCGCTGGGGTAGCAGTACCTGATGCAGCCGGAGTGGTGGGCTTTGCGCCGCCGAATGTCGCTGGGCCTGCCGATCCAAACATGGATGGTTTGGAAGCATCGCTAGTCGCATTAGCAGCTGACTGCGATCCAAACAGTGAGCTACCACCTGGTGTAACAGTCCCGGACGACCCAGTGCTAAACAAATTGCTCGCGGTAGATGTAGCCGAATTTTGTTTTTGCCCTGTGCCAAAAAGATTTGTGTTTGAAGTATTTCCAAACATATTTGATGCTGCCGGTGCCGGTGCCGGTTTGGTCGAGTCGGTAGGAGCAGCTCCAGTAGAGGCTCCGAACATACTGCCACCTAGATTCATCGGCGGCGGGGCAGCGGGAGTGGTCGATGTTCCAAACATATTGCTCTGCACTCCTCCAAACAGCTTATTTGGGGCTGGTGTCGTAGATCCGAAAATATTCGAAGGGGCCGTGTTCGATGGGGTCGGTGTAGCGGAGCCTGGAGGCGTAGCAACCTGCGTAGATCCGAAACTGAAGCCAGAAGTTGCGGTGGACTTTGGTGCAGTGCCAGATGTGCCGCCAAATAGTGAGGAGCCAGTTCCAGTTGGAGTGCTCGCACCAGGAGTATTGGTCGATGCCCCAAGTGTAGTATTTGTAGACTTTCCAAATATGCTACCAGTACCGACAGTAGGTGCTCCACTCCCAAAGAGATTGCCTCCGCTCGTTGTAGTACTTTGTGATGGAGTATTTTGGCCAAAAAGACTGGCACCCGATTGACCACTGCTCGCAGGTGTGCCAAAGAGATTATTTCCCGAGGAGGTTCCAGTATTGGCGCTACCGAAAAAAGCCCCTGAGCCAGCGCCGCCCCCAAATATGCTGCCTGGACCTTGATTGCCGGACATTTTATTGGAATTACGAAACGCGTAGATCAACCGTACAAAGGAATTTAGATTGCGGCGGGCTGGGCAGCTAGAGGTGCTGCACGTATCCGAGACAGCGGCAGTGTCGCGGGCTAAAGATCGGTGTTCTTGGTTGGCCTTTGATATCCTAGATTCTTTCAATAGCAGCGCAATCGGTAGAGGGATGGTGGGAATGGAGAAGGCGAAGTCGGTGATCGGGTTGCGATGTGGTTGGAGTTGAGGTTGAAGTTGACTAGGATCTAACGAGCGCCTGAACGCGACTCTAAAATGTCACACGCCAACACCATTGACATCAAAGAGCGCTAGAGCATCTACATGCTACGTATGATGTTACTCAGCATGTGCAGCCAGATAGCAGTGCAGTATGCAATATTAATACGGGCATGGATTTTAACGCGGATATTGAGAGCTTCAGTACCCCAATGAAACTTCTAGCATTATCTTAAACTAATAATATATAGGCTTTGGCTCAAACACCGGAGGAGTTACGCTGTACCGATACGCACCAATACATCTGCTGCCATCAGTACAAATGCTGCGACATCAAGACAACCAATGCAACTATATCATAAAATTTCAACCATTCAATGGAATTTTGGAACTCTCATGCTATTTATTTGGAGCCGGCAGGTCTATCTTGCCTTCTCTTCGCTAGTACTCTCCCAAGAGCGTCCCTCATTTCGGGTTCGGACTCTATTCTTCGTTCCACCAGCCAGTCCGCCATCTGCATTTTTAGATTCCTGTCAATGCTTCCATCTTGTCGAACAAACGGCGCAATCTCCATATCAGCAGCAGCCTTAGCTTCGTTTTTGATGGCTGCCGCCTGTGCCATTAATCTGTCCAAATGATCCGAATACGTAGTCTCCGACCACTTCATCCTCCTTTCCTGGAACAACGGTGCCAGCTGAGATATCCCAATGATAGCCGATAGCAGAATTTGTTGTGCCAGTGCAACCTGTTCAAAGGGCAGAAGAGTTCGCTGAGTGAAGAAGTAAATAATCCGAGTAGACACCAGAAAATATGGCCGTGTTACTGAGGCGTAGTCGAAAAAAAACATGCACGCTAGGGATAAGAACCGCCACTGTGAAACACAAGAGCTGTTAGATATAATCATCATAAGGACTTCGAATTTGCATTTTTGGGCCCATACATATTTCCCGAACTCCAGTACACCCAGTACCCCGAGAACCACAAGCACAATGAAACTACCGGTATAATTCGGCAGCTTAGCCCATGCAGCATGTGCAACAAAGTCGTACCGAGTTTTGCATAGAGCCCAATCTGGAAGTGTCATCGCAGGGCCCAATCTCTCATACGCAAATCTCTTAACTGGATCCAGTAGAACGTCATATGCGATTTTGTATTGTACGAAGATGTGCTCCGCGCCCGGCCCGGCCTTGTCTGGATGATATTTTACCGTTCTAAGAATGATATTAGGTGCAAGGTCTCTTAGACAAAACCAAATGAAATTTAACATACGCCTTCCGAAATCCTCTCTTAATCAACTTCTCATCCGCATTTGCTGGTACACCCAACATTTCGTAAAACGTTGGATGACCTACGATGCCTGTCCAGCATTCATAAATGGTAAAAGCCAAATACGTTGCAATGACAAAGCAGTATATGTATTTGCGATCTCGCATGTAGCGCGGGCTACCAGGTTGTGGCATAGGGTCACCAGCACGGGTGAAGAGGCGGTAGAGGAAGGACTGGACCCAGCCAGTTACTAACTACTTTGAAGGCGCACATGTTAGGCCTCAAAATTCTAAAACAAAGTAGATGTGACTTCGTGAAATTTACGCACGTTAGGAAGGAAGGCCCATCCTATGAAGGAGCCGATGGGTCCAATGTTGTACGACGACGCTCCTGCCGCGGCCGCCATGGTTGAATGGTTTGGAATGCTATAGGGCGCGAATCGAACCGAACCGAACGAACGAACTAACGAACAAAAGTAAGTAGTACTGATAGTGGATACAGTATGCCAACATTGGCCTGACGTCGGCTTGGTTAGAACATGTGTTGTTTTCATCAACACCTGTTTGATTTCTCAAACATTCTCTATTTGGCCCCAATCTTATCTCTGCCCTTATCGGTCACATGACCCAGAGCTATTCCAAAGCAGAAAAGCAGTCCTTTCTGTGCGGTTTACTGATTCGAGGTTTCTTGGCGCTTTGAAGCCGCCCCAGCAAATTTGTCGAACCGGAAACGCAAAGAGAATATTGGTCATTCGACATCCAACCTTCAGTGAACCCCATCGACATCTACCTCCTCCCTTTCCGACAATCCACGACGAGCATTTTTCCCATCGTCCCCTTAATCCAACATGGCTGATTCCGTCACAGTATGTCGTTTCCCGCTCCTACGGATCTCTTTCGACGGCGCGAGATGGAGTTGGTTTTATCGGTTTAGATTCTAACGATGGATGAATGGTTAGGTCCGAACCCGCAAGTTCTTGCGAAACCCTCTCCTCCAGAGGAAGCAGATGGTCGTGTAGGTTACCCTATTTGTTTTTAATCTCTCTCCGATATATACGAATGGATATCTTCGGGGAATATGGGCATAAGGCTAGTCGACAGAAGCTTGGGGCAAGACAAATGGGAGGGATTGTGCTAGAACGGACACGACTCGAGGGGGGCATAGAGTATTCAGAGGACCATTCGACATGAATCTAGCCACTATGCTGCCAAAAATTCCATCAAGAATCGAATATTCGATAAAATAATCGAGAGGTCCAAGAGCAACAGCCGCTAATATTAACCTCTCTTCGCTCAGTGACATTCTGCACCCTGGTCTCCCAAACATCTCCAAGTCCGACCTCCGTGAAAAGCTCGGCAAGCTCTACAAGGCCGACGCTGGCACTGTCTCTGTCTTCGGTCTACGAACACAGTATGGTGGTGGCAAGACTACCGGATTCGCCCTCATCTACGACTCGCTAGATGCGTTGAAGAAATTCGAGCCCCACTACAGACTTGTCCGATACGAGTACGCCACCAAGATCGAAAAGGCCAGCAGACAGCAACGTAAGCTCAGATTTCAGACCCATAATACCGTCGTACGAACCTTCGATGTTAACAAATTCTATAGGCAAACAGCGAAAGAACAGAATGAAGGAGGTCCGAGGAACAGCGAAGACCAAGGCTGCCTCCAAGGACAAGAAGAAGAAATAAACGTTTCATTTCCTCTTGTTCTTTCGTTCGCTTTATTGTTGCTTTCCGCTTTTTTATATACACCTTTTTATTACGGCGAATTGATCTGGACTCTTTTTCCCTCACTTCGGGGTTCCTTTTTATCCACGGGACGGAATGAAAAAACGTCGGTTTTTCTCGAATTGTGTTATATAATATGCCACGATAACGTCCCTCTCATAATTACGATGGAGCAAAGTTTCCTTTGTTTCCTCGTCGTTTTCCTCATCGGTTACCAACCTTCCCGTCATCCCCATTCATCCTCTAAGGGGCGGATTCCTTCATCCCATTATTCAATGCTTCATCTATGACTATCCTCATCCCTTCACGTCCTGTGTATATCACCTTACGATCAAAACCTCTTATAATTGAGGATCTCAAAATAATGCTGATATTTCCCGAACGGGTTTCATACCCTTGGCCCAATATGAGGCTGCGTAGATTGTTCTTTATTGTATGTACAAAGGCATTGTAGGGTTTTATCCCCAATGGATGGTGTATATCCGTATCGGGGTATCACTTCCATAATACCAAAGCTGTCGACCAGATTCGCCAATATCTTGCACTTTGAAGTTGAGTCCCGCAGAAGATAGCTCTGTATCAAATTCACGGAGCGTGTCTTCATTCCGTACCGTCGCCGATATGATGGCTTTGGCACCTGTGTCCTGATTCGCCACAAGCAACTTCTTTAGAGTTAATACTAGATCCGAGAGGTCTCTAGTATCATATGTAATGTCGCCGCCAATGACCAAATCCCAGGGTTCTGTGTATACCGTAGAGTCTTTTTGGGACCCCCCCCAAAGCAACTGAGAAGCAGATACAACGTTTCGGCAGTAGTTGTGATCTATGTTTCTACGGATAGCTTCGCAAACCCTTTCGTCTCCATCGGTCGCCAAGACACGTTTGGCGCCCAGTTTGGAGAGTAGAATCGATGTGAAAGCTGTCCCCGCACCGAGTTCCAAGATCCTACACTGCGGGATTGGCTTTGAGATCGGTGATGGTGTGAAAAGGAAGAATTCGCCGAGTGCTAGGGCGGCTTCCCAAGTTCTCGAGCCAGTATGCCCATCAGCCGAAAGCACTGATTTCCGTTCAGATATGACGACTTGTACCTCTCCATCCTTCTCATCATCCTCTTGAGATAGAGACTGATTTGGAGGCAGAAGGTAAGTTATAAAAGTAGGCTTTGTAGCATCGGAAGGCGAGTCAGGTTTTGACATGAGATTGGAGTAGAGTGTTAGAATGGAATCGTGAAGTTCCTTGACATTCAACCCCCCGATTGCATCAGCACCAGTCGTCCACCATGATCACCCGTGGCAAGATGGGAAACTATGGAATATAAGACATACTTCATCCTCTGCTAGATTACTTTCCAAACAAGCAATAAGAAACTTGAGGAACCGTCTAGTATATGCATCGGCTGGCCGGTATGCTGTTGCATCTTTGCTAAGGATTGTGTTGAAGAGGTGGTCCTGGAAGCCCCAATCCACTTTCCCCACAGGCACGAGACCATCGAATGCGATGCTTCCTGCAGGCACGGATTGGAGATACAGCCGCTTCAGCTTGAAGATGCTGTTATGATTCGCAGAAATGTTATTTTGCTGTACACCCATTTTTTCTTCTCGAGCTCCCGGTGCTTCTCGGTCTCCTGGATCCTGTTAGCCGCTTGTGAACAATTGGTATTCATGCGGGGTCTGCAGGCCGAGCATTTGATGCCTGGAGTGAACGTTTGGTTTCCAGCCGGGGTTCGAAATCCAAAGTTCAAGGCTGTCTAAATTTTAATTTGTTTATATCAACGCCCCAGCCCGCCCAGTCAACTCAACTCAACGCGACCTATCTAACCAGGTCCTGGCTTCGCTCTTACCTACCTCGCGCCTATTTGACTCTACCAGGCCTTCCTCCCTTACCCTTCACGCCTTCTTCACGGCTACTATTTACCCGAGGAATGCTCTTGGTTTTTCTTACTTTACTTTACTGACTTATCTAACACCTCATCAACGCCATCGATCTACCTTTCTGAACCCCACCACTCCTCGACAATGCGCCGGGCACGCCTGCGCATCGACCGGGAAGGTCTCGCCCCGGTTCATATAATATGGCCTTTACAGCCTGCCATTGAACAAAATCCGCGATATTCCGTGTATGACCTCCTCAAGGACGTTAACAAAGCCTTCCCACTCGAAGATGGTGCTTCTGGTCTTGAAGACTATACTGTCGAGATTGCTGGATGTGATTTAGTCCATTACATGCCCATTGCTCATCTAGTCGGCGATAAGGATGACATAACGTAGGTTGCTCCCTTGAGAACTAGAGTAGCATATTTACTAACGTTAGCTAGAATACGACCTCTAACTGCTACAGAAATACGCGAACGTCGGAAAGGTGGCAGGAGGCAAATTAGTAGCATTGGAAGGGTGCTTCTCGACGGTGTCGCGCCTGGGAGACTCTTTGTGGATCCTGCACGAGACCGCCCACTAATCACGGGAAGCGATCGTCCTGTAAAGCGACGTAAAATTTCTAATACCTTTACGGATGATGACAGTAGCGGTCAAGACATCGATACATGGAAGCCTATTACTACATCTGGGAGACGAAGGGCACTAAGGTCGGCCTCCGGTATTAAGAGTGTTCACTTCGAGAACGGTGAAGAAGACCAAGAGGAGGAGATCGATCACTCTTCGGCTATGATTCTGGCACCTGTGGCTCAAGAAGGGGACGACGACAATGAAGAAGACGGGGATTTTGATCCAGATGGAAATGAAGACGAGGACCAAAGTGACGATGAAAATGATGACGACGAAGACAACGAGGACGAGGACGAAGGCGAGAGCGAAGATGGTGGGAGAGAAGAAGGAGCTTTTAGCTCTGATGAGGATGAGGATGAGGGTGCTGAATCCGAGGGGGATGAAGATCAAGATGAATTTGCTGCGGCGGCCGATCTTGACAAGGTACTCAAGAGACTCTATAGAGGAGGGAAAGAATCTCAGGAGGAACAAGAGGGAACTGATTCTAGTGATGCTGCTGCTGCTGCTGATGATGATGATGACAGCGATGACAGCGACGGCGGCGAAGAGGATAGTAGCAACAGCTCGGATTCATCGATTTCTTCCGACTCGGATGAAGAAGAGGAACCCAGATTCACTAAAGCCAGCAAAGTCAAATTGAAGAACAGTATCAACCAAAAAGAGCTTTCGGATAGCTCTTCAGAGGGCTCTAGCGAATCTGACGACTCCGACGACTCTGGTGGCGACTCTTTTCAAGATTCAGATTCTGGAAGTTCATCTGATTCGAGCTCCGATTCTAGCTCAGACGACGACGATGATGATGACTCTGGAGAAGAAGGGAAGAAGGAAACCAAAAGGGAAAATCAGTCAAATAAATTAAAAAGAAAAGAAAGGTCCGCAGAAGCCGAAAAGCCAGAGGAGGTTTCATCGAAAATCGTTATCAGCTCTCCCAAACCCCCCGGAGACCTACCACCGATAGTTACGACAAAAAAGCCTTCAGCCGCCCGAAATCTACTAGCAACTACCACCAGAACCCCGCTACCACCTTCAGTGACAGTTACAGAAGCTTCCCCAAACATACCGCCAGTAACAGTAACAGCAAACCCTCCTTTTAAGGGGACTTCTAACACGAGGTCCCGGAACCAAAGGAGAAAGGACAGCAAGCGTTTGGAACAGCTTATCCGAGAGGGTCATCTACCAGCCGGATCAACAAAAGAGGATTTGCACAGATACCGGGAAAGGGAAAACGAGGACAATGGAGAGGTTCCAACTATTAAGTCCGGGGTTGCAAGTGATGTGGATGTTGTGCTTCAGACCCAAAGCAATACTATTCAACCAAACGGCTCTCAAGATAGTAGAAACTTGTCTCCTAAATACACGCCCATGGAACCTCTAGAAGTTGTCATTGAGGAATCAAATGTTTCGCTTGGTGCCCCAAATATTTCAGTTCAGGGTTCAGAGTCTTCGAAACACTCTCAAGTTGACGAGTCCCCGCCATTGCTGGCCGATGCCAACAGACGCCGTCCCGGTGTATCAGATGCAACGAAGCGAACGTTACTGGGTAGCCTTGGCTTGAAACTACCGCGAAACCAAGCAGAAGACGAAAAGCAAAGAGAAGACTGGAAAAGAAAAAATGCTAAACTCGTTGGAAATAAGAGCAAAGGTTTCTTAGATTCGATGGCGGGCAAGGAGGGAGTCCACTCGCGGTTCGACGAGGATGGCAAGGTTGCTATGGAAGTCCCAGCTACACAAATAGTCCCAGACGAAAACGCATGGAAGCAAAAAATCCAACTCTCCGCCGTAGAATGCGATGAAGACTATATTAATGAGGAGGGCCAAAAAACACTTATACCATCCTTTCCATTTGACCCAAGGCAGTTTTGGGCAGGGCAAGATGAGACGAACTTCGGCAAAAAAATCAAAAAATAAGAAAAAGAAGGGTAAAAAGAATAAGCATAAACAGCCTGAAGAAGAAGCCTACCAAGAAGAGGAATGGAACCCAAATTTCTATGACGATTCTTCTATGCAAGTCGATTCTGCACAACGGCCAGGACAAGTCGAGCGAAGCACGCAGGGCGCGGACGAGGCAGTCGATGATATGCCACCTATCCCCAAGAACCTCTCAGATTATCCGGCGATCAAGCAACCAGTTTTGCCGGAGTCTATTCTAGTTTTCAGAAAGCTTGTTTTTGATGCTAACAACAACTATGCGACCAGCTACAAGCAGGTTACCGCTAAAGTTCTGGCGATTGAGGGCTCTAACATCATATATCAGCTCGCGAAGAGAGATTGTCCGAAAGCAATCTACGATGAAGAAACAGGCGAGAGAGTTTTTGGGAGGTTCCATATGCCAGGAACGGAGGACACTGAAGGCATCGAGGAGCTAGAACTTGGGTTGATGTATGAAGGGAGGGTGATCAAGGAGGGTGTTGTAGCGACTGAGGATTCTGAGGCTCTACTGGCGGAAGAGGAAAAAGAAATTGACCGGGTTCCAGAAACAATTCTGGAGGGTGTGAATATGACCAAGGTATGATTTCATGAAGAAAGAAAAGATGTACATTCCTTATTATCTTCTACAGCGTGTGCTTTTTCTAATCAAGTCACAAATCATCCTTTTCTTGTACCCAGGATAATATCAAGGCCCAAACTATTTCACAAAATCAAAGCGACGATGTCATTATGCTGGAAGCCGAGGTTGCCCCAGCCCTCGTGATCCCCAACGATTCTATTCAATCTTCAAGTTTTCTTGAACCACCGTTCCAAACGAACGGTTCAGATGGCAATATCGACACCGACGACGATATGGATGATATTCAGGAGGACGAAGATCCTGTCCCAGAAAGAAAAAAGCTGGAAGAGGGTCATACTGTGCGTAGCCGGGCTTTACACGCCCAACCTATCGCCAACGTGGAGGATCAACAGCTAGATTCAAGTGCGGAAGCCCATAGATACGAAGATGCACCGTCCCAAGACATGATATCACCAAACGATCTTGTTCCAAAGAAAGGTCCCTCAGAGGTGCTGGAAACAGAATCGCAAGCTTCGACAGCAGAATCTGAGGAGCCAGTTGTTCAAGTCCCTGGGACACCAAGTTCGGGTGCACCTGGATCACCGGTCCAAGACACAAGTATTCAGCATTGGGACCTATCAGTAGACATCTCTGCCCTGGACCCTAGTGATGCTGCGATTGTTGAGAAGATGATAAAGGTAAAAGAAGAGTGCCCCGAAGACCCTGATCTGCTTAGGGAAGCCTTAAGGCCTTTCCATCACCCCCCGGAAACCCAAGACGAAGTCAACGTAAGCGTTGATATTTCACCACCCGTTTCACCAATTATCAAAAAGGAACGCCTGAGTACACAAGAAGCCCTAGGATCTCCAGTCACCCCCCTTAAGGATATCACCGGACGTTCAACAAATGGCGACAATGTCGAATATAGCGAAGAACCTCTGGAAGCGGATGATGGCGATGGCAAAGATAATCTCACTCTCGGATCTGGATCTGGAAACCTTGGTAACGAAACATCACCTTCCGCTGCCGGCGACTTTGCTCCATTGAAGTCTGACAGTGCGTTTAAGCGGCGGCCAAAAGTCGGTGCTCTATATCGTAGGAAGCCACCGAGCCTGGAGCGCAAGGAGGCCAAGGAGGTCAAGGAGGCCGTTAAAGAAGAATACGACGACAACGACGATTTTGTCATTCCTTCTACTATGCCAGAGCGGTCCCTCGCCAGTGGCCGAACAGCCCTCAGTGGAAGAGCCAGCAGTGCAAGTACCACATCATCAAGAGAAACGTCCAAAAAGAAAGAACCCGAGTATATCACAATCCTAAGTGACGAAGAAGAAGAAAGGTATGGCTCAAGACCAAGTCTTGGAATTATGGGGGGCGCGGTTTCCACCAGGCGTGGGAAGGTTAAGTTGAAGCCAACCCTCCTGAAAAGGCCGGGCTCAATGGGGGGTTCTCAAGGATTCAGCTCGCAGCGGTCTTCCTCCTCGCAACCCTGAATGTCTTTACTGTGTATAATCAGCTGCCTTCGGGCCCTCCACCTCTACTAACACTTTAAATTTAATGTTACCTAGGTAATATCTCCCCTGTACTTTTCTCCGCTGTGTACCATTATAGCCTTGTTTGCCTTGCAGTTATAAGTCCGGGTTTCTCTGCTTTTGGCGTTCTTCCTTTTCTTCTACTCCTACTTCTTCCTTTGTTACCTCGTTCATATTGGGGTGGTTGGCGTTTCGGGTCTCTCGTTTTTCTTATTTTTCCCCAAATCCAAGTACTGAGCGCTTGGTACCGAACTCGAGGCGAGCTCAATGTATACTACAGGCCTGTTCTATTTGTGAGCAGCGGGGTATAATACTATAATAATATACAAATGGGGTACAGCAGTCTAACTAACCCCAGTAGGTCTATGTACAAAAAACTGATGGATGCCAATTCTCTAGATTGTATGTTCTAGTTTTGATTGAGGTAACTGCTGGAGTACTTGAGGAGGTACCCAGCTCAGACGAGTCCACGGGTGCATACCCTCACTATCGGGGCTGGTATATGAAGTTTTTTATATGCCCTTGAAAAAAACTCTGGCTACCTCTTCGGCTTATCCCCGCTATTACTAACGGGTTGCACCTTCTCGTACTCTTCCCGTAATTTCGCCGACATTTCAAAGTCCAATGCTCGTTCTCGTTTCAGACGTTGACGTTCTTCATCGCGAACGACGCCCTGGTGCATCGCCTCACGCTCGGTGACTTGTGTATTATGAACGGCGACAACGATGAGGCCCGTAACGGCGGTGACGAGGCCGAGGGTTAATTTGGAGGCCCGTGACATCCTTCTTCGAGAGATTCGTGGAGAGAAGAAGAACAGAAGCGTTTTTGAAAATAACAATAACAATAGCAATGATAAAAAAAGTATTAGAATAAATTCTTTAAATACTTTGCTATTGGTTAGATAGGGAGTTTATAGGGATGGGATGTCCTTTGTAAGAACCTAGGGCTTTATGTTAGTGAATCTGTTCGTTCAGAAAGAAGACGAGGGAGACAATGGCATACTATAAACTCATCTCCGGCGTCTAGGGTTTGAAGCCAGGAATTATGAACTTAGATGTCGTCCAAGAGAAAATTCGCCGCCGTTGGCCGTGTCGTCTGCAAGCCCAGCAAGCAAGGATTGAATGTTTCTGGTCGGGATTGCCTTAGCGTGGGACTCGCATGACGACGAGGGGCAGCTCGACTTGGGCTCGTCAAACCGAACCCAAACGTACCAAACCTCCATTATCCATAGCTTCCCTTTCCCACCAACCCCCAAAGATCCCGAAACCGCCGGCCGATTACCACATTATCCCCGAACCTCGACCTTCTTCGTAAGCAAATATGGTAGGATACTTAAGTCCCTCCCATTCCCGAGATGCGCTGTTTGAATGGAACGAGATAGCTAATACCAGGTGATAATAAAACCCCAATAGTCGGCGCAAAACTCCCAGGGCAAGTCTTAAAACAGTCCGCGTATGATGACGTCGACAAATGGTTTTTGATTTGGATATCTAACGGTGGACCGGCTCTTTAAAAATTGGTATTATATAGGGATACAAACCCTTCTGAATGCTGAACAAGAGGCTCAGAAGATCGTACAGAAGGGTGAGTTGGCTTTTGATAATTTCGTTCATTGTGGGGAGCCCGTGCTGACATATCATCTTCTTTCTACGACGGCTAGCTCGAGCTTGTACGTGTATCTTTGGACATGACTATCTCTGATTCCTCCGCTCCAGTTCCTGTTCCCTAACTCCTATCTCCAACTTTATCATAGACCGAGTCCAACGCGTCAAGGATGCCCGTGCGGAAGCCCAGAAGGAGATAGAAGAATACCGCCAAAAGAAAGAAGAAGAATTCCAAAAATTCGAGGCAGAGGTATATATATAAAAGACCCTCGGCCCCCAGATTCAAGTTCTACGGAAACTCCGAGAACCTAACTTGTATATCTCAAAACATTCAGCATACCGGAATAAACGCACAAGCGGAAAAAGACGCAGAGAAGGAAATCGAAGGCAAGCTAAAAGAAATCGAGGAGGCGGGAAAGAAGAGTAGAGCACAGGTGATAGAAGATTTGATCAAGGCGGTTACAACGGTGGAACCGAAACCACATATCAACAGCAAGCACAAATAGGCGAGGATATTGGGCTTTAGTTTTCGAGATATGGTTATCTAGATCAGGGTATAATTGAACCCAAGTTTATTGCGGCGGTGGCGGTGGTAGAGGAAGAGGAGGCGCTTGTTTTGTCTCTTTTGTAACTTTGCTATCTTGTTTAGCGGAATGCATTATATCATTTTTCTTCCCCTTCTTTCTTTTGAAAGCCGTATCAAATATTGATACCTGCTCGAACAGTTGTATTCTATACATCAAGTTCAACGTAAGGCTAGCGGTACGTATATATATCCCCAAGTATGTATTGGAGCACGAGAGTTATCTGTGGAAAGGCCTAAATACATATATATCTATTCGAAAAAAAAGGTAGTGACTGCCAATAGATCAGCTATATCTTGGTCTCGTTCCCAGGATATCTTATTATAATTAATTCACAGATAACAGATACGTATTATTCCGTAGTATCCATCTGACAGAGTATATAAATTAAGTTGTCTTCGCATCGACAGCCCGAATGGAATCAATTTCCACGGGCTCCGGTGAACCAGGCTCTACGGCTGACTCCAACCGAGTAGACTCAACATTGCCACTCGCCTTCGAGGTAGAGGTCTTCTCATCGCTGGAGCCAGAGCTAGAGCCGGGAAGGGCGTCCAAGGCAACGTCACCTGGTTTAACCCTATCCGAAGGCTTTACATAGCTCCAAGGCAAATCGTCCTTCGTAATCTTTCCGCCTGTATACCAGATCTAGAATAGGTAATTAGTACATTATGACCTAGGCACCACTGAAGAAGGAGAGAAGAGGGGTGGTTACTTACGGTCACAAACGACGTCAAGAGACATAAAAATCCAAACAGTAACACCATGCTATTCCACCCGATAGCTTTATTCAAGAATCCACCCAACAAAGGTCCTACGACGGACCCAAGTGACCAGGCAATGTTGAACAATGCATAGGCTTGTGCAAATGCTCCTTTCTCCCCAAAGATACCAGGCGACTCCTTTTCGAACTCGACAACACTGATACTAATTTCGCTCATAGCACCGGGCATAGATGCTGAAATCACAAACCCGATACAAAAGAGGAGGGCGCAGAGTAAGGCTATATGTCCAGCTACCGGCCTTTGTGGAAGACGGAGAAGAATGAACAGTGGAAGACAGACGAAGAACGCAGTGACGACGAGCCATCTTGGACCGTACTTGTCTGATATTTTACCGCATAATGGGGCAACCAGCGTTGGGATAATGATTGCAAGAAAAATCAAACCAGCAGCCGTAGAGTTAAAGTGAAAGACGTACTTGACACGAAGGGGGAGGACTGCGTCGAAAGCTGTGAAGATGGAGCCAAGCATAACGGTGATGAAAAGTGAGTTAAGGGTACGGGGCGATTTAAGTAGGAGAATGATAGCAGGAACTCGAGACTCCTTGCGAAGCACAGTGGCGGCATCTCGATTTTTGAGCATTGCCTCGCGGATGTTTTCTTGTGGATTAGCTTTCTTATCTTCAGGTTTCTGGTCTTCGAGGTTGGCGCCGTCTGCATCTGGTGCTGAAGGTTCGGGCATCCACTGTTTTGCAGCGGCTTTCTCGATAACTAGTAGTCGCATGATGATATCGAACCCTATCTATATATGCAGATTCATTAGTCATAATGCACAATCCATAGTCACCCTGGTATTCACGGAGTTCCTGTGAGGACGAACCACAGCGAATGCCAAAATAAAGACGGCAGTATATCCGGCCTTGTCATAAATGACACCACCCAAAAGAGGTCCCAAGCTAGATCCCGCAGTCAAACCAATGGATACAAAGCCCATAGACTGGGCCTGCTCATTCGCTGGAACCGTATCAATTACTAGTGCGAGACCAACCACCCAAATGCATCCTCCCGACATCCCCCTGTTTATATTAAATATGCGTTAATGAAGTCCCAGTTATAATTTAAACGACCCTACCACGCTCTGAAGATGTTTTTAGGGGAGAACATACTGAATTAATCGAGCTACGACCAAAACCGGGATACTGTTCCCTACAAGGAACATGGCCGTAGAGGCTGCGAGTAGTATTAACCCCCATAACTAAGATTTTTATTTTTTATTTAGCACGAATCTCTAAGAGACCGAGAGATCTAGGATTTATCAAATGGAGAGAGAAAATAATATACTTACGAACGGTGACCTACGATACTTCGTATGATCTATCATATAGAACCATACTTAGAATCTGATAACGAACTGCATTCACCTCGACGAACGTGCGTTGGTCACATGCACATTCTCATTATCACTAACCTGCGATGTACCCAAATATGGCTAGATGTACACAGTTAAACAATTAGCATATATTGGATCGATATCTGAGATTACAAAACTACGATGTTATCAAGGTTAGAAAAAGTGATATTGATACTCACGAGAAGCGACTAGCAATCCGGCCCCATAAACTGCCAACATGATTGAAATCCATCCTTGTACCGAATCTTCTGTAACCCTCGCTCGTGAAACTAGCGCGAACGGTCTGACATTAGATCCCGAGCCACACTGGTTAGCCTCACATCCTAAAGTCGTCCCGTGGAGATCTTCGCTGAGACAGTGTACAAAGAGCCGCGCCCTGTTCTTGCACCACCCAAAACAAAGCGTGTATTTTTTTTCATCTCATGGGAATTCGAAAAAAAAAAAAAAAAAGTCTGGGGTAACACTAACAGTACTGGCACAACAATTGAGTAAAGAAGGATATCAACGAAGATGCCGAAAGAGACTGTCGCGATTATGAACTCCTTGCTGGATCGCCAGTTCAGCCATATCGGTCGACTTTTGCTCTTTCCGGTAAAGAAGCCCAAGATCCGAGACGCTGGCATGTTGTCGACCTAACACTAACCAGTAACGAAAGGGAAGAGAGTAGGTATATAAGAAAAGGGTATATTAAGAATAAGAATATATCCTATAAGAATCCTGAATCCATTATCAAGAGACGAGCAAAAAAAACTGTCGGGAAACTGAGAAAATTTATATACTTTCGTTCTCACGAAAGAAAAAAAAACAGCATCAGGAGAAAGGAAAGAAAAAGAGAGAGAAAAAGCTAAAGAGGCTCCCAAAGCTTGTGAAGCTTGAACCCAACGTTTCTAGCCGGGGCCAAGGTTTTCCCGGTCAATCGGCGGGTGCGCAGCTCCATAGTGAGAGAGAGCCAAGTCTGCTCAATAATCACAATGCAATGAGCGAGAAAAACCAGACCCATAGTGGGTCCAGATCTCGACGTCCTTTTTGGAAGTGATTCCGTAATCAGTACAACGTACTTTCGAGTCATTCACGCTCGGGTTGGTGCGATCGATGGAATCAAGCGAGCTCGACATACGCCACGACCCAATGCATGTGTGCAGGGCCCGGGCCCGCGGTCTATACGCAGTTTTCCTCGGTGCCGAATGATCGGGATATCTCCCAGTCCTCTATTAGGTAATAACTTAGATGTTAGCAAACTCTGTAGTAGCACCTCGTAACCCTTTCCATTCGGGCAAGATCCTGGTTCTGATCGAATCGATTGCCGTATTCAATCGAGGCAAGCCGACATGTGGAGAGGTTGTTCTCAGATTCGATTATCCTACCTCAAAATCTCACCCTCCAATTCAATTATCATGTTGTACAGTTGCTCGTAAGCGTTAACATTACTGGATCGATTGCTGGAATCGATTATCCCAGCTGTGAATTTAATGGCGAATGGGGAACAAGCTTGAACCCAATTCAAGGATATAAATCCAACAGAGGTCAACGCAATCGGTCACTTAAGCTAGCTCTAGAAACAAGCTGGATCATCTGGGCTTGATAAAATCTATATCAGCCAAGCTGACCTTCAAGACAAAGGTTTGGGAACCTATATATGTCAGGGGCAGAGTTGTTTACAAGTCTGGAAAGGTGCCCGTGCATGTCGCCGAAACCTCTTGCATGACCAAATCACTTGGGAAGGGACAACACGCGGAGCAATTCAACATGGGATCCCTAACAAATCAATGTCTCGAGTGCCTGTCATGGAAAATGGAGAGTTGAATGTGAAGGGACTGGCTTCAAATTTTGTAAAAAAAAAAATAATAATAATAATAAAAAGATTTATTGTTATAGTGATAATGATAATCGTCGAATGCAGCCTGCTGACCCTCTTTATTTGCCTATACATGGCATGCCCTTAACCTTACACCGATATCCACGCAAGCTGAGCAAAAACTCCTTTACTCGCCACGCCTCTCATGTATTTATGTGCGCTGCGATGCAAAATAGCGAAAACGTAAGCAACCTGCATGATCACCATGTGCACGAACAACGGGGACCGATAAATCAGGCCTACCGCCAGTGGCGCCTTCATCGGGGTTTACAATCTCAGAAACGGGCCCGAATTCTCGCCCTGCAGCAGCTGCCACTCCCTTCCACCTTCTGGGACCTGGATAATTCTGACACCCCTGTCACCCGCAAACTTGACGAGATCACTAGAGACCCTGTCAATACCATTCATAATAACTTCTTTGAGGCTTTCGCGGCTCTTGCCGTTCGATATCAACTGGTAGACTCCAGATCCATTGACAGAAGTTGATGAGAAATTCAGCTTTCTCAAACAAGGTAAATCGTACAATGCCTGCACGGACCGATTAGTGTATTCGTAATCTCCTTCGACGGAGAGTTCTTCAAGCCCTTCGAGTGATTTATGCCCCAAATAGTTTTCGAGCACGTCCTCAAATCTAATATTATTCGCCCAACCGATTCGGAGATGGGTTAACTGATTCTCGTATGGCGGGACGAGGTCAAGCAAAACCTCTTTTGGTAAATTCGACTTGGTCACGTTGAGCATCTCCAACCTTGGTAGTGTCTCTTGGTTTTCAGCCGTATTCTGGCCCGCAAATGTCGTACACGCGACGTCTAAGACCTTGAGGGATGATGGATAACGTATGTCTCCCGAAGTGATGCCCGAATTCCGGCAGACGAAGATTTCCAACTTCTCTAGGCTCGTCATGTCTAGCCTCCCCCCGCTAATTTGTATTTTGTTCAGTTGAAGTTCTTGTAAATTTGGTAGAAATCCCACCAGACTTTCCTACCCCCACCCACAAATATGAGCATATGGTCTCTCGACTCAAGCATAAAGTTTATCCAAATGGTCCTAGGGAATGGAACCTACCATTTCAACCAACCTTCTCACCGACGCAGATTCAAGGTCTGCAAAGTTCACCAATAACCTCTTCAGAGTCGTGCAGGCTTCCTTCTTCCCAAAGCTTAACGCCTGTGCCCTCTTAGTAGGTCCTAGATACAGACATTCTAGATGTTCTAACGGTACCTCGGGATGAAGGATTCCGTCTAGTGTCGTAAACGGAATTTGGCAATGCAATATCAGAGTCTTTAAACTCCTCGTCAGCTGCATTGCCCTCGTTAACGTACTACCCAGCAGCCCATCCATGACCTTCATATACTCTAAATCTTTACAAATGCTAACCATATCAATCAATGTCGTATCGTTATAGTTGTGAATCCGATTCAAGATTGCTTTTGTAAGTGTATACTTTGACTTGTTGATACACGTTTTGAGCGCAGTTTTGCTGATGGGTTTTCGTGCACGAGAGAAATCTAGCGTAGTCCAAAATCGAGCATTACTCGATATTACTCTTTGCCAGGTCTTCGACACTCTTTGCATTGCGACGATATTCTGAAAGGGGAGATAGCCGAGGACCATTTCAAGAAGTTCAAGTGGAAGGACTTGCATCGGGTCATAAACCTTCTTAGCAGCAGCTCTCATGACCTTATTGTGTTTTTCCTGCGCCTTTTCGAGTATTTCCTTCAGACGTGGGAGTTGCGGATCGGATGGTTCGGCGTGCTTGATCCCAAGTTTGTATACTTCGATAGCGAGATCGGCTTTGTCAAGACGATGGAGTACTTTGCCGGCTCGAAGGTAACCCTATGTTTCGACGGTATACCTTTAGCTTCCTTTTAAATCGTGGCCAACCCTTCTGATATACTATTATGTACCTTCGGATTCGTCTTTTCCTGTCCCATCATGGTCTTTGCATCTTTTAGTGCTAGCTTTAATTTCTCGGTCTTATCGTACAGTGCTGCCCGTGTATCCAGAAGTCCCATGAGTATCGGCGGCTGCATGTTGATAGCCTATAACGGACGAATTATTAAGCGTCCCAAGAATGAGGTAACTGGGCTTAGAAGTATCATGTACCTCCGTTAATTTATCGATTGCGCCGTTGAAATTGCGCTTCCGGATAGCTGCTGTAGCTTCCGCTTGGAGCTTTTCAGCTGCGGCGAGCTGGACGTTTGAAGATTCGAATTTCATGGGTAAAGGAAGGGTTTAAATTTGTGTATCTTGTTTCGGAGGAAAATCTATGGCTTGGTTGATTTTTGATATCGATATGGACAACAGCCGTATATCTTTTATTCGATTCACTGTAGGTCGTGGTGTCTGATGAAGGGACTAGCTAGTTTAGGTTGGAAGGAGCGATGCAATTGTGTTTGTGTTTCGTTGAAGCGGTCAGGAAGACGTGACGGAATAGGCGTCTTGCCTGCGCGCAATTGCTTTAAAACACCACAGCATGCGGCGTACTACAGCTTGGCGGCCCCAGTTTATTCTTCAGACCATTGACAGTGACCGTCACACTCTTGTAAGTAAAAATCACTCCAATTAGGCTCGTTATAAATTAAAGAACCAGATTATTTACAAAATCATACAACTCTAGAAACGCCCCTGATGACTACTCCGACAATGTACCTTTTGGGAAATACTTTCGACTAGATATACGTTTGGAGAAAATCAAATATTAAGATGGAAAGAGTTTACCTATGAACAGGAAATAATTGCAGAGGTGCCTTTCGTTAAGAAAACATTGATACCCCGCCATGCAAAAGCTCAGTAACGGTTGGAAGATTCTGAAATAAAAAACCCGGAAAGAAAAAGGGGTTAATCAATGGATTGCAAAAAGGCTAGATGTACGTGGGATAGAAACAATGTTGCGTACAATGAGCAATGAAGGCTGTTTCTTTGACATTTACGAAGGCTGTACAGAAAGAAAAAGACAACGACATCTTCGAGGAGCGTAAATGCGAGGTATACCCATTTTAGAAGACGGAGAAAAGCAGTTTTAGAGGAGTTAACGGTTAAAAGGATGAAGGGAATGAAGTACCTGTGGGGGGACTACATGTCCTCCCCTGCAGCAAAACAAAGAAGTTAAAATATAGATATTAATGACAAAAACAGTCCCTAACGTAATGTAACGGTAAAAGAACGAAGAAAGAAACGACAGACTCCGGGAGCAGTGAGAATAGAAACCCATACATCAAACCATAAACATTATACGGTAAAATTTCAAAGTCTCGAAAGGTATAAACATGCACCAGGAAGGATGTTCAAGAAAAGAGGGCCAATTAAGTGAGTGGAGTAAGGTGCATTTACTGGGAGTAGACGCTCAAATATGGGCGTCCGTCGGCTTCCATTCGATCGGCAACAGAGGCGTCATTTGTAGCAGACATTTGGTTCAATTTGTCTACTCCGAGGATCTCAGTGGGAAGAACCGGGTTCTGGATGGCACCGGGCATTCCGGCTGGCGCAGGTGCACCATCTGCCCCTTCAGCGCCTTCGGGCCTCTCGGAATGGACGGTGTACGCATTGGGACTACATTATCATAAGGTTTCCACGGTTAGCTTTCCATGTCCAGACAGATACAAGGGAGAGGGTTGTTCCGGCTACGTGGGTTTTCGAGTTCAGCGGTGTGTAGAGACATATACATCAAATCGCGCAGTTTTGTCACAAATGCCCTTCGTGCGGATCCAGTGGGGTTTAAGAAAAGAATACGGTTAAGAGATAGAGAGCGAAGAAGTTTCCATTCTGATATACCTTTTCATGTAACAGGTGGATATCTTTGATATATGCCATGATTGGAAGAAAAGAAAGGGAAATTTTTTGAAAAGGTTGGGGACAGAAAGATAGAAGACAAGAAAGAAAAAAAAAAAGGAAAGGCAGCAGAAATCCCGGAAAAACTAGCAAAGGGGCAAAATTGTAACAGAGGAAACAGTATCATAAGCACCCATAATTTTTTGTAGAGCACCCCGTTTATAAAAAGAAACGAATCAGACAAGAAGCGGTCGTCTTTGGTATGGAAACTGCATGCATCGACCACCCAATCCAAGAGCCCACTAACGGAAAAGCAGAAAGCTTTTGGTCGCAGAGACAAAATAACAGAAAGAGACTCGAACCACCAGTGGATATTAGGAGTGTATCAGCAGCAGCGTCCTGTCTGCGGGTCCTCTTTCAAAGAAAGAACTGAGTTGTCCGTAGGAAACAGTAAGTGACTTTTGGGAACTTGTTCCCGGTTGCATCATAATCGAAGGATTTCATAATCGACCCGTAAAAGAGATGAAAGTGAATTTTTGTGGTGCCAGAACATTTGAACTCCGTTGGTTTTCCAGAAAACAGTGCACAAGGAAAGGAGCAAAGCAACATCCACAACGAAGAAAGAATAAAGTGAGGGGGATAACATTGGAATGCGAAAGGAAAAAAGAGGGGGAGGGGGGAGGGGTAGGAATCCATCAGGGCATAAAGGGAAGAAGAACAAAAGCGCGGAGTGATGAACAAAGGAAATACGATAGTAGGAGGAAAGGAAAGGAAAGGAGAGGAAAGGAAAAAAAACAACACCGTGAACGCAGAAAACAAATTTAGAAACCCACGTAGCCTGTAGTTGGGATTTGATTTAACGAGACAAGTCGGAAAGGGCGTTTACTTTAGTGGAGCGTATGGTCCGAATGGGTGTTGAGGAGCCATTCCCATGGATGGGTAGACGGGTGGTGGGGGAGCTGGGCGATACGGAGTGCCGGCGGGTCCAGAGTTGTTTTGGCTGCGGCCCCAGGAGAGTCTGACACGAGAGTTGCCGATTGGGTATCCCTGCATTTGGTTGATAGCCATTTCTGCCGCATGTCGCTGAACGAACTGAACGAAGCCGCATCCCTTGCCTGGTGGAATCTTAACGTAGGTGATCTCGCCGAATCCCTGGAAGAATGAACGGAGTTCATCCTCGGTGACGTAGCCGGAAAGTCCACCGACGAAGACAGTAGTGTTGTTGGGATCTGTGAATTGGTTCATTGGCTGAGGAGCGCCGTAGTACCCCATGGTTGGGGCACCCATGGTGTACATTCCCATTTGGGGAGCCATACCTCCCATGCCCTGCTGCATCATGCCCTGATTTCCACCCTTGTTCTTCGGGGTTGCGGTAGAGATACGCATAGGTCGGTTTCCGCAGTAGACGCCTTGCATCTCGGTGAGAGCGCGCTGCTGGTCCATCTCATCGGCGAATCGGACAAATCCATAACCGCGGGACATGCCGCTGATAGGATCAGTCATAATCTTGGCAGACTTGCAAGATTGGAATCGGCCCTGGAAGAGGGAAACGAGAACGAACTCGTTAACTTCTGGGCCGAGATCGCCGACGAAGATTGAGTATTCAGGACCACGGTCATCTCTGCAATCGCGCTCGTTAGAATATTTACCATACACGCAACCAGTTGGAGGTGTAGGGAAGGGAGGGAGAAATATCATACCTCCTATCGGCAAGGCCACCGCCTGAAGCCCAGTTGAGCTTGAATGGGCGGTTGCTGTTGGGGATCTGAGTACCGTTCAAAGCTAAAGCTTTAGCAGCAGCCTGTGGGCTGGTGAAATCAACGAAACAGTATCCGGCGCTACTATACAAGTCTGGTTAGATCGCACATCGTTTATCAAACAAACAAATAAAAATTTTATATCGGATATGTATATAAGTATGGTAGTCTCACCCGTTGAACTTATCGCGGATCATCTTGACATTGACTTGCTCACCGAGACTGTACCAGACACTTCGGATGAAGTTCTCATCAATCCATGGCTCAAGTTCACCCATCCTATAAATTGAAGAAAAAAATGAGGGAAATAGATGATATTTTAGTATAAGTTCCTATAGATAGAATAGACAATGTCATGGATATGGGCAGATATACGCACCAGAGAGTGGTCTTGGCATCATTGCCATTGGCGCCGTTAGCGGACCCATTGCCGTTGAATGGGGCTGGGGACTGGCTTGGGGGCTGTCCGGGGTTGGCGGCTTGATTTTGACCTTGTTGGTTGGTCCCTCCGGGGGAGGTAGAGCCTCCCTGTTGATCGTACTGTGAATATTGGAAAGACATGATGGTAGCGGTGGTTGCTGAAAGACTACTTTTCTACGAAAACGAAAAGAGTGGAAGAGTAAACCGTGTCGGAAAGTCCGTTTCTAAAACGTTGCAAGAGATGATGACTAGATGTGAGAAAAAAAAGAAAAAAAAAGGAAGAAAAAGAAAAAGTGTTAGGATCCGCAGAGTTTTCCCCAAAAATTTCCATTGTGGGAAGAGGGCTAAAAATCTTTTTTTTTTTTTTTTTTTTTTTTTTGTCATGCCGGCAGAAGAGAACCGGCAGACGGCTCCAAAGAATAAAGGGAAGCGAAGGGGAGGGAAGGTGGTGGAAACGGGAATGAAAATCGAGATAAATAAAAACAGCGGGAGTCGGCGGGACTTACAGTGTTTAATACTGGAAAACGGAAAAGAGATAGGAATCCGAAGAACAGCAAGATAACTCCGTGTAAATGATGTCGAGAGAGAAGAGAGAATTCTTGATTGCAGAAGAGAGAAAAAATTCAATCCCAAGGACTCGACGCCAAGTTGCAGCAGAAACAACAAGAGACGGAAGGATGAACTTTTGTCTATTATCGGGGTTCCTACGACGAGAGTGACGACGAGGGCGGAAAAAAAGCTGACGATGGTTAGAAACCGAAGAAGCCGATCGGGAGAAATACGTGCGAACAGAAATGCGACGAACGATAAACGACGAAGCAAGAAAGCAGAACGGGAAGCAAAGAAGGAGAAAAAAAGCGTGGATGGTTGACGGGAGAGTCTATTAGATTCGGTGGCGGGGAAGAAGGAAGAGGGAAGAAGGTGGGATGTGGGAAGATGGAAATTTAAAGGTGGGCAAAGGTGGGCAAAGGTGGGCAAGCAAAGGTGGGCGGGCGGGTTTGCTTGATGGGAAGCGATAAGCCCGCAGATGACGGACGGTAACGCAACAACGTAAGACGACGTCCTTTGACCGACAGAAAAAAATAAAAATAAAAATAAATAAAATAAAACAAAATAGGATTGTGGAATAACAAAGAACAAACTTAATAAATATAAATATAGAAATAAATATAAGTATAAGTATAAGTCTAAGTCTACTTAAGTAAGTATGTATAAATGGGTGGAGGGGAAGAAGGGTAGAGGATCATCGGGGTATAATGAAATATTTCGAAAAGGTATGCGCGCCCACACACGCACACAGCAATAAACCAGAGGAAGATATTACGAAGAATGCAAGGGCAACAACAATAACACCGAGCAGGAATGAAAGTGGTAGGTAGGATATAATACGACGGCGCAAGACAGGATGGGATGGGATGGGATGGGATGGGAGACGAGGATGAGGATGATACGAAGATGGTGGGAATGAAACGAGGGTATGTTTGGTACGTACGGTGACAGACACTAAGACGGTAACAGTGATGAGGCTGATGAAGAAGACGAGAAAGATGAGGAAGATGAGAAATATGAGGATTTAAGAAGAAGAAGAAGAAGAAGAAGACAAAGAAGAGATGATGGGTGGTGCAAGGTGGTAACGGCGATGGGCAGGGACGAGAACACGAACAGGAAGAGGGTAGGGAAACGGGGAGGAAGAAAAAAAAAAAAAGAAACCACACACACCCACACACACTTTCCTTCTCGAAAGATGAGGGTGGTAGAGGGAAGAAAGAAAGGTAGCTCAGCTCTTAATGTTAAGCCGGACGGGAGGAATAGGAATAGAATAGTGTATAAATGATGGTAGGTACATATGTATTTGTATCTGTAGTATGCGAGCAAGTACGTACCCGAGTATATAACTACTAGTATTGAAACACCTGGGAAGCAGCCCGGAGGAAGGAAAGAATCAAATTGCGGGAATTTGAATTCGAGGGAAACAAGAGGAGGCGATGAAAAAGAATAATCAATTCGTGATACTATCGATTTTTTTTTTTTAAAAAAAAAAGGCAAAGAAAGAAAAAAGTCGCAAGACGTCGATGCAAAATTGACTTTCTTTCTCGGATATAGCTGAGAAGTAGGCGAACAGGAGGAAAAGAGAAGAGGAGGGAGTGGGAAAGGGAGAAAGAGGGAAAGGAGGAAGAGGAAGAGGAAATCCGGTGGTTCTGTCTATCTGGATTTGTCTGTCCGTCTGTCTATCTGCCAGTACCGTACTGTTCTACCGTCGGTTTTGTCTGTTCGTCGATGTAATCTTCACCACACCCAAATCCAACTATGTTTTTTTCTCTCTTATGTTTATTACATTTGCACCAAAAAAAAACAGTCAGTGTCCCACATAATACGCCTACAGAACAATGGGGAAATATTGATATAGTGTATACAGATGATATTATGATACGGTAATTTTGTATCATAATTTAGTTTCAACAAGATCAGGCCAGTTTATAATTTAAATTTCTCGTTGTATATTTATTCGGTCCGATCTACGGGAACCTGCTACGACAGTTTCCATAAACCGGTCTCCCCTTAAGCTTCCCCTTAAGTTTCCCCCGGGTGAATATCGCACGGCAAGGTACCTAACATATAATCCACATATAGGTATCTAGGGAGGTAGTATATAGGTAGGCAAGTACCTGGGTACCTCTCCTACCTATGTGCACACTAATACACACAGTACTGATCCCGGCCTAGACATCGGCCTTCGATCATCATCTTGCTCGTCTATATACCTACTTATATACCAGGTAGAACTAATGTCCTGAAAGTAGGTACCTAAGTAAGTAGGTATTCGTATGCATCCTGCAAACTCACGCAGATGGCATCCCCTGTCCCCTCTTCTGCCCTGCCGGAAAGACCTGTTCTTTCCTGTCAATTCCCCTTCTATTTTTTCAGTCTCGCGCCAAAAACTGAAAAAAAAAAAAAAAAAAACTAAAAAAAAAACTTATCGATAGGCGTCATAGCGGGGATATATTCCTAGCCCTACACCCACCACATGTGCATTACCAAAAAAATCCCTCCCTGGTTTTTTTTTTTCAGTCCGTCGTTGACGAGCTCAACTGTACTGGCCAGTAGTTAGCGTCCTCGTTAGTTTTACCTGTGCCAAGAACACTAATGATGCCTCGCTAGTTGACGGGCACTGGGTCCTTCAGCTGGTGTGATGACCTTACCACATAGGTGCTGCCGATTAACATCGGGATCTCCTGCGTGTGCAGCATGCCATCAACCACAATCCATAGGTAATATCAAGCTTTTTAATATTGAAACATGCCCAATGCGCAAGAGCCATACCGTTTTTTGAGCCTCCAGCTCCTCTTTTTCTGTGATAAACGAAATCGCTCGAATCATCACCCATACCCTTCCGCGAAAAAGCTAGTCCGTGTGGCGAAGTTTTGCGCCAGCTGCTGTCCGGTATTTTCGGCAGGAAGTAAAAATAAGGTTGAGTAAGTTTTTTTTTTTTTTTTTTTCCCTTTCTAACCCCCTTAGGACGCCTCTCAGGATTTCACATGAAATTCCGAGAAAAGGAAAGGAAGGGGAAAAAAACAACCCTGTTTGTGAAGAGGTACGTGTATGCACATAGAATCGAGGACGCTCAATCAGATATGGCTATATAGATGTATCCCTAAATCTGATGACAATAACCATGCGAAAAAGAAAAAAGAAAGAAAAAAAAAAAAGGCACTTGTTTATGAGACTAACAGCAACAATCGATTAGAGGAATATAACAAGGTTAGGATCAACAGGCATTTCAGGATTGTGCCTAACATGCCTTGTTCGTCTGTGTGCGAAAGGGTCGGCAGTGCCGACAAGGAATCGGGCTTTCAGAAAGTGCGCTGCTACATGTACTTATATGTACTCAAGTCAGTATGTATGCTGTAGACAGGCTTCTGCTGTCATGTACATGTACTGTATCGCCACCCTGAACTTGGGCTACCACAGCCAATAACCAGAGCAGGGTTTTTACAACTCTGCGCCTGCGACACATATGCACAAATCAGCTTGACATGAGGCCTAGCCGGATAGTTACATACATACCTTTTCATATACCAATTCGTATGAAACCCCTGCATTCCTGAAATTTCAAAGGTAGGAAATACATTCCTAGAGGGAAACTGCAACACAGGAACTAGCAAGTGAGAACCGGCCTCTTGATATTGTAATATTGATTCTTGGCTGGTTCCATGATTCCTAACGTACTAGTCCTTCGTAAAATACCTATTATAGAGCTGAGAATTATCGAATGGGTTCTTAGTGCCCTAGAAGTTCAACGAAGCAAGCTTTTAAGGATAGAATCACAGGGTCTGATTCAACTCTCTGGTGCTAGTAGCCATGGGCGGCAACTTTAGCTCTATACTGCCACCCTGTACTTCTCCATCCTTAGGATTCTCTAAGGGAATTATATTAGTACATGTGCACCATCTTTCATCATTTTATAGTCGTTTAGCCGACCAAAACCTACCAACAAGGTATTGAATGCGACACAAATCCTGATATGGAATAAATTCACGGTAGTATTCTCGTGTGGTCTTGTATGGACATTTCCCGAAAGTGACGTTTGATGATGAGGGTTGCTGAGGATCACCTTTATAGACGGTGCTGGCTAGGAGCTTTTTTGTAAAGCGGAGGGAAGATGACTTCGACCTAGGAGTTTGTGTCTTCCTTGATGATGGGGTTAAAAGTTGCTGATTGGACCCATGTTGTGTCTTGTTGGTTGGAGAAGATGAAACCGGCGAGCTGGAGGTAATAGCTGGCAAAATTCTGTCAGCATTCGAGTTCGAGACCGAACAGCATCAGAGCCGTTCTAAACTAGTTTAGTTTTAGGTACCTACTAGGGATGTTGGAGTTGGAGTTGGTACTTCTTCGGGCGCGTCGGAAGGAGTATGGACTGTCCCTTCCGTTGGAGGCCTCGGAAATAGAAACCTGCCAGAACCGCCATGAGCCTATGGACTTAAAATTTTGTCACGGGTTGGCCATACCTTGATTGGTAACGCGTTAGGAGCGGACGTTATAGAGCCTTCGGCATCAACATGTACACGCTTCACCTTCTTACCTGAATGGATTTCCTCCATTATCTTGATAGAGCTCTCATTGTTCGTAGAAGGTTTGAAAGGTTTGGCTTCTCTTTCCAATTTCTTCTCCAGCTCTTCCAGCTCTTTCTTGAATCTTTCATATGCCCGACGCTCCACCCCCAATCTATAGACATCATTCTCCATCCATTTTCTTTTCCAAGCGTACAGCTTTGTCTTCGGATTGATAGCCCTATCCACCCTGATCAGATTTTGATGTTCTTTTCTCCAGATATATCCCGTAAACCCTTTCCTATCCAAAGTGCTGCTCTCATACTTCCCATGGTAAGGACCCATCCTCACCATCTTCGACATAGCCTTGGTAGCATCAAGGCAAAGGAAATCACTAATTCTTCCCACTGTAACGAGAATATTCAGCACGGACTCCCTCAGCCCTTCGGACGGGTTTGTAGGAACGGTGAAGAACAGCGGGGTTTCTCTGGCATCACCACATCTTTGGCCTACGAACTCAATACCAACGGGCAGACCGTTAGGTTTGATTCTTGTGTGGCTGATGTATCCGATATCAATGATTTGACCATTACACGATAGTTCGATACGGAGGTCCAGGAATTCTTCTTCACCCTCGGGAAGATCCATATCATGCATAACATGTTGAGTCCATACCATGAAGTGGACTTGTAATGGTTCGCCGGGTTTGGCGACAATCTTCGAGTATTCTGTATGGATGTGGTTGCAATCGTAGGCAGGTAACATTAGCCCATCTGCCATGTACTTATGCATCTCGGTTCTGATTTCTTCGGGAAGAGCGATTGCAGGTGCCTCTCGAGGGTTCTGGCTCGAATCGCCTTTATCGAATTCTGGGAGGGCTGGGAGAGGGTAGGATGTGATATAGGTGCGTAACCCGTCTCCATGAAATTCCGGCATTGTCTTTCTTTCTTTCTTTCTTTGCCTCTTTCAAGAATACGCTGTGAAGAGACACAAGATTCTAGGTGAACATGTAGTTAGAATGGGTTTTGTGTGAGCTATGATGATGATGCTTCTCCGACTTAGTGGTGATCACTAAGGGCTATGTCCTGGATAATCATAGATATGTCGAAGTTCTAAAGCTTTGATGCAATCGAATAAAAGATGATGTTGATTTTTGATTTTGTATTAACTAGACGGTCAAGAACAAGAGAAGGGAGAGTGATAAAGTGATAAATAGAATCCGTATTCAGGAGCATAAGGAAGACGGAAGGTGAAGACGTTTGGTTTCAAGAAGATATCGATGGAGGCAGCAATTGAAGCTTGACTTCAACGTCTCAGCACTACAGTCACAAAGGCGTTGTTTTTGTGGTAATCTTAGGTCCGAACAACGACACACCAACACAATCTAGCTTCACGAGAGATGCATACTGTACATTTGTATACCGGAATCCTTCGGGCTTCGAATACACTTCGTATCCCCAACCCGCCAAGATCATATTCCATGTCTTTAACCCCCCCGTTATACTTTGATTCACAATTCCCTGAAGTTTCGATAATCTATAGCAATGACTCAACAAGGTGGTTTCATCCCACCATCGACTTACCTCCCCTCCCCCGCCCCCTCCAACTATTCTTCAACCGCATTTCGTAGTTCCAACGTGCTCCCAACCCAGCGCTCCACGCCCCTAAAATCTGGTTCAAAACGTGAATCAGCATTAAGGAATTATCTTGATGATGCGTTACTACAAATATCACGGAAATTTACCAAAAAGTTCCCAACTGATGAAGAAAAATCCGAAGCTGCTACCGCAAATAGTAGGATATCTACGATTGGTGGCGAAGCTCTCATATTGGGGTATAGCGATGTAGAACCTCTTATCGAGGACTTGGAGAAGTTAATAGGGTTGGTATGGGTCAGTGGAACAGGTATGTCAATCCCGTACCCAGAGGGATCCCCCCCACATTTTCGATATCTTCGATTTATCGAATTATCCAATGTACGAGTTGTAACTTATTCGTTGCGGGTATTATCTGAAAGCCTCCCTCCAAACACCTTATTTGTTACAAATTGCTGGGAGTTTATTGGATTATCTCCCTCCATTCCCACCACGCCCTGTACCAACATTCCGTCTCTTCAATAAACTTGACTTAGCGTTTCATACGTTGTTATCAGACTACCGCATGTCGATCACAGAAAAGGTACGATTAAACAGCATCGTCAAAGTTTCAAGGGCAATGGTGGTACGATTAATGGAAGGGCATGATTTTTTTGGTGAAACTGGAGAGAGCGATAGGATTAAGGAGGAGCCAGACGAGGACGAGGAGCCAGACGAGGACGAGGATGAGGATGAGGATGAGGATAATTTTGGCGAAAACATGGAAGTTGATGAGAAAACCGAGGGCGAGGCTTCGAGGTTACAAAGGAACTATGGTTACCAAACAAAGAAGGAGGTCGATCGAACAGAACGTATCCTGGAAGAGGAAAAGGAAGAGGGTGAATGGGAAATCGAAGTCGCTAGAGTTTATAGCAGGGTTTTAGAAGACCTCGGAGAAGAAATAGGAGGCGACCCAATAGGGATAGTTGTCGACAACTAAGTTAGGCCTATAATTTCAAAATTCACACAAGCTCCGGAGCCGGAAAGTCTCGGTCTAGGGGCGCCGTTCAGGCCACGGCAGTGGAGCTGGATTGTAAAATTCACATCTATTAATATATTCGTGCTTATCGGTTTATCATTGAATTGAGAAGGGGTTCCGGTCCGAGGAGGGGATAAAGGAAAAAGGCCTAGTGTCAAGAAGGTTCTGGATTTCCTGTTTAAGCTTATGTATAAAAAAAAAATAGAGACTGGATCCCTCCGAAAGCTGGTCTGGTTGCAAAATGGTGACCTCTAAGACAGACTAGTACGACAGTTCTACCTAAAGAATAGAATGCTATTTACATAACAGAGTTTAAAACGAATTTTCGAAAGGAGGGGTATTCCGATATGAATTTCTTTTGACGCCTACCTGCTATGCTTTCATGAAGAATGGCACAAAAAAAGAAAGAAGAAAAGGAAGAGGAGGAAGAAAAATGTCATATCGTACACTGGGACGAGGAGAGTAGCAAGAACCAGAAGAGGCCAGGGTTCAATGCAATGAAAGCGAGTCCGAAATCACCTAAAACGCCACCTTATTCGAGAGCTGACTGTCCAGCAAGAGAGCGATGAGGCTGACTTTTCCTACGGTACAATATTTAGAAAAGAAAAAGGATGGTATCAAGATGTAGATCAAGCGCGTAGTTCAAAATCACTGTCGCCTATTAGCTCCACCTTGATACCATACTGTTTCTGAGCCAAATATTGAACCGTAAGAAAAGTCACCCTCATCGCTTCCTTACTCGCAGTTTTCTGCCCAAATATATTCTTTAAGGGGCCGACGTTGGTTTCCTGGTCACCGTGGTCAAGAGTAACATAAACATTGTACATCCCGGGTTTCCCTTCTACTGGTTCCAATTTTCTCTGAGGTGCTTTAAACCCCAAGAGAGCACATGCTTCTATAAAAACCCAGAAGCAAAAGGTTAGCAAATGACGCAAAATTCAACCTAGGGGGCAAAATCAAAGAGCCACTTACCAGTAGCAATCTCTCCAATAGTTTTATCAGTTGTGTTTATTTGAACCACAGACCCAGGGGCCAAGACACGGCCTGACTTCCCGGACTTCCCTTTCATCTTGATAATTTTCGGATTTTCGTCTGCAATCCATTGCAGGGCTTCCTCGGCTGCCTTATTACGAGCAGACGTTTTGTTTTGATGCTGAGGTGTGCCACTACCGAATGTCTTCTCACCATTGATATCAATAGTGATTTGACAGCCAAAAAAATATGGCGGCTTGCTATTGCTTGTGTCTAGAACATGGGGCCTAGGAAGCGCATTTTGGGAGCAGTACCCTGTGACCGAAGTGAGGTATTAGCAAGTGACGCGTAATGGGAACCAAAGCGCAAATAAAGTGTAGCCATACTATTAAGTTCGCCCATAGGGCTCTCTCCCTTTGTCTTGCCAGGCCCAACAACGATATGTTCTGGCTGAACAGGTATCTCCTTGAGCTTCTGTAGCGCAATATTTGCAACAAATTCCTTTGCAGCTTTTTTAGAAGGGAATAATTTTGGAGTATCCTTTGTATCATCTCCTTTCCGGTCATAGTCTGGTTCAATCGGGATAGGGAACCCTTTCAGTTGGAGAGATACGGTGAACTGCTGCTGATGTGGTTCGCCAAACGTAAATTTTTCAACGGGGTGATTAGGACAGTGACCCTGTATGTATTCGTATAAATCGGAGACATAACTCGTTGTAGTTCTTTCTCCAACCACTCTCGTAGGGTCTTTTGGGTCTTGTATGACCGAAGCAGGCACAGAGCTGAAGGTTGGCGGAGGGATATTTCTCGCCGGAGGTTTTGGATTCTTGGGAGGCACGATAGGGTCATTTTCTAGATATTGCCCGACGGGTTTTAAATGCACCGTGAAAGGAATACCTCCAATATCTGCGAAGAAATCGGCTTTCAGGTGCGACGATGACGGGGCCCCCATCATGTGTGGCGGTTTTAAAAACTGCTGCGACATGTGCGAATAGGCAGGAGGAGAGTCAATGGCCATTTCGTCATTTATCTCGCGTTTTATCGATATGTGGTCCTCCATCGTTATTTTAGACTTTTTTTTTTTTTCCGCTGATCGAATCAGCAAGCCCCCTAGAAGATGTGCCCCTTCGGCGGGGGCGGGTCGGAGAACTCTTGATGTATGTATCCGATGTCTGCCAGATGAACGGACTACAGATAGATGGGAGCGAAAGAGCAGGCAGTTAGTTATTTAGAGTGGCCAAGGCTCAGGATGTTGTTTTGGTGGCGAACCCAAGGGTATCGTCAGAAGGACTCTTAGAGCTACTTTGAATGACTGGGTGTTAGTAGTTGTTGCATTTTCAATATGGGCGGGCAAGATTTGGAGAATCCCAGCACAAGACCAACCAACAAACCATGCATATGGGAGAACAAACCAAAGGATGGGGAAGAGGATGGCGTTCTCGTTGGGTCTTAAAAATCCTAGCTTACGCTTTGAAAATGACGACCTTTCTTTGACAACGACCAAGCTACCTCTGATGAGCTAAACCGTAAGCGACGAGGGGCCGGTTATAGATCGATCTTGAATCCAGCAGACAGGTACAGGTTGAGGGTCACAAGGCAGGCCAAGCGGAAGAGGCACAGTTCATGCTAAAGTATTAGTGTGAGGCGGGTGGATTTCGAAGTATGAGGGCTCTTTGGAAGGATATGGAAGACCGCGGATCCGATATATATCAAATGGGCTCAGGCTGTGCCGTGCGATCAGATCAGGTCGGGTCCTGCCAACGCCCTTTTAACGTTTACTTGTATGTTCATTAATCTTCAAGTTTATATGTTGCCTGATAAGTTGAAGTGCTTAAATACTGGTAGTTCGAATATGTGTTTTCGGTGCTGTCAAACACCCTTTCTCGGCGGACGGGTGTCCACTTCAATTTATGCAGCTTCCCTGCTCGGGGGAACAACCGAAGGATTCTTCAACCCAGCTGTGGCAACTAGGTACGTAAGACACCATGACTACATAGTACGAACTGCGATTCTGCACCCTGAATGGCTAGGCCGTCATGATTGGCGCGACGCGATGTAATAGTAAAATGCCTCTTTGTTAAAGGTATTAATTCAACCTCACGTGTCCGAATTCATCCATGATCAGATCTTGGTGTTAAAGTGTAGCTCATGGTACCTAGAGGATTCTGCCGTTGCATTGGTGGCACAAAAAACCCCGGCCTCAGACTGCCCACGCCCGTACACGAACTAACATGCAGGGCCTCTGCCCTCCATACAATAAGATCGGACAGCTCGATTTAAACGCTCCTAAATAAAAAAATGTGTGGAAAAAGAAAAAAGGCTGTCGGCTCAGACGTGAATAAAAATGCTTAACCGCATGTGCAAGGGAGTCAACGAAAGCTAGAAGTTTGAGGGAATCTATCGTGAACCAAAGAAAACATGAGTACAATCGCAATAGATATCAATATCTAGCTGAGGGCCCTTCAGGGTCAGCGATTCCTCCGTTACTAATGATGTATGTTGCCTCGCGTTCCGGACAATCGGGACTGTCCTGAATCTGTCCAAAAAATATCCTAATTAGTATAATTCAGGTCACCATCCCAGCACTTTCGTCTACGCCTACCTTAGCGACTCGTTCTTCTCCGCGGCCTTTGCGCTATAAGATAAATTAAACATCCAATATCAGTAATCCAAATCATAGTATATATAAATTGGGTTTACGACGTGAACGTTCTCAATTATCATCAACATACTAGTAAAACTCGGGTAGCGCTGGCATGAGCCAGGACATGTCCACCTATCGCCCTGTTAGTCATGGCCCGGTCTGTTCCATTTCTGGACAGGATGCAGGGTTGCACTTGCCAACTATTATTTCGGGCAAAAATTTAGAGAATCAGTTCCTAATCTGTTATCGAGTAATGTTGCCTGAAAACAGATTTCAAACCCAACTCACCTGGCTTGCGTCTGCACGATGAACGTTCGAGTTAGATTAAGTGTCATCCATTCATATTGGTATTAGTGTAATATAAACTTACCCGTCTGCGCCTGCAAACAGTGCGCTGGCTCCTGGGTCGCTCTGGACCTGATTGGTCTATAGAACACCTATTAATGCCTGAAAATCACCCTGCCATGTTGTCTCACTGATTTACCATATAAACTGCAATGTTGAACTCTTCTGCCATAGTAGTCAGACGAGCTAACATCTGCCCAAGCTTTTGCTGACGCTCAGAGAGCTCGCCACGTCCACTGTAATCGACGCGGAAACAGGCCATTATGGAGTCGACGACAAGAAGGCGGTATTCACCCGAGGCAAACGGCTCCGCAAGTTTTTGGATCAGCTCCATTTGGACCTCGCTGTTGACTGCACGAGCGTAAAGAATATTTTCAAGACAAGCGTCACCATCGACCCCAAACCGTTCAGAAATTGCTCGGATTCTATCAATTAGGTTAGTAACATCTAGAAGGAAAATATTTGTTTAAAACACCTACCTATCAGGTCGAAACGTCCCCTCGGTATCCACGTATGCAGCCTAAAAGCCAATCATCATTACACAAGCCCAGGGCAATGTATCCAAGTCAATCCATTTGGGAGCGTTACCTTTCCTGCTGCCCCGCCCATGTCCTAACGATCACCTTATTAACATAAATGCACCCTGCCACACCACATAGGAGAGCGCCTAACCTTTGGTAGTTGGCAGGTAACGCAGAGCGTGTGTCCCATCTGAGTTTTCCCGCAGCGAAATTCCCCAAAAACCTGTGTGACACAAACATATTAGCTTTATGAAACCGTAAGTGAGGTTGTGTAGTATGATAAAGGCCCGAACCTCAGAAATACTCATGGTGGTAAAGCCGCCTCCAAGGATGGCATCGAGATTTTTGCTGCCGGTGGAGATACGAATGACACGCTTACGTTGTTGGCCATATTCAGAAGCAGTAACGAAAGTTGATCCGGATGGGTTTATTTTTGAAACGGCGTCCTTAATCTTGTCGACTTTAATCTGTAGTTTTAGATATTAGTATGGACAAGCCTCAATACCTTCCAGTTTGAGATAGCGGTACCTCACTGAGACCCTTGATCTTTCCAAGAGTCTTTCTCATAGCGGAATGAACAGACTGGCAGAAGTTTAGCTTTTATCGGGATTAGAAACTGGGTGTAGAGCTGTACAGCGACAGTCCAGTAGCCGGCGGCTCTGAGTTTTGCAATATCTGCAGCTCCAATGCCTATCTCAATAATATTAGCACAAATTTACAGTTTTCAAATGACACATAGTCCGTGCGAACCATGGTTCTGGAGTTGGTCGATGTCGATGATCATAGAGTCCTGTTTCCTCCTTGGTTAGTCAATCATAATCCAAGGACTGGGTCATACAGGTCATACCTCGTCGGAATCGAAATCGTCGTCTCCATGATTTGATGTCGGCATACTGGAATTCTTCACTATCTATCCGCTTGATAGGTATGTACTAATCACAGCTGGCCAAGAGACCAATGCTAGCCTAACGTTAACAAAACCATGTCAACAGCCTGGCCGGGTAAAAGTCTCACGGGTATCTGGAACTTAACGCAGAAAGACGGATTTATACCTAGAATATCGGTATAGATATGTACGGGAGTGTCCAGGAAGAATAATAATTAAAAGGTGAATGTGACGAAGGTATAAACGTTAGGGAGTCGAATCAATCAATCGATCGAACCTCGAATAATATTCGGGAGGTTTTATTATTTCCCATGTCCATGTCTATTTCACAACAAGGTTTTGTGTTGTTTTCTATGACCTGACTGCAGCCGCTTACCAGGCGTAGTTACGAGGCCTGTCACAAAGCTGGGTTGCGAAACTGGCTTGATTCAATAACATGTACTTAGCTATCTAAGTACTAATATAAATCATTGAATCTTAGGCTCGCGCTAGGCCTTCCGGAGAGTTTAATATTTGAATACTCTCTATGGAGAAGTAATCTAGTTCTTGGGGTAGGTTCGTTTGGCTTTCTACGTATTCACAGCAGGGATTTAGTTCCATAGGGACCCGTCTCATTATAGTTCTGAAATTCACTATTTTTGTTCGTGATTTGTTTAGGGTATATCCGGCCCTGTTACCAATTTGATCTAGGGAGCATAGAAAAGGAAAGAACAAAACATGATGGGCCTAGTCCATCGAAGCATAAGGTCTTTGTAGTAACTGTTGAGAGGAAACAATATTACAGAAAGCCCTTGGTTCTTGAACTAGAATACTTTTTGATAAAGGGCAAGTATTCTGGAATAAGAAACGTACCGAAGGAGAACGCAGCTCGATCGTCGGGAGGTCAAAGACGGGGGTACGTCGTTAAACTAAGGAACTAAAAGAAATTGGTAGGAACAATAAATTCTGAAGGTTGAGGGGGCAGTGTTGTATCTAAGTAAAGTAGCAAGGAAAAAGGCCATGGAGAGGGGTCGTTAAGTTAATGGCGTTTATTCGTATAGAGACAATTGATAATGAACCGTCGAAACTGGATCAAAGAGCCAGTGCAACAAATGCAGCTAGGGAAAGTCCAGTTGACAAGGACTATAAGAACAATGCTATCGATGTGCAACTAAATCACAAAACTATCTCATCGCTCTAACCTACTGGTCAGCGACGCTAAGTAGTTTGAGCTGGAGCAACTGGGGTTGGGGTTGCGTCCGTGGCGTTGGTGGTAGCGGTGGTGGCAGTGGCAGTGGTACCGGCGTTGTCGTTGCTAGTAGTCGCATTCTGGGGACAGTCCCGGCTCTGGAGAAGGTAGGAGGTGAGAATAGCACCTAATTTATGTTTGATTCTCGTCAGGTTTACTTACGATGTGTCCGGCTTCACCGCAACGATAGCAAGTTTTCCCAGCAGTATTCAATGGTCCGCCATTAGGAGCAGTACAATCTCGGCTGATGTGGCCCAACTTTCCACAGGCATAACACTTCATAGCTTGAGCCTGGCAGTCTCGAGCATAATGATTCGGCCCACCACACTTGTAGCAAGTCGCTGGCCTTGGTGCGGATGCGTATCCTCGCATGTTGTTGCGTCCATTGAACCCACCACCCTGGAACCTTTGGTTTCCGGGACAGTTACGGGCGAGATGGCCAGGCTGGCCGCACGAGTAGCATCGACCGCTGGTAGCCCCGCCGTTGATACGAAGGGTTGGGCAGTCCGCCTGAACGTGACCGAGTCCCTGGCAATGGTAGCACTGCTTGGCTGTGAAGGAGATAACGTTAGTATTTATGGTATCTATCCTCCTATATTTTGGCCAGCCTAGAAACTTGACTAGTTTGACGAATAGCTGGGGCCATACTCTCAGTAGTTCTTGGATGCGGACAAGCGTTAGACTCGTGTCCTGAATAATTAAGTTAGTCCGGTGTTGTGAGATTGGTTAGTTGGATATGTCTAGGTACCCGGTTGCTTGCCTTAAAAAGTTTCAAAAAAAAAGAAGTAGAAATAAATAATCAGCAACTATGATAGAACAAGCTGGAAACTCTTGAGGATTGTACTCACAGTTATAGCAGAGTCTCTCTGCAGAGGAGCAGACCTAAGGAAAAGGAGGAGTTAACAAGGCGGACTATCGACGTTAACCCATCGAGTGATGGGAATAAGATGCACCGGCGACTTACTTCAGCAAAATGCCCAATAGACCCGCATCTACGACACGACACTCAACATCAGAATTCAGCTACCCCCTCATACTTTGGCGTAACTTGATCTGACCAGATTACACATGGCAAAGAGACGCATGATAATCGAGGAATAGATCGAACGAGAAAGACGGATGGTCCTAGGCTCACTTGTAGCATGCTTTTCGCGATAGGGACGTCATATTGTCGGTTTGGTAATGCAATAAGGAATCGTTGGTAATATAATCCCTGACAAGGACCACTGGAGAGAGGCGTCTTGGAGAGACTAAAGGCGTTAGATCTTGAAACCAAAAATTGTTCGACATCTCCCATCCGATGTAGCTTGAAGTTGGTGCATGTAACGAGCATCTAGTCTACAGAGGAACTAGCATAGCGTCCCAAACAGGTTGTGAAATCAAGCTAGTGGACTCGGATCGATGGGCTTTAGAGGAGGTACTTACTAAAAGACCTGATCGGCGAGCAAAAGGATGCACCTAAATTATCCATATGAGTCCGTTAATAACGTGGCTATAGCCCGGCAAACAAGCTGGAGGACAAGAAGACGACGACGAACAGGTAACAAGTGGGATGTATATACTGCTAGTAACGTTATAGGCAGTATTTCCGCAGGCCCAGGAAGTGCTGATAATGGATGGGTACTGTGGTTTCAGGGAAAAGGTGTTAGGGAAGATAAGATGGGATCGAAGCAGGAGAGAGAGAGAGGGTTGTTTTGTGGCCAGGATGTGAATATAAATTTCTCGCAACGAAGCCAGCGACGTAATACGGTAAAAGAGAATGAAGAACAACAGACAAAACTTTCAGATTACCACGGTCAGATGGAACAAACAAAGCCACCGACAAAGCAACGAAGCCAATGGCGATGATTATGTGATAATGCTTGATAATAGGTCCTCCAACGGGCCAATCTGCTAGCCTTTCGGTCTGCTAGTGATTATTCAGCGGTTTGGTGCACGGCTCTCACAAGTTATGAAGAGTTATAAAGCAGACCGAATCGAATGTCGAACCAGCCCGCCTCCTCTTCTTCTATACTTGCTAATTGTCTGCTTCTTTTTTTTTTATACATATAAAGAAAGAAAGAAAGGAAGGAAGGAAGGAAGACCGAGCATCACACCAGGTCGTATTAAATCGTCATCCTTTCTGCAGGTACCGTTTTTATACGAGATTCGAGCTCCAAGCAAAACGTTGAAACAACCCAAGGGGGACAGATCCTCTGTTGTGGAATGGCGGGAGCCAGCCGGGAGCCGGAATGTCTCGAAACGTACCTCGAAGCGATGCAATTCTGGTACCGACTGCGACGACGACGTTGCAATTGGTCATGCAACGATGACCGTAGTGAACTTCAAGAAACCTGCTCTTCCCAAGCAATATTCGCTGCCACTCTTTCGATTCCGGCTTTCCCTCGAATAACACCACGACTACCTCTTCTTCTTTCAACTAGACTTCGACTTCAACGACGGCTTCGACGGCTTCGACGACTTCAACAGCTCAGCTTCAACTACCAACCCGCTCCCGAACACTCGAAAGGAAGGGAAGAGAGAAAAGAAAAAAGAGAATAAGGAAAGAAACCCGTGCCTATTCGATCGGATACCCAACGGAATAAAAGAAGAGAAAGAGAAGAAAGAGAGTTTAACCCGGGTGCGACAGACAACCCTTTTAGCACCTTTTTTTCCTGTCCCCTAGCCACTAGGCCGATTTTTTTTTTATTCGAACGAACCAACTTCCCGAAAAATTTTGGAGCACGTTGATTTAAACAAAAAAGCTAAAATTCTCAAGAGGCAAAAAGGAAAAGGGAAAAAAAACAAAACAAAAAAAGTTACTTAAAAAACGTGGACAGGAGAGAAAAAAGTATCTGGTGGACACGTTATTATGAACCTCGTTCGAAACTGTGCATGTCATATCATCTATCTTCTTTCGAAAACAATACGTTCGAAGTGTCCCGCTTTTCCTTGTCTGGAAATCTTGCTCTTAAACCTGCCTAGGAACGACACGGTACCCTTCCAAATACGACATGCCAAAAGGAACCAGTCTCTCTCTCTCTTTGTTTTTTTCAAAAAAACGATCTGGATGGCCTGTCTTGTACACATACGTACATACGTACATACATACATGACATACATCGACTATGTACAGAGGTACTAGCATATCTTTTTATTCCGTTCGTGCAGGAACTGCTTGCTCACATCGTGTCCGTTTCCCACTCACTCCCTTGTTCAAGAGAGGGGCAATGCCTACAATACATGCCCAGCTATGAGGCAATGGGGGGCTGTCAGAAATCCCGTAAATGTTCAGATATGTAAAGGAAACAATGTTCACATCGGGGTGGTGCCCCCCATTCTCTCTGGGTCCTGAACAGCAAGACAAATCACTGCTGGCAAGATGGACGAGGGACAGGACACGAACCATACAGCCAAAGTAGGTGCTTGCATGGGCCATGGTAATAGTGGCCCCCGCTCCTCATCGACATTATGCTTAACCTGGCCTGCAAAACCATCATGTGCCTTTAATATAACCTGGCCGTGATATTTGGACTAGCGACAATTGGCAAGGTCCAAGAAGAAAAGAAAAAAGGTCTTGAAAGAGAAGAGCCCATCATTACCGAACCAATCTATCCGTTTTGAACTCGAGTGTGATCTGGGACATCGTCATCCTGCTTCCAATTTCTTTTCCATAGATAATTTTATATTCAAGAAGAAAAAAAGACGAATGATGTTGACCCAACTTCTCATGCAATTGATGTGAGATATATATATCGTTGAACCGCTTATATATTTGTGTCTTACTATTGACAACCCCAGCCCTTTCCCAGCGTATGCAACGCGCTGGGCCATGGGAAGGATAGGGTGTTTAGCCATGAGGCTGTAGCGGCAACATCCAAAAAAAAAAAAAGAAGAAGAAGAAGAAGGAGAAGAATAATAATAGGAACAACAAAAAGAAGAACAAGACGAAGAAGCATGGAAGGAAAGAAACGAAGAAAAGGTTGTCGGTTCAATCCCGACCTATCTTGTCATTCCCTTCTCGGTTAAAGCGTTTGGGAGAGATTGTCAAGAAAAGAAAATATATCGACCGAGGGAGGGGAAAAGACCCAGCGGAGGACCTCGTTCGCGAAGACGCCCATGCGAGCTCTTCCTGTCGAAAACGGTTTCCGCTAATAGCAGCCCTCAGTAATGTACTTACATACATACGTCTGTGGGCATCTCGGATCAACTCAAATCTCATCCTGCAAAAAGCGGGTCATGGCAAGAGTAGTCGTGCAGCTGCATATGAACAAGCGCCTGAGCAAAACGAAAGGAACAGGGGCCAAAGGGCCGGAGCCAGCCTACGACAAGCCCGGGACGTTTACCTTCAGCCCTCTCAATTGCAATCCCGAACCCCCCCTTGTGCTTGAATTCTACATCAACCGGTAGCTACATTTGCTATGTGTCCGTTCCTACGCAAGATTTTGAACAAATTGCAATCAACCTGCAGACTTGAGCTCGTTCGCATCAGGCCGGCCAGTACTGGTCAGCATGCAGTCTCAAGCGCCAGAGGAAAGAGCACATGATTATTCTTTGAATCCAGTCTCCAATGGAGAACCAAAACCCACCCCTTGAGACCAGCATTTAACCTCGTCAATCAAAATAAGGAAAGAAAAGAAAACATCATAACCAAGTATCCACCAAAAGGCACAGGAAGTCTGTAATGTGCATTAGTAGATGCATACCATCGGCACCTTTCGTCTGAACTCGAACAGCTAATAGAGAAGAAAACTTACTATTTTTTACCCCTCGCCTGCCGTTTCTTTTTTTCTATCGATATCAAAAAACACATCGTGCAGTCGTCGCTTACCCTTGTTCGACCTGTCCAGTCCCCAGCTAACAACGACTTTGAACTCCAGGTTACTGTTCCCTTCGCCTCCGACTGATAAGATGCAGGCTTCAATGGGATTGCCTAATTCTCGTGACACAAGCTGTTATGTGCGGAGAGGTGTGGAGTGGTCGTGGTGGTCGTGGTGGCCGTAGCTTAGTGGTTGTAGTCATTTCAGATTCGATTCCGCGACAACCTAACTAATAATCCAACCGCGAATTGCCCTAGTAGTTCCCTTTGTTTTCTGCCTTTTTTTTTTTTTTTTAAAAAAAATTATTTATTCTTATTATTCTATATATAAGTCAGTAGTACCTTTATATTTATGAGAGAGAGAAAGGAATAGCGAAACCATGTCGAAAGCTGCATGCAGCTGGTGGGTTTTAAGGTTAGATATCAAAATCAGGCGAGTTGTGCCGAATTTCACCACAATGGTCCGACTCTATTCGGGGCTGGGGTTAAGAAAGGAGATCTGAGCGGGCTCGATCATGAAGGGTAAAGCCCTGGCCATACTCGTTACAGATCTATGAGATAGTTGAATAGCTGCTTCTGACCTAGTCATTCCGGACAAGTTGCCCGACTTCCTTGGGGCTTTGAATTAGATATATTCGCTGGCAGCTGGTCAGTTTGCCAAGTGGGGTAGATGCTGATACTTGTTGAACGACGTGTGTAGGTAACTGCTAGGCTGAGGCTAGGTGTTGTAAATGGAAAGCCACAGCTCACAGGAAGCTTAGAGAAAGACCTTGAGGCTTCATAGGTAGTTCAAAGGCGGGGTCTTTTTGCCATGCACACGGTGGATGTATGTAGGTACTTAGGTATGTATGTGCTTACATTCTGCAAGTATCTTTTAGGCACATAGGAGGGTGCTTACCTGCGAGCTTAAGCTTCTGGGCAAACTGGGGGCTTGCAACCTTTTATATAAAATAGATCTTAGGTTGCGATCTACCTAGTACCGTTAGTACTTTCGGCCGCCAAAGATTGTTTAATTCCTTCATGAAGGGCCCGGAATTTTACTGAGCCTAGTTCAGGAATGTTCCATACGTACCTGTAATATGCTCAGATATAGACCAGATAAAAAAGTGCTAATATAATACGTATATACTGCATGCAAGGTGGAGGTATACTAGGTAAGCATATCTGATCTGGTCTTTATAGCTTATGCCAATCGATTTTGGTTGTCCCTTTAAAGGGTTGAGCGGAACCATTTGTTAATATTAAGTAGCATGTTACCCGCCACTGACTATATAAATTCTACGATCATCCTTTTAACCACGTTGAAACTCCCACTAATTGACTACGACTCAAATTGCATCCTAAGCTGATCGATATAAAGTTAAAAGTTGCAGAGAGTTTCTGCTGGTATGTATAGGTATCCATACACGTATTGTGGTTCTAGTCCTGTATATATTATAACGCTTCGGCACGCGACTGATGTTTCAGGAGCGCTGAACCCAATGTCTTTTTCACCTTTATTTTTATTAACTCATTTTTTTCTCCTTCTGGATATCTGTATAACTTCTTGAAGTTAAGAATTGATTTCTCACTTTATAAGCCGCATTGCATAAAGGGTGAAAAACTGATGAGGACCTTCGGCAGAAGCTAGGAGTAAAAGCAGGGTTACTAGTAGAAAAGTAGAAAATAAGAACTTGAGGAAACAAGTATCAATTCCGGTTGCTAGGGGAGCTATAAAAATCGAGTGGAGACAAAAGGGAAAAAAAAAAAAAAAAGCTGTTCGACAGGAAGAATATACGATAAAAGCACTTCCATAGTCCTCAAGTTCTTACTTGTCGACCTTTGGTTCCCGTTTGAAGACTGGTGTAATATTTTATTTTTTGGTCTTTCGCCATTTTCATTGTTCGGGAAACCAATGTGAACAAGCTAGTTCGACGAACTTAATGCTATCGAGGTGTCTCTCTATGACCAAACAAAAAGTATTATATTTCCCTTCTAATCCTTGCCAGCGGTCTCCGTCTCGGCCGGTGGGGCATCGGCCATCGTTGTTTCCTTTCCGTCGGCGGGGGCCTGTTCGGCTTCTGCTTCGGAAGAGGTCCAGAGGGTCTGTTTCAAATGACGAGTTAGGTTCTGATAACAAAATGTTCCGGTTGCCTGAGATAAGGATTATATCTTACCAGATTATCACGGAGAAGCTGCATGATCAATGTGGAATCCTTGTAGCTCTCCTCACTAAGGGTGTCAAGTTCTATTATTGATATGCTGGGTTAGTTATTGTCGGGAGATCGAACGGGTAGATGAAATACGCACCCGCAATAGCATCATCAAAGGCCTGCTTCGCAAGATGGCAAGCTTGATCCGGGGAGTTCAGGATCTCGTAATAGAAGACAGAGAAGTTCAGGGCAAGACCGAGTCGGATTGGGTGAGTTGGAGCCAAATCGCTCTGGGCAACCTCAGTAGCATTCTTGTAAGCCTCGAGAGACTTATCGGCAGACTCCTTGCGCTTGTCACCAAGGGCAAACTCGGCGAGGTAACGATGGTAGTCACCCTTCCTGTCAAGTCGGCATGGTTAGAGAAATCGATCGATAAAAATCGCCTTCAAGAAGAAAGGAAAGAAAAAAAAAGAGGACATACATCTTGTGATAAAAGACCTTGCTCTCACCGCTCTGGGCACTAGGAATGAGGTGCTTGTCGAGGACCTCCAAGATATCCTCACAAATCTTGGCAAGTTCAGCCTCGATCTTGACACGATACTCCTTAATGAGTTTAACTTGAGCCTCGTTGCCCTTCGAGTCTTCTTTTTGTTCAATGGAGGTGACGATTCTCCACGAGGCTCGGCGGGCGCCAATGACGTTCTTGTAAGCAACGGAGAGAAGATTTCGCTCTTCGACGGTCAACTCGGTATTGGAGGAAGCGACAGTCTTCATGTTCTCAACCATCTCTAGATGACGGGGTCAGTGCGGTTGAACTCGGTTTATATATATATACACACACACGTATAATCTGCCATCTTCCGTGCCTCGGTTGCTCATACGAGTACAGATTCAATCGAAATCAATTGGGATGGAATGAAATACCTTCATAGCGCTCGGCTTGCTCCGCAAGCTTGGCCAAATAAACAGCGTCTTCGTGACCCATTTTTGATTATTCGGTAGGAAATTTAATGGAAAGGGGGTTTCTAGATCAAGAAAACGGTCTGAATTAGCCATGCCCCCCGTAAATTATAAAATATATCGCCTCGGGCGTATGTGTTGATGTGATGAATAAAGCATGCAAGAATCCTGCCATGGCCGACCAGCTGTCCCGGGGGAGCCGTAGGGGGTCTCATCGGACGATATGTACGAGATTCGCGCCTTTGGAGCTCCCCAAGACCCAATTTAGCAAAAGGTATAGCCAGAGTACAGAGACAACGGCGGCCAGGAAGTTGAAATGATGGGGAAATGACTAAACGAGCATCGGTATCGATAGAAGCTTTGAGCTACCTCGTGTCGCGAGCCTTGGTAGACACCAACAAATCCTCCGAAGGGACAAACAACTCGATATTCAGCCGTGAAATACCTAATTTCGACGAGAGAAGATGTATATTTGCTCGTATTTGGCGTTGTTTCTGGTTGCTTCTTGTCTTTTCTTCTTCTTTTTTTTTTAAGGATGAGGGCGAAGAGACGAGCAGAAAGGAGGGGTAGCAGCAGAGCAGGGAAAAACTCGACGACCCTCGCTTGAGTTGGCTCGCTCGTGTAAAATGATGTAACCAGGCAGACTCTCACCTTTAAATTGATTTGAGGGAAGCTTGTTCGTGGATATGAAAAGTAGTTGGGATGGTCGGCTTAGTTTACTGGACAATATTTGAAGGAGAATGAATGCGGTTAGCGATGGCGATTGTTGGGAGGGAGGAGAGGGAAAGGTAGAAGTTTGAGAGAGGATGGGGATTTAGATTGGGATTTTGGCTTTGGTCCGCTGGGCTGTACCAAGAAAGGGCGATTTACACAGCGGAAAAGCGGAGCAGCGCTAGGGAACTGGGAAAATTATGAAGGAGAGAAAAGAAGGATAGAAAGGGAAAAAAGTATATAGAGGATAAACTGTGGGTTTAGTTACCTGAAGAAGCTATTGAATATCAGAAGAAGACAGGGTTTCTAAGAGATATTAGAGAGTGAGAGGAAGAAAGGAGGAAGAGGAGGAGGTAAGAGGTAGGGTAGGTAAGTAGGTAGGAAGTAGGAAGTAGTATAGTTTGGGTTGTTAGGAGGTGGTAGATAAAGTTAAGTATTTGGGTTAAGTGGTTACTATAGTGTAAGGAGTACGGCCTTACCTATTGATAAGGAATAAGTACTACTTACTTAGTAATAGGAGGTACTTACTTAAGTAGTTGTGTACTTGTTGCAGTGAGGTGAAGTGATGGTGTTCTGGCTGCTGGCTGGTATGAGAGGGAAGGGGGAAGAAAAGAAGGAGAGGGAGCGTGGCAGGCAGGCAAGCTAACAACACTCAGGCAGGGCCAGGCGGGGCGGCACAATACAAAGTGGGGGATGCAATATGTACTCCTTAAATAAGTACTTACTTAGTAACCCCTAGGTACTCCTGGTTATAAAATAAACACCACTTGAGTGACAGTATCGTCATTACACAAAATTCAAGCCTTATACAAACTCGAAACCATACAAGTTAACTCCTGTACTTTATTCAAGTATCTAGACCCCCGCCGTGTTTCAGGGCTTGCTAAAGGTACCCCATGGGCCCAGACACCCAAGTACACCCTTGGGCCTATAGATATACCATGATTCTTGCGTTCGATGTGATATATGTCGTGTAACCGATATCCAGTTTGAGATAATCTTCCTACTATGTAACCGCTGCCATACAGAGAAGCAGGACAATAACTAGCCTACCTGGCACCTGAGTATCTTTCTATGAATGCACGGATCCATCAACCCGTGCACGTGTTTAAGTACCTACCTAGTCCCCCCTTGGGTGGTTATAATTGATTTTTATTGTGAATTTGGCATTGATGTTGAGGACAGTACCTAAGTACTTACTTAGGTACTTGCCTCCTTCTTTAGGTACGTACTACCACCTGGAGGGTAAAATGACCATGGAGGTCTCGAGATGGATCCTTATAGCGTAAACAACAGCCTCGTATGTGTATCATGTGTATGCGCGCCTACGCCTCCGTCTAGCTCTACATCATTAAGTTGATATCACGATCTTCTCTAGCTTCTCCAGCTCATATAGGCCTATATGTTGATTCCTTAAGATAGTTTTTGATATGTAACTTGGCAATGGGGACATGAACTTTCGTCATCGTACTTATTACCCAGCCTCTGATTGGTTCCTCCGTACGATGTCCTGATTATTATTTTATATACCCTAAGCACCTAATGTTAGGACATGACACGACTCTAAAGGGCTTTATGAGGTAAGTGCCTACCTGCCTTCTATTTTATTTTTATTTTTTTTGGCCTTAATATAAGCCGTCCTCCCTTGTTTTTCCAGTTGAACAGATAAAACCCTAGAAATATAAGGGAGCACTTCGGTACTGACTTGCATAGTAACATAGTAGCATTTGATATACCTTGTAATATCCTCTGTGAATGGTTACCGGCGAACCACGTGAGACCACCTAATTAGTATGTAGCTGACGCTGCAAGGCCGGACACCGACGGCGAGTGGATGTGACGGTGGTCAAAAGTGGCGTTATCATCCCACCATGCAGACGGCTTTTGCTTTGTGTTGCCCCACTCTCTGTGGCTAAACATGCAAAAAACCTTCTGACGTCTTGTTTACAGCTTTCCCTTCGGACGTCCGGTACAAACACACTACCACACAGTTTAGTCCACCACACGCTTTTTTATATATAAAACCCCGAATATCTCTCCAATCATCTTTCAATCAATTCAGACCCCGCAAACAACTATCCAAAATGACTCTACGAACCGTTCTCACTAGGACCGTCGTCAGACTCCCACGAGTTACCGCTTTCCGCCCCTCGGCTTCTCTCATCATGAACAGAGGATACAGCGCGGGAGATACCGGTGGCATCCGATACGGAGGTAGGTACCTTGGTTTCGGATTACTATTCAACCTTTTATGGTCGGTCGCTAATGATAATATTTCCAATTGATAGGAGAGCAAGCTGGGTAAGTCTCATCTTTTTGTTTCTCTCGGAAGAAAGAATTGGTTATTTCCGATATCTAACCAGTCATCATATTATTAAAGAGACTCCTTCACACGCCGTGAGAAGGCCCAGGAGGACTTTTTCATCAAACAGCGTGAGAAGGAAAGACTCTCAAAGCTCAGAGAAAAATTAGCCGCCCAGAGGAAGCACCTAGACGACCTTGAGGAAGATATGTGAGTTTCTCATTCTAACCTTCTCGGGTTATCACATCCTAGGCGCCGAGATTTGTTGCTGATTTTTATCACTCGGATCCGAAAATTTAGCAAGGAATTGGAGAAGCATGCCGGTGGCGAGCACAATTAGACTCCTCTTCCGAAGAATCGGCATTAAAATGCATTTTGACCCAAACAAGATGCAGTTGGGACCCGTTTTCGCTAGCATGATGAATCATTCTTTTATGTGTGAAAATGAAAATCATAACTTTCAATTGTTCGATTGTGCATATTCAGGAGGGATGTCAACTAAAGGGAAGGAGGGACAAATCATTCTCCCCTCGTAGGATGTTGTTCATGGAATCCGCAAATATATCCCGCTTTAATTGCTTATTTACTTCACCGGTGCACCCGAATGGACACCATTCTCGAGATTTACACACCGTAGGTTCGCAGTATTCTCTACGCCTTCAAGTATACACATGTCACTTAGCTCTAAAGTAAAATTTAATTGGAAAATTAAATCATTGGTTATATACATCGACTCAATAGCTACCTTCTGGCTTTGCCTATTATTCGGTATGTTAGTGTTATGGCGAAACAAGGAAATGGATAGGAGATATATACCAGGAGAGCGCCTTTTCCTCCCAGGGCTTTTTCTAACCCATTATGTGGAAATTCTCTGGGAACTGCTGGCTTATCCGGATAGAACGAATAGATTGCACCGCAAAGCCCAAAGGCCGCTAGTACGAAGCAGGAGAACGATATGGCTGCTTGCTTTGGTGTGGCAACGGTGTATTCGTAAAGTGTGAAAATTCCGAGAACATCTTCATCTTCGTGGACCTACTCCACATATAACGTGAGCGTCTACATTGGATAGATGGTTGTTTCGAAACTATTGGGTTATACCGGTTCGCCGAAGTTTCTTCTCTCTTGTGGATCCCACCATTTCTCGTATGGATCTCTGAACTGACGTTTTAGTGGAGGTGGCTGAGTAAGGGAGTAGCCGTCATTCTGTTGGATTGATTGGTGTCCAATTAGCATGATCTGTAGATGTATACGGTGGCCTTCATATATCGGGAGAGATGATATCGAGAAGGAGGGGAGTAGTCGGGGATAGGAAGGAAGGCTGGTACCATCCCCGGATCATCGATTTCGGGATTGCCTGTAAGAAGTCTCGGAACGGGCTCCGGTTGTGGTGCAGCGGTAGAGGCATAGCATCTCTGGCGGGGAATCTGGGAGAGGATTGGTCGGACGAGCCGCAGTCGCGAAGTACCGGCGGCAATGGATCTGATGGGAAGCATGGTGACGACTGACAAGAGAGAAATTAGCATCGAAGTTTAGGACAGATGTAGGAAAGTCACAGGCTGGAGATACGCACCTATTTAGGCACCGACTTCCTCGCGGGGGGAGGGACAATGGTGTCGATGTTTCCTAGTGTACAGGTACAGGACGGTTTCATGTAAGTAGGTATAATTATATCAGGTTGTGTTGGGAATGAGGTGAGGTCAGAAGCAGGCCAAGACTTCCTCCTCCGTCGCCGCCGAAAGGCGCTGTGTTGTTTGCGAGATCACTTCGTAAGGAAATTTTATATCATTTTATTCCTTCTCGGCAAACCCCCCAAAAACACTAAACTCTAACCTCAACCGTCCAACCCGAATCACAGCGTCTTCTATCTTCACCAGCCGATATCTCATCAACTACGCGGTTCTAGCAGACGCGAATAAGCTATCTTGGAAGCTTAGAATCTCAGCTTCAATTTGACCAACTATCAGAAGCTTCTCGAATAATTTGGGTGGTCTGGGACGGGTAAACCGCAGAGACCACCCCAGCAACAAGCCTGCTGTTATGACGCCTGACGACTCCAATCCCGATCCCGAAACCCCTCAAAATGACAGTATGTCTTTCAAACGGCCCGGAGCAACTTGCAGAATCCTCCGTGATCAATTGGTGCCATGCTGAGCAATAGTCTTTTCAGGAAACGGCCACTTACCCGCTACCCGCAGTAGCTCGAGAACGACTAAGTCCTTGCAGGTCGATACCGAGACCGCCCAGAATCTTAATTCGAACTCTACCCTGAGCAACGAGATCCTCCAACTTCTGAATCCGTCTAAAAAACGAAAGTTGAATGGGCCCCCGTCGCCACCATGGAAATCGGCCGCTGCCCAAACTCCCTCCAGCTTCATCGACGGCACGGGCAGGAAGAGATCAATGAGAACCATGCCGCCACCGCCTACTCCTGTCACTCCGGTAAAGGGGGGTCGACTTACAAGGTCTGCTGCAGCACAAATATCACCAGATTCCTCTACTACGAGCAGTCGCACTAAAACTAAAGAATACAGACCTGGGACCCGGACATCACCTAGGTCAAAACAACAGCACACGCCTATAACCGCCGCCCCAAAATCTCAGACTCGGGGTAGCGCTAAATCAACTGCTACCACTTCATCGTCTCGTAGCCCGGTAGTTACAAAATCCAACCAAACCCGACAAAGTATCTATGTTCGAGCCAATCCGAAGCAACCCCCTCAAAACTCATCGAGCCCGAAAAAGACCCGAAATGCAATCCGTCTTTCAACAGTTCCTAGAAGGCGAAGTGGAAGGCTTGCGGTGGCTGAGGAGCATGCTGAAGATGAGGATGAAGATGTTGAAATGGAAGATGAACCCCATGACTTTGTCGAGGGGACTTTTGATGATTCTAAGAGGATATCGTGGCGACTCAAGTTTAGTCGTAAGGTTAAGCCACCTCTTTTCTGTAACATTATGAACATGCCCAACCCTCGCAAGTTCTCGTCCCTTAGAGAGTATCTCGATGCCGAAGATAACGACCCGGACTACCTCAAACAGATGCAGGACGGAGCCATCGCTGAAGCTGTCAAACGGATCAAGCTCGAAGAAGCCTATGAAAACGATTCGCTGCGCCCGGAGAATCTTCAATTTGCTTTGCCCCAGGTTGTACCTTTGCCAGAGCGTTTGAAACCGCAATGGGGACACCAAGATCACTTTGTTAATCATGCCCTCCGCTTCAGTAAACTCTTGAAGAGGGAACGTATGCAACATATCAAGGATGCCAAAGCAATCGCTAAAGATGCTGCTGAAGCCGCACGAAAAAGACGCCCAAAAACCCGTGAAGAAATCGAACACGAGCAGAGAAATCTTAGCATCAAGAGATACAAAGAAGTTGTAGCTGGTTTCAAAGTCAAATTGAAGTTCACAGAGAAGGTATGTAGTGCCTCGAAGTTCTATTGTCACTAATAATGTTAACCTCTTTTCCCCACAGGCTGCTCAGGACATCAGAAGGGAGCAGTATCTCGAAGCAACCCGCCTAGCTGGTCGAGAAACCCTAAAAAAGATGCTTCAACACTCCAGCAAGCTCCTAGATGCACGTATAAAAACTCGTGACGGCATTCCTGAAGATCTTGACGAAATTGATGACGAGCTGAATGCCAACGAAACGGAGGACTTAGTACCTAGTGATGACTTTGATGAAATCGCGAGCGAAAATGAGAGCGAAGCATCTGAGGACGCATCAAACATGTCTGGTTCGGATTCGTTGGACGAAGGAAGCGGAGTAGACGATGATTGTGACGACAAGCTCAGCCCTGAGGAGCTGCGACGAAAGTATGCCGGTTTGACCGAAATCGAGAGTGACAATGGTTCTGGGGAGGATGACACGGATGTATCGATGTCCATGGACGACATGGGAGGGGATAAGGGCTTCAGCGATACAAATGGATTTGGTGACAATAATCTACGTTGGTTAGGAGATCAAGATGATGGAAGTGACGAGGATGTTCCGATGGATAGTGAAGATGAAGAAGAAGTAGAGGAAGAGGAAGAGCCTGATACTGAGGAAGGGGGAAGCGACCGATACGAAGAATACTACGATGGAGAGGATGATGACGATGACGATGACGACGATGCTGAGGATGGTCTGTTTGGCTTCTTTTCAAAGGATGAAGTTGATAGGATTCGGCACAGGAGTGCCGAGGCCTCAAAACGCTCTCAGGGTCTTGATGGTGTGAATGATGAAGATGAAGATCTTGAAGAAGTGGACATGGTGCCAGTTAATGTGGAAGAAGAACAGGACACCGACAACCTTTCTGATGCAGACACTGGCGTCCATCTAGATGAAGCGGAGCATTCGGAAAACAAACACCACCCCCATTCTAGTGATGACTCAAGTGTCGCTAAGACTGGTATATCCGAAGTTAGCAGCGTTACTACTCCAGCATCTATTGGCAACATTGGGGACCACAAAGAACCCAAGACACCAATTTCGACTCTACTCAGGGGCACCTTGCGTGAGTATCAACATTTCGGTTTGGACTGGCTTGTCAACCTTTACAACAATGGCACAAATGGAATACTGGCTGATGAGATGGGCCTTGGTAAAACAATACAAACAATTGCTCTTCTATCCCATCTAGCTACCGATCGCGGAGTATGGGGCCCGCACCTTGTGGTTGTACCAACCAGTGTTATTCTCAATTGGGAAATGGAATTCAAGAAATGGGCACCGGGATTTAAGATTATGACCTATTACGGTAGTCGTGAGGAACGACAGGAAAAACGTAAAGGTTGGATGAACTTAAGTGCTTGGGATGTATGTATTACCTCCTATCAACTCGTTGTTCAGGATGTTCAAACATTCAAACGAAGACCATGGCATTATCTCATCCTCGACGAAGCACACAATATCAAAAACTTCAGATCTCAAAGATGGCAGACTCTCCTAAACTTCAAAGCACAAGCACGCCTTCTATTAACCGGTACCCCACTGCAGAACAACCTAATCGAACTGTGGTCACTTCTTTACTTCCTTATGCCCTCCGGCAACAATATGTCCGCTGCTATGCCCGCTGGGTTTACAGATCTCAGAGAGTTCCAACAGTGGTTTTCTCGCCCTGTCGACCAACTCATCGAAGGGGGACGAGAAGGTATGGATGAAGAATCAAAGGAGAGCATCAGGAAGCTACATACGATATTACGACCTTTTCTTTTAAGGCGTTTGAAGAAAGACGTGGAGAAGCAAATGCCCGAGAAGCATGAACACATTGTTTGGTGTCGGCTTTCCAAACGCCAAAGGTTTTTGTACGACGATTTCATGTCTCGATCACAAACGCGGGAGACGCTCACAAACGGCAATTATCTTTCAATTATTAATTGTTTGATGCAACTGCGGAAGGTGTGCAACCACCCTGACCTGTTTGAGACCCGCCCCATCATTACATCATTTGCAATGGGTCGCTCAGTCATCGCCGATTTTGAAATCAACGAACTCCTTGTGCGTCGCAAGTTCCTGCAGGGTGGTACCTTTGATACAGTTAACTTTGACACGCTTAACCTCAACATCATCAGTGCCGAATCGGAATCACGTATCTTCACAGACACTACAAGCAAACTAATCGCACAGAAGGTGATCAAGGATCGTCTTCATGATCTCGAGCAAGAAATTATTCCTGGTCTCCAGCCTGACTTCTCATCCTCTAAGGCCCTCAACAACTACATCTTGAATCGCAACAAAATCTGCAAATTCGAAAAGGTGAAACAGACAGCTTACTTGAATGCCCTGCGATGCCGTAGGAAACCAATTTATGGGACTGATCTACGCCAGGCCTGTAATATTGGCGCATTTCCTCAGTTCACCTCCCAACTTCCAGAGAACCGCAAAAGACGCCTCGAGTGGTTGTCAGGCGAAGTTTGTGTTTTGAAAAACATTACCGCTACGATAGGCCGTCGCGCGGATGAATTCGATACCATCATTCAGAAGTTCGGCTGTGTTACACCGGCTGTCGTTGCTTCTGACATGCCCTTCATAACGGTAACGCCTGCCGGTCAGGAAATTCTACGTCTTGTCAAGGCCAAAAAACTGGAAGATCCTTTTCATAGAGCCCGAAACCGTCTCTCCATTGCCTTCCCCGACAAGCGCCTTTTGCAGTATGACTGTGGCAAGCTCCAGAAATTAGATGCTTTGCTCAGGCATCTACAGGATGGTGGGCATCGGGCCCTAATTTTCACGCAGATGACAAAGGTTTTGGATATCCTTGAGGAATTTTTGAACATCCACGGCCATAGATACCTAAGGTTGGATGGCGCCACTAAAGTCGAACAACGTCAGATTTTAACAGAGAGGTTCAACAACGATAATCGTATCCTGGTATTTATTCTATCGTCTCGCTCTGGCGGATTGGGTCTCAACTTGACGGGAGCCGACTCAGTTATTTTCTACGATCTCGACTGGAATCCCGCCATGGACAAGCAATGCCAGGACCGATGCCACAGAATTGGGCAAACCCGTGATGTCCACATTTACCGCTTCGTTTCAGAATTCACAATCGAGTCTAACATTCTGCGCAAGTCAAATCAAAAGCAAATGCTTGACGATGTTGTTATTCAAGAAGGAGAATTTACGGTTGACAAGTTTAATCGGTTGACAGTTGCTGATTTGTTCGGGGATGATGCGAAGAAATTTGGGCTCGAATCGATTGGCGGGAAGACGATCGGATCGACTACAGGCAATATGAACAAAGCCCTGGAGGAAGTTGAAGACGCTGATGACGTCGTAGCCGCTAAGGCGGCTTCGAAGGAAGCAGTTGAGAATCTTGATAGAGATGATTTTGGACGTGAAGATGGGCAGAAATCGGGAGCAGGGTCGGGAGTTGTTATTGATGAGATAGCCAATAATACTGGAACGCCACGAAACTCGGAGCATGCAAGTACGCCAGCGGCAGCTCCAACCCCGGTCGAAAACGAAGATGTTGAAGAGAACCAGGTGGAAGAGGGGGGCAACTCTAGCACGGTTGATGACTATCTTGTTCGACTCTGGGTCTGGGAATTGCGTGATACGCCCGTCTTCATACCGGACAAGAACAAGAAGAGGAAGGCAAAGAAGGCGAAACCACCATAGACACTTTTTTTTTCGAAAACCTTTTGACTTTTCGTGTTCATACTCTTTTCATTTACTTGTTTCTCGGTGTTATAACGGTCCTCTCGGAGCTTTTACTTGGTAATTTTTCTTTTTTTTTTCTTCTATTTTTTTTCCTTTTGAACATTCACTCTACACAAAAATATGAAACAGGGAAGCTAATGGCATGCATATACACATTACACACGGTTTTCCGAAGGCCTGTAGCTTAATTGGAACCAGTTAATTATGTGTTCCTCCCTTCTACCCTGGGTTCTGTAGCTTCAACAAGTGTATTACTAGCGCATTTATATTCCTTTTTATCACGTTCTCGGCGTCGACAAAAAGAGGGGACAAAATTGGTTTAATTTTAAGCTCTTTTATCATTATAAATTTTCTTGGGATAATTTGGCCGTGCATGCAAAATAAATCAGTCAGAGCGAAGGGAAGGGCTACTTAGCGATCGAATACAGCGGCACCTACCGCGGTCTTTGCGGGGAAAGGGTCTCGATGTTAGACCCGCCGACAGGTTGACTAATATTAATACCAATGTGTTTGTCGAAGCTGGAGGATCGGGGGTGATTGAGGTGCAGCGCAATGACGTAGATGGCTATTCTGGGCTGTATTCTCGCGTAGGTGACAGGCCTTCACACTGCACATTCCAGCGCATCTCCGAACAGAATCCTAGTTAGAAGACTTGATAGTTAAGCTTCTCTCCCTTCTTTTTCATTTTTTTTTAACTTTCTTCTTCTTTCCTCCCCCCCCTTTTAACGAAAAGATACCTATGACTATATAAGTACTTAGATTATGCAAATAGGCAAAATAAACGTGGGATCGGTACGGGAGGCTGAAACTATATTTGAGGGATTGGGAAGGAAAAGCAGATATTGACTTGGTTTGGAGCGGCATCTTTTCCGGGTAGGTTTGCATGGCGATCCACATCAGGTGGCACACTGTCTGAGCTCGAGGAATGGCACAGGATGTATACTCGGCCCAGCACTCGGTCAGAGACCCTGATTGACCGGCTTCTCCCTTTGTCCAATTGCCGCCGAAATGATATTTGAAGGGAAGACAATTGTGAAATCGATTGGGTCCGGGCTTGCTCCGAACTAGGGGATGTCTCTGATGATGGGTCAGGAAGGAACAACCACTCTTGAAAAAAAAAAAAATCTGTCGAGGGTAGGCAGCTGGCCGGCCGGCGGGGAAAAAACCAAAAAAACTGCGCGGATGCATATCTACGCCCATGCATGTGGTTTTTGGTGGTATTCCCTGTAGATTACCAATCGGTGGACAATAGACGACGCCTTTTTGAGGTTGGGCTTGCATAGAACGTTTTGATCCCGTTTGTACCTAGATGGAGAGTCCCGTTGAGATCGATCCTAATAGATTGGTCTACAATTTCCATTCAAAAACTCAAGAGGATGCCGCATCTCTGATCGAGACAGACCATTGAGGCGTGTACTGGCACGGGACATCGTCCTACCCTCTGAAATCTAAAAGCTCGCCGGCATCGTTTCATCCGATACTAAGCCTGGGCCCAAACTAGCTAGAAAAATTGAATAGTGCCTGTTGGATGTGTAGTATCTGTTGGTCGGGCGCCACCAGATCTAATTCCAACGTCCAAGGCGTTAGCTCGGGCTCAGGACTTATAGCACTTACTTACTTTACGAAGGATATGGATTTTAAGGGTTTCAAACAGCTTGCACACATCAACGGCGCTCAAAGGTCTATTCTTGCGTACACCAACTCTCCGACTCGGTTAGGTCCAGTCCGACTCACTAGGTAGTTAGCTGCGGTGGTATGGGTAGGTCAAGGTTAAGGTTAAGATCAAGTTGTACTTATTGGTACCCGAGTACCTCGAGGTAAAGGTAGGTCATAGGCAGGTTGCAGCTATATTCCGCTAAACTCATACCCCTGGACTTCTTTTCTGATAGCAGGCCTCCCCGCCCCCCGTCACCCCCCTCCTCTACCTGCTCTACCTCCTCTACCTCCTATACCTCCTATATCTCCCATATCTCCCATACTTCCTCCCCTTCTCCTTCCCTCCTCCTCCTCTCCTCCTCCTCATCCTCCTGCTGTTGCTGCTGCTGCTATCGCTGCTATCACTACATGCTCGTCCTCTATTCTTCAGATAGGTTCCTCTTTGGCAGTTACATTATACCATACCATCCTCTTCGCAACTACTTAAGTACCTATTACTCCGATCCTACTACTGCCGAAGTTTCACAATAAGTACTTCAGTAAAAGTACATAAATATGGGATAACTGTTCTTGGAAATATATTATCGAGACAACAAAGCTGCAGCTGCATGACAGCAGGCCGGTAGCACGAAAGACCTTTTCTTTTCCCAGATCCTGTGCTCAAAACAGGGCGGCCCACCTAACGATCAAGGAATACCCCCACTGCATCAACCGACCCGACGATATTTTAATACTTCAGGCGATATTGATATAACATCCAAATTTAAAGGAGAAAGGTCTTTAGGAAAGCTACCGTCCGGATTTCCATTTTAAATCCTTATTTCTTAGTTATAAGGAATTCATCTATATACCGACTACCTAGGGTATACAAAAAAAAAGAGAGAGAGAGAGAGAGAGAGAGAGAGAGAGATCATATCATAACCAGGTGAAAACAGCAATCCTTTATTCTTTCCCCGTCTCAATTTCCGCATACATGCGATTTCCCAGTACATGCCAATACTTTCCTCTTTCCCTCTGCCTTGTGATATCAATTTCTAGCATTAGCTAGTTCGCTGGTACATACATACGCTCGATCCCAGTTGCCCCCTTGCTTTTGGGTCTAGAGCTCTAGTTTAGTTCGACGGACCCTTCTTTGCTTGAAACCACAGAGCACATCACACATATCATACATTACATTAGTACATATCACCCAGCCTAAAGTCGTGCTGGCCAATCTTCTCCATTTCCCTCTGCGTTTTCCCTCCTCCTAACTACTCATCCGTCTGGGACCAAGCATTCAAAATATCCCGAAAGAGGCAAACTCGAAGAGTCGAGAACAGCTCATCACGGTTCTTTTTTTTATTTTTTATTTTTTAATTTTTTTTAACTCTGCTACTCCCCTCCTCGGCCCCCCCCTTTCATTTTCACCCTTCTTCAAGCTCTCCTCCTTCGAAGGCTGTGTGATCGACTGTGTGCACCCTTTCACATCTGGAGTAAGTGGTACTTTGATATTATTTCCCCGTTAGCTAGGCGTGTTTGGAGCACATCTGCCTCAGCTGGGCGGAGATCACGGGAACTAACTGGAGAAGTCGAAGAGGGTTTGAATTGCGGAGGGGGCTCCCGTCAGCATCTTCACTGTTGTGGCTGCTGGACCTGGCCCGCCTCATCTTTGCCTGCCCTTTCCGCTTCAGTTCACGGTCACTGCCAGCGTACCAGTCTCACCCTTCCTCTCTCACCCTTCCTCGACGTCATTCTGAAACCCGAGGGAAAGGTTATTCCTCGTTTCCATGTATTGGCCCAATCGAGCACTCTGATCCACATTGGAACTCTGCTGTGTACCTGGGCTCTAGTTTGACGAAATATTCCCTTTTGGCTCCAGAAAGACTGTTAGTTCCGATTTAATTGTCTGAATGGTCTTCCTGTAATACTTTTTTTTTCTCTTCCCCTCCATTCGGGATAAAATTCTTTTTCCTCTATCCATCACACTTCTCGCTTGATAAACGGAGGGGTGACTTGACCTTGCCAGACCATTCGTTTCATGATAGCACATAACCCGTTCTTTGTCGCCTTATCCGATAACCTCGTTCATCCTCAACTCCCTGCCTTGACGGCAGCTACTCTTCTTTCTTGAAAGTTCCTTTTATATACTTATATATCTTCCACCTATACCTTAAGACTTTGTTATACTGTTTGTCGGCCAGATCGCTGCGTTCTGCGGCTAGTACAATATAGATTATAATATTCAATACTAACGGTTAATGACAACACCAGAACCCAACTTCAACGTCCAACCCCCATTTGAGTACCTTTCATCACCCTGCTCCTCTCCGTTCTCATCCTCTCCCTCACATACTTCCATCTCGCCCGGAATCCAGCATCGCTCTTAAATCCCGAAAGGGTTTTCTATATTAACATAACCCCCCAAAGTAAACCATATTAGCCATTTCGGAAATAAGAGTGTCAGAGAACGGAACAGAGGCGTTTCCCTCCACTTCCCCTCACCCAGCATCCGCTCTGGAGGAACCGCCCCACAAAAGACTCAAGATGTCGGTTTCTCCGGATACCGTCGCCGCAACCACAAGGCTGCTGGCATCACTCGCTTCAGGGGGCGCATTAGCACCGCTGGCCAAGGCAAAGCTTCCGGGCGAGGATACTGAAGAGAAAAGAGCTCTTGAGAAGGAAATATTCGCCCTAGCAAATCGGATACGATTGCTCGAGCTCAAAGCATCGGCTGTGAACCCAAATCTCTTCCCGGAAACACCAAATGATGGCCCACCGCCCATGCTAGCCACGCCAGACAATAACGATACTAGTACAACTACAACTACAACTGCAGCTGCGACTGCGACTGCGACTGCAACTACTAGCAACTGTATTAACGACGGAATCCTATCTACTGCTCAAGTACCGCCCACCAGCAATGCTAAGCCTATCAATATTGAGCCTGATTTGGAGGTGCTCAAACAACATGTCAAAGCTCAAGAGGGCGAAATTCAGAGTCATGGGAAGAATGTGGAGGTTTTGGTAGAAGAGATCAACCAACACCAGCATGCTTTGCAGAATGTAAATCAGGAGTACAGCAGGGTTGAGATGTTGGAGAAAGAGCTCAGAAAAAGCCAGAGGGCAAACTTGGCCTTCCAGAAGGCGTTGAGGGAGATTGGTGAAATCGTGACAGCCGGTACGGTCGTTCAGGCCCCTCTTTTAGTCCCGGTGCACAGCTGACATGAGACTATACGTGAATAGTCGCTAGAGGTGACCTCACGAAAAAAGTCACGGTTCACGACGTGGAGATGGACAAAGAAATCGAGATTTTCAAAGGTACTATCAATAACATGACGGACCAGCTGCAGACATTCGCCAGCGAGGTATCTCGCGTCGCTAGAGAGGTCGGAACAGAGGGCCGATTAGGAGGTCAAGCCAGTGTCAATGGAGTTGAAGGCACTTGGCGTGAATTAACTGATAACGGTGTGTTCTCAATAGTCCTCAAGGCATTCCCAACGTTAAGAAACTAATGAACGGTATAGTCAACACTATGGCTTCCAACCTTACCTCGCAAGTGCGAGAAATCGCTGAAGTCACCTCTGCAGTCGCCAACGGTGACCTGTCGAGGAAGATCCACGTCCATGCTCAAGGTGAAATATTAATGCTTCAGCAAACAATCAACACCATGGTGGAGCAACTAGGAAGATTCGCGCTAGAAGTCACGAGAGTGTCGAGAGAAGTTGGTATTGAAGGAATACTAGGTGGTCAAGCAGAAATCGAGGGAGTTAAGGGTACATGGAGGGAGTTGACAGACAATGTCAATGCTATGGCCGCAAATCTTACTGAACAAGTCCGAAACATTGGTAGGTGAACACTGAAGAAGCTCTACGACTTGTGTAAACTAATTCGAGCTAGCTACCGTCACAACCGCCGTTGCGAAAGGTGACCTCAGCCGAAAGGTCAGTGCCAGCTGCAGGGGCGAAATATTACAACTCAAGGAGACCATCAACAAGATGGTGGATCGTCTTCAGAACTTCGCTAGCGAAGTCACAAAGGTCGCCCGTGAGGTCGGAACTGAAGGCCAGCTTGGTGGCCAAGCGAATGTGGACGATGTGGAGGGAACTTGGAAGTCTCTCACCGAAAGTGTTAACGGCATGGCTACCAACCTTACGCTCCAAGTCAGAAATATTGCATCCGTTACAACCGCTGTCGCTGAAGGCAACCTTAGTCTTAAGATTGACGTGCCTGCCGAAGGCGAAATCTTACAACTGAAAAATACCATCAACAAGATGGTAGAAAGATTGCAAAACTTTGCAACCCAAGTCACCAAGGTAGCCCGTGAAGTCGGAACCGATGGTATACTTGGCGGCCAAGCTAGGGTGCAAGATGTGGAGGGTGTCTGGAAAGATCTCACTGATAATGTGAACGTCATGGCTAATAACCTTACGACTCAAGTGAGAAGTATTGCAGACGTGACAACTGCTGTGGCGCAGGGTGATCTCAGCAGGAAGATTACAGTTCACGCACAGGGTGAAGTGTTAGCTCTCAAATCCACTATCAATAAGATGGTGGATCGTCTCGAAGTGTTCTCTCGAGAAGTGAAGCGAGTCGCCCGTGATGTAAGTTGCAGAAAAATAGTTGTGGGTCACTCTCTTCAAATACTAACAAAGCCATTTAGGTTGGTATTGATGGTAAACTCGGCGTACAAGCTGAAGTCAATGATGTCGATGGATTGTGGAAAGAAATTACGACGAATGTGAATATCATGGCGACCAACTTAACGTCCCAAGTGCGAGCCTTTGCTCAAATCACCGCCGCTGCTACTGATGGAGACTTTACGAGGTTTATCACCGTCGAGGCCTCCGGAGAAATGGATGCTCTCAAGACCAAGATCAACCAGATGGTGTTCAATCTCAGAGATAGTATCCAGAAGAACACCGCTGCCAGGGAAGCCGCTGAATTGGCCAACAGAACCAAGTCTGAATTTCTCGCCAACATGTCTCACGAAATCCGAACACCCATGAATGGTATCATTGGCATGACTCAACTTACTCTCGACACCGATCTTACTCAGTTCCAACGAGAAATGTTGAACATTGTCCACAATCTTGCTAATAGTTTGTTGACAATTATTGATGACATTTTGGATATCTCGAAAATCGAAGCCAATCGTATGGTTATGGAAGAGATACCATTCTCTCTCCGAGGAACCGTCTTTAATGCGCTGAAGACCTTGGCTGTTAAGGCCAACGAACGATTCCTAGATCTTGTTTACAATGTCGATAATGTGGTTCCAGACCATGTCGTTGGCGACTCCTTCCGTCTTCGTCAAGTTATCCTCAACCTCGTTGGAAACGCGATCAAATTCACCGAGAGTGGAGAGATTACCTTGAGCATTAAGCCCGCTGACCAAGGACGTTGCAAAGAAAACGAGTACTGCTTCGAGTTCTCCGTGGCAGATACTGGCATCGGTATCCAAGCCGACAAATTGGATCTTATCTTCGATACATTTTGTCAGGCTGATGGTTCCACGACAAGGAAGTTTGGCGGCACCGGGCTTGGTCTTTCGATTTCTAAGCGCCTTGTTAATCTCATGGGTGGAGACGTATGGGTAAAGAGTCAATACGGCGTCGGAAGCACGTTCTACTTCACCGTGGTCGTTAAACTAGCAGAGACCGATCTTACTCTCATCCGACCACAATTGGCACCTTACAAGGGACACCAAGTTCTCTTCATTGATGACGTGGGTGACCAGTCCGGCATTGCCATTGCCGACATGCTCAGGCAACTCGAGCTCGTTCCTATTGTAGTCAAGAGTGCGGAAGAAGCCCCGAGAGCAGATCACCCACTATATCCTGCTAAGAATGGTATTGCATACGATGTCATCATTGTCGATTCGATGTCGATGGCACTTAAGCTTCGAACTTTCGACCACTTCAAATATATCCCACTGGTTTTGTTATCCCCAGTGATACATGTCAGTCTGAAATCGACCCTCGATCTCGGTATAACATCATACATGACGGTCCCATGCCTCCCGATCGACTTGGGTAATGGAATGATACCAGCTTTAGAAGGAAGGGCCGCACCTTCGATATCCGAAAACTCGAAATCGTTAAACTTACTGTTGGCTGAGGATAACGTAGTGAACCAAAAGCTCGCTGTCAAAATTCTTGAGAAATATCACCATACAGTCGAGGTTGTTGAGAACGGTCTACAGGCCGTAGACGCTGTCCAAAAAAAGCGATACGACTGTGTGTTGATGGATGTCCAGATGCCGGTGATGGGTGGATTTGAGGCAACGGCTAAAATCCGTGAATATGAACGGGACTTCGGCCTACCCCGAACTCCAATCGTGGCTCTCACTGCCCATGCCATGTTGGGCGATAGAGAGAAATGCATCCAGGCGCAAATGGATGAGTATCTTTCCAAGCCACTCAAGCAAAACCAACTCATCCAGACTATATCGAAGTGCGCGGCTTTGGGCGGTACCCTGCTAGAGCGTGGTGTTACTAAGTCAGATGATAGGAGGGTTGTCGCTAGTCTTACTCGGCCGCCGTACGACAGCAGGTCGATGACCTCGAATGCGTCTGTTATGAGGCCGGAGGCGAGCGCCAGCTCGAGTGCCATGTCGCCGACAACACTGACACCTGAAGAAGCAATGGAGAGCAGGGTAAGTCGACCCCCGGCCACGAAGAAGACCGGGTTAAATAATCTATCGAGGCGCTAACATGTAGGCAAACCCGATCCACTAGCCGATATTTAGATCTAACAGCTCTTGAACAGAAATTAAAGCTAAAAGCAGAAGAGGGGAGAAAACAAAAAAAGAATAATTTGTAATTCTTAGACCTTATTTTCCTGTTTTTCTTCTCCTTCTTCCTCTTCTCCTCCTCTTTATAACTGCTCATGCAGCGTGTTCTGCATGTTCTTTCTGTTATGTGCAGGCTGAAGGACCGGAGGGCAATATTTGGTAGGCCTCATAATCGCTTGCGCGACACGAAAGGAGGTATATTTCCGATTCATGAGGAGCGCATTCTAGAAACCCTTTTTTGCCTACTTTGCCTCTTGATGTTTCTTCGCTTCTTTTCTTGTTCCTTCTTCTCTCTTTTCTTCCTTCGGTATTGGGTTTCCGGGTTTTCGGACGGGGTTTGATCAAAGATGGACGGCATACGAATATTGACACTGCTACTATATTCATTCACATCATTTTTTTTCCTTTCGTTTTTCTTCGTTTTTTTGTTAGTTTCCCTTTGTCGGTCCCGTTTTATTTCTGTGTATCATGGACCTGTTACTCTTTTTTGTTATACTATCCTTCCGAATCCTGCCTCTTTTCGTCCGAGTTTCGTGATGGGGAGATAAGGTTATAAGAGTTAGGGTCCCTTTAAATCTTTCAGCCTGGTCTCCACCCTTCCTTTTAGTATAGCCTTGAGCCTGAGACTATATACAGGAGCTTTATGCGTTCTTTCTACATTTCCTTACTTTGAATTTCAGGATTTTTGGTTGTTGATTAAACTTTAAATCATCATCATCATCATCATCACCACCATCATTTTCATCATTACTCTATCCTTCCAACATGTAAGTCGAGAGTGATCATGAGCAAAAAAGAGTGAGGGCAAAGGAAAGAGGCAACATCCACGATTCTAAAAGACAGCGTTGCAATGCGATCAATCGAAAAAGTTCTCCAGCTTGATCAATTCCGATTTGTGTAGCCAGTTCATGTACATTTATATGTACTTATGTACCATGCATCAATATCTTGTGCAAATTAACCAGCTACGTAACATCATTGATATACTTCCGGGAAGAAGAAAAAAGTAAATTTAAAAAAGGAGAGGCCACAGTGCAGCGTCTAGAACTGCCGCTTTGAAGCATGAGGGCGATCAAGAACCGAATGCATCATCGAAAACCCCCTCTTTTCAACCCAACATTTGCAAGTACATGTACCTAATATCCATAGACAAAGTAAGTACTTGCTTATGATGCATTTCCAAGTTGTCGCCAGGAATGTTCGGCAATGCCAGCTGAGAGGGCAAATATAAATAGCACAAGGAGACCAATCCCTTTTGGCGGCAGGCACACGCCTCCGCCGCTAGCCAATAATTAAGTAATCAAGTAAGGAGCTTGAGTAATACCTACAAAGCAAGCACTTCTATTGTTGCCTGGGCGTATGTAAGTACCTAGGTAGCTGGCACGTAGGTACATAAGCAACCCTGAGAACCCCGCAAAAGAGTCTGGATTCGAAGAAATCCCTTTACACTCTCTAGTTTCACTCCTCTAGCTGAGCTACATTACATTACATACACTAGATAGGTACCTGCTTACTTAGAATCCAGGCTTCAATTGATCGAAGCTGCAATTCACAGCTAACGTTGCCATTGAGCTTCAGATTCCAATCCAGATCTACATATTACCACCTTCCTCCTCTCTTCCTCCTATACTTCCCATTTCTTTGCCAGCCCCCCGCTTCACACAATGGCAGGAATCATCGACTCAACTCTCAAAGCTCTTCACCTCAAAGACTCCACCGTTCCGCCTTCCGATGAGGCAGTCTCTGATCTTAAAGGCAAATACTCTGCTGCCGGTCAACCCCATGTCTTCAACTTCTACGACTCTCTCTCCAATTCCGACAAACTTGCATTTTTTAATCAATTGTCCGACATAAACCCAGCACGCACCTCCGAACTCGCCGAAAAGGCCCTAAACCCCGCCAAAACTTCCAATGACGATGTAAAACCTGACTTCGAGCCTCTACCCACCCAAGCTCGTGCTTCGACATTGGATTCTTCTAAGGATGATCTAGGCAAGTGGTACAATGAAGGCCTCGAATTGATTGCCAGCAATAGAGTGGGCGTGATCTTGATGGCTGGAGGACAAGGGACCCGATTAGGCTCCAGCGATCCTAAGGGCTGCTATGACATCGGCCTCCCATCGAGGAAGAGCCTTTTTCAAATCCAAGCCGAGAGAATATCGAAAATTCAAAGCCTAGCAGACAAATACAAAGGCGTGAAGAAAGGTGTCAAAATCGCACAGATTCCATGGTACATCATGACTTCCGGGCCTACAAGGAAACCAACAGAAGAATACTTTGTAAAAAACGATTACTTCGGATTGGAGAAGAATCAGGTCGTATTCTTCGAACAAGGCGTGCTACCTTGTATTTCCAATGATGGGAAGATCATTTTGGAGTCTAGGTCGAAGGTTGCAGTTGCACCCGATGGCAACGGAGGTATATACGCCGCGCTGGATAAATCTGGTATCCTTAAGGACCTCGAGACCCGGGGTATCGAGCACGTACATGCGTACTGCGTTGACAACTGCCTTGTCAAGGTCGCCGACCCAGTGTTTATCGGCTTCAGTGCCCTCAAGGGCGTTTCGATCGCCACCAAAGTTGTCAGGAAACGTAATGCGAAGGAGTCAGTCGGACTTATCCTCCTGAAGAATGGGAAGCCTGACGTTGTCGAATACTCCGAAATCGATACAGAGATGACCGAAGAGTTGGACCCTGAGAATAAAGAGCTGCTCAAGTTCCGAGCCGCAAATATTGTGAACCACTACTACTCCACTGAGTTCCTCAATACGATTCCAGAGTGGTCCAATAACCTCCCACATCACATAGCACGAAAAAAGATCCCCTACTTAGATACTGAAACCGGGGAGCAGGTTAAGCCTGAGAAGCCAAACGGGATCAAGCTCGAACAATTCGTGTTTGACGTTTTCCCATTGCTGGCTCTAGATAAGTTTGCATGTTTGGAGGTAGCTAGAGAGGATGAGTTCTCACCACTAAAAAACGCAAGGGGTGCCGGCGAGGATGACCCGGATACTAGCAGGAGGGATATTATGACCCAAGGAAAGAAGTGGGTCCAAGCCGCCGGTGCACAGGTCTTAAGTGAGGATGCAGACAAAGATGGAATTGAAGTCTCTCCACTATTGAGCTATGTAAGTTGACATTATTTACTTCCTTAAGCTGCCATTTAGACGCTAACACAAATTAATTTAAGGGCGGGGAGGGTCTGGAGTTCTTGAGTGGTAAAACCATCAAAGGGCCCGCATTGATCGTTCAGCCGGATGAAGCCCAGGAGTGAGCGCGAATTGGTAGCGACTGTCGCAGCTAACTATTAGTCAATTATTACGCAGCTTAAGGTTGTTTTTCTTTCTTTCTTTTTCTCTTTTCTTTGTGGAATAAAACCGGGTTCTTTGGTATCTTGGGAGGGGAAATTCGCTCTGAAATCTATAAAACATGCTTTAGTATATAATACAAGAGAAAAAATAGGAAAGATTCTTGTAAAGGTCCACCCGTCCTGCACACAAGTATAATTGAATATAGTAGATGTATCATACGAGATCATTCGGTTTTCCCTTCTCGTTTCCGCTTTTTCTTCTCTTTTTTCTCCTTTCGCCGCCTTCTCGACTCCTCGTCATCTGAATCCTTGCCGTAGAGTTGTGTGATCCGTCTTTTCGGGGCCTCTGTGGTTGCCGCATGCTCAGGCTCGCTCTCAATGATTTCCGGTACATCCTCGTCTCTGAAGCTCCCTTCCAACGACAGCATACCCCCTTCGGCCTTTACAGCCGTGACTACAAATTTCCGAAGCCCTTCTACCTCATTCCCTTCCGAATCAAACCACCTTCCCATAGCTTTCGTCAAACCCTCGATCGGATCCGTCCCACCAACCGGCTTCTGCTTCTCCCTCCTCCCTCTTCCGACATTTGAATAAGGATCATTCTCTGCCTCAATAACCAAACTGGCATCGTCTTCCTTTGCCGCTACAAACTTCCAATCTTGCGGAATCCCTGCCTGCGTCACTGAAACGCTGAAAACATTCCCATACAACATCCCTAGGTGACTAGGCGACACATTGTTCACGTACCCTTCAAGCACCATACCCACTGTTGGCTTCCACAGCACGAATTCCACAAGACACCATACGAAAGCAAACGGTGATTCTCCTAATATTTTTGCAGCGGGCGACTGGAATCGTAGGTTTTGGTGAAGGAGAATGACGCCATCAAGAGTGCTGTCGTATTTAAATACAAGGGGGTCAAGGTGATCGCGTTGGATACCAGTCTGTGGCGTTGCGGAATAAGCTGGTGAGATGGAGAGATAGCGGGAAGCGGTGGTAAGGGCATATGGGGAAGATATTTCCGCAGATTTGAGGGTTCGTGAAGAATGATCCACGGTTTGTTGTAAGGACGGCATTGGAGGGTCTATATTGCTGCTTCGGGGGGCGGACTTTTCTACTGAAGGAGCTTCGGATAAGTCTCCTAGTTTACGCTTTTTATTCGTTCGCTCGGATTTATCTGTTCGTTCGGCGTCTTTTATCTTGTGCTTTTTGTGCGATTTTTCATACGATGTCGAGGCGGCTTCAGCCATTGCCCTTCCTCAGCGGCTTCAAGAATATCCGCAGACGATATAGAAATTAGCCTAGTTCGACAAAGTGGCACTAGCGGTAGGAGATGCGACTGTTGATTTGGTAAAGGCTTTGCGGCCTAAGCGGTGCCTTTTATAATATTAACGAGTGACGGGGTTTGAAGCTGGGATTGGATGTTGAGGTTGAGGTTTGAAATCGGAATCTTGGTGATGCAGCAAAAAAAATTAAGCGACGGAGCCTAGCAACACAGGGTCGTCCCTAATATCCAACAAGGGCTGAATGTCTGTATGTCACGTGATAAATTTCGAAGCCAGAATGTATGCGGGCTGCCTTAGGCACCATCTGCGGAGCTTGTGGGATGTGTCTAGAAATGTGCGGTGGCATCCGGGCATTCGATTAAACCAAAAATAAAGACATTTTGTGCAAAAATGGTTATTGCGGGACCGATTAAGCACAAAAGGTGATATCATGATATCATGATCTGTTAAAGCGCAGCAATTTTAAACTGCCAACACAAGACTCACTCAACAGGACTATGGGTATACGCACGGTTCTAGACCGTAAGCATTAAAAGGAATCCCTATAAATATACCGCGTGTGCCTGAGTTCAAACCTTAGTATTGATTGTGAAAGGCGGGGCCTAGTTTACTTATCACCAGCAGTATAAAAAGCGAAAGAAGGGGTGTGAGGGGAAATACCTAAAAAAAAAGAATAAAAGTAAAAATTACATGAACAGGCTAATCATGACCGTGGTACAATTATGCATAATGCAAAGCCAAACGAGCGCGAACACATGCACTTAGTTTTCATCAGAAAAGGCTTTAAAAAAAATACGAACCCCGACGGCCAAAAAAAGCTCCCATAGCCCCTCCCAAAACGCCACCAGCAAGTACCTCAAGTGTCCTTTCATTCCTCAGAGCCAGGCCGTTCTAGAGCAATGTTCATCAATGTCTCAGATCCAAAGGAAAATGGAAAAAAAAATGAAATAATAAGAAAGAAGATGAGAAGAGCAAAGGATTGTGGGGATATGTATGCCGCGTAAGACCTATCCTGTGATGGGACAAGAACGGAAGAACCAAACCCCGAAATCGTTATCAAGGAGAATAGCAGAAAATGGCACCCTGTTCCCATTCTATCTCCTCCCAAGGCCACCCATCCCGCTAGCGGTCATCCTCCCGGCGCCAGCATTGATACTCTGGGCTACTATGGCTTCTGCTGCCCTTTGCGCCGCGATCCTCTCCTTTTGCTGAGATCTAGCCCGCAAGTACCCTGCAGCATCGGCCCTCATCCGTAGTATTCTCAAAATCATGTCGTCACTGGCTTCCGCCTGCGCCTCCTTCCTCTTCTCTTCCTTCGCCTTCCGCATCGTTCCCAAATTTCGATTCATCAGCACAGACTTCGACCGTTTGGCCATCGGAACCCCTAAAAGAAGAGCGCCAGACCCCGGGGGCCCTAAGTTTAAGCTTTTCTGTTTCTCTGCTGCCCTTGCGGCATTTTGCGCAGCAATACGTTCGGAAGTACGTATTAGATTCTCTGAAGAGTCGAAGTAGAAAAAACCAAGAGACTGTAGGTCGTGGTACTTCGGCGATTTTAGGACGTCAACAGGAACACCGGTAGATTGGCCTTGTTCATCTGGGGCATTGAAAAATTCAAATAAAAACTAAAGAAATTCTTAGCATTCTTCACGCTTTTTCGATGAACAGGACAGTCGCATACCTTCAACCATTTGAAAACAACATCAAGCTCCTGGTTAGAGAGTGGCTTTTGGTTCGACGGTTTGTCGGACAACGGTGGCACCATTAGAGCCTCGATTGTAGCAAGAACCTCTTTCCAAAGCTTGGCCATCACATTAATTAAGGCTTCGTGGGTCAGAGTCTTGTCCAAAATTTCAAAGTTTTCGTTAAAATATGTGAACAATGGGGTCAGGGCATTAGCAACATCGTCGTCGGTTGGTCCTGCTTTGATAACGGACTGTGGGCGATTTGATCCGAATCCTGTTCGACTAAAATAATTCGACACCGAAGCTATAGAGATACCCGGGTTTAAGATAGATTTGAGGGCTTGCTTCGATAAGCAGTGTTTAATGAACGGCGCGCACTGCGAAGCATCAGTAATGATGGCATATTTTAGACGCCGTGGATTATATATTTACCTTATCCGTAATTTGCCGAGCCATCTCGCGCTCAGTGCGCTTAAGCGTTCTGAAAGTTCGGCCAAAGTAAAATTGGATGTCATCCCGTTCCCCTTCCATGCTAATCTTGAGCAAGAGCCGCCCTTGTGTATCAAGGTCCAGCCAGTATTCCTAGGCATAAGGCATTAGCTGCAAAACCCAATTTACACGCGTCGGTGTGAGAGTTACCCTTGGCTCATAATCTCCAAAATATGAAGGGTCAAGCTTGATTGGTGCCCTCCCAACATAATCATGTTCCCCGACAGTGTCGTGATCCCAAATAGTTGCAGTAAGCAGTACCGGTCCCCCCGTAGTGATTTCGACGGTTTCATCGAACCGGGGGTTGAGGGTGGAGTACATAACTCTCGTTTTCGCCAATCGTTTGTGGTACTCGTCTCCCAGGACAACATACGGATCACTCAATCCGTTGATATCACACGCCTTGAGATCCTCGGCTTCGACTATCTTGATTGTAAAGAGGTACTTATTGGACGATTGTTTCTTCGGTTGATAAACGGGGGTGTTTTTAGCAATAATTGCAGCACACCGGTCAATGTTTATTGATTTTTCAACCAAATCAAGCTGGAGAATTGCGTATTCGACGTTATTGAATTTCACACAGGTCTAGATGGCAGCATTAGTCTAGATACTTCAAGATATTGGTGGTGTATCTTACCTCGGGCAAGAAGTTGAATGGTTCAACTTTCTCCTTACTATTGAAATAAGCAAGTAACTTTTCCTTTTGGGTTTTATTTCGAGCTGCCTCTTGCTCTGGCGTTACACGGTCCATTTCTTGGGTGAACAAACTCTCGACTCTCTCGCAATAGTGCATCAACCCTGTGCCTATTGACTTAGATAGCGCGGTGAAGAACTTAGCCTCTTGGTATTCGTCAGCCCAGTTCAAATCCTTGAGCGCTTTAATATTCTGTATAAAAGACCGGAACACATCTTCAACTGATACCGAGTGTCGATCATTTGCCATCGTTCCATTCTCCGATTTGACCTTAAATTCCTCCCCTTTCAATGCATTGTCGACCCACTCAAGGATTTTAACGTCTATGTTACTTAGCCACCTCCACACAAAATCCTGGATCATCTGTTCGATGTCGAATGGAAACGGATTCCTAAAACGTTAGACAGGTTAGTAAGATTATTACCCCCCACCCCCTTTGATAGGTGGATTAAAATGTCACTAACTTGATAACTTGGTCATAAATATCCCTGACTTCAATTAGGCCTTGGTACATGTCAAAAGCATCCTGGATATCGAGCTCTTCTCCTTTTTCTTCTGACGAACGGAATATCCCTTTGATAATGTTCTCTGCGTCCTCCGCAAACGCCGGGAATATACCTTCAATCGTAAGGAAATCGATTTTGACTTTCCTAAATAATGGATTGGCAATCAGTAATCAAACACCACTTAGACTACTAGGCGTATTACTACCCAAGGATTGGCTCGGGGAACTTCTTCGAAAGCCGTTTTATCAAGCCAATAATCTTCTTCCCAAGCTCGACGATATGGTACATATCCCATTCTTCCCTGTTCTCGGGGATATCCTTTGTGAATCCTGAGTATACTTCTTCTGCACGAACTTTGAGACCATCCTTCACAGAACCGATGAAAGTATCTAAATCTTTCCCTGCCGAGAAGAGCGGGTTCGGGTAGAGATGGTTCGTCAATATGTACATGTATTCGTCGAGAGAAGGCGGTTTGAGATCGAAACATTGCATAACGGCATGGTAGAGCTCCCTCAGGATGTTATCGTAGAAGGAGGATAGGTTTTTCCGTTGAAGTATTTGCTGGGGTAATCGTTAACAAGCGTTATCAACCTTCGCCTAGGGGAAACCTACATCCGGAATAGTCCATTGTTCCCAAGGGGTGACAACAGCCCCCTTGATGTATTCAAAGGCTTTATCTACTGTGTCAAGATCCGCCCTTGATTCCGCATACATTTCTCGAACGAGTCCAAGAACCATAATGCTTTTAGTGAAGGCAGGTATTCGCCAACGAACAGAGCAGGCATCTATCAGTGAAAGCTCTTCGAAGGACAACACTGGGGGTAAAAGTTCGTCGCTCTCGCCCTCCGCGGCAGGCCCGGCATGGTTATCAAAGCACATCTTCAGGAGAACGCGGAAATACTCCTTTGGATTCGGTGGAATAAAAGTGAATATCCCTTCTGCGCCATCTGTATGTGATTGAAATCCATTCACCTGGTCTCCGTTGATGTCAATGCTAGCAAGGCCGGGGTTGGCCGTTACCATAGCCTCTTGCATCAGAGGAATATACTCCAGCTCCCCAGCTTTCCAGGCTTCGTAGCCTTCGTCTGTATCGAAGTCATCGGCTGTCAGCGTAGCTTTAGCACCGGCGTGAATCCTAGCTCCATAAAGTTTGAGCTCTTTCATAGCAATGGTATCACTCCAAGCCTGGCGGTTCCTATTGATGTCATTTTGGGCCTGGGTCAATGAAATGCGAAATATTCTTGCGACAGTCTGTACGTAGGGCATTTCTCGAACATCGTATGATAACGGTACTTCTTCGGTAATCTGGGCTGGCGGCTGGGCTGTGTTTTGCGCGTCCACTAAGTTCTTGTCATGCGCGAGCATCCCCGACTCGAGAGTTGATAATTTATTTACGAGTTCGGAGTGCCCAGATGCCCATCCATTATCCTTTAAACACAATACTATCAACCGAATGAACAGTGCGACATGGCGATCGACCAGTAGGCCGACATTTTCCTTTGTTACGCCTACCAGCCCGCCAGAGTGTACAGCTAGCTGAAGTTCATTCGTAGCCCGAGAGATGAAGAGCAAAATCATATCCTCTGCTCTTCGACTTTTGTGCAAGACCTTCCTTCTCTCTGGGTCGATAAGTTGATTTAGGAACACTGCAAAAGTACGCTTGACTAGTGGATCCTTATATTCTTTCCCTGGCTCCCTACCAATGATTGTCCCTTCTAGCCTTCGCTGGAAGACGGTGACGAAATCAACTTTTGGTAATTTTGCAGACTTAGATCCACTCGAAAATTCCGCCAGAAGGGCACCCGCGGAACTAGAGTAGGCGGAGGCAGGTTTGGGGGCCGGTTGGGTGACAGCCACTCGCTTGCGCGGCTGGAGGAGATAATTAAGGAAGCCAATCCGCAGAGCATGGCTATAAACGTGTTCGGGGGTGGCCTGGTGGCCGGCCACACGACGAGCACTCACGATGGAGGCATGGCTGTTCTGCCGGTTTTGGGGGTAATAAGCGGCATTTTCGGGTTGGGCATAGTACCCCGCAGCATCTTGGGTCGACCATCGCTGCGCCATGGTGACCGAGATCGCCTTATGGCAGGCTGATGGTGGACAGTAAGGAGCGTTCGGATCTGGAGAAGAGGTTGTCGTCGCTGGTCAGTAATTTGGTCATATCAAGAGAGCAAAAAAACACGGGGTTGACTTCATGACGGGATGATGATATCAATGATCGGTTCATATGGGGAATCTTACATCGCTAAATGAGCTGGCCCGTAGCAGAAAGGGTAGGAACTCAAAAAACCGAAGGATTCAGACGGTAAGAATACGTGCTTGTAAGCGTCGACAGAATGGCAGACAGGTAGTCTGGTAGAGCTAATAGCAAACGTCAATATTCAGGTTTGGCCGCAGAAGTCGGCTGTGCATGTGGTGTCGGGGAAGCCAGCAAGCCAGTCCAGAAAGGAATGTTGTTTGTTGTTCAGCTGCCAAATTGGAAGCACAAGCCAACTCGCCCACGAAAAAGCCTTCGTTAGCTTAGCTTAGATGGTTACCATCATGCATCACGCTGTGAATTAAACCCAGTGTGAGGACTGAGTAAGCAAAGCACATACCTCGTACCTATAAAAAAATCACGCTGGGACGCGGACGGCTATCGTTAATTACTCACCCAGTAATGCAATATTACTATATAAGTATATACCTAGGTACTAAGTACTCAAGTAGGAACCTACTTAGCTTAGGTAGTGCATTTACATGTATGCTACTACCAATATAACCATTGTACCTAAGTACTTACTTACCTAGTACTTGTATGGTATGCAGAGCTGCAGAGCAATCGATATAATACAAATCATCATCATAACCTAATCAAGAGGTTAGCTACGAGGCTGACCAAGAGTCATGAGTTCAGCCCTCAAATAATGAACAACAACAACGACAACGACAACGACAACAACAACCCATTTCACGAAAAAAGCTCATGAATTCAAAATACCTGCGAACATTGGAACGTCTAGACGTCTGTTTCTAAACCCGCAAATCTATATGATCAATCTTGATAGATATGCTAGGAACGTACTTGGTATTGCCATCAAGTCGGTCAGTGTTTAGTTTCCTTGATGAATTAACATCACTAACGTACAGACTTCTGCTGTTCGAATATCCTTAGGACTATGGTATACAATATACAAGGACCTTTTGACCAAAATAGTCAACCGGAAATGCATCAACGGTAATGCCACCCAATCATACCCCCTACACCTAGTCCCAATCCGATATCTTCGTCTAGCGCCCTTTCCAAAGTCATATAAATACTTCAGTATTTATCTCCCGGTGACCATACAAACACGCAAATTTTATAAACCTGTTGGTCTCACCGGAGAGGAAAATATAACACCCTGTACTCCGTACACCTATAACACACTTGGATACCAAGGAGGTATGTACCACGTCCATGGATACTATACATGTATGTACTTGTGTACTTGGGTAAATAGTTATACTTTTTATCTCCCTCCGATCCAGCATATCATTGGAATTTAAACGTCTGCCTAACATTAGAAAACCTCAACGTCACACACACAATTTTTTGGTGCTATCTGGCTTCAATCGGTTGCTACCAAGAAGGAAGAAACGCCTAGTCTAGGTACCGACTTGCTACCATGCATGTGAACCCTGCATGAGGGGATCCAAAACCTAGGAAAACAAGACCCACATCCATCGCTCTAAAAATTATGCTTAAGGAGATAAGATCATATACCTAAGGTTTTATAATCGCCCGAGCATTACGACAGCTGACAGGCGGATATCAAAGCGGGGTCACTGGGAAATTTCAAATTGCGACAATGCAGCCTCAAGTATACATGGAGAGATCTCGAGATCATCGTTCAGCAAAAGAAAACAAGGTCAAGTAAAGTAAAGGCATTCCCGCTGAGAAGTGGAGGTGGAGAGCTCTGTTGAATGCTCGACTCTTGCCCTCCTTGAAGTTGATATGCTCAACACGGCAAACGGTATCTAATAATTTTCCAAGCCGACACACGGACGGATATTTGGTGGCTCAGCAGCTAGCTGTTTGGAGTTCGCCACCGCTGGCTAGTCATTTGGGTATATCTACTTAGGTACTAGGCAAGCAGCTCCTAATCCTAGAGAATTCCGTCTTGCTTGATGGCGTGTCAGAATCTCGGGGCTGCAACACCCCCGAATGATCAATTTTGCGCCCGATGAACCTCGCTACAGTTACCTGACGTCATGGCGCCGCATTTTCAGGGACAAGCTGGGTGCAGCAGCTTGCTGTTGTGTCACTCAACACACCACCGTACCGGTCAAGCAACTACCAGCCGCATCTTTGCTTAAGAATGTTCCACGGCCCCTATTTGCTGTCCCGGGGCGACAACATACGAGGGCTATGGATGACGTAGGCGACGTTTATACACTCGCCTTAAAAAAAAAAGAATAAAAGTAAATAAATAAAAAAACAATAAAAAAATTAAAAAAAATTAAAAAAATACATACTTGGTTTTATATTTTTATTCTTCCGATCTTTCGTTTTTTTTTTTTTTTTTCAAAGTTCTGCTAGGTAAGGCGTGAATGCGTCGCATCGCCCGATGATACGTCTGTCTTTAATATATGAACGTCGCCGGCGCACTTAGAATCGCGAGGGAACATTGGAGACAATCGGTTGATCGAGACGGAGAGAAACCCGGATGGTTAATCAGGTTGTTGGATTTAGACAAGGCACTGTACCCGCTGACCAAGCTTAAGAGTGACGCTTCATAGCCTACCACATAATACAATATACATACTCCGAGCTCCCTTTTGAGTTTGACGGTGAGACGTCGAGACCATAACTTGAAATTAGCCGATGCTGGTATGTCGCCTATTGATTTACGGAGCTTCGAGTCGCAATCTTCTGCTATCAGCCGATGAATCAAATGTAAGTCAGGTGCTTTAGGTGAATACTTAGGTAGGTAGCTAGGTAAGTACCTAAGTACTTATGTTAACATATCTTCCCCTGCATGTACCGATACTTTCTTTTTTAAAAAAAAACCCCTTCCAATGACCTCTTTCGGTTATATAAGTACATACGTGTACTCCCCTAGAAATTTCGTAAGTGTACCAAGTTTCCTATCATTTGGATTTTCCACGTGTGGATGCCGACAGACGGTCATCGAATCCTTAGGTTAAGGATGATGCGAAAACCCAATATTTATGGGCACCGATACTTAGTAACCAGGTACTTACCGTTAGTACTAAGTACTTAAGTATATATCTGTGGCGTCAACCACCCAAACTTCAAATGCATAACCAAACCCCTGGCATATGGATTCATCACCCAAGGGTCACAATATTGATACATCTGAGTCCTACTGGGGGGGGGGGGAAAGGATCCTCATTTGATGGACAGTGTACTCCGTATGAGCATAACGAGCAACGGAGTGGAGCTTTCTTCTAATATATCATCGCTCCTTCAAAGCCATCAGCGATCAACCGGCCGGGTTGGACGTAGATCCTTTTCAAGCCTTCACCAAGTTGACTGTCGTGCCCAAAACGGGACCCTTATTTAATAGAGCCTTTCAAATTTGGGAATATCTCGAAAGATGTGTGACAATATCCTGCCTTCCCCTTCTTAGACCTTGGGGGGCCAACCCAGAATTAGGGAGCTGTCGCCGTTGTCGCCATTTATCGGGAAACCATCATCTTCAAGAACGGGTTGGTTTCCGGCTCCGAGTTGATTGTCACTGCCACCCACACAGGAATGCTGGCAGAGGGAATGCCAGATTGTGAGCGCCGGGATTCGGGTGGACAAACCTGCATGAGTTTGACCACCAGCTGCATGTCGTGCGAAGGACGCGGTCCGATTCGTTAATTTGAAGAGCTATGAAATCATCATTGTCTGGGCATGAGACTCGGGTGAGTAAGGGAAGGAAAAAAAAAAAAACGTTTTCCAATGCATAAGTCGAAGTGTTATATCCTTCCGGGGACATCCTGTTCAGAACGCCTAACATCGGGCTACTTGGTCGAGCCTCGTGACCCCTTGGTGCAGGACCATGATTTTGGTAGCCCGGCAAGATGGAAACTTTCCAACTAGCTTCATTACTTGGAGGCTTTTGATGATTTTTGCAAGAAAATGTATACAGCCTGTCTCTACATAGCATGTATGAATCGGGGAGATGCGGAGATGGAAATGGAAACGAGAAAGCCATGAGGGGCGCGAGAAAAGAAACAGGCTATCGACATCCGATATGACAACTCGAAACGTTGGAAGCCCCTAGTGCGAGAAGAACGAACAAACATGCTTCATCTTCAGTATCTAGTTGCATAGATCGTCCCCCAAAACAGAAATCGATCAAAGGGACAAGAGCGAAGATCCTTCTTGTGGGCTAAAGCAGGAGGAGGATGATGAATAGAAGGAACAGCCATTGTAGTAGTCTTTCGGCCCTCCCCAGCGTACATATACATGTACATGTACATACATACCTGACCTGTAGCACAAGTATCGAACGATGATTCCGTCAGCGAGATTGAATTGAACTGATTGACCGAAGATTGGCGCATCATTCAGGCTTCTCGAAACCAAATCCGGTAAGTAAGAAACGGGCTTTTTGGGGGCATGTTGGGGTCCTTCGCTGACTGGGTAATGGCTGTGAGGGGTGGGGTCTTGTGAGCAGGCGGGCTCTTAAAATGGACCAACAGTGAAGTAATGGTCTGGAAAGAAAGAAGAGAAAAAGAAAAAGAAAAAAGAAACCTGCCAATGATCAGAAAAGAAAAATAGGTTTTAGTTGGGTTGAGGATGTTGTTTTAGTGCGCCTCTCCGGCCTTTGAGAATGCTGGCGGGTGCGGTCAAAATATTTCCAAGTCGTCACCCAACTCTAAGTCAGTCAATCAATTGCCAGCCCGTGGCCATCTCAGAAACCTCCTTTGCCAGCTAAAACCAAGAGACGACCCGGAGGAGTGGAGTAAATATTTTTTTTTTATTTTTCATTATTTTTATTATTTTTTATTTTTTAGTATTTTTCATTTTTCATTTTTTCATTTTTTCCACTTTCCATTTCCCCTTTACCATCCCATCCCATCTATACTCGCTGACTGACTGTGCTGCATACTTTGCAGCACTCACTCTTGCCTTGCACAACGACGCACTGCATCCACACTTTAGAGTACGGAGAGTATATGACAAAGTAAAGTCTGTTTTTGCTCTTTATTAACGACAATATTGCTTAACTACTTTACTTTACGTTACTTTACCATCTTCCAGGTGTGGTTTAGGCACTATATTTGGACTTGCATACACATACAACTGGGCTGTCCTTTTTTTTTCCCTTTGCTTAAGGGAATAACAATTTAAACCCACCCTCTCCCATTTTAACCTTTTCCCTGGCTATTGTGTACTTACTCTCTTTGCTGTCTTGACTAAAAAAAAAACACCACTATAACAACTACCTGCGCCTCACTCCTGGTTTCCACACATTTTACTTCGACAATACTCCGAAAGGAAGGAAGGGAAGGAAATCCCAGATCAAATCCGACATTTCTTCTTCTATCGCTGCTGTCTTGCTCTCGAACCCAGCTAGCCTAACTCGAAGAAACTCGGGACCGCAATGTCGCTATAATAGCTAAGAGGGAAAAAACAAGCATCCAACCGAAAGTAACGTCGTCAGTCATTTGGAACGAACGTGGAGAAACATTATTCATCAGCAAGACACCGCTCTATAATCAAATTTTGTCACCATCCAACCATTTCATCCGATCTTATTTATATATCAACGCCGTCCAGTTCATATCGTTCGCCGTCACATTTGACTTCTATCTTCTCCGACCACTTTTTCTGGTTTATAAGAAAATTACACCACATTCGCAACACACGCCTGGTCTCATCACACCTCGTCATATCCTCTCTAATTAGCGGATAGAACCTAGAAACAAAAAAAACGCAAAGAATACCCGACTCTGAAGGAGCGTCCGGTATTCGACGACCACGTTATCCCTCTCGTTCAATAAGACTACCCTCCTCCAGAATTTTTCTTTATGCATAGGTTTTCTCTACGTGGGATTTCAGCGGTGCCGGGTTCTGGAATGGACGCAGCTGAACGATCCCCTGATTCCCTTACCTCGCCTGTTCATACAGGCGACGATGTCAACGTCTTGGACTTAGAAGACGAGGAAGTAGATGCCAGGACAATGAGTCCGAGGAGGAATAGTGAAGAGATGGAAAGATTTGCCTCGGAGGCGAAAGAAAGGCTAGAAAAGTAGGCCCATCATATGCTCGTCGCATGACCCCTCCACACAACTAACATACTATTCCTCACACTAGGCAAGCTAAACTTTTACAAGAATCTCTCCTCGCTCTCTTGGACCGTGTCGACAAAGTCCGGGAAGAGCACGACAAACTAGAAGGAGAAAACAAGTTCCTCCAGGACTATATTGGCCACCTGATGCAAACTAGCAAGATAACGGGTTCTGGTGGCCTGAAATCATCGAGTAACAGGGGCAAATAAGGCAGCCTCTTTATTCTTGCCACAAATTATCACGACTTCTCTGTGGATGCCATCCTCACCGAACCACTACCTTAATCATTAAAACGGAGTTACAACGCAAAATACATCTTTCTTGGTTTACAGGCGTCATTTGAACCTTTTCGACCGGACATGGTCGTTTCCTTGATTCTACTTGTATTATTATTATTACGCCCCTCGCCTACCGCCTCTCTCCTTTACAAAATTAGACATATCCCTCTATTAGACGACCATCAAACCCCATCCTCGCCCCAGCAACTGATGGAGGTCCATGTCAATTTATCGCCATAGGAACTCCATTCACGAAGTTACGACTAATTTGAAGGCTTTCCTTATTTTATTTTATTTTATTTTTGGCTGCCATAGTCAGGAGTTTAGCCGGTTTTTTGGTATATCATTTGACTTTCAATTCTTTTATGTTTCATTTGGTCCTGCTCACTTTGCCTGACTTTGCTGCTTTTTCATCCCGAACAAACTGATCCCCCGATATCCGCTGTATAACACACACCCCTTGAGGCAACCCACCGAGAGCTCTCATTCCGTATACCTACTATCTACCAAAATTTTTAGCCACTTTTCTTTCCTGATTCCTGGTAAAAAAAAACTCAAGTTTATCATGTATCCATCTCCTCTACCCATTCCTACGTCGCTTCCCACCCTCTCTATCTAACACCGGCACATATCTGGCATTAGTAATTCATGGAAGAACTACCTTTACCCTGTGTATATCTACAACGTTTCTCATTTTCCTCTTCTGATATACATCAATTGAACTTTTCGTGGAAGATACTCGAGGGTCAGGCTGTCAGAAAATTGGAATTCAAAAATCGCCCGAGCAAAACTATCCCGGTTTATAACATAACCCACATAATCTACTCCCTTTCGTAATGCAAATTTAGCAGGAATGTCCATCTTGACCTCCACTTTCCACCGTTTAATGTCGAAAATGCAACAACAAAAAAAATCGCATTACTGCGTTTATCCCGATCTCGAGATATCTGCATGCGGCACCAATTTTTGCAAGAATGCGAGATTGCGGAATCAAATGATCCTTTCCAACCACTCTCGATATCATTGATATCTCTCTTTATAAAATACCCACACTCTAGCTTAGGGAGTCACATGTATACTAAGCATTCCTTATATTGATGTTTCCCAAGATGCGGGTGCGCAGCCTTCCCAATACGTGGAACTGCCTTTTTGAATTATCTTGTTGGATAATTATAACGCATTACCATCCGTCTTACTATGGAGCGCGGTCATTTAGCTTTATATCTATTGAATGCAGGGTTCAAACTTGAAGGGAGCCACTGCCCCACCATTGCATCGTTGGGGGGTCACCTCTTTCGAGAATTATATTCTATCTAGACTGGATATTGAACGGGAAAACGAGAAATCTGTATTCATCAAAAAACCCCAGACCACTAAAACCCAATATAGCTCCGAATTGACCCTTTCCGACCTTAGCGTGGGTTACGATCCTGCACGTGTGGTAGGCATGCTAAGCTTTATCTACTCCAATTGAAGGCTCAAGGGGGAACGAGAAAAATCATATCGGGTTTCTGCATTCAATTTCTAACATTCTATGACGTCATGTCATGAAAGTCGAAGGGGGGGTTTTTTTAAGGGTCTGATCACATGGATCCTTTACAATCCTACCAAACCAGCGTATTGCCTATTTAATCGTTCCCTATAAACCAATCAATTAGGAATATATATTATGATCCTAGTAATAAAGGAAAGAAAAGGTTTTAGAATTCAATGAAGTATTCAGTAGGTACTTGCATGTGTCCGGAAACACCCGTACTAGTTATCACAATACTCATTTTTTTGTGAATACTCACGAATAATACACTTTACTCCGGTTTAAGCCGACGGCGTGACGTCTGTGAACCTGAAAGTACTTAAGTCAGATATCATAAAGAGCAGAGCTCCAACTAGAGTATAGCACGCATTCAGACATTCGATGACAGGCGCAACGTAGAAATATTCATTGGAATCCATGAACTCTTCCGCTAACATAGCTAATGAAAAATAAGAGAGATATATGGTACACGGAAATAGTGAAGGATCAATGCTCTGAAAGCACTCAAGAATTTGACCATCCATAGAATACAATTCCTCGCCAATGAAAACATCCTCGTAATATCGGTAAGGAACAGGCTAGCGACGATGAAATATGCTAATTGGGTATCGAAACGGTATTTTGTTGTAGAAATTGGTGAAATGAACTCAAAGGTATTAATATAATTACTTAATTATATTAACTGTACTCCGATCTACAGAGTAGTGGTATAAAAATGAAGATAAAATGAGAAAGCATGGTTAGATATTCATCTAGGCCCCCCATTCGCTGGGAGAAGGAAAAAAAATACAGTTAGAAAGCTTTTTGGGTATCGTTTGGTCGTGACATGATGGCAAGAAGAAAGCCAGCGGAATAGCTGGATGAAGATAGCTTAGCGCAGTGGTAAACGGGCCGTGAGTGGAGTTGCCGTTGATCGGGGGTTGTCTCCTGGTTGTGACAACTGTACATCTGGAGAGACTGGCGAGTAAGATAGCTGGATTGGCGAAGTGACTGTGAGCTGGGGGATCAAAATAGGTTGGTCTGCGAGAGGCCGCGACAGACGCATGCTCATCGAGAACCCCTGTTGCGACATGTGCCCAGATGCATAGGACGGCGGGCGTGTCCCTGTGCTCCCAATCGACGTTCTATTTGATGGGGGTTCATTATTTCCTTGCGAGTAAACACCCTCTGCCTGGCTCCGCCGGACCCAATAAAACTGCGCAGGGTTTACTCTGACGGTTTGCCTCCAGGTGCCATATGCAGGCGGAGGAGGAGGCAACTCCTTTGGTGCTCCATCGTCGTCTATGGATGCACCGCCTTGGCCAGGCATGGCGTAAACTTGGATAGGTCTTTCCGGCTGTGCATACCCCCATGGACCCGGCCCCGCTGTCATACCTCCGAACATTGGGTTAACATAAGCTGCCTGTGGTTGCTCCTCGTCTGGATAAGAGAACGGGCGGGCAACGGCCAGGCATACTCTGATAAGTGAGTGGAAGAAGAAAAATGCAGCCATGAGAGTGATTAATATCAGGGCGATCTGCAAAGGAGGGGCAGTTAACTTGTTCCCCATGAAGAGACCAAGGTCTATTATCGCTCATGTTAGTGGCCTTCACGTTTTCAAAGAATCGGTTCCCGACATTCACTTACAAATGGATAGGACGACAATAAACACCACAGACCAAACTAACAAAATTGCGACTCTTGTTTTCAATTCCGGCTTAATCAGCCAAGACTTCGCAAATTCCTTGAACGACATTCCTGGGTTACTGGATGCAGCGTTGATATCTGAGCTAGGTACTGAATTTGCAGGCGGGGTGGTGAGTTGCATATCCTGTGCTGTTATCGGCCGGGATGTGTACGCTTCAAGCCTGGGAGGGTCGTTGATTGTAGGCTGAGGGGGTTGATGACTGGCCCCTTGAGTCGTAGCTGTCGACGAATCCGCAACCTCTGCAATAGATGGCATAGGTGGCGGCATGTTTGGGGATTTGGGGCTTGCTGGCGTGCTGGAACGTCTCGATGTCACTGACCCCGCCGATGGCCTTCTCAAATGTGACCCGTGGTTCTCTTGATATGGCGTTGGTGGCGTTGGTATCTCGTTCGGACGCCACGAGAGCCTGAAGGACGGTATATTGGGGAGTGTAAATGTCATTCTTGCTTAATGTTGTGCTGAGTGTGGCGTTTATACCAGATGACGCTACAGTCAATGCTTTGTCAAAGGGTATGTGCGTATCATTCAATATCTTTTGGTCAGTCAAGCCGTGAGCCAAAAGAGAGTGAGAATATATTGAATTGATGGCCTCGCTGAAGACTTGAAGTGCTTGGTATGGATAGTAAACAATATAATGTAATAGCGATGGTGAAAGTGTGCGTGTCTACACGCAGCTGTGGGTTGCTAGAATGCAGGTGTCGGCTGGATCTTTGAAAGAGTGGACGTCTACGGACCGGCAGCAGACGATAAATTGCAAGTTAGGTAGTTATTCGATATCCTGTGGCATCTAGCAGTGACTGGGATCCCTCCTATGTTCCGGTTTGTACAGGTTAGGTGTGGAATCTTCAAGATGAATGTTGAATTATCGATTTTTCGAACTCTGCAATGTTCGATTGGGCTTGGGAGTATCGAATCGATTGACAAGTTGGCTTTCGAGAATTGATAATATAAGATACGGCTTCTGAATGATAGGATTCTCCTGGTGCGACATCCATTCGATGATTCGTAATAATATTAATAGTATCGAAGCCTCGATGCCTGTGTCAGAATGAAAGACGGGGCAATGGCTAAGGGAGTGGGCTGCGACACCGTAATAAGAAACGGGAAAGCATCTAGGTATCACCAATCCCGAGAGGGGGTGGTCATGGTAGTGGGAGAAACAACTTTTTGGTGAAAACGAATTAGTAGCCCGACCAGCTTGTCAACCCAAATCGACGGGTTTAGATAAAGGTTGATGACAGGGCAGTGAATTCGTAAAAAGGAGTCTTCAGCTTCAGGGCGAATCTTGGTCATGGTGCTCTGCACCACCCTCTTCGTAACGGACCTATCCACAGTTGTGAATGTATTCACTCCTTGCGAGTGCGCGGAGAAGGGGATGAAGACATATCGCTCAGCCCGTCCTCGCCTGTAATAACGGGGGGAACATTGCATGGCTGTTTCACCTTGCTTGAGGCAAGTAATTTGCGACCCCTGGAAACGTTGGGTGTTCATCAGAATCCGTCAGGGTGCGGCCACAAGGGCTGAGGTACACACCCGCCTTGGCATGGTTCGAAGTTGCTAGATATGGTTTTAATTGGGCGGTCTCGCGTATTTATCCAAGGTACGAAGCAAGTCTGGTGATCCACTCGGGTAGTTATAAGTGCATACGTATTTTACAAGTCACGTTTTCGGTTGCAACTGATGGTATCTAATGCCCTTGAATATGGATGCATTGGAGATGGAAGTAATGCGATATGGGAAACATCACTGCCGGGCAGACCATTCATTACATGTGTATACAGGTATCCCATATCCTTGGGCAGAAACGAAACATTAAGTGCGAGCCAATCTACTTGCCGAGTTCCCCAAGGAGGAGGGTTCGATCAGAGGAGGCAGAAACAACTAAAATTATATCCGATTAGATACCGATTTTGGAGCATAAAGTGACCGTGGACAGGGTATGGCTTACTGATAGGTTCATTTCCAGGCATGAATCGAACGTCGTTGATCGTCCCTTTGTGCCCAGGAAGCTTGTACAAAAGCTTCTTGGAGTCGGAATCCCACACACACTTTTTTTTTGAGGAAAAAAAAAAAAAGGGACCTCGTTAGTTTCAGGTATCGCTCATATGCATATATCAAGGAATAGCTTACAACAGTGCGGTCACCACCGCCAGCCGCAATCTTATCACCTCGAGGCGACCAACTGGCCCTAACCAGGTTTTTCTCCAATCCAAAGGGGGCACCTTCGAATACTTTTAAAAGACGATCAGAGGCTGCGAATGGTCTTATGTCCCAGGTTCTCACTGTGGAATCCATTGAATTTGACAATAACGATTGCCCATCTGGTGATACACTTAAAGAAGTTATTGTGTCTGTGTGTCCTCGCAAACTGCCGACCACGGCTTTCTTCCTCAAATCCCAAACCTAACTCAAGGTTAGCGACACTTGGCAACTTCTAAATGAATACCGGTTTATGAATATACCTTGACGTCATTTTCAATACCTCCACTGTAGATTTCCACTCCTGAATCTCCAATAGCGACTGAAGTTATTGGGAAATTTGTTTCGAGGTAGTCGATAGCTTCCTTCGATCTGGGGTCCCAGATTCCTATTGTACCGTCGTCGCTTCCACTGAGAATAATCTCTAGCCCCTTCCGCGATATTTCGATAACGTTGACAATATCTTCATGGCCGACGTGCCTTCGTATCCTCTGACCTGTTTCAACATCCCAGTCCGCCACCAGTGAATCTGTTGTTGCGGTATAAATGCTACGACCATCTCGGGACCACTGCAGATCGAGAACAGCACCTCTGTGCCCGTTTATTTCCCCGTAGTTAATGCAGTCGCCATAGGTATTCCACAGCTCTAGGGAAACAAGGCGGCAGCGTTAGTTTCAAATCAAGACGGGGAGTGGTTTGAATTGTACGTACGTACTGTTCGGTCAAATGACCCAGACGCTATGTGTTCCCCAGTCGGATCGAACCTGACTGCAAAAATTTCCCCCTGTACTATTGATCAGACATATTACAATATGAGCCATGTATACGCGATTGCCATACCGAATGCCCCGTAAGCTCCATTATGGGCGCTTGCAACGCGCTTGTCCGGGGAACCTAAGATCGGAGGTTGTTAGTAATAGTCTAGATATACCCCAAACAGTTTGAAAGCTTCAATCTCCCAAGGGGGCCTTACTGCTTTTATTAGAGCCCCGCCCGAAGTTGTAGATGACGATATAGCGACAGTATTTCCTGCATCTCTAGGGACAGATTTTTGTCTCTTGACCAGTTGATTCGAGCTAGAAAGGTAGGCATCATCGTTCGGAGCCTTTCTTTTATCTGTTGCCATTGTATTAGAATATTTATTTGATTGGAAATTTTATTTTACTTGTCGCGATTGGTTTGTCTGTAAGCCCCTGGCGCTGGAAATGGGTTCGTGTGAAGATGTGATGTCGACGTTAGAGATCCGATTCACGCGCGTGCGACAATGCTGTGGCTTCAGAAAAGATAGTAACGCCACACAACCGCTCCGAACTTGTGCCAAGAAGCCGACTCAAACACCAGCCAGCAGCTTCGTACCCCAGTCAGAGCTACATAACCCAACATTCATCGATCGTCCCATCACCCCAAAATACGGCGAACATCACACAGTCCAACGAAGAAAAAGCTGTCTAGAAACAATCACCTCTTTAGAAAAACAGAAATTGGTTGAATCTCTAGTGGGCACTACCAATCACATTGTACAACCACGCAGCCACAGGAATACTCTAGCCCAGATAGAGTTACGTAGCAACGGCATGTCTTCCACAAGCCGAGCCCGGCTCGGTGAAGAGTAAGATTGGGTACCTCTATAAATTTGGCTAGCCTGTGCTCAAAACTGCTAATTCTCAATGCGAATTCAGAGTTTGGAAACTCAGAACAGACAAGATTGTTCGTGAAGGACCCCCGACGGCCCTTTTTGCATGTTAGGTCCCAGGCCTAGGCTAACATATTTCGGATGGTCTCCATACAGAATGCCGAACTTGTTACTTTAACTTATGGATCTGTCGTTGCCCAGTTGTGCAAAGATCTTGATGGGGACTATGTAGAAGTCAATAAACAGCTCGATAAAATGGGTTATAACATTGGGTTACGTCTAATAGAAGACTTCTTGGCTAAGAGCAATATGCAGCAGAAATGCGCAAACTTTAGAGACACTGCCGATGTGATTTCAAAGGTTTTATATCTTATTTTGCAGGGTCCATCAACATTGTACTGATGCCATTGATGTAACAGGTTGGCTTCAAGATGTTCTTAAATATCACACCAACGATAGCGAATTGGAGCTCAGATAACAAGCAATTCTCCTTGTTATTTGATGAGAACCCGCTGGCAGACTTTGTGGAACTACCGGACGATGGGAAGGCCCAGAGCGAGCTGTGGTATTCGAATATGCTGTGCGGCGTCATCCGAGGCGCCCTGGAAATGGTTTGTGGATGGATATCAACCTTAACAATTGTCCCCTTCTAATCCATGCAATAGGTTCAGATGTCAGTCGACGCACATTTTGTTAGCGATGTTCTTCGAGGCAACGATACAACTGAGATGCGGATAAACTTAATCAGATACATTGAAGACGAAATGCCCCAGGATGATGAATAGTGGCGATGGAATTTTGAGGCGCATGTTAGATAAAAAAAACCACCTACGGTCAAGGATAAGACCCGGAAATCCGAGAGGGTCGTAAGCCCGACTAGGGGCCTTTCATTAGATGACCCTTTTGACACCTGGAGTTAGGGAGTCTACATTTCCTTTTAAGCCAATGTGTTTTTCGAATGTCACCAATATCACACTGTAATACTACGCAATGGAAGTTCGACATGTTAATACGTTGAGGCATCTCGATCCCGCATAGGTTCGACCGATAGCGGTAGATCTACGTATACTATGGTCACTAACTCTTTCGAATATACGGGCATTTAACTCGGATTCAAATAACTATTTAGAGCTGATTGATTCAATAATTGGGGTTCTATTTGTAGTTAAGGCTGACTGACCCGGCCTAGCTAGGTACTCCCGTTGGATGTTTGGATTATATTACGAAGAGCTTAAGCCAGTATAATACTTGAACATCGAAGTTTCCCCGTCAGCGGGGGGGTTTACAAACCTTCAAGTTTCTTTGGCAATACACCCATCCCAGAGAGAAGGAAAGAAAAACAATTGGCGGGAGTCAAAATCTAGATATTGTATGACAAAGTCATATTATGAAATGCGCGCTGGATTCGTAGAGAATTTTAAGACTGGCTGAAAACTGGGAAATGGAACCCGTGATCTTATATTGAAAATTAGGTGGCTATGACCAATTAATTTGGTCTAGGATGAAGCTCTGCATTTCAAAATTTCAATGCCAGTCGGCATGCAAGTACATGCTTTGGCCGAATGGCGACAATGCAGTGTGCAATGTCGGCTATATTATAATTATATCTATTGAGGTCAATCAATATTAATCGCAATTTATAAATGTGACCGTCCTGTCGTTCATACGATTTGATACTGTGATATTGGCTACCGATTGTTACCTATGTCTGAAAACCATGTATCCCAAACATCTAAGATATATACACCATTGTATTGGGCATCGCCTGGTGCTGATTCTGTAGAATGTTTGCTTGCTTGCGTAAAACCCACTCACAAGTTTTATTAGTTGTATCAGCTACATTGTCTTGACTCCTCGAGTAGGTATTTCGGGTTCCGCGACTGGCATGGTACCGGTACCACGAATGACCAAACTGCAGTACTGCCATATAGCCAATGGCTAGCTGTAGATATCAGACGGGACATTCCACCCTGTATTTCATGAACCTTCACCCCTCTCGATCTGTAGGTATTTATATAAATCAATATATTGAGCTGCCTCAAAAGTCAACGTATACGTATCTAAAAACAACGTCCTGGGCGCCTAGGTTATACGTTAGCCCCTAAGTACCTAGGTACCTAAGTAGTTAACAATTGGCAGGTGGACATCCGACTTTTTACTTAAACTCCAAATTTATAGCATCTTAACCAAAGCGTATGGGACCCTATATATGCTCTTCATGTCATTATAGTGAGCTCGTGGGCCCACTATTACGCTGGCCTCGTTGGTCCTAGAATAGACACATTTACCATGATTGAGCCCCACCAATAAATATTTTTTTTTAAATATTGGTCAACGGGCGATGCGTGATATTCGGAATACAAGTCTACAACTCCTAAGTACATATGGACATCTACTCTTCTTCGCGGGCTGCACTGACAGCGGATTCTCTGCACTGGAAGTTTGATTTATACCGATGGAGCATTAGAAGATGGATATTTCTATTATTTCTTCTTATTCATGTAGAGAATTTTTTATAAATCAATTCATTCCAGCGCTCGGTCTGGTCTGGATCCTTACTGTCGATGTTTGCGCGCCATTCAACACTACTAAGCACAATCACCCAGGCTTAGGTACCTACTTAATAGGTACTTAAGTAGGTACTTTGGATATATGGGAGGTACCTGAGCAAGTAGGTATAAAAGCAGCCCCATTTCCAGGACCCAGATCTCTCCCACTCCTCCCTTCGAGTATCCCAGTGCCAGCTTTCCTTTCTTCGTCTATTATATACTTGTGCGCACACTGGTCGACGATACTATAATATTCCTTGTAGGGTTCGTGGTATTGATATTCATTTAGAATTTCTTACCCACACTTGGCTTCGATCTACGTACAGGTATATACCATTCTACCGTGCTAAGGCCAGGATAAAAGGCTAGTCGACTACGTACGAATTTGAAACACCTTGCAAGATCCACGAACTCGGCTTCCAGCAAGCATTTGACGGTTGCAGGTCCGCCCGCTTGGCCTTGCCTGTAATATCGATTCCTCTCCTCCGGCGAATGTAAGTTTTCTTCGATAGATTTATTTCCTTTCATTTCAATTCAATTCAAGTAAAAGGTTCCTCGTTATTCTGGATTATTTCTCTTTTTCTCTTCCTTCCCTTCCCTTCCCTTCCCTCTTTCTTCTGTTTTGATATCCGGGTTTACACCGAATTCATGGATTTGCAGCGCCTTGTCTGTGAGATTTATCAATTATATCTCAGGTAAGTACCTAATTACTTAGGTACTGAAGTAAATGTATATGATGGGCCGGACGGGCGTGTCTATCAGGCTGAAGTGGACCGGGGATCACAAGCACGTGCATCCGCACATTCTAAACCAATCTTGCCTGAGTTTTGTCAGTTCTGTCCTTTTATCTGCGCATCTTAGTCGCCTTTCCCCTGGCAAACATCGCCGCCCCGCCATTGTCTGTCTAGCTTTCGTCGCCAACTTAACGGTAGGATTACCGATTCAACACAAGCTATTCTCTCCTTCGAGCTGTCTTCTTTTTTATATTCTTTTTATATTTCTTTGTTTTTCCTTGCTTGAAAAAATACAAATAGAAAAAAAAAAAACAATCACAACAATAATAATAATAACGTAGATCTTGGGTACTTAGCAGGTTGGTCAAATAGATTGCCCTGGGCACACTTAAGCACTTTACTGTGCTGTTCTGCTTGCCAGCCAGCCAGCCAGCCAGCCAGCCAGCCAGCCAGCCAGCCAGCCTGCTTGCTTGCTTGGAGGTGTATGGTGTACGGTGTTTGTGTTTGCCCGTGCCATCTAACAAAACATAAAAACCCGAATCTCATTTTTGATTCGGATTTCAATTCAATCCTTTTTACTTGCTCTCCGCTCGAACCCCCCATACTTAAGTGGGTAGATACTTGGGTACTTGATACTTTCTTACTTACTTGAGCACTTCTTACCTAGGTAAGGACCTAAGTACTTCAGTGAGTAAGTAAGTCGGTAGGAAAGCAAGTTAATAAGTTCAATTTAACTTACTTTCGTTGCATAGTACTCAAGCACTGGGAACGTGGGTCGGTACGTACCTCTCTTACCTCTTACATACTACATACTACATACATCCTTCTACACACCCTACACACCCACACACACACCCACAAAAATTACAAACTCGCTCTCCTCCGCCATCGCCGCCGAGGGAAACACTCAAACCAAACCTGCAACCGCAAGGGCCAACATCCCCAACAGTCAAACGTCCCAAGCGTGGTTTCTCCACCGAGAACCCACATTCTCTGCCTGTTTAACTACTTTTACCACGTCCTCCAAGTACTTACTTACATAGTATTTAAATACTCTCTCCCCCGTATTGCTTGTCCATATTTTTTGTCTTGTCGGCACCCGGCACCGTCGCCTGCACCACCATCATCAACCCTCTGCGATTTTGTTGTTTATCGACTTCGACTATACGTGCTGAAGTAGGTACCTGCCCCCAAGCTGCTGCCTCTCCATCTCGAGCTTACTTGACTTCTTAAATCCTGATATCCATTTCGATTTCTTCCCTTTTCCCTTTCCCTTTCCTTTGCTTCCCTTTTATTTACTTTCCTTGGACACCCTTCTGTCGCGCATCTCTACCCGTCTTCTGAACGCTATCGCTATAGGTATGGTATATCGCCACTCATGATACCCGTTTAACCCACAGAGCGGCGTGCTGCCGTGTCAGACTTCCATTCATCCATCCGTTCCGGAAACTCGTTTCCCTCTGTTTGATCTTGATTCTGCTCTAGCCTTGCCCCTCTCTTTTTTTATTTTACTTCCTTTCTTTTTCAATACCGTATCGTCGTTCGGGACGAATGTCGCCCTTGTTGATGGCGGTGGAAAGAGCTTTGTCTCTATCGTCACCATGATTTCTTCATACTCATTCTCACCACCATCACCATCACCATTATCATCACAATCATAATCCCCCCTCCCTCATCGCCTTCATGCTCTTAGCCTTGCCACCGTCTTCGCTTGCTGCCCAGCTGTTGCCTTTTTCTATTGTTTCGTGGTGCTTGGCCTGTTGGTGCAGTCCAAATTGATCACGAACGACCACAAAGTCACAACACTAGCACAAAAAAAGAATTTCTAATTTCCCGCGCCACCTGCTTTTCCTCCCAAACCCCCAAAGACTCCCCGTTCGCCCTCATCTTCACACTCATCTATCGAGCCTCGTTCGTAATCCTATAAATTTCATCAATATGAAAAACTGAATTCTATCATTTTTACAGAAAGGCTAACGCATCTGGCATCCGTTGCAGCCTCATCGTGCGCCCTTCGCGGCTATCCGTCCATCTAGCCCGACCAATCCGATCGCGTTGGAGACCATTTCCGCCGGCAAAGAAGGAGCCGACTAGAACGATTCGCTTCGTAATCTAGAATGATAAACTTGGAATAGCATTTCTGCTTAACTCAACACTAGTTCCGATTCTGCGATTATCTTTCCTCGCATCACCCCTTCTATTATACAGACTTGCGACATCCACTTCCGTGGACGCGCCTTTCCCCCCGACCCATATCCGTCCATTCTGTCGCACAAGCCTGAGAACCTTCCTTGAGAAATAAAGTGCGGCTCTGCTTTTATCTGGGCTCGAATACCGATTGTTGATCGCGGATCATGAACCAGGGCGAAGGTGGTACGCCCAATATCAACATGAATAACCTAAATCAGATGACAAATTTGGCGGTTGGCGGTGTTCAAGTAGCGGGAGGAATGCCGAACATGGGACAGGTGCCCCAGAACCCAAACATAAGCAACGGCTCGGGTTCAAAAGGCTTGGAGAGATCCCTGCTTAACACATATATATACGACTACTTCATCCGTCATGATATGTTTGATAGCGCCCGAGCCATCCTGCAGGAAGCCGAGGTCTCTACCGAACCTGGGACTTCCGCTAGACGTGGATCTCCTTCGCGACGCTCCCAAAAACATGACCAAGACGGTAATCTTATCAACGGGATAGATGACTCGATGGATCCTGACCGGAAGGATGACGAGGGCAGCGAGCGCGGCGCAGATTTGCCCTTACCAAAAGTTCCACAAGACTCCTCCGGCGGTTCTTTCTTGTACGATTGGTGGTCGTTATTCTGGGATATATTTGGTGCCCGCACCGGAAAAGCCGTTTCGGGCCCCGCTATGACCTATGTGAATCAAGTCCAAGTCCAGGTAAGTGACTGTCTGTTTACTCTGGTGTCCCCAATGGGAGGCCATCAAAAATATGAATTAAAAATATACATGTTGTGTATTTGAACCTCCCAAGAAGCGTCTCTAAATTAGCGAATTTGTGTCGCAGGCGAAATCTCGGGAGCAGCAACAGAGGCTCCTCCAAATAACGCAAGCCGGTGGTCTTATGGCCGGCCAGATCCCCCAGCAATTCATGGCTGGGTATCCAGCGAACCAGATGCTCAGGGTTCCCAACGGGGTCATCCATGCCGATGATGTTCTTCAAAAAAATAACCTTGCACGACAGGCAATGGTAAATAACCAGCGAAACAAACCCCAGTTTCCTCAAAACCCGTAAGTTACGCCCTCGGCCCTTTCGGGGTAAACACTAAACCTAGTGACTCTGCGATGTCTTGCCTTTTGTCATGACACAAAGTTACTGAAATCTGTTGATATTACGCTCTGCAGAAACCAGCAGCAGCTCCAGCAGCAGCTCAAAACCCAACAACAACAGCAACAAGCGATGATACAGCAACAGCAGCAAATGCAGCGAGATCAGTCAGTTGATGGCGAGCGACCACAATCTCCAGCACCTGGTCAAAACGGATCATCACCCTCGAAACGTGCACGCCTAGAAGGAGAATTCCAACCTGGAGCCGGACGAGGCCAACTGCAAAATATGCCTGCTGGACAAGCCAACACTCAGGCGATACTGATGCACCATGGAATGAATCAATTGACACCCGGCCAGTTTGCGCAATTTAATAATGCGAATCCAGCAGTCCAAGCCAAATTGACAGCTGCATACGCACAGAATCTCAGACTAGCGCAACAACAACAACAAAACGCCGCAGTCAACGCCGCCGTTATGGGCAATCCGGCTCTCGCTAAAGGCGTAATGCCGAATGGCCAGATGGCCGGCGTTTCCGCCGCGCACGGGGCCCCCATGGTGCACCAGACTTCGGCTGATGGAGGACAGGGCATAAATGAATATTATACTGGAGGGATGGGTCGCGGAGGAATGAATGCAACCGGTAACCACGCCTTGCAGGATTATCAGATGCAGTTGATGCTGCTCGAACAGCAGAACAAGAAGCGATTGATGATGGCCCGTGCAGAACAAGACCAGATACATATGCGTGGTAACGAGCCTCGACCCGATGGCTCCGTGCCCTTCCAAAGCCAAAGCGTGTCGCCCTCCGGTACTCGAGCAGCGCCTTCCCCACAACCATCAGCGGACATCAAGCGAGGCACGCCTAAAATGGGCGCGCAACCCGGCCCCGGCTCGCCCCTCCCGAGCGACAGCAACATCCAAATCCAACGAGGATCTCCTGCTGCATCAATAGCAGCTTTCAATGGCCAGGTCACTCAAGCCCCGTCTAAAATACTATTGATCTTCATCAAGCTGACCCTTTCCCTTGTTTTTTGTTTATTTAGCCAACAATTCAAAATGCCGCTATGATGAGACCTCCGAGCTCACATCCTGGATTTCCAGGAGTTGGGCCCCATATGAATGAACAAGCTATGAACCCTGCTCTGAGGCAGCAAGCTCAAGGGGGTAGAGGCCAGCCGATGTGGGGTAGCCAAATACCAGGTCAACAAACCCCACAGGCCGCACAGGCCCAAATGGCCCAACTGCAAGCCCAAGCACAAAGTCAAGGCCAGCCGCAAGGACAAACCCCACAAGTGGCGCCGTCTCCAGCGGCATCTGCTGGACAGCCACAAAACATCGGCACCCCTGGGCAGGCTAGACCCGGCGGACCACACCAAGCTATGCCACCACCTTCTGCGCCAGCAAACCAAAGTGCTGGCCGTACATCACCTCAGGTTAATGCCATACCTCCCACACCCACCAATAAAGCTGGGGGTGCTGCGAGGAAAAAGGATGCAAAAGGTGACCGTAAACAAAGCGTAAGTCAAGCCCTTACCTATCCTTTCCTTTCCCTTTTCTGTGCATTGGTATTTTTTGCGGGTACTGATAAATAGTTGTGGTTCTAGCGGCCAAACAAAAAGGCGGCGGGTGTGGCAGCGGCTAACGCGGGCGCAGCTGGCGCGCCTACCCCGTCGGAAGCAGAAACCCCTGCACCGGACACTCCCATGACACCCCAGAATCCGAACTCTTTTAATGCTCCAGGGAATGTTGCCAAGGTTCAAGGTGGTTTTCAGAATCCTGCAGTCCCGGTCGCTGGTGGCGCAGCCTCAGAAGCAGTTCCAAATCCTGCTGCAGCGGTAGCTCCTCCAATGGCGGCAACCGAATCTTCCGAAAATCCCAATTTTGGTATGATGACTAACATGGATGGGTTTGGGGGGATGGGCAATGAGAACGAACTGATGGAATTCGATTTTGAGAGCTTCTTAAACCCAGAAGCTACAACGGCTGCCGATTTGAATTTCGATTTCTCAGCTTTTGGGTCTGGCATGGATGACGTTACCCTCGATGGTGGCCCTTGAGGTTTCGATTGTATATTGGCCTCCGTCCCAACTGCTTCGTCATAGATCTTCTTCCCATTCGCATGGCTCTCCGTCTTTGTTCGTGTTAGTGATGAGCTTTTAATTCGGCATTGGCTTTCTATTTTGATATACTTGTCTTTTTTTTCTTTTTCCACCCCCCTTTTCCCCATGTTGATCTTTTTGGAGTTCTAGGGCGTCGGGTTTATAGTTGGGCTTCCTTTTATGCCTTCCCTTCCCTTCCTCTCCAGCGGGATCTGCTCTGATAGCTTCAATGTTGTCAGGAACCAAAGACATACCTCTCCCTGAGTAATGTCCCGACAGCTTGTGGCGTGTCTCCCAAATCACTATTGATTTGGAGCCGTTTCTCTTTCCTCTGCTTGTTCTGTTCATTACTTCGTCTCTTGTTCGTCAGTTCTGGGTGGATATCGGGATTCTGTCGATGAGAGAACAAAAAACCACTTTTAGCCCCTCAGTTCGCATTTAAATATCTCCCGCTTCACTCTGGATTTTACCTAGCTCTCTAATACCCAAAATTCTATCCGTTTGGTGATGGATCTCTTTAACGATTTTTCTTCGACTAGTTGCATCAATATTCGGGAAATGCTCTCTTTATTGTTGAGTGCCTTTCAATTTGCCTTTCTCTCGATTATTACGCGTGGAAACATACTAAACTTATGCCTTTTCTTCTGTTTATTTCCGGCCTAATGCCCTGCTTGCAACCAAAATGATCATCTTTCTGTTTCGCCTTCGAACCTTTCGCTTCCGTGTAAAAGATCTTGCTTCCACTTCAGCAAAGTGTCATTTTAAGCTTGGGCTGAATGTAATCTTATTGGGTTTCTACAAAGTCGCCTAGCACCAAGATCCGTAAGCGGCTGTACGTACGTGATCGCCACATCTGGTTCGAGAGGCCCGCGAGAAACCGTACGCCCACTTCCTGCCCAATAGTATCAAGTACATATCTACAAAGAGCGCTTGGAATATATACAATCAAGACTTGTTTCGCCTCCCACGGATTATGTGCACAATCCCCATAGCACTGCAATCGCGACTATCACAAAAATAAGCTTGACTATACGCCTATGTCCTATTACCATTTCCAAATCTCCGAGGATTGGATGCGACTATTTTAGTCCCTAAATACGGTGTTATAGTCCCGAGAGCGAAGATCTTTAACGAGTTAACCGCTAGCGACATTTAATTGATTCCATTTAGTTCCTTCCACTGTTCGAGATAGGCGTTTCCGCACATGGGGCCGCCTTTCCCGAATTTCCCCTTTGTGGGTTCGAGCTTCTTTGTGACGAATGGCATCAACTATTAGAGAATATTTAGCATACGTTGTCTTTCAAGCTGCATTGAAGATTCTGACCTTGAAATCCGTCATGTCGGGAACAACATAATTTCTCAACTTCTTCGGGTCGAGAACATAGCCACCGTATTTCGTGTGTGAACCCATGGAGCCAGTACCAGTTCCTTTGTAGTATCCTCCATTGACTTGTTTGGTGGTGAGCTTGAGGCGCTTGATCCCGCCTCTAGTACCACCTAGAAAGAGGGCTCGGGTTGGGGCGACCATTGCCGATTGAATATGGAGGCGAGGAAATATATTCCAGCTGTCGTGTGGAATATACTCCTTCTGGCGTACCCGACGTTTTGTTTCTAGTGAGGTTGAAAAGAAGTTTTAAAGATTTTTGGGTTTCGTCGCAACTCAGAAGTGAAATGTTAAGGTTTCCAGAACCGGAATTTGAAACATAATACAACAATTCAACACAGTTTTCAGCCAAATACTTAGCAATTTTTAAAAAAAACTTCAGAGTTTCTTTTCAAAGCCAGAAAAAGAGAAAGAAAAATAAGAAAAGGATAGAGAAGGAAATGAAGAAAATAAAATAAAATAAAGAAGGGGAAAAACAAAAAAAAAAAAAAAAAAAAAAAAGAGGGGGGGGGGGGGACAATTAGAAACATACAATAGCGCCCGGTATATACGTTATTAACTAGGCTGTGAATAGCTATGGTAAGACTGATAGATTGATTGAATGGATAGATACGAAGTACAATTTTGCTCTATTTCTCGGACCCCGAGTCCTCCGAGGGTATGCTGAGGGTGGAACCAACATACCATTATTAAATCCGCCCTGTGGTCTCAAGAATAGTATTCTGAATTATCTTAATAGGAACAGCAGCAGCAGCAACGACAACGACAACAACGACAACGACAACAACAACAACAACAACAACAACAATAATAATAATAATAATAGCTTCTGTCGAGGCGAGAAAGGCATATTTTTGAACGATAGAAGACAACCATCCCAAAGCTTTAGACGACAGCTACGACGAAACAGGAGTATGTTTGAGTTAAAGGAACGCGTAGAAAGAAAGAAACCGGAGGTATGCATTCGGTGTGTGCGTAACAGCAGGTGGTGAGTTATCAATATGCTCGAGTATACATATGAAAAACAAGGGTGAAGAAAAAGCGAAAAGGGAGATTGAAAGGAATGGGGTAGGTTGACAGTAAAGTTAAATCAGTCGGCTCCTACACCAAGCCAAAAGTTCATCATCTAATGACTTGCTTTCATTGGGCGTGCAAAAGCCGAATCCGTGAAATTTATGGAATCATGAATGTATTTTGGGCTGCCCACAGATGACCCGCAACCGGCAGTGCTCGGCAGATTCGTTGGAACTCGCATCATGGTTGCTTGTGCCGGAACAGGTCTAGATACCGGTATTGCAGGCGGCGACATAAGATCCCGTCTTTCGATTATAACCGGAGGATTTGCTCCACGGGAATTGTTTTCCTGCGAAGAGCTCAGGACTGAGGTACCTCGTTTGGCCTGGGTCATAAAAAACATATTGGAGGGCATTCCGCCCAAAGAACTCCGGGGCTGCCCTGAGTCTCTCACTTCATGCATAGATTTGGATATTGACATAGCGTCCAAATCTAGGTGGGGCTTATAGCTACCCCGAGATGACGGACTCGGAACACTATATGTGTCGACTGAAGAAGAAGATAGGGCTTGCGCCCCGATTCGGGAGAACCGTGCTTCTCCGTTACCGTCCGCAAAGCCTATGGTGTACGGCACATCAACCTGTGTCGTAATCGTTTCACACTTTTCGTTCGGCAGAGTTTGTGATATTTGGGAGTTCTTCCCGCTATGTAGTGCTAGAGTCATATGACTAGCACCGCTAGGAATATTCGCCAGATGATTGTATCCGTAGCCAGAAGGGAGACTGTTGGATCTAACATTAGATGTAGGGATGAGCCCGACATTGGATACTATTTGAGGGACCGGGTTTGTAGCATACGTCCCGGTGTCGAAATACATGCTATCATTCACCGGATTGTCGTCAGCAGCAGCACGCAAGCCCTCTGCCATAGTAGAGGAGCTCCAGTGTGCAAACGCCGGCGTGGCCACGGCGGCCAAAGTCTCTGCCGCTGAACCCGTGGCCAATGCATATGTGACCGCCGTTGGCAGGTTTGAAACAGCTTCCGCGTTCCTAGCCAGAAGGGCTAAGCCACTTTCTTCCGGAGACTGAGATAGAATCTGCTTTCGCTTCGCTATATCTGGCAGACTCCTGCTCGGATGAAGAGACGGCATTGAAGCGTATGAAGCCTCTGTTGCTCTTTGTATTTGTAGCTGGCTCTCGAAACTAGCATCACCGTTTGCCACTGGGGGTGCTGAAAGACAAGCATAGTGAGCTGCCGTTAGACTTCCAACATACAATTGTTGGCCAAATCGGTCGTATGACCCGGCGTGCGTATGTTCGTTTATGGCCAGTTGTTCGCACTGGACACGAAGGAATTGGCATTGTCCTAGCGCAATTCCCGCCGTCCTGCAATTCTGGCATCCACTATTATCCCCCGGGTCCCCGCTGCACCTTATCTTACGTTTCCTGCATCTGGCGCACTATTATGAGGCGTGTTAGCTTGAATATAATCGTGTCTAATCTTTATTGTATTGTGTGATCAACAGCCGAAAGGTGTGAAAGTATAGACTTACGGCCACGTTCACTCGTTTTCTCAAGGTGCTCGAAGGACCTTGACTTCCCAACTCCATAGAAATATCGTTAACACTATTCCCCCGAAGCTGAGGGTTCCAATATGGAATCTTCCTTGCAGGGTAGCCGGCTGTGGGGCCCTGCCTCTGCTGCGATAGTGGAGGTTGCCCATATCCAGGCGGGTATGAGTTCCTGTTTATATTCATTATGGTCTTCGTAGCCAATTTTGTTGTTAGATATAGTGCTGAAGGGTTTACTCTAGAGCCTCTGCTAAGCAAAGGATTCTAAAGACTACCAAAGGAGATTGTTGTCGGAAAGACGTTCGAGGATCACGGATGGTTTGTGGAATCAAACACAACTGCTGGCTGTGTATATATATGGAGGGGAGACTTTCTCGGTGGTATTCGACAAATCGGAGGGAATACGAAAACCGAACGGTGTCCCAGAATCAGGAAAGGGGGGTTGGGTACTACTGGTAACAAAGATAACTCGTATAGATGCGCAGATACTGAGCTGTAAATAGCTAGTCTGGTCGTTCTTGAACAAGCTAGTATGCACATATGCGCTCACGAGCATGAATAGAGTATGTTACAGTGTGGCAGTGTTGACTTTTGCCTCTGTATTGATGCCGAACGCTAGTTTTTCTATATGCTTGTCATTTCGGGGACCGGTGTACGTAAGCAATTATATGCATGTAGTATATATGTATTATGTAGTATGTAGTATGTATATTGTCGAGGAAAAGGTAGATATCTTAAAATGTAGTGTTATAGAAAAAAAAGGTATGCTCTCTAGATCCATGGATAGCAGACTGTTAACCTCTTTGCGGGGATCATGAGGGTTTATCACCACTTCATTATGTTTGCTATGTTGACGGCCTCAAATTCTCAATGCATGTTCTGGAACCTAATTTGATAATAGAGGTATTGTAGTGCACATGTATACAGCCGTGAGAGAATACTGGGCATTTTCGAGGGGGAGAGCAAACAATAATTGAATCCTAAGTCTGGGAACTAATTCCATCCGAGAAATCGAGACTTTGGAGTTCATGAGAGTCTCTTTTCCTTTGACGGGATACGTACATAGCCACCTAAATTCCGCTTCCGCTATGTGATTATATTGCGGATGGTGGCAGGCTGCTGAAACTGAGACAGGAACCAGATACCGGTCAGTAACATTGGAGCAATATCAACGACCAACCTCGCTAGTCTACAGGTCATTCACTCTCTCAGTTTAAGAAATACAGAGAGAAGAAAGAAACATCCCGTGGCCTGGGTACATATCTATACACCCCTGCTACCACCGGGGGGGGGGGGGCTAGTAAAACAAAGTTTTAAAAAACGTGAAAAATGGGGCATGAGTGGGGGGTTCTGTGATAGCATCGGTTTGGACTAGACCAGCATCGGCCTAAGTAAATGAAGTAACTAGCGGTTTTCAAGCTCGAAAGGGATGGCTTTCACCAGAATATTGCTTTTGATGAACCGGAAGTCCGCACATGCCAACAAGGGCTCATTTGGTTTCGTTTCTGGGTGTCACAAAGGCAAGAGTGCATAGCTTAATGGAGTCTCTCATAGGAAGGCATTCTTCGGCCAGTTCCAGATCGGATCTATGTTATGCGATCAACGGGTCAAGTCCACATTCTGGAAGGTTTTACATAGAGCTTGTAACTTACTTCTTCCTCTTCTTCCCTGCTTCTGCCCGACAAGAAAAGAAAAGAAAAGAAAAGAAAAGAAAAAGAGGAGAGAAAAGAAAAAGAAAAAGAGAAACACTAAACACGGGGAAAGCGGGGACTGTTAGGGGGGAAAACCCGGCAATGGTTCCTTCGATCTGGCCTCCAAATTTTATTTTAGATACCAAGTAACTAAGTACCTAGTTAAATTACGACGATAGTCTCTCCACGAATTCAAGGCCCTCATTCCCGTCCAGGATTGGTGAGTGTCATCATCTAGACCAAATACTCAAAAATCTTGTAGTTGGGACCCTTACCATGTTCTACACCATAGTTAGCAAGCTCGCCGTTATATTACTCCATGGCCCGTTAAACAGAGTTTTTCTAGAACAAAAACTGTTCATTGTTCTTTTTGGGCGAATCCCGGCTATCACATTTAGAACTAGACTAGTTTGAGGGTGGTATTTGCATGTTTGCTTGTGAGAAAAGCTAAGGAGAAAGAATGAAACAAAAGATTGGATGGAAGGAAGGAAGAAGGAAGGAAGGAAGGAAGGAAGTAAGAACCCCTGTAAATCTACCTATGTAGGCTCCCGTCTTATATCCGGAGCAGTCTCCGGAGGATCCTTCCGAATGGGCCCTTAGGCACACTGTACCACCTAATAGACCAGTAAACTCCTGCAGGAACACGCAAGCGGGTGTATGTGCTCGCACAAACTCCATAAACTGAGACTATTCCCGACAAGACATATTTGACCCTTGGACAAAGAGGTTAACGTTTAGAATTCGAAGAACAAAAAAAGTATGGTTACGAGACTGCCAGATATATGTAATCCTGACACCATGTTCAATTTTAAATTCTAAAATTTAAGATTTTCATAATCTTTTTGATATGCGTCGCCAGCTGTCAAAGTGGGACAAAGGAGTATTTTTGCCGCCCTGACAATCGTGGATACGGTAGTACTTCTTCCTAGCCTAAGTACCTACCTACCTACCTACTTACTTACTTACTTACTTACTTACTTACTTACTTACTTACTTACTTACTTACTTACTTACTTACTTACTTACTTACTTACTTACTTACTTACTTACTTACTTACTTACTTACTTACTTACTTACTTACTTACTTACTTACTTACTAGGTACTTAAGTAGGTAAGTAAGTATATCTCCGTATACGCGTATTTGTTTGCTTTCCCTTATCGATTATCACTCCTCTTCCTCCCACCTCGGAATTTCGAGGAAGATTTTAAGATACCCCTAGTTGCATAAAAAAAAAGGAAAGAACGGGAAAGTATATCTACGTAGAGATCCCGCATGCGGTTGTTGCGAATGCCCGTTGCCATATAATGAAACAATTCTCCGAGGTGGTATTTACTTAAGAGGTAGATACCTAGGTAGATACCTAGGTACTTACCTGGTACCTAGTCGGGATTGAGGCGGTGACCCGGTCTGTATTCGGGTAGCTGCACCAATATTAATCTTTTGTAACAGTTGATCTTAACAACGTATGTTTAATTGTAACACCGGCAACGCCATGAGGAACACTACAGAGCTGCTTTCAGGTTGCTGCATGCAGGATCCCGCTGAGATGTTTCGGGTTCTTCAGTAGCCTCGAGACTAGGTGCATTTCATATCCGAAACGATCTTAACAAAGAACTCAATGAATCACCTATACTTGGCTTTTGTGACCGAGTTTGCTAATCAATCAAGAGAGCAGCCTCATACCCAGGTAGGTATTCAACTGGCCAAAGGCAGATTGCTTTTTTGTAGGCTTTCGTTTGTGTTGTGGCCGCTTGCTCGCTTGTGGCATTTTAAGGGGGATTCGGACTGCAGCGTTTTAAGCCGCATACATCACCTTTTACTTTGGATTCTAGAAGGAATCCAATCAGGCGCAGTCATCCTCCGTTAGCGTGCTTAGCTTTCTAAAGCTAAAGTGCCATGAACCAAACACCAATATCGATAATACTACATACTACTTATATTATGCAATCGCCAAATTACACTTTTCAATTGCATCTTGACGTCCTATGATCTAGGCATATGCGTCTATAGAAACCATCACGCGTCCAAGGTGTTACCTGCAGCAATTGTACCGCTATGTCCGTCCTCCTAGAGACTAGTGCTGGGGATATAGTCATTGACTTGCTTGTCGATGATGCCCCACAGACATGTCTCAATTTCTTGAAGCTATGCAAGGTCAAATATTACAATTTTTCACCCGTTTACAACGTTCAAAAGGACTTCAGTTTCCAAACAGGCGACCCGATAGGGCCCGGTCAAAGCGGCAGCGATGGCGGCAGTTCTATCTGGGGCAAGCTTCAAGGAGCTTCTAAAAAGTATTTTGAGAGCGAATTTTCTCCTAAGCTCAAGCATTCTGAACGAGGGACTGTTAGTATGGCCACCGCCCCCGCCGGAGGCGACGATGACGCAAAGCGGATAAGTGGCTCTCAATTCTTGATCACTCTTGGAGATAGCCTTGACTATTTAGACGGCAAAGGTTCTATATTTGGCCGCGTTGTTGAAGGGTTCGATACCCTTGAAGCAATAAATTCTGCCTTCTGCGATGATCAAGGATGGCCACTGAAAGACATTCGAATCCGGCACACAATAATCCTCGACGACCCTTTTGACGATCCCCCTGGGCTCGTAGAGCCACCCGAGAGCCCAATACCCACCAAAGAGCAACTGGCCACTGTTCGAATCGGCGAAGATGAAGATCTCAATGAAGAAGCTGATGAAGAGACGGCAGAAATGCAACGGCGAGAACGTGAAGCGCGTGCTCAAGCTCTAACCCTTGAGATGGTGGGTGATCTACCGTTTGCAGACGTCAAACCGCCGGAAAACGTCCTTTTCGTTTGCAAACTTAATCCAGTCACACAGGACGAAGATCTTGAATTAATATTTTCTCGGTTCGGAAAAATTCTGTCCTGCGAAGTCATTCGGGATCAGCGTACGGGGGACAGTCTGCAGTACGCTTTCATTGAGTTCGAAACCCAACAGGATTGTGAACAAGCGTACTTCAAAATGGATGGTGTTCTTATTGATGACCACAGAATTCATGTTGACTTCTCCCAGAGCGTTTCGAAATTATCTGACTCGTGGAGAATGGATACGAATGCTAAACGCAGGGCCTACGCTGATTCAAAAGGATATGGGGGATCCTCCCAACTTCAAAAAAAACAACAGTATAAAAGCGGGGATGGTGGAAGCTTAGGGAAGAAGTACGACATGGTCTTTGACTCATTTGAGCAAAGTCGTAGTTCAAAAGACCGGGACGCTCCGAGAGGGCCAGGAGGGGATTGGAGGGGCCACAGAGGCCGAGATTCAAATGGAAATCGTGATAGGAACCAAGACTGGGGTAGAGATAAACACGCAGATGGCCGAAGTCATAAATACCGGAGATCAAGATCCCGTAGCACTAGCCCAAGGAGACGAGATCACGATAGACGAGAAAGGGGCCACGACCGAGACAAAGATCGGAACTCAGGGAGAGATCGCAGAGACCGGTACGAAAGACGATAGCTCTAAGGAGCGCTCCTCTGTGTTTACAGGACTCGATAAAGCTCCTCACATCTTAGTCCCCACACTACAACATGAATAGCTAAGACTAAATCAAATCCTATCTAGTCTAGTTCGAGATTTTATGGATTACTTAGGTTCATGTTAGAAATTTCAGGATTAAGAAAATTCAATTTCGTATAAAATTAGGGCTGATGTGTTTTAGGCACGTCGTCGCACAGCCATACGGTAGACTAGCTATATGGCTGCCTTAGTCCACCCCGCCTTGCTTCTGGGCTGTGATTGTCTTATCCTGGATTTATTCCTGCTCAAACGTGAAACGGTGCCCTCGCATTACACATGTCCATGTGTTTGCTGTGTCTGGGTCCTTATTCCCCCTACGTGGCCACGGGACCCGAAGTTCATGATGTCCCCTAGAAAACAATACCAAATTCGCGCCATAGGCGCTAGACGGCCACACTTTCCGATAAACAATCTCATCTATGGCTAGCCAAACACCATCGATCCAAGGGCCTCTAGAATGTTTGCAAGCGGCTTCTAGAAATCAAAGCGCGCTCCTGCGTTGTATGCTCCAGAGTGACCACCAGACTCAGTTCTGAGATGTGATTATACGTAGAGTAAATTAGATTATCTCTAATTGCTTGTCCTTCCCACTCTAACGCTTTTTCTTCGCAAACTCGACAAGATTTTCGATAACCCTCTCAAACGCCTCTTTGTCCCCCAACGCTGTTTCCCTTTTCCCCAACCAATATGTTAGAGTTTCACTAGCTTCTCTAGTGACTTCTTCGAGTTTCTTGACGTGTTCCTCCAATTCACTCGTTGTGAATGCCCTTAATCTGACGTCACTTGTAGAGCAAAGTATTCTCGCGGACGGCATATCTACTAGTTTGGACTGTGCTTCTTTTTCTTTTCTCCTTCGAGAAGATGAGCGGTTAGACCGATCGTTGTCCCCCCGGCCAGTATCCGAAGACTTTCTGGTGTGTGACGATGATGGCAGTACTAGTTTCTTTTGTTTGGTATCCGCAGGAAGGATCTCGTCGAGATCAACCGGAACTCCTAGGGAAACCAAAAAAAGACGGCGGATTCTTGATAACTTCCAGTTTGGGGGTTGTAAGGGAGGCGGTGTACACAGCTGCGTCCACAAGGATTGGCTACGAAAGTCAATATTATTCGTTGGAAAATGGTTTGGAGCACACAGCTCCTAGTGGCTACAAAGCAGTGGGGTGGTCACCTTCGCTCTGTAAGAAATGCGCTATTTGTAGTCGGTATTGGGGCCGGTACTCCATCTGCACTACTATTTTCTTGCAGGTATATCGAGGATACTATGTCGTCGATCTGAGCTCTCATTTCATCCGAGGTCATTTTTGTAAAATCAAGTAAAGACTATATCGAATCACACGACGACCAGCAAGCAGTTGAGGGCGAATTGACACCAGAGTTAGTAACTTGAACTGAAACCCGAGGTTGAAGGTTTGAAGCAGATGTTGTGGTTTCTACAACAAATAATGGAATATGGAGCTTAATGATAGAGAGTGAAGTATTTATGAAGCCCGTAAAGGGAATGGGATAAATAGCTACAAGCATTAGAGGGCTTGCTCTCTTCTACATACCGAACTTGGGGGGTCCTGGATACTCTCAACTGAATCACCCTCGACCTCAGCGACCATCGTTGCATTGTCAAAGTCGCCGAAGTCGTCGAAGCCATCACCGTCCTCAACCGTTTCTCCAAAGTCATCAAAATCATCATCGAAAGCATTGTCGTTAGCTTCGTCGAGAGTGCCTTCAACAGGATCCGCGCTGTTCTCACTGGCTGTCTCTTGAACAGGGTTCATCGAAGGGGGGGGCGGTATGCTAATATCACTTTCGGGCGGGCCTGGAGCTGGTAGACTAGACCAGTCTGTAGGCGATGTGGGAAGTGTAGCATTGGGATTCTGGTGACCGTTCGTTAATGTCGTGCCTTCGCCTCCTTTCGAAACATTCGGCTGTGTATCCATGGACTGCCTTTCATATTCCTGCAACTCTTGAATTAAACGATCATCCGAAGCCCTTTCCGCGATCTAGTTGCTTCGTTAGTATATCGGAAGCACCTATGTATCTAGTTTAACGCAGCTTGTTCCTACCAGCACGGGGGCGCCGGTGGGTTTTTGAGGCTCTGGAATGGCCTGCACATGTCCTTCAGGGCTCATAGTATCCAGTGAGGCTGCCTCAATGGTCTGGCCGATGTCTGAAGACATGCTGCAGTTTATCTGGCGGGGGGTTTCCACATGGGTAAACACGGGCTGTTGTATCCTCGAAGCCGTCGATAAATGGACTATGGTTGTCAACGTTGGTTTGCAGTTGGTGTGCTTGACTGAACGGATGGAGGTTAGTTCGGCATCGGCTTGGCAATTCGCTAACATACTAGGCTGAGGCAACATCGCAGACCACCAATAAATTTTTCTTCCTTGAACTCAATACTACCGCGCCTCCAAAATGCCGACGGAACCTTCATCGCTCGACTTCTCTGCATTTAAAGTCCTAGATCCAACAACGATTGCTTCAATAAACCTTTGTCCGTCAAATGTAACAAAGGTCCACAAAGGATTGATCACCCTCCCCGTTCGCTTTGGTTCTCTGGCTGCGTTCTCTCCAGACCCGGTATTCCATTATCTCTTCGTCAAACCTCACGACCCCCAGTACACCCCAATTATCAATGCACACCCGAATATCAACGGCCGGTCGCTTTATATATCTGCAATCCCTTTCGACTCAACCGTTCATCATTTGAGGGCGCTTTTTACTGCAATTGGAGGTGGAAGAATCGAGGCCGTTATATTTAGCGATGAGCCGCTCCCGCCCCGCTCATCTACAGCGGACGAAAAGGGTTTGATTAAGAACAAGAAGAGGAAGAGGCTAACGCCAACGGTAACCGGTAAACAAGCGGCCGAAACTGCACCATGGCCACCTCTCTGGAACCGAAAGTTACACCCCCCAGGCACAACGGCTGTGGCCGTCTTCGTTGACAAAGCGGCTTGCGAATTGGCTATGAAAGCTGTGGCCGAGAACTCAACGGATAACCCGAATTTGGAATACTTTTGGGGCAGCGGCATAGGACAGGGCAATCAGATTCCAGGGCTAGGAAAAAAACGTTGGTCCCCCAACTCCCGCCCATTTGACCAGCTCGTTTCTAACATCCGCTGGAATTATAGGTTATGAAGATCACATGGAAAGGATGTTTCCTGACCCTGAGTGGGCACAGAAATTTGTAGATGACTCACTAGAAGCCTACGACGCCCGCCTCAAAGCCGAAGAGGAAGAACGACGCCGGAAGGCAAATGAACCCGACGAAGACGGTTTCGTCACTGTCATCCGTTCTAGTAGACCCCGCCCACCACCCTCCGCAGAGGAGATTGCAGAACGGCTCAAAAAAGAGGAGAAGAGAGCACGGAAGGGGTTCTATCCTGACTTCTACAGATTCCAGCAACGCGAACTCAAGAAAGAACAAGCAAAAGAGCTGCTGTTTCAGTTTGAAGATGCAAAACGACAGGTTCGAGAGCGCAAGGGCGCCCGCTAACGCAGGCCATGATACTATAATACGTAAGGCAGCGTTGAGCGCTCCTTTCGAAGCATAAATTATGCAGAAGAAACCCCCCGGATCTTACTATCAATCCAATCTATTAACTTTGCAAACAAAAACCGCCACTAGCTAACTGCAGATCCACCCTGTTACAACCTTATTCAAACTCAAGACCCAACAAAAGCCACTCGTCAGCGTAGTTTTTCCCCCGCGGATATATATAGCGGCTGGGACTGGTGAGCTTTTGTACGGCAGGGACACCACAATGAGGGCATCGGTTCATATAGTCGAACTTTGCATTAGATGACTCATTTCGTTTAAATTTCCAGCATCTGGAGCTTCTGTGTCTTGATGCCAGTTGGGGAAAAAGTCCAACCTAAGCTCTAAATCCAGCTCATCAAGAATCATCGTTGGTAGGCTTTGGTCCGAACAGCTCCATTTAGGATAATGTCGAACGGGTAAATCCGCGGATGTCTTGGTGCAGTTGTGAGTGTGGTTCATAGCCAGCCGCTTCCTATCCTCGTCTTTCAAGCGTGCAACTTTGATCATTTCAACGGCCATGTCCATCCCATTGATTCGATAGATGATCTGGAAAATTTTCCTAGTTGACCATTCAGCAAACAGGAACAAAACGTGCGAAGTTGAGTACCAACTTGCATGGTCCCTAGAATTTTTAAACCTGACCGCTTGCTGGCGGTCCAAAACACACAGGTCAATTGCTCTAATATCAACATTTGTATCCTGCATGTATCTCTCCATTTCTTGTTTTGTTCTGATGGACAGATCTAGATAAATAAATGGCATGCCGCTTTTATATTCGTTGCGGATGTAGCGGAGGTGTGGTATACCCTACGGAGTATGATTAGCTTTGGAACGACAGGAATTGTCCAAAACAGAGCCGTTAGTCTCGTGACCATAACTTTACCTCTGCGATCGTCTTCTTTTGGTAAGGGAACCAAAAAAGCATGCCGCTTTTCAAAAAAACCTTGACATGCACATCTTCCTTAACTCTTAGGCCACAGCCGCAAAAGCACACATATGCCTCCAAGTTTTTGAGTATCTCCAAGCTCCCAATTTCATCTCCATAACGTAATTCAAAAATCCGGTTTTCGAGTCCGGTCGAATTGCACCAGACCACCGCCTGAACAAGTTGGTCCCTTTCTATATCCCACGCGCTGTGAATACGCATGAGGTCCAGGCCAATGACGGGCCGGGTAGAAGCCGCTGGCTGCTGCGGCTCGACTGGAAGCCGTGGTTTTAGAAGTTGCGTATCGATATCTAAATCCCAATAAAGTATACTCGCTGGGGTTGTTGGATACGGTGGCTCCGGGAAGTCATATTGCCACGGATCGAATGGATTGAACTGGACTTGACGAAGAAATGTGATGAGGGTAAAGGGATAAGTTGGTCGGCAACCCAAGATCTATAAATCCAATCCAGATATTGTTCAGTTAATGTAGTTTAAGGGATAGTGTTCCATCAATGATCAGTCCTAGCATACAATGTAATTTCTCAGAGAACCAGCTTCCTTAACTTGGTCTTGCCTGTTGAAGTTTAAGACAAACGGCCTTGGGTTCCTACCCTTCGACTGAATCAGCGGCTTATCCACCGATGTGCCCATGGATCGTTGTAATAAAGATACGCATCGGCTCGAGTAGAAATGGTTGAGTGTCAAATGATATATCTCTTCGATTGGTTCATCCGTATCTGCCTTCTGGTCATTGTCGTCGTCAGTATCGTCCTGTACATCGTGACCTCGCCCCTCGGTCTGAAATAAGTTTTTCGATGGCGAAACATCCATGAGGCTGCGACATGCTATTCAAATAATATAGAAATAAAAACAATCTCATGAGTATACGTTTTTGGAATTGTGAGTTGGGAATATTTAGGAGCTTCGAGCACCCAGCCGTTGGGTGGTCTCGTTAGCCCGAATGACGGATTGGCAATTGGCTCTGGTATTACTACTAATAAATAGTTTCTACAACAAACATAACGGTGGAACAACACAAGAATTGATTTTCGCCCAAACCCATTATCAGTCCTGTATCGAGTAAAACTAGTCTCGTTCCCAGACGCCGACGAGTAAAACTACCTGAAGGGTAAGTAAGAGGGCTAAGTAAGTACTAACTTTAGTGTAATATTCTTAGGATGTCCTTAAAGGAAAATGGCGTAATGCTCTTTTCCCTCCCTTCTTTGCTCGGCCATTTTTAGCCTTAGGCCGGAACCCAAATATTCATTATGTCCGCTCCATTTTGAATTTCGCTTTTGCTAGAGCCCAATACTAATTAAACACCAAAATCATCTGAGATTTTATCTCCAGCGGTGAGGTTTACTAACCTTGGCATGGCATGCCTTCTCATAAGCTCTGAGCTTTGTGTGACCTTAAAAGTATTGATCGTTAGGCTGCATGCATGTGTAGGGTTAAATAGGCTAAGAGCTTACAATCGGATCTCTCTGCATAGACGCTACGGCGACAATTGTCTCCCCTTGAGTGTAGTAGCTATATCCCCAAGAGTTATTGTACGATCTGGTATTTGAAGAAGAATTGTCTACTCACGCCACAAATTTATTCTCCTCAAGGTTCCCGTCAATGACCACATCATCATAGCCACACGCAGTGCTCCCACAATATCTAAGTTGCAAACCAAGAGCGCTCCAGAAGGTTGGCGTGAAGAAATCTGCTGTTTTACCCGTTGCAATGTGCTCTGAAAGGCGCAAGAGACGGGACATTCCATTAGTTATTCGTCTCAATTACCCCCCATTTTGCCTATACATACTCGCGACACTTCGACCAGAGTTCTGCGCTACATTCCAATGCTCGATTCGAACAACCGAATCCGGAAAGCCACCGGGGCCCTTGTATGGATATGTAGCAATATCTCCAATTGCATAGGCGTCTTTCACGCTGCCGACCTGAAAGTTTTCATCCACGCGGAGGGAACCATCTTTCTCCAACGGAATATTCTTGATGTAATCCGTTACCGGAGCTACACCAACTCCGAGGATAACAGCATCTGCTTTCAAGGAGATCCCGCCCTTTAGGGTAACAGACCCAACGATGGAAGAATTCGTATCTAAAATAGAGTAGTGGTTAGGCGCCGCCTAATATGCAGAAGCTGTGCTTTAATTTCAACGAAACAAGTTACCGGATGGCTCAGCCGCTTCGACGGTTGCCCTCATGTAAAATTTCACTCCTTTTTTCTCTAGTATCGACTGTAAGGAGGCGCCAACCACTTTGCCCATAACACGCATCCTAATGTCAGCCTGTTAGCTTCCCCCTTTGGTTAAAATTCCCTCGTGGGGTTTCGTGTTTGCATACATTGGGACGTCTTCCATCCCGACAACCTATATATACCACGGGCATTAGTCAAGTTAGTCAAGCCATCATATTTCAATGCATTGCTCTACAGACCGTAACTTCATGTTTTTTCCCGACGAGGAAATTGGCGACTTCCATGCCAATAAAGGAGCTTCCGATAACAACTATTTTCTTACCACCCTCTAATCCAACAGCGTCAACAATAGCTTTAGCAGTTTCGACTGTTCTAATTGCGAAAATATTCCCGAGGTCTTTGAAACCCTTCAACTGTAAGTTCTTCGGCATGGCTCCAGTAGCAAGTATGACTTTGCTGTAGTGGAAAGCCTGACCGCTTTCTGTTTCTACTAGGTGCCTTTCAAAATCAATATCCTTAACGACCGTAGAAGTATGAAAATCCACACCCAGACTCTCTAAAAATCCGATATCCCGCCAGGAAATCTTATCAGAATCTGTGATAAGGGCTTTGCTAAGTTTCGTTCTGTCAATGGGGAGATATGGTTCCTTCGAAAGAACGACAATCTTTCCTTGGTAGCCATATCCGCGTAGCGCTTCCAGGGCGCCGATGGCCCCAGAACCTCCCCCAACAATAAGAACGGTGTTATCCGATACTAGTTGTTTGCAAGTATAAGTTGGAACCCGACTAAATTGTTTGATTTTGGACTCCTCTGCTTCAATAGTTAGATCGTCGCCATTGAAGACAACGGGGAAACTATTGAGAGAGTCTAGAGCAGGAGCGTCCTCAATATCACCAGTCGTGGCATTGAAACAAGCGCCATGCCTTTGTGATAGAGTCAATTTCGTCGATGTGATTTCCAGTCAGCTATTCTATTTCGATCCGGAGCGAACCCTAAATATGGGCAGATACTACATACCAGGGGCATTTGAGTCTCCCAGACGACGTAAGGGTCCCTTTGACAAGTGGAGCGCCATAGTGACTATGTATTTTAACTCATGAGTTCATAAACCTTCCAAAAACATATCGAAGAGACCATTATTGAGTAACGATGCAGGATGTCTCAAGTTAGACCTACGTGCACCGGGGACTGAGTGCAGTAACATTATCCCCCACTTGGACTAGCAAAAGCTTTGTGTCGTCCAGGCCTTCAACGGTGACTTCTCGTTTGAAGGTTGGCTTTAAATCCGATTTGTCGACTCCGATAAGCCTGTACTGGGGCATCTTAAAGAGGTTGGTACTATGAATACCACGGTAGATGAGAGCTTTGAAGGACTTGGGACGAATAGTGATAGATTGAAATAACAGTCCGGTTCTCCTGAGAATTGTAGGCTGTATCGTCTTCGATTTCAACGATGAACCGAGGGTAAGGTTGGTTAGATTCATGAATATTAATAAATAATCAAGTAGGTAAGCAGGTATTCCCCGGGCTGGAAAGCTGGGGAGTGTTCGGAACTTGCTCCACTTAGGGCCTTAAGGAAGTTGGGTTCGCTGTGAACCACCGGATTTTGGTGTTAAAATCATATTAAGACATACTACTAGGTAGGTACTTAGGTATACGGCGTCATAGGTAAGTACCAAAGTGCTTGCTTACTTAAGTCAGGAATCAAGGACATATCATGTATATACTTAATTAAGCCTATCGTTTCTACATATTTGAACCCGATTGTATATAGGCTGATGGCTCAGCACTTAATATAATTAAGTACTTAATTAACCTCTAGACAGCTTAGCTATTATCTAAGTACCTACCAAGTACCTAGGTATTTACTCTAGCCATTAATTGAAGGACGAGGTCCGTTACGACAAAAAAAGACGTATTCATGCGCATATAATGTCGTCATAGGATAATCGAAAGTGTATAAATTAGTACCTAGGTAAGTATCTAGTAGGCTTAGTTACTAATTAAGTTAGTACTTTGTACTTAGTACTCCCCTCTTACTAGGTAAGTACCTAACTTATGGGTAAGAAGTAGATGTATTATATAAAAAGTATAGTATTACACCGGGTCAAATTCTAGCCAATGGCCTTCGACCCGAATGTCATCCCTTCGGCAGGCCGAATTAACCCAAGACAGGTCGGTTATCCGGCCGAGATCCCGAGATTGGAGCCGGAGCAAGGCACGCACGCACAGCCAAGGGCGTTTCCTTACCAAGGATTCCGTACACGGTATATTCTCACTCACTTGATGCTCTCAGTTTTGACTAAAAATAAATCCCACATCACCTCATTGTTTGTCATGGCAGCCTCCTATGCCATAGGCACGATTCCTTGCTCAATGTGTACGCGTACTCGTGGATTTATCTGATATCAACAGCCTATCAATGAATGGGATTTCCTCCGTTGAGGCCCCGGTGTCGGATTCAGAGGCGCATCATGTTGCAGAACCCAGCCATTGACGGGAGAAGGGCCGCGACATCATTGCGGCGCGGTCATCCCACTAATCTCGGGTCCCCGCGGTCTCAGTCGGACCCACATAAATCACATACATCACACAGCACATGTACTTATATGTCCTTGCCTACCTGCTAGGTACCTACTTAAGTAAGTAAGTACTTGGTGTACTCCGTAATATTCATACTGTGCTTGTATACATATTCACCTCTTCCTCCTCCCCTCCCCTCCCCCTCCCCCTCAAGTCAAACGGGGCGTTTTCCGCAGCCGGTTTCATCAGAGCGCCTTGCCAGCAAATTATCCCTGGAAATCCGACAGCCTTATCCTGATTGTTGGAATGCTTAATTTCTATCTTGACGAACAAGGGGTGCGCACGGCACAGGGAGCAGATGCTACCTCCCCATAAAGACGCCAGAGGTCCAGGATGAGTATAAGATATATAATGAATCGATGAAACCAAGAGGGATTCTCGCGATGTGATCAAGAGTTATTATATACCGACTTAAGGACTTAACGTGTATTTTAGAGGGCGAGAGCACTGAAGTACTTACTTACCCAAGTCAGCCCGGACTTGTTAGCTGAATGTTGATGGTGTTTGTCCGACCCGATCATCGATCGTCATCATTCTTACCCGCAATGCAATTGCTCACCCTCCAAGCTTAAACCCAAGCTCGCTCTTCGTAACTTGGCGTCAGTCCGTCGCCTGCCGCTCATATCATCTCATATCATCACCTCCACCATCACAATCACCGCCACCAGAACCACCAACATCACCACCACCACTATCGTCACTACCACCACGACAGTCATTGCCACGGTGATTGTCATAACATACCTACCAGTTGATCCATAGGCCAACTCTCCTTACCCTGGCACCACGACAGAAGTTAGCCTCATTCTTTAACAACAATACCATACTTATAAACCCAGGACCTATATATACTATCGAATCATTGCCAACACCCGATTTTTTTGGTTAGGTCGACAAGCGACTGACAATGTCGCTCTGCATTCATTTGGACAAACCTGCAGGACATGCCTATACCAATCTCGATATTCTATCCGGCCATGTTTCTTTGGAGCTCCCTAGCGATGAAACTATAACTTCAATTGTTGTAAAATTGGAAGGACTCGTGCAAACCAGGCTCAAGGAACCTAAGCGGCACGAAGAGGACAAGGAAAGCAAAAGATGGGAAACTGAGCTACACAAGGTGGGTACACCATAGCTATCAATCATTACCGCGCTAAATGTCCACCTGCCCTCTAATATTCTAATTATATCATATTCCCCTAGGTCTTGTATCTCACCAAAGTCGTCTTTCCAGCAGATGAAGTCCAAAAGCAGTCCACCTCGACCACCGGATTTAAACTCAAGAAGGGAGAATACAAATATCCATTCGAATTTAGAATCCCGATAAATAATGTTTGTATTCCGCAAACTGGCATTCTCAAAACGTTGAGCGACTTAGGTCAAGGATTTGATCCAGTAAAGGAAACACAGAAACAAGGGCATCATGTTAAGACAACTCTTCCGCCTTCCCTTAGTGGAATACCCCATGATATGGCGTGGTGTCGATACTTCGTTAAGGTCACTCTCAACCGCCCCCAGTTTTACCGAACGAACACCCGAAAGTTAGAGCTCTTTGTCCTTCTCCCAATCGAACCACCAAGGCCACCTCCAACTTCAAGAGAAACATTTGCCAAACGAGAACATCTCCAAAATTACCAACAGGGTCCGCCGAGGAAAAAGCGTGGTCTTTTTGACTCGTGGAGGGGTAGGCCGGATGCTTTACCTCCACCGATAAACCAGTCTCGATTCTTCGTCGAAGCCCGTCTACCTTCGCCTCCTATCATAACACCAAAAGAACCGTAAGTTTTCATTCAAGATATACCTGTTACAGATGCCTTAGCGGTTTCAAGCCTTTTTCGTGTATCCCTAACATTTACTTCAGCATTCCTCTACGAATTTTATTTACAAAACTTGCGCCATTCACAGCCCCCATTATTCTGCGTTCACTCCAGATTCGCCTCATAAGCACGACACATATTCGCGTGCATGATATCAAACATGACCTAATATCATCGAGTCATGCCCACAGCAGTACCCAGTTAGCAATCCCCATTGGCCACCCTAACTCTCCCGTCGGGGAAGAATTAGAAGCCGAAGGTTCGGCATGGAGCCAGTGGACATTTCCCAGTTCGGTTCAGCCGAGTTTTGTAACCTGCAACATCCGTCGTAAGTACGATCTTGAGATCTCTGTGGGTGTTAGTCTCGGGTTACAACCACAGTTCGAGGTAGTATCTTCCATTCCAAGCAATCAAATTAACTTAAAAAAAAAAAGGTCTGTAACTAAATACCCTACATGGACAGGTTGTCAGTCTGATAATGCCCGTCGAAGTTTTCTCCGGAATTCGCCCACCACCCCAGCTCCAACTTCTAAGTTCTCAGCGTCGAAGACCATCGAATACTTCACCACCAAAGGAAGTGAAGGGGCCACAAACCGCGACCGCATCTGCACTATCAACTATGCCAGTCATATCAGCTATTTCCCCAGCACCTTCATCCTCACCATCGTCAACCAAACTTCCACCCCTCCAAACAAACACAAATGCCAATACCGCAACCCCCGTAGAATATCCCTTTAGTCCCATTCAAGTTGCTGATGGGACACCGCCTGGGACTTTTGTTGCGACAAACTCGCCCGTTAGTGCGGTCGATGACCTACCTCCAACATATGATGAGGCGACCGCGGTGAATGTTGGGCCCGTTAGTGGACCGCGCCGGGAATTTCAACTAGAACCGAGCTATTTCACGCGGCCTGCTGAAATGGAAACTCAAATGACTGGGAAGAGCTAGAGGCTCAGATTTTATAGTGGATACTGTCCCCTTAACCGCATTTTTTCCCCCTTTCTTTTCGTGTTCATACCTTTTCAATCAGGTTTTAAACTGATTTCTTTCGGTATTCCCTTGCATGGCGTTTTTACCCCTTTCCCATTTTTTGATATGTTACGCAGTGCTCTGCTGAAAATTTACCGTTTTACTTGTGATTGTATTTGTCGAAGCTGACGGTAAGATTTACGGTGGGCCACCACACGGGTTAGTTTGAGTGTTCACATTTCCATTCTTTTGTTTCTTACAACATTTGTCCCTAATATAGATACCAGGTCTTGATCCTGAATAATCCTTAATGTAATGAGCAAGTATGGGAGAACAGGATATTTCAAAGTTATGACTACCATAGAGCTCAAGCACTTCATGCAAAGAGGGTATCATGAATAAACAACCCAACTGCCTCAACACCAGATGACTCCCATATAACCTGCAAAACGCACGCTAATGCTATAGAAATTTATTTTCGTCCCTTCTTCTTTTCTAATGTATCAATGAATCGCGTACGCTTAGTGAGGTGCAGGCTTGGGGACATTGCGTCCACTATTTGGCGTTTCTTTTGGTTAAAAGTCATGTTAGTCTCGAGCATTAAGGGTATCTTTACAATAGGGTGAAACCTACCTTTGTGTAAATCGAAGGCTTTATTGGCGACAGTACCTCCATGGAGCTATCATCTTCGATGGGAAATGAACCAAGATTAACAGAAGCCTCCGTACACCCATCCATTGCCGTTGTCTGTTCCATTGCTTCTTCCCCCCCTCCTGAAGTCTGGCTTCCAGATAGGAACTCTTCCTCTCCGGCATCCGCTATCCTTTTTTCATTCAAGTAAACTTGGCTTTCTGTCGACACAATTTCACCTGCCTCATCCACCTCTTCCACCTCTTCCACCTCTTCCACCTCTTCCACCTCTTCCACCTCTTCCACCTCTTCCACCTCTTCCGCTTCTTCCGCTTCTTCCGCTTGGAAGGTTAGCTTTTTAGTCGGCTGATTCAACTTCTCTTCGACTTCGAGTTGCCATATATCCACGCCTTCAGCATGATTGCCGGTAGACTCGGGGGGCGTTTCCGCAGGAGGAATAGCCTGGAAGTTGACATCAAGCTCCTCCAATACAGCACGCCTTTCCCTCTCAATCACATCCTCTAGTGCTCTGATTTTTTTCGAATTTGCCCTGTCCGGCTGCTTGTTCACAAGGTCCACTAAAGCGATAGCGTTTTTCCAAGCTTCCAGTGTACCTCGAAGTTGCAGCCCAAGCCTCTCGATTTCCCGATCACGGGCATCCAAGTCCTCCAATGGCACATAGTTCGGTTGATTCAACATCTCCTTGAGATGTTCAAGCACTTCATCTACATTGTTCGAGAGAGAGGCATACGATATATCGTTAGTTATGACGTTCCTCTCTCCCTCTTCAAGTTCGGCTTCTTGATCCACTTCAGTATCCATCCCTGATATCGCCTTTAGCGTGGTTACGGTTGATTTGATCATTGATACTAAAGTATCGTTCTCATCGGCCAGGTTCTGGGACAAGGCCGTAAGAATTGCAGTTGTATCGTCTGTTAAAGCCACGTCCGTTCCTCCCGGCACCGAATCCTCATTTCCGATAGACCCTCCGAGATGCGTGGTTGACGAAGTCCCAGATAAAGTAACGCCTGGAAAGGAAATCGGTTGCTTGTTGCCTCTCCCACCTCGAGACTTTTCCAGAAGCCTTTCTTTCATTTTGGATATCTGATGATCTCGTTTCCGGATTTCGTTGGCATGTTGTGTCCGGACCTGCTGCACCATGGTCTTTAAGCGTGCAGTCTCATCCTTGAGGGTTTTAGCTGTGATCTCAGCGGAGCGAACATTCGCGTTAAGGACTCTCTCTTGGCCTTGGAAGGTTGCACAACGTCGTTCAAGTTCTTCGCATCGGGATTTGTAACGTTCCTTCGGTAATCGTGAGTCGATCGTCCTTTTTACGCGCGCGCCAACCCCGAACACATACCGCAGAGCTGTTCGCCTTGCTCTCGCTCTCTTTGAGAGCCTTCATCCCTATTGCAAGCGTCTCTTTTTGTTCGCCATCTCTCTAATTGGAACCGCGGTGTCAAAAAAATGTATTTATATTCAGTTCAACCTTCCCCCCCAATAGATATTATAAGTAACCACAATCCTCAAAGAGGGTTTGAACTCACATCCCGCCGTCTTACTAAGTCGTGAACAAGGTTTATTACTCGGGTCGGGGTCGTTTCGTCTTCAGCTAAGTTGTCGAAAGGAATCTTGTGGCCGCCCTTTAGTAGTCCTCGTGCGGCAAGAAGGTTATTGAGATATGCGGATGCACTAGCAATATCCTTTTCCATATTGGCGGTTTTTTCCGAAAGCAAATGTAAAGGACTGATTGAAAGAAATGGTAGGAGATTGTGACCATGCCCAGCCCTTTGCGCGTGTTGATATTGTGTGTAAACAAACCGACGCTAGCAACCACCATGCTCCTTGTTTGGTTTGCAGCTTGGCCCAGTCTTGGACTTGGAACTAGAACTATATACTTTCTAAGTAAGTATCGAGACACCTAATCACGTTAGTACATGTACTTACTTACCTAGGTACTTAAGTAGGTATTAAGTGTAAAAAGGATCTTTTTAGCGACTACAATTTTGGTTGGTGACGACAGTCCATTGCTGGGCGGTCGGTGGAAACCAAATAAAATACATAACGCAAGTTGATATTCTGTCCTTGAACAAACTTACCTTTGCATTGTACCTGTTACATGTATTCCTTAGTACGTAATTACTTGTCTCGTCGCCAAACTCCTCAACTGTGATTCCTTATTTCCTAAGCTAAGCTAAGGGCTTACTTAAGTAAGTACCTAGGTAGTAACTAAGTAATTACCTAACCCATCGGCATTTGATCAAATCAATACTAGATATTCCACTCAATAGTAATGATTATCTGACACCGACATTATAAGATATGATGCGGCATAGACGACCAGACTACTACCATACTCTTTCCCGTGGGTTTTTGTGGTCCCGCCGCTTCCACAATACCAAACGAATACGCCAAAGCTATGATCCAAGAATCGCGGACCTCGGAAGGATCATTGAAGATGATTTTATGAAATTAAAACAACATTATAGTAGGCTACAAAATAAACTCACCAGTTCGTCATATTGGAATATTTCATGATAGGTGCACTGAACCTAGATGATCCGCCCAGAGACACCCAGGAACCCCATTGTCCTAAGCCATGGTTTATTCGGTACGTTGGTAGCTATCAATTCTCTGACACTAGCAAATTTTTAAAGAGGTTTCTGATATCGTCTGTTTTTCTCCAGGATTCGATACGTTGCAACTTCTGCCGTGGTCGTTCATCCCTCCCCTCCAGTACTGGAGGGGGATCAATGAAGCCCTACAAGCCAACAATTGCAAGGTAATCGTTACAGCTGGTATGATAATCATAACTACTTATAGCCTACCTAGAATATACTTAAGTATTTGTATCACTATTAAACGTTGTCTTGTGTAGTACCCGCTTCTGCATCTATCGAGAAAAGGGCTGAAGCCCTCGCGCGTAGTATTGAACGCCGAGCTGGGGGCCAGTCAGTGAACATTGTCGGGTGTGTCTACTATGGCCTAGGCAAAATATGGGACCTAGCTTTGAGAATACTTGCTGAACTTCATTTCGATGATAGGCATAGCATGGTACGCCTAAGTTACAGTTTCCCGAATATCAGTTCTAAATTATAGTACTGATCCGATATTGATTAATTTACCGATGCATCTTAGGGGTGAGACGTCATACTTCAACACTATAGCTTTATTGCAGAATTTAACGCAGATATAAATTGCGTCAAAGTGGAATCGATGCAAGATACATGATCTCTCGATTAAGGCCTACAGGGTTCAAGGTCCTCAGTTTGACCACCGTGAGCTCTCCTCATCAAGGTAGAATGAGTCCATATTTCGTTTAGCCGTTCCCCCCTCCCTCCCTTGGGTTTTAACTGAAAGAAATCGTATTGCCACAGGGTCCCCTTTTGCAGACTATGCCATTCGTTTTATTGGAGGTGAGACGGTAACAACTGAAGAGTTTCGTGAGATCCGGGGTGAAAGTTGCTTTCTAACTCTATGGGTTTAGAGCAACGACTTCCAAGGCTATATCGAATTCTCGAAAGGGTGGGATTAGAAACCGGGTATGTTTCCGTAAAAACCCTACGATCTTTAAGCCAGTTTTGATGACGATAGCCAAATAATCACAACTGCAGCGCCTTTCAACAATTGACTACAGTATTTATGCGAAATGATTTTAACCCGAACACGCCTGATGTAGATGGGGTCAAGTATTTCAGTTACGGTGCTTCAGCATGCCCTGGCCTCTTGTCTCCATTCCGTGCATCACACAGAATAATACGACGTGTTGATGGAGAGAACGATGGTTTGGTTTCTATTAAATCTGCATCACATGGTAGTGCTCGCCCATCGTGTTTCTCCACCCTTGTATTAAACATACTAGTAAACTTAGTTCTGACGAGGGGTATAAAAGGCGTCTATAAAGGGACACTTGTTGGACCTTCGCATCTCGATATCATCAACTGGACAAACAGACTAAAATGGGTTATCAAGGGCGTCTTGGGACAGCATAACAAGTGAGTCACTAAGAGGTATCTTCTAGTCTTTGAAACCAAACTAACCACCCGTTCTTCCAAGATTCAATGCGATTGCGTTTTATTTGGCTTTATCAGGTTTGAGAATATCCACATCTATTGACAACGGAGACCCAGAGGCTGACTCACTGCATTTCAAGATATGCTGGCGACGGAGGGATTATAGATAGATGGTTGGCGGAAGGATTATAGATAGATGGTTCCTGACTAGGATAATAAATAGAACCCCGCCAAATGATATGTAACAAAGGGCAAAGTGTCGAAAGTTAGATATCGAAGATAAGCCTCCTTCGAGAAATGTGCAGTTGCTCGCATTAGTTAATACAAACGACTCTACAGAGTAGATTAAGACAGTATGCCAACGACGACAAACTCAAACTAGTTAAGGGGATTCGGGAAGGGAAACTGATATTACCACTGCACAAACAAAGAAATGGGAGTAGAATAGTAAGCATCCGTATCAACGTTAAGCTGGCATCAAATAACTTATAGAAGCTGGGGTTGTATGGCATCAAAGCCGGATTGGAGGGGTGGATATCAAGCTATCAAAAATAAAAATAAAAATAAAAATAAAAATAAAAATAAAAATAAAAATAAATGAAAAAGAAACAGAACCTATTTACAATGACAATCTGCATGAACGCCTAACATGCCGTATACAAAAATGAACCGCAAACGTCTGTTAGAGACTGCAACAAAGAAATATTATGCCTCTTGGGCGCAAAGAAAGAAGAAGAGGAGGAGGGAGAAGAGATATATATATATATATATATATAGAGAGAGAGAAAATGGAGAAACCTGCCCGCCAAAGGGCCAGAGCTCATGTTACCCATTTTCCAGGCAGCGTTTGAGGAGTCCCGTATCCTTCCTGGATGCATCAGCATCAGCAAGAGTTAGCCAAGTTTTACGCCAAGGCTGTATTCTTGTGCGTGGGAATGACTGTCGAGATGGCTCGGCCGCAGATGGATTTCTTAGGTGCTTTTTGTAGGCAGTTTCAAAGGTAGGGCATAGCACCACTGATCATTTCCAGGGTGGTTAGATAGATGCAATCTTTACTTTCGTATCAATAGACTACAGAGAATCATACCCTCCTGTCAAAGTTTGGGGTTCGTCGCCATCCCATTCTGGAATATAGGGCTTAGGGGCTTGGCGGCTGTCGCTGGCTGGGAACATCTTGTAGGCGGAAACCATAGCGAAGTTGTTTGCGAAAATTATTTTCCGTTACCAAAATCCTACAAGATGTTGCTGACGTTTTGTTTAATTATCGAGTAGATCGTAGGAGTCTTGTGGTAGAGTGAATGTTAAAAGGCAGTCTGGTATATGGTAGGGAGAAAATTGGGTTTCAAGAAGATCGAGGAGGAGGAGCGGGATCCTTATAGTCTCGGTAGAGCCCTCTTGTGAATCATATCAACAAGCGGGACACGTCCTGATATGCGTCAACGCGCAGGATCCCACCGCTTGGGTGACACATTGACCAAAGTGCGCCCGATGGCATTCAGAAAATTTGTGAGAATTATCTTTGGTATCCTTCACTAGTCTGCCTTCCGAGTGGGGGGGTGGCCGTCTTACTCAGATCTAACGAATGGGAGGGCATGGCTGGTGTGACTCCACCGCTAGCCTGTGGAAAGATGCAGGTATATATTTCACTTATGAAATCCACTGTTTGGTCGAATCCAAAGCCAACACGTCCTCGACATTTCAACAACAGAAAACAACTACTCGACTGCACGGGTACCTAAGAAACGGCGGGCACGAGCCACATAATGTATATAATTTCTCTGAAGGGCGACAAATGATTTATATATATATTGTATAATAACGGTGTGTCTCTTGGCCACAATACTTTTAGTCGGTTTTGACAGCCCTGTTTTATGTTAGCAGAATATTCCGAAAAATACTTTGAAGGTACTCACCCGTATATCCTTCTGACGAACATATAAGCGGACAAAAACCCGACAGTGCCCCCCAAAACGCCGTACACGGCCGAGCCAAGCAACGAATAACCGAAAAATAAGAGACTATTGACCAGCCCGTGAATGTGCAACTTTGCCAAATAATACCAAACGGAGTAAAGAAAAATGTACACAGACGAAGCAGCTCCAACCCTGAACGCATGCCACCACCAATGGTAATTCTAACAGAAAGAGAATATTAGCCCCTATTATATTTTGGTCGATACGATTCGGTCACCTACCTCTGCGCAAAGCTGAAAATATGTCATCACGACGGTGATTTCAACAATAGTAACCAGGAGAATGGCTATTATCAAAGCCAAAAACCCAAACATATAATAGTACCCGCTTTTGTCTTGCCATATGCTTTTAAAAACAAAGAGGAGCTCTATGAATATAACGGCGAATGGCACAATCCCTCCAAGGAATAAGCTTGGTATAGGTTTCACGTACCATGGTTGCACTGGTATCTGTCGTGGGATCTGGGTAGTTTTTGTAGGTTGCTCATACGCTGGCTTTTTCTGTCCAAACCAGGCTCCAAGAAGAACGAGGGGGACAGATATAAGGAGCCACATCGAAACCAATGCAACCAAGGTGGAAAACGGAATAGCACTAGATGATGCTTGTGCCCAAACAAAAAGATTCAGCACAAGCACCGCCAAAAAAATAAGTCCAGGGACAAGCAGAGCTGTCTGAGGCTGTGAGTTAGCAAACGCCAGTTTCAGTAGTCCCGCGACATTTACGACTCACCAAGATAGCGTTTTTGGCCCAACTGTCCCCCCCAAATGCCTTGTAGATCCTGCTTGAAAAATATCCCGAGAACAGCCCAGCAAATACGAAAAGGAAAAGCCCAAAGCTAACGAAGCCTCCTCGATAACTCGGATTAAGCAAGCCAATTAATGAAAAAACAAGTAACGAAAAGACCGTAACAAGAATCTGGACACCGCTACCCACCAAAGGAGGCAACAGACCGCCAAACTTCGGCGGGCGGAACACATCCCCATGAACAAGTTTCCAGCCTGTTGTATCATCAAGCAGATCGTCATCGTCATCGCCATCAGCAGGCCCCCTTTGGGCCGAGCCATCGATGGACGCTGTGGAAATTCGTTTAAGTTTGTTTCCGTCTTCACCGCTAATTCTTGCATTGTAACTTTGGATGTCTCTGTTGAGAGTCCGCAGCAAAACAACGCCGACCATACCGCTCAGGAGGAAAGCGATAACTAGGGAATTGATGATGGCGAGAACATGTAGTTTCGATGACTGCTCCTGATTGGCGAAATATAGATCCCATCGGTTATCCCAATCGATAGTTTCGTCTTCTTCCCAATAAACGGAGTAAGTGTACGTTATTCTCAGCTTAGCGTTCGGATCGTATTCAAACTTTGACCCCGTAGAATCCGACGGAACGGGTGGAAGGGTGAGCTCTAAGCGTGGTTGGTCCGAGGTAGATATGGACGATGGACATTTACTCCTTGGGCCGTCTATACTTGAATGTGGCAAATATATTTAGTTCTTTCCGTCTTTCCCATTTCCTTACTCCTTTCTTCCCCCCAGTAACGCCGTGTGAGGCCAGTACTTACGACTTTGGATAAACTTCAAAGCCAACGATGAGCTTCTTATGTGGAGTTTTGATACTTTTCCGATACCGAAAGATGAGGGTGACATGGTTGTGAATGTAAACTTTCTCATCTTCAAAATTACCTAGCTTAAAACCATTCTGGTAAAACTTTCTCATCTTATCAACAGATTTGAAGGAGGTTGCTCCAGGAAGGTTATCGACTATCCTAAATATAATAACATGGAGATTAAATTAATGGCCATTTTGCGCTCTATCAAGACTTAGGGCTGACGTACCACTCGACAACGTAGTTGTGTCTGATGAGTCTCTGTGCTTCGGCGAGGCTGGCGCTTCCAATCTCAACATCGCAAAGGAATTTGCACGATTCCGTTTTTCCCATAACTAGCTCATAGTCACTCTCGACAATCCGGTCCCCCCGTAGAACCTCCCCAAGGTTCAATCCGACATTCTTCGCGCCCCGTTTGGGTTTGCATATAAATGGCAGCTCCGAGTAACTGTATGGCAGCTCTGTGGCGTCGCTCGTGATCTTATTAAACTGTAAAGGGATAGCTGACCCGTCTGCATAGCCTCTTTCCGACCATCCTAAAAAAAGCCCGAAATTAAGAAATGATTTATATCTCGAAGGGAGGGCTTTACAGAATTATTCAAGCAAGCGCCGAATCTAAAGGTACCTGGTATGTAAAAGGCGTGTAAGGGAGACGAGCACGCGGCTATAAGCACTAGAAGGAGCTCAGGAAAGGTCATTCTGAAATAGCATCTCATTAGATCGTGTGCGATCGCGACTGAAATAGTATGGTACTAGTGTGCATAAGAAATAGATATGGTTTGCTGATGCAGGACTTTTGTGAAATCATCAAAGTTGAGCAGGTACGCAGGCTAGGTAATAGGTAGGTGCTGACTAGTGTACTTTTCTTAGAATTTTAGATGAAGATCGGCTTGGCTAGTGAACGCCAAGCCATTCACGTGATAACCTCAAACTACCAGGTATCAAACCAACTAAATTTTGATTAGTGGTATGTCCTGCTCGGCTTAAATTCCAGACTGGACCAATGCAGCTAAAGCTAACGGGAGGTCCGGAAACCAGAGGGAGTTGCCTCCATGACCGAGGCTCAGGACCAAGGAAAGTCAGGTATAAGATATAAAAGGGAATGTGGCGGGCCAATTTTAAACAGTTCTGACTATATCTACGAACCAGTACTTGAGAATATATATATCCACATCCAGACCAATATATAGTACGCAAGATATAACAAGTACGAAGTACTAGCCTATTGATATATACATATTTCGAACAACAATAATTCTCTTCCTGTTATCTGCTCCCGCATTATAACTAATTCGAACACGAATAGAATCCTGAACCTAATCTAGATCACAATGAGAGGCATCCAAATTTCACAATACCTACAGGTATGCATCATATTCTAGTAGATCTTGCAATATATTGCACTTTAAGGCAGTCATACAATGTAGCTAATATCACTATTTATGGGTAACTCTAGAGCCCAGATGATGTAGACCGACTCTCCCCAATTCAACTACCGGACCCATCGCCCAAAGAAGATCAATATCTTATTGCTATCCGGGCCTCGGCAACCAATTTTTTCGACATTCTGCAAGTTCAAGGGAAATACCAAGTCCGTAACGTGCACATATGAATACATTCAATCGTTTTTAAAGGGTCCAGCTAATACAATTCGCCGTACGTTGAAGCATCAACCGCCTCTCCCCTGGATATCGGGGAGTGAATTTAGCGGCTATGTGTTGAAGACTCCTTCGACAGGGGTACCTAGATATAAAGTCGGAGATCGGGTATTTGGAGCCTCCCAAGGCTCCTACGCCACCAAAATATGTGTATCGGAGAATTTATTACACAAAATACCCGACGGTTGGAGCTATGAGGCTGCTGCTGGACTTTACGTCACAGGTATTTAGTATTTGAACTCAATGTACCTGGACAAAGCGGACTAACGGAATACTGGTGGGAGAAGTTCCTACGTCGTATGCAGCGCTGACACTAAGAGCGAACTTGAAGGAAGGGGAGTGGGTTTTGGTACACGCGGGGGCTGGCGGTGTGGGCTTAGCCGCAATCCAGGTGGCCAAAGCTCTAGGCGGGAAGGTGATCGCAACAGCGGGATCCAAAGACAAGTTGGAAATCTGCAAATCATTTGGTGCAGACTATGGGATCATCTATCGAGAGAAATCCTGGACGCAGGAAGTATTGAAACTTACAGGCGGACGCGGAGTCGATGTGGTTTATGACCCTGTCGGGTTGGTCGACTTGAGTATGAAGTGCATCAACTGGAATGGAAGGATTTTGATCGTAGGATTTGCTGCCGGGACTATCGAAAAGGTCGCCCTTAATAGAGTGCTGTTAAAGAACATCAGGTACGGGTGGTTGAGTTTTACTCAAGACTACACTGATAGTTAGAATTATACTAATCCTCGACCGTGTCTTAGCCTAGTCGGAATCCATTGGGGGGCATATAGTAAATTTGAGCCAGAGATGATCGATCGGGTCTGGCAAGGGATCTTCAATCTTATCGAACAAGGGAAGTTCAAGCCGACAGTCTATGACAAGAAATTCGATGACCTCGAAAACGTGGGGGCAGCTCTAAAAGCCTTGGGCCAACGAGAGACTGTGAGTAGTCAAATTTGTTTAATTCCAATTCGTCCCTATAGCTAGGCCTATGGTGATACGAGAATCAAAGACTGACGTACTACAATTACCGGGGATCTAATTCTAGTGGGGTAAAGTCGTGGTTTCGGTGCCAGAAGAGGAAGAGCGGTCGAAACTATAAGGTTGAGAACCAGCTTAATAAACATATATCGTCAATACAATGTATTCAGGAAGCGAGTTAGTCTTAATTCTCGAGCCTGTTCAGGCTGGAGATCGACCTATAAGTACCTCTACTAGTAAATTCGAAAGCATCCGATCGCGAGTTAGCATTGGCATTGTATCGGGATATTTGGGTATACTATGTAAATATCTACTTAAGTACTTATACTTGCAGCCCTGCCTCTTACAAGCTAACTTATAATCGATTCAGAATCGATGGTGTATACATATCCGCGGTATAAGGTATAACATCAGATTAGGTATTGCACGATGCCAAGGACTTGAACACGCGGAAATATCGCCTAGCCAAATGCAGTGCAAGCCTGGATGCGTCGTGAGCCTGCCTTGACCTGCATCTGGCTAGGCAATCGGCAACCCTGATCCTTGCCTGTTGTTCTCCGTAGGTCTGCACCTAGACTAGGAAGGGTCGGGGGAAAAAGTAAAACCGCTGGAATTTGCTCACAAAGGAAAAGGGATCACCAGGACCCAGCTCCTTGGTTTTGGGGCATGGCCATGAGGTGCAGGAAAGGAGTATGAAACCGGCAGCTTCAATTTCGCTAATAACAACAACGATAATTACCTACCTTGCTGTGTACTGATTGTAGATATGTATAGTACTTATAAGTATGAGGGCAATAAGCAAGTCTTAGTCTAGTTTGCATGGGAGCAGCAGAAACATTGTAGTATACAAAGCATATACTTTTCGCTAGAAACTGTTGGTGGTATGTGGAGTTTAGCCACCACCGTTGATAAACGGCAAACCTTCGACCTCCGAATGCACAATGCTTATTGTACTCTGCTGACGAAGCCTCGACGATAGTTTTTTGTGCTTTATTTTGAATTATTTTATTTAGGGTTTCCTATATTTCCTATGTTTCCTCTTTTCTCTTCAAATACTAACAGTTCTAGGGATACATGATCAGTACTACTAGGCTTACTGCTACAGAGTAAATATAGTTTAGGTCGAAAAAGGCTCCTTCGTATATGAATCATGGAGACCTAGGAGGGCTTGCGCTAGTGGTAAAATGCCCAGACGAAGAATCAAATAAAAAGGAAAAGAAAGAAACCCCTTCCCCCCAAAAAAAAAAAAATAATTAAAAAAACCAACAGGGTAGGAAGGAAAAAGGGTTGCTTCCGCTTATTTCCTTGGAGTCCAACCCAGTCTTGTTCAACCCCCATATTTGACTTGATGGAAAATTGAGAAACACCTCCCCTTCAACGTCTTGCCTAGGACTCCGACACTTACCGAGATAGCCTATCGACGGCCCGTAATTTTCAAGGATAGTTCGAGCTGGAGAAAAATTTTGAGAATCATCAAACGAAGGAACGAAGGAACGAAGGGGAGAGTGACATCGAAAATTCGGGAACGGGAGAGAAAGAAAAGAGAACAGCGAGAAAGAGCATGGATGCCTCGACCCGAGCCTAATCAGCCTGGGCCATTCCAACTGCAACGCGCCGCGAAACCGACCGCTTCCAACTCCCCTACTTTTGCAACTGTTCTTTCGGAGCACGCTTCTGCCTCGGTCGGCTTCGACGTCTCTTCTGTTAGTACTATGTGATAAGGCGGACCGTGACTTTCTAGGCGTGATCATGTCCGAAAGTCGATCTCGAACAGTCGATGGGGTTTCGTCGCTGGACTCTTCCGCCGAAGAGAAGGCACACCAGCATGCACCAGCCGCTGTCTCCGCTCACGAGAGCAAACTTCCACCTGCCTCGAGAAATCCCGTATCGAGATGGTATATCAATCGTTTTGGGAAACCGTTGCATTTAAGAGTTAAGATTCGGAACCAATTAAGTGTATGTCGGCTTGCTTGTTATTCTTCCGTTGGATCGTGTTTCGGGTACGGAAATACTAATAACATGAGTTGCTTTTTGCTATCTTGAAGTTCTTGGTCGCGAGTGAGTCTGAACCTAGATCAATTGTCGTCGTTCGGATGGTTTAACTGATCTTCCTCTAGTTTTCACGTTGACTGCCGTTGGGGCTCTAGCGGGTATCTCATGGCGCAACAATCTCGGTTTTATCAAAGACTCTGCGACCACCAGGTGGGTCTCTCACGCTTGCTTTTGCTCCCGTATAAATCTTCTGCCTACTCATTCTAACTGGTATATTGTTTTCAGACTCAGTATGACTGCCGATCTTAAGCGTGCCCAAATGGTACAGGCCATTGAAACTTTAGAGGGACTTGCTTCGTCCATCGCCACCCGAAGTGCCCCGATTTCTCTTCTAACACGGTGGATCAACGGAACAATAACATCGAATTACTGGGGTTTTGCTGCTTCTGAGTAAGACTACATTCTGCCCAACACCCGGCCCGGAGTTGATTTCATCGCGCACTGTTTGCTAACTCAAATATATGAAAACCAGTACCGCCTCAGCCTTGTCCGCTCAGCGGTTTTGTACGAGACCCCTTCTTTAACAATGATATTGTCCACTACTAATCTTTCTCTTCATTTTTTCGTTTTTGCTTGGCTTTGCTTTTGTTGTAGATGTTGCCGCAACCCTTTATAATGCCAATCTCACGCAAGCGTATGATAAACTTTCTATTCCAAATTTAATGATAGTGATTGCTAACGCTTTGCGGATAGATTGCTCAATATTACAGCTAACCCGCCTGGAAATCGCGATTTTAATGATGCGAGAAACAAAAAGGATGCTTTAGGCGTTTTTACAGATGAAAATGGACAAGCACAATCGGCCAATTGGGATGGGCATGAAGGATTCCCTGATGAGCTGTAAGTAGTCACTCAGTAGCCTCGAGAATAGACCCAAAAATGGGAGGGGGGCTCTATTCTGAGGCTCCGCACCTGGTTTGTGTGAGGACTTACCTAACTATCACAACGCTAGATACCCTCGAGCCTCCGTAATATCGAATACGTCCGCCGAGAAATTAGAGCTTTTCAACCAGGGATTCATCGAAAACCACCAGAGCCTTCTTTTAGGACCAGTACAAGTCAACAGCTCATACTATATGATATCTTTTACTGTTCCAGTCCATAATTCAACTCGTGCATTGATAGGTTTCTGGACAATCTTGCTCGATGCTCAGCTCCTAGTTGACATTGTAAATACTACCCAGGGCATGGGGGACACGGGGCAGACCTTACTTGTAACTCATCTCCTTTCTATTACCGTTGGGAAAATCTGCTGCTGGATATATGCTAACAATCAGATCCAGGTTGGTCCTAATACTATCACTAACATATATGAACCACGAGATCGAGAGCTCACAGATGATACACAATTCCGCTACTTACTTCCTCCTGTGCGGACACCTGAACTTTACGGAACCGTTGACAAAATGGGAAGCTTCCAAGCTGTCAAGAAGGCGTATTTCAGTGTCAATGACAGTGATGAAGCCGTTGCCGAACTCGACACGCGAAATACCCAGGGCCAGCGGGTGAGTGTTGGATATGGCATCATTGGATCTGCGAATAAATTTGCCGATTGGGCTCTAATAGTTGAAATGCAAAATTCCGAAATATATGCTCCCATTTCGAAAATCCAGCAGCTTTTAATTGCAACAGTTTTCGGTGTCGTTGGAGGGATACTCCTCTTCATATATCCCCTTGCCCAGTGGGCGGTCTCTCCCATCACACGGCTTCGAACTGCTACAGAGCGAACAACTCAACCACCCTCCTACGATGACGTGCGAGAAGGCCGCGATCATGATGACCCCGAAGACGGACGCCGTAACTCAAGTCAAAGAGGGTTCAGGATTCCCCTCAAAATTCCGGAACGCTCCTATTTCATACACGACGAACTCACGGATCTCACTCATACCTATAATCTAATGACTGAAGAATTGACTAGGCATTATGATGAGTTGGAGGATCGAGTATTTCAGAGAACCCGCGAAATCGAAGCCCAAAGGAAGGTAGCCGAAGAGGCCAACGAATCAAAAACTATTTTCATTGCGAATATTAGTCACGAGCTTAGGACACCTCTAAATGGTATTCTTGGGATGTGCTCAGTGCTAATGGGCGAAAAGGATCCAAGTCAGGTCCAGCACAGCCTTCGAATTATAGAAAAGTCAGGCGAATTACTCTTGGCTTTGCTGACTGATCTTTTAACCTTTAGCAAGAATCAATATGGCAATCATGTGATTCTTGAGGAACGAAATTTTCGACTAAGTGATGTCACAAGTCAACTCAACGCCATCTTCAAAAAACAAGCAACAGAAAAGCATATCGACCTCACAGTTGCAGTCACGCCGGTTCATTTCTTGGAATCAGCCGTGTTTTTCGGCGACAGTAATCGTCTGATGCAGATTCTAATTAATCTCATTGGTAACAGCCTCAAATTTACAGAAGTCGGCTCTGTTAAAGTTAGGGTCGTAGTGAAAGAAAATCATGGCAAGGATGACGGCTTGGGTCGCGCGAACTCTGATGGCTCGCGACACTCAAAGATGTTCTTTTCTCGAGGGAGCTTGAGGGGCGGTTCAATGACTCAGAAGCCTCCATCCCGGCATACATCCTTAAATGGGCCCCAGGCTAGTAAGACCGACGGCCTCGCGGAGAAGATTTCCAACGTGCTCACAAGGACTGCTACAGGAGTACCGTACGACGGAAATGTATCACGTGAAGACATACTAACAGAAAAAGAAGCCATTCTTCCTGGGGTCGATAGCGCTTTTATCGGTGAATTCTGGGTTGAGGATACGGGGCCGGGGATACCACCGGATCTCCACGAGAAGGTATTCGAACCATTCACCCAGGGAGATAGAAGCCTTAGTCGGAAACATGGAGGAACGGGGTTGGGGTTGAGCATATGCCGCCAGCTGGCCGCATTGCTAAAAGGAACTATTGTTCTCAAGCAATCAGACAGCAACGGTAGTCAATTCTGCCTCACTATCCCTCTTAAACTTGCTAGGGAAGGCGCTTCGGCTAGGGATAGCATCGCTTCAAGCCTCGATGGCAGTCTTCAAGAGAGTACTGTCGCAGCTGTTCTCGGTGGAACAAACGCTCTTGTTCTAGAAAAGGATCTTGGACGCGTCTTACCGACCCCAGTAGGCTGGAACCTAACACGAAAATCCCGAGACAACATCTCTATTCCAGAATTGGGTCTTGGAGGAGATTTGGGTACCGTTATCAATTCGGAACATAAGACAATACCGATAACAAAGAATGCAGGAAAGCTTCTCGACCTTCCGGCAAACCCCCTTACTCAAATGGAGAGGATTAGGGTTCTAGTGGCGGAAGACAACCCTGTAAACCAGGAGGTTGTTTCCCGAATGTTGCGTTTAGAGTCGGTGTATGACATTGTTATTGCCAAAGACGGCCAGGAAGCGGTGAACCGCGTGAAAGAAGCCCTATCTGAAGGGAAACATTTTCACATCATCCTCATGGATGTCCAGATGCCCACCTTAGATGGCATCCAAGCTACGAGTGTCATCAGGTCGCTTGGATACAGGGCGCCCATAGTAGCATTAAGTGCTTACAGCACAGAAAACAACATTAAAGAATGCTACGACTCCGGTATGGATTATTTCATTAGCAAACCGGTTAAGAAAAGCCAACTACGAACCGTTTTAAAACGATACTGTTCAACAATCCCCGAAGAAAATACCCCATCCTCGGAAGTCGAGTCCCCCTTGTCAATGTCACCGGTACAAACGCCTTCGATAGAGACGACGCTCCTAACCCAACCGCCCGGCACATCGGAATCAGCGTTGTCGTTACCGTAGGGCTGCCTATCTAGCTCGATTCCATTTGCTACCAGTCTTAATCCATTTGTCGTCATACCTCTCTGTTAAAAGTTTATTTTCCGTTATTTCGATATTCCAGAGGCGCCCAGTCTTCATTTTTCTCCTTTTATTTGGTCTACATACACAATGATGATACCAAGACTGCCCTATCTACTAGGAAAACGGGCAATACGATATTTCCTTGCTTTTTTTTGGATCCAAAATATATTGATTTGTTTTTCGGGCCGTGTTTCAACTGATTCACCCCCTTCGTCAAATTATCACAGGGCGGTATTTCACGTATTCTGTGGTGGGTGCATTTATTATCTATTAATCTCTTTTTGGGGAGTAGTTCAAGCTGTAGAGTGTCAAAGCGAAAGCGCTCTTGGGTTCGGTGGAGTTTTTATTTGCGACTTTTCGCCCCTTGTTTCCTTAACCCTTCTCTTATCCAGTTTGCGAATCTAGCTTCCAAATGTTGATAAGCTAATCTGACCTCTGCAGTACCTTGGTTTTTAATTTTTATTGGTTATCCATACTATAGAATAAGGGCTGCGTCTTGGTATGTTGGGGCGCCAGTCTCTTTCGTTGGATGGCTCTATATATTATCTAGCGGCGTTCGACACTCTTGTATATATATATATGTAGTGTCCTGGTAATACAATTGACTTTATCAGGGTACCGAGGGAAATAGAACAGAAAAAAATAATTTTTTTTATGTGAAGATATCGATATAGGTGCAATCTCTAACTCTAAAACCACGGCAGTAGAAGAATGGCAACGTCAAAAAGTACCATATACCATATCATGTGGTTTATCCAGTCACGTTATCCGATCCAAGCAGGCCCGAAAGTCTTGTGCAACCATCCAAAAAATACCACACACTAATCCTAGCAACTATTCAAGAAGGTTGTTTACAACGCATAATTCAACGTTATTGGAAATTCCTCGTAACCGAACTGGAAAGCTGCATATCTGTAACATTTAAATCACACTGTATTTTATAACCAATGTGCCATAAGGAAGGGGCTTATTAATATTGTATTAATATAGTTTTTCGTTATAATACAATACATTATAGTGTTCAATACGGATTAAAGCAGCACTAGAGGCAAAAATTTGCTAAGAATTCGGATTGAAAAACATCAATTTTCTAGCACAGGAGGCAAAGTGCCCTAGAAACACAATGCCAAGCACCCTAGTACCAAGTAATAGGTATAAACTACTAGTCTAAAACTATTCAATCTTAAACTCATAACACTAGGCAACTGGGCAAAGACCAAATTTGACCTTGAATTATTTCACAGGAAAACAACCCATTTTTCTGCTATTCCAGAAGAAACTGAAAGCCTAGTCCCGTAACTCTAGGCGCAGCATGCCACCTCATTTTTAAACTAATAAACTATTCGTCTAGAACGAAATTTTGGTAGATTTGACGTCAAATTATATGATTTGAAATTGATATATTTTTGCGCTGTGGCCTTCTTAGAGGGGTTCCTTCTTTACCTACTTAGTTATCCGGGTATTTCCTTACGATTCCTCCTATAAACTGTCATTCTAGAGACCTTTCCTCGAAAAAAATAGCGTTTTAGAGAGGGCGGAGTCGACTGGCGTTTTGATTCCGCGCCCCTGACACTGTTTATGCCACTATCACGGGTATTCCATCGACTAAAATTATAGATGATATATGCATCATAAAATGGCGTCCTGCCTCAAGACGAATTAAATTACAAAAAGACAGTGTCAGAGGCTGCTGTCGTCGGAGCAATGTGAAACTAATTCTAAGCTACCGCGACATAAAGTTTTTTCCCTTTTGTTTCGCATAGAAAAAAAGAAAAAAATAAAGAGGGAGGGAGAGAAAAGGATTGTCAATACATTAAGGGGGGGGGTGACATATGCCTATAGAATATACATGTAATTTCCTTGCCCTTTATCTTTACCCCGTGAAAACGGATATATATTGCGTGAAAACAAAGCAATGCATACAGCAATAAAGCCAAAATCAATGTGATTTATATATCACCATTTAAATCATGATGCGGCTAGTAGTAGCCGGGAGTGGTGGTTGGTGGACAGCTACTTTCAGTGACAGTATGAGTCGCGGCGGGTTGCGTTACGTAGACAGTCTTGACAGTCTCAGAGTATATTGTCGTAGTAGTAGGAGCCGGGCAAGCGGAGACAAGAATGAGTTTTGTTTCAGTATGTGGTGGGTTAGATGGGGGGGTATAGACTGGTGGAGTGTATATAGGTGGGGTGTAAGTAGGTGGGGTGTAAGTAGGTGGGTTTTCGACAGGGGGGGTGTATACAGGCGGTGTATATACCGGTGGAGTATTCACCGGCGGTGTGTATGCTGGGGGTTGGGTGTGGTGGGAAGTGATATATTTAGTAGTAGTAGTGGTGTAAGTAGTAATTGTAGATGTTGTATAAACGGAAGTAGTTCCGCCGACGGTTGTAGTAAGGGTACAAGGAACATATTGTGTTTTAGTTTCGGTCTCGTATATAGTTGTGGCGGTATATGGGGCAGATGTAGATGTGCTAGTATGAGGCACATAGGTTTTGCTGGAGGTAGGAGGAATGTAGACATTACTAGAAGTTGGTGGATGGTATACATCACTTGAGGTTGGTGGGTAGTAAACATTGCTTGTGGTAGTGTTTACAGGTGGAACATAGTAGGAAGTTGGCGGCTCATAAGTCGGTGTCGTCACCGGTGGATTGTAGTAGCTCGATGTTGAGGGCTCATAGGCAGGAGTGCTGGTACTACTCGTAGTCTCAGGGGGGTTATAGTAGCTTGTAGGAGGGGTATAATCATCATTTGTAGTTGGCTCGGGCCCGTAAGTGGTAGGAGGTTCGTAAACTGGAATACTGCTACTGGCGCTGGAAGTTGTGTCTGATGGGGGATTGTAGTAGTCTGATGTGGTTGGTTCCGGGCCGTATGTAATAGTGGGGGGTTCGTATACGAGGGTACTACTACCGCTACTGGTGCTGGTGGTGTCTGGAGGACTGTAATAGTCATCGCTCGATGTCGATGTCGATGTCGATGGCTCAGGCCCATAATTGAACTCTGTGGTAGAAGTAGTGGAAGGCTCGTATACATCGCTTGATGTAGTTGGCTCAGGTTCATAATTGATTTCTGTTGTAGTAGAGGTGGTGGGCTCTGGTGGTACATAGTATGCTGGAGGCTCCGTAGAAATTGTGCTTTCTGTAGAGCTGGTTTCTCCACCATATATTGGAACATAAACGTTCTCAGATGTAGTAGGGACTACTTCAGAGGAGCTTGGAGGTTCGTAATATGCAGGCGCGGCCGCAGCCATCTGCAGGTTGGCTAAAAGTGCCACGGTGAGGGCAGACCATTTTAGAGTTGAAACCAACATGGTTACGTTTCGAATTATACCGAAGTAGCGGGGATGATATTATAATATTAACGAAAGTCCTGATAGCGAGTGACTCGAAGGGAACAAGCGAGGGATACCCAGTGCTTGATATTTTGAATATCGAATATCAAACGACGGATTGCTGTAGTAGTTAGATAATAATGATCGAGGCTCGAGGGCACCCGACATTTATATATTTACGGAGCCGTATACTTCGGGTACCCCCCTTTGGTGATGACGATGATGATGATGATTATGATGCCCCAGTACACTAGGTACGTAAGTAAGTATCCGTGGATTGTGCAATATACACCGAGAGCCATGCCATGCTACCTCGCCTATGCCGTCGATATCGTATCGATGAATCAGAACGGAGTTTACAAACCCGCAGCCTGTTTTTCTTTCTCCGTTGTCTGGGCGGAGAGCTATTGCAACGTCGGTTCAGTCGGATGATCCAAAGAAAGGCCGGGATTGGCTCGATCTCGAGCATTATTTTGCATTGTATCATGCCGGTGAAGTGGAAGACATCACGTACTTTCCCAGGATGTCTATCTTGAATGTTGCATTTGCTTCAGTTTTTAGTCTTCTGTTTCTATATTTACAACACCACCCTGGGAAAAAAGACTAAAAACTAAAACTAAAACTCTGTTGAATGTAAAATCGAAGTCAGCCCTATTGGTTGGTATATATTTAATTCAAGAGCTGGATGATATTATACAGTGGGGCGAGCTGTCCATCTTGGTGGTTCGCCTGCTCGGGAAACATTTGCCATACTCGCAGCCCAGGGTTACATCGGCATGCAGGCGTCCGTTTTGAGGATAGGTACTTGGCAGAACAGTCTTGTTTACCACTATATTAGTTCCTCCACGTACTAAAAGCCGAGTCCCTTTTAGGTACTTAGATATCCTTCCAACTGAAGTTATTGCTAAGGGTTGATGCTAGGTTAAAATTATGGGGTGACCTGATCGTTTTGGGGCTATCGAGAGCTCACACTTGCGTACAACCGAATATAAAACCCGGATTTGAGGAGAGCCGAAAAGGAAGTAACGAAGTGCATGCCTGAAATTAGAAATTCGCACGCAAAGGAACACGGAGAGCAACATATTAACGGTTTAATGGTGTATATTTGGTGATAGAAATGAATAGAAGGAAGAAGAAAGGAAAACGTTACGCCATCCAACATAAACATCCACAGAACACAGGGGGAAAAAAAGAGAAAGAGGAAGAAGGAAAGAAGGAAAAAAATCCTCGACGCAAAAAGGCAAAGTAATCCAATTGTGAAGATGCAATCCTATGCTGGGGGGGTTTATTTAATTTTTTTCCCCCATTTTTTCTCGTCCCCTGATGTTTGCGCCTTAGTACAATTGTAATCAATGATTTCAGTATTAAATGGCGAAATAATCCCGTGTGTGCTATGAGAATATCGCTACTGAATCGCGCCGAGCCGCGTTCTAGATCCGGTAGCAGACCAAATGCTCACTTCTTCTCCTCCAGAGTTTTGCGGAGTTTTTGTGCAAGCTCAGCTGTTCCAACTTTCATGACCCAAACTCGCGATTTGCCCTCGGGAAGGAACTCTATTATCTTAACCACTTTCCCTTTCGCCTCGGATTCGCTGACTTTCGTGTAGTCGAGCTCCTTCCGGAGCCCAACATTCATGAGAACTTTTCCAGTCTCAACTTTGACTACGATTCTCGCCCTTCCGTTAATTCTATTCTTTAAAACCCGCAATCTCCCGATGCCGATCTTTACATATGCTCCATTATTAAGGTTGTAGATAGACGACCGGGTCTCAAACACTTCGTCTTCTTCTTCTTCGCCAGGTCCCTTGCCCGACAGATCTTTGGTGTTACCCCCCTGCTGCCCGGCCTCATCAGAAGGGTCGTTGTCATCTTCGCCTCCTTCTTTATTCGAGGCCTCTCCTGGTGTACTGATATCCGAGGGGGCCGGGGACGGCCCTCCGAATGTCGTAGCTGGCGGAGCTAACCCGCCACCTGTAAGTCCGCTGAGTAATACCGACGGGATGGCAGACTTCAAGGGGGAATTCGAGAATACGCCCTTTCCGTTGGTTGGTTGAGGAAAGTTGAACTTAGTAGTAGTATTACCGAACAGACCGCCTGGGGCAGGAGCCTGGCTTTGTAATCCGAACAAACTTTGGGCGGGAACGGAGCCAGAAGCAGTACTACTACCCTTGCTATCTATTCGGTCCCCGAATTTTATACCTTTATCTGGAGTCCATGTCTGTTTGTCACTTGTACCAGCTGTATTTCCGATTAGGCCGACGGCTCCTGTTTTGGGGGCTGCGATCTGCCCAAAGTTGAAAGTCGGTGTGGAAGACACGCGGCCAAACAAGGAGTTAGAACTCGACTGCTGAGCTCCGAATACGGAGGTTGGCTCGGGTTTTGTAATGGCTGATGACTCCGGAGCATCGTCTTCGGGTTCGTTACTCTCACGGACATTGTTCTCTCCCTCCTTCTCCCCTTCGTCGCCGTCCTCATCGTCATCGTCTTCCCCCCCGGGAAGGAAAAGAGGGTTTTCTTGAGTAAAGGGGTTAGACCACCCGCCAGTATCAGAATCTTTCATTCCTGCCGTACCACCTGCTAGAACGCTACCCGGCGATGACGCATTGGATGCAGCTGCAGAATTCGGCTTGCTGTTCCATAAGGAATTAGGGGCAAAGGCTTTAGGCGCGGCATTATCGGATTCCTTAGAAGGAGCAGAGTCAAAGATATTGACCGGGGCTTTGCTTTGGGACCCGAATTGAAAGAGAGGTGCAGTTTTGGTATCATTGTTAGAGCTGCTACCAGAACCGAAAAGTCCTATTGATTTCGTAGTTGCCCCCGAAAATATAGATTCAGAGGGAGGATTTAGAGCACTCATTGCCGAAGTGGGTTGATTGAAGAGTCCTGTTGATGGTTTTGATTGGAATACGGAGCCGGAGAAGGGGCGAGCATCGCTGGTAGAATTTGTCTCATTTTGTAGGGAAGCACTCGAGTTTTTGCTGGCTGATGGGGCAAGCGCCGATTCAAACAATTTGGAAGCTTTTGATGGAGTAACTAAATCGTGTTTATCTAAAATCTGTTAGAAAAAGATTGCTTTGAACGTATTTAAGGCTACATCAACTTCTTACCTTTTGTCTCATAGTTACCCTCAATATGGTTATCGGCCTCGGTTTCTGCTTTCTCGTCAAGCTGGCCTTCCTGAGATAGCTTTACGGAATCAATATAGGTCAAATTATCTTGGTAATAATTAATAAAACCTGTGAGATTAGTAAACGGGTCCTTCGACAACGCCTCCTGAATCCGGTCCTGAATTTCGAGGTTAAGACTTTTCACTTGATACAACCAATTAAATGTTGGCATATCCTGTTGTGTGACGCCGACACCAGGAGGAGGTATCAGGGATTTAGGATCATGTTTAGGCTGCTTGCTCTTCGCCACATCTTCTGGAATATCTTTCGCTCCGGAAGGGCCCATCATCGTTGGCGTTTTAAATAGACCCGTTGCGTGTGCGGACGCCGATTGGGGATTCGCTACCTTTAAATCCGGAAATAATGAGCGGGAGCTTGGCTGCATACTGTTTGACGCAAGCGACCCATTCCCTGTATTGAATATTGATGTCTTTTCATTTTCACCCCCTTCTTCCAGGTTAGAGTTTAAGATTGGGAGATGCGGGGGTGCGCCAAAGAGTATTTTCGATCGAGGTTCCGATCCGTCCGAAGGTTTCACGGCGGCGCTATCACCAAAGCTGCCAAACAAGGGGGGCTTTGCTGGCGTTACAGTAGGGGTAGTCGTAGTGGATGATGGAACTGCTTCAACTACTTCTTGGGGTTTATGTGCGGGAAATCCAAATAGATTCTTCTGGGGTTCTGCAATGGCACCAGTAGGCCCTTGGGCTAGAGTAGAGGGGGCGAATATGCTCGGCCCGGGTTTTGTGATTTGGGAAGATGGTGCCCCGAATACGAATGTAGGAGGTGTAGCAGTAACGGCTGTGGTAACAGGATGGGTAGATGCAAGTTGAGGAGCAGGTGCACCGAAAATACTAGACGCTACTTGAGGTGTCGATACAGCGGTCGCAGGTTTGGCTACGGCTGTTTCGAGGGTTGTGAGTGCCACCTCTGAAGGCATAGGCGTTCCAAAAAGGTTGGGGAAAAGCGAATTCTCCGACTTGGATGCGCTAAAGGGATTGCCAGCGGGTGTTGAAGACAACGGTACGGGTTGACCGAAGAGATTTTTAGAAGGGGTAGTCTGAGCGAGCTGGCCAAACAGCGACGTGGTCGGAGTAGAATTGGTCGCCGCCGGTGGGCCAAAATTGAATAAGCCAGAGGAGGCGGGACTGGGACTGGGACCAGGTGCTGCAGCAGAAATGCCACCGACCCGAGACTTGGGCTTCAATATCCTAGGATAGCGATAGGGTTAGCTAGTCGATCCCTTCAATTTTCAATCCGTAGAGGGAGACAGTGAACACACTTTCTTTTCGCCAACACCGCCTGGCTGGCAACCTCGGCGGGTTCCTCCGAACGGTCTCTACCTCCATCATCTTCGTCTCTTTCCCAGGTATCCTTCGTGATTTGCTCCGTTGCACCGCGCTTAGCCATTATGAGCCGGATGCAATGGCGACTGGCGGTATATAACTGGGCGCGGTTGATGTGCGGGAGTGATAAATAGGAGGAAGGAGAGAAGAATGTGGTGTCAAGCAATGCTTGAAAACTTATGGCAAAGGAAGAGGGTGAGTAGGTAGGTAGGTATGTATCGTGATTATGGTTGTTGCTGTTTTTGAAAACGTTATTAGAGGGAACAGGTAGCGCAAGATTATACTAGGGGAAAGAGTTGTTTATATTGGTAGTTCCTAGCCGTGGTGGCTGGGGGAAGTAATATAAGAGGGTGCGAATCACAATGGGGAAGATGGGAATAGAGAAGGGGAAAGAGGAAACAGGAAAGAAGAAAGTGAAAGTGAAATAAAATATTTTCTTTAGAAAATAAAAAATAAAAATAAAAATAAAAATAAAAAAAAGTTGGTGATGGTGGTGATGTTGATGATGGTGAGAAGAGGTACGAGAATGCGCGCGCGTGTGTGCGTGCGTGTGTGTGGACGACGAAGTTGTTCTCTTCGCTAGGTTTTTTTTTTTTTTTTTTTTTTTTTTTTTTTTTAATATCCCTTTTAGGTTTGGACAAAAAAAGGAAAAAAGAAAAAAAAGGCTTTAATCGGAGCGACACTGGATATTTTTATTTATTTTATTTCCTATATTTTTACATTTACATTTTTATGTTTTTATTTATTTTATTTCCATATTGTCGGGCCGGTGTGATTGGTCTACATATATGACGATGATGATAAAATAAATAAGGTTGAGTCGGCAAGAAGCTTAAGTATTAGGTAGGTACAGAACACAGAAGAAATAGGTAAAAAACTTAAAGAAAAATACTAAATAACAGTTCCCCTGATTACTTAAGTACCGCACAGCACTCAAACAAGTCAGTATAATGAGTGTACCGGCCAGCCAGTCGAGTTCATCTACAACTTGGCCTTCTTTGCTTGGGCTTTCTTCAGCACCACCTCTGCCCTCGTAGCTTTCATCATGTCACCCTTAACCTTGAGTCCTCCGCTCATAAACAACTTCTGCGCATTAGCTTTTCCCTCGACTAGCTTGCCGAAGTTTTCCTCGCTCAAAGAAAGGGTGACTGTGAATGATCATCATATGTTAGTTTATATACAAGCAATTACTTAAACTGATAAGTATTGCGTGATTTTCGCGGGGGAAGAGAAGGACGAACTGTCTGCTTTCCCACCAGATGGGGCCTCGCCCTTGCCAACGGCTCCGGTTTGCTTGAGATCGATGAACCAAGAGTCGATCTGACCCGCAGCGTTCTTCAAAGTGAAACAGAAGACGGCTCCACCCTGAGTATGTGACAATCATCAGTATTTTATTCAAGTTTAATATATATCGGCACATATGTGTGCATGTGCATGTGTATGTATGTGTATGTGTAGGTGCTTGGGTGGGAGCTTACCTTCTTGATGGCATCTTTCTTCTCAGTTTCGTCCTTGAGAGCAGCAGCGATGGAATCAAAGGCAGCAGAGGCTGGGAAAGCGTCGTTCTTCAAAGACATCGTTGTAGGTTTTGTTTTTTTGGTTGGTTTTGTTTCTTCCTTCTCTCCTCTTGTTATTTTCAATTAAACCGTTTTCACAAAGAAAGGAAAGGAAAGGAAAGGAAAGGAAAGAAAAGGAAAAGGAAAAAGAAAGGGTGAAATAGAAATGGTAGTACGTGGGGAGAGGAAAGATGGTACCGAAGGACGGGTGGGTGATATGAAGATGAATTCAAGCGCAGATCTAGATGCAGTGAGTGAGGGAGATGTAGCGAACAGAGTTCATTCGGGGAAGATGGAAGAGGGCAGCGATATATTTAAAGTACATGATACAACCGGTTAAGCATCCAATATAATACCAATTAACATGCATGTGAATTTCGAATATGATACTTATGCTTCCTTCCTTACAGCTAGACTATCGTACGGTCCACATGAATTCGAAGTATCATCGATCATAGAAACATGTGATTCCGGCATGTTTTTTTTTTGTTTTTTGTAAGTACCTACTTCCTTGCTGACTTGTCCGGTCTGGTCCGGTCTGGTCTGGTCCGGTCTCTTTTAGGAAGGGGAGGCTGGTCTGACTTGGTTGACCCTGGCCGGCTAACTAACCACTTTGGTCCATAGTACATGCAAGTAGTACAATACCTGCGCCGTGATGTCATTCCGCACCGTTGGGAAGCGGCCATCCTCATCTCCACCGTGCTGCGCATTGCAATGGCAATGGGCAATATCAAATATCATAATTATAATTAAGTACATACGTTACTCACTTCAAAGGTAATTTAATCGCATTCTTACATACTATTTACATATACCAGAAATACTCACTTGAGTACGTGTGTACATGTTTAGACAAATTAAAACACGGGGAACGTCAACACGCCACCACAACCACAACCACAACCACAACCACAACCACAACCACCCATCGTCATATCTCACCACCTCTTCCCTCCCCCACCATCCTCCTCCTCCTCCGCCTTCTCATCCTCATCCTCCTCATCCTCTCTTCGGCTAGATCTCTCCCCACTCCGCTTATAAAATTCATCCTTCATCCAATGCACTTAATACCTACCTACCTAATCCTGCATACATTCACCACCATCATAACTACTTAACTTCCTACTAAATAAATTTCTTTATCTATATGTGGCATACGACATCACCCGGCAGCATCGCCTACAGATCATCGACAGAAATCTCCACAACTATGGAAAATGCGGAGTCCGCAAGTACTGCATATGCACCCCCACCCCCGCACTCCTCACCACTCCCTGCCCCTTCCTTACCGAAACATCTTCGCTATCCATCCAACCCTCCTCCAACCGGCCCACTACCTCGTCCACCTTCCATTTTAGAAAACCAACAGATCGGTGCCAGGCTCTCAGCGTCTTCTCCACCGCTTTCGGCTTCCATCCACCCAAGACTTATCGCAAACCCTTTCCCAACCCTTCCCGAAATACAAGGGCAAGAACCTAGCGAACCCTTCCATAATACATCAAACCCCAAGGGCTCCTTAACGGCTCTACTTACCCCTTCTAACTCCTTGCCATATAATTCCGATAGCCCTTCACCCGTTGGTCGCCAGCCCTCCGCCCATACCCAAGCATCATCAGACGCTCTTGGAGAAAACTACCTGCCATCTAAATCTTACCCTCTTACACCCTCACCCTTAGACCGGGGCAATCGGGTGTCAAGTGCTGTCAGTGAGGATTACTCTACATACTCTGGTTCCAGTTTACTCTGCTCGCATGAGGAAACTGCTCCCCTCCCTTCAAGACCCACTCAAACCTTCCATTTTGACCCCAATGTAGTGCCGCTTGAAGATCTTCAGCAAGACTCTCACAGCCTACGTAGGCTTTCGCGACTAAGCTACATAAACGGGGGTACCGCCTTTATGGTATCCGAAGAAAGCGATGACCTCCAAAGAAACGCTACTAGCTGGTCTTATAGAATAAACAATGTTCTACCAGAGTTCGAAGGGCAGCAAAACCGAGACCCAACGGCAACTAGCCCTCGCGATATCAATCCCCGATTTGACTATCATATAAATAGCACTTTGGGAAGTCCGGGAGATTCAAGTCTGAGGATACACCCCGCTGACAATCGTTTCGAATAGTACGTAAAAAACCCCCTTCCATATAGAATTTACTCTTCGAATTAACTAGCAAATCCTTCAAAAGTACTTATCGGATACGGAAGGCGAATGAAACCGAGGAACCAATATATGTACCGGTATATAGTTTCGAGCCGCCGGGGAAATTCCCCCATAGATCTAGATTAACAGCCCCGTTGGCTACTCCAAAGTTTCTAAACCACACTCCACGGAACTTTTCGTTACCTGGGAGGCTCGATGGGGACTCAGCAGACCGTTCTAGTAGTGATAGTGCCGAAATGCTTCTTGGGGACACCAGAAAATCAAATGGTATTGGACAGGAAATCAAAGTACCCTTGCGAGCTTACGATGTTCAAAGACGCGGTTTGCGTCCCTTCTGGAACCCGCTGGCTATGAAGTCGCCGGGAATGGCACCAAGTCTGCCTGCTCGAAAGAAGATAAAACGTGGTATACAATCCTACCGTAAAGAAACAGTTCACCAAAGGTTCGAAAGGGAACACAGTCACTATTTCCAGGATCTAAGCCATCTCGAAGAGTCCCATTGGCCAGCCGTTCCTATACCGCCAAGGGTTCAAATCCACGGCCCAAAATTTTCGTTCTCCAGATATGGTGTCCCGACCCTCAGGCGACCCTCGGACTCCTACACAGGCAAGGAAATAAACAAAAACCGTTGGCCAGAAAGATATAAACGACAAAAGCGCATAGGCCGATCGTTATTATGCATGTGTATCGCCATGCCGCCTCTGTGGCTCGTCATGTCAGTTGGCTTGTTGGATAATCTCGTAGCTGAAACCACAAGCGGCGAGATTTGGGGTGTTGGGAGAGTAGAGAAGATTCTTGCAGCCTGGTTTGGAGGAATCTTTTGTTTTGCTCTGATTGTTACAATCATTGTAATAGGAATTATCGTTCTATAAGATCCATACCCTGCAAGCTCTGGATCTATCCACATCGGAAATCCCCGAAGGATCGTATACTTCAGTTTCTTATTCCTATATACCCTTGTAGAGGCGTTTACGCATTTTCAAACTTCTCATCGGTCTATTTTCTGTTTCTCCTTTCGGTGGGGTTTACAATTTTTATAAATCATTTCGATTGGCGTTCTCATACAAGATTTTGTTTACCAGCGTTCATATTCCTACGTACTCTCGAGGCCCAGAGCTGCCCCATTCCTACACTGAATCCCATATGTATATTTTTGAAGGCTCTTTTCTTTGCAATAAAGAGCCTATGATTTGCCGTTTTCTCAACCCCCCGATTCTTCTCCCGATTACATAGGTCACCAAGTTGCGGGGAGCGGCAATAAACAAAGGTGGTTTGTAGCATCTGACGATAACTAGAGCGTAAGGGTGGGAATCCACGGCCGAAACTGCCTTGGTATCTATAAGTCGGAAATGGACTGTTGTCAGCCGACGGAATCAATTATAGCGCCTCCAAGGTCTCGTATATTCATAGATATTGGATACCATTTATTTATAAGGGTTTATGTTGTGTGGGAAAACTCAAATACAGTGCGGGAATGAAGGGTTGAAACCCAGCTGATTTTTCCTTCTTGATAGTTTATTATTGATCGTGAATATCGTTTATATATTCAGCTAAATTTTGATACCCACCCTAGAACGCGCAGTGTTATGAAAATAAATAATAACAATCTAAACTTAACAGAATACCTTTGCCTTCAACAAGCTAAAACACCACAGGAAAACAATGCGAAAAAAGGTAATCCTCCAACCATGACACCCCAGCCCCCCCCTGGTGGTAAGAGAAAGGATTCTAAAGTCGACGCCGGAAAAATGCAAGCCAATTGAGCAAAATAGTGCTCTCGCCTAGGCTGATAGCCCGAAGAATAACAACGAAACAAGGACATAGGAGCAAAGCCGGTCGGGGTATCAATATACAAGCCGATGTTGGCGTTGATAGACTAAGAGGATCTCTTTTTGTATTTCTATGTTTGGTGGTTAGCTGGGTTTGAGATAGCCCTAGGGCTCTAATTTGGAAAACCTACGTCTCGGGTCTTTTCCCTCTTCTCTTTATCGATGGTGTTATCGATTCCATGTAGGGTTTTATGAACAGCTTCCGTCACACCAATCATCGGCCGAATAACTGCCGTCGGTGCAGCGCGGAAAACTGCAGCAGCAGCGCCCTATCAAGTTAGGCAGAATTGTATTAGCAAGAGTTTATAAGATGGATCTTTGTCTCTCACCTTGGCGCTGCCCCCTTGGGCTGCCTCCGACGGAACTCTCAGGATGGCCTCCTTTGCTTCATTTAGGTTCCTTGTCAGCCCCCGTCTAGCTTGGACTAGCCCATTATAGACCCCGAGGGGTTGATCTGCATAAGGGCTGAAAGCCGCAGCACTACTATTCTCGTCCTCCTCCTCCCCAGAGAAGCCCTCACGAAGGTGAATATGCTGCCTTTGCTGCGCTAGGTCTCCCACCAAGAATTCTTCTGTTCTCTCTAAAAATGTCTGCGTCCCAATAGCCAGTTTCGCACCGAGGCGCGCAACCTCTGACCCACTTGTCTTGACGAAATGTTGTGTCCCTTTCTTGATGCTACGCACCAGTCGGCCGTCTTTTCTGTACTCCATAATCGGAACTTTAACAAGATCTCTAACACCGGTACCAATGTTTACGAGCGAGCGGAACGGCGCCACGCCAGCGACAACTCCGCCCAATTGATTCTGCTTGATATCTGGCATCCATATATTATTGAGATCCTTTCCTAGCCTTTCGAACCCGGAGACACCGTTCAAGGCGACATGGCGAAGTTCCATATCGGCTTCTTCGAGGATGAAGAAGTTCATGAATTCAGTAGTTCTTCCAGATCTAAGGCCCGCATAGTCAACACGTTTCGGCTTGAAATCCAACTTCACTCTAACGGTGTCAATTTCACAGCGTTGAATGAACGGTTCCTCTTGTTTGGCCCCTGATCTTGGGGTCTCTGGGTCTTTGAACTCGAAGAAGCGTGTAAGAAACTCAAGGGCGTCTTGGTCAACATAGAGTCGGAGAGGAAGTAATTTGACCTACGGAAAATGTTATTAAACTCAGATACTTTTTCTTTTTTTCTTTTTGAAAAAAAAAACAAAAATAGGGAGAGAAAGAAGAAAAAAACCTTGATAGACAACTCTGTTGCCGCAAGTTCAGGGATTGGACGGAGAGTATCAACATGGATATGTGCCATGGGGAGACCACGTTCACGGACCCCAGCCTCCCGCATGTAAGTCAAAAACATCCTCCAAGTGGATGTTCTAACGTTTTCAGTCACCTGAACTTCATTGATCCTTAAATCTAGTGATGTTTGGATTTCCGAACCATCGGGCTCAAACATTGTAAAATCAACATCAACACCTTTGAGTTCGAATTGCATCGCATTACGCTTCGATCTTTGGTATTTTTGCTCCCGTTTTCGGGTTTGAGAGTTTTTTGCCCCTTGGTTGTAAGGAGAATCAACCGTTGTCACAGTCGGTGTATAGCTCCCTGTTTCGCTCTGTAGATCGTAGTTCCCCTTGATCTGGTTCTGGATATCCTTAGAAAGATCTTTTGGGTCACGGTGGTGCGGAAGAGTTATGTAAATCGAGTTGAAAAGAACATCGTAAGTCTCGCTTTCCTCATCATCTCCGTCCTCGTCCTCGTCCCCATCCTCATCCTCCTCTGATCCTCGTTGGGCATCGGCATTTCGTCTATGCCGTCGAAAGGCGCGTTCTTCAACCTTCTTTACAGCTTTTGAAATCGTATCTCTTGTCTTTTGCCAGTCATACCCGTCATGGAGGTTCCAAATAAGTTGTGTATTTCTGATGCAGACCTTTAATGCAACCTTCCTAGGCCTAAAATAGTATTCAGTATTTTGGTCAAGATATAAAATAATATTGTCTTACACTGCTTTTATTTGGACCCCTTGAGGCCTTTTAGATGGAGCCTGGATATATTGATCATCGAAAGTCAATGGCTCTTCAGCAACGACGCAGACCTGTTCGTGGAAATTGGACGCCGATCGGGATGTAGTTGATGGCGAAGATACGGAAGACGGGTCCGCATTTGGTGGGTCGGAATATGGAGAATAACTTTCAATTAGTTGGCTGTTAAACGGGATTTCGTCTTCAAACAGGTCTTCAGGTATCTCCTCGAGTGATTTCAAATTGCGTGGCTGCCCACCAATACAGGCAGCATCAACCGGCATGAAAGCATCCTCGTCAAGGTTAGCGAAAACGTCAACCGGCATGATTTGCGTCATGTATTTTATTTCCTCGCTTTCTGGAAGCGGGGGCTTCATCCCATTCAGAATACTGATAACTGTTTGTGTGGAGTCCGCACAGCTTTCAATAAAAATAAATGTGTCTTCCACATTTACTAACACGCTCGTCTCTCCTCCCACATCGTTGTTGTCAAAATTTAGATTCACCTTCGCAGACGTCGCTGTGAGGACTGAGACATATCCTTGTGACGTGTAGTAGTATAGCTCTTCCAGCGGCTGGTGCTTTTGTTTTCTACTATCTAGTGAATGTATATGGGGGCTCGACAAGTTGTTTCGGTTATCAATTGCAAGGAGGTTTGCCTTAAGAAGGACTAGGGAGGCAGAAAGTGGTTGATGGCTGGATAGTCCGCAGACAAAAGTACCATCATGAATAATAAATAGGGCCTTTGATGTGCTGTCTAGGGGGTTAAGAACAAGTGAGACGCCCCTGAGCCCAATATTCAGACGTAGCGGTGGTTGGTTTGACGGTAAAATGTTATCCTGCGATGAATCATGGTTGATGGATTGACTAGACGGCCACTTGTTTGTGGGGTTTGTGCTTGAATTAACCATCGATGTGGCAGCGACATTCGGTGTAGTTTTTGTGGTAAGAGAAAGAAGTTCGAATAACGATTTGGCGTGGTATTCGACACGAATATTCCAGATTTTGATCTTTAATTCTGGCTCTGGTTCGTCCCCAATCATGCGAACCATTACCATCGATCGAGTTTTATGTTTATGGTCAGAAACTGCAAGTGGGTGTGGGAGGGATTCCCCAACCCAGACTTCATTCGCCTTCCCGGGCTGCCTTATCAAATTCACCCTTCCGATACTGAGTGCGAATAACGACGGAGCAGCGACATGGCATATATCGGCGTTTTTCGATCCTACGGTAAAACTACCGGGTTCATTCTCTGGGAAAACGGTGAATGAAACAATACCCGCTGATATAAGTGTTAGCATGCCCGGCCTCTCGTCCTGGGGAATATATTTCGCGACTGTAGCCATCTTCGCGAGTTCCTCCGCAATCGCTCTAAATCGTGAGATATCCCCTAAGTCAGACAGACTACCCTTCGTCTCGCCAATATCGACTCTCAGGACAGAACCCCGTCGACGCTGGCGAAGCAGTATATCAACCATGACGTTGTCGTCGTCGTCTTCGTAGCCATCCGTGGATGGCATGATCATCTTGAGAAGCCGTTCGAGGTCCTCCTCAGTAGGAGAATTATCAAAAGTTACGCTGATCGAATTGGATTCGAGGACCGAGGCCGCCGATCCGAAGTGACTGCCTTCGCCGATATTTGGACCAAAAATTGCGAGCTGGCTTAGTCTAGCAGCTAAGCCTCCAGTTTCTTTCGTCGTGATTTTAATGGGGGAAGTTGACAATCCTACTCCGCCAGTAGCTGAAGAAATGAAGACTTCGATATTGATTCCGCTTATATCTGCCGTAATGGATACTTGTTTTTCGACGGGGTTTTTTTCTTGAGACTCGGTAGCGTGCATACCACTTGCCTTTTGCGAAGCTCGACCCTTCGAGGAAAGACTGGAAGCTGGTGTTGTATTGAGAATCCGGTCCAATCCTCCAAAATAAGCCAGGGTCGCTTCGAGATCCTGGACCGGAAAATAGAAATTGACAACGGCACTCCGAAAGTATATACGCCGTCCCATTTGGTTGTCTTCAATGCGGAAAATCAAGGATGGCTCCATAACGGCAGCCTTTTGCTTTCCGGGGGTTGTGATGTTTTGATTCGGAATAAATTTCATAACATCCTGGTCCCCTATTTTGACTGAACAAGAACCCAGCGAGACTTCTGAAAAGAATCCTGATGCGTCCTGTTCTTTAGTAAGACGATGCCCAAGTTTAACTTCTCTGACAGAGACTACCAAGATATTTAAGTGGTTGAAGGAATCCGAGTCGGTTTTTGAATGCTGGTGTGTCCAGAGGTCAGGTTCTCCCGAGTCAAATTGACTGCACCCTTGCGGTGCTATGAACTCAGTCATTCGATCCACCAAAGCAATATCCAAAGATGCCACAGACAAAGCGAGAACTGATGTTCTATCTTTGACTGTACTATCAATCTTGACCGGTTCCGGGACCTCACGAAAGTCCCTAGTTCTTCCGATAATCCCTGTTGTGGAAAGAATGGAAACAATATTTCTCCCGACTATTAGATCGATTGAAATATTGATGTTCCCGATTTCCAACTCTATGCAATCCCCTGGCGGAGATTCTCGCGGGTTGGATGGTGGGCGCTGGCGGTGTGGGATGGGGGGAGCTTCCTCCATTAACTTGAATGAAACACTAGACTTGGGGTTTAGGCGAGTTGAATGTGATGCTAACAGTGAATTGCTTGTTTTTCTTCTTTCTGATCTGCCAGCCGCATAAACCGAAAATGCGCCGGGCATAGTAGGGTATGTACTTTCGGACATAGAGTCAAAAGTAGGTATAGATTCCGATTCTTGGTCCTCCGTAGCACTCCTAGTTGATTGCGCAATCCCGGGGACGAATATATCTATATAATCGATTTGAAAAAGACGCTTTTGAATCTTCAGTCTTGGTATACTCAAGCCTAGAAGTGGAGTCGAAGAAGGCGTTTCGTTTCGTTCAACCAAGGCTGGAAGAGACGGATCAAATGATTGCGATCCACCGAGCGCAGATAGATAGAGGCTCCCAGCTTCTTCGTGGGTGAATATCATGCTCTCTGCTAACGCGGACTCTGATTCTTCCGAGCCCGATTCCTCGGCACCTAGCGTTTGGGGGCCCGCCTCCTCTATTGACGAGGTTAAGATCTGGGAAGAAACCAAAGGCGACGGGATTCGGTTTTGAATTAAGACGGCTGTATCTCTTGGGATTTTTTGCTGGTCGCCATCGGCCCTGGTTTGAACTTGAATGCATGTGTCCGGGCTAGGGCGGTGGGAGCAGGAATCCGAGGGGCCTGCCACTTGGGTAGTCGCCTCATCCTCTGACTCCTGTAATGGATGAGAGGAGTCCATATTATCTTGTGGACTTGTTTGGACGGAAATGGGGGCGTCATCCGCTTCGCTAGGTGGATAACTCTCGTAGACACTGTCACTCTCTGAGGGCCCTCCTTTATCGCTGGAAGCATATATTACTCTTGGCTCCACATGTGATAGAGAGATATCACCGATTGCTTTACTAGCCTCTAGTGATTCGTGGTCTGCCGAGTGTTGAGTTTCATCATTGCTAGTCGATGATGCAGCAGAATGCATGGATCGTGAGAGATATAACAGGTCGGGATTAGAATATTCGATTGGGTCCAAGGGTTCCTCATAATAAGTGTACTGTTCGTTTAGCTCTGAGCTTGCATTGACTAGTTCTAAATTTGTTAAAGTCTGAGAGATTGTCATTGTTGGTGCCGGTCGGGGAGCTGGCTCAGCGATGCGTGAGTACGGCCGTCCATATGAACTCGTTTCCGGAGAACGAGAACAGATTCGTGAGTCTGGACTTAAGCTGGCTGACCGTGGCGGAATGGTGGCAGTGACGCCGAGGAACTTAGTATTTGGTTCTTGGAACAAATCAAAGTGCCGTGGTTCGCCCTCTAAGCTATCAGAATCTGAATTGTCTCCACACTCATGAGAGGTCGTGTTTCCTTGAAGTGATTCAATATTCTGCTGATAATCCCGGCCGTATATTGCCTCTGGATTATATGCAACCGGGCTTCGGCCTGATTGGGATAAACCAGTATTGTTTTCTGGGTTGAAAAAACTGTGGGATATGGTTCCAGAGGCAATTTCTTCAGGTCCTATTGACCCATGAAACGACGAGATTGGGGAAAATGACATGTTCTCAGAAGTGTCCATGGGAGGCGAGGGGGGTGACTGGGTATGACCTCGGTCAGGTTCCTGCATCTGTGCAAAGAATGAATGAGTGGCTACTCTGGGGTCCTCAGAACCTCCGGCGTGTTGATGAATGGCTTCCGGGCTTCGAACACCAAGAGGGAGCGATTCAGATAGATCTATTCCTTGTGATCCTTCAACATCTGGGTTCTTCACGGCCACAGATCTAGCCGGGATAGCAACAGATGGCAACACCGTACTACCTGACGCTACAGTATCCGTATCTCCCAGGTTTGGAGGGCGAGAAGATGAAAGGTCTTCAAAAAAGCCGGGGTATCCAGAAAGCAACAAAGCAATCCCGTCAATTCTAATAGCTCGCATGCCAGACTTTGCCGTCCGTGAGGCAGGTGTGTTTCGTTTCTTGTCATCAGTACTCGCGGCGACGCCCTCGATTTCGATCGAGTCAATACTAAATGTAACAGTCAAATAATTGACGTCGAGGCCCCTGGGCTCTGGTGGACACAAAATTTTGATCCTGAGAGAAATATCCTCGACTACTATTTCTACCCTATCTACGAGCCTCTGGAAAAATGAAGGAACAAAGTTCCAGAAGCTCAAGGGCATGCCAAGTCCCGAGTCCTCTGCCGGCTCTTCTTCTTCAGAATCATTTTCTCCTATTGCCTCACGACTCTCAAATTTGGACTGGAGAACAGCATCCACTTCTTTGGCCTCGGCTGGGCGCTCTTGTAGAAAGGACGATGTGAGGTCAATCCCAGAAGGTATTTTGAACCTGTCTCCAAAATCAGGGTCTTGCATTACATCTTGCGCTGAGGACCCATCCGATTTAAGTCCGCAGGCGGAGTTCTCGGCTTCAATATCATTAATTAGCTCCCCGTCGACTATCACAGTAGATATAGACACCCTAACCGGGGTTCTGTGGAAATCTGTTGGGATGCGGATATGTAAGGTCGACACCCGAGCGTCGTGCAAGCGTAAGTTTGGAGGTAGATTTAGTGTGGCTGAGAGTTTCTAAAGACGCCCGGCTCAGTTATAGAATACCCAGTGTGCGGAAGGGGCGAAAGGGACCTACTGCAACATTAAGACCTAAGTTCTTCATCTCAAGTTCATTCCTTAGTCCCAGGGAGAGATTGAAATCTCGTTCCACATCGTACGTAGAGTGGTCCAGGAAATCAAGTTTAGATAGCGCATATCGAAAAAGCTTCAGTTGAACTGCACGAGGTATATAGCCAAGCATAATTTTGACTATGTTGGCGATGATGCTGGTGACGATACTGGTGATTCCGATGTTGTTGTCCTTCGAGTTTACTGGGGTCTTGGAGAAGGGGGCTATGGGCGACAGTCACACTGGGTACTGAACACTGAATCCAGATTCTCCGAGAAGCTAGACCGTTAGAAGGAAACCTCAAAAATATAATGTTTTTCCGCAGCACCGTCCGTCTAAGGGGTGTGTATCTAGTACTTAACTACCCTCCTAGGTGGGTACCTACTGATGCACATACAAAGTACAAAGCTCTTGGTCTCGCAGATGCTAGTTGCGTCAGCTACGTGCACGCTGTGAAGAGCCGCATCGCTTAAGCCGATGCTTTGAAGACAGGCTTATAGGGTCGGGGTAAGTTGAAAGGCCCAAGAAGAGACAACGAAGATATCTATGGCGAGATGGAGGAAGGTCGTGGGGGAAGGCCGTGAGATGGGGCAGATGCTATGTACTATCGGAAAATGTGTATTTGTTGGCGGTGGATGTTGATGGAGGCAGGATGGGTCCTGACGGACTCACTCGCTTGCAGGTGGCACATGCATCATAGCATAGCTCCTGTATCGAGCAGAGGGAAACCCGATTATGTAATCAATAGCCAAGCCTTTGGCACAAACGCGACTAACAACGCGCATCGCTAAACTTCTAGTCGATAGTGTCTATACCTTGGTCCTCAACCCTGCGATTAGGCCTTCCTCATCAACTATAGACCACCTGCCACCATGTTCAATTCGATATCTAGCCCTAAGAACTTCGCAAATATTTCTCGGTCATCATATGGCCACCCAGATGATGATGATGACGATGCCTATGCCGGCCAGCATGATCACTCTGATTTCGATGAAGACGACGAAGCTGCAGACCTCAACGACATGCTTGTGGGACACCATGATGACGTTAGTGACGACCATAATGACGGCTATGGAGACTACGAAGATGACCAGAGCGATAGTGCCGATGGCTTCGACGACGCCGGCCTAGACGATGTTGTGGGGGAACCTGCTGAAGCCGACAACTCTCCTTCTCGCAGTGATTTCAATCATGGTATTCCCAATATAACTGAGCCATCAGAGGTGCATAGCCCCATTTTCTTTCTTTTTTTTTGTTTTAGCACGCACTTTAGCTCGGAATAATATTGGTTCTTGTTAACTCCTTTTCCTCCCCTCTTATAGTTTATCCTAGCCCTCTCAGACCTCCTTGAGAACGCCCACAGCGTTCTAGAACCACTCGAAGATGCCGACGAACACACCCAAAACGATCCTAGCCCAATTGGCCGGCATATTCTTTCTGAAACTCAGCGCCGCCTTTACCTTCAAAGACTATCCTTCCGGATTCTAAACTCAATAGCCAATTGTTCATCTAGTACTAAAAACGACCGGCTCGATGATGCGCTACGTCTAACATCTTTAATGCTTCCGCTTTACTTCCCCCCGCCCTTAGACCTCACCACTATTGACCTCAAGTCAAATGCTCCACTCCTAAGGGAACTGTCGCCTCCTCGTCCGGCCCCACTCATTCTAATCCAGTGGCTAAATCAGAACGACCAACATTTGGATCCCAGCTCTTTTTTGGATGTACTAGACTATAGGCCTAACCAGGCCTTGCATTATGACTTTTGGTCCCTCTTACAAAAATTGGCTCTGCGCTGTCGTCTGGATGACCTGAGGCTGCTGTTGGGGAGTCCGCGTTGGGATGTTACAGAGTCCTCCCAACCGGGAGCACAGACCTACAATCGTCTCGCCGCGAGTAACCTGCAAAAGGCTAGCAAAATCATACAAGATATAGTTTCCCAATGCCCTTCTCTTAGATTTTTCCCATGCTCGAAAAATGACACAACAGCGCACAAAATTAACCGACGAGGTGGAGATAACACTGGAGAGGAAAACTGGGACACTAGCTCACTTCCTTGGAGGATGTGGAGATCAAAAATTGCCCGGGCTGTCGACGAGATAGCACGGATCTCACAGCAAGATCCGCATATCGTAAAACGAAGCAACCCACAGGATACCCTGAATGACCCAAGTCGGCTATTTAGGGCTAAGAATAGCGCTTACTCGAGCTCCGAACAATCTCACTTGATACCCTACGGAATAGCCCAGGAGCTACGCGTTATTCTCCAGGTTTTCCTAGGTGACAGGGAAACTATCTTAAAAATATCAGGCGGGTGGCTAGAGGCGGTTGCGGGGTTGGCCGCCTACCATGATGAGACAGGTTCCTCTGGGGATGGAATGGAATGGGACAAATACGGGCGGTCGGGAATGACAAACAGGGCTACCAATGCGTATCACGAAGATGCCGCCAAAAAGCTGGCTAAATCCTTTCATCTCGCTACCGACAAAGTGTTTTCACTCCCTGCAGTCCGGAACCTACAATCGGCGATCGCCGACATCCTCGCAGGCAGGGTTCCCAAGGCGCTGAAATTCCTCGCCAAGTTGAGTCTCCCAGTCGCTAGCGCGGCTGCAGAGATTCTTGCATGGGGTGGATATTTCCGGTTCGAACTTATGGATGGTTTGCAGTCTTCAACATATCTCCACCCCGACTCCTTGGGGCTCCTAGGATCTGGTAGGGAAAAAGACAACGTGAAGGAAAAGATAGTTTCCACGTATGCATTAGCACTAGGTTCCCTTGGAATATTACATAAAGGCAAGGCAGAAACCATCGAAGGCTGGGAGATTGGGCTAGCAACTTTAAGGAGGACGACCACGGCTGGGACAAGAAAGGCGGCATCCAGATTGATTAAATCCGTCAAGCTAGACGTAGATGAAACAGCTCGGGTAGAACGTCTTGTTGATACATGTGGGAAGCATGGCCTCGCTGACGAGCAAAAGTATGTGTCAGAGTCTTTTGCGCAGAAGCTCTTATCAGCCGGGTCTATTGGATCTTCATTACTCTACTTTTCGAAAGCCGGATGCAACTCCCGTATTCACGATGTTATGGCTGGATATGTTTGCTCGTCTCTAAGGAGGGGGGGGTTGGTACCGCTCGATGAAGACATTGATGACATTATGCGAGGGTTACTCACATCACCTACCTCGTTGGTGGGAGATGACATTCTGCGCAGAGAAATCGCGGGGTTCGCTGCCTTACGAGGGTTTTACGCGTCGAAGCAAGAAGGTCGGTTCGAAGATGCTGCTCAGACGTTGGTGGTCCTTCTCTTGAGCGCTGGTGAGAAACTTGATGGTGGAATATTACATCAGGACTGGGAAAGTGTTCTGGCTCCAGATAATATTGCTGGGCTTATTTATGAGCTCCTACATGTCTCTGAGAATGATAAATCTGGCCACGACTTTTCGATTTATCTCAACAACTCTGACATTTTCAATGTTTTGAACGTGGTAGAGTCATTGTTTCTCGTTGGAGGTGAAACTCTCGAGTCTGTTCAAGAGGAATTCTACCAGATACAACAAGCTAGAAACATTCCTCTTAAACTAGATTTTTTCGAAGCCGTCTCAACCCTCCGATCCACCCTAGCCATAGGAATCGGAAATAATTGGTTGAGAGAGGAAAACGGGAAACGTCTTGTGTTTTGAGCTGATATTCATAGGCATACAATAGTAGTCTTGAGGTCAGGCAATTAATATTAATATGATGTATGCTGGAATGGACCCAGGGTTTTACAAGCATGGATATCTACCCTTACACCTGAACACTTCCTTAATTACTGCGGTTGTATTAATCCGTGTAGGTATGTCCGCCTCAAGGGCACCTAGATTCGAGGCTAGTATTATATTAGGTGTCCAAGAAATCTATATACCACGTACTCAAGTAGGCACTTAGTTTTGAGAACTTGATATAATAGCGCGCCTATTTACCCTTGTGCCCCATAAAGAACGCGCAACACATAGCCTGGCCCCAAATGAACATGAGGCTTGAAGAGGCGTCTACAATTACACCTTATAATAGTCTTATGTTTCAGGTGTAAGAACTGTCTACGAGATTCCCAACGCAAAAACCCTTGATAAATAAACGGGACTACGTCTTGCCCTGGTACCAACGAGACCAGTCTTACCTCATATTTGGTGCTCTTTGCCCCGAGACAACCAGTACCTCTTCTAGTATTATCTTTTTGCTGTTGTTTTATGCATGTCAGCCTGCGATAAAAATTGTTAGCATGAACGTCATATTATTTTGCTGGGTTTAGTTGAAACCCGGTAGTTAATACATAGAGCGTGACGCCTAGGCGATCTTTCGTCCATACGTCTAAAGAAATGTGTTACATCCAGCGGGCTAGCCGGCACCTGGAGTACTAGGTAGCCGACGTCCGACGTACTAACTTACTTGCAGGTATGTAGATTGGGAGATCCAGAACAAAACATTTACAGTAGTTTTATACCTGACATTAAACTTGCAACCAACCCGAAAAGGCTTTTGCCTTCATCTTCACAGCAGTCCCAGGTTTGACCAAATCTATCGAGATGTCTATTTTAAAACAACCTTTAAAGCTTGCCCTTGTTCAGCTAGCCACTAGTATGGAAATAATACCCTCTATCTAGATTTATTGCACCTCACCTAACCGTGATAACACATAGGCGTGGACAAATCCGCAAACCTTGCCCGTGCAAGGACAAAGGTTATCGAGGCTGCAAATTCTGGTGCTAATATCGTCGTTCTACCGGTAAGCTCCTCCCCTCAAACCGAACCTCCGGCATGAATCAGTAGTCTCAGCTATATATCAACAGGAGTGTTTTAACTCCCCGTATGGCACGGATTATTTCCCACAATATGCAGAATCATTGTCACCTCCGGGTTCATCACAGACCTTCGAAATCCTCTCCGCAGTTGCTAAAGAAACAGCCACATACTTGATCGGTGGATCTATACCGGAGATTGACCCAGCAACTAGTAGATTGTACAACACTTCACTAGTTTTCTCGCCAAAAGGCGACCTCCTTGCCACCCACCGAAAAGTGCATTTATTCGACATCGATATCCCAGGGAAAATAAAGTTCAAGGAATCGGAGGTTCTATCACCCGGAGACAAAATAACTATTTTTGAGACCGAGTACGGGAAAATTGGATTAGGGATTTGCTACGACATCCGATTTCCGGAGCTTGCCATGACAGCCGCGAGGAAGGACTGCTTTGTCATGGTTTACCCAGGGGCATTTAATATGACCACCGGCCCATTGCATTGGTCCCTCTTAGCCCGGTCGAGGGCAGTCGACAATCAAATATATGTTGCGCTTTGTAGTCCTGCCCGCGACCTTGGTGCAACTTATCATGCATGGGGACATTCAATGGTGGTAGACCCAAATGGAAGTATATTGGAGGAGCTTGAAGCTTCAGAAGGCATCGCAATTGCTGATCTCGACAACGAAAAGGTTGACGAAATTAGAAAAGGGATCCCAGTGACGAAGCAAAGGCGGTTTGATGTTTATAAAAACGTTGCGGACTAGCCCGCAGTATCAAGCATGTTTTTTGATGAGTTCAGTTAACTACCAAGAGCTAGCCTCGAGATCAGACCAAGAGTGCCTGAATTCGATTCAAGACTATTAGCTACCAAGCTGCAGGATCAGATATACACGTTTTCTATCCAATACAAGGCTAATTTCTACCCCGGAACTAGCTTCCTCAGACGAAAGTTGTGGGGCTTAGTGCTCGTTGGGCTGCCTTAGCTGTGGGTGCGGTATTTTGTTTCAGCCTTATAAGCAGAAGCAAATATATTTACAGCCACCAATGATAAGAAAAGCACACACGTGCACATAAGTGACCTTCCAAAGTTTGATTACGAATCAACATCGATCATAAAGCTCGATCAGCGCTGGCTTCCAAATTGTTGACCCGGATGCTTTTAAATTATGATACCTGTAAAAAGAATTATATATCAAAGACCCATATATTACGCTTAACATACCTCGTGCTAAGTATGTCACTTGGGTGTAAATATTTCGCTTGTCGCCAAGACAAAATCATCACCAGAATTGAAATATCTGTTGTTTGGTTTCACTCTCCTAGGTTATTTTACGGCCTTGGCATGGTCGGCTGTTGGACAAAGCCCGGTGCTATCCTCCATTTCCCCTGTGCATGTGGGCCCCCTAAACAACTTTTCAAAATACCTTCAACCCAGCAGGACCAATCAGCCCCCGAAGAAAAGTATCCATGGCACCGTCGAAGGCTGAGATGCGGGAAAATGGTGCACAGGTGCAAACCTGAGATGGCCAAATGGCACTTCAGCGGCCATGTACGAAGTTGCAGATACATGATAAGTTCTCATATGTATTAGAATGAGGGATCGATTCATGCTACGTCCAAACGCTTCGATACCTACTTAAGTACCTACTAATCTCCCCAATAAGTTTCTGCATTTTGTACCCGAAAACTCACCATATCTTGAGAACCGACAGTCTATTTGCCTAAAAAAAGAGTCCGTTTCTTTCTTTCTATTCACGACTTTTTGTTGAGATGTGTCTCAGGTATCTTCTTCTCCTTCTCCTTCAACTACTCAAATACCTAGTTTGTGGCTATTACTTACTTCGGTGTTACCCCAGGATAGTTGAGGTTTACCCAGGTATAGGCAACCCAGATATGTATATTCAGCCTCCTGCATGGCCTGATGGCTGTCTCCTCTCATGAGATCTCCAAGTTAAGCCCAATTAGTTTGCCTTTGCGTGCACCACATCCACGCTGTCGACTCCTGTCGGTTAGCTGGTCAGCCGGGGCATGTGGTGGAAGACAGGGTGCTGTATGTCGGGTTCGTTTGCCCATCACATGCCGGCGATTGCATGACCATGGATGGGCCATCTCTCTACCCTCACATCTGCGCCTGGTCTCGAGGCCAGGGCCATCTCAGTTTATCGTTTTCTGAACATGCTACGCAACTGCGTGTTGTATACGAAATCCATCCAGGCACCATACTAGTACTATGCATATGGCATGTAGATGGACTGTCGAGATGCCCAATGCAGCGTTATCGCGCAACCTGCATCAGTACACACATTCGTGCATATACACGCAGACTTTATATGTAAGTACCCACGAGGTATGTTTTTGAGAAAGTACCCCCTTGCACTTGATATCAAAACCTAGCGATCATATTGTCAACGCTTGACCTAGGTATTTACCATTTGGCTGTTTGGATGAACATGGAATACGATAAGGACATGAGCATATAGACTTAAGTAGGTATATTTTGGGTTATCACCCGGTGAAATACTGACTGGAAGGCGCCGTCCACCGCAAAGTGTTCTTGTTGTAGCTCAGATAAGCTATATAAGCACGGGAGTCAAGATAAGGCAATCAGGCTCCCATCGCCAAGGCCAAGGAAGCGGAGAACGCAACGCACGATGCATGGATGATGGTGTGGGGCTAAAAGTTTATTTCGGCCACAACCAACATACAGCAGCGACCTTTTACGTTCGATGATCATTGAAATACATCACCATTCCGTAGCTAGACTTTAACACCATCGACGCCCAGTAAGGTCAACTGTGAGTGTGTATGCGTACGACATAACTTGCATGTACAGTACAACCCTCATCGTGGTCTCCAAACGATACACCTGGTACGAATATCCAATCGAAAACTCGGTTACAACACTCTTGGCGGCCTGTAAGATAATCTTTTAGGCATGTCCTGATGTTTCCCCCTTCCTAACCACCAATAAGGAAGGAGATATCGCCCTCACCAACGCCTGCTAGACTTTTAGTTCCAATCTGGAGACATTTGAAGGCAGCGATGCTTTCTATTTGGAGCTTCCATGTTGGGATACAATCGGCAACATTACCACACTGCGGCCTGCAACCTTGATCCAAGACACAGCTGTTGAATTCGTGCGACCATCCTTTCGATTAGTCGCCGCAACACCGTACCCGCCTCCACATTCCGTGCACCTACTCTAATCGTCCCCCCATACATATGAGGTACACCCACCTTCTTCCACCATGGGCTAATCAATCTGCTTAGTCCCAATGTGGAATGAGCAGGTTTTAGTAAAGGGCTCAAAATAATAAAACGAAGAATAAAATCTACAAAAGGAAGATGAAAAGGGGAAATTTAAAGAGGTTGCCGAAAAAAGGAAAGAAAAACTCAAAGAACGAGAGTGAGGGCAAAAATGAATTATGGAATGCAGAAGGTCATTTGCACTTAGCACAGTTCGATTTCCACGGCCCAATCGACTACTAAGGCAATGGAACCACAATGGCAGAAGGTGCATCAAATGTTTCGCCACTATCTTATACGCTTTTATTTCCAGATCTCTTCCATCTGTTCCGCCGTGTGGATACTCCTGATTAGCGTCCACAAGACCACTACACTTGCCTCCAATGCATTCCTTCGTATTACTGTATTCAGTCCGAAGCTACTTCTTTGGACCCCATCGTCTCACCTTTAACATGGATGGCAAAAAAGCAACATGAAAGCTTGATATCTCTTCGTGCAAATTATTCCCGGCCGCCTATTCAACCCTTATCTTTCCTGCCAGTTTTCAAGCATTTAATATTTGACTATCGGCATCAGCCACGCCCTCCAGTCAGTATCTTTTGAGGCTTAATTGCATGAGATTCTCGGTGTATAAAACATCACCGGCTTCCTACCTCGTCAGGATCCCGAGGTAGCACTCCCTCCTCCTCACAGGCCTTCCTTCTCATTTAATTCCCCCTTGACCATTAGGTTATAAACCTTTTACTCCATACTCACTTCACCTATTATCACTCATAAGAACTAGATTGTACGCGACGGAGCACATTAGCTCGGTCAATTCACATTCACATCTTTAACTCTACTCTCAGGTGTATATGCAATTTTTAGGTCCGCCACGGTAGCTAGGATTTTTTAAAGACCCAGAACAATGGCACCCGGCCAGCCCAGCAACAATACAACACTTGAGGTCGAGAAACATTCCTCTCACGAAGCACCTGAGAGCTCATGTGCCGAAGTTAACACCGTCAGCCCGACTATGGATTGTAAGCCAGATTCGAATGTTAAAGATAGCCTCGAAAGGGAGGAGAAGGGCGTTACGGTTGGCCATGGGTCAGCTGAAAGCGGAAGCGTTTCTGAACAGCGGAAAAGCCGTTTTAGAAGCCTTTGTCGCAGATACAAATTCGTCCTCCATGTTTTCATCTGGCTGTTCTTTACGGGGTGAGTTAACAGTTAATAAAATTATTTCGGCACTATTTATCTAATACTGCACAAATCTCTAGTTGGTTCGTTGCCGGGGTAGTTTTGCATCGGAAAGACTTAGGGTGGCTTATTCCTTTCCTACTCTACCTTTGCATCACAATTCGCCTCGTCACTTTTTATATACCGATTACCGTTGTTACAAAACCGATGCATTTTGTCTGGGACAACACCGGAGTCAAAGTCGCCAACCTTGTCCCTGAACGTCTAAGGATATGGTGTGGAGCAGCCATTACGATATCGGTTATCGTGATTGGCTCCTTTGCTTCCCCGGAGTCTGCGGGAAACACCAGAGCCAATCGTGCTATATCTTTGTTCGGGCTAGTCGTATTGGTTGGTGTCCTATGGGCAACGTCTGCCAACCGAAGGGCCATTCAGTGGCACACAGTTATCGTTGGGATGCTCATCCAGTTCCTTGTCGCTCTTTTCGTTCTGCGCACCAAAGTGGGATATGACATTTTCGATTTTGTGTCATATCTTGCCCGTAGCCTCCTCCATTTCGCTGCCGCAGGTGTCAAATTTCTAACCACTGAAGAAATCTCGCAATATCAATTCTTCTTTTTCTCCGTCATCCCAGCGATCATTTTTTTCATCTCACTTACATCTCTGCTCTTTTATTGTGGTGCGCTTCAATGGTTTATCGGAAAATTTGCCGTCTTTTTCTTCTGGAGTATGAGGGTTTCTGGTGCTGAAGCTGTCGTCGCATCTGCATCTCCGTTCATCGGACAAGGAGAGTCCATCATGCTAATCAAACCATTCGTCTCCCACCTCACACAGGCAGAAATTCATCAGGTTATGGCATCTGGTTTCGTATGTTCTCCGCAGTAGCCATTCTCAGGTAGACACCGCTAACTAGCCTATTAGGCCACAATCGCCGGCTCTGTCTTAGTCGCTTATATTTCCATGGGTGTCAACGCTCAGGCACTGATTTCCTCCTGCGTCATGTCTATACCCGCTTCACTTGCCACATCAAAGCTGAGGTATCCTGAAACTGAGGAATCGCTCACGAGAGGAAGGGTTGTTATCCCGGATGAGGATGAAGACCGGCCAAAAAATGCCCTGCAGGCTTTCGCAGATGGCGCCTGGCTTGGTATTAAAATTGCCGGAATGATTATGGCGACTCTCCTATGCATCATTGCATTCTTAGCCCTGTGCAACGGTATCCTCGGCTGGTGGGGACGCTACCTCAACATCCCAAATCTCACTATCGAGCAGATTGTGGGATACCTATGTTACCCAATTGCTTTTTTGCTTGGCGTTCCGCGAGGGCCTGACCTCTACAAAGTTGCTAAGTTGATTGGTGTCAAACTGATTGCGAACGAGTATGTGCCCGCGAACCTACTAGTAATATATTCAAAATACTAACTGTGGGCAGATTCGTGGCTTTCCAGATGTTGACAGGAGAAAAAGAATATAAAGATATGGCGTCTCGATCTAAGCTCATTGCTACGTTCGCCCTCTGCAGCTTCGCAAACAGTAAGTTTTCTTTTTCTTCTTTTGATCGCTTTTATAATATTTTAGGCTAACCAACATCCTACAGTTGGTTCGCTAGGAACGCAAATCGGTGTCCTATCGCAGATTGCTCCGAGTAGAGGCGGCGATGTCGCAAAACTGGCTGTCAGCGCTCTAATTACCGGAGCGCTATCGACATTTTCATCCGCGGGAATTGCTGGGATGATCATTACAGACGAAGCAAATTACATAAGCGGGTCCTCTGCGTAGTTTTGTAGCGGGGGCTATAAATATTACCCACGCCGAAACCGTTGCATTGTTTTTGGTCTGAAACCTCGATTCGTCCTTTGATTCCACCCATTCTATAATGTATATAACTCTATGGGAGGATTCTTGAATTATCATAGTTGAACCAGCGTATACTTCTTCATGTCAAATGTCTCTATTAATATTTATCACCGCCTATATACAGATGTGCAGTTTTATCGCCAAGCCCGCCTTCTTTTGGCACCCAGGTCAGATGATGACAAGATGAAAACTAACTAAACAAATTCTAGTCAGGCAATTAGCTAGTTGGCAGATCCAACCTTCTTCTGGGCCTCCGAATTCAAAAGTTAGGTCGGGGCCCGTACGGGCATCTGCCGTTAGCAAATTGACGCGCGGGAGCTAAGAGGCTACCGAAGGAAAACAGCGGATAGGTTCGCTCATATTACCACATTATTTGCTAAATAGTTACGTGATCATATTTTAGACAAGCATTTAATTAGCTAGAAACCCTTTTTTAGCGTGGCTGTCTGGGAATACCGTTATATAAGTTACCACATGACCAAAACTTCAATCAACTGGAAAGCATATCCATCAGAAACAATATCACATGGTTTCTTGTGAGCTCGGCTCAATGCAATAACTGGACCAGACTTAATACAGAACATGTATCCCGGAGTGAAAGGAACTCCGATACTTTGGGGCTTATTTTGGCGCAAAGTGAAATCTCGGGAAGCCCTTTGAAGATAATTAATCTAGCTGGCGTCAAATCCTATGCATATGGCCGGTGTACAAGCGTCTGTCTCCGAGACTAGCATTCGCTATGTATTGCCTTGAGCTTTCTATAAATTAACAGCCGCCCCATTCTCACAAACGATAGCTTAATTTTACAAACCCTCTTCTACCGTCTTAAATGATACTTAACTCGAGGCCAGATACTTAAGCAAATTCCCAAGCGCTCAAGCAGTTAATTGACGACTATCCAACCAATACCCTAAGCCTAACCACCTAGCATAATATCCGCCCCGAGACTACACGAATATAGTCGAATAATTATTCTGAAAAAATGGATTTCGAAGTTCTTACTGATAGTCTACCAGAGGACACCTCCCTCCCTGCTTTCATGGTATCAACAACTCGGGGTTTCCTTCCTAGGCAAGATCCACCAGCGGTCCTACCTTCGGAGTTTGAGGCACTAGAGAGCATTCTTCAAGACATGCCAATTCGAAAGGCGTCAGGAGAGCCGGGGCTACTTCACAGCCGCGAGTTGGGCACCAGAGTTGAATCTTTCCCTAACTTAGTAGCGGAAATCGATAAGTATCGTGACAACAAGGTCATTTTAAATGCCTTATACCGAGATTACTCTTTCCTCTTGAGCGCATATCTCTTCGAGCCTTGCTATGATACGTACATAAAGACAGACGGTCAAGAATATGGCCTTGGAAGAGCCCGCCTGCCAGCGAACATAGCGCAACCGATGGCCAAGGTAGCGGAATTGTGGGTGATCCCTCGTTTGTTCTTCCGACTCGTATATGACGTATGTTTTGGGGGAAAGATACCGTGCTAACTCCTTCTATTTCGTGTTTTAAATCCTATAGAACTGGATTTAAACCCTTCATGGAATATGGTATGTTGATGTAACGTGATCCAAAGCTGAACATGGAGGAAAGTCATCTAATAGTAAAACACCCCTAGCTGGGAGTTATGCTCTTTTCAACTGGCGTAGACTCGACCCAAATAGGGGGATGGATTATGATAATCTTGCTCTGATCAGGGCTTTCGAAAATGGTCTTGATAACAAGAGCTCGGAGGCGGGCTTTGTACTGATACATGTTGAAATGGTAAAGCATAGCCATGGCCTTGTAAGCGGCGTTCAGAAGGGTCTAAAGGCTCTCCGAGATTTGGATTCTCCCGACAGACTATCTGTGTTTCAAGAAGGGCTTCAAGAAATACTAGAGGCCTTCAAAAAGGTAAACAAGGTGATGAACGGTATGTTGAATTAAACCATTACACGGCTCTTTGTACCAAAATCCAACAAAACCTAACACCATGAGCACTACAAACCTCATACGACGGGCCACGGACTTGCTAACGCAACTACCTGCCCAGATATGTGGCAAAAATCCAAGCCTGAAGCATATTCAGGCTTCCGAACATTCATCTTCGGCATCCATTCTCAACCAATGTTCCCAGACGGCGTCATTTACGAGGGCGTTTCCGTAGAGCCGATGAAATTCCGCGGCGAAAGCGGTGCTGTAAGTAACACTCTGTGCATTGGCATTATTAATTCGAATTTCACGAATACTGATTTAGTTCTGCACCTACAGAATGATAGCATGATCCCTCTCGTCGATAATTTCATGTGGTAATTACAATCTATCATTGCCGATCCTTTGAATTGCATTAGTTAGCAGAAGTCTAATCGCGAAGAAACATGGTTCGTTGCTATTGGGTTGAAGCATTGATATGCCAGAAAACCCCCTCACTCAAATCCTCAAGGTAGCAATCGCGTCTAACACCTGCATCCAATGGTATACCGTGCTAACAGACGTATTACCTGGCCACAGGATTTTAGGAACTATCGGCCTGATGGGCATAAGGGATATCTCAAGTGGGTAGAGACTGTCGCAAAAGGAACTGACGATTACCCAAGCGTAAAGGAGTTCTCGTTGGGGAACCAAAAAACAGCTGGTGGGTTCATCCATTAGCGCCGCTAGCAATTCCAGTTTATTCTAATTATATTCCTATCCGATAACGGATTAAAGTTTTGTACCTCTTGATTCTCGATCAGATCCGCGAGTTTAGAGGGAGGCACTGGAACTTCACAAGGTATGTAGTAACCGCATCGATGAACATATGAGTACCTGGTAATAACAGTTTGTGCACGTATAGGGAATATATTTTGAAACAAGGGAAACGGCTTCATCCAAAGGCCACTGGCGGATCCCCAATAGTCGAGGTATATCCCCGCCCTTTACCCCGCCCCTCTAAATTGTCGCCCTGATGCCCGAAATCAATTGTGGGATAAAACTGATTTTGAATAAGTGGCTTCCGAATCAATTATCGCAAATTCTCAACATTATGTCGGAAGTCCAAGAACACATCACAAGAACGTATTCAGAAGAGTCTCTCAAGGGTGGTGATGCTGCCGAATTTTTGAGGATTAAGGATACTGTCCCGAAGGATCTTGCCAAACTAGAAAAGGAGGTCAAAACATATTCTACTAATCTAGCATCCCAGTGATTCGCGGGCTTAGGGCTAACTCTGGTCATGCACAAAGGCTGTTGTTTGTCGTAAAATACTTAAAATTACGCTAGTATGTACTAAAGTTCACACACACACATATATATATACATTATTGGAAACAACGGCCCATGTTTACAGTTAAACTGGTTCACCCACAAAGCAGATATATGATGTATCCGTTATTATATGCTCTCACGGGGGCGCATAGTGTGCCCGGCCACTATCTCGTAAGTATCTAGAGACATTGTGCTGTAAATTGTTGTTAGCTTTGTGCTTGAATGGTGTGTCGAATTAAAGAGCCACAGTGTCGGCATACACAGCTATAGACACATGTCATACGCAGCCCATATTGGGGTAGTTTATGATCTATGTCCACGCTCTCGGGTATTGGTAGCAGCGAGTCAAACTTACAGTAATATGGGTTCTGGTATTGGCATGAACCAGCAGCGCAGGCAGTTGGACCAGTCCAAGAAACGCCGCCACACTGCCCGTAGAGTGTTTGTCCGGGTTGGGAAGCTATTGGAGATATTAGCCTTACTGAATATGTGCGCATGTAATCACAAAGGTGAGGTTACCAGTGGTCGTGCGAGAAGCCGTGGTTGTGGCACGAGTTGTGCTTGTAGTGCTGCGAGTGGTTGTCGTCGTTGAGGATGAACCCCCAGGATTGCTGTTGAGAGCCAGCGCTAAAATTTTGGCAGCAGCACGTTCGGCCACGGTCATAATGTACGCGCTTGGATTAGCCGTGATTGTGGACGGGAAAATGCTGGCATCCACAACGAAAAGATTTTTTGTGCCCCAAACTTGAGTATTAAGATCGACAACCGCTTTCCCACCCTTAGTCCCGTCATCGGATCCCATACGGCAGGTACCCATCCAGTGGTTACTACCATGACCACCGAGATAGTTCGCAAGGTAGTCAGCAGCGGTTTGGCCCTTTGTTGGGAAAACGAATGTTAGATCTGGGTAGTTATTTGCGGCGTTGATCCAGGACTGGATGGCTTTGACTTTGGCGTCGATATCTGCTTGTGTGGTTAGGTATGGGAGGACGCTCACAACTGTGTTGAGCGATGGCTGTATTGTTAAACGGCCCCGAGAGGTAGCGCCCGCTGTTAGATACAAACTCAGAGTTACCATAGTATCACCTGCGGCCCCCAAGGATGGTTCTTTCCTGGCCGTCCATTGAACCTGTCTGACTCGGCCGTCCGTCGAAGCAAAGTTTTCGAAAAATACGGTATTACAGTTTGGTGCAGCCTCCGCTAATTGCCCAGCTCTCTGGTTTAGATACTTGTCCTTGTCTGCCGCAATTGGCTCATCGTATGCAGCATAGAAGTCATACGAAGATATGGTGGGATGCGAAAAGACGAGATCGGTGTTATCCTGGTCGTGGAGATTTTCACCAACCGGCAAATTGATCCACTGACTGCTATCGATCATAGTAGGCCCATCTGTGCTAGATTTCACAACATTGAGTGCATCAGATGGTCCAATCCCGCTTCTGAAGAGAATTTTAGCTGTATTAAAAACGCCAGCAGACAAGACGACGCGCCCACTGGTGTTAACGTTGATAAGGTATCGCTGGCCACCGACCCCAGTTGATTCCGTGACAACGCCCGTTATTTGACCGCCATTTCTATTCAATTTGACAACCGAGGTGTTGATAAAAAGTCTGAAATTGCTTCGACCTTTTGCAGATACTAAATATGTGGCAAGCGGACCGCCACGTTGTCCACCACTATACATATAGGGAGTGTGGTGAAATGTTCTGTTTTTGAGGTTGGGTTGGCTGTTAGCGTCGATTGGGGACCAGCCCTTCGGTTGGAGGACATTGTAGATAAGATTATACAAGTCTTGTCCATATCTCTGCCCATCCTGTGATGGAGTGGTTGTGGATGGAATTCTCGAAAAGACTTTATCGACGTATGGTGACATATCGTTATATTTCCATCCCGTTGGCCAATCGGTGTTATCGTAGTCGTAGGGTTGCGGTTTCCAGAATAGACCAGAGTTAATTGCCGTGCCGCCGCCAAGTACACAACCTGCCATTACGCCTCCCGAGATATCGGTACATGCAATCCCCGAGGAATTGGCCCAGATCTCATTACAGAGGCCAGGGATATCAAAACGGGTTAATGGTGCTGATCCGACCCAAGGGGGCAGGATTCTACCACCATGTTGGTAGGTTGACGGTGGACCTCGTTCGATCAAAAGGACAGACTTCCCAGACTCGGAAAGGCGATCTGCCATAATTAAACCGCCTGCGCCTGCACCAACCACGATGTAATCAAATGTTTGGGAGAATGTTGGAAGAGGGGCAGCGCTTGTAGTTGTAGTTCGCGAAGTTGTGGTGGCGGTTGTGGTGGAGGCTCGAGTCGTAGTGGTAGAGCTAGTTCCTCCACTTCCAGGGTACTGGGCTATCCAAGAAGCATAATTTGCATTGCGAGCAGATGTTAAGGGCAGACCGTAGTTTGCAAAAGCATTGTCGTGGGGCGGTAAAGTAGAGCTCGAACTGGATGGGGTGCCAACAGAATATGGAGATTGTGCGTATCCAAATACAGCGGCACTACCGGTCAGATCAAGAGAGCCAGACGCCCATGTATTACAATTTACGCATCTAAAGGTTAAAGACCAATGCGTCGAGTTCACAGCCACGTTCATCTTCGTCAATTGGGCCCCACTAGGCGTCAAGACAGTTGGTTCCATCCAGTTTCTAGATAAAAAGTGAAATGTTTAGGGAGTGCTAATTTTGATTCATGCTTCATGCTATTGCGGTGGAGAACAGCGAGCCGTGTTGCCCCAAAAGACTTACGATGCGGTTCGAAACGACGTAACGACATCATTACCGTTTGGCCAAGCAACAATTAAAGTGGGTCCGTTCATCGGACCCCCTAGGCTCACACCTGCCCACCGGTTGGCGGGAGTTCCCATAGGCCCTTCCTAAATTATAGAGATCCGTCAACACAGTGATGGGTAATACGTGTATAGGTTGGTTTGGTTCACATACGAGAAGACCGATAAACTCATTGGTTGGGCTTGAAGGCAATGCAATACCGAACGTATAACCTCCAAAATTTGGGTTTCTATAGGCTTGGTATACAATCCCGGTGCGCGAATCTGTGTAGGCGCCAGTACTCTGGGCTAGCGCATATTGGGCTGCAAAGAAAATAGAGAGAAAATAGAAAGAGAGAGGGAGTTAGAGCTTGAGCTTGAAAGCTAGGTTGACCAACCAAGTAAGGGAAGACTAAAGGCACTTACCTCCACCGGCAATGGCCGTGGCAACCGCCAAAATATTCCACACACTAGGCATTCTCTCAATCCTCGAAGGACAAGCTCTCCTCTCCAATCAGGCTATGTACGTCTGATGGGCAAATATCCCTCGGGTTTACCGTTCTCTGCTATCGTGTCGTTGGAGTGAGAGCCACAGCTTGTCCACCGTAAATTGCATTGTATTTATACAATTGCAGACACCAAACTCGCTCGCCGTCCCATGACTCCAGGGGAGTTTTCATTTCGGAATCCCGGCTTGTGTACCTGTATATATATCGTCAGAAACTCTGCTATCCTCCTGCTGAATGTGGGTTTTAGCCGGCTTCGAAAGCTTAGCATCCAGATATCCAAACCCCAGATTATATTGGGCTGGTAGGACTCGATTTTTTGGGTTTCAGGGGTGGCTAGTCATTCCAGTCAATCGCATTGCGTGGTTTTGTCATCCGAAGAGTGGATGGCGGAAATGGACATTCAATCCAGGTATACGCTCATCAAAAAATCCGGTCCATTAACTTCTCCCAATATCTCCACAAAGATCACTTGCAAGGGTAGAGGCAGGAGTACTGTGTACTAGGGTGTGGTTACTGGGTTCACAGATATCAGATTAACATACACATATTTGTTAGTTTGAGCTTAAAATGTGTTGCGATTGTTGTTGTTGACGGGCCGGTCTTCCACCGGATCACAGGGCGTTTAAATCGGAGGCCTGAGTCCGCGAGGCTCAACGCCCTTGCATGCCAGCTGACAACTGCATGGATGAAGGTCGTTTGGTTTCAAGCTAGTGGGTTTGGTTTCACCCTCCGGCACTCAACAGCCTATTCCGAAATCGCGGGGTCCTTGTCATCATTGGTGTCCAGGTCTCGGTAGCCCTGGCCCGGTCGTTTGTATGTCTCCCAAAGTTTTCCAACTAGATGGCGTTCGCGTCGGTTCGCTTGAAAGTCATTGCCTATACATAGTAGGGAATGCTCAATCGGCGCTAATATGTTGGCTTTTCATTTATTTAATTTACATGATATTACCTGCAGGTTGTGATGTACGTACATGGGTGATACTGCCCGGGCTTGTGCATGTGACATATTCTCGACGCGCAATGCATATGTGCTGCATCGTCTTCTTCGAGGAAAATCAACCATAGATTTCTAATGGATTATAAAGCATTTTCCAATTAGCCATTTCTCCAATTTATTTCCGCCAGGGCAAGCTCCACCATTTCTTTTTCGTCGGTGCAGTTTCTGCTGCTATGCTACCATGTTGCGGGTTTGGTTGGCTCTGCTCTAGCTGTACCTCTTTACCCATAACTTTCTCATTAATTCGGGCACCGAGAGAAGCCTCGGCATTTTCTCGTGGCTGTCCAAGACCTTCCCGTGATGAGTCGTTGTAAATAAAGACTGGAGCAGTGTTATTTTGCTGCGAAGTTATAATTTCGTGAATCTGAGGGATGCTGGGGCCAGTTCTGAACTCCGAAGCAGCCCCGAGTTTTGGTTTCACGGACTGTTTTGTTTCCTGAATGGATAGTACATTTGTTTCAATGATATTGCCTGGATTACCAGTCAACTTTTCGCTACTAGCAGAGGGCGGGGTTTCGGGATTGAGAGTATTTCCAACCATCATGCCTCCGCTGTCGTTTTGCGGAAGTGCCTTGAAGGATATTGGTTCTTGAGGGATTCGGTTGCTACTTTCTGCGAGAGGTGGGGTTCCAGACGAAGGGTGGAAGTTTCGGCCTTCGACCTGTGTCGCGCTGCGCCCCCAACCTGTCGAGTTCCTTATATCTAATTGAGAACTGTGCGCACCCCCGGCTTTTAGCTGACGTTGTCTTTGGAATGGGTGTAGTGTAGGGTCAACTGGTAGGGGTGTCGGGTTCGAGATGGTACTAGTTATATTTTTTGGTAAAACTGGTTGTGCTGAATCTTGGACCCCAAGATCGGAGGTATCATATGGTCGGCCCCAGCCTACGGAGTTCGAGCGAGGACGTGCAGTGCTAGATTCCGCAGGAGCTGTATTTATAACATCAGAGGTGGGTTTAATTGAATCCCACGTTGGAATACCCGCTTGCTTCATCTCAAGCCTCCAGCTCTTCCACCCGCCGCCCGTCGCCCGGGTAAGATTCGTCCGATACTCGTTTGCATCTGGCGCTCGGACTATCTCGGGCCTTGAATTGGAGCCAGTTGATGCTCCAGGAGGGGTCTCCTGGGCGGTAGAATATGGACCAGTAAAGAGTTGATCGATTATTCTGGTTTCGTGGTTATGTTCGCGCTTCGAGATTTCGATCATAAACTTGCTGGAGAATGGAGGATCAATAGGTGTTAAAAGAGTGTTGAGGTTCGAGGGTGGTATCGGAGAAGGCTGGACGGTAGGTATAGAAACATTTATCGGTGATGCTTCGAAAGCATTTCCAAGAGCAGCTTCGTCGCGGAACAAGACAATTGCATCGTCCTTTACCTCGACGGTTGATGTTTCATGCTACAAGCAGAAAGCCAATTAACAAACCCAGTTTGCAGTTCGAGGGTATTTTGCTGATGAATTGGGTTGGGATTCTCGAAAGAAGATTCAAGTGACCTACTCGGAGACTTCGGTAGAGGTCTATCTCACCGAATTTTCTTAGGGACCGATATATTTCTCGATTCTCTCGGAGGGTCCGGGGAGGGGGTGTGATTTTAAGCGCTGCATGGTGAAAAACTGCTCTTGAGGCCATTTGACGTTAATTTGCTCGAGGGCTCTAGGACATGGGTTTTTGGAGGAAGTTTAGGTCGGGATTCCGAGATCTTAGATTAACAAGTTTTGGCATTTGCCATACGGGTACCGATAAGTATGTAGGTACGTATATAAGAAGTAAGTAGGAAAGAGTTTGTATGCACTAAGTTTTCTATCATCGGGATGGTAAATTTCCCGTTCCAGGAGGATCCCGGGAACAAAAAAAAACCCAGCTAGGGCAAAGCCAAAGGAGTAATAAAACACCCACCAAACCTAAACAAAACCCTGCATACTCCATACGCGACCAACTCTACACACCATAAGGTGATTATAAGCCTATCGCGACAATGCACACGGCCGAAACCAAAGCAGCTACCGAATGTATCGAAACCAAGCCATTCGAACCCCTAACAGCGGAGTTGGACTCCAGCTTGTAAACCGATACCCTGGAGGAAGAAGCGATATCAGTAGCAGCCATGGGAATCGCGAAAGGGCCAAGGAAATAACGAAGCCGGTTTTCTAAGTTACCTCAAGGCGCCTCCACAGGCTTCTGAGTTGTTCCCAGCACATCCAAGATCACATTGAGTGCCTTCTACCCTTTGACTCAGGTCGCTCAGATACGGGCCACACCAGCATTCGCTCGTGTATTCAAGCCCCGCATACTAGCCACGCATGCGCAGTGTCAGAAAATCCGCGGCATAGCCTCGCCAGCTAGGTAATTAGGCATGCATATGTACCTACATTGTAGTTTCTTGCCTTGCATACCTCAAGGCATTTTTGAACTGTCATACCGGTGGATTTAGTGACATTGCCTCCATAGATAGCGCGGTCATTGGTGATATCCAGGGTCTCGTTGTAACAACCAAGGTACACATAGCCTAGTGAACCCTGACCGATGGCCAGCGTTGGTTTAGGGTCGGATCTTGCAAGATATCAGCCAAGTCTCAATAAAGTAGAAGGCGCGGCAGGAACAACAGTCGGCCAACATGAATAATCATTTACGCTTACTGTGCGACTACCACGATGGGATAAAACAGCGCGAGAACCGCCATCCAAGTTAGTGTTGCGATTGTATTTGCAGTTGACGGCCACGACATCATCGATTGGATTTGCGGGATCGCGGGAGCAATCTATCTGAAGTTTGCTGGAGCCAAGTATGGTGAGTGCGCAATATGTACTAAAGCTGCTTAAGGTATTCGAGTATGAAGTTTGTCCGTGTTCAAATACTTTGTATGAAGATATTTAGAGTAGTAAGAAAGTACTTAGCTTCGAATACAGGCGCGTAAGTACTTAAGCTGTGTACTAAGTAGGTATGTATGACGTTAAAAGTTGTGTACTAAGGTAGGTACTTGGGTATGTATGAAGTTAAGTGTGAATGGGAATGTGCAAGTAAGGGCCAAGAAATAAGTGCTCATGTTACCTGACAGTCGCGCTTCCTTGCCACCAACATTTTAACCTCAGTCCGATCCTACCTTCCGGGTCTTAAATCAGCCGCATGTTCCCATTGCAATTATATAATACAACCACACCTCATTGCTGCACATACTATGTACATATGCTAGTACATGACTACATGCTACAGTATGCACATAGTATGTAGTACCTAGGAGAGAAGACTCCCAGAAGCATTAATTTTGGTTGACGAGATGATGCATGTCCTTGCATCCTGATTAACATTATATTGGTAGCGAATAACTTTTTCTGGGTCGGCGTCATGTTGATTACCCGTCGTCCCGTGCAGCTAGACAAGTCGGTCACAAACACTAGGTAGGTACCTAAGTACCTAGTACCCACCCAGCCAGGTACGTACCTATTGATTTGCTTCTTACCTCCTTTAGCTACCAAGAGGTAATTTCTTATCTACTATTAAGTGAGTACTGACTTAGAAAGTACTTATAGGCAGGTACATACTTAGGCCGGTGCTTAGTACCTCCTACCCAACCTGACTTAAGGTCTATAAACTTAGGTACCAAGTTATTACATAACCTACTAATCTTATACCGGCCTATGACATCGTCAGCTTCAGAAAACCAAATCAACTTTAACACCAAACCCACCAATCATAATACATAGTAAACTATGCATCATGAAGCTCAAGATATCCCCCTTTGAGCAACTTCCTGATGAACTTATCTCCCATATCATAACCTGTAAGTACCTAGCTTGCATATCTCATATGGCCAAATATAGACTTCGATTCTAGTGTTCATCCCTAGCCACCACCATCAAAGCTACCCAAGACATGCCTTCCAAAACAAACCCCTCCCCCCAAAAAATATATATATATATATATTTTTTAATATAAATAAATAAAAGAAACCGTCAGAAGGAAAAAAGATACAAAAAAAAGCTAACATAGTCTCCCTCAACGTCGGTTTAGTTCTCGATATACCCTCTGTTATTTCCCTCCATCGCGTTAGTTCCCGGATACGGTCAGTTTCCCGCTTTGACGGGTTGGTCTGGCGTGTTCATTGTTTCCCAACACTCACTGTCCCTCAAAGCCGTTGCACTCCGTCGCACTGCCCTCCCCCCTCTCCCTCTTCATCCTCATCCTCATACTCTCCGAAACATAAGAGTGTCTTACTGTTACCTTCTCGTCTAGAAAAGGTAACAATCCGATCACACGCGCAGTGGTATGATGCATCAGACGAAGAGAGAGGTGTGGATTGGTACAAAGAGTACCAGTACCGCCATGCCCCCTTACATGACGAATCCTTCATCAAGTTCGACTGCCCAGATAATCTAGAGATTGTAGATATCGCTATTGCTGGGGGGGCTGATTCTGGAATGAATCACCTCCTAGCCGCATCTGCTCTGGGAGATGGTAGCGTTTGTATATTTTCACTCTCGGATAGCAAAATCGGCTCTATCCTTGGGAGATCGAAACCGGACCTACTAGCCCGAAAGTCCCCAGACCTGGGATCCGGAAGGCTAGGTGATGGCACTATAACTGGGGCGCATCACGAGCGAGGACTTTTTGTGAATGCTGCCACAGCATACAGCCACAGGGCTTGGTTTGGCGCAGGCAGTGTTTTGACCGAGGTCGTATGTAGACTTTCCATATTCCTGGCGATGACGACGTTTGATTTTCTCTAAAACTAATGAAATTCGTCACAGGACCTAACAACAATGCAGAGGATCCGATCCCATCGGTTCCCCTTCTCTGTTACATGCTTGTCAACCCCCATGCCAGTGCTTGCCGTCGGAACTACCCTGACACTTCATCTCTTGGATTCAAGAAGTTTCTCGGATTATGTTGCTACAACCTCTACTTCCCGCTCTTCCGACCCATGCCATAGTGAGAAGATTGACCCCGTCTTCACAGACTCAAGTATGCGTAAGGCGTCTACTCGTTTGTACGGCCATTCAACCGCCTCGCCTCGCCTGTCAATGGATGTTGAAGAGCGGAATTCGCGTGACTACCTTCTGCACGCGCCACCTACTGCATTTCTCCAGCCATCCCCACTCAGCATCTTACATTCTCCAATAGACCAAGGCGGCGGCAATGAACTTTATGTTGCTGGGAGATTCCCTAGTATTATGGCTTATGATCGGCGACAATGGCCTCGGCTCGTTGGCACGATGCATTCTGGTGCCCGGTTAAGTAGCCTCGCCATTATTCCTTCGAATTCTGCGATACCAATGCCGTCAAACTACACTCTGATAGGATGTGGTGAATATGCTGGCAGGGGCACGCTGGAGATGTACCCACTACCCATAGCAGGACCTATCCCTCGCTTTCCCGATGGGTTTCTCCAAAGAGGTAATGCCGTGGAAGAAGCGCCAGACAAAATACGTCTATTAGATCAAAAAATGTTTGCGAAATCGACTTCTGCAGCCACTAGGAATAGACAGTCCGCTTCAAGGAGCAAAATCTTCTCGGTGGCCAGCCAGGGGATCAAGGTTGTCACGGGCGATAGCGAGGGCCGCCTCCGTTTCATGGAAAGGGACGGTACAAAACACATTCGTGATTGGGTCGGTCCTTGGGGTAATAATTTTACCGGAGGGGGGTGTGTTAAAAAGATACTTCCAATCCTGCACCCTCAAGCAGGTCTTAAACCCTCAGCAGAAAACAGTGATCTCCTTCTGCACGTCGGGGAAGGTGCTGGTGTCCTGACCTTCAATCCCTCCCTCCAGAGGAACCGCACTACTAGCGTGATAACGCCGTCCAAACAAGAAATATCACTCAAGGTTGTGCAGGAAGAAGAGGAAGAAGAAGAAGAAGAAGAAGAAGAAAAGGTATATATACAAGCCATGCGAGCTGCCCTAGAAACACACGGCTCAGATCTCCAATTCCTTCAAAGGCTAGGTATGTAGGTAATCGAAGCTTTGAAGACGACATAGTTAAATGTTGGTTGGGTTGGTGGAGAAATACATGCAAAGGATTTCAGATAGGAAATTATAGAGCATTCCTAGCCGCCAGGTATCCTTCGCTGCTACTTCCAAAAAATACTAAGCCACATATGGGCGCATACGCGGTTCCAATTGAGAATATGTGATAAATCCCACCACCACCACGATGGTTTGGTTTCTGCATGTGTAAGGTAGCGGGAAGTTTGAAACAGAGCAGAATACCTACAATCTTGTCCAGGTCTCTACGAAGTACTGACGGATTTTTAGTATCTAAACAGCAAAGTGTTATACACACAAATTGTAATACAAAAATTCCATTCCTTCCCAACCAACGCCACCATTTTATGAATAAACCAACCAACCAACCAAAAGAGGGCTTCGAAAGAAAGATAAAGGACAATCATTACGATATGAAATGGGAACAGGGTAGGGAGTTGGGCCAAATTGAAGTCGGCTATACGCAAAAGGAAAATTTCGACAGGTAATCAGGAAAAGCAAAGGGCTTCAGAGTAAACAAGACCATATACATGGTTCTTCTATGATAAAAGAGAAATGGGAAAGGAGGGCAATCCTGACTACGAAGCCAGTGGTCAAACGCTTTGTGTCGTTTGTGATGTGTTTTTGTGTAAAAGGCCGAGTGCAACCTCAGCAGCATCCTCTTTCGCGTTGCCGAGATAGTCCCCATCATACCAGTATCGGGCACTGACGGGAACGCCACCTATGACCACCGTGGCGCTCCATGCCGTCCTACCCCCACGACGGTCGCTGATGATATTCCAAACAGGTGGCTGCCACATTTGTTTTTGGCAGTAATCTGCTCGTTGCCGATTAGTTTAGGGCCAGTAGCCTGACAAATAACGAAGCACTCACCTTCAAGAGACCGCTGCCAACGTGTCTGAACTTCTGATTTTTCTGACTTTTCCGGGGCCATAGGGAAAGACGGCCCGATAGAGGGTGACATAGGGCCCAGCCGGTCTTCTTGATTGGGAGTGGTTTTCTCGAGTGTGCTGTGATAAGGATCCAATTTCCTGCTCGTAAAACGTGTATCGTCCAGATTTTCTATGCAATGAAAGCCGTTGCTTTGTTTTTAATGCCAGTTATGAGGCTCTGACTTTGTCCGAAGAAAATGATCTTTTGAAAGCCTCTCTTTCCCATCTTAATATATTTGAATGCGTACTCCAAAGAAAGACACTACTTATATTATTCAAGTCGGAAGGGCGAGTTAGGGGCTTGTATACGTGGACAGCAGTTGATTTCTGCGGACGGGAAAATACATAGTCTTCGTCAATATCGTACATACATATTGCTAGCTACGCTATTTGGAGTGTCTGAGTTGGCGACGAGCTTGCTCTTGCACGATGATATGCATCTGACATCCCGTCCCAGAATAGGCAAGCTTCTCTTCTTGGGTCTATTGGACATGTGAGAACGTCTGATATTAGTTCAGATCGATGTAGATAGGTAAGGAAGCACTTATGAACTCCCCAGAAAGGATTGGGCTTTCCGCAGGGTGGGATTGAGGCTAATAGAGATGCGGCGACCCTTGAAAGAAATATGAACTTGGATGTTTTCTCCACTATAGCAGCCTGGTGAAGAGAGAAAGAAATCGTTAAAGGCGGGGCAATATACCTCAATCTTCCAATAATGTCTTTTCTGTTGAAATTTACATACATATGTACCTAGATAGGTACTTAAGCAAGTAGCTAGGCACTCAATTAAATTGCGAATTACAGTACAGTTCCACTCCCAGATTGTAACCAGGAACTGGTCTAATCAGCCACCGAGCACTAGAAACTGTCGGTTATTGATATTGGTACATACTTCGCTAGACAGTCTACAGATTGGAAATCACCGTGGCGGACTGGCTGGCATAAGAATTGGACACAAGCATCTCATACATCCAAACATTAGTCTAGTGTCCAAACATGGGAAGGGAAACTTGTGTTCTTGGTTAGTAGGATATCGATCTCGGAGCCTGCAAAGTCGTGGCAGTCTCCTACCAGTACGGCAGCACCACGGGTTTTAAGCCACGTAGACTTCTGCTATTCGAGTTGAAGGGGACTGGCCTAGTCTGAAGCAACGGTCCGATATTCTGAGCCCCGAAAGTTTTGCATCGGTCGTATAACCCCAATCTGTGAATGTACTTACTACCTAGGTAAGTAAGTATATACTGGCATACTTGCTCACCTCAGCACAATTGTACATATGTAGATAGTACATACGTAGATGGTATACTAGAGCAGCTTCAGCTCCTGCGTCCTCGTCACGCAGGTTGAGGAAACCGCCTGCAAATTGGTGGTTGCTACTCGAGAGCAATATTAAGAATGTCATGATGGCAATTGCCATTTGTGGGGGGGTATAATTAGACCGAATCGTGGAACATGCTACCAAAGAGGCGCCAATGTTTGTTTACGACTTTTTTTTTTGAAGGCCACAACGAAACGAGATGGCTTGCACTAGCCAGCAATGCTTTGGGGCTTCAGTAATGCAGAACATACGTCCACCATTGACCCACATGCAGAACAATGCACGTCCCTTGCCTTGCCTTCAATCAACGGTATGTACATACCAATTGCGCAAACAGGACCGGCAAGACAGAGCAACATGCAGCAGCCGCCAGCACATCCAAACATCAGGTTGTTCGAGTCAACAAGCGAGGCTAATATGCAATGCCAACATGCAATACCCTGCAGACACACTATCATACCACGTGCCATATACCTGTGGCCCCTAGAATTCATCCTATCGGATGAATTTTCAGAAATCCCACAACACCCTTTGCGCGAAATCATTGCGAGCGAGCTTCTCAGGTCTATGTAACTTATTCTTTCTATTAGAGACAGGCATTAAAACTACCCTTATCCCAACCAAACACGTTATTTTGTTTTGATCCCTGCCAACTCCATCGGACCGATCGATATCCCTTATTAACTTGTTTCGAAACTTTAGTTTTGTGCAATAAATTTTTTGTATACCTTAATCCCCCATTTAGCTCAAGTCAAACCCTGCTCCGGCATTAGCTGCATACAATAGCTTTTCTTCGAGAACGGTCTCCGATGGGTAACGGGGCAGTTTTAGAAGATTGACACAGGTGCTAGTGCTCGGTAGCCTTGTTGAATCGCTACCAGCGTCTCGAATGCTGAACCTTGGGTTCAGAGAGCTGAATCCTAGAAGAGGCGCCCTGCTTACGCTGGTAACAAATTTCAATACAGCTCGCTTATCAGACTCTCGCAACCTTTTCAACACCCTCCAGAACATCTTAATAGTTTCATGTTCTTGTTTATCATCCCCAATGGTATATATTCCACCATAAATGGTATTTTTTCGAAGGTCGTCGATGTCTAGTGGAGATTCATTCCCGCCAATGAGGGTCTGAAGCTCAGACTGGTTAAACATAGAAAGCCACCTTGGCGAAATGATGGATGAGAGACCCTTTAAAAATGCATTTGTTTGTTGTTTGCCTTGAGCTGCGAGCTTGTACTTTGAAACTAAGTGGATATACTCGAGCCTGTTCGAGGATGTCACCGGGATTTGTGAACCACCGGGTTTCAAATCCACCAACACAATCTTCTGGGTAACTCCGGTAGGAGCCCGAGAGTCTGTCACTCGAAGAATGTTCTCGATAGCAAACGTAAGGTCGAGGTCTTTAATCGTTTGTTCATCGTAATGTTTCAAAGCTTGCTACATTTATAATCTGTCTTAGTAGAATTAAAAGAAGGCTAAGAATAAAGGGGGACTCACAAGACCTTTCCAAAGGCTTCGATCGAACCTCTTGAGATCATCTACACCGAGTCCAACATCATCGTTACCCAGCATGACCTTACTCCATTTGAGAAGGAAAAAATCTGCGAAAACAACTTCCACTAAAATACCTTCATACATGCACTTTCCAATGATACGGCCTAGAAACTCAATTCGCCGTAATAAATCCATAGCTTCCCGTGAAGCCGCTATTTGGAGGTCGGAAGTGCTATTATTTTCCAGTTTGCTAAAATCCCCTGGCAGTTCATCGAGAAGAAAGGGGTTGGGGTAGATCGTGTGATCTTCTGTTTCTGTAAAGAATGGTACACTTCTGGCTGTATCTGTTCTGGACAGCTCCTGAACGACGCACGAGAGGAATTCTTTAAGAATACCTCCACCATCTATCCCAGGCTCTTCTGCACCAAAGGAGTCGACAAAGGTAATCTGAATCGGTTCCTTGAAACTTTCTCCCAAAGCGTAAAACTCGTCGTAGGCATCTTCAAACATTCGATCACGATGGATGATACCATGATGTTTTGATTTTGTCCCAGGCTGATCCTGGAAGGGGTTCGCCTGACTAAGCCTCCATAGATCCCGATCCCCTGTTCCCCGACGTGCTTGGTCAAGCTTAATGAAATCACGAAAAATTGACACCCTCGTTCGGAATGGTAAGAAGAAAGGAAGATTCTGGATCACCCCTAAGCGTGGGGTGATTGCGGCTAAGTAGTTGTCCCTTAATGTTCTTTCGTGCCTCCTGTTGGGGCGTCTAGCGATGTTGCTATTTGCTGAAGTAGTTTTAGCAACGTCATCAGTATCGGAATCAGAATCGGATTCTTCGATATTACTAGATTGCTCCAACTCCTGTTGTCGTGCTTCCTCCTCGGCGATGAGATGTGTAGTACCTTCGGTATTGATTTGTTTCATGAGCCAAAAGCCGTCAGGGAGAAATTTCTGTCGGGAATCTCTTCTGTGGAGAGAACGTAATATTCTGATTGCCAGGTTGCGTATCCAAGGAAGGGATACACCATGAATACCAGCTACATCCAAACGCGTGTTTAATTGTAGCGCACGAGTGGGCTTTGTAAATAGTTGCTGGAGCGGCTCGTCAGATACCTGGGATTCAATTTCAGAAACTTCAAAATAGGCTACGAAGGCTAGGTTTTTCAGGAAATCGACCAGGTGCCGTAACTGATTCGACTGAAGCGACTTGTCCCCGAGAGTAAAGAATTCTTCATCGTCCATGACAATGTTAGAAAAACAATATAGATCCAAGAAGAGAAGGATTGTGGTCCACTCCGAAGATTGGGGAGCTGTTCCCCCGGTTTTTTGGTGGGTGAGCTTGAGGCCATCTAGGATTGCATCAACACCGGCCACGCCGTCCCGAAATGTGTGTGTATTTTGAACCTGATGGTACAGGGTAGCCAACAGCGACATGTCGTCCTGAGATCTCGCGAGGAAAAGCCGGTTGTGAAGTTTTTGTTCAAGGAACCGGAAATAGAGAAGTAGGTGGAGGGTAAATCTCTGGGCGGCGTGGCGAATACATACTGTTTGCGTTGACGAAGAGGGGGTTGTCCAATTCCATGTTATTCCATCTGCGAGATTTGATATGAAGTCGGTCTCGAGTAAATTTTTGAGCTGACGCTGCACAAATTCGGGAGGATTCAGACGCTCTTCGGACTCGACAAAGAGACCCGCCTGAGCTCTCGATGGTACGATTGGTTGTCTGTCAGGGGTGCTTGTTTGGTTCCGAATCTTTCGGCCGTATGCATCTAATATTGGGTTTAAAGTCGTCGCAAGTAATCCACATATGGTTCTTGAGTCCAAAGGCCCCGTGATGTCGGCTTTCTGATACAATGGGTGGGAGGATATGCGGTCCTGAAGAGCTAGATGGTGACTGGAAACAAGCAGCTCAGGATCATACACAAAAGCAATGAGGTAGGATAGCAACCATAAAATTTGTTCTGGGGATAACTGATCGACTCTAAGTTGAGTAGCAGCCTCAAGGAGCTGGCGGATATCAAGGAGCTTTCGGAGAATAGACACTGGGATAGCTGAAAACAGGTTTGTATCAAGTGAAGCTGTGGTTAGAAATACTTGCACAAAATTAGTGTAGGCGAGAGGTCGGTTGGCTCTGATACCTGGCCGAAGCGGTAGGACGATAGACTGAAGAATGATAGCCAAGGTTGCTGTGCGTGTTTCCAATGGATAGAAAGTTGATATATGGGGGATCAGACCACGGTCTATGAGCCCTGCAATTGTCTCAAAGTATGTGGTATCGGCTTGTTCCGGAAAATAGGTAATGGCGCAGGATAGAAATGGAAGAATACGCAAGGCCTGAGTAAGAGTTGTAGCATGGCGGACACTGATGGATGAAACAGCAACTAGCAAGACCCGGAAGAGGCGGGTGATTAAGAGGCGGTGGCGGCTATTCTCTGCAAGATTCAATCCTATCAAAGAACTTGGTTCATCGTCTAGATGGAAAGCAGAGATTATGAAGACGAGGCGACAGACATCTTCTGTGTCTGCAGCATCGCAGAATGAGAGAAGGAGAGCAAGGCTATCGTCGGAGTGATCGGTTGGGGGTAGTGCTGCAGGGAAACCAACAGACCTATCCCAATCCGCCCGACGGGCTCTGCGCACAGAATACCGAATGGCATATCCTCTGTAGGTTGACTGAATTTTTGTTGCGGCAGCAACCCTTTGACGCTCCGCTTCCCTTCTAGCTCGTTCTCCCCGAGCTACAATAAGACCAGAAGAAGGCTTTGATTTGCCAGAGAGATTAATGTTACGCTGCCGCTTTGTGCTCCCAGGAAAGTGCTTCATACTGATGGTTATGGATACCGATTAGGATACTAGAAGGTATACGGGAACAACGACGATACGTGCGGGTGAAGAGGAGGGGTTGAATTGGGTTGGACATGTCGGTCAGCGAGTCAGTCTATCCACACTTTCTGACATAAGCAAAGCGTGGCATTTGTTGTTGCTCATCGTTAATTATCACAGCGAAACAGGAAATAGTGCTGCTATATAAGGGAACTTCCTAAATTAGTAATAATACTCACCCACAACACTATTCTTCCCACTTTGAAACACAAAAATG